AACAATGAAAAAAAACCTAGTGTACATTTTTGAACATACATGCTGAAATTTTTTTTTTTTTTTCAAGTTGCATTTACAGTTTGTAGTTCCAACCCTCTGTTTCAACACTTCTTTTAGATGACCAATCATCTTTAAGGAAGTTTTACTTTTAAAATTCCTGCAAAAAGATGGACATAATCTTCCCCCTCAATATCATTTTATTAGGAGTTGAAGAAGCTTTAATGCTGCTTTTTTTAACAAACACTGGTGTCCCTCAAGGCTCAATACCAGGTCCTCTGATGTTTTGCCTCAATACTTTTGAACTGGAAATTTAAAACACGGCTTTTTTAAACTGCTTTGTTCACTAACATGTTGGTGCTCACCTCATCATTTGCACTTGTAACACTGGCATCCCTCAAGGCTCAGCACTGGGTCCTCTGGTATTTTGTCTCAATACTCTTCCAATGGATCACACAATCGTTATCCTGAAATAAATTCACATCATACACTCCTTTATGGTTTTAAAAAATTAAACACTTGCTATGAAGTAAGTCATGATGTTTATATCAAACTACTGGTACAAAGACAGGTGTGTTTACTGATACACAAAAAATGTCTTATTGTACTATATCAAGTCAAAATATAAAGATATATGATAATAAATTTAAATTTTCAGACAGGGGTTTTATTTTTATTTTTTATTTTTCATTTCTCTGTGGTAAGCCCTTGAATTTGAGACAGACATGTTTTTAAGTTTAGACTTTGACTTTGTTCTGCAGGTGCAGTCGCTTCCAGTCGGAGATCAAGAGGCTGAAGATCTCCTCACCTGTGCGAGTTTGTCAAAACTGTTACTACAACCTCCAACACGAGCGAAGCACGGAGGACGGCTGCAAAAACTGAGCTCCGCCTCCGTGACAGAAGCACCTCCTCCTAAGGAGCGTTTAATTCCTCCACCTCAAAACCCTCTACGAATCCCTCAAACCCACTTAAACTCTCATTCATCCAGTAACCACATGACTGAACGGCACTGACAGGCTGTAACAGGAGGGGGCGTTTTAACTATGAGAGGTGGGAGAAAAACAAGAGGATCAAAAGGAATTAAAAAAAACCTCACTCACCACTATCACCACCTGCACTTCAGACCTGAAGGAGGAGAAAAGCAACACACCCTTTGATGCGGCACGCTTGTATCAATCACCAACGTGAAGAAGAAACTTGTTAATATTGTAAATACTTCCCACGGCCTTTTTAACTCTAAGAGAAGCAAACAGATGAAAAAACAAAGGTCAATGAGAAGAAAAAAACAAAATGCCTGTAACATAGCGTTGTGACTAACCACTCCTGGCTTTAAAAAAACTAAATCGATTGTGTGTAGTCTGCATCACCAGTCACGGCGAGTCCAGAGGAGAGGAAGGGATATGAATGTCAATAATGTAATGTCTGTGGGTTGACTTCACTAGTGGGTCTAGTTATGCAAAACTACTTCTTTTCTTCTTCCGTTTCCTCATCACGTTTTTATTCTGTTTACAAAAGTGTGGTTTAGTTTGCGAGTGTTGCCCACAGTGTCAAGCCATCACCATCACAGAGAGATTTATTATCAGATTCTCGTTTATTTTTTTGCCAAATCGCTCTGTCCTATCAAAAATATGATTTTTTTTACTGTCCTTTTTATATGAATTCCCTTTTTGGAGGATTTTTGTTGTTTTTGCTGCTGGTTAAAAACTGGATACATTTCTTCTGACTTAAAACCATATCACTCACTCCACTTTGAGATCTTTCAGTCCTGAGAGAAACCCTGCTGGGTTCATCATCTGTGTAAAAGTATGAATTAGGTAACACACACTTATGTCCGTTCAGTTCTTTTATGTCCTTACATATTTAGTGCTGAAGCATTTGAGCAACTTTTGAATGCATTGGAAAAAGGGACTCTTACTTTGTATCGTGTTTTTTCTTTTGTTTTCGCTGGTTTTTATGTTGATCCGTTGTTTAGTCTGACCCTGTGGCATTATTACAGCAGATCAGCAAATGTTGCACTCCTCACACTTTATCTTGAGTTGCTGTAGAAGACGTTCAACTGCAGGGGCAGCAGCCTGAAAGCTGGAAAAATAATCTGTATAGTCAAAAAACTCCTAAAAGAGGACTTGTCAGATTAAAGGGAAATTTTAAGACAGAGATATTAATTTATTCAATGATGCACACTTTTTATGTGCATAATTTCCTCTTAAAATCACTTTATTTGGCTCAGCGGAATGAAAATTTAAAAATTGAGCCCCAAAACAAGATTAAGGACTTCACCATGGATAAGTCTATGAAGTTAAAATTGCGCCAAAAATCAAATCCTGTTCACTGTTTCTCACTTATAATAATTAGATGTCAAATATCTTCTTTTATTCTTGTAGTCCACTTACTTTTGATTTGAGATTTGCCCCCATAAATCCTTGAAAATATATACAAAACAAGAGATAAACTGAGTCGAACAAAGGCAGAGACACTATTATGTAGGACACGCTGTCAGAGGTATCAGAGTAAATTTAGCAAAAGCTAAAGTCTCTTCTGAAGAATTACAGACAAATAAGAGGCCTGTAGCTACTGTTTGTCCTCTTCAGCTCTTCCAATCTCCTCAGATGTTTAAAACATGAGGATCAACCAAAACCTGAGATCATCATTTTTTTTACTGAAGATAAAAACTTCATCTCTAACATTTAGAAACTATATTTTCAATAAATGTACAACTTTTTATCTCAAGCATTTCAGGATTTTTTAAAATATTTTTTTAACTTTCTCTTATCATGTGTTTGTTTCCATGAAATGAAACATTTATTTATAAACTGAAGAAAAGTATCCTTGAATAAAATTGCAACCTAATTCTTGACCAGTGACACTTTTGGCCTGAAAAATCCAAGTTTTTTTTTTTTTTTTTTTTTTTTTTTTGTGTGCAGAGATTCCAAATATTTTTTCTGATGAAGCTATGACTTTTTTTCTTGTGACGTGAAGGCTCTTTTTCTTCTTGGAAGGTCTTTCTTTAATATTACAAATGGTTCTTAAATTAAAATCACTTTATTCACATAAGTTATTAGACTTATTACAGTTAATTTACAACTTTATCCTCATAAACTTACCATATTTTTCCCTCTTAAATTCACATTTTTTCTCTCAGAAATCTGTGACTTTTTCCTTGTAATTTTAAAGCATTTCAAAATTTTTCGTCTTTTTCAATAATTCTGTGTGAGCCCTTTGTTGTAAGTTAGAAACACTGTGGCTGTCATCGTTGTGTCCGTCAGAATAACTGTGTCCCTGAATGCAACACAATGCAGATAACATGACACAGCAAAAGCAGGTCTTAAAATTGCGTCACAGCAAAGAGCGAGAACAGAATCAAGAACAAATGTGAAAGCAGAAACTAAATTTGACATTTTTTTTTATGATTGAAGCAGCTTTTAAATTTCACCTGTTGTCTGTGTCTGATGCTGTTGAAAATCTGCTGAAACTGGATCTCTGTGTAAAGAAAGAGTTTGTATTTTTGGCACTGATTTAACTCCATACCAGAATCACATGGTAATTTCGAAATATTGGTGGTCTAGTGTATTTTTCAGTAGTTTGAAGCAGTCCACACAGACGTTTATCTCAGAAAGACGAGCCATGAAACAGTCAGAAACCTGCTTTTACTCTGCTAGATGGCTGCTGCTGCTGCTGCTGCTGCTGCTGCTGCTGCTTCTGCTGCTGCTGCTGCTGCTGCTGCTGCTGCGTAGTTTAATAGCCACACATAAAGAGTGTTTTTGTTTGTAAGTCCCATGTTTTCAGCCCAGTCCTCACTGCTCATACATGCATTATGTTGATTTTTTTATGGTTCTGTGGGCAACAATTGTGCGTTCAAGTGCTGCTTTCTTCACTTTCTGCTCCCCACTAACAATTACAGTCTAACGTGTAAAAACAAGAAAAACCTTCTCTGAAAGTACTTAAATGTCCACCCCCACAGCTCCCTGATGTTTCCAACAATAATTATATGCACTCTTGTTATTGTCCCTCTTCTATCATTCTGCATTGACGTACTGTAATTTAGCGTGCAATCATGCCACCTAGCTGAAAAAAGGCTGAGTCCCCTCCTATCAATCAAGAGTTTCTTTGCACCTTCACGTGTAAAAAAAAAGAGGAGGGGGAGAGGAATCACAGGTTTTTATTGAATGCAGTTTTAGGTTTTAACAGAGAGGTGCATTTCACAGCGGATAAATGAACTGTACAAAGTATTTATGCAATTATAACTGGTTTTAGATTTTTTTAATGATTATTGCGATTTCAGCAAGTTTTGTTACTTGTTGCATGTTATTAACACAGCTGACTTTCTGTGTCAGTGCATTGTACATGTTTTTGGCATTATATTATTGTTTTTTGTTGGTTTTATCCTTTTTTTTTTGTTTGTTTTGTTTTCTTTTTGGAGGCATTGTTCGATGAGTTGTCCCCGAGCAACCGACCGACAGATTTGTGTACAGAGCCGGAGATCGTGTCCCCAAACTCTGGGAGGACTTTTGTACTCTTTATTGAAAAAAAAAGGTAAAAATAAGTCAGACTTCAAAGAGAACAAAGAAGGAAAAAAAGAGAAAATCCTGGATTATTTTGGTGGTCTTGTATTAGACTGCATTACTACAGTATCTGGTGTGCAATCTGTGATAGCTGAATGTTCCTTGTATATTTGTGTTCACTACATCCTACCAGAGAAGAAACAGTAGAGTAACCCGCCCCTCTTACAGAAACAAATGTTACAATAACGCAATAGATCTGGTACTTATTCTTTTTAATTTCATTTCAATAAATAATTGCTGTTTACCACCAAAGACAGACTCTTCTTTTGTCTCTCACAGTTTTCAGACCGCTGATGTATCTCCATGACATGTCGGGGTGACGTTTGTAGACGCTGGGCACCGAACAACAGGCTGAGACTCCATTCTTCTTTTATGATTAATTGATAATATAAATCGAGATGATGACATCACAGAGTACAAACAAACGTGTAAACAGACAGCCAATCAGCTGCTGGAATGTGTGTCGTTCAGCTTGTCCAGCTGCTGTCTCCAGTCTGTGCTCCACCTCTCTACTTCACTCAGTCGTCTCAGTTTGTCGTCATCTGAACGTGAAGACTCGGACTTTAACAGCTGCTCAAACCTCTGACAACCACACACACACACAAATTAAGAACACCTGTCAATCAATCTCTCCTTATATCTGTTTAAAGTGTGTATGTGTGTGTGTACCTTCACAGCAGCATCTCTCCGCTCAATAACAGCCATATGTACAGAGGTACACCTGGTTGTGGAGATGGATGCAGTTGTTGCTATGGTAACATTTGACGGCGAGTCAGCTGTGCTATCAGCAGGAAGAGTCCGGTATGGGATACCAGAGAAGGTCCTGAGACAAAGACACACACATTGAAAGTGTTTGTTGGGGGATGGTGAGGCTTTTATTGTGAAAGAGTATTTATTAAGTCGTAGGAGTGCTTTTACTTTTGAGGGGTAATAGGAAATAGACTAACAGAGCTTGGAGGCCTGAACAAATCAGCTGAAAGGCTTTTATTTTGAAGGAAATGGTATGTTTTGCCATGTTGAAGGCACGCAGTCTTTTCACTGACTGGGAGATAACTGAAAAGGAACTGAAGAGCCTTTGAGTTAAAGGGAGCTTCAGTACTTCTACTCTCAAGGGGCTGGAAGGCTTTTACTTTGAAAGAGGACGAGAACTTCAGGGGCTTATAATTTGACATTAGAGGTGTCTGATGTCGCAGCCCTCTGAGATGTTACCTGCTGACTGTGCAGAGTTTCAGTCCTGTTTCATCTCCTGTCTCCATGGTTACAGAGCTTTCTGCAGGGGGCTGCTGTGATGATGGCGCATCTAGGGAGGAAGAAACAGATAACACCTAATGGTGACTCACAGGTGGTGTAGGACGAAGAAGTGATGGTGTATTCAGCTGACATGTTTTTTTTTATCAAGGAACAGCTGGTGTTAGTATTTACAGATCATCGGTTTCAATGCTGTCACAGTTATTTTATGTAGATTCAAACACTTGAGTGTATAAAGAGAATAAAATTAAAGGCTGTTACATTTGGGAGTGTCAAAGAATTGTTGTTATAGGTAATGTTTTTATTAAGCTAGTCATTTATCTTTCTTTTTCTATTTCACTGTATCTTTTGTAAAAAGATGTATCGTACTTAAATTTATATTTTGATTACGTTAGCTGACTCATGCATCTTTTGTAAACAAGTAAAGGAAGGAGTAGAGGCTGGGAGGTGGCTAAGAGAAGTATTCGTGTCCCTGTAAAGGCTGTGCACTTTTAAAGGTGAACCTAACTTTATAGTTTGATAAAAAGGTGAGAGGTTACCTGTAGCTGTGAGAAGTTCATCCAGCTGATGGATCAGCTTCTCTGTTAAAGAGGCCAGTGATGTGACAAACTCCTCCCCCTTGGCTCTCACACTCTCCTAAACACAATCACACACACAGGTCCCACTATTCTTTGAAACAATCCAACTTTTCTGATGAACTGTGAGGAGTGTAGTGGGTTAACCTGTTTCTCCTATCACAGGTCTAATCAGTGTTGAGGTGACCCTCGTTTCTCCTACCTGTAGTTCCAGGTGTGCTGAGCAGACGGCGCTGTGCAGTTGTTTCTGTCTAAGATCCTCTCTGCTGTTGAGAGTCTGAAGCTCATCACCGTCCTTAAGAGAAACTTTCAGCTGATGGACATTTTCACACTGACAAACAGATATGTATCACAGTCAGAGCTGGTCTGGACTCTGTTTTATAGGTACTGATAACCTGTTTCTGAAGGTCATACCTTCTCCTCCTCGCTGGCTGCTAGCATTTCCTCCAGCTTTGTTCTGACTCCACCCATTGTCTCTCTCAGCCCTGCCTCCTGTTGTTGCTCATGGTTACTGATCAAAACTTCAGGTAACAATTTGAGCAGCTTTGTCAAAACAGACAGCTGGTTCCCCAACTCTGAGAGGCAGACAGGCAAAAAGACAGGTAAAGACAAAGATGGATGATCTGTAAGTGCAGTAACCAAATCTAAGAGACAGACAGAGGGCTCTATTTTTCTGCCCGCCAGCAGCATGGTGGACGGTGGCGCACTCCGTGCAGTGGTATTTTCGTCTGGCGGAGCCCGGCACACAGCCTTTTTGGTATTTTCGTAGACTGAGGCACACTGAGGTCCGCCAAGCTGGGCGTGGTGGCACGGTAGAGGGAGGTGTCAACAGAATCAGCTGGCGCAGTGACATTTTCGTGCTCGCTGGTGGCAAAGAAAGTGCGCGGAAAGCTTGCCAATTCAAACCTGGTCAGCTTTCAGCGCAGGCTGCCTTCTGTCGCCATCGTGTGGCATTGCTGTCTTCAGCCATCCCTTGATCTCTTTGACTACTTCACGAAAATTGTAATATGCCTCGCCGGTGGCAGATTTAAAGGTGAGGAGAGCAGCTGATGTGATAGGTGGAAACAGGTCCCGGCTGTGTTAAACCCACTCCACATCTTCCTTTCTCCCCCTCTATGGCATACGCTGCTGGGAGAAGCTGAGTTAGAGAGGGGAAATACTTACGCTGGGCTACGCCGCTCACCAAAATACCAAAATGTGCTTGGGCACGCCTTATCAGCACGGCGGACCTGACTTACTCCGCACCACGCTGCCGGCAAGGAAAATAGAGCCCAGGGGGTTAGACAGCCATCGAATGGCTGCTGTTGACGGTCTGTTTGAGGGTGTAATCTTTAATATTGGGCTTTGAAGTAGACAAAACACTGGTCCCTATTTTAACAATAATTTGAGGAGTTATCAGTGATGGTGCCCTCATCTTCTGACATCCCGAGTTCTGCCTCATATCCAGAGGAGTAACATTCTGCGTGGGGATGTGGAAAGAAACACTTGGATCTCAGACCTTTCTGTTTTGAGAGAAATCATAATTTTGCCGTATTAACATAAATACTGATATTTCTTTAGCTGTTAGGACACTGGGTAAAAATGAGGGCTGGGCCAGGTGGAAAAAAGAGCCCATCATATCAGTGTTGCTCCACATGCAAGTAAAAGTACAAACATGTTTGTTTTTACCCTCTCTGCTGGTGCTCAGAAGCTTCTTGGCCTGTTCCTGGTATCCCAGCAGCCTCTGCTGCATCTTCTCAGTCCACTGGTCCAAACTGTCAGGAACCAAAAGAAACCTGCTGCCCCTCTTACTGCGGTAAAAGTCCTGAAATCAGAGGAAATGCTTGACTTTCAACACAAGAACCATGTGTTTGATTCATCTGCATAACTTTCACATCCCCAAAACTGTGTCTCTGTCACCTTGGAAACCTGCAGGATGACATCATTGGCTTTCCACAGCACAGAGTTAACCGCAGAAATAAGAGAGCTGGAACACAAACACACGGTAATCAAAACCTGAAACTCTCCATCAGGATTCAACCAGACGAGCAGGTGAAACTTACTGTGTAGTTTGTTCTGGATTTGGTTTGGGTCCAAATATCTGGAGCCTTCTTCCAGATCTGATGGACTTGGACCCTCTGCTGACACTTTCACATCCACTAAGATAAACACAAAGATTACAAAAAGGGAAACATGTGAAAACAGTGACTAATACTGTGTACATGTGTGCATGTGTGGGCCTTACCTGAGGTTGCTAACTGACTCAGTACATCTCTGGTGAAGACGCTGAACAGAACTCTGACCTGCACATGAAGCACATTAAGAGCTGTCAGCTGTTTAAGTTTATATTACCAGGAAAATGTGGACCAGCTATAAAAAGTGATCATTTCAACGAAAGCTGGACTTGATTTAGAATTTAAAAAAATATCTTCAACACAGCAGCTGTAAAAACCAGTTCTCCCTCTCTCCTTTTTCTCTGTGACTTCTGTTGCATCATCCTGGACCATACCCAACCTGATATGTAGGAATTTACAGTAAAGAGGGGAAAGAAAGGAACAGTTGAGAAGAAGAGGAGGAGAAACATCTTCTTGTCTTTATCTCAAGATAGCTCGAACATGATATGTAGCACTAGTATGCTCTGCATTACCACCCAATGGGAATGGACTGGGCTGTTGTACCTGTTGAGGGACTTGATGATGCCCACAACGGGGTCGCTGAGGAGGTCAACATCTTTCCTGCTTGGCTGCAGTAAATCAGGGGGTAGGGCGGGCCGGACCCGCTTTGTGGACTTAGGGCGAGCTGTCAGACTCTCAAGCAAGGTTTGGTCCTAAACACACAAATACCTCTTGAACTCTTGATTTGAACTCTTGAACATGAGCAGCTCTCAGTTGTTGGTGGGTTTCTTTGGATACCCCAAAAAAAGAAAAATAAACCTGTTAGTAGAAACCACATGTTGTGAATCTATTTGGAGGTAGATCAGGCTGATGATCCTCATCAGAAAAGAAGAGTAAGGATCAATAAAGTTCTTCTTCTTCTTCTTCCTCTTAAATAGTGATGTCAGTTTTGGTCAAATTAGTATTAACAAAACAGTTTTCTGTATTTTGGTATTCCAGTTAAACCAGGTGTAATTCTTTTTATATATGAAGTATCACAGGAATAAAAAAAGTCATTTACAGATCTGTGGTAACCCGTTTAAACAAGCAGAATTCTATCAATGAGTGACAGGGAAGAAGGCTTTACAGTATAAACAAGTGGTAGCTATGAAGGAAAACACATTTATCAGGTCGATCAGAGGCAGTCCAAGCATACAGGTGAGCACTGAGAAAGTGGTCTAGCATACCATTGAGAATTCCAGGTACTGAGAGCGCTTCTTGAGTTCTTGACTGACTGATGACAGAAGAGAACACACCTGTTCAGGAGACACCTGCAGACAGACATACAGAGGGACATACAGTCGGGATAAGATCTTTATCACAGACCTAAAGTGCGTTACACTGACGCTGAAGTGGTCAGGAGCGGTAACAATAACATTCAAGTACTTATTCTGCAGCAGCAGAGCAGTGTGACCGTGTGTACCTGTGTGCTCTCCATCATCCTCTTCAGATCCTCCAGTTTACTACTGATGGCTGCCTGCTGCTGGTTACTGCTGGCTGCCTGCAAGTTTCAAACATGTTCATTCATGGCTTTCAGTCAATTCTGGCAAAGAGCAGCAGAGTACGTACAGTAGTTAGAAACAAACATACTTCTGCTTTGATGCTGACTTGTGTGCTGCTGATAATTTTCTTGATCTCCTCCATGAACGTCACCTCAGATCTCAGGAAGGAGAGCGTCTCCTCAAGACGACCAGAGACCTCCTTCACCTGAGGGGAGACACATAGCCTGGTTTCAGAGAGTTAATCTGGTGTTTGTGGCTGTAGCATCACATATATCTGAGGGTGTAGTTCATAAGCCATTGTCTCTACCTTACAGTTCCTATGCAGGCTTGGTTTTTATGCTGTCTTACACCAGCAATCAGCTGCATTTTTGTGTGTTTGTTTTGCGACAGTAAAGGATAAATACTGTAGAATGTGAATGTCCTCCTCACTAACAGCTGTCCTCTCTCATAAAGACAAATGTCACCGAAATAATCCTGTGAAGAAAAGGGTCAAACCTGCAGTGAACTCTTGGACTCAAACGCCTCCAGTTGAGAGTAAATGGACACTTCTGCTGCACTGATCTCTTTGGTTTTCTCCTTTAGTCTCCTTTGAAACAATATCACCTCCTGAGGAGCAAAATCTCCTCCTTCACTGAACAACCTGCGAGAGGAGAAAACAGACAGCTACAGAAAACTCTTCCTCTTTGATAACAAGCAGGTGTTCTGAGTGTTACCTGAAGGAGCTGAGGAGTTGTGTCATTTTGTGTCTGACCTCCTCCAGTCTTTTCTGAATAGTCTGTTTAAAGGCAGTCTGACAGTCCTGGATGTCTTTGATATGGTTGTCAAGACAGTCCTGCAGGGCGGAGCTCACAGCCTTCAGACTGCAGACAAACACAGAGACAAACATCAAACGTTTGTGAAACGTTGTGAAACGTTGCGAAACGAATGTGAACAAACTGAGAGAGCTGATCATAACAGACTCTGTTACCGTTGGCTGTTATCAGCTCTCACGATGTTGTCCTCCATGTTGGACACTTTGGTGGCGAACACCTGGTTCTTCTTGCTGATGGAAGTTTGCAGGTCCTGCAGCTCCATCCTGCAGGAAGCCAACATGGTGGAAACCTCCTCACAGTGAGTATCAACACACTGACTGTGAAGCTGCAGCTCAGCTGGAAAACAAAGAGTGACACTGTTTTTATATTTCAGTAGAGGCTGAAACACTTTGAGCTGTCATTTACTGATACTGATACTTATACTACTTATGTGATACCACACATAAGTCTCTGCTGAGAAAATGGTCACAGCAAGACAACTTTGCTAACCTAGTAACAGTAAGAGAGTCTGAAAAATGATGTTACAGAGGCTGAGAGAACATGAAAAGTTGCTGGTAAACACAGGCCCTATAATATAGAGGCTGAGGGCCTGTTGGAGCCCACTATACAACAGCAATCTGGAATGTTACAAGTTGTTACATTTTGGGCAAAAAGTTATAATGTTTTGGGCTCAGCATCTTGGTAAATTTTGGGTCAGTTGTTACATTTTGGGTTTTATTACTTTTGTGAAATTATAGTTTGTGTCATTACATATCAGGCTCTAACAGGGCCACTCAAATAAAGGTCTGTAACAGACTTTTTATAATCTTACACTATTCAAATTACATTCAGATTTCTAAGTTTGAAGCAAAAATTCTGACTTATTCTCAGAATTCTACCAAAAACTTAGGATATATCTTTTTCACAAAATCCCGAGTTTCAAGTCAGGATTCTAAAATTAAGAATATGAATCTGAGTTTAATCTAAAATTCTGAGAGAAAAGTCAGAACTCTGAATTCTGAATCTAATCTCAGATTTAAGAGAAAATGTTGAATTCTGACTTCAGAGGTTTAGTTACAAACTAAGATTTCTGACCCAAAAAAATCTGAATTTAAACTCAAGATTTTAAGATGTAAGTCAGAATTCATACTCTTTCCTGAGAAAAGAAAAGTTTATCAAAAATGATGATTTTAATTTTAATTTTCTTATTTCTGGGGGAAGGCTTTTAATATTTGTACCTCCACATCTGTTGTGTCTACTTGGAGTTTTTTTTTTTTTTTTAAAGAAATGTACAAAGCTGCCCATTGGTTCATAAACTTTTGTTTTCAGATAAAAGGCTCCTGATTCATCTGACCCAGCTCTGATCAAACTCTGACTGTGTGGAAACAGAAGTTCATCACAGTCATTACCGAGGCGGGGTTGGTAAATGTGGGTCTCGATGTGTTGGCGGTTCAGCTGCTTCAGGTTGATTTCATGCTCTGAATGCAACACCTCCTTCCTGTGTGTCACCATGGTAACAGCTGAGCGGAGGACATTCTGAAAATGCTGCTCCAGGTTGTCCAAGAAAAGAGTTCGTGAACTGCATGTCAAACACAAACACTGTCAGCTCATGGTTACTCTTTTCTTATCAAAGTGTAAGCGTGTGTGTGTGTGTGTGTGTGTGTGTGTGTGTGTGTGTGTGTGTGCACCTAGTTAGTTTGTTTGTAAGCGGCTCTCCAGGAAACAGAATCAGGTGTGTTTCCTGCTGTGGGGTCTCAGGTGGGGCGGGGCATGGGAAGTCAGGCCCACTGTAGGCCACACCACTGGATGATGTAAATGAGACATTACTGCTGATATCACAGAGCTCCTTTAGTGAGGTCTCCGCCTGAACAAGCGCAAACAACCCTTACACACATTGTTATGGACCAATAAACTGATTATTGTGTATCGTCACTGAAGAAATCATCACCTCGGTTAACCAATCCTTGGAGGGCTGTGACGGGTCTGTGTCGGGCTGACAGCTCATTGAATGGTCCTTTGTCATCTCTAATGGTTCCTTTATTTCAGCACCCTCACTGGCTTCTGCCACAACCAAAAAAATAGCTCATATTGGACCCAAAACAGGATGAACAACATAAACAATAAAACTGTAACCACGACAGAGGATATACTGACCCTGATCTGAAGTAGCGGTGAGTGATGGATGGAGGTTCTGCAGCTCCTCTGGGCTCTGAGAAGAATCATTTTAACACACTCCATCATTTACAGTATCTGTTACACTTCCTTTATGTGTTGATAAGAAAGTAGAGACAAGCTAAGCTGGTGTTTGATTGGTTTGAAAATCAAAGAAGAAGATGGCCTGAAGCTACCAGAGAGGCTTATTACTGTGGTTTAGTGTTGCTCTGGTTAGGTTTGTCTGATATGCACAGATTACCGGTCTGTAGATGTGGTCAAGGTGGTAGAAGGAGCTGAGGCTGCTGCTGTAGGAGAGGAGCTCTTCCAGGAGGAGGGACGGGAGACGATCCAACTGCTGACACTGATCTGAGATACACTGTTTGCTGCTGTACACGCACAAAAAAAGACACGTTATTCCTTTCCACTACATGTCTGACTTTGTTGAAGACTTGCATAGACAGATGATGCTTAGCTGATGAAAGGAAAAATGTGTTTTGCATGGTCTGAGTCTCCTGAATTTGGGAAAAAGTTCATATCAATAGAAGCTGTGGTAGGCAGTTACCTATTAGTTATTAATTTATTTAGATATATGAACCATTTGGATACTGATTAGATGGAACACTGTCTAGTAATGAGTCGTGCTTTTTGCAATAAACTATCTTAATTTCATGCATATAATGTAATCCCATCAATGACTGTATCATCTATCTTTACTATCCTATGGAGAAATAAATGCAGTGAATATGAATCTGCAGCTGTAGTGACCCTCTCTCCATGGAGTACCTCTGTTGGATCTCCTGCAGGAAGACCACAGCTTTGTCCAGAGACGTCTCCAGAGCGTCCTCTCTGCTCTCCTGTCTGAGTGCATTCAGCATGATATCCAGACACGCTGTCTGCTTCTGAAAACATAACAGTAAAGCTTATGAGCGCCTGCCATCAGCTGACAGACTTCCACAAGCTCCACCTAAACCTCCCTTTTGCAGGTGATGCTGGGTCCTGCAGGTGTCAAAATACTAGAATAATCAAAGGTGGACTGAAGTCTTACTTCTGTGTGTTGTTGTTGTGAGTCTCTGAGGTTATCCAAGTGTTGTTGCAATTCATCTTCTCTCATCTTCAACCTGCTGCTGTGTGTCTCCCACAGAACTGCGACTCCCCGCAACATGACAAACACACGCCTGCTTAAACCGAGAGCATGACTGGCCACAGACTCACGACACACCTGCAGACAGACAGACAGACAGGTAAACAGACAGATAATTTCATAAAGGTGGGCACTCTTCAGAAACATCTGGGTTTCAGTGAGGTTTGTGCAGCTGACATTCAAAGCAGCCAGTTGCTCTTCATCCTGACTCTGCCTTTGACCAATCAGAGGGAGCAGAGCTGAGCTGACAGCATGGTTCACCTCCTCCTCAGAGAGCTGCAGAGCTGAGAGCGCCTCCTGCAGGTAAACATATGTAAAACATAAGGCAGATATTTATAAAATGAAGAAAAAGAACAGGTCTTCTCTATTCAGTCCAGTTGTTGTATTATTTCATTATTTTAACAATAGCTGGGCGGAAACAAACTGTATCAGCAGCCTGGGTTCATCACATGGATGAAAACAATGCGAAACAATGCTGAGACAGCTGTTTTACTCCATCACACAGGCTTTGAGAGAAACATTTAAGTTTTTACCTTACAGCGCTCCACCACAGCCAGTCGATCCCGCCACCTCTGTTCATAACAACCCTGCAGCTGACTGAGGTAGTCAGCGTGAAAACTGTCTGAACAAACAAACACACACAAATTTACTGGTTGTATATTACAGTGTTTATATGAGTATAGCTGTTTTTGCAAATAACTAGAGGGTTCAAATCAAATCCTCAACAAAGGGAAAACAGTTGGATAGAAATATAATATTGGATTTTGTTCTGTGTTCATGTGGAAAACTTTTGAAAACTAGGGAAACTGTAAACACATACAGTACACTGATTTGTTTTTGGTGTCATTGGTTAAAAGGGTTTCTACACACAAAACAAGCAGATAGGAAACAACTTTTAGGAAATTTGAGTCAACAGAAACATGAAGACAAATACCTATCTGTTGATTGACAGCTGTCAGTTGGTTAAACCAGTCAGAGACCACAGAAGTGGAGCAGGAGGGTGGGACCAGAGAGCTGAAACAGAGACACTGATTCAAGGGCAGGGAAATTGGTTTCATGTTTAGGAGACTGGGTCACGACTCAAGTTCTGATTCCAAGTAATATTCAGTTACCAACTAGCAGATCCTTCAGAAACGTTAATGAACATGATGTCTGTTATTCTTCCTCTAAAAGTCACAGTGCTGCACAGACTGCTCGGCCAATACTGACAAACTTTTAACAACTGGAAGACAGACGACAGAGGCTTTGTTTAAGGTACCAGATGTTGCTGATGATCTCCAAGCGTTTTTCTGCCAGTTCTTGTTGAGTTTGTTTCATCTTCTCAATAACCTGCTGAACTGAGACCAGTTCCTGATCCTGATCACTGCTGCAAAGACTCCTACAACACAAAAAAAATAAACATTTACCCGACTTGCATGAATACAGGGGATACCACTACATGACTGTGTGATTTCACCGACTACGATGTAAAACTTGAAACTTATAACTATGTGAACAAATATAAGCCAATTTTTAAGTAGTATAAGCATTTCTGAAACCTGGGGAAACTATCTTTGACCACTCTGAAACCTGTTTGAACCACTTTGAGCCAATCTAAAACCTATCTACATATGAACCAGTCTTACAGTTTTCAGTAGTTCAAACCAGTTCAGTCAAAAGCACTTCTGAACATATCCTTGCCTTGTTTAAACCCCTCCTCAAGATGTTTGATCCAGTTTTAATTATTGATACCTGCTTTGAACCACTTTGAACAGACTAAAATCTGTTTTTCTGAACCGGAGTATCATAAAGTTTTCCACCCACTTGTACTGGTCTATAATCTCTGTGGCTCTGCTACTCTTCCAGCGGCTCAGATAGTCCTCCCAGTGCAGGCGGAGGAGTGACTCCTGCTGCAGGTTCTCCTCTTGCAGGTGCAGCAGCAGACGAGCAACACTGCGACGGTTTGCCAGCAGAGACTGGTTCAACATCTGAGACAGAAACAAGGAATCAAAATATTAGGATTGGAAGTCAGAGATCAGAAGTAAAGACTGAATGAAAAGATGGACAACATGCCAGCTCTAAAAAAGCGAAGCTGAAAGGTCCTTACACACCGGGGCCGACGTGAATATAGAACACGAAATTACGAAATATTCTGAGGCAAATTTTGATGCGCCTGACTTTACACATCAAGCCCGATGCGATTTTGTGACTTTCCCTGGGGGAAAAGACACATACCGGGGAAGACTTTTCCAGGGGAAAGTCCCGCCTCCTTTGCCTCTGATTGGCTAGAAAAGCTGGAAACGTCATCACATGCTCAAGCCAAACGGTCAGCACTTACAGCCAATCAGAGGCGATAAGATAAGCACATGAAACTATGGTAACAACCGTTACCTTACGTTAGCACAGATGAAAGTTAAAACAAAGGCGTTTAGCAAACTGTTAAAGCACACAAAACATCGTCATATGAGAGATACGACACTATGACTCTCCACAGGTTGTCCTTCAGGTCGTTATTTATGTAATGTTTGTGTGTTTTATCATAAAGCACTCTTTTTTTTTCAGACACGTAAACAATCAGCCGGTCATCCATATTGGATACACTGGTGAATCAGACGTCGCAACAATACACTATCTGATTGGTCAGAAGTGGACACACAGTATGGGAAACTTAAAAAAAATTAAACTATGATCCGAAAAAATAAATGCTGCAATATCACAGAACAGGAAATGTTGCCAATGTGAACGCTTGTATTGGCAGGACACAGGTTCGAAAAAAAATATTGACGTCCAAAATAATCGCACAACAAAAACGGTCCCGGTGTGAAAGGACCTGAACAGTGGATCTTTCCCTGCAGGCTGGCTTAGGGTTAGGCCATGAGGGGCATGAGTGCCATAAAATCAAAATGCATGTTAAAGAACTTTTTATTTAGCTACATTTCTGTCATTGTTGTAATGTCTTGTGCTGATTCTGAGGTTCAGTGTTCAGCAGTAATCTCTGTTGAGAAAAGGAGCTCTTGAGGAGGGGGTTGGAAATGATTAGCAGAAGGAATGGGACTACCAAAACAGATCTCCAGGAGCTGATCCTGACTATGCTGGCTCTACAACTGTGCGAGAAGTCAGCACCTTTCTCATGGAGTATTTTGGCATCAGAGTGGCAGAATGTCATCCATCTTTTCATACAGTTATTAATCACAGGTCAAATAAGGCTTTAAATTACAGCGGCCTCATTGTGGATTAGTCTGTGGACATCAGGTGGTGGCAGGAAGCTTATCCTCTCCAGCAGGGGGCAGTACTTCTTCAGCACAACTCTAATCTATAAGAAAAAAAAAGGTCAAGATGGGTTAACTTTTGGATATGTATTTCTAGTCTGTGGGTGTTTGTTTGTTTGTTTGTTTCAGGTCTACTTTTCTTAATAATAGTATCTTGTAGGTTTGGGTTTATTTATCTGTGACACAAAAATCAATTCAAATCCTGGTTTTACACATACTTACTAATCAATCTAGTGATAAATACTTCCATAATTACTTAGATGTAATCACAACATTTTTCATATGGTTGCCATATGACAGAAAAGTTGGCTCTTACTTTTAGATTCCAATGAAAAGTCATCTTGTGTTATTATTTTGTTACCAACACAGATTAAATAGAATTTATAGGAAAATTTTCAAGATAAAACCCTAAATCAGGATCTTGATATTAGCTCATGAAGAATGGAAGCAAACATGCACTGCATTTAATTTTAGTAAATATAGATAAACACCACCTGCCTTTTTAAGAAATTAGAAAACATTTGATTAATTTTTACTTAAATATTAGTACTTAGTCTGACCTGGTCGGTTCGTTTGTTCTCAGCTTCAGTCAGTTTCTGATTCAGCTCTTTGATTCTGGTCTTCTTTTTCTTCACCACCTCCTCTACCTCCTCCCAAAGACCACACACATCCTGGACATATATTAAAACACACAAACAAGGAATCACATCTTTAGACAGACTTTAAAAAAGACTTTGAGTCGCAACTTTATTTTTAGTTACATAAAACATGTACCTGCAGAGTGATGTCTTCCAGGTGTTCTGGTTGCTTCATTCTCTCCTTCAGAGTGCTCAAGCAGAGGTCCAGGTCCTGCAGAGAGGATTGTAGCTCCACACTGACAGTCCTCACCTGAGTCTCATATACCTGAAACACACATTTTGTTGATTAGTTCAGGTAAACAGCAACATAGTTTCTATGCCAGTCCAGGTGCATGATCTCAGGCGTTTGTTACCGCAGTTCAGGTATATTCTACCTGAGTGATTTCTGTCAGCTCTTTGTCTAGCTGTGTCAGAGTTTCTTTATGTCTTTTGCTCTTTTTCTCTGCTAGTCGTTCAACAAGGTTAGAACTTGGACTTGCACCCACTGGAAAAGAGAGAGGTGAACAAAGAAAGATGAGGACTGAATTTAAACAAAACCCAACCATAAGTGAACTAATCAGTTCTACTTTTCTATTTTTTATATTTCATAAATCCACCAGCTGGATATTTGCAGTGTATCCCTTTTTCTATAATGAATAAAACTACAAACTTACTGTTTATTCATATGTATACATAAACTATGTGGGCTCTTGTCTGAATTTTAAGATACTAACCAACAGAGTCAGGGAGTCTGCAAACGTCATCCACTTCATCAGCACCATCCACCTGCTGCTCCCAGCTGGAAAAAGGACACAACAGCCTAACAGAGAGACAGGTGAGTGGGTGAGCAAGAAACAGAGAAAGAGAAAGCAAAGACAAACAGGCGAGTGACAGAGACAGACAAAAACAAACAAATAGAAACAGCGACTGCATTCAGGCCGTGTTAGCAGCTGGACTCTTCCACCACAGAATCATGCTGTTGTACACATACAGAATGTAATTTGGTATAGACTTATTGATATGTGCTAGGTCTTTCTTGAAAATAGCATTGTCTGAAAGGCAGCATATGATGCTCCAAAACCTGTGTATGTTGTTTAACAGTAAAGATGCTACCCCTGTTGCTGGCACTTGTACATCCCTGTACTATAGTGGATGCTGGAGAGACTGGGAAGTCCCTCTCTCTCTCTTTGAGTGGAGAACAATAGAATCCATAAAAGCCAAAATTGTCCATTTTTTGCTAGTATGTTGTTTTGTTTTGTTTTTTACTTTGCCTCTGTTTGTCTTAAATGAATTCAGACCCAGATAAGAGGCAAGCATTTCTAGGTCATGTTGACAGATGCTTTCCTTTTAGATGTGTTGCTTTCACAGACATTTAAGGATGCATGATAACCGTGTGTTGTTCATAGATATTGACTTTTGGAAGTAGTTTTGAGCCCATATGGTGTTTTCCACTTCATAGTCATGTCTGTTTTTAATTCAGTGCTTCCTGAAGCCCAGGGAGTCGCAATCAGCCTTTTCAGCCTTGTTCCTTTTGTCAGGAGATTTCTCCAGATTCTCTGAATCTTTTCATGATATTATTATAACACGTGGTTGGCATCACTGGCATAAACATAATTTCCTAAGATAAAAATTTTAAATTCCATTTTTTTTAATTTGTGCCATTTTCTATATAGGATTGAATGATTTGCAAACCACAAAAATCTGCTCTATTAGCATTTCCTACAGAATCCCAGCTTGTTTGGATTTGGGGTTGTGCTTTATTATATTTTGCAGAGGTCAGGTGTCTCTGATATCTGTCCCTCTGTCTGTGTTTGATCTTCTGTCTACCTGCTGGTTGCACTGAAGTGAGTGTTGCTGTCCTCAGCAGACAGACAGTCTGTCCTTGTGTCTCTCCGTCCTGCCAGCAAAGACCTGGACAGCTGAGCCTAAACGAAACACACAAACTCCATAATATTCATCACAACACAAGCAATGACTGTAGACTACAACACCTGTTATTCACATTAACTTATCCCTTAACACTTTATCATCAAGGTGAACAAGTTTGTCTGGTCAGAGACTGAAGACTTTAGTTAAATGAAAATAGACTGTTAAAGGAATAAACAGGCACTTAAGTGGCTCTGACTCACCTGAGCTTCAAAAAGCTGGCGGTACACCTTCCCACTCGGAACAGCTCTGCTCTCACACATGCTAACACAAGCTAGCCTGCAACTGAAGAGGGTTTGGATCTGCAGGTAGATAAAGATAGACCCTACGTTGGGGAGCCGATGAATTAAGTTGAATCTGACCTCTTTTCTCCTGTGTTTTTCTTTCTAATTTACTTTGAAATTAACAACACAGATTTCAATCGTCCGTTAATAGCCTCTCTGTGTCTATATTACACTCGACTGAGCGTCTGTTGGTCTCCATGACAACAAGCGCTCCGGAAATTCTTCGACGTTCGTGGTGAACATCCTGAATACTGAGGAGTTTGGTTTTATTGTTTGTTGCTTTAATTCTCCGATATCCAATAAAATCTCTTCCACCCTCTTTGAATATATAAAGAAACAAACAAACTTCTAAAAAACTTTTTAAATTTACTTGAGGGAGAAAGTCCTATGCATGTTTTATATGGCCCGTTATAATGTAGTTCAGTGAAGCTCAAAAATAGCCTACTTGTTTCTCTGAATTTAATCTAATCTTTTCTAATAATAGCAGGGCTCTCAAGTTTTGAATTAAGCTAAGAGTGAGATTACCTTGGGATATGAGGGCCACATTAAGAAAAAAAACGTTTTTAAATCTTAGGAGAATAAAGTTATTATTGAGGAGAATAAAGTCATTAATATATAAGAATAAAGTCGTAAAGTTACCTGTTGTGCAGGAGAGTTGTTAAAATCAGCACTGTGAAGCATTTAGATGAATTGTACTTTAGTATAGGTTTCACAAACATGGAAATACTTAATCCTTTGGTACATGAGCAATACACTGTCATCATGACAGTCCACACTGCACCAGGTGTGTTAGTACCTGATTGGCTTAAGTGAAGTCAGGTTTGGGAAGGTGATACAAGTCCTTGAGCTCCAGTGCAGAGTGCTAAATCATTGTCTTATTCTCTGTTTTAGTGACAGATTCTCTCTGTGCTCCTCAGAGTTCCGACCACAGACTGTATATACCATGGACAACTTGGTTCTGCCTTCTGCCAGTATACAGATTTAAAGCTGAAAAGCTCTCGGTAATTGTGCGTTTTTCTCCACGTCCTGAAACCAACATTGCACAGTAGTGTTGTATGCATTCTGCGGGATAGTCACCGAGAGTCGCTGTGATGATGCTCAACTCAAACAGCACATCCCCCGGGTGAGCTATGCAATCTCCGTACGCCCACAGGCTGTATCAAGTGTCAATCATAGGAAACATGAACCCCCTAATAACTTTTAAAAATAGAGCTGTACAGAAAAAAGAGGACTTGAGCACAAAACAGTCTTACAGTAACTACATGTCAACATCGCAAGCAAGGGGAAAAAATCTGTTCTGTGTGATTAATTTCTAAAATTTGTCCTCAGCCTCTTAAGGATGGCTTACAGGGATTTATGACCTATACTGCAGCCCGTCACCAGAGGGTGCTGTTCTCAGAGTGGCTTCACCCAGCGAGAAGACGGACACTTTCTGTTTTGATTTCCACTCCCCGTCGGGGAATCAAACCCCGGTCTCCCGCCTAACAGGCGGGGATACTCACCACTATACTAACGAGGAGAATGTGTTCTGACATGATATGATATAATATGGAACAATATGATGCAATATGGTACTATATGACATAATATGATATGATATGATATGGTACAATACCATACTATACGATACGATGCAATACGATACAATACGATACAATACGATGCAATACGATACAATACGATACAATACGATACAATACTATATGATATGATACTATACAATATGATATGATATTATACTACACAATAGGATACAATACGATACAAATATGGTATTGCGACAGTGTTTAGCTAACCATATGTAATTGACATCCTGAAAAGCCTTATTAATGGCCTTTGACAGCGACAAATGTATCCCATGCCCGCTTAGAAAAACCAAATCAGAGAGCAGACAGAATGTAAAACTCAATAATGAACACTTGTATTGCTTTGCGTCACTTTGATGAGTGTAATGCGCAATAATTGCAAAAACCTTCCCTGAAGAGATGTGCTACTGTCCATGCTAAAGTTATGGCAGATCCTTAACATCTGTAACTTATCTCACATAGTTCTGTATCTGAATCTGTTTTTACACAATGCCAAGTGGAGTTTCGTGTTTGTTCCAGACAAATAAATAGCTTTGTTTGAAATGACGGTTAGCACTTCCTGTGATGTAAGAGAGGGGGAATTGCTGGATTCCAATGCTGGAAATTGGCATGAGACCAACTCACCACCAAGTGGTGATCAGTAAACAGCTCCGCCCCTCTCTTTACCGTAGTGCCCAAAAAATTAGATTGATAAGTAAGGTGTAAGGGGGTGAGTAAAACTCAGTATATAGTAAATCTACTACCATCATCAAAGGTCTATTTGAGCCACCCTTAGTCTGATCCCTCTCCCAGGACCTGTTTGCCTTGGTTGACCCTACCAGAGGCATAAAGCACCCAACAACTTAGCTCCTGGGATAACTGGGACACGCAAACCCCTCCACCACACTAAGGTGGTGGCTCGAGGAGGGGAAAAATTTGTGATTATGTTTTTATATTTTGATTTTTTTTTTGTATAAAAATATATATTATTTTTTTAAATATATATATAAATATATATTTTTTTATTTTTTTATTTTTTTATTTAGAAATATATTTTTATTTTTTTTCAATGTATATTCTTTATACATTTAAAAAAATACATATTTGCTTCTTTTTTTTGCAGCTTTTTAAATTTATTTTTTGTTTTTGGAAGGTAGGGAATGAAGAGGGAGGAAGAGGAGCTAATGTTCCTCGACATCAGCTGAGCAACCAGCAACCTCCTCCACCCGGGTGTCTCTGTTTTTCTTCTTTCCTAAGGTCCAGAGACCTTTTTTGACTCTCTTTCTCCCCCTGTCTTGGTTTTTGCTTTTCTCCTCTTCTTGTTCTCTTTGCTCTTCTTCTTGTTCTCTTTCCTCCTCTTTTTCTCTTTCTCTCAGCTGCCTTAATTCCTTCTTCTTTTCTTTAAGTTGTTTTCGGAGGGTTTTCTCCTCCTCTGTCTCCTTTTGAAAGACTCTGGACAGGAAGCGTCTTTTCTTTAGAGAGACAAGATGAGTCAGCTCCCTCTTCTCCTCCTCTAACTCTTGAATTCTGTCTGTCAGAGTCTTTTCCTTCTCAATCACTCTTTCTTTTGCCGTCTTGGCCTCTTCAACTCTGAAGGTCAGACTTTCCTCCTTTTCCAGCAGATCTTTGTTCATTTTCTCCAGCTCACTGACTCTGGTCTTCAGGATCTGGTTCTCCTCCTCCAGGTCTTTCCTTTTTTTCTTCTGGAGGGTCTCGTTGTTTTGCAGCTGAGTTGTGGTCTCAATGAGTCTTTGAGTGAGACCCTCTTTCTCCCTCCTCAGCTCCATGATGTGGTTGTCCCTCTGCTCAAGCTGCTGTTTTGTGAGCTTTAGCATTGTTTCATTGTTCTTGCTCAGAGAAACAGCCTTCAGGTTCTCCTGAGACGCCTGAAAAAGCTGTTCTTGGAGCTCATGAGCTTTCTGTCTCTCCTCCTTAAGTTGAGCCCACATCTTCTCTTCCTGCTCCTTCTGCAGGCGCTGGATAAGCTCCACCTGCTCGTCTCTTAATTTGAGGGTGCTGTTGAGGCGTTGGATCTCAGCCTCCAGCCTTTCAATAGTCTGGACATTATTCTGGAGTTCTTCCTTGAATCCACTTTCTCTGACGTCAATGAGTCCCTCCAGACGGTTCACTTTGTACTTCCCGTTGTGAATTCTGTAGCCCAGCTTTACCCTCTCATTCATCCATGCCTCCTGTTCACCCCTTTGCTCGTTTCTAAGATTTCTAATCTCAGCACGAGCACTGGCAAGCTCCTGTTGAAGTGGTGCCATGGGCCGGTAGCCCAGTGGTCCCACAGATTCAGGTGTGAATGCTCTGGACATGGTTCTTCTGATTAGTCTTCAGTCGACTGCTCTTAACTGTTGATCGTCTCTGTAGTAGCTCCTACGTGACTTAACTGTTGATTGTCTCTGTAGTATAGTAGCTCCTACGTGACTTAACTGTTGATCGTCTCTGTAGTATAGTAGCTCCTACGTGACTTAACTGTTGATCGTCTCTGTAGTAGCTCCTACGTGACTCTTGCCAACAAGTGTGTGGGTTCTGAGTTGATCTGCGTTTGAAGATCAAAGGATCAGAGCTAGAACGTGATGTCATCGTGTGACATCATATTCATGTGATGTCATCGTGTGACATCACATTCTACATGTCATTGTGATGTCACACCCCCTCAGTGGGGAATTCCCCCAGAAGCACCTGCCTTCTCAGGGGAATTCCCCTTTCTCCATCTTGCAGAAACTGGTGCATATGAGAGCCAGGGTGTGGACTGCATGATCACCATCTGGTGTGAAAGGCAGTTTACTGTGGTCATTCTTTGAGTTGTAGGAGGAAATCAGTCCAGAGCAGCACCAGGTGTGTTAGTACCTGATTGGCTTAAGTGAAGTCAGGTTTGGGAAGGTGATACAAGTCCTTGAGCTCCAGTGCAGAGTGCTGAATCATTGTCTTATTCTCTGTTTTAGTGACAGATTCTCTCTGTGCTCCTCAGAGTTCCGACCACAGACTGTATATACCATGGACAACTTGGTTCTGCCTTCTGCCAGTATACAGATTTAAAGCTGAAAAGCTCTCGGTAATTGTGCGTTTTTCTCCACGTCCTGAAACCAACATTGCACAGTAGTGTTGTATGCATTCTGCGGGATAGTCACCGAGAGTCGCTGTGATGACGCTCAACTCAAACAGCACATCCCCCGGGTGAGCTATGCAATCTCCGTACGCCCACAGGCTGTATCAAGTGTCAATCATAGAAAACATGAACCCCCTAATAACTTTTAAAAATAGAGCTGTACAGAAAAAAGAGGACTTGAGCACAAAACAGTCTTACAGTAACTACATGTCAACATCGCAAGCAAGGGGAAAAAATCTGTTCTGTGTGATTAATTTCTAAAATTTGTCCTCAGCCTCTTAAGGATGGCTGACAGGGATTTATGACCTATACTGCAGCCCATCACCAGAGGGTGCTGTTCTCAGAGTGGCTTCACCCAGCGAGAAGACGGACACTTTCTGTTTTGATTTCCACTCCCCGTCGGGGAATCGAACCCCGGTCTCCCGCCTAACAGGCGGGGATACTCACCACTATACTAACGAGGAGAATGTGTTCGGACATGATATGATATAATATGGAACAATATGATGCAATATGGTACTATATGACATAATATGATATGATATGATATGGTACAATACCATACTATACGATACGATGCAATACGCTACAATACGATACAATACGATGCAATACGATACAATACGATACAATACGATACAATACTATATGATATGATACTATACAATATGATATGATATTATACTACACAATAGGATACAATACGATACAAATATGGTATTGCGACAGTGTTTAGCTAACCATATGTAATTGACATCCTGAAAAGCCTTATTAATGGCCTTTGACAGCGACAAATGTATCCCATGCCCGCTTAGAAAAACCAAATCAGAGAGCAGACAGAATGTAAAACTCAATAATGAACACTTGTATTGCTTTGCGTCACTTTGATGAGTGTAATGCGCAATAATTGCAAAAACCTTCCCTGAAGAGATGTGCTACTGTCCATGCTAAAGTTATGGCAGATCCTTAACATCTGTAACTTATCTCACATAGTTCTGTATCTGAATCTGTTTTTACACAATGCCAAGTGGAGTTTCGTGTTTGTTCCAGACAAATAAATAGCTTTGTTTGAAATGACGGTTAGCACTTCCTGTGATGTAAGAGAGGGGGAATTGCTGGATTCCAATGCTGGAAATTGGCATGAGACCAACTCACCACCAAGTGGTGATCAGTAAACAGCTCCGCCCCTCTCTTTACCGTAGTGCCCAAAAAATTAGATTGATAAGTAAGGTGTAAGGGGGTGAGTAAAACTCAGTATATAGTAAATCTACTACCATCATCAAAGGTCTATTTGAGCCACCCTTAGTCTGATCCCTCTCCCAGGACCTGTTTGCCTTGGTTGACCCTACCAGAGGCATAAAGCACCCAACAACTTAGCTCCTGGGATAACTGGGACACGCAAACCCCTCCACCACACTAAGGTGGTGGCTCGAGGAGGGGAAAAATTTGTGATTATGTTTTTATATTTTGATTTTTTTTTTGTATAAAAATATATATTATTTTTTTAAATATATATGTAAATATATATTTTTTTATTTATTTATTTATTTTATTTAGAAATATATTTTTATTTTTTTTCAATGTATATTCTTTATACATTTAAAAAAATACATATTTGCTTCTTTTTTTTTGCAGCTTTTTAAATTTATTTTTTGTTTTTGGAAGGTAGGGAATGAAGAGGGAGGAAGAGGAGCTAATGTTCCTCGACATCAGCTGAGCAACCAGCAACCTCCTCCACCCGGGTGTCTCTGTTTTTCTTCTTTCCTAAGGTCCAGAGACCTTTTTTGACTCTCTTTCTCCCCCTGTCTTGGTTTTTGCTTTTCTCCTCTTCTTGTTCTCTTTGCTCTTCTTCTTGTTCTCTTTCCTCCTCTTTTTCTCTTTCTCTCAGCTGCCTTAATTCCTTCTTCTTTTCTTTAAGTTGTTTTCGGAGGGTTTTCTCCTCCTCTGTCTCCTTTTGAAAGACTCTGGACAGGAAGCGTCTTTTCTTTAGAGAGACAAGATGAGTCAGCTCCCTCTTCTCCTCCTCTAACTCTTGAATTCTGTCTGTCAGAGTCTTTTCCTTCTCAATTACTCTTTCTTTTGCTGTCTTGGCCTCTTCAAGTCTGAAGGTCAGACTTTCCTCCTTTTCCAGCAGATCTTTGTTCATTTTCTCCAGCTCACTGACTCTGGTCTTCAGGTTATGGTTCTCCTCCTCCAGGTCTTTCCTTTTTTTCTTCTGGAGGGTCTCGTTTTGCAGCTGAGTTGTGGTCTCAATGAGTCTTTGAGTGAGACCCTCTTTCTCCCTCCTCAGCTCCATGATGTGGTTGTCCCTCTGCTCAAGCTGCTGTTTTGTGAGCTTTAGCATTGTTTCATTGTTCTTGCTCAGAGAAACAGCCTTCAGGTTCTCCTGAGACGCCTGAAAAAGCTGTTCTTGGAGCTCATGAGCTTTCTGTCTCTCCTCCTTAAGTTGAGCCCACATCTTCTCTTCCTGCTCCTTCTGCAGGCGCTGGATAAGCTCCACCTGCTCGTCTCTTAATTTGAGGGTGCTGTTGAGGCGTTGGATCTCAGCCTCCAGCCTTTCAATAGTCTGGACATTATTCTGGAGTTCTTCCTTGAATCCACTTTCTCTGACGTCAATGAGTCCCTCCAGACGGTTCACTTTGTACTTCCCGTTGTGAATTCTGTAGCCCAGCTTTACCCTCTCATTCATCCATGCCTCCTGTTCACCCCTTTGCTCGTTTCTAAGATTTCTAATCTCAGCACGAGCACTGGCAAGCTCCTGTTGAAGTGGTGCCATGGGCCGGTAGCCCAGTGGTCCCACAGATTCAGGTGTGAATGCTCTGGACATGGTTCTTCTGATTAGTCTTCAGTCGACTGCTCTTAACTGTTGATCGTCTCTGTAGTAGCTCCTACGTGACTTAACTGTTGATCGTCTCTGTAGTATAGTAGCTCCTACGTGACTTAACTGTTGATCGTCTCTGTAGTAGCTCCTACGTGACTTAACTGTTGATCGTCTCTGTAGAAGCTCCTACGTGAGTCTTGCCAACAAGTGTGTGGGTTCTGAGTTGATCTGCATTTGAAGATCAAAGGATCAGAGCTAGAACGTGATGTCATCGTGTGACATCACATTCTACATGTCATTGTGATGTCACACCCCCTCAGTGGGGAATTCCCCCAGAAGCACCTGCCTTCTCAGGGGAATTCCCCTTTCTCCATCTTGCAGAAACTGGTGCATATGAGAGCCAGGGTGTGGACTGCATGATCACCATCTGGTGTGAAAGGCAGTTTACTGTGGTCATTCTTTGAGTTGTAGGAGGAAATCAGTCCAGAGCAGCACCAGGTGTGTTAGTACCTGATTGGCTTAAGTGAAGTCAGGTTTGGGAAAGTGATATAAGTCCTTGAGCTCCAGTGCAGAGTGCTGAATCATTGTCTTATTCTCTGTTTTAGTGACAGATTCTCTCTGTGCTCCTCAGAGTTCTGACCACAGACTGTATCTACCATGGACAACTTGGTTTTGCCTTCTGCCAGTATACAGATTTAAAGCTGAAAAGCTCACGGTAATTGTGCGTTTTTCTCCACGTCCTGAAACCAACATTGCACAGTAGTGTTGTATGCATTCTGCGGGATAGTCACTGAGAGTCGCTGTGATGATGCTCAACTCAAACAGCACATCCCCCGGGTGAGCTATGCAATCTCCGTACGCCCACAGGCTGTGTCAAGTGTCAATCATAGGAAACATGAACCCCCTAATAAGAGCCCTGTAATAGTTATCTAATACTTAGATGGAATTGACAATGAATTCTACAAACTTAAACTTTGTGGGTGGGAAACACCTTTGTATTCTGACAGAAAGTAGGCCTATGTCAATAAATCACATGACACATCGAGTTTTGTTTATTTTATTGTTGCAGAAAACAGATAAGCATTTTATCAGTGAGATAAGTCAAATGTGCAAAATGGCGGTTAATTTGAGTGTTCTTAATTTGAAGAATTCCTAATAATTTTAAGAACTTTATAAATAAGGTATAAAACACTTCATCAGGACAGTTTTAGAAACCTACTGCCCTGAACACACCATCACTAGATCCTTCAACACAGACAGCTATACATAGCCTATATAGGGGAGAGTGGGGTAAGATGAGCCCTTTTTCATATTTCGGATCACTACATCAAGAAAATCATAGTTTTGTCTCTAACTAGTGTATTTGCATATATTTCAAGATGTTGTGCATCCCTGCAAACCAACAGAATGAGTGTAAACATAACTATCTTGATAATATAGCATGCAAGAGACACCCCACAACACACACACACACATCACTGCTCACCCCAGCCCTCCCTCACCTTCTCTCTCCCTAAATAAAAGTCACTTCTTCACATTCATGTGTATTTTTATCTATTATACGCTATTCAACTGGTACAACAATTCTTTTTATCATTATTGCATATAACTGTTAAAAAGCTGTTTTGTAAAAAGCCATTTCAACATGAGAATGCCTTTAAGTGATTCAGAACATTCACAGCTGTATTTTTGATAAGAAAAAGTAACACGTTTCAACAATCTGAACTGAAACTCTGATCCTCTCATCAGACTCCTTTACTTTCTCAGTTGAACCACTGGCTCAACTTACCCCAGAACTACTATGATGACTTTATTAGTCCTCTAAGCTAAAATGGTGGACTTATATGCTAGGTTTTTGACCTTATTTTGTAGCTCATAGATACCAAAATTGATGTATAAAACAAATTTAAATTGATCTTTTTTGGTCTGAACACAATTCTAATGAAACGTATGACAGACTAAATTCACTTTCAAGAGTGAAAAATGTTTTTTTGGAAATAAATGTCTAACCCCTTCACCCATGTGCTTCTTACCTTCACAGACTCCATGAATTGATGCCCATCTCCTAAATATTTGATCATATAATCAATTTCTTTAACCATTTCCAAGCAACAGGGAGTGGCTCAACTTACCCTTTGACTCAACTTACCCCACTCTCCCCTACCCTATTTTATTATCATTATTTTACAAATAAAATAATTCAGACATGTCAGAAAATCTGTATTGTTTTTTATCATGGTAAAACTTGGAGACACTGGTTTAAACTGAACACAACTGTGTTCAGTCAGAGTCGGTGATGTAACTGGCGCTGCTGTCGTCATGGTTGCTGAGCGTGAACTCCTTACAGTTGAGTTTTGACCTCAGGGCCCGCTTCCTGTTGTGATAAAAATATGAACAGACTCGAAAGGATGTCTTGATGACTGCAGGAATATTTGAGATCAAAGTTAAATACACGTCATCTAACCTGCGGTAAAAGAAGTTTGGCCGAATCATGGAGGTTGGGGAAACGTCTGTCTCCTCCTCCTGTTGACGTACACAGAGTTAGAATTTAGTCTAAAGGGAGAGAGATGTCAGTAGCTTTATGCTACTGCTCCACAACAGCAGCAACAAGGAAATTAGAGACCACAAAGTTACCAGTGATGCAGCACTACAGGGCTTCTCTTCAGGTTGCGTGGCCCCTCCTGGAGGAGAGCTATACTGTTGAAGCACTGCAGCCTCCTCATTTTCTCCTGAGGTACCACTGCGGACCTCCTCACTGCTTCCTGAGTAAAACAAGTCACATGGTCAAAACCAAAAAAGCCACACAAGCTGACTGATAATAATGTGCAGCTCACTATGACTCTCACCTTTTGCCACATTTTCTGGTTGTTCCTCCTCGCTGCTCACACTCCTCTCACTCTAAAACAGAAAGCCTTCATCATGACACCATTATTACATCCTCACACTACATTATCAATATCCTTCGCCATCTGATTCTGATACCTGGTTAGTGTTGCAGGTGAGTCTGCGGAGGCGTGTCCTCAGCTGTAGCTCCTCCCCCTGTGTCCTCAGAAGACTAAGCTCCAGTTTATCAGTTTGCTCAGTAAGCTGTCGGACCTGCTCTCTGTACTGATCCTTCTCCTGAAGGAGGAGACGCGCCTCCTCCTGGTGCTCCGCCCGTGAAGACAGAGCCTGGAACACAAGTCATTAACAGGTGAAGGAGTGAAATAAAAAAAATGTGACAGGCAAATACATAAAGATTCCTCACCTTGTCTCTCTCTTTGATCACCTCTTCCAACTGCCTGAGGGTTTGTTTGTTTTGCTGGCGGTACATCCGGGCATCTCCCTTCAGCTGAGCGCACAGCAGCTCCAGCTCCTCCTTCTCCTCCAGGCGCTGCAGCCAAAGAAACTCAGATTCACTACACTGACCAGTTCATCTGATCTTTGACATATGAGGGGTTTGATCGAATTAATCAGTGCTGTATTCCACAGTTGGCCTGATTGTTGAATAGATTTAATCTGTCTCATAGTTAAGTCAGAACTGGGCTCAAATCACACACTGCTTTTGATATCAGCAGCCGTTAAGTAAAAGACATTATTGGGACAAAATTCATTACCTTTCACTGCCCAAAGTTTACCCCAGACATGCAAAAGTAATTTGGTCCTGTATTTCATTTTGCTATAAACTCCTTTGCCCCCTCCTCCTTACCCTGGCACTCTGCTCCTCTGCTTTGTGGAGAGCTTTTCTCAGCTTAAACACTGTGTTGATAAGGTTAATCGAAGGAAGAGCTGGACTCTTCTGTGGCATCTGCTGCTGTGTCTCCTTTTGCTTCTCCCTTATCACTTCGTGCTTCTCCTCTTTTTTCTCTTCGGGCTTCTCCTCTTTTAGCTCCTCAAGTGGGTTTGGGTTGAAGAAGGTCTCTGGGGGTAGAGCTAGACTTCTGCTCTGAAAGTGTCCATTATAACATGTCAGTCAGTTAGTTTCAACAGCCAACTTAAGATCCAACACCCTAGGAAAGTAACCCTATTAAATGGCATGAAGGTAATAACTGTTTTAATTTTTTTTTCTGCAGAAGGCAAGATGTCCATGCTTACTACAAAACTCTTACAAGACAAAGTTTAGTATGTGCACTTATTAATTGCTTGAAATGTTGATGTTAATGTATTTTCTGATACGTAATGGGGGGTTCTTTAAGAAAATTATTTAACTAAGGCATGAAGAGCAAGGCATGCAGTGATGCCATAATCTGTGTTGATTGAGTGAGCAGGAGAACCTGAGGAAAAAGTTTGAGACTGGAGTCATGGAGAGGGCAGATGATTCAATGCAGAGAGAAAACTCAGTCAAATCATGTTGTTCAAGTAAGATGTTTGCGGGAGAAGCTGAGAGTTAAAGAGCTTGGACCTGCCATCCATGTTAAACAGTATTCCTGCCACAGAGGGAGGAATTACTTGATTATTTTCAAAGCTTGGAGAGAGCTAAGAAAACTTGGATAATGTTATATAGTGATGCCACAGTTTTATTTTGCTTCACTTGCTTCCCTTTAAAATACCAAGAACAGTCCCGGGGTTCACATGGAAAATACTCACTCATTTCATCCAGTTGGGTCCATCCGAAAACTAATGCTCATGAGAGCTAAAGCATGTGTATTCCCATAGTCCATGCATACATCAAAACTAGAAACACTATACCTACTGAGCTTGAGTTCTATAGTGGTAGTTAGTGGGATAGTGAAAACAGATTGCACAGTAAAACTCTTTACAGAAAGTGCACATTGTGGACTTGTTTTTACAGTGGAGGTTCTCATGTAAGAACTATGGTATCTTATTGTCTGATACCATAGATCCACTACATCCATTTCTAATGTGAAGTTTGTGAAAAAGAAAAGAGACAACATCAGTGTGGTGTAGATCATTGGGAGGCAGTGGTGTAACGTTAAAACTGAAAGTAATCTCTACCTCCTGCAGTGGTCTCATTGTTCGTCTTCTCAGCAGTCGAGTCTGACTCTCAGCTCGCAGCACCGTGTGTTTCAGACGCTCCACCTAACATACAGAGGTCAAAGATTAGAGGTCATGTACACATGCAGCTATAATTTAGGGTCAAGTTGTCTCCGGCTGACCTCTATCTGTAGGTCTCTGTTGGCCAACAGGGCATTGCTCCTCTCCTGACTTAGGGAGTTGATGTCAGCCATGAGACTGTAATTGTGATCTCTGAGCTGTTTCACCTCCTCGCTCAGTCGCTCTCGTTCCTCACGAATTTTGTGCAAGCGCTCCTTCAACTTCCTCGACTCTCGGTCCTTCAGTTGCTGCTGCTGAGACCACACCTCCTAGAAACACCAGAGAACAAAACAACAAAATACTAATGATTTTACCAGCAAAGAAACATCAGTGGCATCACAGAAATCTATGTCTACATTTTCATCAAAACTTTCCCAGGAACAAACCAACCTGTTCCTTGGCAACTGAGCAGGCTTGCTGGCGACGCCTCCTCTCATCCTGCAGTGCCCTCTGCAGACGACTTAGCTCTGACATCAAGAACTGGGTGAGACCAGATTCACCTGCAGTGTCTGAACCAAGAGACATATGTGTAGTTACAGTAGAGATAGAAATGTTAAATCTGCACAAACTGGGTTAAGTAGGTCAGACAGGTAAAAGTTAAGAGACAGACCGACAAGGATGCTGAAGGTCTTGTTTGGCTCCTTCCCCGTGATGCGGCTATAGAGCTGAGGATAGTCCAGCTCTAGACTCTCCAGGAAGGCAGTATAACCTTTGACCCCTGTTCTCTGCAGAATGTCTAGCAAGGCTCCTATTAAAGTTAGAAAATCAAAGCAAAAAGCAAAAGTCAGTCATGACAGTCAATCAAAAGTACTTCAAAAAAAAACATAATGGACATGCAAAGTGGAAGACAAAGAGCATGTGCTGTTTGACCAACACAAGTCCAAAGTGACTCAGGCAGAATTAGGGAAGGACTCAGCTGTGGAGAACATGGATGGTGAGGATCCGATCAGGATACTTGGGCATGGCACTTATTTGGTGAATGAAATATGACTTGTTTGTTTAAACTAGCTGTACCTATGACTACTTGGACATGACCTGAACCACTCTGAGATCCTGTTACTCCTTTTGGTTTCTTCCAGTCTTACCACAATGACTAGACATCCCTGAACACACTGAAGGGAGTGTACATATACTGTGTATATGTATATCATTTGGCCTGGGGACACCTCAAAATCGCTCTTGAGGGGCTGGAAAGCCTTGCTGGAGAGAAGGATGTTCTGGGCAACTTGACCAGAACCCAGCTAAGTGAGATTAAAAAAAAAAAAGGATTGATGATGGATCACAGCCTTGGTGACGAGATCAAGCTCCCTGTGACTTGATTGTAACCTGTATGGCTAAGGAGATGCTACGTGTTGAAGTGTTCTTCTTGGGTGTGACTATTGTGACTTCTGCATGGCTTTAAGGAACCAAACATGACAAAGGGATGACTTGCAGATGAAGCCCAGTGACATAGATTTGGCCCCAGTGACTAAACATGACACTTGGGGTATGAAGTTGCTGACATGGGGATGTGAAGTTGGGAGTGACTCCACTGATGACTTTAGCTCTTGCTGTATAATGTGAACCAGAAAAGTCTGCAAGCTCTTGTGTTATTAAAAAAAGCCTGAAGGTCGTTGACCATTTATCACATTATAAACCCATCAACTACTTTAGTGCAATCTCTGCAAAGGCCGACTCTTCTAACAGGGGATATTGGATGGATTTGGATATGACTGATGCTCTGGAGTGTTGTGGTTTCAGGACAAGCTCAGACTGTTAGTCTCAACGGTGTTGTGCACGTAACTTACCAACTTTTCTCCTCCTGACAGCAAGGGTTGGGTCGTTGAAGAGCTCCTCCTCATCCTCAGCACTTATCACCTGTTACAATACAAAATTCAGCAGATTAGCTCAAGGGAGAAGGTGCCGCTCAAAGTGAAGGCAGAGGCAACACACAAGAAGACAAACTTGAGCAGTTATTTCACATGGTGAAACATATGATCACCAGTTGAGGGTTGAGTCGAAGGTCATCACGCTTTTGACACAGATCATCTTCTGTTGGGAGGTGCATGAGTGAAAAGTAACTCTTGAAAAATATCTGCACCTGAATGTCTTAAATTTGTCTTGAAAATGTTAGGAGCTCATGAGAAAAAGGACTTCAGCTGGAGGTGAAGGTAACTTGGTGAATAACAAGACAAAGTGAAGCTGGAGGAGCAGTGACTGAGGATTAAGAGGATGACTGCTTACCTGACACTGTCGGAGGTATGGGGTGATTCTCGATGCATCAACATTTTTAATGAGGAGCATCCTGAAATCATCCAGCTTCAGCCAGCAGAGGTCATCCTCACACACTTCTTCCATTGTAAACTGGGTTACACAGTATAAAGATATACTTCAATTTCCTCGACTCTAAAGTATACATCAGTCTGCTATCCTCTAATTAGTACACTGTTTTCTGCTCCAAAGAGGAAATGGAACACCAAGCTTGTTATCAGCTCAAGTTCAAAAGCAATATCTGTGGTGTTACGGGGGTGTGACAGTTCCTGTGATGTGGGTGGTTTACTCAGTGGGGAAAAATATGTTCAGGTTTTGGAGGAAAATATGCTGCCATCTCCCCAAAAATGCAGCTTCTCAGGAAAGATCTTTAATATTTCAACAAGACAACTGAAGCTCTGAAATACTTTCCTGAAATAATCAACAGTCCCAGTGATGATAAAGTATTTGATAAAGATATCTGATCCCATTTTATGAAGTACACTCTTATAACACCAAGCACCACTTTAATATAATTGAAAACATTATTCTCAGAGTTATATCCAAACACATTTCTAACTGGTCCTCTAAAATCCTGTGATATTACTGCCTTGAAACAACACTCTCTAAATAGCCAACAATACTACACTAACATTTGAGAGAATAGCTTTGAGTATGCTACTCTATCAGTTTTTCACACTAAGAAAACACGTCATACACACCTGCACAGTCTCTCCACTCTCTGCTGCAGTCTGATGCACTTGTCGACTATACTTAAATCACCTTACATTCCTGTACATTATCCGTCTATCTCTCTCTAGTTTTTTCTTTTCACTTCGGTCTTTTCTGAGAAAGAGAACTTCACTCATAGTTCCTTTTTTTGGCCGCACCCACTCCGAGTGGCCCTGGGGCGCTTTATTTAATCTGATCTGAATCTTCCATTGTGGAGGATTTAGATGTTTCTCTTATATACAAGATAAATGTGTGTGAAGAAAGCAGCTTTAACCTGCTGCTGGTCCCCATAAATTGGTTTGTCAATCTCTATAACCCGTATAATACATCTATAGCTCCAAGCTCAGTGGTTTGGATTATTAGGCTTGACATAGAGAAAATCATCGATAGACATTACTTTAAAATGACACCTGTAGCAAATACTGACAAATAAGGTGAGAGGAGTTTATTTACCAGCTTCTTCTGACACCTTAAGTTACTATAAACATAAAAAAAATAAGTAACCCCTCCACTACCTCTAACATTTATGATTTGAATAGAATCACCCACTAAAGTGATCCCGCAACAATGAAATAACAATGAACCACAACATGCCAGCAATATTGAGGAATTCTGAAGTGCCATAATCAGGCAGCAGACACATTGCTTAATGTCTGCATTTGGAAAAAAAAAACTGGGATGCAAAATTCAGAATTTAAACACAATGTAGCAAACGCTAAATACTAAAGCATGTAATATTGTCATTGTGATCACCTGTGTGTATCAGTTATCTGTCTGGCTACCTCCTGAATTGAATGGACTACATTGACAAAATGAGGAAGGAGTGAAGGATTAGGGAAGTCAGCAGATTAAAGACAGGAAATATAAGTTTATGTAACAGGAAGTGGTGCCTGTGTAACAATGGTTTGTGATACCCTATTTTCCTGGAAGTTTAGTGAAAGCAAATAAAGAAAGGAGGAAAGCTAAAGGTTAAACTTTGAGAGCAAAATTTATTGAAAAAAAAAAGATTGTGAGTTTTACCCAAGCAGCAGCCTATGAGGTAGAAACATGAAGGTAAACAGTAGCATACTTTGACTGTTTGAGGGGTGGGGGATTGAAAGGGCACCTGCTGGATGCCATCATTGAAAGTTGAAAGTTTTATGCTCAAAACACAAATCTTGCTCAACAATGAAAATAGGGACTTTCTGCTGTATGAAAAGGGAGATGTCGACACGTGTTTTGTAATTGTCATGTGATTTTTGTATGTCTGCAAATCTTGACCAGGACACTTTAAACCTCAGTAAAGCTGTCCTGGTTAAATTGAACTTAAATAAATAAATGAATAAAATGAGTAAATGAGTAATAATACAATCAGGTACAATTACCAACAGGAGCACTCTATGACAGCTCATACCCTGGCAGGGCACTCAGAGGGCACTTTGTTGACATTTAACCAATTTAAAAGGCGTCCCGATGGGAGGACATCCAGAGGGTACTTGATTAGCTTTTTGTCCACTGGGCAGCTAGAGGGCCTAACCGCTCACATTTATTCATTATAGGGGCATCTAGTGGGTACTTTATTTACTCGCTGTCCTCTGGACAGACATCCAAATGGCACATGAAAGGCATCCAGAGGGCTCTTTGTCACATTTTATTCATTTGAAGCGCATGACAGAAAGCTCTTTGATTAAATTTCATTCACTGAAAGGGAAATCGTAAACACATTTAATTCACTGGATGGACACCCAGAGGGCCTATTGGAGACCTGATGTATTGTTTGGGTACCTAATTGGGCATTCGAAAAGTGATTCCCACTGTAAGGCACGAAAGAGGAAATCTATTATAACATATCTATTTCAAAGAAGTTCACAAAGGCACTTCAGCGTCATTTATTCAGACAGGAGGGGTAGGGCTGATCTGACTGACTGATGGGTGCGATGGAACTGTTAGCCATGAAACTAGATCATGGCCTCTGTTCCTGCTAGAAGGTTAAAAAGTTCATTTTATTCAGCATTTCTAACATAAAGACCACCATCTTTGAGTCATGGCAGCTCTTCAGGAACCAATGAGTGATGTCAAAGGGTGATGAAACTACACAGATGTTTTATGTAGTCTATGGTTTTACCTAGGAATGGGTAAAGGAAATGATAGCAGCCATAGTGAGATGAGCCAATGGTTTGTGTGCTACTGTTTGAACCATGAGTTCAACAGTGTTGCATGTACAGTCTCATTTCAGAATTTGTGAGTTCCTTTGTCATGTTAAAAAGTTACTCATATTTCAGCTGTAAATAACTCAATAGAAAATGTGACGCCAGTGGCAAGCTGATCCCACACATCATATCAAACAAATAAAAGCGCCTTTAAATATTCTGTGTCAGCCTTTGGTTTTCTTATTTGTTGCTGGTGGTAAAATCTAGTCAATGGGTGGTGATAATTGTGACAGAGACTAGACCTCTTCATCCTGCTCACCCTGTTATCCCTTCATAGTACATGATCTCTTATGAGGTCTTTGTTAAGGCTTCTTCAAAGAGAGACAGGGTAACGTATCAGCCTTCACAGGATTCCCACAGTGCAAGTGATCCTTGAAAAACCATGTACAAGCACACAGCTTAACTTTACAAACGTTTTTAGCTTTATTGCATTAGAATCTGTTCTTTTTATTTAAACATATATAAATGTATACAGGAACTGTCAGAGTAAAAAAAAATCATGGGAAACAAATGCTAACGCAGTAAAACTTAGTGCAAAGTCATGACTTAAACCTAGTTCTCAGGCACCTGAGCACACCGCAGATCTCGAAACTAATTCTTGAACTCTGTTAAAGACAGACTAATATTCATATCCCTGCTAGCCATTTTCTCAAAATTGGAAACATGATTAATTCATTTCCTTTCTTAAGAAAGCTTAATTCTTAATTTCTAGTTTAATTTCTGCAGCCAGTAAACTTGCTTTAATTTCCAACAGAGATGTATTGTTAAGGTGAGAATGAGCCACTGTTATTAGAACTTCTAGCTCAGACTCAGACTGAGCCAACTCTTTAAAGTGCAGCTTCAGAGGTCTTCAAACGCATGGCCTGACACTCTGAGATCTCAAAGTCAACTTGCAAGAGAACAGGCTTTCACAGCTGTGTTTCTTTAGATTTGTAAAGTGACTATTGTTGCTGTGCAGTGAGTAAAACTTTTTTGACCAGGTTTCTATATTCTTACGCTTTTCTGGGTCACAGGAGAGTAGCTGTAAAAATAAACTGCATGTTTGAAACTTATCACTGGACACTTTTCACTGGACAGTTGCGGTCTTGTCTCCTCCAGTTGGGTGTGTGTGTGTGAGTGAATTCATTCCTGAAAAGTGATTGGCTGGAGCTCCTGGCCCATCACACTTCAACAAAGACCTCTGGAAACAAAAGAAAACAAACAAAACAAAACTGATGAGGTATAGATTTAATCTACTTGTAAAAATAAGCAGTTAATCTGCATCATATGACTCTACGCAGGTTTAAATATAACCCTACTGCATCTGATATACAAACAAACTGTCACTGCCCTAACCTGAACACCTGAAATAGTCAAACCCACCTTTGCTCTGCATCGTCTTCCCCTTCCTTTGGTTTTCTGTAGCTCCTCCTCTGCATCTTTTCCCTTCTCCTTCTCCTTCTCCTTCTCCTCCTCCTCTTCCTGTTCCTCCTCCTCTCCCTCCTCCTCCTCATTAGATTGGGGGGCAACAGTCTTTACTGTGATTGGCTCCATGCTGGCCATGAGAGCAGGTACAGTGAAGCAGGACAGGAAGCGAGCCTTCAGTAGCTGATACCCTGCATTTTCTGAGAAACGCTCAGCTACCAGCTGACGCACCGCAGCAACAAGCTTCTCCTCCTCCTCCTCCTCCTCTTTCCTCTCCTGGGGTTCAGAGCTGACAAAGGGAGTACCTGGGGGACAAAACAAACACACCTAAGATCACAGCTGGACTCTTAATGGAGAACTGTAACCCTCCTGGTAAATTCAACTATAAGACAAGTTGGGCCAGTTCCAATGTATGAATATAACAAGAAACATCTTTCAGTCCTCTAGCGATCATTTTGCATGTTCACTTGTAAAGTAGAGGAAGGGCAACTGCAACAAAATACTTGCAGCTGGGCAGCACATATCTAGGATTAACAGTCATTTACAGTCATGCTTTCACCATTTCCAGGTTTCTATCATAATAAAATTCATTCATCCAGTTTCTATCACTTTTCCCGTTGGGGGTCACAGAGGGCTGGAGCCTATTCCAACATCTTGGGGCGAAGGCAGGGGACACCCTGGAAAGTCACCAGGTCATCACTTGGCTGAGATATAGAGACAAACAACCATCCACACTCACATTCACACCTACGGGCAACTTTAAAGTGACCAATCAACCTAACCCCACTTCTCCATGGTTTTGGGATGTGGGAGGTAACCGGAGTACCCAGAGTCAACCCACGCAGACACAGGGGGAACATGCAAACTCTACACAGAAACGCCCTGACTAGGATTCAAACCCAGGACCTTCTTGTTGAGAGGTGACAGTGCTAACCACTACACCACTGTGCCACTCTAATAATAAATTGATCCTACTAATGGTGGCTGCTATCTATAGGGTGTTTGTGGGCTGTTGGGGTCTTGTGCATCTCATAGTTAGACACATTTCTCCCACTCAACTGCATGCCTGTTAAAGATGTTAGAATACACTGGTCGTGCTGCTGCCTTATGCTGCTTCAAAACTGTATTTGAAAACATTATCAGGTAGATTAGTAAAAGTTATGTAGTCTTAGGGATGGGAATTGATAGGATTTTATCGATATCGATGCCATTATCGATACTGCTAATCGAGTCAATTCTTTAACGATTCCCTTATCAATGCCTTTCTTTGATTAGAAAAAAAGTGTAGACTATAGGTTTTCACCTTAACTCAAAATTTTATTGAGTCTCTGATAACAGAAAAAGATGTGTGCCACCTTTAATGAGAGTCTAAAAATAATCAAATGACAAACCATTTGTACAGCATTTACTTCGGTCGGTATCAACTCTGATAGAGTGGCGAGCATAAAATACATGTGACTCCTTATATTTGATGCTGTGCCCTGTTCACAGGTGTTTAAGCTTGTTTCTAGTGGTTCCACCTTTGCATGTTATCACAGCTCGACAAACGTTGCACTGTTGTCATCTCTCTTAGTAAAATGAAGCCATGCATTAGCTCGTTTCTGCCTACTTTTCGTCCGCCATGTTTTTTTCCCTGTCTCTGTTCTCGTTCGCATAGACCGGCACTCGTGAGACCCTTTTTGAAGGTACCTGGAGGAAAGGAATCATTAAGAGAAACCTTAAGATAAAATGTAAATGATGTCGATGGATTGAACCATTTGAAACTGGTTCTCAACAAGAGCCGGTTCTCAATTCCCATCCCTATGTGGTCTAGATCACTGAAAACAAGCTTTGAAAAGGTGGAGAGTATAATTGTGTTTCCTACATTGCAGCTACGGATGCATGGCTCTTTATTCTATGTCCAAGTTTTATAAAAATGTGGCGTAGGTTTATTGGGTTCAAGAAGTACATTAAATTCCTGTGGCATGAAACCAACAATCCTCTCAGTTGACTGCTATGAACAGAAAGAGTATCTGTTGGGTTTGCAGGTGTGTTACCTGGGTTTTTAGTCGCTGGTTGGAGATCAGAGGTAGAGTCTGGCAGATCTGAAGGCTGACTGGATGTCCCATCGCTGCTGCTGCTGTCAGGTTTGGATGTGTTCTGGGACGGTTTTGGTTGGGTTTCAGATGCTTCACCCAAAAGCTGCATAGACAGCTTGATCAGAGACTTCTTAGCACTGAGTAAACCGCTCAGCGTGGTCAAACTGCTCACAAAAGGAGGGAGGTAGGGGAGAGTCACTCCTGCTCCAGGTACAACCACCCCTCCTTTACCGCTGAGCCAGTCCTGCACCTCCACCCGGGACTCCAGGAACATCAGGGCGGGGTCAAACTGTAGGGTTTCGTTTCTGAGGGGAGGTGGTGCTGCTCTCTCTGTTGGAGGGACCTGTTTAGAGGGAGGGTGAAGGGGTAGAGAGGAGGAGTCAGGATTTGGGACAGGTTGAAGGATGAAGGTTGGGGGGTGCCTGGTGGGGCTTATGGAACCCCCTTGTCCCACAAAGGTGGGGCGAGGTGCAAGTCGGCGCAGAGACACGACCGGCTTGGATTTTGAGGTCTTCCTTTGTAGAGTCCCTGGTGCAATTGCCACTTTCATGCCTTGAAGACAGGTCATCCTATTGGGAGACATGACCAGCATGGACTGACCAGGGTGGACCAACATCTCTGGCACAGGAGTCACTGACTGCTTCTGTGTGAGTGCGTCCTTTTTCTGGCGAGGAGTACAGCGTCTCTTCTTACGAGGAGAAGTCGACTTCTTCACTTCAGCCTGAAAACAATCACAGGAGAGAGTGATCAGAAAAGACAGACAGAGGTATAACGTTGAAGTTAACAGTGTTCATTTTTGCAGCTATATTTCAAACTGGTTCTCAGTCTTTAGAGGAAAAGGATTTTTAGTTTTACTCTCATTTTCGTCTTTTTTTTTTTTACTCTGTGTCGTTTTAGTCATTAGATTCCAGTCGTTACTTTTAGGTTTCAAGGTTTCTAGAGTTATAAAATAGGAGAGAATAGACAGAGATCCTACCTCAACCTTTCTGGATTCTCTGACCCTCTGACTCGGCTTCCTGAGCCTCTTTCCATCCTGAGGCACACCTTCATCTTTCACGCCCACAGTGTCTTCTTTTGCCTCTCCTAAACTGTTCACAGCGCCCCCTTCCACGGTCACAGAGTCACTCTTCACCCTCTCCTCATCCCCCATCCTGCTCACACACTGCTCATCCTGACTGCTTGTGACGCTCTGTTTATCCTCCTCACTCACCCTTTTCCTCTTTTTGGGCGGGGCTTTGGAAGCTCTTTTGGGGGCGGGGCCAGATTTAGGGGCTTTTTGTGTCGGCTGTTTTGAGGAGCGGCCTCTTGTCTTTGACTTTGAGCTGGGATCGGGACATGACAAGCTGTAGCCGTGGTCAATCAAGGGCAGAGTAGTTGAAGAGGCAGTTTGCTGACCGGTCAGTGTGGGAGGAGGTGGAACTACACAGACGTTTCCAGTGGAGGACACCCTCCCATCAGAGCAAGCTAGTTGGATTTTCTCCGCAAGGACAAGAGGGGCCATTCGTGTTTTTGTTGGAGGTGAATAGATGACTACTGAGAGAGGAGGTCTTTGAGCTGTGATGGGGATGGTCAGCAAGGAAGGAGGAGTCTTAGGGACAACCTCAACGGGGATAGTACAGACCCCCTGAGGAGAGCCGCTAGTGTCTTTGGTTTTGGGTCGCTGCTTTGGGGAAGGAGCAGGTTTTTTCTTGGCTCCGGCCTAAAAAAGACAAAATTAAATAAAAATCAGACAATAACATCAACAAACACGTTTTTAATGCAAAGAGGCAAGACAAAGACGAACTTTGGCTGGTCGTAAAACATGAGCACATCTCCCTTATCGTGACTCCGTTTTAATCCCTGTGGATTTTAGGGTTGGTTTGGAGCAAGGCTGTCTAACAATTATTCTTTTAAATTCAGCATATTTTTAAGAGCATGCTTAAAAAAATCTATTAATTTGCACTTTTAGATTTTAAGTCCAATGTTAGACAATTTTATAATACAATGAAATGTACTTTATGGTCTTGACTTGAAGTTTCACTAACTCTTTTGATCGTCTGTTATTTGTCCCCTTTTAGCACTGAAAAGGATAAATAGCCGGAGACAAAATAAAAAGTTACTTATGAACCGGAACTGATCACAGTCAATGAGTTACTACTCCGATGGACCGCCTTTCTGCGTGCAACCGAGGCCCGTTGCAACAGAACACTCTTGCATATTATCTTCAGATTCTTCAGCTACAATATAAACAGGTTTTTGAGGGATTAAAGATGACCTTTAGGAGGTCATGCTCTAGAAAGCTCGAGTCAGCCCCCTTCCCAAAGGGTGAAAGGACTCAAAAGTGACTCCTCTTAAGAAAAGAGTTCTTACCTTCTCCTTTTTGATTTCGAGAACATCCTTTGCTTTCTGACTCGGTTTTCTAATCCTCCTCCTGCTTTTGATTGAACTGTCGCCCTCAACATCATCAGCTGTACATTTACCACCTGAACCATCACCTTCCTTGTTGATATCCACCCCATTCGGACTGCTGATAACTGCCTCTTGAATCTTCACAGTCTTTGAGGTCAGGTTGGAGCTCAGTGAACTTGCGGTAAGGCAAGGCTGGTTGGGGTCAGACACAGGGGAGCTGGAGTTCAGACTAGTAGAGACTTTTGTGTCAGGAGAAGGGGGCAAGAGTCCAGGTTGGCAGGGAGGGGCAAAGGGGGGAGATGTTGCATTCACAGGCATTGTTACCACAGGAAGAGGGGCAACGTTTACTCTCTGAGGGGCTGGGGGAGATCTGTGAGGAGCTATGGTAGGTTTGGTTGGGGAAAAGGGGGACATGAACTGAGTGGGCTGTGTGACAGGTTGTGGAATGAAGACCGGCTGAGGAAACAACATCTGAGGATGCATGTGAGGAGGCATCTTCAAAAGAACACCAGGTTTATTTGGTGATGGAGCCTGCTGCACCACATAGACTGACTGTAACTGCATCCTCTGTTTCTGTTTTTGTTGCTGCAACGTGTGAAACTGCTCCAGGATCAGCTTTTGCAGCAGATCTAACTCCTGTGTCTTCTGAAGTGCTCCTACAGCTGACTTCTTTAGCTTGGTGTTTTTTTGTTTTTTGTCCGGGGGAGGGTCCGGGGACGGCGGTGACTGCATCACCCTGTTCCTCCTCCGCTCTATCACCTCCTTACAGCCCAAAATGTCCACATTCATAGTCTGGAGGAAGAGCAGGAAGACTGAAGTTGATGTAAGCTGCCTCCTCTCTCCTCGCTCCCTTAGGGTATCAGCTGCTGTCTCTCTGGTTTTTGCAGGGATCAGTATGTTTCCAATCCAGGGAATCACTTGAGCCTGCAGCTGGTAACTTATCGCTTGATCTGTCACTCGGCTTCGGCGGATCTTTTCTCCAGGCTCAGGCTTTTCTGGAGGGCCTGACCCTGGTATACTGTCTTTGTTTGCCTGGTGGGACAGGTAGATCCTGAGCTGGTCTGCTGACACCATCATCATGGTGCGACTGCTGTGGCGATTCTTGCACGGCTGAAGTTTGGGACGCGGCCCAATAATAACCGAGCGCCCATATGAGCCGAGAATGGTCAATCGGCATTTAACGTTGTTTTGGTCTCCAGCAGGAGGTAACTCGACGGGTTGAAACACCATGACGGTGGGAGACACTCTTTCTGCTGGGATCCACTCTTTCATAGGGAGGCAGGGGTACTCCTCCTCCTCCTCCTTTTCTTCCTCTTTCTTCTCCACTTTCTGTACCTTTTTCCACTCCTCAATTTCCTTCTTCTTTTCCGCCTTCCTCTCCTCTTCATCACTATCCATGTAGACAACTGTGTCCTCCTCTTCTTTCTCCTCCTCCTCCTCATCAGTGCTCTCCTCCTTCACTTTTATCGGTTTACTTCTGGTTCTCTTTACTACCTCGCCCGACGGTTTTTTGCTTCTGTTTGTTTGTTGTCTATTTTTGGGTCTGCTCTGTCCCTAGAGACAAAGAGAGCTGGAGTCAGTCAATCGGGAAGATTATGTGGAAAATGTCATTTCTCTCAGGGAAAGATATCTGTTCACACAGAAACCTTTACCACCTGAGATCCAGATGCCTAACCAGCATTAAAAATGTGACTGTTTTCTTTGTTGGGTTTACCATCCTTTGAAGACTTGCGCTCAGTTTCCTCCACTCTCTCAAACATTGAGCGTCATGACGATGAGGAATCTCAGCGGCAATCTTCGACCAGCGACCTGTCACACAAACATGCAAATGAATTATGAGTGAGGAGAGACACAAGAGACATACAGGAGGTGGTAGCGGCAGCAGGCAGCAGGTGAAAGAACTTCAAGAGTCTCAATTAGAGGTCGACCAAAGATGAACGGATGCTCTGGGGAGAGAGAGATGTACAAAAGGCTTAGAGCAAACTGGGATTATAATTTTGCTGCATGGATGACGTGTGCAGCAGATCAGATCAAGTGTAGTCTGATGTCAATGAGTGAAGAAAAGACTGTGAGTTTGATGTGTTGTATTAAAGTCAACACACACATCCAACTAGGAGGAGATCCAGGGGCAGACACTGACTCATATATCTGGCCAGAGATCTCTTTGAGGTCCTCCTGTTGGTGTTTGAAAGCATTGCTGGAGAGAGCTTAGCCAAGGTGACCTGACCTTGGCGATGCAAAGACAATAGATTTACGGATGAATGTTTCACTTGATTTGTAACATCTAACAGTCACTGTCTAACTCTTGATTATAATGGTTTGTTGGATAATAAGGACAAGAGCGTGCACAGGAGGACAGCTTCTTAACTGCCCTGTAGTGTCTTGCACTATGATTGTGTCTCTTTGAGTCTTAGGCCCTGTGCTCTCTGACAGCTTGTAAATAGATTTATGTGACTCACCAACTCCATGTTTTTCCACCAGTTGCTTCAGCAGCAGTACTTCCTCTCTGTCAAAAGCTCCTCTTCTTATGTCTGCCTTCAGACAATCAAGATACCTGTGTGCACACAACCGTCAAAACACACAAAACTCTTCAATTTTGGTTTAGTTACCCAGGAGTGTGCACATACTCAAATCTGACAAAAACAGTTTGGAAAGGGACAACAAATCCCCATTAACGTCTGGGGGGTCTGACTGATGAGGAAGTGTTCTGTTCACTTTGCTTCTAAAAAGCGTTTCATCAGGATTTCAGGTACCTTGAGCTTTCCAGACTTATTTCAAATTCAACACCGAGCTCGCAGCCAAATGAAGCTGATTTGAAGACACACGAGTGGCTCTCACCTGTCTCTGCAGGCACCGTCAGTGCGTCCAGGAACCTCCAACCTGATCTTCCACCAGTCCTTCTCTCCATAATAAGACACAGCTTTTAACAGCAGCTAAAAGGTAGAAAAGCAGGCCCGTTAATAGAGTATCAAAAAATCACATCTCACAGTCAGACAAAGCAGGTTTTACAGTCTGTATCGCTGATTTCTGTAATATAAAATACAAGAATTTTCTGTGCTTTTTCAAAATCGAAGTTCTTTTATCTGTATTTCTCTACAGGATGCTGTGTGTTTGCTGTCTTAACCCCCTCCCCCACCTCATCCTCCTCTTTGGTCCACGGTCCTTTCTTCAGGCTCGGGTCCAACACCTGGGTCCACCTGTAGATCAGCTGAGAGGGGTCATGACCCTCAATAAAGTAACTCACTGAGAGAGAGAGAGAGATAGGTTTAAGTTGTTGTGCAGTCAGCTGGTAAAACCCTAACCCTAACATCAGTCTTTTACACAGGATAATTAAAGAAGTAATGTCACTGTATGATATCATTACTCTGAGTATAAGGGATGAAGTTTCCGATCCTCATCTTTTCCACCAGCTCTTTCAGCAGAGCGTCCTCTTCAGGAGTCCAATTGCTGCGTTTTAAAGACTTGGAGATGAAACGCTGGAAAGTCTGAAGACACAGGAAGGCCGTCCTCCCCGTCTGAGAGATAAAGAGAGAGAAAGAATGATAGCAGAGAGACAGAAAAGCATCAAAGTCATGGAGAGGCTTTTCTTCCTGTCTGAGTGACAAACTGCTGAATGACTGACAGGAAAAAAAAAGCATAAAGGAGGTGTAAGGCTCTTACACCCCCTCCTCACCCCCAGCTCTTCAGCAATGGTCTCCCAGTTTCTCTCCTTGTGTCTCTCACTGATCCCCTTCAGCAGGTTCACCTCCTCCTGAGTCCACGTAGACTTATTAACGGACGGGTGGAGGAAGTTCTGCCAAAACCTTTGAATGTCCTCCGCATCCCTCGTTCCTTCAAACTGAGAGGACGAAATGATCGTGGTATTTTAGAAAGTTTTGAGTTTTTTTTAAAACCTTTGAATTCTGACACGATCAATACATTCACTTACATCAACATTACAGATTTTCTGCCAGTCATGTTCATCAAATCTGTCACCAATCAGCTCCTCCTTCTTCTTGTTCCTGATCAATCAGAGACAAAAGCTAACATATCAGACACTCAGGCAGTAAACATACAGAAAACACAATACCATCTCCTCCTAAAACAAAACTGGAGCATTGTTATTATCATTAATCTTATTACTATTCAACAGAAACTTGAGAGATTTACAACTTTTTATCTGTTCATGCAGCCGCTGATGCACTACATGACAAAAATGTACTTGAGCATGTTGATTTCTTTCTCCAAGTCTTCCATCTGCTGTTTGAACAGCTGCTTGTCCGCCTCTGCTGCTGATGCCATCTTCTTACTGAGGAAGTCCATCCTGGAAGAGAGAGAGACAGAAATACGGATTATCACAACAGACTCAACAATGTCAGAATTGTGAAGCCTCTTAAAAATGTGGCTTTGTTTACATTCTAGATAGATGCAACTCCTTGTAAACATTACAATCGGCTCTGTCATCCATACTGTAGTAAGCAGTTGCAATACACATGCAGTTTCAATTGGAATTGACCCCAATGATTTATGAATAATACATTAAGTGTCTCCCACACTGAACTCCTGCAGCCATAAACCATCAACTACTGCTGCTACTGTGACTGATCTAACAACTAGTAGGACTAAAAATCATCAAGCGGGTTTTACTTGGAGAGTTTGGGTTGGACGAGTCTCCTTAGGGTGTCTCTGGCAATAGCGTGAATCAGTAGAGTTTTCTGCCAGCTTTCCCCTACAGAGACAGACAGAGAAAAACACAAACAAAGACGTCATGAAGTCAGATAAAGTGATATTATTGTCATTTAGTAATAGTAGTCATGTGTTTTCAGAAGAAACAAAATAATACACTGGATATTTCTCAGTGTCTAAGTGTGGCAGAGTATTTATGTGTGTTTTACAAATTCTTAAATTAACAAAACACCATCAAGACCAGGGGTCTCAAACTCAATTTACCCGGGGGCCACTGGACGTAGATTCTGGGTGAGGCTGGGCCGCACCAGGTTTTTCACAAGAAAAGCTCTTACAAAAACATTCCAGTGTTATCAAATGTCTTTGTTTATTCATTTATTCATCCTTTTTTGTCTTAGAAAATTTAAATAAATTAACAACTCATAAGAAAAAAATAAATCAGTTATAAATAAAATGATAATAACAATAATAATAATAACAATAATAATTCAGCAGATATAGAAGACTGAATAAACCACATATAGTTGCTGACTAGAGAAATGTAATTATTATTCAGATTCAAATGTCTGTATTAACAGCTCTTAAACCTTTAACTTTCTGAACATGAATGAAACATTGAACATAAACTGTTATGAACATGGCTTCTTCTGCCTGAAAAAGACATGTTTGGGGCTTTTGTAATATAATTGATTCCACTTGATGTCACTGTCGCGTCAAAGTTTCAGTTTCGGTGTTTAACCGATGCGTCATTTCCGCTTTTTTTCTGTTCCGCTGAGTAGCAACTTTCGGGTTCCGACTGAGCGCGAAGCGTGTGAAGCGGGAGCGGCCGCGACATTACACACGCGCAGCATCCCATTAAAGTGCCCTTGCTCCTCGAGCTGTTGTTCCAGAACAATCATGGATATGCTGCTATGTTTTCCTGGCTGTACTAAACACGTTTTGTACACTTTATCCAAGAATTAAAGTCGGCTACAGGGCTATACACACACAGAGAGAGACAGACCGGCGCTGTAGACTAGGACTTGTGTAGATATACTGATGCCGTATGTTTTCACCGTCTGTGCATAAAATGACAAATATAAAATGCACACAAATATGCAGATACTGAAATAATGAAAATTGACCGGTGTAACAGGTGTGTGCCAAAAATGATTGTCTGCCAGAAACATATTTCCGGTCGCGGGAGCGCAAAAACGTCAATTTCTCTGGAATAAACGGTCATAATATGCAGGGACACACAGCTGTATTATACTGTAGTTATAGCATTATAACTACTAGTATTTGAAAGTTTAACGTTTGTCGTTACGTTATTATTACAACTGGCCAAAAGAAGCCAAGTTAGTAGCGAAATCGGGTAATGTAAATACGTGATACATGTCTCTGTGGTTGGTATGTGTCATGACTGCGACCGGAACTCAGTTTCTGACAGACAATCCCCTTTTCGCACAACACCGGATTCTCTCGTTATTTCATGTGTGACTTCATGCAACGATCGACAAGAAGGCTCGCGGCTCGTGACCCGCGCAAAAATAGAACAGACGCCGAAAGGAAGTGATCGTCGTTCCGTGGCGCTTCCGCATCAGGTCACAATGTCGCGAGTTTGCAATAAGCCCGGCAGATGTCCCGCCCCCGAGAGCCATATACCCCACCGTGATTGGTAGGTTCGTTCAGCTCCTCACACAACACTGAAAAGTGTCAATCATATCAAACTCGCGGGCCGCACTAATGTTAAACTTTCGTATTAAGGCGGGGGCCACAAACTAAAGTCCCGAGGGCCGCAGTTGGCCCGCGGGCCGCGAGCTTGAGACCCCTGATCAAGACCATTCAACAGAGCCTAATCAATCTAATAGAAAATAAAACACTCATGTGGAGCTGTTAGGAAACTGACTAACTGACTGACTTTGTCCTAAAACTGTTTTATTCTTACATCGTTTTAGTTTCAGGTTCCTTTCATCCAGGCAGCCTATCATCCTGCTGGCTTTCTCTTTCGTCTCTCGATTGGCTGGCGGACCCTGGAGATGGATGAAAACAGAGTCTTATCAATTAGCTGCAAACAGGAAGAAAAGACGGTCAACCCAACTGTCTGTCTATCTTACCAGTCCTGTCAGTTTGTCCTTGAAGTATGGTTTGAAGAATCGGCCCAGGAACATTCGATGGTGCTGGTCCAAGGAGGAGGAGGACGAGGAGGGGGAGTTTTGTTCCCTGAGAGCCTCTTTGTTTGGTCCAGACAGCTGAGCAACTACCTCCCTCTACAGGTAGAAAAAATATAATCTGTACTCATCTAATGTCTGGTACTGTGCCTACTCAAAGCAGCAACTTCAAAGGCTGTAAAATGAAACCATTGATGGAGTGCCAAAAACTGCAGTTCTAAGAGTGGCCACTAGAGACTGGCTCCAAACTGAGCCAATCCCCATCAACAACCATTAAAATGCTTAACTTTACAAAACATAATAGGATGTTCAAATAAATACATTCTTTGTGGATGAAAGCTTATTTCAAGTTCTGTAGTTTGGGTACTCAGGCAGAGTGAGGATCTCAGACATCCAGAAAGAGCTTCAATGTTATCTCACTTGACAAGAGCCAGATGAGGTGTTTGGGCACCTGATTTGGACAACCTGGTGTTTGCCAATCACTCACTGCTCTCGATCAAGTCCCCCCATCCAGATATGTTAACCTGACTCCACAATCACGTTGACCATCACCAACAAGGCAGTTGGCAAACCAATGGTGATGTACAATAGCTCAATCATTCATGCAGGCTAAGGTGTACGCTGACCTGCTGTCTTTTATTTTGTGTCAACAGTGTCTCCAGCCGGTCCAGAGTCTCCTGAATAACCTGCTGGTAGACAAGGTTCAACTGAAGACAGGAGTCCGCTGTGGGAGCCAGACCCAGCTCACTCTGAACACGGACAGAAACAGAAAACAGTCAGATCAACATCACTCATCAGTCACTGATTCAAGATGTTTGTAAAGATACTGACCTCATCACTGCTGCTGCTGCTGCTGTTGTCATCATCTGCAGAGAAACATCAGACATAAATACACCTTCTGTTAGTATAAAAGTCAACTCCTCATAAGGAGACACATACAGAAAATAAGACAGTTACCTGACACACAAACAGGACTATGTGGACCAAGGAAGCTCTCCAGATTCTGGATTTCCTTCTGGATCTTGTCTCTTTGAGCCAGCAGACCAGCTGTAGACTGAGAATACATATAGAGGTTTCAAATACCTGCTGGATATCACTGTATTTGTGATTGACTTTTTTATTACTCTTATTTTAGTTTGTTAAAATATCACAGGATCTATTGCAAGTGAGAGCTTTTCAATATATTCATCAACAGTGTATCAATGCAACTGTTTCTGATGGTCTCAGCACCCTGCTGTCTAAGATTTACTGTTAAGCTGCAGTTTTTTCCCCACATGTAACCATGCTAACAAATGCCTGTGGGTGTGTTTAGTACCTCTTCATTTGTGTCGCCATCATCAACTGATTCTTCATCTGAAAAAAGAGGATAAAAATACTATAACAGAGTCAAACAGGCGTACAGGGAGACACAGACACAGACAGGCAGACAGGTACCTGTGTCACTGCTCAGCAGCTCCAGTTCAGCGTTTGTTGCAGACAGACTCTGTTCTAGCTCCTCCACCTGTCGCTGGAGCCTGTCTCTCTCTGCTGCCAGAGAGACAGACATGCTGCATGTAGACGGACACACATATGAGAGGGTTTGAACAGTCACTTCCAGAGAAAAGTAGAGTCAGATAAGGTACTTGTCAAACTTCATGTTTTCTAAGCCTGATTTGAGCCTCACTCTGGTGCTTTCTCCTCTGCCTTGCACATCCATAAACCCAGTCAATAATCCTGTAACTTCTAGAAATAAGTTCAAGTCTCTGTATGATAAGGTTGTTTGCATAGAGATGTGGTTTTTATTGTTGTACAGGGCTTGCATAGGCTGTGTTGATGCAGCCAAAGAAGATATACTTCCATGGGACCCAGAATTCCCAATGATATCCCTGCAGCCCACATGATCTGCAGATTTGGAGATGCTCTGACTGTAACCATTGCTGTTTGGTTCTTGTCAACGTTGTTCACATCCTTAAACTGCACTTTCTTCTTACTTACCAAATACCTGTCAAATATCTCACTGTAATCACCTCCATACTGTTTGTCATTAATGTCGCTAGAATTTCAAGTTTTTAAAGTTATATCAGTTACAATTTTCAAAATAAATTCAGATTTATTCAGTTCAGAAAAACACTATATCTGTTTTTCATGCTGTTCTATTCTACACGTTGGACTATATAAAAACATGAACTCGGTGGAATATTAGGTGAACTGATCCTTTAACAGTACTTGGGACGTCGCCACTATTTCCTATGGATCAGAATCAAAATAATAACATTTTATAAACATAGTTTAAGAGTGATTCTCCTACGAACTATCAGAATTAATCACGTTTTAATCACTTTGGTAGTTACAGGAAAAAGCTATGAACGATATCACGACAATTGAACTTCATTTGGCGTTACTCTGTGCTAACACCAGCTACAAACAAAATTATTTAGACAAAATGTGATTTTTTTTTTACCTTGAGTCGCTCCGGTTTCTTCAGTTAATCCACAATTTCTCGTTAAAACCTTTTATTTTGACTTTTTCCCTCCACGCGCCAATCAACGTAGCTCTGGCGTTGCCATATTACCCAGCAGTCTGTGCGCCAGGACGACTTCTCCCACTGTGTTTCACGGCTTAGATCAAAATCGGGTTTTCAGATTCAGCTAAAATTTAAAAATTCTAACTCTGACACTTTGACAGACGATGCAAAAACTGTAGACTTGATTTGTTTGTAGTTTGACTGGCAACGAAAACAAAACGCAGCAAATGGTGTCCGTTCTTTAATTGCTTCCCCCTCGAAACACTCATTTCCTGAGACACTTGGTTCCGCTTGATAATGTAGAATAACATAAGCAAAGTGACCTGTAGCTTCTATGGTTTAAAAAGAACAAAGGCAAAAATAAAAACAGAAATTAGTTCTCTAACTCATGGAATCTCTGGCTTATGGGCTACAGTTCCTGAAAATTACTAGTCAGAATATGACTGATTTCCAAACCATTTAAAAAAAATTATTCTACCTGTGCTCCTAAGTTATTTAAATTATTCAGTTGTCTTGAGTAATAATTGAGACATTGCCTTTCAAACTGCATGGCAGGACCTGTGTCCAATTTGATCTAGTTTCCTCTTGTCTTGATCTTTGCTTGTGTTGTTCTTGAATGTACGTCTTCTCACACTGTGTGCAGTTGTGTGTGTGTTTGTGTGGGTGAGTGTGGGTGGGTGTGTGTCTTTGTGTGCATGTGGGTCCATGGGTGTGTGTGTGTGTGGGTGGAAGGGTTGGGTTTTTGTCATTATTGTTGTTTTTAGCCTCTGTGAGGCGCTTTGAATTGCATTTTCTTTTGTATGAAAAGTGCCATATAAATAAAGTTGAATTTGAATTCTGCACACACATAACCTGTGTGTGCAGAAGTGTGAGGAGCAGAGAGTTCAAAAAGACATCTAAAACAGGCTGTGACCTGGAGTTGAACCAGAGACCATTGTAAATGGTCTCTTCTTGGGGCATGCGCTTTATTACTAAGCCAGTCTGCATCCTTGACACGTAACTTTTCTTTTAACAATTTAATTCTCTGGATCTACATAAAACAGTATGGGAGCAAAACACATCAGCGCACTTTCCTAACTGTCAAAATAAAGCACAATATTTTACTAATTATGGTTTACTTTATCATCTCATTTTTATCTCTTACAGCACACATACAATCCATTGGAGCAGCTTGTCTTATTTTTAGAGTATTTAGACTATTTCATTCAGACTAAAAACTGCCTTGGGAACAGTTTCCATAATGTGCTGATTGAGCAGCTTCAATTTTAAAAATAATGAAAAAGCTTTCCCCTGATATTACATTTACAGTTCGTTTTCAGATATGATCCTGGACCATTGCATTTTGTTGAAACAGCGTCCTTGTAGACAGATTGTGGACCTGCTGAAAGTCAGTGCAAAGGCTGGTTGGAGAATCCAGCTGTGCTTTGAGTTCACAGGATTAAAGCCTTTCCTCTCACACAGCTTAACCAATTCCCTTCAGAGGCACCTTCATGGTGTTATAATGGCCAAAGTAGATGTTGTATCCTGATGTACTCAATCCAGATACAGCGACTTCAAAGCATCAGACCCTTGACTCAGTGTCGGTTAGTGATCATGGCTCAGAGCTTCAGTGAGCTTCAACATGAAGAAGCAAGCAAACAAACACATCCTTGTCTTTCTATCGGCGGCGGTACAGGATGTCCCAGGAGTCTTTCCACTTCAGCCCTTGTAGCTGATTGGCTGAGAGCTCAGGACTGCCGTAGGTTAATGGACAGAAGGTTCGATATGACAAGAAGACCGATGCTAACACAGCCGATACACACACATACAATGCACGTCGCTGTGTCGCTCCGCTGCAAAGACACAAGGATTTGACATCAATTATATATTATCAATAATCAGTCTATCAGCTGTAATGTGAATATTTTTTTGCACATCTGTCTGTTTACCTGAGCAGGTGAGTGTGTGCGTGCTCCAGTAGGGCAGGGCTCAGCAGGTACAGGTAGCAGAGGGCGGGCAGGTAGTGGTACAGGAACAGAGTTTTTTCCATCAACAGGAAGGGGACAAAGTTCACCATCCAGCCACCAACACACACACACCCCAAACACACAAACTGACACCACACACCTGGAAGGGCACACAAACACATGCCAGTCATGAGAAAACATAGCATGCTCCCACAGGATCGCTATGTTGCTGCAGTTATAACAGTACAGTGGAAATGATTAATAGAAATGTACGACTGTTGTTTTGGAAACTGTGTGCTCTGCTGCCTCCCGCCGGTACTGAGGACAGCACTCCCTTTCAAACTTTTGAAATGCCCCTGTCCTAGGATTTAATATCCACTGTATGTGTGTGTGTATCTGTGTGTTTGTACCATCAGGTAGGTCTTTGAAGCCCCTCCTCCTCCTCAGCAGGTAAACAACTGCCAACAAGTGATAGACCAACAGGCTGAAGTTGGCCACGCCCCAAGACACCGGGTTACCGATTAGATGAATCTGAGCCTAAAACACAGTCAGCCAATCAAAGGCCAAAACAGAGGAGTGTGGTTGTTGGTGTGATTGTGTGTTTGCTTACATTGTTGGAGGAGTGCAGCCAGTATGCAATATTGGTGTCCATGGTGACCCACTCCAGAGGAGACGAGCTGTATTTGTGCTCAGAGTCTTCCTGTTTCACTGTCAGCATTTTCCACTGTCATGACAACGACACAAGACATTGCCACATGTCGCCACAGCAACTGCATGATGTAAAGTCATGTGATTGAATATAAAGTTTTGAACTGTTATGTGACGAACCTGAAGCTCTAAAAATTTTGCCCAGAATGAAATTTTTCTGTCCACGTCAATGTGAGTTGGAGAGTGAAGCTCCACCTCTCTCTCCTTCTGCTCTTGACCTACAAACACACACACAAACACGCACACACACACAGACATAAACACATAAACACAGGCACAAATACAGATGAACGCCTGCAAATGATAAAAGTCACATAAATGCCAAATGGATGATTTAACAAAGGGCCAAATCTTCCAATGATGTAGGATCTGATGGTAGGTCAGAGGTTCAAGGTTAAAGGTCGTACTAGTGCCATAGCGGTGTTCCTCCACGGTCCAGTCCAAACTGCTGCTGTGAGCTTTAAACAGCTTCTCAGCAACAACCTCCAACTGACGGTAACCCCAGTCTGGAAGAGACACACCGCTCAGCTGCTCACAAACACACACACACAAATACATACAGGTCATTATCTTCTCTTACGGAAAGTCATCTGTATCACAGAAAAACTGATATTAGTAAATAGTCAATACCCGGAGAACTGCTGTAGTGTTGATGTGGACCAGTCGCACCTCAGACAAGATTGTCTTCCATGAGTCTGACTCCGCCTCTCTGTTAGAGATTTCCTAAATGCACACATGCATGCACATAACCCCACAAAAATACAAGGTCATAGAAATAAATAAATAAGGGCTTTTGGTTAAAGGTTCTAGGAGCAACTTTTAATTAGTGTAGACTTTGGTGCCCCCTGTGGCAATTTGTTGTACCTTTAAGTTCTTTGAACCAAAAAGCACATATATTTAAAATCTCTGAATAAAAGAGCAGGTAACTAATCCTTAAAGAGACTGTATCTTAGTAAACATCTTCTTCAGCTCACTCTGTGTGGCAAATAATGTCACAGAAAATCTCTCCTCACTCACCACTCTCCAAAGGTTCTGCGCTGGCATGGAGACATTGAAGTCAACATAACCTGACACTTCTTGAGCATGAGGGCTCATGGGAGCTGCTACGTCATGACTACAAAACACAGATGTATAGATACACAAAACAACATATATTTAGATAAATTTGATTCAGTCAGAGGCCTGTAAAATAAAAGCTGAAAACAGATACAAATGGCATCTATCAGGGTTAATAACAGGGATTTAAAATGTTCTCTGGTTGATTGTAAATGTTGCAAATCAGTCCATCAGACAACAGAGAGGTGATCTGTTTACCTGTTGAGGAAGCGTGAGGTCATCCCATGAACCAGCTGGATGACATCACCATGACGGACAGGTCGAGGGGGACTGCTGACCACCAGCTCCTGTCTGGTAAACACAAACAGATACATGTCACACTAGGACCACATTTCCCAGCATGCTTGTGGAAAGGCAGGTGACCCACCTGCCGGGGTCTTTGACGATCCACCAGTTGTTGACGTCTTTGAAGGGATAACAGGTGACCTGCTGCTGGTGAGAGCTGCCCCGCCCATTTTCATACCTGAACAGACCCACATAAGAATGTGACATTATTCAAACTGTGCATGAAAGTTTTCTGATTAGCTGCTCCAGCTGTGTTAAGTAGCTGCACCTGATTGGGTAGTTGGCTTTGTGTGAATGGAGCCAGCAGGGGATGGGCTGAGAGGCGGAGCTTCTTAAAGTCACCTGACTGCCATAAGCGACTTCCAGAGGTTGACCCTGAGTGATCCTGGAGAGACCGCCCTGAGAAGGAATATTTCATATCGTTCATCATTGATGAAGATCAGCTAATATAATGTGGGCTGAGCTTGACTTTTTGGCCTACCTGAAGTCACAATATGTTTACATGTGTGTTAAAAAGTGTGTGTTTGTTGTTACCTCCAGACTGGCCTGGAAGGCAGAGCTCATCAGCTGGTCATGTGGTCCACTGCGGTGCAGGAGACTCAGGTGGATGTAGAACCAGAACACATAGAGAAGAATAGGAACCACCAACAGACACACAACTCGACACACACACTGCAGACAAACACTCAGCTGCACTCACAACACACACACACGCACACACACACAATTTTACCTTTACATGACAGAAGAGACTTTTGCTGGCAAATGGCAGAGATACAATTAGGTGTGTATTTTTACTTCATTTTCATTCATATTTTTATCATCATTTTTTCCCTGAATACTTATAGATGTTAGAGTGACGCTAAATGTATCTATTATTGAGCTGTGAAAGATTAACAACAGCCATGAATTCATAACTGCCAATAAAAGCTTGTCTATTGACTGTTAAAGATGATCAATAAGCTGTTTTTTGTATCAATGAACTAAATCAAATCTATTAATCTGGACTTACATGACTGACACTTCGGTCTCCAACCAGGCTCCAAATATGCATAGAGGCGACGCCCAGCAGCAGCAGGTAGGAGAATACACCCATGTACTTTACCCTGACATAAAACATAATTAGTGTTGGTGTTTTAGAGATCAGAAGAGAAATTTGACTGTAGACTCACTGATCTCTGAGTAATTTCTCACCCAACAGCTGCAGCACAGGAGGCACCAGAGAGGAGCAGCCAGCAGTATCTGAACCAGCTGAGGACAAGATGAGAACACAGACAGGGGAACGGTTCATCACAGGTGGGTCAGGTACAAGAGGGTATTTTAAATTAGCCCTTTGTATGTGGTGGAAATGTGGCGAGCTACAAAATGAGTGTCACCTGTCAGGAGTGTTGTGGAATCGCAGGTAGGAGAAAAAGGCCAACAACACAAAGAAGATGAGAACAGACTCCAGTAACATGAAACGGGATTGGACGATCAGAGAATTCTCTGAAAGATGAAAATATAAACAAACACAAGCAAAGTCCTGAAATTATTAAAATTCAGTTTAAGTGAGTGAAGTACAGCCCTCTGTACTTGGGCTTGCAAAAATTATAATAGTCAAATTTAGTGCCTGCTTTGATAACTGCAGTGACACAATGACTGTTTTGGCACTGACCCAGCAGCAGCAGCAGCGATGCTCCCAGAGCCGACAGGTGAGAAAACTTCAGCTCCAGAGTCAACAGGTAAACCAGAGGAACACAAAGAGCTCCACACAGAGCGGGCAACAGCCGCAGAGTCCACACACAGACAGTGCTGGGATACTCTGCAGAGAAAAATCAGAGAGCCGTGATATTCTGTGCATCATATTGGACACAATGACTTTTGTTTCAGACCTCTTAAGACACAATGAAGTTCTCTAAACTGATACTTATCAAACGGTATTAGATTTTCCTACCTGCTCCAATCCTGTTCCACACAAAGTTCCCATCAAATCCCCCCATGTAGGCTGCACAACACAAGCACAAGAATTACAACTGATATAGAAACATGGACAGAAGTAATGTCAGATAACAGTTTATGAAACAGGTGTCAAACTCAAGGCTCGGGGACCAAATCTGGCCCGTGGAACAATAATAATGATCAAGATCATATCATATTTGTATTATTATCGGCCCACCAATATGAAGTTTGCAGATTTCCTCCAGTATAATAATGTCAACTTGAACACTATTACTTAAAATGTCCTTAATAAGCCACAAAAATGTGGGAAATTAACAAGTAAGGAAGATTTGATAAATAGTCAAGAATGAGGGAGAAAAAATATTTGGTGTTTTATTTCATGTTTTGATTTGTTTCACTCAGTATTGAGACTTGTGTCATTTTTATACTTTAGATTCCAATCTTAAATTTTCAGTCATATTTTGAGCTTTTAAACCTGATTTCAACTTTCTGCTCATGTATTGGCTCTTTAAATGCATTATTTTTCCGTTTTTAATATCATGCTCTGATCTTTTGAACTAATAAATGAAAATAGAATAAAAAATTAACATTTTTCTATCTCGGATTGCCTTTAATCTTATCTTTTTATCTTATTTGAATTTCCAAATGATTTATAATCATTGCTGTTTTTGTTACATATTTTTTGAAAAGGAGGTTGACAGTTTTGGTGAAATGTTGACTCTCTCTGGCCCTCAGGTAAGACCTAAATATTATGGCCCTTGATGTGGTTGAGTTTGACACCCCTGGTTTATGAAGTAGAACTGACCTCCAAGGGCCAGAATCATGTGACCGAGAGGAGGTCCACTGTCGTCAACAAAGAAAACTCTCTTCATGTAGAGAGACACGAACTGGCCGTAGTACACCTCATCGAACCTACAATACACACAAATACACACAGACTCCAGTATTTGTGTCAAATATCCTTAAACAATGCATGACCACTTTCACAACAAGTGGTCATGCATTGATAGGCTGTGCCACAAGTCATAAATCCACTATAACATACTCACACCACAGCATTGGGGTAACTGAGGCGGCTCAGTCTGGTCCACAGGGCCAGCAAAGTGACCAGCAGCAGGACCAGGTCCACCTTAGCTGTCACCACCAAAGGGAGCTGCAGCATCCTGGACACTTGAGAGTCCAACCTGTGAGACAGAGACATGTACTACTTCACTTTAGTATCACAGCTTCTGCACTGTGAGAATAGAAATCAAAACGATGCAAACAGATGTCCTTGAAACACAAAACTACTAAGAGCACAGAAAATCAAACTAAAACAGAAAGACCGACTTTAACTTTCAGGTGTATTTGTGAACCTCATTTCTCTCGTTAGTAGAAACACACACGCATCCAAATAGACAACTTTCCCATCTGAGCTAACAGTTATTAGCATGAACTACACAACTGCAGAGTGCCTGTCATCCACCCTAACCTATTTCTGCTTCTGACCTTCTGACTCACTTTTTGATGTCACCCTGCCAACTTCAAACCGACCATCATGTCGGTTACCGACAAGTTTAGCCGGTTTCTCCTCAAGGTTTCTCCGGTGTGTTTGTAGCAGATTCCGCTCGATGTTTCTGGCGTTCGATTACTGCTTCCTGCTAACCGAGCTACTCGAAGCTCAATTAAAGCGCCTGATAAATTGGCTCAGTTGTTTGACATTTTGTTTGTCACATTAATTTCCATATATCCTCAAGGGAACATACATTTATCAGCCACTTGGAAGCAGCAGTGTTTAAAATAATTGCTGCAAATATTGACACACGAGCCAACACTTTTCAGATAGGGGAGAGTGGGGTAAGATGAGCCATTTTTCATATTTTGGATCACTACATCAAGGCGATCATAGTTTGTGTATCTGCATATATTTCAAGATGTTGTGCATCCCTGCAAACCAACAGAATGAGTGTAAACATGACTGTCCTGATAATATAGCATGCCAAAAAAGTGGGGTAAGTTAAGCCATATCCCTACTACCCCTCCACTCTCCACCCCAGCCCTCCCTCACCTTCTCTCTCTCTCTAAAAAACAGTCACTTCTTCACATTCATGTGTATTTTTTTTTTATCTATTATACACTATTCAAATGGTACAATAATTCATTTTATAATTATTGCATATAACTGCTAACAATGTCATGATTTTGCTGGTTTGGACACTTTCATGGCTCTGTGGACTGTTTTTTGTATGTGAAGTCCCCCCCCCCCCCCTTCTTTTCACAGAGGTTGGGCAGCTCCTCAGCAGCACTGGCTCCACACCTGCATCTGATCACCTAATCACCACCTGCTTTTAAGCTCAGCTCTGAAGACTGCTCATTGCCAGATTATTACTCCCTCTCACATTGTGCCTCCTCAAGCCACCAGTGTCTGCCCAACCTCTGCCTCCACTGCCACTCTCTCAATCCTGATCCACTCACCTGCTGTCTCCTTCAGCTCACACACTGCCTCACCCCCTCATAACGGATCCCCCTGCACTCCTTGGACCCCGGACATCACACCATCCTTCATCATTCATTACAATAAAATCGCTTAAAGCTTCCTCTGCCTCCGCTACCTGCTTTTGTCACAAAAAAGCTGTTTTTTAAAAAGCCATTTTGACATGAGAATGCCTTTAAGTGATTCAGAACATTCACAGCTGTATTTTTGACAACAAAAAGTAAGACATTTCAACAATCTGAATTGAAACTCTGATCCTCTCATCAAACTCCTTTACTTTCTCAGTTGAGCCACTGGCTCAACTTACCCCAGAACTACTATTATGACTTTATTAGTCCTCTAAGCTTAATTCGTGGACTTTTGTGTTAGATTTTTGACCTTATGTTGTAGCTCATAGATACCACAACTGATGTATAAAACAAATTTAAATGATCATTTTTGGTTTGAACACAATTTTAATAAAACTTATGGCAGACTAAATTCACTTTCAAGAGTGAAAAATGTTTTTTTTAGAAATAAATGTCTAACCCAGGGGTGGGCAATCATGTGCCATGGAGGGCTGAGAGGCTGCAGGTTTTCTTTCCAACCCAAAACTCCACCAGGTGATTTCACTGATTAGCCCCTGCTCTCTGCTTGGAGGAAAGGTAATCAGTGAAATCACCTGGTGGAGTTTTGGGTTGGAAAGAAAACCTGCAGCCTCTCGGCCCTCCATGGCACATGATTGCCCACCCCTGGTCTAACCCCTTCACCCATGTGCTTCTAACCCCCACAGACTCCATGAACTGATGCCCATCTCCTAAATATTTGGTCACATGATCAAACAGGGGGTGGCTCAACTTACCCTTTGGCTCAATTTACCCCACTCTCCCCTAATACTAATCTGCATAACATTGCAAAGAATTGAGGGATTTTATCACCTACAGCAGCCTACATATAGTCAATATAAGATTCTCAAAATCTGGGAAAAAAATGTCTTAAAAAAAGAGACAAGGCTGACAGCCAATAATTGATGGCTTTGGATCCTCAGGCTGCACTGCATAAAGAATAGACATGACTGCAGTGGAAATCACTTGGGCTCACAATCACTCAACCCATTGTATGTGAACACAACTTGTGGCTAAAAAGCAGGTAATAATTAGTGTGATAAAAATATACAAAGTGTCTATTTTAGGAACTACAGCTCATGGTACTTCCTCTTTTCCTAATTTATTCATCTACAAAAAAAGGGCAAATGCAGAGTCCTTTGACACTCGTTGAAATTCTAACCTACCTGATTAGTCTGTCAAAACACTGTCATGACAAGTTTTTAGGTTAATAGCATATGTTTTTTTTTTTTTTTAACCAAACAAATGAAAATAAAAAGGAAAAATTGACAGAGCAGTAAGCAGTTATGTTTATTGCAGGATTAATTTAAACACATGTACAGTTCTGGCCCACACTGAGGCTATGTCCTGGGGTTAAACCAGGCTAGCCTATGCTTCCACCTAGGACTCTAAAGATTGTTTTTCTATTGCACAGAAACAGTCTGTTATTGTTATTTTTACAGGAACAGCTCGGACAGACACATTTTTGGCCATGGCTGTGCTAGTATATGAATAAGTGTGAACTAGGCTTATTCCTGTGCTTATGAACACAAGACAAGTACCTGTCAGGTCCAGTTTGGTAACAGCCTGAGTCATGTTAGCACCTATGTTTTTATCCTTATTATCTAAAACATGATGATCCATGAAAGACCAAGATCACTTTTGTCCTGGTTTAACCCGTCATCTCTGATTGGCTCGCGGAGTGTTCCGTGGGCGAAGCCTGAGGGAGAGTTCCCACAATGCTTCTTCTGCGAGGTGATCACTGAAGTCGTTAAAAAAAGATATGATGTCATCATCGGGCTGCAGAGAATAATGGCTGCAATGAGAAAAGAGGTTAAGGTGATAATTCAGAGAGGGAAATCAGATGAAAAACTGCAATACTACTACTTAAACTTAAGTAATACAGGTAACTAACATTTGTTGATATGTCCTCAGGGTGTCCAGGATGTTAAACTGCTGCCAGCGTTTGGAGAAGTTGACCTTTGACTCCTGTGAGCTTGTCAAAGTGTCAGGGTTCCCCAGGTGGACAAAAGTCAAGTCCTGTAGGATCAAACCCCTGAAATATGGACATTAAGACAGATAAACAGTTATACCACGTTGTCCAAGAGTATTAGCTCATATGTGAGATGAATAGACGTACAGTTTGAGTATAAAAATATGAAACTATAAAAAAGGTGGCATGTAAAGTTAGAGTAACTATAGTACAGGCTAGTAACCAACAGGCAAAGTATAAATAGCAGGGTATACAGGGTATGCCCAATGGTGGTGCAGATACAGCTGGATATACAGATAACTGACCCCAAGGAAGGTTATAGATACGGGGTATATTGGGTAGCCTCTTAGCCTAAAGATAGGGTGCATAGTGTATTTTTGGTGCATACAGAACATTTGTCAGATATGGTATGACATGATTCAACATGATACAATACAATACATCATGATATAAAATGGTACGATATAATACAACAAAATATGAGACAATAATAAGATATACTACAATATAAAACCTTATATGATATGATATGATATGATATAATAATATATGGAAAGGTACTATATGATATGATACCAAAACATACCATACCATATTATAGACGATACGATTTAGTTTATGATATGATACAACACATTATGATATAATACACTTGATTGTCTCCTTGGGGGAACTTTGTCTTGGACTCAACTGCTGCACATACTCAATTGGATCGACAATAATTCACAAGTGGGAGGAGTATAAATATAAATAGGGTATATGGGTATAAGTCAGGTTGAGAATGAGGTATGGTAAACCGTTAATAAACTTGAAGATGTAGAATAAAATGGTGAGTTATACAGGACTTCATCATACTAGTAGGATTGTAGTGTGATGTCTGAAGGTTGCAAACGCATAGGTAGGCTATACCAAGATATGGAAGCAATTAATCGACAGTTAGACTATAAGTAAGGGTTACTCCCTTAGTGGTAGAATATGTACAAGTTAGTGGGGTGCAAGAATTAGTTTACAGGTATCTAATATACACATCAAGGTAAAGGGGTTTTACACCTGCAACACACACAGAGGGGGATCAAAACCCAGGTAGGGTCAACAGTATATGATGCTATATACAATACATTAAGACACAGGTCTGGTACAATGAATGCAGACAAGTATTCAGGTTGTTTTATGTAAGGTGAAATCAGGGTAGTATCCCATGTATAAACACACAGGTAGGATTTTAAGTGGTCCAAGAAGGTGCTAACATGCAAGTATGGTATAGAGTGGAATAAAGGGAGTCTTAACCTACAGGTAGGGGATACAGGGAGGCTCCACTTCCGCTAGAGCTGCTCTGTAGGCTCTGAAAGATGACGAGCTGTCAATCAAAGAGCTGAATTCCTCTAGAGCCTAAAATAAAAACACACAACTCACTGTAACTCACAGGACACACTGGCATGCTCATTTCACAACAGTAAACAGTATTTTTTTGTTGAGTGAGACCTCAGCCGTGCTTCTCTGCCAGTCCAGGCGTCTCAGTGGAGCCGAGTCGAGCGCTGACAGAATAGACAGGTATGAGTTGAAGTTGTTCAGCTTCCGCAGGTGCTGCATTCAGAAACACACATACACACATTGACTGTCAGATTTAACACTCATACTGAAGTAAATGTGTGTAATGCAGGGCTGTGTTCTCAGCCAGAAAGAGGAAAACGACAACATAAAAAGATTATTGCTTCATGGCTCCACCTTTCACCTGTTTCACCTGTATGCTTTTACCTTCATAACTTTCAGGAACTTCAGCAACAACTTTTCTCTGTCGTGAGGTTTGTCTTGAAGAATGATGACAGAACGAACCCTAAAATTCACAGAATTCATTATTTATCCTATTTTTCATATGATAGACATTAATTCAAACAGTACAACAGCTGTTGAAGAAATGTATCATGTATCTAATGAGGACAGAATTTTACATTTAAGGCTTCAGTCTGCTTTAAACTTAGTGCTTCAGCCTCTTAATAGAACCTGACTCGAGACGTTTTAATTTTTGTAAAAACGAAAATCCAACAAAATGCAGGGCAGAACTTAGAGGTCAACAGTGAAATATTCAGATTGTTGCTCACAATTTCTTATTCAGAAAACCACTCACAGCACACTGGAGAGCTCATTAGACAGATGTGCAGAAAATGTGATGTGCATTTCAATGTTTGTTTCTGCAATTTAAAGGCCTCAAGTCAACAGAAATAAAATAACTCTACATTTTAGTGATTCTACTATAATCTAAACATACTTTCATTCCATTTCTACGAAGTCTGTTCTGCTAAATGTTGCTAAATACTCACATTGTGCCTTTAAACCCTGAAACTCTGGTGTTACATGAATAAGTTGATCTAAAACTAAACAAACCCTGTTTGTATAACTTTTGTGAGAAACAGAGTGCTGTGCTCGGTTACCAGTAGGACATGTTGTTGAAATGTTGGGTGAACTGCGTCAAGTTTGGACTCCTCTCCTCATTCTGCTCTTTAGACCACAGCAACACCTCTGGAAGCTAAACAGGCGAGACAAAGGTGAGAAACACATGTTGGTATTGTTATATTGGTTGCCACAACAGAATTTTTTGTAGTGTTTTGAGTAAGGAGCACACAAAATAAGACTTTTCTTCAACTTGCCCTTTTCCACATTTAAAATCTTTTCATCATTTTCTTTAATTTTAGGGAAAAACAAGAGTGAAAAAATGAAAATATAAAGAACTTAAATGATCGTTTATGATTTGTACCTCGATCTTGTAAAAGAGCTCAGAGTCCAGCAAAGTCAACTGCTCAGCCAAGTCCTGACTCCTGAAGTCCAGTAGAGTTCCTGGTCTGTGGAGGACAAAAAGTGGACATGAGTTTGTCTAAATAGATTGCAGAAATGTTCATCATCCGAGAGGTCAGAGGTCATAAGTTACCTCGCAGCCACACCCTTTGCTGCAAGAGGACGGAGAGACTCAGGGGATCCAATCAGCTGCCACCTCTGCTCCATCTTGGACAGGATGTTTGAGCGCAGCAAGTGAGCCGGTCCCAGCTCTCCACCAGTCAGGAGCATGAACACCAGGTCCATCAGGAGCAGGAGCAAATCGGACTCTAGCTCTATTGCACTGTAACAAAATAAATTACATTTAAACATATGTAACATGGAGGACAGTAAACTGAACTTTCTCTTAATATGTGATAGTGACAGCACCAAAAACTACTAGAGGGAAACAAATATGCCAAAGCTGAAGTAAAGTGACCTTTTCTAGATCATTCAACCTGGTAATGAGCGTCAAAACCGAAGCCCTGTATTGTTTCAGGTGTGTGTTGTCTCACCATAACTCATCGACGACTCTGATCAGCAGGTGAAAAGTCTTCTTGGCAGCCATCAGATCTGCAGGTTCTCGTCCTTTACAAAAGTGTCTGTACGTGTTTGTGGTTAAAGGTTGAACTGATGGTTTTAATAATGTCTCAAGATATGTGAAAACTATTGTGTTATTGACAAACAACTGGACAAACTGATATTGTTGTCTTTTTTTTTTTTTTTCTTTTTCCAACTTCTTCAAAAACCTCCAACTAAAAAAGCTCCAGATGTCTTGCAGCGATCACAATCTGACCAATCAGGAGACAGTACCGTAAATCTTTGTTCAGCTGATAATGCAGCTACCGACAGAGAGGATATCTGTGCTGTAGTTTGCTGATCACCTCACTGGGACTGATGAAGCTTCTGTATGTGGAGAGGAAGGCTTCACGGTACATGCCTTGGTCTTAACACACACACACACATAGACACAAACAATAACACATTTATTAACCATGGCATGCATGCAAACACAACACTTACCTATCATAACATAATTCTTATGTGAAAATAGGTCAATCTCGATGTTTTAGCAACAAAAAGAGTTGATGTAAGGAGCAATTAGGTAACAGTATTAATGCACAACAGTTAAAAGTCATGAAGCATTTAACATAAGTGTGAGTGGTTCTTTCCCAGAATAACAATCTCCGGCCCACAGGCTGGTCTCTCTGACTGTAAATCCAAAAGTTACAATCTTACAACAAGAAGTAAGGCTCCTGTGTTGAATAGTTATCATCTTGCCCCTGAAGAGAGGTTCCTTGTACCCCTGAGTTACACCTTAAAATGATTCATTTTTAGTCAAAATCTTATCTTGAACTCAGAGGTTATTTATTCCCCGAAAATTCTTATATAGCAGCAGTTTGTGTATTTGACAGACTAACTTCAGCCTCTTGGATCCTGCTCCCCTCGAGCAGGAAAATTCTCATGCAGTTAGGATTGAGACAAGGACTCACCGTTACTTCTGTCAGTCTCTGTGGCAAAGACCAACAGGATCTCAGGAGAGGCTCCTTTCACATCTGGACCCTCCTCGTCCTAAGACAGACAGACAGAGTTTAGGTAGAAATAAAGAGCTTGAATAACTGCTCAGCAGAGGGGTCAGGGGGTACCTCAGGTTTCATTGTGATTCTCTGTAGGATCTCCTGCCGGTTGGTCAGTAACACCTCCTCCTTCCCCTCCAGCTGCCCTGAGCTCTTCTTGCAACGATCCTCCTCCTGCTGGAGACTCTGGGGACTGCAGAACAGAGCATTAAAGTGGCTGTATGTGTAAAAGTGTGTGTTGATATGGCTGTTTTTGCATTACCTGTCTTTGGGCTGGAGATCCTCATGCTCATTGTTGAGAGTTTCAACTGGATCCTAATGAAGACAAAAACAAGATTGGGTCAGAATCTTTTAAATGGTCTTTCAGTTCATTAACTGCCTCATCTGTGCCACACTTACTCCAAGAGAGAGCTGAGAATCTCTATAACTCATTATTACATGAGATTAAATTTGTCAGTCTGATGATTTGGGACTTTTTGCAAATCTGAAAATAAACCCCAAACAAGTGAAAACTGAAAGGTCAAAACTGAGAGTGGCAGTGATGCAACAATGTGGATTCCAAACATTATAAAAACACAACAAGAAGAAGCAGAAGTGGAAGAAGAAAAAGAGGAAAAAAAAGGAAGAAAAAATAAAATGGGAAGGTGCAACATGGGATTTCAAAACAATTGTTTTCTATTTTGTATTTTTGTCAAGTTCAAGCATATTAGATTTTCAAAACCCACTATGGAAAATTAATTAACAGCTGAAAACTGAATTTTCACTTTTTAGTTATGATAATTTAAATTCTCAAGTCTTTCCTCAGTTGAAATTTAAGTTTATAACTCCAGAACCTTAGATTTTTTTTGTGTGTACTGTACTTGTAATTTCACTTTAAAAGAATAATTAACATCAAAATCCATAAAAAATGCATCAAAGGTGAATTTCAGGCAACATGACACTCAAGTCATATTAAAGGGAGGACTATTCAATTATTTTGGAGGGCAGAATGTGTAGAAATAAGTATGATGACTGAGCAAAAACTGCCTCCTTGTCACCTTTATGTCTGCTCAGAAGTACATTTTTTACAAGGCCACCCTGGTCAACATTTTTAGCAGTTAGTTCGGGAAAAGTTACAGACATACAAAAACACAACAGTTAAAAACACACGTCAGCATTAACCTTAATCAACTGACAAGAAAATCATAACTAAATCAACTACAGCCTGGTGCATCTTTCACCCTTCAGAGGGACCACTTCCCCAAGAGCCAAATTATCTTGGAGACTCCAAGCTGCAGGAGCAGTTTCCTTAAAACTCCTTTTACCCCATTTCAAGATGCACAATGGGGACGGAAAGCAAAGATGAGTCATGTGACCGAGTCACCGAGCAAAGACTCTAGTTTCCAGCATTTTCCAGTTTATTAGCATAAATAAATAAGAGGAGAGCAAGTTGAAAATCGACATTTAAATAAGGACCCGCCAGTGATTTAGCTTATGAGTGGACAATTCAGGGCAGCCAACTTGAGCATATAAAGAGAAATGGTGATTCAGAGACTGAAGGTTTGTAGTGGACCTCAGAGCTGAGACGAAAGGCTTTAAGATGCTGCATGCATGATCAAAATATAACCACAGCCAATCACAGGCATAAAAGTAGCAGCAACATGTTTATTTTTCTTCCACAGCACAAAAAAACAAACAAAAAAAAAAACATGACTTATTCTTGAATAGAAGCCCAGCCCCGGCTTCAGCTTCTTTATAAGTTGCTGCATTTGAAATTCAAGACTGAGAATCAACAAGAACCCAAGATATCTATAGGACGATACAGACTCAGTCAAAATGAGAGATATGTAGTTATAGATGGCAGGTTCATCAGCTTTGGTACAGCAGCTTAGTCTTTGAGTTTTTAAACATCATGACTTTTTAAAATCAGGATTAAAGATCTATTTCTACTCATTAAAGGTGTCTTTCGTAGTATCAAAGACATCTCGCAGGTAACTTCTGGCCTTATACTGCATTAGAGCTGCGCAGTATATGACAGTATCATCTACATATAAATGTAAACTTGCATTGGGAACATTTGAACTAATACTGCTAATATAAACTGTCAATATTAGTGGTCCCAAGATGGTCCCATGCTATTTACTTCTTTAAGAGATCTAGAGGTATGGCCTTCAGCCTGCACACTCTGTGATCTGAATTTCCCGTTAAACCACTACATTATACAGGTCAACATTTGGAGCTGATATTCTCAAAAAAAAAAACTTGCCTTATATTTCGGTTCATGCAGTAATTTTCAGTCCAAAAATAAAAATTTGAGAAGTAAAAAATTCTCTGTTACAGCACAGGGGAACAGCTTCCTCATTATCAGAGTAGAGAGGAGACAAGAAGACATAGGTAAGTGGATAAAAAGGAACCAAAATTCTCACCTGTTGTTTCTTCTTTGGTGGTAGAACTGGAGCAGGAGGTTTCTCAGGTGAGGAGGCGGGGTCTTCTGTTTGCGTCTCCAGGTGTATGTCCAGGTGTGTGAGCTGGTAAGTGTTCTCCACTTCTCGCTGCCTGATGCTGTATCGCTGGAAGGTTGAAGGTTGATTGTAAAACATGGCAGGTGACTGGCCACTGTAGGATGAACAGAACTGGAGGTACTGATGGACTGGATGCAGACAGGGACAGAGACAGGTAAGGAGAGAGAGAGAGAAAGACACGTAAACACAGAAATACAATATCTTGCACAGACAGTCATTAGTGAGGAATGACTAACAGGTAAGACACTTTACTCTGAGCTACTGATGGATTTTTATTCTGCTTTGTTTGGACTCACTGTGGCGTTTCTTTTCAGGGAGGGGAGGGGGCGTCTTGCTGGGGGACAGAGGTGACAGAGCCTGATCAAGGATGATGACATCATCAGGATAGGCGGGACTCTGCTCCTGAGGGGGGGCGTCGAATCCAAAAGAGGTGGAGACCTGAGAGACGGTGTTTCCTGCTGAGAACAGCAGAGAGGAGTCAGATCGATAGACGGAGAGATGTACGAGTGAAGCTCAGCTGTCTCCTCACCTGTGGCACTGCGATTTCTCTTCTCTGGCAGAGCAGGAGGGAGGGAAGGCTGGGGAGGAAGAGGAGGGAGACTCTCAGAGGAGGAGAGGTCAGTGTGGAGGAAGTTGTAATCTGGATCCTCCTCTGGAAGACACAGAGAGTGTTAGATCATGAACTATCTATGTGAACAAACTGTAAATACTTCATGCTTCAGGTCAGTCAGGTGACAAATGTTTGTAACTCCCCCACCCCTGTGGTTGGTCAAAAGGATGCTGGATGTGGACGATTAGGATTTTGAAATTGTCTTAAACATATGGACCCAAATGCTGCTGTTCACTTCTATACTGATGACACTGTCATTTATCGCCTGCTTGAGCTTTCTCACATCTTCAGCATGTATTTGATTTAATCCAAGAACTGCTTTGTCAAGACGACCCTGATCTTTGGATCAAGATTATCACAATCCATCAAAGAATTGATCAAATTTTGCAGCATCTGTCTTAAGTGAAGCTATCAAAGATGTCTATGCAAGTTTGTCCAGCAGGAGGCAGCAGTGAGTCTTGCTGCTTTAAGGAGGAGACACTAGGCACTGTTTCCTGAATCTGTCAACATTCAGGAAGTGATGTCACTCGACCCCCCCCCCCCCCCCCACACACACACACACACACACACACAAACACACTGACTGGAAAAGAGTGCGTGCGTGTGTTTCTTACCACAGTGTATTTTCTCAGTAGAAGAGTTTGCTGATGAAGAAGAACAACGTTTGGAAAACTCCTCATCTTCCTGTAACGCAAACGCACACTTAAATATACACAACTAATAATTAATTAATACACTTTATCTGACAATTGATGATGATGAGGATGATGATGATGATGAGGATGATGACTTTATTTCCCCACAGTTTCAACAGTCTGAGGTCTAACTTTTCCAATGACAACCTTTGTGTAAATAAAGCTTTGAGACTGTGTTTAATATCTGACAGTAGGAGCAGTTAGTTCAACAAACCTGCTTCAGCTGTATGTTTACATCAGACTCTCGTCTCATTGGTGCTACAATGGCGACCCTGCAGAGGGTGGGGCCGGGTAAAGAGTGACGTTTCTTTGGGGGTAGCGCTGGAGGACTGAGGGGAGGAAGACAAATTAATAGCTTTAATAAGAGAGTTGATGAAGCTGGTTAACATGAATTGATGATTTTTCAGTACTTCACCCCTGATTTGTTCACCATTATCTGGACTTTATGAAGAAAATTGACCTCAGACTAGTGTTTTTATGATGCCAAAGTTTTAAGCTTTGACTGCAGCCTTCTTAAACAGTCCTGCTTTCTGTATTGATACTAAAGTTGTTTTTTATCCACAGTGTACTTTCACAACCTCTCTCTGCAGGTTTCGGAGCCTCTCATGCCTCTATATATAAAATATTCATATTCATAACAGTGTATTTATGTGAACAATGCTCGCCACAGCCGACAGCTTCCTGTTAATGGTATATTTATTTTGCAACCCCCTTCCCTTTTGAAAAAGACGAATAGCATCCAACAGCTCACATCTTTGGGCCAAAAGTGGTTGATTTCCATGAAAAGGAACCAAGAGAAGCTGAAGCTGTCTTTCTCACTTCCTCTTCTTTTTCTGGTTCCTGCTGTCGATCAGTGAGCAAAGAGACAGGAAGTACAGAGACGTGGGGGAGCGCTGACATGTGATGCTTCTCGTCGTCTTACTTCCTGTTGAATCCACAGTTCTATTTCTGCCCATCATATTACCATACTGACACAGTTTCATTGTCACACTCACCTACACCAGCACGACCCATAATCTCATAAACTTAATGATATATCAAAAATCATCGTAGATTTAAAAAGGTAACTATCTATATATCTATATCGTTAAATCCAATTAATATCAGCTTATTTATTAAAATCGGCTTGTCAGTTATACTTAGGCTGAGTCAGCAGATCTCCTGATTATGCATAAAAGAGTAACTCATTCCTGTCATCTCTTCCACGCTAAACTGACTTGTCCACATACATACATTTGTTTTGATCTATAATATCTTGCCCATAGTTCTGGGCCTGGTTGTGAGCACAGTGGACCTCCATAGGTGAAAGCACAGAAGGATGTTAGACCACGCTTGGATCTCAGATGTTGGAAGGAATTAAGCGATCCAGCTAGATAAAGTTGCTCTCTGTTGGGTCCTTTTCACAAACTTCATAAAGAAGACTCTTCATGTCCAGTATTACAGCAGAGATAAACTTCCAACTGAGCATAACAGAGGTCTAAACATGCAGAAGTAGGGCGATGTCACTCAAATATCTGGATTTATTCCTGGCAGCAAGTTTTAAAATCAAACTCTCAAGTTGACTCCTTTCTGATAAGGTTTGTGAAAAGACAATAACAGCTAAGATCCCAATGGAGGTCCAGTCATTAAAAGACAATTGGAAATTGAAAGTTTGGAATCCCTTTAAATGAATGACAAATGCCTCAAGTAAGGATGCCTTTGATTGAACACTGCATGATTGATCACAGCAGTTGCTAAAAGACACCTTAAAACTGTCATTAAGTGTTATCTAGAATCAGATGGGGTACTTTAAAACAAACTAAAACTGATGCTGTTTTTGAGTCCAAAATGAGCCGAAATGCAAATCCTAGGATGCCAGGATTAGTCAACAGCTGTCAGGAAAATTTCAGCAGCCAATCAGGTTTCAAAGAGTTACATGGTTTTATTGTTAATTTGACCAAACTTACTGACACCATTTACTTGATTCAGACTCACCTCAGTCCCAGCTGGGGTGTCATCTGGGGGAGCGGGTCTAAGAGGGGCATTGGGGGTTTAGGAGGAACTGAAAAGATTTGCTCCGCCGTACTTTTCAGCTTCTTCTGCTCCTCCTCCTCCTTCTCCTCCTTGGCGGGAGTTCCTTGACTCCAGGAGGCAGATAGCCTGTCTGAAGACGGCTGGTCTTTGAAACAGTCGGTCTGCTCCACAGGAGGCTGTAGCTGGACAGGAGATAAGGGGGCTGAGCTGTCTTGTCTCTCTGAGGCCAATCGAACCAGCTCCTGACAAATGAATGGGACAAAACAAATCAACAATACTACAACAACTGATGGATCGTATGACAAAAACAGGACAACAACAGGACACAGTCCAAACAGAGCAGGACGAGAAAAATAAGATGACTAAAAATGAAAGGTCAAATGACAGCCACAACAAAAAAGGACAATGTGAATAATCGAGGAAAGGCAGGATATCATGATAAGAGGCCAAGACACAGGGAAGGACAGGAAAACAGAAGGGACAAAGGCAAAAAGAAGTGGACATACAGGATCACCAGTCCATCATTTGAGATTATTTTTTGATTGTCCTGGACCCTTTGGTCCTAACTGGGCAGAAGAGGACAGAAAAGACAGACAAAGACAGGGGTTTGTGAGGTCAAACATGACTTCATTGTCTGACTATGACAACGTGGACAGGAGACTAGAAAGTGAGGAACAGGACAACTGGACTGAGGACAACAAACATGAAAAAACATACAAGAGAAATGACAGAAGTAGAATAAAGGAAGACAAAAAGTATAGAGGAGACCAGGGCACACGCTATTAAGACATACAAGAGTAAAAAGACAATAAAGACAAAAAAAGAATGGACAAAAACACAAAGAGCAGAAAAACAAAGAGAAAAAGACACAGAAGAAAGAAAAAGAAACAAAGAGAGAAAAAAAAGAAAAGAAATGAAGATTACAACAAAGGGCAAAGAAGAGATACAACACAGAATAAGACAAAAAGACGAAAAACCCCCCACAAAGGACTGTAAATAGAAAAAAGGACAGAAAAAGACAAATAGGATACAAAGAAGACAACAAAAAGGTTTAGACCCATAAGGCAGTACCAAAGGAGTGGGCATGACAGCCCTCCAGAATAAGACAAAAAGGACAGAAAATGACAAATAAGAAAGAAAAGGACAAAAAAAAAAGAAAAAGAAAAAAGGACAAAAACAGGTGGGACAGGAGATCAGAAAAAGAAGAAAAAGATAAAGAGACAGAGGAGGACAAAAAACACAGAATAAAGGTAACCCAAGGGAGACAATCAAGGACACAGGAAGACATGAAGGACACAAGGAAGAGTAAAAGGACACAAGAAGACATAAAGGACACAAGGAAAAGTAAAAATACAGAAGAAGACACGAGGGACACAAGGAAGACTGAAAGGAAACAAGAAGACATAAAGGACACAAGGAAAAGTAAAAATACAGAAGAAGACATGAGGGACACACGGAGACTAAAAGGACACAAGAAGACATGAAGGACACAAGGAAGACAAAAGAGACATGAAATACACTGAACATGAGCAAATACAAAAGCAACAGAAAAGATTAAAGACAACAAAAGGAACAGACAAAGACATGCAGAACAGAGGAAGACAAAAAAAGACAGACTGATACAAAAAGGACAGAAAAGACACATTGGAAAGAAAGATACACAAAGGAAAGGAAAAATAGAACAGAGGAAGACAAGTTCAGAAAGATGCAAAAAGGACAAAAGAAGATACATACCACAGAGAGAGAAAAAAAGGAAGGTTAGTGGAAGGTTTATGGGTCAGTTAGAGACATAAAGACAAAAAGAGGGTCAACTCGTCAGAAAGGGACAAAAACTAAGAGCACAAAAGAGGGATGAAAACAGAGACACTCAGTTTTATACAATGAGCACAGATGAGGACTGAGACACCAGTCAATATTTACAGACATGCTGAGGCTATGCCTTTTTACACTCTCTGGACACATTTGGATTGAAGAGAGAAACCAGAATAGAAAAGGACGAGCATGACAAAGAAACAGAAAGACAGAACAAAAAGTTGAGCTGAAGTAAAATTAGACAAAAGAGACTTTAGGGGAAGAGGAGGAAAAATATGAAAGAAGAGATAAAGATGGATCGGAAAATTAACAGGACACGAGTAAGTAGATGAGGACACAAACACCAGTCCACCGATAGTCCTCACCTTTACTCCATCTAGCACTGCCCTGATCGCCGCGGTGACGCTTGCTTTGGAGTCTTTGCTGTCCTGGGCAGCTCCCTGCAGCATCACCTGATCAGTCCATCGAATCAGCTGAGCCACATACTGGTAGAGACGAGTGAGACAGGAAGAGATGGTCTTACTGCAGAGAGGACAGACAGGGTCAGGTCAGGGGACAGGTCTTTCACTATGGTCTGACGTCAGAGGTTAACAACAAGAGTCACTTACCTGCTGTGCAAGCGAGGCTCCAGCTGGACGAGAGTCTGGACCGCCTCCAGGACTCCACCAGACGCCCCACCTAGCAGACCACCCACTACAGACTGATCCTGGACCAGCTTGTCTACTCCCAGTCTGTCCACCAGAGCTTTGAAGTACTGCAGAGAGCTGATGACCGCTCGCTCCTGGTCTGCTAACCCACACACAGACTGGAACACAGAGAGTGTGAACTTACACGGGTGTAAGAAGTGTTGGACCAACAACAACACAAGCGCTCATACAAGGTGCCCTGTGACCACAATCAAACTTTCTTCAAGCTTTCCATAAATATGGTGATGATATCATTATTGTCATATTTTATGCTCAGGATGATTCAGAAAGAAAACCTGATATTGTGACGAGCCTAATATGTCATTGTGTAGGATGGTGTCTCACATTTTTAACATCCATTAAAGTTTAAAAAAGCTTTCAGCGAGGGCCAAGCTTTAGTGTTCAACGCAGTTAACTGACTAACTAACTCACCAACTAACTCACTAACTAACAATGTTTGAGGAAAACACTTTTGACAGTCTTAATTTTCCAGTTTGATTTATATTGTGTGTGTTATAAAGGAATAGAAAAGACCCCGGGTTAAAAAACCTGTACTTCAACCTGCCTCCAGGGGAAGCTCTAAAAAAGTTCTGGCCCTGCTTTTGGGGAGCTGTTGTGCCATTCATGTTTTATACACAATCTGTCACTCTGCAGCTCCAAATCTATTGTTAGTCTTTTCCTAAAACATCACGCAGCAAACACACAAAGCTGTGTGTTTGTGCACTTTGTGTTACAGTTTATCTGTGTGGCACAGATCAGTGTGTAACCGCTGTTTTAAAGCACACAGTAACCTTGTCTTCCAGAGTGTGGACCTTGTATTTCAGACTGTGCACTTGAGTCACTTTGGGTGTAATTTTGGTTTTAGTGTGTGTATGTGTTTGTTTGTGTGTCTTAAGTATTTTGTGTGTGTGTGTCTTAAGTATTTTAGTCCATACTTCATTTAGCAGCGTAGATGTGTACTTCTTATTTGAGAATGCGAGCTGTCACCCTGTATTGCAGTGTGTACTTTGTGTTGCAGTGTGTGAAATGTGGATCACAGTGTGCATCGTGTATGCATGTACCTGAAGTTGTGGTGTGAGTATCTAACATTGTCAGTTATTAATGTGTGTGCACCTTAATGCAGCTAAGATGTGTACCCTCATTTCAAAGATTGTGCATCATATTTCACTCGCATTGACAAACGCATGTGTCATGTGTTGCATTGTGATGACCTTGTGTTGCTGTATGTCTTCCTTGTGTTGCAGCATAGTTGTTGGTGTGCGTGCATTGTGTTGCAGTGTGTGTTGTCTTGTGCAAGTTAGGTTGCCCAGAGTGGATCTTATTTGCATCGTGTTACTTTTGCTTTGAGTTGTGCCTGTGTGAACTGCAAGCAGGCCGTGTGTGTGGGTGTGTGCGTGTGTGTGTGTGTGTGTGTTTGTGTGTTTCTGTACCTTGTGCTCTATTGTGTTTTCATGCTCCAAGTTCAGATCAGGAGGTTTGGTTTTCTGTGATGGACTGTGCTTGATTCGCTCAAAGCGTCTGATCGTCTGTGATTGGATTTTACCCTTCAGCTTCAAGGTGAGGGATGCAAATTGGGAGGCTTAGGGAGAAAAAGATCACCATCATCACCATCATCATCATTACAAAAACACAGCTAATTCAGTCATCTTAGTTTAACTTTAAATAGGAAACTGAAGTTAACTGAGAGGAGATAAATGTTTGAATGTTTTTAGCCTGTGGTGGCTAATAGTTAGCATCAAAGGAAGAGTTGAAGAGAAGCATACCTGTCTTACTTTCCGCCCGGGAGGACATGTCTGCAGGTGGACTCACAGACAGTCAGGTGGCAGCGTCAGTTCAGCACTTTAATCCTCTGCTCTCATGTTAAGCATCCACACTCTGTCTGTCTCTCTTAACTTTTATATTTCTGAATTATCTCTTTGTCATACACTCTCTGTCACACACTCTCTCTCCCTCTGACCGTGTTTCTGCCTTTCTTTCTTCCCTCTTCTCTTCTTCCTCTTTCTGTGTCAGTTGAGTATATTCAGTATGACTGTCTGTACTCTCAGTGAGGAGGAGGAGGATGGTGATGCTGTCAGGTTAGAAATAGGGCATCAGTCTGTGTGAGAATCTGCAGCACCATCTGTTGGCTGGAAGCAAAAAGCACACCTCTGTGATATTCGGATAACTTTCACAATTGGACTTTGATGGTAGATGTGTGATGCTTTCTGAAACTTAAAACCCTACATTCACTTTAAAATACTGCAAAGACAACAAATCAAAAATTGAAACAAACTTCTTATTGATTCTTAGTGACAAAAAATATTAGCTTGTTTTAAATTTGATGCCAATGTCATCTCTCAAAACTGCTGCTGCGGGAGCATTTTTGCAACTGTGCTGCTTCATCTCCTCTTTGAACAATACGCAGTAAGATTTTGGGACATTGTCAAATTCCTGGTTTCATACTGCGCCGAACATTTGAACTGCACCTGGACTCGTCTACTACAGAGCCACACTGTTGTAACACATGCAAAATGTGATTTGGTATGGTCTTGCTGAAATGTGAAGGCCTTCCCTGATACAAATGTTCTCTAAAAGGCAGCATGTATTGCTCCAAAATTGGTATCTTTCCAAGACACATGAGCTACCCATATCATGAAAGCTTGTGTGTCTCAGTGCCATCTTAAGTGCTGGCTTTTGAACTGTGCTGATAACAAGCTGACCACAGGACGATTTTCACTTCACCACAGTTCATCTAAAATAGGCCTGGGCCCAGAGAGATGCTATGATGAACTGCATTTACAGACAAAGTTTTTTTAGGTGTTTTTGAGCCTGTGCAGTGATTTCCACTACAGAGTCTTGTCTATTTTTAATGCAGTGCTACCTGAAGACCCAAAGATTAAGAGCTTCCAGTATTAGTTATCGACCATGTCCCTTTATGCAGAGATCCCCAGAATCTCAACAATACTATGTACTGTAGTGGTGAACAGCTTGCAGTCGTATCCTCTTAGATGTTCTCATTAATGCATTTGCACGGTTACAAAATAATCACGTAGTTTTATCAAAAAGAATCACAATTTCTCGTTAGATACATAGTAAGGTTTGAGAGATTTGCAAACCATCAAATTCTATTTTTAATGATATTTAATGAAGCCGCACAACTATATTGGAAGTGAGGTTGTATGACAGTAAAACACAACTAAACTAACAGTCCATGACTGTAATGTGGAATTACAATTTTTGTCAATAGCCTGTAATGACTTTGAGGAAGCAATAGCTGATTGATCATTCTCTTCCAGAAAAAGGTTTACCCATCTGTGGGCATCATGTCTGTAAAGTTCTGCGGTGCCCTTGAAACTGAGCCTAACTTAAAGTATGTAGGCGGGCTTCAAAGTCAAGCTCAGCCCACAGAACATCACCTTATCTTAATGCAAGTTCTATCAGCTGGAAGCTCAGACAATTACCTTCTACACTCAATAGGCAAAAGTCAAAATGGGCTTTTTATTTACACTGCCCATGCTTACCTACATCCCAGCTCCTTCTTTTTATATTGCCTGTGTCATATTATGTATTATCACTGATGTCAGCTCTATTTGGTAAACTGGGGTCTTTGCTGATGCTCGCCCTGCCTTGGCTTTTCATGCATGAACATGGAAGGGAGGTGTGCTCTCCCCACTGCAGGCTTTGACCTCCTACACATGCGTGTGGATGGGCTGGGAGTCTGCAGAGAGCCATACCACCAAATACAACTGTCTGTTTGACCACATTTGAGCCTGTCTATGATACACGAGATTTACTAATGGCTCCTTTCTTCTGGGAATAAACCTACTGCCATTATAGATAACTCTTTAAAAGCTGGCTGATTGGGCCAATGTTCAAAAGTAGTACCAGAATCATACCTTGATCGGTTTTTGAATGATAAGTTTTCATTTGTGTTTTGTTGTTTTATGAATCCTGAAATTAGTGTTCAGAGAGAATGTATAAAGACAAGTTTTAAGAGTGTTTCAGTAAATCTAAAACTCTACTGTTTAGTTTTAACCAACAAAAAAGAACAATAGGACAATTGTTTTCTTCATTCACTCAAACTTTATTCACGTTAACACTTCTCTGTTGGCCCTGATCACATAACACTAAGATACACAACATAACTACACACATACATACACACTAATACACACATATACACCACAGTCTGGGCCGCTGCATATTTCAGTTGAATAAATCTATATATATATAGATGTTTTCTCACATACATATGGTTCATCATTATCTTCATATATTCTGTAAACATTACATTTATATTGATATCATACAGAGTGAACTACCCACGATCACAAGTGTGTGTGTGTGTGTGTGTGTTTGTGTGAGGCCGAGCTGCGTTCAACACACTGCTGCTGCAGAGCAACATGTGCAACACTTCACTGCTTATTACAAAACATTCAAAAACATCTCTACTTGAAATCAGAGTATCACTACCATGCTGACAGCAACCTGAACACATGAAGACACTTCACAGCCACAAACACGCTCTGCCGACACAGTGGAGCATGTGTTGTGTTGAACGCAGCTCAGAGCTCAGCTAAGTCGACATAATCACTACATCATGAACATTATACACGTACACAGGTTGAATAAATAGATCAGCAGTTATAGAGTTGTACAGTCTGTTGTTCAGTCGAATCATCGCGTACAGTCAAACCATAAAATCTAACAGCTGGTGTGTCTCTGAAGAACATTAAGACCTATCAAACCTGCAGGTCAAAGTGCTGGCTGCCGTAAATTCCCTTTACAACACTCTCATCCCCCAGAGTCAGTCATCAGACCTCCATAAGCAGCTTTCAAAAACACTAAGAAATAAAGCTCCAGTTCAGAACATATCAAACAAAATCAAAGAAACTTGAGAAAAAACCTTTGGATATGACAGACATCTATTGTTTCACATTAGATTTACAGTTTTTGGATCATTTCTGAGACTGTTTGCTGTCAAAAGTTCAAAAACTCTGTAGTTAAAAGTCTGTATAAGCATTTCTGCTCAGTTTACCCCACAGTTCTTGGATTTAATTAATAAAATCCAACATGTCAGCATCTCCAATTATACTGGAAATAATCTGGAACTATCAGACTCAAGCATATAGTTACAGATTTTGGATATTAAATGGTTATTAGCAATTTGCAGCTAACCTCAAATCAAGTCCAAACAAGCTGCAGCCAGTAACAACTCACTGAAACAAGTCAGAGCCAAAGGCGTTCATTAGGAGCCAGCTGGAACCAGTAACACCCAATCTAAATTAGTTGGCACCATAAAGGATAAAGCTTCTTAAGATCAGGCTGGTTGTATCTGTATCAGTCAGTACTGGTTGGAACCAGCTTGATCCAGCTGGAACCACTTTGGACCAGGTAGAGCTAGATTAATGCAGAGGTCAGACTGCACAGTATGAGCAGGAGTATACCTAAAGATGGAGCGTCTTGTATGTTTCCTATGTAGTGGGAACAATCAGTAAGGCCACATAAGGTACTTCTCCACAGACAATCAAGCACGTTTGATCTGTTCTGCTTTCTAGGATGTGAATCACCGCACAAGTTGCACTGATAGATGGAACTATAAGTCAGAGGAAAGTTCGTGAACCTCTGGTAACAACAAAATTGGCATTCCCAAACGATTGCGATGGTTGATCTGTACCATTGTGTAGTCTGTCATGTGTGTCAGTTAAGTTAAAGCAAGAATTTACTGCTCTGTGATCGTCTAATCTGACATACTGATGATCGTAACAAACATAAAGACTGTGCAGTCTGACCCCGACATGACGTGACAAAATTTATAAGACAGGACTAAAACAGAGTGCAGAGGATTCAAAGACCATTGGTTAAAATGGGCACAAGCTAGCAACACTGTATATTTTTGGTGGGAAACATTGAGCGAACAAGATAACAGTTAACATAAATAATGCCATATCAATCAGAACAGCAGATAATAAATAAATTGATAAATTAATAAATAGATAAATAAATACATAGGTTAAAAATAATCTGTAAACTTTACACTGTAAAGAAAAGTTGCAACATTCCAGCATTAATCAGATGAGTCCACCAGCTTCACACATAAGAGTTAAATAAATAAATATACAAATAAATAAATAAATAAAAGGATAATAGAAAAAAATATATATTCTTTTCCAGGAGTTGATGCAGCTAGAAGAGTTTCTAACCAGCTACCTATATGCAGTCGGGTCTGATCCCAGAGCAGCCTGAATGTCCAGAGAAGATCTTGACTTCTACAGCATCACTTGAGTCTTCTACGATCTACAGTATGTTATAAACCTGATAGTAGCTGATAAATCATGTTTCTATCACTGCCATTTTGATGTGATATGACAGACAGTGAGAGGAGGCAGAGAGACAGGCATCTGGACTGTCTCTTCCTCCTTACAGTAGACAGAGAGCTGGACAACATATCTATACACTCAATATTGCAGAAGTGTTTTGCTGATCATTTGCTATATAGTCATAATGTGCTGATAATCAATATAATTTTATCATTATTACTAGTAAGGTTCACAGTAACACAGCATCAGTAGAGAACAGTAGAACAGTTCAGTAGAGACACAAACACACTCGGTTCAGGTTAACCCTCAATAGAAGACTGGGGGCTCTCTCCGTGGGCGGGGCTACCTTTATTGGGACGACTGGGGAAGAACGACATAAACGAACATGAACAAAGAGAAAAGAAAAGAGGAGAAAAACAGTGAATTTAACAGAAAAACAAAAAGGCAGGAGGGTTTTTCAAGGGTAGGAGGGGAATTCGTCAATGTGCCATGCTGCTGGTACCTGTGGGAACCAGTTATAGCATGTGGAAACCAGTCAGAGACAGAAACCAAACAAAGCAGACAGGATCATGGCTGTTAAACAGCTATTTCTGTTTGAGTACCACTCAGAACATGTTAACAGGAGATTCTAGAGAAGATACACAGAATAATACAGAAAACGGCAGGCTGGTACACTACATATTAACACAGAACAATCAGATAATGGGAAGTGGAGTTGTGTATAGAGGAGAAGGTAGAAGCTAAATCTGAAACAAAAGAGTGCTATAATTTCAATTAAGGTACAGCAGAGAAGGATAAGGTACAGTGGGATAAGGTGCAATGGCGTAGTGGTATTATACAGGAGGTTACATCTGAGTAGGGTACACACAAAACGAGGAGACAGTGGAGTATGAAGTAGTAGGAATGTACAGAAGGTAGGGCAAGGTTTGGAGGGAGGGTATGGTAGTAAGAGAAGAGAAGATGAGGGTACAGACAAAAAAGGTTAGAGTGGAATAAATGTAAGAAGATATAATGAGGGGATAGCATCAAAGAGTGCTGTAAAGGACGGTACAAAGGAACAAGGTATAGAAAAAGATAGTACATACAAAGAGGGTACCAAGCAGTAGGTTACAGTGGAGAAGGGCACAAAAGAAGAGGGTACAGTTAAGAAGGATACAATGGTACAGAAGAGATGGCTACAGTGAAGTTGGGTGAGGTTGGAGAAACTAGAGGCAAGTCTCTTTCACAAATAATGGTCTGCAGGACATTGTTGCACTTTTAGGAAGTTTGGCTTGCTTTCACTTTGCCAAACCGTGTGCACAATGTCACGTGATCATGACAGCTGCTCATTTGTGGTGGTAATGTCCCCAACAAACACTTGAGCGTAGGAAGACAGAGATGAAGAAGAAGAAAGCAGCTCAGCTATCTGTCAGAACAGAACTGATATCCCCTTTTGTTGGCGTATTCCCCACAGCAACAATAGAACAACACTAAGTTTCTGCAGCCCTGGGTTTCTGCATTTTCTTTGGTGTTCATATAATGAATGCATTATAGGTGCCAAGTATTCAGGCGAGGCAGAGAGCTGTTGTTCTTTACATGAGACTAAATGAACCAGTACAAAGACATCAAGCCTGGAGAAGACCAGGAGACTACGACTTGTTGTTTTGCTTAAACAGATGCAAAGCTAGGTTCTGATACAGATATGCTCTACACTCCATGCCACCTGCTTCCTTTGGTTTACAAGGTGGTCTGCTTCAATCTTACAACTTAAACAAACCACACCACTTGGTAGCAAACTGAGACCGCCATTTTAAAGTGTGCCAGAGTTAAATTGTTTGGTCCGCACCAGAGTTCATTTGTTGGAGCTTTCATACCACTCAGATGGAACAGGATTACTTGGTAAAGTAGACCATTGTTCATCTAAATTGGACCAACAGCTCTGGTATGAATGAGACCTTAGATGCAGCAAAATACGAGTTGGAGAAGGGTACAGAACATGAGGGTAGGGTAGAGAAGCATGCTATGGAGCTGGATAAATTAAAGTTGGGTGTTAGAAAAAGGGTACATGGAAGATGGTACTGAGTAGAAGGTCAGGAGTGAGCAGGGTAAGGAAAAGTGAGGTTTAATAAAGGGATGAAAGGTAGAGTACAGTTAGGTACAGTGGATAAGGAACAGCGGGTACACTGAAGAACAAAAGAGTAGGGTACAACAGAGCAAGGACTGGAAGATTGGGATGCAGTAAATGAGGATGCAGTCAAAGGGAGTGATCCTAGAGAAGGTACCTATGACTAGGGTACAAAAGAGGTAGGTAAAGTGGAGAAAGAAACTGTAAAGTGGGGTATAGTTTTAGTTGGGGATGTTAGTAAGAGAGATAAAGTAGACAAGGTGGCAGTAGAGGAGGGAACAGTAAAGCAAGGCTTATTAAATGAGGGTGAATAGGTGTAGAAGAAGAGGCTACAGTGGAGGGGACACAGTAGGGTAGGGTACAGCAGGTTGCAGCAAAATAAAGATTTGGTAGAGAAGGGCAAAGTAGAACAGGTTACAGAGGAGTAGGATACAGAAAAATGTTGCACACGAATGGTTTACAGTAGAGTCAAGTGGGGTACAATAATACAGGGGAGATTCTGTCATTTCAATAAATATTTACAGTTATGCTGATGACATACAACTTTATGTGTCTTAAAAACAGCAGGTCTTTGAAAGCTAGGACCTGATTTCTAATCTGCTTTTAGGACTGTAGCTCTGCTGCTGAAAATAGTCCAACTGTAGATGTTGGCTCTTTGAATTGACCAGCAAACCTGAGGTCCTCACACCATACATACTAAGATCATCCTGCTGAGGTGACTGGAAAACAAGGTCACCACTGTACTGTATCTCTCAGTGAATAACTTCCATCCATTCCTCAGTAAAGAAGATGGCTACTGTACACCACATAGGAAGACTAGCACGGAATCTCTTTTAGGGACTTTTCTCGCTATTTACAACCGTTACATTGTTTAGTTTGTATAATATTGTTTTACACAAATGTGCAACCCTGCATAGTTTGTGCGGATGCAGGAGATAAAACACAATATATTTTGTTTTTTTCTGCAGTGAAGCTAGAACTAGAACCTTATTGCCAGGTTGTTATTAGATACGTATATCATAAGGGTTAACATAAACTGGGTCAAATACCTGGTGAAAAGTCCAGAGAGAGGGTAGGAGACCCTGAATCTCTTGAGAATCTCCACCAACTGTGATTGCCTGTCTGACTGACAGAATGGATAACAGTATTGATATGAAGTGACCTGAGAAAACACATGTACTGTATGTTAAACCTGTGGTAGGTATTGACCCAGATGGATCTTGGTGAAACTGACACAAACCTTGCTTGAAAACAGAAAACCTTTTTTGAACCAGCTGGAACTACAAGTAACAAGATAAAGCCTAATGGGGCCAGTTGGAACCAGATTTACTTTGCTGGACACAAATGGAAGAAGCTGAGGCTGGTTGGGACGTCTGAATTAATTAAGTCAGAGCCACTATGGACAAGCTTGTACCAATGTACAAATTTCGGAATCAACTGGCTTTGAAAAGCTTGAAACCAGTTGGACCAAGCAGGAGTTGTGGCAATATTAGTAACCAGTTTAAACAAGCTGAAACCAGTAGGTACCAACACCTGGTTGCCAGGAACAGCCCATTTAGAACCATGAACCATTAAAAAAAGATATCAATATGTTGAATCCTGCAAACAGCCCCACCTTAAACAGTTGGTGGTAGTTTGAACCCAATTGCTCGAAATTGGTAGGAACCATTTGGGACCAGCTAAGTAACCTTTTAGAACACATAAAAAGCTTTAGGAACCAATAATAAGTAACTGGAACCACTATAGACATGTTACAACCAGCTGGAACCAGTAAGAACTTGTCTGACATAGCTGGGATCAGCGGTAACATGTGCTAACAGGAGCAAACAATTTGTGGAAAATGATAACAACCAGCCTCGACAGATGAGACCAGCTGGTTCTGTCTTAAAACAAGTATGTACATGAAGTGGTCGGGACCTGCAGAGGGTGGTTCAGAGGTGTTTCTGACGAGGGCTGAAGCAACATGTGAAATATTTGTGACCATGATGTCTAAACAAGCTGGATCCCCATTTATGAGGTAACCTGTGCGTATTGCAGTGTTTATCTTGTTTGTGTGAGTTTTGTTTTTGTGTATATTGTGTGAATGTATTTTAGAGGAAGGAGTCAGAGTCTGGTCTGGAGGGTCGGGATGGAGATGCAGGAGCCCTCCGACTGGAGACAACACACACACACAGACAAAATAAAAACAAATAAAAACAAGAGACAGACAAAGAGAGACAGACAGAGACAGACAATCAGTTATCGGGCGATGGAGCTGTTGATTACACAGCCAATTAAAAATGTTAAGGTAGTGGGCGGGGTCACATGGCGAGGACAGCAATCTGATTGGGTGATGAGGCACAAACAGAGCTCATGAGAGACAGTGACATCACATAGACAGCTGACGTACCATTGGTGAACTCCTCACTGGTCACTGATAGAGATTCTGAAAAAATAACCATATATGGTCAATATGAGGGGGCGGGTTAAGGGGCGTGGTCACCCGCTCTGACACTCACACACCTGAGAGCTTCCTGTTTAGCCTTAAAAGGTACTGTTAGAACAGGATCACACAAACAGACAGACAGACAGACAGACAGACAGGCAGGTACCCAGACAGACTGGCAGCTAGAGAGATGGTTAGACAGACACTGGACAGGCAGACATACAGACAGACAGTTTGATAAAGAGGCAGAGAGAAAGGATGACAATAAAGAGGACAGACAGACAAACAGACAGACAGAGAGAGTTAAAGAGACAAGTAGACAGTAAGAGACACATGTGGACAGACAGTCAGATGGATCATAATAAGAAAACCATCAGACAAAGACAGACAAACATGTGAACAGACAGACAAACAGACAGACATGGCTCCGGGTAGATGTTGAAATGCTGTCACATAATTCCATTAGTGGTATCAGTTTCACCTCTGTGTATCAAGTACCAAGGCGATCTAGGATGTTTTTGTTGCCTAGCCTAGCATAAACATGGTAGGTAGATGGAAACTGTTGGCCTAGGCCTCACAGTTTTCTGCTGCTGTTGGGGAAAAGTTGGATGCTGTTTGACAGAAGTATTCCTCATGTTTCAAATAACAGTTTAAAAACTTAAACCTTTTTCCCTCCTCTCCTTTTTATGTCCTCTCTTCCCCTAATGAAATGGGGGTAAGCAGCCCACACAAGCTTCTAACTATTGCTCTAACTTTTCTGTCCCCTTTCTGGTATCCCACTGTTGACTCTTTATCGTCTCCCTGTTCTTCCCCCTCTTCTGTCAGAGTAGGGATGGATGGACCCTAACCCTAATTTGTTAAGCCCCCCTGTGGTGATATGGGCTGAACATAAAAACTCTGGTGAAGGCAGGTGCCCAACTCAAAAACCTTGGTGATGTACTGGCTCATCCTGCCCATCTGTTCCCATTTGGGTTACATAACTTATTGGGAGCGCATGTATGGTGCCTAATTGGTTGGTTAACTTGCTGAACACTACTCATTAGAGGATAAGTACCTTGTGTTTATCCAACCCCCCACCTCCTTACCCAAACTTCCTAGGCCAATACATCCTGGAAAAATCTCTGCACTGGGCTCACAGAGATGAAACTGTGGATTTCCCAAACTGAGGGACTTATCCTTCAAGGGTAGGAGAACCTGTTGTGCTTTACAAAAAGGAAAGAATGAAGAAGTCTGGGGATGGGAAGAAAGAAAATGAGCAAAGAGAAGAGGAAAGAAAGACCAGTCTTTCTTTTCCATGTCTGTGCAGGTTGTTTGTGGATCGCAGGTTCTGTTCTACAGCACCAGCAAAGAAGAAACTCTACCCAACAAATACACTTGTCTTTAAATGACCTGTGATCCTCTCTGGTAAAACTCTACATGGTGTCCAACTTGGTAAAAACACATCACAGCAGTCAGTGATGGTACCAGTTCAGATTTTTTAAACCATAGCTGTTTTCATATTTTCCCCCTACATCAGCTCATCATTTAATTTTCAAACAGTGCAGGGTTTGGTTTGCAGAAACTGCATATAAATTGGAAATTAAGTCTTATGTTTCTGTCCTACTGATGAAAGTCTCAATGATAGCCAAAGCTGAGTGCTTTGTTGTGCTAATCCAAACCAGACACCATTAAATTTTTATCACATGAACGTGAACATCTTAAAATCACCTTAAGCCACATTTATGCTGCATTCAGGTCACATTACAGTGTAGGTAATTACATTCAAAACAGTTCTGGTGATGTTTGAGTTGACCTTGAGTAAATGTAGGTTTTGACCTTTGAGATGTCAATTTTGCCAGTTAAATCTTTTCTTCAGGGATGATAATGGTCCCTGAACTGCTCTAATGGGATCTCTTGAAATCAAGAGAAAAAAAGATCAAATTGATGATATCGATGTCATCTCCAGGGTCACAGTCGATGTTAACCAAGTGTGAGAACTAACAATGAACTAACACCATCACTGTTGTATAAAACCAAGACTTTCAAAGGGACAAACCAGCAGGCTCACACATGCAGCCATAATTTCACTCCGTAATGAAAACAACACAGTGAGCTGCATTATCTGGGCTGACTTAAATCACTGCACACCGAACAAGAGTCCTGCTGGTGAAACACCAGTCTGCTGCTGTTCAGTCTCAACATTACTTTAAATGCAGCATCTGTTACCTGTGTGCGTTTTACCTTGGGACTCCAGGTGGGGGTGCTCTATTGGGTCGGGAGGGAACAGAGGGTGGAGGTCCAGGGTCAGGTGACACTGCGGGGCGAGATGGGGCAGCACGGCCACCTGGACGAGGAGGTCCAGGAGGTGCCCGGCGGTTGGGGGTTGGACTGGACATGGGGGACCTGCAGAGAGATCGGCAGGCAAGACTGAGTAATAATGATCATTCAATAAGGATAGATGTATCAGCTGACCTGTAGCTAATTTACCTGCGTCCTGATGGCATCCCTGTCACCTGCAGCCAGGAGTCGTCCACAGGCGGTGGCATTGAAGTGGAGATAGTAGAGGTGCTGATGTCACCGATTATGCTGAGGCCCTCTCGCAGGGCATGGTACATCTTCAACATCTCATCACGGTGCTGCGCCTGAAGGAGAGACACAGACGGAGGAAGAGTCAGGGTTTATCCTCTGATAACTATGACTACTGACAGAAGATTGCACCCATCTGTTCTGATCTTCTCACCTGCTCCTGGGACTCCTCCATCAGGCTGTTTTGGTCTCCACAGGAGTAAAGGTGAGCCAGCAGGTCGGCATGGATGAAGTCCTTGGTCTGAAGAAGAAAGAGATGATATTAGGACACTTAAAATCACTTCCTCTGTGTTTATCCATGTCCATCTGTGTGTCCCTTACATTGTTGACCATCAGGTGCATGATGGTCTTAGGGATGATGTCCCTGACAGTGCGGTGGATGATGGACAAGTATGAGTCCACCAAGTTCCTGACAATCTCCACTTGTCGCTCCAGCTGAGGATCCATGCTGTGGATTTGCCCGTCTCCACTCGCCTCCTCAGTCTCCACCTAAACACAGTCAACCATTAATAAAGGACACATCAGTTCACCGATGGGCTGATAAAAACACCCAACTCCGTTAACAAAAGAAGTAAACTCACCTTTTCTTTGTCCTGCAGGAGAAGAAAGAAGAAATAAAGTATGAATACAGAAATCAAAAAAGTGTCTCCAAAGGTTTGAAGATGTACAAAATAGGATTAATCAGATACAGTGTACTGAAAATGTAGTTAAAGTTAAGGAATACACCATTAAATGTCATACATAAATCATGACTCCAAAGTTATCGTCTATTGATAAACAATAGCAGTTGTTGGATAATACTTCAATAATAATGTCTCAGTATCATTAGAAAAATACAGTAATGGTGCAGTAATAATTGAGTAACCTACAGTGATGATGCTGTTGTTTTGCCTCAGTATTTATAAAGTAACAATCCATTAACATTACGGTTACTATATCTTACAATGCAGTAAAAAAATATTATGATACTGTAGTGATACTGCTTAAATGAGTTTTTAAGGCTTCAGTATTCATGTACAAAAAACAACGGCATTATCAACAACAGTACTAGTACCCAGCTGTGTTGAACACCTGATTCTAAATGGTCAAAACACCAAAACAGCGGTGAAGAATTTTCAAAATAGCAAATGCAGCAGCAGGTACAATCTGATCCCTCCGATAAATCTGCAAATAGGAGTATGTTTCACTTCCTGGTATAATATGTCTAGATTTCATCTCAGACTGGTCTCAGAGTGAGAGATAATGACAGCTTGAGGCGCAAGACATGAGCGCTGCATGACAAGCCCAACTGAAACCAACTGTGACTTTAAATGTTCAGTTTAATGTTAATTCATCCCACCAGAGAGGAATCTGACTGACTGTTTTAAAGTTGTATAAATTCATCATTTTTAAATTAATAAAAACATCTTTAATTTTATATTTTCTGTTAACTTCTCTTTGTGGCCAGCTTGTGGCTGGATAATAAGCAAGATAATGTTAAGTGAGTGGGTGGCAGAGCAAATTAGAATCTCTCCGGAGTGAGACAAACCCCCCAGTATCCCTTTCCTAATGTAATAAGCCTGCAAAGCTCCAAAATAGTACTGTAATGTTGCATTAAAAATGAAATGTGATGTAGCCAGAGTGATAATATATACCACGCTGCGTTCAGGGTACACTCCAGCTCGTAGGAAAGACGCCTTCCAGCTGTCCACCTCCTCCTGAGACTCACTGGCCAGCTCCAGCTGACGATAATCTTTGTACACATTCCTGAAACGGTCAGTTTGACATGGTTCAATTTAAGGGAAAACATTTCAGCAGGAAAACAACAACAGCATCAGCAGCTCTGCAACATAACTAACAGTAATCAGTAAAGATGGGGAGATACTCTATGGCAAGTTCCCTTTAGCTCCAGGCTGAGAGACACATAACATCTAGTGAGTCGTTTAGCTGACACATTCAACTCTTACTCTTAGAAAACGATACACGTCCATTCATACACACAGAGACATACACACACCTGTGTTCAGTGTTGAACAGGGCAAAGATGTGTTTGCTGGACATGAAGCTCTTTTCGATGTCTTTGAGTTTCAGGTTGTCAACAGGCAGCATGTACTTCTTCTCCTTTTCCTGCAGGGGGCGACAACAGCGAGAACAAACATGCTTAAGGTGTGTTCAGACAGGTGGTCAAACAAACTATCACCTTATGTCACTGTGTTGTGTTGCGTTACCTCATCATCTTTGTACCATGACAGCGTCTCAGCAGTCAGGACAAACCAGTACTCTTTAGCTCCTCCCTTCATGATGCTGATGTTGTTGATGGTCAGCCAGCCTTTACGAATCACCTTCACACAAACGGATGAACCATAAAACCATCAACCCCCATACATGCCCCCGTCTAGATTATATCAGAGAAGAAAACTGAAGACAACTACTGACAAATGTATGTGTAACACTTCAGCAAAGTCAATCTCTTCATGTATTCAAATTGTTTTCCCAATGAGCAATCATTACACGCCAACACAAGCACACACACTTCAAAACACTCACCATGATCTCGTCCTGGTTGCCATGGAAACAGAAGCAGAGAAAGGGATGATGTGAAAGAAAGGAACAGAGGGACATAATGATAAAATAATCCCCCCTATTATTCAGTGTGCTCATTGTCTCCTACAGCCCCTGCAACTGCAGAGACTCACCTGGTTTCCTGCTGCCTTCTTCTTGCTCATCTGGCTGCTCTTCTGCTGGGCACTGACACACACAGACACACACACACAGGGACAGGTTACAAGTGACAGAGCAGGTTATCTTTAATATGGGTTTAAAAACAGTCTATAGGAGATACAGAGACCCCCACTCCCCCTGCTGCTACTGTACAACTTTTTATGAAACTCACAGTTTGTTAAAGCTTTACTTTACAAAGTGGTCCACATGCCTCATTTTAGTCCAGACACCTACCTACTCTTCTGATCTCCCCCTCCAAAAGCAGAATACAGTGTAGGCTAATTACAAGCTAAACAAGGGGTCTGTGTTTCTTACTTTGCAAAGCCAATGAAGTCGTCATGGTTCGTGTTAATGTAGGACAACTCGATGTCGATCAGCAGCATCACCTGCAGACAGATTGGCAGAAAGAAAACTGAGGAAGAGGCAGGCAGGCTGTCATTACTTCATCTGCTGTACATGTGAATAATCCAGTTATAATCTTGACCCTTTAACCCCAGTAATAAAAACTTCACACAATTAGCTCCTTTGTCTCTGGGAACTGTCTGCTCCTCTCACATTTGTACTTAAAAGATTATCTCTAAGTTTTTTATATCAGCCCAGACTGAAAATTGACTTTGTGTGAGAATGACGACAGTGTGAGATGTTTTTGTAAGACGGAAAGATTTAAATCTGCCAGCAGTAACAAGTAACTTGGATTCTTATATGGCCAAACTGTTTGTCAAAATTAGCTGTATTGGTACTAGCTCCTGTGTACAGATCTACAGAAGCAGTCAACTATCCCTCGCATACTCTGGTACTGAAGACAAAAAAACATGATGATTGTTCAGCAAGTTCTAGAGTTTTTCTCAACTTTGTCAGTACATGTTACTAGAACTAAGTTTTTAGACAAACCTGGTCTTTGGTGCGACTCTCTCGATCTCTGATATGCTGAGTGACAATTCTCTCCATCTCCTCCCTGAGCATCGGATACTGAGCCAACTGCGGGGTTGAAAAACAGCGAGTCTAAAGGTCACAGTCTGAATCAGACAACCAGAGACTAGTGATATCAGGAGAAGAAGAATCTAAAAAGCTCCACAGAGGTCTATCAGAGACCTCAGAGAGAGCTGAATGATCAACCTATAAAATGATACTGTTAGTGTTGCTTTCAATGTCACTCTGCAGACTTTGTATAACATGCTGCTGTCATCAATAAATGACAGTAAGCAACAGTGAAATTAACCAAAGTAAAAAGAAACAGTACATAACACCCACAAAAAGGCTATTTTTTTATTCAGGGTTTCATTGTTCCTGTACCAACTTCCTTGAAAAGTGTCGCCATCATCTAAATTTGAAATGACTTTTTTTTTGATGATATGGTTAAAAATTTACCGATGCAACACGTTACAATAAAATAGAGTCTTTGAATGACTTGCAAACCATTAAAATCTGTTTTTATCAGTAATTTGATAGATGCCCCAGCTATTTTGGACTGAAGTTGTAGTTATTTAAGCAGTAGTTGTACTTGTTGTAGAGGCATCTATATTTGTAGTACTAGGACCTTCATTGTATAATGTTAGATCAGCCCTCCAGCACCGTGTCTAGTCATCCAAATCCTCCATGCCTCTGGCGAGCTTGCCAGCGCTTTTTGCGCCAGCATCTGTTTGAGATAATCCACATATGATAACACTGGACGTCTCTGTGGTCGATGTCCATCTGTTGGCTTCCACAGTTCCAGTTTACTGGCTGTGAGCCCTCACCGTCTCTGGTGATGTCTGGCCAGCCTCATCCCCCTGGATGCTTTTTTCTCACTCTTGGTTGGTAACCTCCCATACAACTCTTTATAGAGACATTAGCATCTAATTTGATGTTTAAGACCAGCATCCAATTGGGTGACTTTGGCAGGGTGGGCTTCAGAGTCCACCTTTGACAAGGTAGTGGTAGCAGGTAAAGCTGTAGTGGCAGTAAGAGTAGTATCGGTGAAAGCACTCTTACCTTCTGTGTGCACTGTCTCACAGTGTTGACCAGCTCACTGATCACCATGTCGACACATTTCTGACACGGCTCTTTGATCTGAGCAATCAGACGCTTCACGATTGTCTCAAATGCCATGTCAGGTGTGAACAGACCAGTCCTGCACAGAGAGGATCACTCACAGGTACTGTACTTCCATAAACACCAATTTACATCCACATCCGAACACAGTGTGGCTTTAAACCTACCTGATTCCATGAATGTTCTTGATGGCATAGCTGATCTCTTTCCGCAGAGTCTTCTCGTCACTCTCCAACTGCGTGGGCACACAGACACGCACACAGATTGTCACAGCAGGCAAAAAAATCTTTATTTTACAGGCGTAGCTCCTCCTTAAAAACGTCAACGTGTGCACTGTATGTGTGTTGAGAGTTTACCTTGACCAGTTCAAAGGGAAAGCGTTCATGGAAGATTCGGTTGATCTTTGCTCCTCCAGACAGCTCGTAAGTATCCACCTGATCCCCAGATCCTTCAATCCTCTTCTCAAAGTCCACCGCAAACTGCTGCACCATCCTGACACATACACATTGATGAGGTTGTGTTGTGTAGCAAGTGTCATGTCAAACTGGTCATATGACCTTTATGTTGCATTTATCTTGTGTTTAGATTGTGTAATGTAGGGCTTTGGTCTGATTGACTGTGTGTATTTTGTGTGTATTAGTCTGTTGAAGTGAGGTTATGTACATCTGTGTCTATTAGGGCCTTATTAGAGTGTATATATGGTATAAGACTGCAGTATAGCCTGTAAAATGCAAGTGTGTATTTGGAGCACTGACTGCAGCAGGGCCTTGGTTTTGCGTCCTGGGTCATCTGGCCTGAAGTTCTTGTACTCCTCCACTTCTTTCTCAATGGCCAACAGTTGACTCTGCAGTTTGCTACGTAACCCTGGCAACGTCTCTCGGATGTGATTGGTCAGTTGCTAAGTGTTGCAGAAAAACACTCTGTTACTTTGGCAACAAAAGACGCACCACAGCACCGTCTTGTTTGCTGACAGCCATTTCATTTTATTTCACCGACTGGCTCTGGTCACAACTGGTGTATTGTGATAGTGTGTTAAACAGATATACTCCGTTATACAACAAATTTAGATGGAGGGTCATCCTTGTGTACCTGGTTGAGGATTTTTTGAAGGTAAGCTGTGCCCATGCGGTCAGCCAGGTGACGGTATGACGGGTGTGAAAGGAAGAACTTCCTCTCCGCCTGCAGAGCTGCTGTAATGTCTTTCTTCCCGTCAATGTCCTTCTGACTGCGGTTGACCACCCCGATGTAACCTGATACAATTCAGAGTCTGTCATCTTCTTTGTTTCCACAACTGAGAATAAAAATATTTGAATATTTTGCACGGCACCACGGCTTTGCCTGCCAGATCTTTGGTTTTATCTGACCTGTGGAGGTCCTCAGGGCTCAACCCTGGGTCCTTTCTGATTTCACCTCTATCTGTTTCTTTTTTGTTTATCTTCAACCTTTCTGACACCGGTGATGTTAAGTTTTATTAAGACGTAGACTACTCTCAGTTTCCAGCTGTGATGCCAAACTAGCTAGTGGTGACACTTCAGGTTTACAATAATCAAAGTAGTGATAATTAGTTTAGCAGACAGGTGGATGGCACAACTGAACCACAGCCGCCTTGGTTATTCTGGTGCTGGTCAGTGAGGGTGCTGTTTGATGGTTTATTTGACAAAGCTGTTTAATGGAGGAACTCAGTAAACTAAAATTCCCAAGCTCTGTTCATTTCCAAAAACTTTTTGAGATTTCTAACTCATCAATTCCTCCTCCAATATTTCAGTCAAGTGTTAATGAAAGACTTTGACTTCTCCTCTGGCTCAGATCTGGGCTTCTGCAGTCCAACACTGTTTTCTGTTCCAAGTAAGACTTATTGCAGACTTTAGAAAACAGCCTGAATCAAAAGTTTGTCTTGTTATTTCTAGGCAAGAGGATTTTAAAACAAAGTGTCTTTTTATCTGTGCTCAGAAGCAAATCATTTGTTGTTGCCTGTGTATTTCCTTTTTCTGTCCTGGTTTGACCTGTTTTGTTTTAAGTATTTCTTCTGGTTTTTGATTTAGTTTTTAAAAATATTCAGATTTGAGAGAAAAGACATCCAGAACTACTTTGCTGGTTTTAAAAAGTTCAGCTTATCAGCTAAAAAGAGAGCACTACAAATCGCTGCCATGGTAAGGTGTGTCTTTACCTCTGCGCAGTGGCAGCAGTTTGTTCTCCAAAATGTCTCTAGCGTCAGTTCCTTCGTCCATCAGATCCAGTTTGGTAATCACACCAATGGTCCTCAAACCTGGACACACATATTCAAAATGATTCATTTAAATCAAGTGCAAGATGAGCATGGATGAGCGCTGATATGTGAGGGGCCTCTTTTCCTATTTATGACTGTACAGGTATGACTGTCGCAAGCTTCAAACCTCTAGGACCCCATGACATGTGTGAAGGTGTGGGAGGTGTAAGAGAAGGATTCACATGCTGCAGATCGAAGTGTGCAGACCCTCACCTTGTGGGTCTACTTCTTTGGCGATTTTCAGGGCATCAGAGTTAGCGAGGTCAGAGTTGGCAGGCGAAACAGCCAATAGGAGGCAGTTGTCTTTTGTAACAAACTGCATAAGCATCTCTCTGATTTGGTGCTCAATGTCAGCTGGCTGGTCTCCCACCGGCACCTTGGTCATCCCCGGAAGATCCACTAGAGTCAGGTTCAGCACTAAGGACACAAATACACAGAGATCAACGTCTCTTCAAAGAAGAATCCTGCCCTCCAAAAGAGTGACCGTGGAATCATAGTAGCATATGTGTCGTAAGTGGCAGTTGTTTATGCCTTTGTAATGTAGTCGCTGTATCCCAGATTGTTATCCATATAAGTAAAGAAAATATAAAAAGTATTATTATTTTACCATTTGGAATTCAATCAGAAATCGGAAAGACAACATACACTGGGGGAAGTCTGACCTCATTTCAAGTATATTAACATGCATTACTGATCTATGCAATCATGTAGACTATTGAGCAGATATGTGTTGTCTGAGGTAATATTACCTAGGAATTTACCTCTAAAGTACACAGCATGATGGAGGTGTTACAGATGTAGGATCCTCCACCCTCAAAGGAACTTGTTAAAGGAAAATTAGATGGGGCTAAAAACAAAGCCCTGATGAACTCCAAAGATCAGATAGAATATGTAGACTGTAAAATTTGAACCCCATATGCCGACCCCAGTGCTGGTGTTAAAAATTTAGCCAACGCTTGAATGCAAAAAATCTACAGCTCGTCACATGTCCACTTCAGAAGGGCTTCAGAAGTCAGAATGATCATTTTACAGCAAAATTCAACAAGTTTTACAGGCTGGTAAGAAAACAATTTGATTTGTTTGGCGCATTTTTTTTATTTGTAACAACTTTACAAGGTTGACTGATCGATAGTTAGCATAGAATTATTAGGACCAAGGGGGTTTGTTATTTTGTTTTGGGGGAAGGCTACACACACTTTGCGTTCCTGCAATTCATAAAGTGTAATATGTTAGCAGAATTTCAAAGCAGCATGTGAGCTTCCCACCCTGTGCTTGACTTCAGAGGAAAACGGTGCATATATTACCATGTGGTGAGTAGACTCGCAGGTTTATGGGGACCGGACTGATCCCTTTGTTCGCTCCGGTGACTCGATCAGTTTCATCTTCGATCTCCTTACGAACTTCGTCAAACTCGGTGAACCTCTTTCCTTTACAGTGCAGGAACTCTGCATGCTCTGAATGAACAACATACATTGTCAGATCAGTGATGAGTCACATGATGTACATAGTTTACAGGTAAAAGTAAATGTAGACATCATCAGTCTGTTTGTGTGTGTTCTCACCTGTCGGACAGTTGATGAGCTGCAGCACCAGGGGGCGACGAGTCACGATGCCAGAGCCACGGGGGAGGAAGTCCCTATAAGAGGAGACAAGGAGAGGAGGAAAGTACAATTTAAGAAGGACAACAGGAGGAGGGTTTAGGGGTGGAGAAGAAGAGGGAGGAAGTAGAGAGAAAGGGATTAGGAGAGAAAATGAGGAGAGATACAGTAGGACAATAAAATAGAGGAGGGAAATAGGCAAGAGGAAGATTAGGTGAAAGGAGAAGGGGAAAGATAACAAAAGTGATTAGGCAATAAGGAGACAGGAGAAAAAGAGAGGAACAAAAGGCAAAAAGAGGGATATAAGAGGAAGGAAACAGAAGACAGGATGAGGTGACACAGGAGAGAAAAGGGAGAAAGAAAGAGAGTAAAAGTGCAGAGAAAGATTAGGAGATAGGAGGTGACACATACAAAGAGAAGAAGAGGAGAGAGTTAAATGGGGGAGAGGAGGCAATAAAGAAAAAGGGAGTGAACAGGAGAGAGTTAAATGAAGGGTAGAAGAAGAGAGGAAACAAGACAAGGGGGAAGTGAGGAGGTAGGGGAGAATAGATATGAAAAGATAGGATGAAAAATGAAGAAAGGAGGAGCGAGGAAAGGAAGAGAAGAAGTAGAAGACAGGAGGGGGGAGAAGGGGGAAGGGGAGATAAGGAAAGGAAGAGAAGGAGAGAGTAGGAAGAAGAGATGAGTAGAGAGAAAGTGGGAAAAGAAAAACAAGAAGATAGAGGGGAGGAGGATATGGCAAAGGGAGAAAGGAAAGAGAAAAGATAAGGAGAGAGGAAATACAGAAAAGGAGGTACAGAGCATATAAGGAGATTAGCAGAGAGGAGAGGGAAATGGAGGTGAAGAGGAGAAAAGAGGAGCAAGGTTTGGAGATAATAGGTTAGGGGAAGAGAAAGGGGGAACAAAGAGTGTGATGGAGGGCGTAAATATGGGAGAGGAGAGGAGACGAGACGAGACGAGAGAAGAGGAGACGAGAGGAGAGGGGGAGAATGTGGAGGAGGAGAGGGGAGAGGAGGAAAGGAGAGAAGTGAGCAGCTTATCAAACCGCCTACATATAAAATGGTTAAATCTGACCTGGTTGAAGACAATATTTGTATTGATACATTCTGTCATCAGGATATATTTACATATTTTTACAGTATGTTCATTGATTGTTTGACCTGCTTGTTTACGTATAGCATCTACAGTATCTTAACCATTACACAGGTCTGTTGTTTAGTCTGTTTCTATAGAAGAACATTCAGAACATGATACCAAATTACCGCTCCTAAAACTGATATCTAAATTATATTACATTGCACATGTTATCCAATTATATGACATTACTATACCTTTAACAGAGTATGATATTGAATTGTGTTTTTTTGATATTACATAACAACATTATGGTACATGTGCATTATGTGAGCTGTGTATGTGACGTGAATCCTTCAGAGCAGCTCGAGGAGAACGCCATCACGACATCCTCACTGTGTGTGTGTGTGTGTGTGTGTGTGTGTGTGTGTAGTAATGGCTGCAGTGTCTGACTCCATTGCAGTCAACTCACACGCGCGCACACACACACACACACACACATTTCACACACATTACGCACATCACGCTGTTATTATCATGCAATGCTGCCTCAGCCTGGCTGAGCCATGTGACCAACAGCAACCAATTAGAAGAGAAATACAGACAGAGAGATTCCTCATCCTCAGGCTGAGGAGGAAGATAAAAATATACAGCCAATCAGGCATCAGCTTTCTGCAGGATATAAAGACATCCTTTATGCATTTGTTTTATAAAATGTGTTATCAATACATCTTGTAATAAACCCTAATTAATGAAGGATATTACACAGAGGATTAGAATTTATTATGCACATTAATTTTATATGGTAAATTCCACTTTACATGTGAATTTGCAGCTTTTAATCGTATACTGTAGAGTAATAAAATACCAAGGTTTCCATATACTGCAACTCTGATGTAAAGGACATGTAGCTTGTTTTTCCAAATAAAATGTCCCAGATTTTCACTTCACACCCTGACAAATCTTTATGTCAACGAGCGTGAATTGATTGTCTCTGCAAATACTTCTATCAGGACAGTCTCTGAGCTCTACATCTGCCCTGTTATCGAAAGGCATTTAATGCTGATGTGTTAGAAACCAGCAGAGTCCTTTCAAATGATGCAATACAATGATCATCTCAGCAGTTATTACTTTGGGGATTCCTCAGGGCTCATAATTTGGTCCTTTAGATCTTTTATCCAGATATTTATAACAAAGCTGATATTTCTGTCATGTGACTTAAACAGCTTGTTGTCAGAGATATACAGTAACATTAACTCCTTGATGGTCAGAGTTTGATTCTAGCACTAAATTGTAGCTTAGAGCTGCATTAGTACAATTTTAAACCGCAATTTCTGGTGTTGAAACATGAAGCCAATGCAGACATGAAAACACTGCAGTTTCTTAAGTGATCAAGAGAAACTGATGGCTTAGGCCAAAGAATTCCAAGTGGTCCTAAGTTAAAATGCACGGTACAGCAAAATTGAACATTTTTACAGCCTGTATTATACAGTATGTTTGAGGTTTTTATAAACCACATCATGAAATCATAATGCCATGAAAATAAAGGAATTTAAAAGATGCAAATGATTGCATGTGTGTTTTATTTACGCAATTTTTTGAATCTATTCCTAAATTTTTTGTTGTTGTTTTTTTTCCGCCTGGTTCTGAGGTATTTCACTTACTCATTTATCTGTTTTTTAATAGTATTTATATACTTATCTACACAAGGAGATTTTTTATGCATCTGGTGAGATTATATCAAGGGTAAGAGTTGTGCAAATATTTGCATAATTAGGAATTTGACAGAGTTGACAAACAAGTAGGGGCACTGAGGCTGTTTGCCAGGATACTAAAAGCCTGTCTCAGCTCCCCACCTTTTTATTATTATTTCTCAGCCAATCAAAAGTAAGTCTGGGCCTTTCCAGAGTAACTCCCTCCATCACTGGGCTTCAAAACATCTCTTTAGAAACTAGTTAGTGGTGTCACATTACCATGTTTAAAACAGCTCATTGGCTCAAGATGTATTATGTGTGTTAGTAAATAGCTGTTCACTTCTTGACCCAGCAGTCATGGAGGCTCAGACTGGAGGGAAGGTCTCACATGTTACAGTAATATTTATGTTCAACTTCTCTTTTTGTCTCCATTGCCTCTTTGTGGGCAGACTGACATCTAAATGATGTCTTTCTAGCTCATTTTTCACTCTGTCTGCCAGCTACTTTATCCTCAGCAGGTAAATACAGCTTCAGCTTTCCAGAGAGCACAATGCACAAAGCCTTCTGCATTTCCTCTGCAAAGATTTGTTTATATAAATCCAGAATATAATAAATCCGTTTTTATCATTTCACTATGATGCTAGTCCATCAACTTATTATTCTGACCATCCTACTGAGGGCTGGAGCATTTCCCACCTGACATAAGGCAAAAGTGGAACTGGGTATGTTACCAGCCAATCACAGGGCTAATACATACAGACACCTACAGGCAAATTCGGCATACCAGTTAATCCCGATGTCTTTACACCATGAAGCCAATTTTACCTTTGCCTCCTGTATATGCCACAACTCATAGTTTCTCTGTCTTTCTTCTACTCTCCACATTTTACACAGTATTTGTAACATTTTCCCACCAAATCTAAAATAAACCCAAATTTTCCATCACTAAATTGGTAGCAGTTAATCTTAGGGTAGTTGATGGAAAGGTTGAGCCCCAAGTTACTGCATCTACATGGTGTGAAAAATGGATCTTTGTACCAACATGAAGGCGCCAAGGGGGACAGTGCCTTGGTGTTGTAGATAAAACATAACAACATGCCCTCTGGTGCCTTTTCTGTGGAAAAAGGCCCTCACGGTTGTCCAGCCGGTGGTCAAAAATGGTAAAATGCCCTCCATGATGGATCTGTTTTAGTGCCCCTATTTTGTAAAAGTTTAGTTGTTATATAAAAATTTTGACTGAAGTGTTGAGAGTCCTTCTTCATTTGAGTTCTGACCAAATTCAATCATTTAACTGTGTGTCTGTGTGAGTATGTGTTTGTGTGATACAATAAACGACACACAGTTTCACAAAAACTACATAGGTCACGTTTGGTGTACCTGAAATGCTACATTTCCCTAAAGACCCCTTGGTGGATCCATAACTTTGCTGCTTGGTACCACTGCAACATCCTGAAGCTAATGTAGCATAACTTCCACAACTCTTGATAAGCACAACACATTTAACCTTGGTGCCACTTTGTGTTGGTTTTGCACAGGTGAAGTGAGGCCTTTGTACTGAATTAAGCATTACATTTCAAAGTGTGTGAATGGTGAAACCAGTTAACTGCTGGATCCATATTTAAAAGGGGGTATTATGCTCATTTACAGGTTTTATATTGGTCCTTTTGTGAGTTTTGTTGTTGCTGTACATGATTTCTATAGCACTCTGAAACCCAACACTCTAGTAGCCTCCTTCACTGTTGCAATGACACAAAGATGGCCCCAGCAACCAAAACACTGCTTGTTAAGTGTTGGGTCTTTGTTTTGCTCTTTTTTGCTCTTTTCATGACTTTCTCTTTATCCCCTTTTCACGATTTTTTCTTTTAACAAACTGGTCAGAGCAGCCTGCAGTCTTATCCTGGGATTACACCAACACACATTAACCTCACAATCTGGAACTTTGTCTGCATGTTTAGTTTTGCCATCCAACATCTTTATTTAATACTTGTTTTTCAAATATAAATGCATCATACCACTTCTTTCACTGTGGCCGACAGTCAGGCTGGATAAGAAATCCTCTGTATGTATTTGATCGTGTTAGGTTAGCGCTCATACAAAGTCAGATTATACATAAATAGAGTGGATAATTGAATCTCTGCTAACAAGATCAGTGGTGCCTCAAAATCACCCTTAAAAACTTCCATTAGTACACCAATCTGACGCTATAACTCATAACAATTTACAAAAAAGGGAGTGTGTTTGTCTGAAAATATATCCTTTCACAGCTTCAACACAGTGACCCACAGACTGACCTGTGCAGTGTTTCCACTGTGGATTTATCATGGCCACCGCAGCTGTCCTCAAGCATCAGTTTCTCATGTGTTTACAGCAAACAACAGCAGAGCGGTGCTGCTAGATAATTTGAGGTTAGCCAGATCCACAAACTGTCAGCCATTTGGCAATGTTTTTACACCGTAAATCCCTAACAGTAAGAGGATGATGTGTTCAGTGTGTGTGCATGCTTTGGTTTCAAGGGTAGCTCCAGGGCTTCTTAACAAGGTTAAAAAATATATGTATTTTTTTGCGTCAGTATTATTTTAAAGCTCTGTATGAGCAATTATGAGAATTCAAGTATCTGAGTTGGTTCGGGAAAGAAAAAACTGCACAGAAATGTCTTTACATAAATGTTCACATGTATATTTTGATGCTAAGCAAACAATTTGTGCCTCAGATCGACAGATTTCTTGCAGATCCAAAAAGGGATCTGTTTTTCATGTTTTTTTAGTTTTGTCATCCATAAACAAAACAAAAATCTAAAGTGAAATATATGTTTTTAAGAGGGCTCTGATGAACCACAGAGGATGACATCCGATCTGAAAAACACACACAGTCCAGTCAGCAGTCTGACATTTCTCAGTCATCCTCTGCAGCAGGACAGATCAGGCTGGTGAAGGTGGATGTGTCTCAAAAACAACCCTAAATTTAAGACCATTACAAAGATTCAAAGGGACTTTAATTAATGGAGAGGTTTAATCTGCTTTATTTACTGTAATATCACTGGCTATGACATCTGTGTCTTTCAGGATATTCTTAAGGTGTTTGTATCTTGCTGATTTTGACACTTAAGGCTATTATCAAATTAAGCTGTTAAATGTATTCAGCTGGAGAGCAGGCCTGCAGTGGGCCGGGCGGCTCCCTCTGACAGCGGATTACACTGACCTACAGGAGGGCAGGAGTCACGGTCCGGTCCGGTTCGGTTCGGACGCACGGACAGATGGACACACAGACAGACAGATAGATGGACTTACTTTCCCACGAAGTTCTCCAGCACCGAGCTCTTCCCAGCGCTCTGCCCGCCCACCACCGCGATCTGCGGCAGGTCGAGGCTCGCATTCTGCCCGATGGAGCTGAAGGCATCCTGGAGCTTGTTCACCAGCGGGATGAGCTCCTCCATCCCCCGGTTCCCCATGACGGCGAGACGGAGAGGGAGACAAGCGGAGAAAAATCAAGAGACAGGTGGAGGAGCAGAGGGGGGAGAGACAGGTGGAGGAGCTGGAGGCTGCTGGTGGAGAATCGGTCAGTCAGAAAGACAGGCGGGCAGGCAGGCAGGCAGGGATGCAGCAGTGAGACAGGCGGGGATACAGCAGCTGGATCCACGTCCTCTTCTCTTACATAATGAAGCTCTCCTCCGCGTGCTGCCGATGGATCAGGTCGGTTAATCGTCCATTGATGTGATTTTTAATACACGGAGGTATCCGCGGTGATGAGGATGCTCCTGGTGTGACCTTCAGCTCCACTCTCCTCCGCTCTGCAGGGAGGGACCGGCTCACTACACGAACACACACATCCGGTCAAGACCTTCAGAATAAAACACCAAGAGCAGAAAGGACAGAAAGAAGTTGACTAAATTGATTTTAGGTGTCAAGATTATTTCTATTTTAACAGTAACAAACTTGTATTTATTACACCTTATATTTCAGGTTTTTATGATCGCAACCTAAATTTTGAAAGAGGTGACACTAGTGGTATTAATGGAAAACCAATACTATTCACCAGTGAAACTCAGACCCTAAGGTGTCACTGAATTAAAGAAGCATAGCTCTGTAGTAGAAATCCCCACATTGACTTAAAATCGCTTCTATAAATATCATCTTTGGGATAGAAAAGACAACACCAGGCCAAACTTTGCACATCTCTCAACGGCATGGCTCTGTAGTCCAAGAGTCTTGGTTCTAAGCTGGCCTGTCTGCAGTCTGGACTTGTCAATAACTGAAAACACTTGGCACATTGTGACATGAAGAATCAGACGAAGGAGACTGATCTGTTGAACACCTGGAATCCTGTATCAAGAAAGAACAAATATTCTAAAACTCTGAAAACTGGCCTCCTTGGTCACCAAAGGTTTAGTGTTGTAAAAAGGAAAGACAATGCAACACAGAGGTAAACAATGGCTTTTATGTCCTCATTTCCTTTTTTTTTCTTAACTGTTTTTTTTTTTTTGTACAATAAAGAAAAAAAGTTACAATTTTAGAGTATTTAAACACTATCATTATACACTCAGAGAGTGACTAGATGTCCCTCCGCTTTTCTTTTATTTATTTTCACTAATCTATTATTGTTAATGTCAATTCAATTATGGTTTTGTCTTTTTTTGTTCCTTTTTCTCTTTTCTTTTTGCCTTACAGTGGTGGGAAGGAAGGGATTGGGTTAATTATGGTTCACTTGTAGAAGCTGTTCCAGCTCAGTTTAAGTCAGTGGTTCTGAATCCAGTCCTCGAGCCTCCCCTGTCTTGCATGTTTTAGATGTTTCCCTGCTCCAACACACCTGATTCAAATGATCAGCTCGTTATCAAGCTCTGTAATGGCTTAATAACGAGCTGATCATTTGAATCAGGTGTGTTGAAGCAGGGAAACATCCAAAACATGCAGGACAGTGGGCCTCGAGGACTGGATTGAGAACCACTGGTTTAAGTCCTTGCTGCTTAATACATACACTATGTAGTTCAACTAACTGCTAACCTTCTGCAAGATTCTTCTACTACTGTATACATTGTATGTGTGAAATATTGCTGTACGTGAAAAATCCAAGAAAAAGATTTAAAAATATATATATATATATTTTGTGCTGATGCTGCTTTGTGTAAATTTACCGTGGAGAAAGACTTCTCCTTATTGTGAAAGGTGCAGATCTAATTTCCGATGTGCTGGTGTTTCCCTGCAGCTGTTTGACACGTGAGGATGAGGATGATGCAGAGCTGCTGTTCACAATGTGAACAGCGGAGGGAGCCAGAGAGTGCTGTAACCTTAAAACGAATACATTTCCATCCAGGGCTTAAAAACAAAACAAAAGGGTATAGATGAAGTATTAGATCAATCAATCACATTTCTCCACAGTATAAAGTAATATCTACAATCTCATTGTTCAGTATGATCTAAAAGCAGAAAGAGAAAAGGTTCTATCACGTGCACAATTAGTCTTCCTCTGTTCATACCTAAATGCAGTACACTAGTAGCAGATACACACCCCACCCTCAGAGATGTATTTGACATTGAACAGTTTAATTTAAAAGTTTTGAGAGTATTTATTGTACATTTTTCAAACTGCAAAAACAAAACAAAACAAAACAAAAAAAAAAGTCCAAACTGCAATGGTGACACCACTCTCGGCCTTGAGTGCGTTTTACATAGAAAAGTCCAACTTATACCAAACATAGCAGCTTCAAGGTGTGCTGCTGTTTCACCCGTAACACTCTTCTTTAAATGATCACATTCAAACATGATCAAAAAGTCTTGTTTTTTTATTTTTTATTTAAAGAGATCAATGAATACGATTGTACTACCAGATTCTCAGCACATCCACTCATTTCAAGTCCACACAATCTTCAATCTTAGCTTCTTGTCATACTAAACTGAATCACACTTAGAGACACATTCAGAGTGTTTTGGCACATTTCAGACAATCAGCAGAAGAAAGCAGTCAGGTAAACATTACAAATATATAATCTTTTATATTTTAAAGACAACACAGAACACAAAAGCTTGGTTATATCCTTATGTTGTTTGTTTTAAACTCTGAAACCTTGTCTAAAAACTCAAAGTTTACAAGTTTTTTAAGTGTCTCAAGTTTTAATGCTTGACAAAAGTAAAGTCACGAAGTTTCAGTCCAACTTTAAACTATTTTTAAACTCTATCTGCATATAAATAACTTTACAGTCTAGGAACATCTGAGCTACCTTTGAGTTTTAGATCACCTGTCCAGAGGCATAAAAAGAGTTTATCTCACTGAATGAAGATCAGATTTTAACCCAAGGAACGCTTTTAAGGCATAAATCATTTGAAGACAAGGAAGGAAATCTGATGACAGCATCAGAGAGGTCACATTCATCTCTACATCTTTGGGATTAAAGTAGTAACAGACGTTTAGGTGTAAAGGTGGCTGTGCCCTTCAAAAGGACATGGGTATGTTTTTAAATCTGATTACTATTTTTAAGTAGTATTTCTACATTTTCAAACTTGTATATTTTCATTATACATAAGCTTTACATCAAACTTCTTTTTTTTAAACTTGGATCACCTCTCATGATTCATTCATAATTAAAAAAAAAAACCTCTACAATAAATAAGTAAAATCTCCGGTTAAGGCTGTGAAGCGACTACAGCGTCAGTGTGAGGTCAGTGTGACTGCAGGGGATGCACTGAAACCCATCATAAAACAATCAGGATGAAGTTCATTAAGGCTGAGGCACTGAGGCATTCAGGGTCGCCTCAGACATTCAGCTCCCCTTAGCTGGGAGAGGCTCCAATCCACCACTCACCTGATCTCAAATTATAAAAATCCTAAAAGAGTCCAAGTGGACCAGCAGACTTCTTGCAACCCCAATCCACTCAGCTCCACCTGTTCCAGTTCATAAGGCTGTACCTTTATCAGCTGACTGCTCTGTCGGGGTGTCCTCAGGCTGCAGATCAGATGTACCTGTTGTATCCGTAAACTTGCACCTGTTCAAACTGATCCAGGTGCACCAGTTCTAGTCAGATCAGGAGAGTCATTGCTGCTCCAGAGGCAGTTTGACGAAGGTGATGGCTGCAAGCTCCTTACAGAACTCCTCGAGCACGATGATCCCCCTGAGCAAGGTCTGGTGCTCCAGTCTGAGGATGCAAACACAGAGAGGAAAAGACAAGGGAAATGCATAAATACAGGTAAACAAACCCCTAGTAGAAAACCTAATTCCAAAAAAATCCAAACCCCTATTTCACTGGATGTTAAACCTGTGCAAAGTAGACAAGTTCCTTTCTAATTCTGAAATGATGCACAAAGAGTTAAAAGCAACTCAAACAGCAAAGCTGCAGAGCAAATAGCGTCTCTGTGCACTAGTGCTGTTTGCAGGTATCAAAATGAGTCACTGCATATGTATCCATCTCAGGCAAATTGCTCTTCTCCATCTAAATGAGCCTCACAGCAACACTTATCCAAAAACACAACAATAATCAGGGCTTTAATTTGTCCCAGGTTAAACATTGAAGCTTGAGTTACATCTGCTGACTGCAGGAAAAGTGTCTCCGTCTCCCACAGCTAATGATGTGTGTTAGCTCTGTCAGGATGAGAGAGGCGATCCGTCCACATTATCTAATGCAAATCAAGAGTAACGATGTATGGTGCAGTAAAACTTTAAGAGTGTGTCTCTGCCTGAATACTTAGTGGAAAACTGCACCATTACCAGAGCTACCAGTGGCTGCTAGTCATTTTGTAAATTTGCTCCAGGAGGACAGACAGTCAGACAGGTAATTACCCAGTGTTGTGGTCCAGTCCCAGCAGGTGTTTCCTGGCATTCAGCAGTCTGTCCGTCAGATTGGGAACATGCTGGATCCTCTGCATCAGCTCTCCCATTAACTGAGATGTGCACAGACATGCAGAGACGAGGAGATACACAGATGAATATCCCAGGCAGTCAACAAGCAGTGAGACAGATACATGTCTGTGTGTGTGTGTCTTACCCTGATGAGAACAGAGAAGAGTGACCTGGAGCAGTGAGACAGGTGGATGTAGGGGTTGAGCAGGTACTCGTGCAGCAGTGGGTGGCTGAAGGCCGACAGTCTGGACAGGACAGCAGTCAGCTGGAGGTTCAGCTCATACGGCTGAAAACACAAAAACATCATCGTGAACATCCAGAACACACCTGAGGCCCTGACTCATCACAAAGGAAGGACGGAAGGACAGACAGACAGACAGACAGACAGACAGACAGACAGACAGACAGACAGATGTATGCACCTGCTCCAGGACACGGCCCAGTCGGTCAAAGAGGACTTTGAGCAGGTGACCTTCAAAGAAGTCCTCTACCTCACCTGTGGAGGAGGGGGGAGGAGGAGGGAGACTAAGCGGCCAGTTCCAGGACTGAGACAGAGACTCACACTCTGTCACCTGAGGAAAGGGGACAGGACAGGAGGACCGGGATTAATTACGGTTCATCTGTCTTGGTGAAGACACACTCAGGAGTCACACAAGTTCAGTCTCTAGTTTAAATGTTCTTCAATGACTGATTTTAATTCAGCTTCACTTGAACATCTGGTTAACTGAAAAACAGAAAGCTGTAGAGAATCACATACAGGTCGACTTAGAGTTTCAATATTTTGAGAAGATGTTGACAAAATAAGAGACACAAAGGTGAGTGTGAGATGGATCAAGTGTAAGTGTGTAAGTTCTAACCAGTGTGTGAGCATCATGGACGTAAGATTCATATCCTCCTTCTTGCAGCAGCTGAGCTGATCGAACCTGAACAGGAACTAAACACAAAAAACTACATACATACACAAACACACACACACACACACACACACACACACACACACACACACACACACACACACACACACACACACACACACACACACACACACACACACACACAAACAAACACAAACACAGTGCTTACATCATGTCAGGGGACTTTAGATCATTTAAATTCATTTCTTGGAGACTTTAATCCAAGATTTTACTCATGATTAATAACTGTCTCAAATCACAAACACAAAAAACTGTTGTTGACAAATCTGTCGTAAGCTCTTTGGAGTGCAGTAGTTTTCTCTAAGGCATCTGTGTAATGTTAATCTCCTACAGGTAATAATCCAAATCAAGCAGACAGCCTTCATTGTTATAAACATGTTTAGTGATGACTGAACTGTGTTACTGACTCATGTCAGTCCAGCCTGAGACCTCTGCTGCTCTTCCTCATCATCATCTCTTTCTCATTCATGAGCTGAAGACTTGAGGGAGCTGAGATATGTGGTCTTTCACACTCTCACTCTCCTCTATTATGAAGTGGGCTCAGTTTGTGGTTGCACAAGTGTAGTTCACAAACAACAGAGCCAAAATTCTGGAGAAACTTCTCCCTTTCTGGAGCTGAATCTGGAGCTTGAGTTTCGTGTCCTACATCTGATGACAGGCTAAGAAAGTAAGCTCAGGCAGACTCATTATAAACACAGAATTTTGGGGTTTTTTAACCCTCCCTGCACAAATTAGGTGGTAGAGTCCCACAAGAGGGTTTGAGCAAAATCTTATTGTTATCACACAACAAGCTGGAAAGGGGAGCCTAAACAGAAGATTACTTTTTTTCAACTGAAAGACAATATTGAGTGAGAGGAGCTTCTGATGCAACAAGAACGAAATGCTTCTTTCAACTGACTTTAAAAAAAAAATATCAACTTGAAACACACAAACCCTCTGCTGTTTGTGGTTTGGCATCAAAGCCAGTTGTCGAGGAATTAAACTAGTCAAACCACTTTTGAATCAAACCGCAGGAGTGTTTAATAATGTCAATGAGTTCACACACAACTCTTGTGCATCTTTGTGTGTGTGATACCTGTTCACAACATCAGCAGGTGACCCTGGTCCAGAGGAAGGTGAAGGAGCTGAGGAGGTAGAAGAGGAGGAAAAGGGAGAAGGAAGAAGCTGAGTCTCCGATGGCAACAAGCTGTCAGAGAAGAAGGGGTCCTCCTCCAGATCACTGACAACACAGACAGACACAAATCACTCTGAAGGTTAACTACCTAAAGAGAGGCTAAAAGAAAAAAGTTACTTCTATAATATCAGCCTAAAATAAATAATAGATAACTTTTATAGACATATTACGTGAGACAACAGACAATTGAATTTCCCTTCGGGAATCAATAAAGTTCTTCTTCTTCTTCTTCTTATCTGTTAATCAATAAGATTCAGGTGATTCCAGGTTTCTGATTGGTTACAGAGTAAGAGGGGCGCAGTTTAGTCTTCATGACGTCCCTCATGTCTCACGTCCCTCATGAACACTCTAATAATATCAATTCAGGCCAGTTCAGCACTATCACCTGGGGCCTGGGTTTAATCTAAACATCCGCAGTGATGTCATGTTATGACGTCATGACCTGCAGTGATGTCACACAGTCTGGCGAACTCACTCGCTATCCTCGTCAGCTTCGTTACTTTCAGTGTGTCGGTCCTCCACACCTGCAGCAGGTGCAGATAGGTAACTACGACTCTGCAGGAAATTCAACACCAAGATGTCCAAAATGTCCTTGTGAGGCTTCTGTAGTAACTCCTCCACCAGACACAGAGACGCCATACTGATCTGAGGGGGAGGGAGACAGAGAGCGTTTGTGCTTTACTGACAGACAGGTTGTTTACAGTGGAGTTTGTCCCTGTTGGGGTCCTGTAGAGGGACTTACCTGGTCAGAGATGTGGTCACAGCGCTGCAGCAGCAGCTGTGTCAGTCCGTGTGTCCTGAACAGGAAGTGAACAAGCTGATCCAGCAGGGATGAGGACTGGACAAGTCTGACTACAGCACAGAGGAGAGAGGTGGAGACCAGGACCACCTGCTCGCACCTGGACCACACAAACACACCTGAACATCAGAAACAACATTTCCTGCCTCACCATATAAGAACAATGACAACTGACACTACTACAAACAAAAATATGAACAACAAACAAAAATAGCAGTGAAAGGGAGGCAGAGAAGAGCAGTATAAAGAAAAGTAAAAGGAGGAGAGGAAGAGAAAGGAATGAAAAAGAGAAAAAAAAAGATGTGAAGTGTAAGGGATGGACAGCAGAGAAAATAGAGGCCAAAAGGGAAAAAGAGAAAATAAAGAGAGGGTAAGTAGATGGAAAAGATAAAGAAAAGGAAGAGAAAGGAATAAAAAAGGAAGGAAAGGTGGAAAACAGAGAGAAGAAGAGGGAGGAGAGGATGAAGAAAATGAAGGAGTTAAAGAAGGAGTAAATTAAGAAGAAGGAGAAGTGGGAGGAGATGTTTACACTCACGTGTGCTGCAGTTGAGGTTTAACTACATCCAACAGCCAGAGCTGGTAAACACAGTGAGCTAGCTTCAATGCTAACACCTGACACACACACACACACACACACACACACACACACACACACACACACACACACACACACACACACACACACACACACACAGGATTCAATCATCTATTGTAATGTGATTACTGATAGTATACTGGCTATGATCATATATTGAACTAAACTGAGCTCAGCTGCTTCACTTACTGTCACAGATGGTTTCATATTAAGATAAGTGAAATTTTATGCTTAATAAGGATCATGAGTTACAAATTTTTATAATTTATGTAAATAAAATATAATTGTTTGAATTCCTAAAATGTTATGTATATTTTGTTTCATCATCTTGAATTGATCTTGCGACTCAAACCTTTTTGATGACTGGATTCCAGGGTCATAGTACATCACCTTTAGTTTTCTCATCAAACCATAGTAGGGCCTCACATTGTGTCAGTATAGTTGCAACATGGGACAATTACCCAAGCAGTAAGCGCAATGGAGCGTGAAAGAGAGGAAGCTCTAGCTCTGTGCATGTGAGCAGTAGACACAATCCAGGCACAATGATCAATTTTATCAGCACAGTCATCTCATACTGTGTGAAGGTGTGTGTGTGTGTGTGTGTGTGTGTGTGTGTGTGTGTGTGTGTGTGTGTGTGTGTGTGTGTGTGTGTGTGTGTGTTTACCTGAGGGGCTTCCCTTATCAGCTGGTCCAGAAAGTCAAACCAGGAGAAGAAGTTGGTCATGTGATCAGAAGCAGGAGAGGCTGATTTGGGATCAGAGCTGCAGGTAGACAACTGAGAACTGGAAAAATGAACAGATGTGCATAAGTAAACTTCTGTCTATACACGCTTCAACTAAAAAACACAGTAAGGTGTACTTCAGTTTGCCTGTTAAACAGGTACAGACAACAAATACAGAACTATTCTGCTAATACACAGGAAAGAAGAGGAAGTGTTTGCATAGGAAACAAAGTTTTGGCATGTTCAGTGACATATGAAAGCAGTCTGCAAAGATAAGTCTGTGGATCATCGTTACACTCAATCCTAAACATTGCATGACTTAAGTCTTGAAGGAGGATTGTGGGCCTAACTGTCTGAATCTGGACATCTGGTCTTATAAAAGTAACGTGTTTTTCAGACTGTCAGTTGCTTCGGAGTGCACCAGCCAAAAAATGTGAAGAAGAAGAAGAAGCCATATGTAAGTCGCACCTGAGTATAAGTTGCAAACCCAGCCAAAGTATGAAAAGAAGTGCGACTTATAGTCTGGAAAATAGCAATGGACCTATACTGACTGTAGCCAGTGTGAAGACAAAGTGACCATCTGCACATTAACCATGTTTCTTATAAAATTCATTCACCAAGTTCCATCTTGGCGATATAGAGTCAGCGTTTATATTTCAGAGCTTTCTCAGAGTGTTTAGTGTGCATTGTGTATTTACCTCCATGCTGTTTGAGGCCAGCTCCGCACCTCTCCAGGATCCAGTTCCCCAACAGGCAGCAGGGAGTAAAGCTCCTGCAGCCTGCCAGCCAGCAGCTCTCCCAGCTGGGTCTGATCACACAGAATCTCCCCCGAGGATTCAGACTGCAGGCCGCACAGAAGCAGCAGACTCTCGTGGGCCTTCAGACATGCAGAGCCTCTCTGAGGAAGAACAAAATGACTAAGTGTGAGAATAGGAAGAGATGTGAAAACAACATGATGCAAATATAGCAAACGTAAAAATGTAATGATGCGTGCTTGGTTAACATTGAAAGTAAAATGATTAAAACAGACTAGTGTGATTGATGGTTAGACCCTTGATTCAAAAAGCACAAAGCTTATAAAGAAAGGATCAAAGCTCCTGTGCTGGTGAGGTTGAAACTTGCAGATGGCATTTGAAAAGTGAGCAGAACTGGTTAGTAGTAATTAACCAGTGAAATTACCTGACTTTTAGCTAAATGCATCAAAGCTGAAAGCAGGCAACTCTCTGCGTGGATGGGGTGCACTGGTTGCTCTGTTGAACTATTAGATGCTTGAGTCCCATGCTGTGATTGGTCAGAGGCTGGTGTTCTGGCTGCTGGTTGGTCGAGAATCTGACAGCATTAAAGACACAGAGCTGCTGTTAGACGGACTTCTTTAAACAGGATCTTAAACACCCACTCCCAGCCTGGCAAGATTACACTGGAGGTATTTCTAATGTAGCCTTTACCTCTAAGATGTATCTGAGTGTGTGTGGATCCTTTTTGACCCTGGAGCAGATGACCAATAGGAATTGAGCCTCCTCTTTCTTAGTGTTGGAACCAGGAAGTGCACAGAGACGAATCAGCTTCTGTAAAAGGGAACAGAGTTGAGGTCAGTTAAGCCGATGGGGCTGTCCCATTACACACACTTGTTCACACTTACACTTGAGTTATTGATGTGCCTATGCATGTGTTTAGTGTCAGGGCAGGGGTGTGCCCTTTCCCTCCAAAAGTTAAAAGAGCAGTGTCCAGGATTTGCATTTAATCTGTGCTTTATCTGAGCTGCAGCTGAGCAGTACTGGCTTGAGTATAAATCCCACAATGCATCACATTGGTGAAGTTATTATGAAGAGCCACAAGATTGAGGCCGAATGCAAGAGTTGATTGGCTGACTGTTCACCCTGATGTTGTATAGACTGCCACTATCTTGGTAAACAGTCTGTGTGAAGTTGGGAGGATCTGCAGGTAACACTCTGGTGTTTTCATCACAAGTCATGTGTAACTGTTGATCAGCCCTTCAAGTCATTGCAGGATTTTAAAAGCAGTCACAAGCACGCTCACTAACACAACATGGGCTTGTCTCATCATTTGCTTATCTTCTGTAAGAGGTGCCGCTGATAAAAACTCATCCTGCTTCCTTTACTTGTCGCTTGTATCATTTCTGTGAAGTTCTGGTGTGAGGGTTTTACCTGGACAGGTCTGTAGACACTGACCAGCTCCAGCAGAGGATTCTGCATCTGAGACAGCATCTTTGTGAAGAACACCAAGACCTGCTGAACCATACCAGGAGGATACTGAGGAAGAGGAAGAAGAGGGAGAAGAGGTTGAATGTAATTATTGAGGGAGGACAGACAAATGCAGCTCTATCAGTGTGATTTTTACCTGAGCTTTTCCCAGAGTGCACAGGGTCTCCAACAGTTTGTGCTGCAGCAGATACTCAATACAAGGGCCTGTCTGCTCTAGACCCTACAAAACGATACACAAATACGTCAGTCTGAACATCTATACACCAACCACTACATCTTTACACAAAATAAAACACTGATCAACACATTAACGAGAAGTCTAATAATAATGGGCTCTAGTGTTGGATCTCAGTAGATGCTCTGTAGTTTAGTGTTGTGTCGTTCGCAAACGATTCATTCAAAAGAACTGAATCCTTTCAATGATCGTACTGAACAGAATCACTTCCTCAAGTGATTCGTTCATTTCTCACTTCAGTTGAGCTGTCAGAAGCGCAGCTGGTATGGCACACAGCATTGCCAGGCAAGCAGCCAGGGAACAAGGGACTGCATGCACTGATGCCTGAATCACTTGGTAAACAAATCACACATTGAACTACAGTCTCAGGAATCATGTTTTGGGCAAAACTAACTTTGCCACCACAACAACTTGCATACAATAGGCTACAGCATGTAACGAGTAGTGCATAAAAGCAGTGTTGTTTTTGGCAGGCATTTTAGATTTAGTTTTAGTCTTAGTCATTTTGACGAAATGCTTCTTCGTTTTCGTCCCATTTTAGTCATTTCTATCCTTGATAGTTTTCGTCTAGTTTTAGTCCGACGAAAACTCAAAAGGTTTTAGTCTAGTTTTAGTCGACGAAAAGGTGCCTTTTGAGGTTCGTGGTGTTCTTTCCCGACAGTTTGAAGCCGCAGCATGAGGAAGCTGTGGCTCCACAACTGTCGTCTGTCTCGTCTCCCCGTCCCCGTACAAGACATTGTGTTTTATTGTCAATTGAACTGTATCTGAAGTAGGACCATAAATCATCCCTCTTTTTTCGGCCACCGGACACCGCTGCTGTGCCTGCCGCCACGGTGTGTGTGTGTGCGCGCCCCGTCCACCTGCCGCTCTGTGTATGTGTGTGCGCGCAGCTGTGCGCGCAGCTGTGCGCGAGCGAGGCTTTTGGTGCGTGTGTGATGGGGGCGTGACTGTTAGGACAAAAAAAAGCATGTTTTGAAACTTTGTTCGTCCACCTAATAACAATTTAGTCTCGTCTCGTTCTCGTCTGACGAAAATGAAGACAATTTTCGTCACATTTTAGTCTTTACAGAGCTTTGGTGACGTTCGTCTTAGTCTCATTTTCGTCAAGGAAAAAAGGGGTCTGATGTCGTCATTTAAGTTTTCGTCCTGCCTGACGAAAACAACACTGCATAAAAGCTGCAGCATCCTATCATTGCAGCGGTTTGCGAGAGAATGATGCATGTTTAGTATGAATTCTTCAAAATGAATCACTCACTGAGCCCAATTTACCGAGCAGACCTGATAAATGGCATACCATAGGACAGTACACTTAAAACATCATGACTCATAAACAAGTTCATTCTTACAAACGTTTTTGCCAAAGCAACACAGCCAAACACTCTCATCTCCCAGTCCCAGAAGTTATGAATTGAACTGAATCCTGAACGTTCAACTGTGTGTCAGTTCAGGAGGTCGGAGTCGCAGGCTCCTCCTGCCAAGTTTTGGTGATTTGGTGATTCGGTGAACAAATCTTTTGAAGGAATCTTTTTAGTAAACTGATTCGAGTGAGTCAGTACATCTAGTCAGTTATTTTAGATGTACTGCCATGCCCATCACTACTGTAGTTCAGTTCTATCATTTCATATCTGTGTTCTGTTTCCTCTCTTTCTAAGTCATAACAGCAGACTAAACTTAAACTATAATCTGAAGTCTGTGTTGTGATCTCTTCAGTTACTGTCCTGCTCTATCCACATATCAATAGTTGGTTCAGATCAGATCAGAAACAGGAAACACTCTGCTTATCTATCCCTCTGTGTTTGTGTGGTTATACGACAAGAATGGAGGAGGAGAAGGGGAAGCTGAGATTTACCTGTGTTCAGGTAATTCAAGTTTTTCTCCACAATGTCAAACAGAGTGCTGGAGATTCAATTTACATGAAAACTGGTTTTAAATATTCAGACAGTTCACCCCTAGCATGCCTCTCAGGTGACCTAACCACAATTGGGAGAAGGTTTTATTTGCGTTCCTGTATCAAAACACATGGCTGTTGAGTTCAGTGATGCATACATTACATGCAGATGTGTAGCTCTAACTAGAGCAGTCTGTATCCCTACTCTGCCACCTACTTAAATGGTGTTTGTGCAAAGTGATGTAACAGTTCACTGATAATCCACAAAACTGGGAATATTTTATGTCATATGCCATTGCTTCAGTCTGTGATAATTGCTCCTTTCTGCAGCACATGCGCATGAATATGAGTACAGCTCTCCAACTGAGTCACAGTTGCTTTTTGTTTGATGTTTTAAAGCCAATAAAAATAAATGGGGCTCTGTGTGTGCTTGCATATGAGGTGGAGACGTGAGATCTAATCAAAATTGCTTATTAGAAATGCAAAGTGTTTGCGCTTGTGCACCCAGCAGTCTGCCTGTTGCTTGATCTCACAGGACATGTGAAACTACCAACTTTAATCACCCCCTCAGACTGCGTGTAAATGTTCAGATTAACAATTTGCACACAGGACAGGTGTGTATTACCTGTTGCTTCTCTTCATACACCAGGATGTCCAACATCTGTTTGAGGTGCCAGGGGATATCTGTCTGTTTGACAGAACGATTGTCATCTGCAAACACACACAGAGCAGGTTAATGTCACTGGCTGTTCAGGCGGTACCAGGTAAAAGTCTAAGAGTGTGTCTTCACCTGTTGTTGCGATGTAATAATTGGTTATAGATTTCCAGTGATCTACGAAGGACTCCAACAGATCCACTGTAGGCTCTCTCTGATAAACAGAAAGTCAGACAGGTGATAAGACAGTCAGACAGACAGGCAGACAAAAACATTACAATAGATGTAAGGATAGTGAGATTACAGGGAAAAGGTGAGTCAAAGGAAAGAAAGACAAGAACAGAGACTGGTAGATTTGGGAATAAAGCTTTCACTTCATAAAAAAAAGTTATTTATTTTTTCTACTAATCTCATATCACCAATTGTATTACTTTACATAGAGAAATGAGTCAATGTGAGATCTAAGAGGAGGTGTCAGTCTGTGATCTGGACACACAGACAGGAGTTCATGCTACTCTCTGATAGTTCACGTTCAATGAAGACTGTGAGCTTCACCCCTTATGACAAAGACCCCCCCTCCCCCCTGTCCGGACCTGTCCTCAGTCTGTCTGAACACCTGAATACATTCCTCCACGTCGACACAAACCTGCTGCAGGTAAACACGCACAGGCACAACACCTGAGACAACTGTGTTAGCTTCAGCTGCTGCTTAGATCATGTTCCTCTTATAATTAACAGCGGATAAACTGGTTAACTGAGTACACCGTGTCTTTCTTATCAGGCCTGTGTGTGTCTAACCAGCCTGCCTGTCTCTCTGTCAGCCTGTCTGTCCTCCCACCTCCTCTCTGTCTAACTTTGTTGAACTTTCTGCCTGTCCTCTTGCTAACAGAAGCTAACTGGGCTAATGTTAACCGACGCTAACTTACCGTTTCCAGCGCGTGCAGCAGCATGCTGGTTAGCTTGTTAAACGTCTCCATGGTGCCGTTAAAAGCGGTCGACACCGACCGACCTTTAAGCGAACAAAGTCTGCTTATTTACCGGTTAGTTTGTGGGGACATGTTGACAACTCAAGTTAACAGCTGACTGCTCAGTCAGGCTAAACCCGAAAGTTATAAACATCCGGGAAGAAGTTTCAAAATAAGACAAATAGGTGCCGTTTTACTTTGGTGCATCCGGTTGGAGGATTTCAAAGTTAATGCTTAAGGAGGGTGGGGGGGGGTTACTTTAATGTTACTTTAATAATAATTCTGCTCCTCTAGATCTATCTGACAGCTACGGTGACTCAAAGCTCCTGTAATAGTAGGCTATATGTTTAAAGAAACAAAGCCCTAGCCTGGCTGGGCCATCCTGTTGCATGAATCACTTGTGGGAAGGAACGGCAAGTGATTCACGCAACAGGATGGCCCAGCCAGGCTAACAAAGCCCCAGTTGACTGGAATTCTGGGACTGCATCTTTTGGACCCTTGGGTTGTCACCATAGACTGTATAAAGAATATAAAGTATATACAGTCTATGGTTGTCACAATAGTTAGTTAGTTAGGGATAGGGTTAGACACAAAAATTTACAACTTGACAATCTGAAGCCCTGGGTAACAAGGATCTTAGAATTGCAGTCTTGGATCTGTGCTCTTTGTGTCTGCAGACTAATACACGGCTGTTTCTGCTTTGCTCTTGCTCAGACTCAGATGTGCAACCATTGCTGAAATAGGAGGATGCTGATCTGCGTGCATTTGGCCAGCAGCTACAGGAGGTAATGTCCTAGCTTGAACTGGAGAGGTTGCACTTCTCTAGATATTCTTTTTTGTTTCACCTCCATGACACTTAATAACTAACTTGAAATATGCACTCTTTGATACAGCCCCAGACACAAAGGTAACACCTGTCTCTGTGGGTGTTGCTACGCTGCGGGCTAACTTTTAGACAGAGTTTCCGGGTGTGGGAGGATAGGGGTGGGTGTGAGAGGGTAGGAAAGTCTGTTGCACTGTATCAAGTACCGCTTTTGTTGCCACCAGCTTTTGCTTATCTTTATTTGTCTTGTACATTACTTTACTCTCTGTGGCAATGTGGGGTATGACTATCCTACCTGTAAAAACTCTAAACATATTTGAAACACGTGTTAAAGCTTGGAAAATTCACAAAGTAACATAAAAGTAAAACTGAAGTCTGATATAAAACAGAATATATGTAAAGTTTAGTATCACCCATTTATTAAAAAAAGAGTCTAAATGGTCACTATAGTGCTGAAATGGCTCAATAATAACACAGGAGCATATTTCCAGTGTTGTGTAATGTGTTTGGCAACTATTATTTATTCAACACTCTGGCTCGGGTTGTTTTGTGGGTGTGTTTCAGGCATGTCATGCACCAACAAGCCATTAGTTGGCAGGTAAAGTTACCTGTGGCCCCTCCCCTTCAGCCCCTCCCTATTTTATGAGTGTCCCAGGTGAGGTGCAGCCTTCGTCTGCAGCATTTTCCGTCCAGCAGCTTTCAACACAGACAAAAACTGACGGTGAGTTTTTTTTCTTTTAAAAATCCATGAAATCTCTTCCTGATTACCAGTCATGTTCTCATTTATCCGACTTTGATTTGAGCAGCTTAGACTCTGATCTGCAAACATATAAAACAAGCATCCTGCTTTTCAAATGGTCTAGGTTTGCTGAAAATACAAAAAAATGTGTGATAAAACACAGAAACCCTTAAAAAAAGATAGATTAAATTGTTTTTATAGCAGATAAAAAAAAAACCTTCTTTAGCCATATTCATGTGTCATGAGAAGTTTTGTCAAATAAATCATTTATTTATTTCATTTGAGCCCTTCAGGTTAAATTTACACTCAAGTCTACATCTGTCTTTGTCTTTATGAACTTCACTCCTTCATTTCCTAATTTCTTCAAATCATGGCTTTACAACTGGGAAAATTGGGCTTAAAAGAGGTTCCGTTGTCTTTTTTTTCGTCACTCATGAGTTGTAGACCAGCTCTGACATTTTTAAGTGCAAACCCATGTGTATTTTTGTCCTTTTGAAATCCTAAAATCCTTTCTTAATTCACTGCAAACAGCCTGAAACTATCCAGCTGACTGAGTGGGAGAGTCACTTCCTGATTCTCTCAGCTGCAGCAAAGGTGCTCTACGTTGAAGAGGATGAGTCACTCTGCTGTTTAACCTTGTGACTCTGCAGGATGAACATAGTGCTGTTTCTGTTCAAGGATGTCATTATGGAAAACAAAACAACTTCTATTAAAACAGAATAACAAACTTGACATTGGGCCCAGACTGTTTTCTTCTTCTGGGTTAAAAGCAGGAGCTTTTAGAGCTCAATTATTACGTTTGACATCAAAGTTTCATCAGACAAATGTAGGTCCAAATGTTCCGACATGAATAAAGAAATTAGGTCAAGGGACTGAAAAACAGTTATTGAATCAAGCTTTTAACCAGCTTACTACTGCTACAAAAATGGGTGTTTGTAAACTAAGCACTATTACAATTATCTTGGTTCTTAGAGACAGTATTAAGTGGCCATTTGAGGAACTGCATCTTTTTGCGCCTCCACTTTGTCTTGTATGGCAGTTCCTTTGTGGTTCAGACACAGCTGTTTGGCACTGTCCCATGAATTTGACACCATAGTGTTCAGGGCACAGGTTTGTCAGGATGCCCTTATGGCTTGATCCCTTCACAAGCTCTATACTGTACCTGCTTCATATGCACCCAAATTCTTAATAGATGTCTGAAACTATAGCTATACAAAGAACAGGCAGATTTATTGGGGTTAAAAAGGTTTGTGTTCTTCTCAGTCTGCAGCCCTGAACAGTATAATATGTTCCCACTGCAGCCTCCTCCCCCACCTGCAAAGCCTGTTCTCCCTATATGCTGCATACATAATATATGTAGCCACATTGATGTCACCCAGTGGTTTGTGGACTGCCTTTTTTAAGTCTTGAGTTTGGAACATTTTTCTGTTGCCCTGCATATTTTTAGAACTTGAAATAGACATATTTGGATTAGGTGGCACTTTGGAGGAGGGTGGTACAAGTAAACACAATACAGTTTAGTAGTACCTTTGCTAATGGAAAATATTCCGATTCACCATCATGCTTACCAGAGAGTGAGGTTAAAATGGATGCATACAAAAGTATAAATGTTTGAAGTGACACTGATGAGCTCAAAAGTTGGGGAGGGGGGGTTGAGCATTAAAACCTGCTAACAAGTGCTTAAAATGTAAAATAATACTGGATTTGTCTAGAAATGACACCTACCTGACACCTAGCAGACTCAACCTATTATTTAAAACAACCATGCATTTTATTTTTTGCTTGTTCAAGCCTTATGTATTGCACTTACGTTATTCAAGCCCCAAAACACCCATGAAGAATGGCAGCATAGTGCAGTTTGCTCTTGTGTTGTATCTGATCATGCAGATGAGCTGTCAGCATCTTTTCCTCCAGCTGTGTAGAGCTGTACTGTGCACTCTGGTGACAATTTCAGAGTGATCAGCTATTCAGTTGTTGTGTGCCTCATCTCCCTACAGGTGACATCATGCCCTACCATTCTGAGTTTGAGAAGGCAGGTCAAGAGGGGGGACTTCAGATATGGCGGGTGGAAAACATGGAGCTTGCACCTGTTCCCAAGAACCTGTATGGAGGGTTCTACACCGGTGATGCCTACCTGGTTCTCCACACTATCGAGAACAGGGGAAACAAGCAGTATGATCTGCACTACTGGCTAGGTACTGCAATACTTTGTGCAATGTTGCTGCAAAACGTAGTGTACTATTGTGACAATAATGTTACTGCAAATAGTCCAGAGTACATTACATAGTATTTCTGTTAACCTGCAACACAACCTGCACTTCTGCTAAGGTATCACTGCAGTATCAACTTTACTGTAACATAGGAGTATATTGGAACAAAGATGGCTAATGGTAAAAATACCAGAAACTGAAGTCCCTCTTTTATGATTTGATCTAGTTTAATTGTTCACGTCAGTGTTAATAATTTTCTCAATTAACTATTTTTTCCCAAGAAAAAGAATTAGTCCGAGAATTGAATCCTGAGGGACACCAACTGCCACACAAAATGTTACTTATGGCAGTCATACTAGTGGATTATTATTCTTTTGTTTGAGGAGATGGGAGCCTTGTTTGCTTATCGAGGTGGCATTGTGGTTGTGGTCTCTGATTTGGACTTTCAGGTGCAGATTGCTCACAGGATGAGAGTGGCGCAGCTGTCATTTTTGCAGTGCAGATGGATGATTACCTGAATGGGATGCCGGTCCAGTTCCGTGAAGTCCAGGGCCATGAATCCAGCACCTTTACTGGGTACTTCAAAAATGGACTCAAATACATGGTAACTATGTTATACATCACAAAACACCATTCTTCACTTTTCAGGATTTTTTTTTTGTTGTTGTTCTGTTTTGCTTGTTTTTTATTATTGATTAGCAACCCTTACCATCACTTTCAACAGCTTATAGTTTCAATAGGTGCAAATATTTTATTCCTCTAAAATCTGTTCCATCACCATAAAACAAACCAACAGAATTTGCCAGAAATAAGCGTCCAATATGCAACAGTACAAGCACAGAAGACTACAATAATGTATGGTATATGTATGAAAATGAACTGGATTTAAAGGCTTTTGTAAGAGCTCCTGTCAGAAACTTTCAGTTTGCATCAACTTTGGCGCCCCCTGTGGACAAAACATTCCTGGCTCATTTTGTCCTGTACACGCTTCGGTAGTGTCTTTGGACAACAAAATCCGATCCAGCCAGCACTTGACAGTCAAATACATCGTTTATTGTGAATATTTGTGGTTAAGATCTAGAAACAGGGCTTTTTTTGTGGCTGTACTGATACTTGTCCCACACACTAGTTTCAGTCATTGAAAAATTACAATAGACACCTGTGATCCTAGAGAAAAAGATCACCCTTGTAAGGAGAGTCCTCACCTGACTTAAATTTCACAGAAAAAACTGTCCATAACAACTCTGCCTTTTTTCACACAGAAAGGGGGCGTGGCTTCGGGGTTCACGCATGTGGATAGAACTGATGAGGACATGACCAGGCTGCTGCAGGTCCAAGGTCGGCGTGTCGTCAGGGCATACGAGGTTCCTCCCTCCTGGGACAGTTTCAACAATGGGGACAGTTTTATACTGGACCTGGGAAAGGTGAGAAGGGGGTGGGGGGCAGACAGTGGGGTCTAAAACAAGAAGACAGGGAGGTAAGCCATGTGACTAGGGACAGGAAGGAGTGAGACAAGCAGACAGTTAAATGCAGGGAGAGACACTTGGAAAGGTGAAACATAAAAAGACAAAAAAAAAAGAGGTGAGACAGGCAGGGGAGTTAAACAATTCTGTTACCTGTCTCTCTCATTCTACAGATAATCATCCAGTGGTCTGGTTCCAAAAGCAACCCCTTTGAGAAGCTGAAGGCCACCTTGGTGTGTAGCAACCTCGCCTTATTACATCATCAGTAGTCTGTGACATTATTTTGGGTTCATATCTGAAATGATTTCATTGTTTGAGCGACAGGTGTCCAAGAGTATCCGTGACAATGAGCGGAGTGGCCGTGCCGAACTGATTCTCTGTGAAGAGGGAATGGAGTCGGAGAAGATGCTGGAGGTGAGAAAATCAGCAGAGCCTTTCACATGAGTACAGGATACAGTAACAACAACACCAGGGTGACAATTTGAAATACCTTAAAAGTAACATGCAAGCTGAGTCCTGCACACTCACAGTCAGCACAGTCAATGGCAATTTTTGACATACCGATTCCTCTCTTTACATCTATCTGATGAGCAGATGTATGAAGTATTTTTCTGTCATTTCAACAAAAGCCAACAAAAGGAAATGTTTTAACATTTTAATTGCAAAGAAAACTACTAATGATGTGATGCAACACAATCCAGGAGGTTGATTTGAATACAAGTCCAGCCTTTAACAAAGCAAGAGGCCAATCACAGACTAGGATTTAAGGGGGGCATCTGTGCAGGCTGATCAGATTTCAAGGGGGGTCATGCAACTCCTAGCTTCACCCCTGGAATCAGAGTGAGGCTGATCATTTTTTGTTTCCTTGAAGATGGGAAATCTTAACACTGATTAGCTTTTAGAACAGAGTCACGCAGATATGTTGCCCGGGTTGAAATTTTTTAAGCTTAAGGGAGTTTTTGATCAGGTTGCAGCTGGTGAGAGCAGTTCTTCTGACTTTTGCTCTTCATACTGTTTGGCCTGTTTACATTTAAGGCTGCTCATCTGCTCATCTACTCAGACAAGCAATTTTCAAAGTCTAGTTTGGTCTTATCTGTTTCTGTTTAATCTGACTACTCCCAGTTGACCTGTGATTTACTCCTTGCCTGTCTGACCTTTGTGTTTAGGTTCTTGGTGAGAAGCCGGAGCTTCCAGATGCTCACCATGATGACACCCAAATAGATTCTGCCAACAGGAAAATAGCAAAACTGTTCAAGGTGGCTGAATGTTCATTTAGTCTGCTGACTTAGTCTGGTCATGATGTCACTGATTCTCATCCTCAGTTCATGTGTCTGTAGACAGAAGTGCTGACCTGGCTTTGTTTTTGTTTACGTATCTGTCTGTCAGGTGTCCAACGCAGATGGGGACATGAAGCATACCATGGTAGCAGATCACAGTCCATTCTGTCAGAGGAGTTTGGAGACCAGTGAATGTTACATCCTTGACAATGGAGGGAATGGAACCCTCTATGTCTGGAAAGGTTCAACTTTGTTATGTCTGCAATCACTATGGTCTGTAACCGGTTTTGGTTACAGTTTTGTCTTAAAACAGTGTAGACTGGTCTTCAACAACATGGACTTAACTAAAACCACCTAGATTGGTCTAGATTGAATAGACTGCTGAAGGACTGGTCAGAATAAGACATTTGAAACCAGCCAGGCTAGAGTATTTTAAAAACAGATTAGTCGAGTATTGGTTTAGATTGTTTTAAGACTGAGTTTTATTGCCGTTTAAATTTACCTGAAAACAGTACGGACCTGGCTAAAACCTAAAAATTTACAACTAGTTCCAAATGAGCTAAGGCCAGTTTAGACCACTTCGACAATGGACTGATCTCAGACTGGCTTTTACAGTCTGGATTTGTTTGAACGTTGTTTGATTTTTATGAAATCATCTTAAACTAGGTTAGGTGAAGCTCCCAGGCTGACTTAGAAGAAGTCTATCAGGATGTCTCCACTTGGTGATGTGGGTTGTCATATATATATATGAGGCTTGTTTGTATTTCTGTGCATTTGCAGGACAAAATGCTAACGTGGAGGAGCGTCATGCTGCTCTGACAATGGCAGAGCAGTTCATTCACAAGATGAACTACCCATCACACACTAATGTAAGCACTCACATGTAGAGGTGAGCAGGTAGAATGCTCAAACTCAAGCATAAAACCAAACAAATTGAATTTAATTAAATTGAAAATTTACTGAATTTCACTTTAGGGATAAATAAAGTTCTTATTTTTCTGCTTAAAAATTCTTAAAAAGAACATGTTACTGAAGCTGCCAGCAATACCTGTCTAAGCACTCGAATCCTGTAATCCACTCAGGTTCAAGTCTTTCCCGAGCATGGGGAGACTCCACTCTTCAAACAGTTCTTTCAAGACTGGAGGGACCCAGAGGATACTGTCGGCATGGGACAGGCATATGTGTCCAGTCAAATTGCCAAGATAGAGAAGGTAAACCAAGCCTTAACACCATTCTTCATTGGAATAAGATGTCAATGTGCCAAATTTGGGGGTAAGGCTATGTGGATGGGGGGTGGGGGGTGTTTTGGGATTGAGCAAAAGTTAAGGGTTAGAGCTCAGGTAACTGCTTTGCCTTTTGTAAACTAACTCCACCGATTGAACAGGTTCCATTTGACGTGTCCAAGCTCCACCAATCAGACGCCATGGCAGCGCAGTATGGGATGGTTGATGAAGGAGATGGAGAGAAAAAGGTGATGGCACTGACTGACACTGAACCGCCAGCGTTCAACTGCTGATCTCTGTTATGTCTTTTCAAATCAAGATTGTCCATATGTTTTTCTGTAGATTTGGCGTGTTGAAGGATCAGACAAGGTTCCTGTGGATCCGTCAATCTATGGCCAGTTCTTTGGAGGAGATAGTTACATCATCCAGTATCAGTACCGTCACAACCACAAACAAGGCTGCATCATCTACATATGGTAGGACAAATGTTCCACCACAGCACTGTAAACAACGGGTGTTGATAAGTCTGTTTAATTTTGAATTTTGTTTCCCTCCGAGAGTATCTTTGGGTTATAAGATACCAATAATACTTATTTTCACCTTTAAATAGCCACAGGTTTCAATAACAGTTGTGATCCAAAATCAGCTCATACTGAAGTCAGGTTGTGGCCAAGTCCCAAGACCTGCTGTCCGGGAAAGCTGGAAAACACACCATTCATACACTCACCGGCCACTTTATTAGGTATACCTGTCCAACTGCTCGTTAACACTTAATTTCTAATCAGCCAATCACATGGCGGCAACTTAGTGCATTTAGGCATGTAGACATGGTCAAGACAATCTCCTGCAGGTCAAACCGAGCATCAGTATGGGGAAGAAAGGTGATTTGAGTGACTTTGAACGTGGCATGGTTGTTGGTGCCAGAAGGGCTGGTCTGAGTATTTCAGAAACTGCTGATCTACTGGGATTTTCACGCACAACCATCTCTAGGGTTTACAGAGAATGGTCCGAAAAAGAAAAAATATCCAGTGAGCGGCAGTTCTGTGGGCGGAAATGCCTTGTTGATGCCAGAGGTCAGAGGAGAAAGGCCAGACTGGTTTCGAGCTGATAGAAAGGCAACAGTGACTCAAATAACCACCCGTTACAACCAAGGTAGGCAGAAGAGCATCTCTGAACGCACAGTACGTCGAACTTTGAGGCAGATGGGCTACAGCAGCAGAAGACCACGCCGGGTGCCACTCCTTTCAGCTAAGAACAGGAAACTGAGGCTACAATTTGCACAAGCTCATCGAAATTGGACAATAGAAGATTGGAAAAACGTTGCCTGGTCTGATGAGTCTCGATTTCTGCTGCGACATTCGGATGGTAGGGTCAGAATTTGGCGTCAACAACATGAAAGCATGGATCCATCCTGCCTTGTATCAACGGTTCAGGCTGGTGGTGGTGGTGTCATGGTGTGGGGAATATTTTCTTGGCACTCTTTGGGCCCCTTGGTACCAATTGAGCATCGTTGCAACGCCACAGCCTACCTGAGTATTGTTGCTGACCATGTCCATCCCTTTATGACCACAATGTACCCAACTTCTGATGGCTACTTTCAGCAGGATAATGCGCCATGTCATAAAGCTGGAATCATCTCAGACTGGTTTCTTGAACATGACAATGAGTTCACTGTACTCAAATGGCCTCCACAGTCACCAGATCTCAATCCAATAGAGCATCTTTGGGATGTGGTGGAACGGGAGATTCGCATCATGGATGTGCAGCCGACAAATCTGCGGCAACTGTGTGATGCCATCATGTCAATATGGACCAAGCTCTCTGAGGAATGCTTCCAGCACCTTGTTGAATCTATGCCAAGAAGAACTGAGGCAGTTCTGAAGGCAAAAGGGGGTCCAACCCGTTACTAGCATGGTGTACCTAATAAAGTGGCCGGTGAGTGTATATCTTGCATTCTAAACTGCACTTTCCAAAAAAGCTGTAAAATATTAAACCAAAACAAAGTCTGTAAATACTAACATATTTTTTATGCTGTGACTACCTTTTTATGTTAACATTAACTGTAAAAATGTGATATCTTGTCTGTGTCTGCTACAATGTTAGTTTTACAGTTTTGCTTCATGTGGCTCATTTCTTAAAACTCAACTCAGGACAGGGACCACAAATTAGCCATGGCTAGAATTCCCTTATACACGGCATCAGTTGGTCTATGATTAAATGTAACAATGCCTACATATATTGTCCCTGTCAAATAAACAGATACATGAATTAACAAAATGAATATCTTACATTGTCCCTTTTTTGTATCTCTCTCACTCTCAGGCAGGGGGCAGAGTCTAGCCAGGACGAAGTTGGAGCATCAGCCCTCTTGGCTATCGACCTAGATGATGAATTGGGAGGAAGCGCTGTTCAGGTTTGGAAAAGGGGAATGTGGACCCAGTCTTTGTAATACTCTAAGATATTGAATCGAATCCCCGTAGTGCGAATGCAGCATACTTACCTGTCTGTCGTTCCATCAACAGGTGCGTGTGGTCCAGGGAAAAGAGCCTGCTCATCTCATGAGCCTATTTGGTAGCAAACCAATGGTGGTGTACAAAGGCGGAACTTCCAGAGAGGGTGGCGAATCAGTGCCGGAAGATATCCGTCTTTTCCAAGTTCGAGCCAATCCCGCTGGCCACTCAAGAGCTGTGGAGGTGAGACGGAAACCAGAGCCACACATTGTCTGAGTTATGCCAGACAAGCCAGCAGGATATTTTGGCCTGTGAAGTGATCACTTTGCATGTTTTAGTTCTTGAAGTCCTATAAGGAGTTACCAGGACACTGTTTCAGTTCAAGCCCTGACTAACCTGGTTCTCTGTCCTCAGGTGGAGCCAGTTTCCCAAAGTCTGAACTCCAATGATGTCTTCGTCCTTGTCTCCCCTTCTAAAGCCTGGATCTGGAAAGGAACTAGCAGCACTTCTGTTGAGGAACAGGGAGCCAAGCACCTGGCTGAACTCCTACAAGTGAGCCTCACCAAGGTCCAGGAGGGCAACGAGGAAGGTGAAGGGATGGTTTCCATGTTTGTTTTTCTGTTTGGTCTATAAAGACCCAAAAAGTTGAAAACCTGTTAAATTCATTTGAATCCATTCCAACGTTTCTAATTCCTCTGTTTATCTTTACAGATGAATTCTGGGATACTCTAGGAGGTAAAGCGGACTACTGTCATTTACTCCGTCCGTTGAACCACTTGGAAGCTCATCCTCCTCGCCTGTTTGCCTGCTCCAACAAGACTGGAAACTTCCAGGTATTTGTGTTTGTCAACCTGATTTCTGGACTGTTAACACACTGCTTTCATTTAAAGATCCCTTATGATGGTATTTTAGATGTTTAAAGCATATACTTTGACATCTTGACTCTGCAACAACAAAGCACAAACGCACGTATGCGAACAGAATCACTTGAGGGTGAAAGTGGTTTTGAATGTCTGCCTATGCAAATCACTTAGGAGTGATTTTGTGAATCTGTCCCTGTGATGATGTAACAACAGGACTGTCATATATATGTGTGTTCAGATGGAAGAGGTTCCTGGTGAGCTGACAAAGGATGATCTTGCTCCTGATGATGTTATGATCCTGGATGTCTGGGACCAGGTAAGTGCCTTATCCTCACCATGGTAAAACACCCCATCACTGTCCTTGGTGTATCTAATCCTCCTGTGTCCTCCTCCAGGTGTTTGTTTGGATTGGAGACGAAGCCAAAGAGGAGGAGAAGACAGAGTCTTTAGCCTCAGGTGAGACAGACAGGACACTCATTCTGAAGAAGGGCAAGCATGTCAGTCTGACACACTTAAAGGGACAGAAAATCATAACGAACAAAACAGGTCATTGTCAAGTACTGTATATTGACTGCCAAGGAAAAAGATCAAGATTAAGCAGGAGTAAAACCTTGAAGCTAAAGATCTTGTCAGGAGAGGATTTAGTATGTCAGTCTAATGAAACTGAAATTATAGACTAGGTTGTGTTATGGGCGGCTGGCATCTAACATGGAAGCTATATGTTGTTTTATCTGCCCCCTCTAGCTGTCAAGTACATTAAGAGTGATCCCGCCGACAGAGATCCTCAAACTCCCGTAGTGGTGGTGAAAATGGGATTTGAACCTCCAACTTTCACTGGCTGGTTCCTGGGCTGGAGCCAAGAATAATGGAAAGAAGACTCACAGAACTGAGTCACCAAGGACCTGCGATAGTGACAGAGTTTTACTGCAATGTATCAAATGAATAAGTACAACCTGTCTGTATGTTCTCAAACACCTGTCCATCTGTTGAATCCTTAAGGGTGAATTTAATAAAAATGGATTGTGACCTCCAATAGCTCCAAGAATTATGCATTAATTGCCCCACTATCTGCACCATATCAAGGGCCAGTTTTAAAAGAATACTGTGCATAACATATGCAAGTACAAATATATCCATGATTGCAGCTCTGTGCAGTTTGCTCTTGTGTTGCATCAATTTGTAAATGAGCTGTCAGCATCTCCATTCATCATGTCGATGTGGGAAGAGAATGACTAAAAAAATAAACTTTTTCATGCACAATGGCTCCAGGCCATCTTCTTTTGCTACATCTATACAGTTTATTTATAGGTCATAAAAAGGTGTAATCCTCATTATTGATGGAAAGTAGCAGCTCGAGTTGCTCGGTTGGCTTACTGTTTGAGTCTCCACCAGGTAGGCTGCTTGTTGCAGACTGAAAGTATTTACAGTTTTTTTGGGGAAAAAAAAGCCAAGATGCAGTTGGTTAGAAGCTCTGGATGTTAGTTGGGATCAATTTCCCAGCCCCTGTGTTACCCATCAGCAGAGGACGAGTTTGATAGTGTAATAGTTTATTGGAGCATCTCTTTATAAATACTGATGTTGATAAATAACAATAACAGGAACTCTAACAGAGAGTTTCATAAATACAGAAGAACAGAGACAGAAGCCACAGTGAACAGAGCAGAGAGACAGTAGAGTCCGGGATAGTCCAGGATAGTCCAGGAGAGTTCATTAGAGTCCAGTAAAGTCTAGCCTGTACAGGAATGTGTGTGTATGTGTGCGTGTATGTGTGTGTGTATGTATGTGTGTTCACAAACTATTCATCACAATTTTAACTTTTTACTGTTATACAATAAAATCTGATGTTTACATTAAAATCAGTAGAATTCTCTGAAACAACACAAACTAACGTCTAACTCTCTCACATAAATCTCTGAACCAGATCAACTAAATATTCAACGCTACGGAAGCCCAGAGTGGCCAAACGCTCATCTCAACCCCATTACAGTATTCTCCTCCGATAGAGCAACACCAGCAGTTACCCCCATGTCCAGTCCTTGTGCTTAGCTAGGCTAACCCTCTCTGGGTACAAGACACACAGAGATGAAGCTGATCTGAGTGAGACTTAAGTGTTGGACTGTTCCCTCAAATCTCAATCAAAACACAAGATAGCCTGAATATGTTCAGGAAGCTCTGAGCTCCAAAATACAAACGGTTGATATGTTTTCTGTTTGGATAAACTTTTTCATCTACACAGACGCTGTTAAACACCAGAGCCATGTACAGACACACAGTAGTTAACCCAGTCATACAAGAGCCATAACTAGCCAAGGTTAACCCTGCCGGACTAGTGCCATATGCAGCCAGAGTTGTCCCGTCTTATTTAGACAGGAGCCAGTCACAGCCAGAATTGATGTAGTAAGACCAGAGCCAAAGACAGGCAAGGAAAAATCAAATGTCACCAGACTTACCAGAGTGATATGCAGCCAGGGTCGATGTAGTCATACAAAAAGCCATAAATGACTATATGCAATTAGAGTAAACAGGTCAGACTAAAGCCATGTAAAGTCAGATATAACCAGTCAGACCAGAGTGATGCACACCCAGAGTAAAGCCAGTCCTATAATAGCCATATACAGTTAGAATTCAACCAGTCATGTAAGATCCACGAACAGCTAAAGTGAATCCAGTTACACCATAGCCATACACAGTACTATTTGACTCAGTCAGACTAAGACATGTAAAGTTGGATTTAAAGAGGTGGTATTATTCTCTTAAAATGTTGGATGTCAGTAATAAATGTGGGCAAAGTTTCGAATCCTGAAGCATATTTCTATTGAAGGAATCCCAGGATGAGTCTACAGGGGCATGTTCAAAAACTCATTGGAATCATACAGGAGGAACATGAGATTTACTCAGATTGTTACATCTTTGTTTGACTAATAAATGTAACACATCAAACAGAAATGACTGACTCTGTTTTACTGCTGTTTTTTTGTCCCTTTCTAAACTCTTCTGTATCAGATACAGGGTCAGAAACATGTGGCCATATTTTATTTGTTGTTTTGACTATAGGGACTATGTAGCATGGCAACAGTAGAAGAAGATTCTCGAGTGCTGGGGGTGGGGAGGGGGTCCTTTAAAGGATAAAGCCCCTTAAAGAGCCAGCAGCCAAAATGAAATGTTTTAGACAGAGGCTGCAACGAGAGTTTCAAAAACACCAATCTGCCAATCTGCCTTTCCAATAAAGCCGTGGAAAGTTGCATGTAGCAAGTAAGACGAGAGTGATATGCAGCTAGAGTTAATCCAGTCATACTACAGCCATAAACTATCAGAGTTAAACCAGCCAGACTAAAGCCATGTGCAGCCAGAGTTAACACAGTTATACAATAGCTATATAAATCTTGAGTAGAAACTAGTCCTAAAGGACTAATGTACAGTCCAAGTGAATCCAGTCACACCATGGCCAGATACAGTACAATTTCAGTAAACAGATTCAGAGTAGAACCATATACAACAACGTTTACCTAGTTGGTCCAAAGCCATAAAAAGCAGAGTTAATCCAGTCTTCGTGAGACTGGTGCCATGTTAAACTGGATTAACCACGTCAAACTAGAACCATTATTTGGTCAGAGAGACAAGAGCCATATAAAGCTAGAATGGATCTAGAATGACCAAAACCATTTACAGCTTGTCAATCCAGAGCCATTTATAGCTAGAGCTGAGCCAGTTAGACTCAAGTGTCATAAAGCTGGATGTCAGACAGGAATGACATACGGTCAGAGTAATCAGCCTGATTTAGAATTCTATGTCAAGTTTTGGTTTATTTTGTAGGTTTGCGTAGCTTTACCCCCTCAAAGCATATGTACATCACTTGACATGCACCTCTTCAAAAACTACAAAGGCTGCAAGCTCTGTAAACTGGCCCGCTGGTAAGCATCTCATTTCCTGCATTTACGTTATTTCAGGGATGGCTGTACATTGTTTGTGCACTGCAGCTACTCCAGTGTCTCCCCTCTTCTCTACTCTGAAATACCTGCAGCTTGTTTAACTTCTGCTCAACATCTGGCAGCAACAACTCCAACATAATATATTGCAGATTGAGCCACCATGGTTTCTCTTTGCACAAACAAGCAGAGACTGTTGTGGAAAAAGAAAGTGGCATTACGTTGGCACAAGCAGGAGAGGCTCATGACATTGTAGGCCACAGAGTCAAAATAGAAGTTTAAACCAGGCTGGAGCCCAACATGGCCAGAGTTGGCCCAGTCAGACTAGAATCATGGAAATTTGTATGTAGCAAGTAAGACAAGAGTGATATATATGCAGCAAGAGTTAATCCAGTCATGAAAGCCATAAACTGCTTGAATTGACCCAGTCAGACTAGGACCATGTCAAGTTGCACTTAACCCAATCAGGCCAGAACCAAATGCAGCCAAAGTCAATCCAGTCTTACAAGAGCCATATAAAACCAGAGTCAGTTAAGAATCATACAAAGCTAGCCAGACAAGAGCTTAATACCACCAAAGTAGATCTAATTTGACCAGAACCTTATACAGGTAGAGATCACAAGTCATACCAGAACAATATGCAGCTACGGTTAACCAAGTTTGACTAGGGATATGTCAAGTCAGATCAAACCTGGTCAGTCCAGGGTCATATAAAGCCAGAGTTGATAAAGTCATATTATAGCCATATACAGTGAGAAACCAAGTCAGAACAGAGCCACTTACAGTCAAAGTGAATCCTGTCTTACAAGAGCCATACACAGCCAGAGTCAGTCGAGGCCAGCCAGAATCATCATACAAAGCTAGAGTAAACCCAGTCAGACAAGAGCTTGATAAGACCAAAGTAGTTCTCGTCAGACAAAGGTAGAGATTACAAGTCAAACTAGAACCGTAAGAGTCCAGGGTCAACCCAATAATACTAAAGATATGTAAAGTTGGATTAAACCCAGTCAGACAAGGCTATGATTGGAGCCATGACCAGAGTCTTGTAGATAAACAGTGGTTTGAATGGTCCAGCTGGATCAGAGTCATATACATCATTGGAGTCCAGATACAGGTGAATTTGTTCCAGGTGGTTTGAAGCTATTTCAGGGATGTGTTGTTTGATTGCTGGCAGTACCTGGCCCTTATCAGGAAGTACCAAAAGAAAACAGGATATGATTTCTGAATTCGTCAGCTGTTTGAAGAGGAAACATGCAAATCAAAAACAGGAACTGTGGGGAAACATAGCAATAGGGGCAGTCAGGTCAGAGGTCAGAGGTCAGATCCATCTCTGTAGGAGGTGACAGTTGATTGACAGGTCTGTGGTAACTACTACAGTGTTGATTGGTTGATTAAAAAAAGGGGTGTGGTAAATGTGAGGCCCGCCTCCTGCTGCCTCTCACACGTCATGCAGATAAGCCCCTCCCCCTCCCTGCAGTCAATGCCAATCAGCGCTTCGTCGTAGGTGACTCAGCAGTTGCCGGAGTTTCGGAACTCCCCATTCTCGGTGATCTGCAGAGATGACGTGTTGCTAGGAGACAAGCCATTCCTCTGTGATGTCACAGCGTACCGTTCCTTAAGCTGAGTCAGAGCTGCCATCAGACGACTGTTAGCTGCATCAAGACTCGCAATCCTTTTCTCCTGAGAGGCAGACAAGAGGAGAGACACATAAGGGGTTTGATTTCTCTGGAAAAAAACTTCCAAAGCAGAAATCACAAGAGGGATTAAACTCTCAGAAGAAAAGATAGACAGTTAGACAGTCAGATACCTGTGCTTCTATAATCTTTTGCTTGGAGTCCACCACAGCCTGCATGTCAGAGTGATCCTTCTTCAGCTCCTCCTCTACAGCCATCAACCTGCAAAGGTGAGAGGTCAGAGGAGTGTCGAGGCAAACAGGGGAGCAGAAAAATTGTTATAAACAACCAGTAATTGGACAGAACAAAAGGCTTCCTAAAAATATGGATGACATGTCAACTGTCAAAAGTGAAACTAAAATATTTGGAGCTCTCCCTTCTGTATCTTATGAACTGTATATTTGCAATGTACTGCTTAGTGTACAAAAAAAGTCCTGCATAAATGTGAACAAGCAGCTTGACTTTGGCTGAAGCAGCAACCTCTATTTCAGTCCTCCCACACACACCTTGTGTAGTGGAATGTCTGCGTCTCATATTTTATTTGAGACTCTGGGTGACTCCTGCCTCTGTGAGCAGTGAGACGTCAGTTAGACAAGGTGAGTGAGTGCGCTGAGCATAACATACTTCAAGAACACTACTGAGTATCTTTCTGACAGTGCTGTCAATCAAACTGGACAGCAACAGAGCAGGCAGCAGTGTAACATTATCTGTGTCTCATTCAAAAGTGGTTTAGCTGACATTACTGAAACAAGTCAGTAATGTCAGATGCACAGAGAGTCGAGCAGTCTTCCTGCTGCACAACAACATCATCATGCTGTTCACTATTTTTATTTCGTCTTTGCTTCTATCATAGATTCCCGTAGTTTGGAGCTATTTTAAGATTAAATTTTTAAAGTTTATATCCTGCAGTGCTGGTGCTCCTGTTGTCTAAAATACAGAATTAAAAAGGTTTCTATATTTAAATGTCCTCTTTATGCAAGATATTTTGGAGATTGTACCAGAACAGTGTCCATAATTATTAGTGTCAACGAGCAATATCAGTGGCCATGATCAGACCTGCTGATGATGCTGTTCATCTGGAGGTCTTTATCGTCCTGCAGCCTCCTCAGTCTGCTCTCTGTGTCCTCCAGACGAGCCTGAAAACACAGGCAAACACAAAAACAGTTTTTTGGTGTGTTTACTGAGGTGCCTTGTGACTATCAGTCATCTCCTACATCAGGTAAGCTTTTCTACAGGTAAATAATATCCTGTAACATCTGTAAATCAGCTGATTTCTTCAGTAACAACCACCAATCAGCCGTCTCGGAGAGATTTAGAATAAAATGGGGGTAGAAAAAAACAGGAAACAACATCCGAGGAAGTGACAGTCCTCCTAAAGGTAGATCAGTTCTGTTACTCACCTGGTACTCCTGCAGCATGCGTTGGTTTTGCTGGTCCTGGACCAACAGTCGGGCCTCACACTCATCCTGCCGCAACGCTGCAACACGCAACTTCTCCTGCAGCAGTGCAATCTCCTGCTGGTACTGTAGACACAAAAAGAAACACACAGTAAGAACATCTACACTATCAGCAGAACCAGAACTCCCACTGTACTGAGTACAAACCCAGAATGAGGAGTCTTACCTTCTCTATGAGGGCCTCATCATGGCGATCTTCCTCTGCCTCACCGTAGGAGGATGCAGAGTTCATGTTGAGCAGCCAGGCTGCTGTGCGGTCCAGTGCGCAGGGGGAGGGAGCCTGCACCCAAACATTCACACATACACACTCAGTGAAAATTAAGGCATGAACCAGGATGTGGACTCCTCACAGACTGTCATGACTCAGACTGTCAGACTGAGCCTGTTGCCTTTCACACTGACAAATCACCATGGCAACAGTCTGTTACCTTGGCAGCAGATCGTTGTTTCTCGGGGCTATCTCCTTTGGAGGACGAGGATGTCTGTCTGAGTCTGGACTGGCCACTGCTCGGCCAATCAGGACTTGATGACATCATGCTGCCAGATGCAGGGCGAGGGGGGTAGGCGGAACCTCCTGCACCACTTAGCATGCTGGGTGGTGTCCGACCCCGTGGGGGTCCCGGTGGAGCAGAGGATGGTGGAGGAGGCTGATCAATGCGTCTCTGAGGGCCAGAGGAGTTCTGGCGAGGGGGGGCGGAGCTACCTGAGGGGGAGAGGTGACAAAGTGACATCATGAGGAGAAGCACTTAAAGCCCCGTTTTAGGAGGCTAGGTCAGGATTTCTACAGGACACTGAAGATAAAGTCTCCTTATGCATTTCCCACATGAAATATTCATGATACAGGATAAACCTGACTGATGGAGCAGATATTTTTTGTCAGGAAACAGCACTAACACGTCTGTCACAAAATAGAATTGACAGTTAGTGTCTTCTTAATACAATTTTTTTTTCCATTTTCATCTCTGCGACACCAATTTATAACATATGTTTTTTTGGGACAATTTAAAATGATGACATTTAAGTTACTCAGAGTTATCTGTAAAGGAATTAACTCTGCTATTTGAGATGTGAAACCAATGCAGAAGTTGAAAAACTGCAGTTCCTTGAGTGTCCACCTGAGTGTCCATTTCAAGAGTTCAGAAACCCCTTATACACCCATTCACTCTGAAGCAAGGATGAAAATGCTTACAATTTTAGTCTGAAAAAACAAATGCTCTACCTGCACATACTGTATGGGAGATGATTTTCTAATCACTCACTAGTTTTGAAGATGTTAGAGTAACTTTTTGTATAATTAGAGGCACAGCTGACTTTACTGACAGGTGGGCTCACTGTAGCTGTCAGCAAAGAGGCGAAAGGCTCTTCTCAACTCTTTATCTCTCGTTTGTCAATCTTTGGTTTTATTTAATTGACCTTGGTTTCTACACAATTAGCGGTTACTCTCCAGGTCTTCGCTTATGCACAGAGTACACTTGGAGTGACTGCCAGTTTGAAAAATGCCCTAGTGGCATCAGCACCCTCTACTGGACTGGAGGATTAGTGTCTCTATTTTAACCATTAAACCACCAAATTCAGTGACAATGGTGGGAGAGCAGGTGGTTCATCATCTTTGAGTATTTGACGTGTGTGTACCTGTTAGTGTCTCAGTGAGGGACAGAGCTCGTCGAGAGTACTCCTCTCCACTGCTGCTGCTTGACATGGCCGACATTCTCTCCCCTCTCTCCCCCCTTTCTCCCCCTCCAAGCCCAACAGACATCTGGGTGAGAAATGCAGGTTTGGTTGCCATGGCGTTTCTTTCCTCCGGGTTCCCCTGTGATCCCACTGAGCCGTCAGAGGGCGTGGCATCTGTCTGAGGTCGTGGTGATGTGGTGGTCATGTGATACACAGGGTTCTGAAAGGAGAGTGGGAGGAGCCCAGTCCTGCGCTGCCATTGGCTGTCATCGAGACCGTCACTGGGAGAGGTGTCCTGCAGGTCAACTAGGGACAGGCTGCGGCTTTCATTGGTCAGATCCTGCCCCTCTCTTCTGCCCCCATTGGTCATTTCAAATCCTCCCTCATGCTCATTAGGCTCTGAGTATGATGAGCTCGGAGCTGGTGAGCCTTGAAGGCCTGTGGGAAATGACATCATTTGACAGGAAAGGTCAGAGGTCAAGGAAAAGATAAAAATCTGAAGGTAGTTCTCATTAATGAGTTTTTGTAAACTCAGTTTAAATTGGACATACAGATCCGATCAGTTTGCCTGTTTGGTAAGGAGACACTCAAAATTAAATGTTACCTGATGCTGGCTGCAGACTCGATCCTTTAGTGACGAAGAACAAATCTTTGTTCTCCGGTGTCGGAGATGGGAGTCTGGTGAAATCTACCATACTTCACACACACAAACACACAAAAACACACACAAAATCAAAACTGTTCCAAGAGACATATAAAACCAAACTGTCATTGTGCCAACTTTTCATACCCTCGACTTCTGTGTGTAAAATTACAAAAACATGCCATTTCTATCATGAAGGAAAGCTGTTCTGCTCTCTGCTAGCTTAGGCTGTTTAATGTTGGCATCATATTACATTAGAAGTAAAAAGAAACTGGTGTCTTTTAATGATCGCTGTTTATGTGTTGTCCTTTAGCCCCACCCACACTGAACTATGATCGGTCAGATCTCTTCAGATCTCTACACAGGCTGTTTTTTGTTGTAAATATCTTTGCTTGGGTTTTAGGCTATGAGGCTTACCCTCCGTCCAGTCCAACGCCGCCCTGCAGACCCATAGAGGGATTACAGGTTGCCAGAGGAGGTGAGAGTGGTGGGGAAAGAGGGGGTGGGGACATCGGGGGCGGAGACACCACACGCTGAGGCTCTGGAGAAGACACAGACATCCCCCCAGGATGACCCACGCCACCTGGGTTAGCCAGAGCTGTTGAGACTTCTCTGAGGATCCGAGGGAGAGGACTGAGCTTCGCCAGACATGACTGCAGAGAAACAGAGAGAGTAAGACAAGTATCCAGGGAGACGTGGGTAAAAGCAGAAGAGATGAGTCTCATTCATTGGTTAGATGTGAAGATTTTCCATGTGGGAATAGAGACACGACAGCTAACAGCTCTATTACAAAGACAGAGGACAATCAAACAAATCAAAACAAACTCAGTCCTGAATCTTTTATGATTCTATCATGTAGATGGAAAAATCATCACATTCTTTGCAATTTTACACTTCTAAGCATTATTCTGGAATTGTAGAACTATTTCCTTACCCAGTCTCTCACAAAGTGATGAACCTCTTCCCATCTTTCCTTCTGAGAGACTCAACCTCTCTGAAAATACACCTAACTGTTTGGGAGATTTTCCTCCATGTGTTTTCTAACAATACACAACTTTATTTGATTTGTTGTCTTAACATTGTTTTAAATTAAACAGAGGGTTTAAGTGATAAGTGTTCCCACTCTAATGGAATTACGATTGTACTGCTCCTTTAAACAACCGGATTTCGAGTTGTAATCTTACGTGAAAGCTCTAATCCAATCAGATTACTTTTAAACAACAGAGCCCTGGATGCACAGTGAAACTTGAAAACAGTCTGATTACTAGGTCAGCTGGAAATGGACTTGCCATAGATTACCTGGTAAAGTGTTACCTGGTCAATCTCTGTCAGTAAAGTGTGTAGGCTGGAGAGTTCCCGGCCGAGGTCGATGTACCCATCAAAGCCAGCTGTGTGGTTCAGACCATCAGGGTTCGAGATCTCCTGCAGGAAACGCTGCATGCTGCTCCACTGTCGCTCCACAAAGTCATTCATGAACAGCATGTACTCCTCTTTAGTCCCAAACCTGCGACCACATACATACAGGTTACATGTGCAGGTGACATGAAAAGGAATAAATGTAACAGTTAATAATAAAATAGCTTTACGAGTGAAGGTTACAGGCTCAGGTACTTGGACGAGTCAAAGTGCCTCACAAAAGTAGTCAATCCCACCTCCTTCACAGTAAGAGCCCTCCAGTATCTGTGGAGTAAGAGCCCTCTAGCTCCTTCACAGTGAAAGCCCTGACTCACTTGCTGAAGTTGGCGAGTGTCTGGATGACTTTGGCGATGAGGGTTAAGGTTCTTGCTGATCGTTCGTCAGGGTATTCCTGCATCAGGTCGAACAGTGACGGTGACATCACGGCAGGGCAGAGAAAGCGCAGGAACAAGGAGGCGCTGATGAGGCGCTCACTGATGTCCGGTCGCCCTCGGTTACCACACTCCTGCCTCCATGATGCAAATACCTCCTTCAGCTCCCGGGGGAAGACCCTGAGTTTATGAGTGGAGGAGATTTTACATAGTGCTTCAGTGAACACAGAGAAAATACTGCATATGCTTTCACTTCTCATACAGTTTGCACATCATTGTTTACCTGAATGAGTCGAGGATCTTGCAGAAAGCCAGTTCACAGCACATCCTCAGGTTGGCCTGATGCTCTGCAAGGTCAGAGGTCGCACAGCGAGACGGGTCGACCTCACAGTTCTCGTCTGACTCATACAGAGCTTTGATGAACTCACCTAAGCACAAACACATGCTATTGTTTTTCTGCATTTCTTGTACCTTGAACTGACTCTTATTCCCTGTTAGTTGTGTTTTGAGTGTATTTGTGCAACATCACATGACGAAGGAGTGATGCTGTGCCAAACATCAGGCCTGCTGTGATTTTATACACTGTTCTGTCCACAGCTTCAGGCCCACACATCTGAATTACAGAGGTGATCAAGTATGAGGTTATGAGAAATACTGCTTTTACACCAAAGTTAAACAAGCAGCATAAAGAATATGAAAAAATAGGCAAAAATTTGGTTGTTTTGTTTATTTAATACTTAAGTTTTTTTTTTTGTTTTATTAAAAGTGAACTGTTTCCAGGCAACCAAAAATGTTTCTACATTCATGCTCCTCATGCATGTTTACACATCAACAGGCCATGTTTTCAACAACCCAAATTCCAAAAGAATCAGGAGGCTGTTGATTAAAGCAGATTTTAATGATCCTTTAACTGACTAAAAATAGAGCGAAGATAACAAATCAAACATTGGAGCTAAACAATGTTACAGTCGTGTCAAAAACGTATGCTAATTTACTGTACACCAGTTTCACACTTCTGAGCTAAAGTGGCCTCTACTCAATCTGATTTGCTTTTAGCTGTGACTGTTCCTGTGTTATTAATGAAAGGCCTGTCAATGTTTAATATCACTGGGTCACAAAAACACATTTTATGAGCTGGCCTGACAGCTGTTGAAAAGAGTACAGGACCCTGGGTTCTCTCATTTCTGGATGTTATTTTTCTGGAATTATCAAATGCTAGAATTAATAGAGTTGGTGGGATGAATCTGCATAATTGTCACCTTGTAGCTGACTAACTGAAGATCTTTAAAAATGATTGCCTGACCTTTATATTCTGTAATGATAAACAACTCCATCTGTCAATGTTTGTATAAGACGTCTATTTTTGTGAGCATAACATTGTATTTGAATGTGTGTTTTGGATGTATGATCTAAAATGACACCTTTTTTTATTTGCCGTCATATTGATAGATTACCTGTAACCACACTGACATCCGTTTAATTAGTAAACAGATAGTTAACGTAACTGCGGGGCCCATGGTTTTCATTGTGTTATAAATTTGTGTGTTGTGTTAACTCGCTACAAAATCTAATAACAATTTTATTCTAAAAAGAAAATGTATCCTTTGCCTGCAAATTTTTTTTGAAAATCAGGACAATTAAGGACACCTCTGTCCCATCAGATTACTCTGTGAGTACTAACTGTTGTGTAGTGTGTGTAACAAAGTATGTAATGTACTGCATACCAAGGGCATCTTGCAGGTACTTCTGTCCAATCAGCTTCAAGTATTCCTCGATGCTCTTCGTTGCAAGTGTGTTCTCCCTGAAGATCAGCTGGTCATTGTCACGGCAACGATCCACCTCTGACATCATCAGGTCCGTCAGGAAGTCCTGCAAAGAGGGTTTAAGGGTCATCCTTCGCTTAAGTTGATTTAATCATACTGAATGTGGGGAAATCATGTGATCCCTTTTGTGGTCTGGTCACATGATGAGATACTCTATTGTTATTACTTCAAAAGACAACAATTCAGTTTTGTTGTCTTTGAGACATTTATGACTACAAAGCTTCAATCCAAGACTCACAGAAACTCTGAGTGATGAGTTACGCTGCACAAACGTGGGAGGATTCACTCAAAAGCTTCTTTTTGGAGGTTCTGAATCCTGATATAGTGAGTGGGATCATGTCATGGGTGTGAAAAGAACTCACAGGTGTTTTTTATCGTGGGTTTGACCTTGTGGTTGCGGTGTTGTAACCTTAACCCTGCTTTTGCTGTGATGCACTTGATGGCTTTACTTTAAAAGGTGGGGTTTTTTTTGGACAGGGTAATATGGCAAGACCCAGCATGGGTGCTAACGACATTTGTTGTTGGTGTGATTACCTTGGCCTTTCCAGTGCTGTGCAGGATGTGGACGAGTGCAGCAGCCAGCTCCTCTTTAGCTCTCAGGCTGATGGAGGCCTCCAGAGTGTTACAGAGCAGCAGGTAGTTGGAGCTGATGTATTCTGCAAACTCTTTGTACTGCTCCATGGGCAGAATGACGATACTCTGATACCGAGCTTTGATTCGGACTGTTGGTACAGACGACTTACCTGGAACACAATGAGACATAAAAACATTGAGCTACGCCGCTGATTTATCTTTGCTTTACAGATCCGAATAAAATATTAATCAGCCATGTTACTCTGGTTCACAGATCTCAACACTAACTCCTTGTGTGTTAGAGGACAGATTTCAAAATCCTGCACTATCTCTTTTAAAGTTAGTCCTCACCGAAGTCCAAATTAGTTAGTTTGCAGCTTTTGTTGCTGCGTCCTGTGTAAAAGGCACTCATGGTCTTGGGCCAAGATATTAACCAAATCTAGTTTGCTATGATCCATATTCCTTAGGTCCTCTGTTACAGGTTAACATAGTGCTCTTAGATCCAAAACAAAGCAGAGTGAGGCAGCCCTCTATACTTCCCCATTGAGAGACAAGCATCACGACCTGAGACTTTTTCAGTCAGTGAGCTCTTTCATAACAGGTCTTCCAACATTTATATTTACAACTGCCTACCCATAAACACAATCACTTATCTACTTTAATGTAAGTCCTTTAATTGAACTGTTAATTTGCCAGTTTATTGGTCTTGTATTTAAATAGGCAGTGTATTTACGATCATTAAATAGAATATGATATGAAGCATTATAAGACATTTAATGTTCTATGAAGCACTTTGAATTGCTCTGATTGCATCAATAGTATAGTGGCTCCAAGCCAGTCTGAGCCTGAGAGCCAATGCTTACAGGTTTTTCTATCCTTTTGCCAGAGTTTATATGTGGACATCACTTAGTCAGCCAGGAAGAAAAATGTAGACCAGCACTGCAAATTATTATTTACCACTAATGCTTTGATGGTGCACAGTGCTGTTCAAAAAAGGATGTCCAACATATTAAAGGCACTTAAGATGATTTCCTCATCTTAGGTTACATCTAAATACATAATCACACATCATTTCTGGTTTTCTATTCACCAAAGTCAGCAGTGATTTCATTTTAACAGAGATTTAGCCACTTACTCCTGATGGTGCTGGGCGTGCTCAGTGTGTACCACTTCTCCACCAGCTGTCTGCCTGTCACCGTGGCGACAGGGATGTTGACCAGCCCGACATAACTGCTCTTGTCCTTCTTCCTCTTCCTGTCGGTGTCTTTGTAGAGATGGAGAGTGATGGCGTTGATGGACGGCAGACTGCTGAAGTCAAAACGCTCTCCCCAAAAGATGTTGTCAGTCTTCAGCTTACACGACGTCCGAGCGTAGAGACTGTCATCCAGACACAGCTCACAGAAGTACCTGAAAGACAAATAATGAACTTATTGTCTGTAGTTACTGCAAAAGAGTTCACAAATACGAAAGTTAAAATCCAATTTTAGGAAAAAAATATGTAATACTAGGTTTTCGTGTTTCTCATATGTGAGGGACCCACAAAGATAAATGATGAAAGGCTGTCAAAGCAGGTAGAGGCCCATCTGTTGACGTCACAAGTGACATAAAAATCCATTTCAGGAACTGAAAGACATGGTACTTGCTAAGCTACATTTCTTGATCATCAAAGGAGCTAAAATTCCCATCACCAGGAGTGTATGCTGAGGTTGTTTGTCTGTAAAAAGATCCAAAACCTGTTCTAATATGGAAAGATGGATCATACGCAACTTGTGAAAGATCATAGGGCCTTTGTAGTTTTGAAGTAATCCATGGATCAATAAGGATATAATGTGTTTGGATTAAACTTTCTGCTGGTCTTGGATTGTGGGAACCCCTTGTGTTGCAGCAGGAGGACGGTAGACTGTCGGACTTAGCAGGTTGTAACTATAATGTTAATTTCATCAAGTCTGGCAGAATTAACCCATTAACTGTCATAAAATAAATGACTTTGTCTTATGATGATCAACAGTGTTAAACTTTAGATTTATTTATCTGTGCCAAACTATGAATTCCGGGTACATTAAAAAAATTTCCTCTCAATCATTAAGAACTTACATGAACTTTAGCTAGCTCTGCTTCCTTTCTCATCACATAAATATCAGTAAAAACACAATAGAAGGTTTTTTAAACTCTGATCTAATTGATTACAACAGGCTAGTAGATCACAAATCTCATAAATCTGTTTGGTTTCCAATCAAGGGTGAGCCTTATTCAAAAATTAGAAAGTTATGTCATAAGGAGTTTTTCATTCCTACATTAAATCATCTAGAAACTTAAAGTTCAGGCCAGAAGCCATAGACTGTATTTAAACGAGTCCTCCTGTAACAGACTGCGGAAACGTCAATACAAAATGCTCCAAAGGTCGCAAACTGGATTCAGTTCTATCTCCTCTGTGTCCAAAATGTCTTAGCATACAGGGGGGGACTATATTAATCTATTCAAATCTATGCTGCTACTTTTCTCAGATTTGGTCCTCTATAACCAAAGAGCTTAGCGGGACCTTTTTAAACCCAAAGTTTCAAAAGATCACAGTCTCATCTGACTCAGCCTGTCTTCTTGGGATGCGTCACTTCTCTCTCTTAGATCTTAATTGGTGGATAAATTATTTCTCTCGATTAGAAAATGTGTTCTATTAAAATGGATCAAATATACTCTTCCCACTGTTATAATGTGGTTGAACCAGCTCTTTTTGTATTTCTTACTGAGAGGAGCAGAGCTGTTTTGAAACGTTTCAGACCTCAAATTTTGAGAAATCGAATTTGTTTTTACAAAACAATTAAATTACCTGATCTGGAAACCTTCCGAGCTGAGAACTGGCACTGAACCTCCTCACTTGTAGTGAGGCTAAACCGAAGTCTGAGAAGTTAGCAGACTGATGAACCATGCAATTCATACGGATATTGGATATTGGGAAGTTTCTATCCTATTTTATATTTTGTATCTCTATTTGTTCTTGTCTTTGTGTTTGAAAACTTTGGACCGATTCATACTTGATGTTGTCATTATTGTTTTTCATTGTTTGGAAACCTTAATGAAACTGTTAGAGGAAAAAAAGAAACTTAAAGTGAACATAACAGGCAGATCACTTGATACAAATCAGGAGTCAATGCAACTTTCAGTCATCCTCTGTGTGAGTCAGAGCTCTAGCTGAGTGCACAGTGGGTCATGGGAAGTGTTCCTGTGCTTATATTGCTGTGTCTGAGTGAATTAAATGCCCTTGTACTCCTGCTGTGCTCATGTTTTGGAGCTTTCATCGTTCTTAATGATTGTCCCTGAAATCACTGTGGCTGCAGTGTTTGTGTGAGTTGAGTGAAGACTTGTCTGTGACCAGCAGCTTAAAGAGGTGTTGGACCGCTTTTCTTATATCATAATACATGTTAATAACAGAACTGCATTGACCTGAATACAGGACAACTTTGATTATAAGAGGACCTCTTTAACTTTTAGGAAAATACCTTTTAAAGACCATATCTTGTGTTTTTCCATGGAGAAATAAACAAGAACAAGATAAGTCTGTTTTTTGTAAAATCTTTGAAATAAAATAAAAATGCTTTGACTATCGTAAACTGAAATTGTGTTAATCAAGCAGCCAAGAATTGCTGCACAGAAGACGCACAGAACTACAATCCCTATAATATGCTGAATAGGATGAATCCACTTAGAATGGCTGTATCCTTTGTATTTCTGTGCTTTGAGCAAGCTGTGATGTCTGTCTCAGTCCCTCCCATTAGACCTTTATAGGTCGGCTGATGACAGATACAGCCTCTGATTGGTCAGCCTGAGTCTAGTAAGATCAACTTATCACACAAGTAACACTTCTCATAAAAATGTATACATAAATCATAACAGACTCACTTTGCTGCTAAGAGACTGGATTCAGACAGTCTCTAAAATATGCTGCTCTTAGTTGTTTATTGTTTAAAATCAACTGAGAAAGCTGTCTCACAAAGCAAAGGGAAGGGGATTTTAAAGTGAGACGCTACATTATTCTGTTCCATTGTAAAAGGTGATATTGTAAATATAACAACATTACATGGCTTAGGTTAGTGTCAACCCAAGTAATGACTTGCTCATGAATATAAGGGGATCCCAACTTTTCAGATATATACAAGGTCAAAAATTTGGTCTCATCAGGTCAATACAGCAAGTAGCAAAGATGTTTATTTCACTCCTTATCTGTCGACATTTGCATTTAGTAAACTTTTTCATGGATACTACCCAGATGCCACCTTGCTTCCTCTGGTGTTTTTAAAGGAGCATGTAATGGCAATTTCCCCTTAGTGCAGATAATGCAGTTATTCCTCTTATTTCAGTTTTGCTAATGGCAAGCAGAAGTCTATTTCCCCTGTCTTCTCACTCAGACACTCAGAGTATGTACGGCTGAGGCTAATACAGACAGGCAGGCAGGCTTTTTTCACATGTTTAGATTAGTCTGAAGCATAGGCAAGTGCTTAAGGAAACGGAAAAGACGGGCGAATCTTCTTATTGGGCACATACTTAATGCATATTACCATCAATCCACGAATCACATGTGGTCTGAACGGATCACAAATCAACCATGATGCACTGCATCCCCGGTTAATTTGGCTCAAAAGCTATACTAAACTAAGCAGGTTACAGGTGTAGCATCCTTTAAATCATGTGATATAGAGCCTGCAGAATTTGCATATCAGAGTTTTATATGGTCTACTAGCTTTTCCTGCTGTACAGTTAAATGGAGAAAAAGTGTAGCAGCCACCCCCAACCCCCACCTTGAATATTACAGTACATTTAGTGAGGCAGATTTTCAGTGTAGTGCCCCATCTTCTGTAATGCAGAGTGAAAGAAAGAAGGTTTTCACTGTAGTGTTGAGTGTTTGAATGTTTTACAGCAAAGCAGGTTTCATGTGCAGCTCTTCATTAATCCATGCAGTGATAAAGAACTGTGCAGCAGGTTTTATATGTAGCTTCATCTACCTCTTCTTTGCGGGCAGATCTTTGGCCTCAATCACCCACACTGTCAGCACATTCTCCAGCCTCCTGCTGTTGTCTTTATTGGGATGAACTGCCCGTCTCAGGTTCTCCATCCATTTATCTCTCTCTGCTGCTGAACGACACGAGAAACACTTTGTTCCTGTCGAGGTTGTTACCTAAAAGGAAAAAGGGTGAGAGGTCAGCATCGAAGCGAAGTGCTTGTGTGTGTGTCTGTGTGTGTGATTGTGTGTCACCTCGAAGCAGTAGTCCTGTCCCAACAGGGAGGAGTGCACTGGTTTGATGACCACTGATTGGTCCATCCTGAGCTCCAAAGATGAAACACAGCCGGCGCTTAGTAAGGACTCTTGGCTACCACAGCGCAGCCGCCGCATCACACACCTGAAACAAGAGGTAGCAGAAAACTCTGAGTGTATGGATGCGTATATAATGTCATTATGGCAAGTCCACAAAGAACCCAAAACTTAAGACCAAGAAGAAGCACCTGATCAGCTACTGGACTTGATCATGTGGTAATCTCTATCAGTCCAGAGTGGTGCCTGTTTGTCTGTTTCTGGTGAGTCTCAGTTTCATTGTAAATAGTTTACTGCTACTAGTCACTAGCAATCCAACATGGTGAATCCTATTTGAAGCTAGCGTAGGATCTTCTGCCTGCCGGCTTCTTGCTCTGCCAGAGAGGGTGTACCGTGGGGAGGGAGATACAGGTTTCAGGGGGAGTTATCACAGAGCACAGAGGGGAGAGGCTTGTGTGTGGGGGTTGGGACACTTTTTTAAAATCTGCCAACGCCTCAGTTTTTTTCTAATGCTTCTCAGATCGTCAACCATGCCTTTAATAACGTTTTTTAATCCCAATAACACACTGATCCCACTGTAGGTCCAGTAGCTGCAAAGAAGCCCTTCTAGCTGTTAATAAATGCTTAACTAATGATGTTTTGACTGTTATGAGGCATTGAACTTGACCTTTTATTGGATTGGTCATGTTAAGTACCATCTAACTAAATCAAACAAGTGGTTTTTTAATTTTGAATAAGACCCTAGTAATCCCTGCCTCAAAGGGAGCTTTTGAGCAATAAAAAATGTTAGCCACAATGTTGAAAAAATCAAATTTATCAAAAAGCTTAAATTAAAAATAATCAAACATCCTATTGATGTTTATGAGGTAAGTACACTGTTATTAAGTTTCTATTTAGAATCTGTAAGTGCATTATAAGTGTTAATTATGCCTTTAATAATGTTAACCTCTATAAATGTTTTTAAGCCCGTTATGAGGTCTTTAAAGGGCTAATTAACTTTTTTTACTGCTTATTGGTAGGACCTTTGCATAAAGTGTTCAAAGATCAGTTTTGTTATTTTTTAACGAGTCAGTTTTTTTTTTCTACTTGTGTGCATTTTTTCAAAAATCTCATAGTAAACAAGAGAGAGAGAGAGCAGGATATGAGATTGCAGTCCCATCATGTTGGGACGTCTGCAGTGTGAGAGCTTCACGCACGTCACCAAAGCATGATGCTACTTTTTGATTGGATTTAGAACAGCAAGAGGGAGGAAGCAAAATGTCTAAAAAGTCAACTTTAATGAGGTTTTTTGAACCTAAAACAGGTTAAAGCTTTTTATGAGGAGGTTGGACGGTAACAACAGCAGCAGCACAGCAGCAGGTAGCAGAGCTGGCATCAGCAGTCATACTAGCGCAGTGGCACCTTTCTCCACCAACATGGCTGCGAAAAAACATGCAAAACAGGGAAAGGAGGCTCTGGCTGTCAGTGGCTGTTTTGTGGGCAGTTTTGGAAAATAAACAAGCAAGCACCAGTTTTATACTGGCCACTGGTCACTGCTGTGTTGTTTGACATTGTTAATTAGTTAGAGGAGTGATATAAGTGTGATATGGTGATTGATGCAGCTGCCGCTAAGTTAGGAAGCGCACGTTGAAGTCATAGGTTGAAGTGTTGTATGCAATTGTTTGAATGAACTTGGGGTCTTTATATTTTGGCTTATAATTACTGTAAGCTCTGTGGTGTTGGACTGTGCATCTGTGCTGTGATTGGTGAAATTGTTGTTGCATGAGCCGTGAAAGATGCTGAAATTACCAAATAGGCAAATGTGTGATTGTCCATAGTATTGAAGCAGCGTAGATCAACAGCTGTCAGAGAAGAGAGACCATAAACAGTTGATTCTTCATGCCTCTCTAACGTTGAATTAGATTATTATGATTAATCTACTGTGCCTTGGACACTGTGCATTTGTTACCATTTCTTTTTCATTTCCTCTAACTCACCAGAACACGACTCAAAAAGGATCAGATTTACTTGCTGCAAAAATGGGCCTTATGTTTGCCGCAATAACAGAATAATGACGCAGATTTGTTAAAAGTAAAATTCTAACTCTGTTAGCAGCGTCTGTCCTCCAGGAGAGAAGATTGTTTCTTGATTGTTTTTTATCTTGTTGTTTTTGTCCTGTTATGTACAGCACTTTGTACAGCTGTGGTTGTTTTAAAGTGCTCTACAAATAAAGTTGAGTTGAGTTGAGTTGAGAAGAAAGCAGCTTTTTTGTATGCTTTTTTGTACAGAGGTGGGAAGTTTGGGTGCCCTCTGAGATGACAGGAAATCTAAACTGATTGGCATTCATGACACAGCTCCACGCTGGTTTGTCACTCACAGTTGTGATTTTTGATCCAGAATATATTTTTAGCCACACTTGCATGCAGGTATCTGTTTATAGAGACAAATAAATCCTTGTCAGATTCCCACTGATGGGAGCTGAGATGATTGTTCCATAACCGAGAGCTGTCCCAACCTAAGGGATCTTTGACATCTTAAAGGTAACTTAGATGTGTTTTGGTTGGCAGAGGAGACAGGAGGTCAATACTGCCACTCTGGCTGTAAATTCAGGATATGTCACAGCCTGTTGAGTCAAAATGCCATCGGAACAAATTGATTCAAGGGTCTGGGATCCCCTTTCTTCTAGGATCACCAGCTTTGGTATTTTGGGAGTTTGGCCAGTTTTATTTTTGTACTGGATGGCACCACCAACTGGCTTGGAAAATGAAGACTTAAAGTTCAAAAATGAAAGTTTAAAAGAGGCGAGGACTTCTGTAGCCTTCTGCTCATTTCTGCTCAAGGCCAGAGGCTGCAGGCTACATGGGCTGATAACGAGTGTAACACACCAGAATATCACACATACTGTGGGAGTTCAAGGAATTTGTTGAAAAGAAAAAAAAGCAGCAGGCTTGAAAAAAAGAAGGGGGATTGTGAAAGAGTGATAATTGTAGTCCTGCTGCATCAATTTTGAACCTCTATTAAAACAACTATTTCGAACTGTCCCCATTAGTGCTGGGCGATAGGACGATAGATATCGTGGGCACGATAGAAAATGTCTATCGTGCCATTTCTATTTTTATCGTTTCCGGCGATAGGCTGTATTTAATCCATCAATGCCATCAGATGATTCATAGTAACAACAACAATAATTGCACATTCAGTAAGTGTATTTGGTGTCAAACGGGAAAGAAAACAATATTTTCTTACAAAGAAAAGGATGCGTTGACATGTAGGCTCGCATTTCTCTTTCGATTTTGCGACATGACGCCGCTTTACGTGCCCTCTTCGTGTCCAGCGTCTCCCGCCGTTGCGGGTTACCTGGGTTACACACGTGAGGGGATCATTGTAAGCAGTGCTTAATTTGTGCCGGAGCAAGTCGGAGCGCGCTCCGGGACCTCTTTTGATCGGATCCGGGACCTATTTCAGCCGCCCCGGCACCTGTTTCATCTGCTCCGGGACCTTCCCTGTAGAGGATGACGTTTTTCGGGAATTCCCGTGGGTCACGTGATTCCCGCGGGAATCCCACGGGATGGGAGTCATTTTTTAATTAATCCCTTGATCGGGACGGGACGGGAAAAAAAAGCAACAGGAGTGGGCAGGGGCGGGAACAACATTAATAGATGATCATTTTCAGCCGTGTTAAACAACCAGATGAACAGGTGCGTCCATTTTTGTAGTCATGTCTCAGTGAGAGCCAACACTCTTGACCGCGCTAACAACACAAAAGAACTACAACAGTGGTTTGACTTCCTGTCAGCTGGGAGCGCGGCTGCGCATTTCTACCCTTCAAGTCAGGAGCGAGGAAACGTAATTTTGTGACATTCTGTAGTTTTTCGATCATTTCTGGAGTCGCGGCGAATCAAATCACCTGACCTGTCTGCCCCTGGTAGGCGAATAAAGCGCTCGGATTCATGCTCGGGTCTTGCTACGTGGTTCAAGTGTAAAGTAAACAATGATGGAGGCAGAGAGCAGCTTTGGAGGAGAAACATCTAGCAGTGTGAACAACCTCTTCAAAAGAGCCCGAAAGACCTACCTTTTTAATAAAGCCTTTGGTTAGTTTTCCTTTATGCTTTTACTACCTTGCCTCTTACATTGCAACTCTATATTCTTTATTTTTTTTATTCTTTTATGCTGTTTTTATGCCAATCTGTGACTGTCATTCTATTGCATTTTTTTATTGTTGCTGCTCTTTTTTAACTGTGTACTGTAGCACTTTGAGGTTTTTTGTAAATGTAAAGTGCATTACAAATTAAATTTATTATTATTATTATTATTATTATTGTTATGGAGTGCTTTGGCTCACACTATCGGCGTTTTCTCTGAGTGTTGCATAACTTTGGGTGAGCACAGACATGAACGCACTTCAGCCACGTATTTATTTATTCATTTTTCTAGTTTTAAGTGCTGGTCTTGTACTGGCACTGTACTAGGGCAGCTGTATACACTTTAAATTTTCATAGAACTGAAAGCATACCATAGCTATATCGTGATATATATCGTTATCGTGATATAAAATGATCCATATCGTGATATACATTTTTTTCCATATCGCCCAGCACTAGTCCCCATGGTGAGTCCCACAGAGTTACAGGACTGTGAAAGTAAATCACTGACTGTCTGATGGACTTTGTGGCAGAGTTAAAATCCTTCTTTTGAAGATGTTTGTTGTTTTTCTTTAGTTCTTTTTTCCTGCACATATGTAAGAGTTGACAGATTTTGAGTCAGTCTACATTAACTTTAGTAAACAAGTTGTAATGTTTTGTTTGAGTGCTGAGGACTCGGATGAAAGGGAGATGCCTCAATGCTCTGTGAGACGTTAAGTCAAAGAAACACTGATGTTTTTGTACGCAAAGATCTGGGTGTTTGCAAAGTTCTGGAGAAACTAGGACTGAATAAATGTAGACAAAGCTCAGAGAAAATAAAGTCTCCTCTGTAGTGAACAACCCAAAGATACATTATCCAATACGTTGCTGCATTCAGATATCAGCTGGTAAGTCCATTTAACCTGGGATGGACTGCTCTATAAATGGTTAGTGTCAAGTTCTAATGTGGAGGATTTTGGGTTGAATAAACACAAAACTGATTGAGCGTACGGTCCACGATTTAAACCTGATATTTTCAATATTCTTCAGTAACAAACACAAACAGTGTCCATCACTCAGCTGTGGTTGGGAGAAGCTGTAAACTTAATTTTCCAGTCTCAGCTGAGTCCGTAGTCAGTGTAGCCAATCACACAAAAGCCTCTTTTAGACAAACTGTTCCGACTCTGCTACGCCTTGCCATCTGCATGAAAGGTGTGAGGATGTAGTGCTGAGAGGGGCTCATTCTGCAGCTGAGCCGGCAGTGGACATCGTAGCAGAAGTGTAATGGAAGCGAAAGCCATCTGTATAAACAGTGGACCAAAAGTATGGAAACAGCGCCGTGTGTATTTGTTAAGTTGAGAGATGCGCCACGCCTATTGTGCTTCTGCAGCATAACAACGCTTTGAAGGAATACGCAATGAGACGCTAATATAGCGGTACTGTTTGGTTTAATGTAAAAGCACAAAGGCTGTTCACAGCAGAGCTCTGTTACCACGACAGTGTAGAAGACCAAACTCAAGAGGACAAGTAAAAACTCCACAGAATAGAGAAATTTTACAGTAAATATCATCTGGTACATGTCACTAGGTTTTCATTTTCCAGGATTAAATTACCTGTATGTATACCTGAGACCACTTGAAAGCACCCCCATCACTTGAACACATAAAACCTTTTTCAACTAAGCCAGTTCCAGTGCTATTTTGCAGCCAGCGCCTGATTTGGAACCAGTTCTTTGTTTTACCACCACCAGAGAACTAGCTCCAAATCACATGAACCAGTTCAGTAGCACCATCTCCTTGCGCGGCTACAAGAATTTTCCAGGAATTTTCTTACATCAGGAGCTGGGGGCGTGTTACTATGTCCAAGTAAAAACAACCGTTACAGTACATACAACGCCGTTTTTGAAGAAAAAACCCTCCTCAGTCTCAATGTAGATGGTCAAAACGACACCACAGTGGACTTTGAGGCTAAGCAGCAGCGGTCAGGGGAGGAGACAAGCTGTCTCCTGTGCGGTCTTCAGCTGAGGCCCGAAGCATGTCTGACAGATAAAGACCTGGCATGTGTGCATGCAGAGTCGGTGTCATGATCATAAAATGTAAACATTTGTGCAACGCTGCTGCCATCACAGAAACCAGACAAACGCTCTATTAAGCAAGACAGTGTATTCTCACAGTTTCCAGTGCTTGTTAATGATGCAGGCACACACTGCTGGGACCATTAGTAATGGGAGTGTTTACCTAAAGCCTCTACACTTATAGCGAAGGTACAGTGAGGGGGTGCAAAAATCCCGAGGAAGAGGAGAGTGAGTTTTCATTCAATTAAAGTTACCAGAACAGGGCTGTTGATGCAGATAAAACACATCTTTTAGACATTATCATAAATCATTGATAACATTGATGTCAGTCAATTGCGATTACTATTTAAGCTTATAAATAATGTGTCATTCCTCCTATAATCTCCTCTTGTCTTAAGATCCTGACAGAGGGCTGTGTGAAGCAGTAAAAGCAGGAGGGGAGGTTGATTTGAAAGCAGAAGATCGACTCATATATAAAATAACTCAAGACATTTCTGCATTATTGAAACTTGTAAACAGCTTTAAAACACTGTGTATTTCAGGTATGTATTCACAGATAAATTCATATCTTTTCAGTATCAAACAGCCCTGTCTCTAAGGATTTCAGTCTGCATCTCTGCTGGACTGAGGTCAAAAACAAAAACACACGCACTTAGACAACAGGTGCCAGGAGAATATATTAAAGACAACTGAGAATTTCCTTCTCTGTAGTGACTTCACACTACAGGGGCAGCTGGAGCTCAGAGCTTCAGTGGGTTATTTCTCAACCTGAAGGCTAAGGTTGATCCCAGCTCCCACAGTTCACATCAGTGGGCAAAACTCAGAACCACAAATTACTCTCCAGTGGAATAGCCAGTGGTGTGTGAATGAGTGTGAACTTAATTGGTTAACACTTATGGCTGCTTTGCATAGCACATCAGTTATTTAAAGCTTAGAGGAGCCCTTTATTCCATCCTACTCATCTGCAATATACCATGTATATCTATATTGTCTCTAAATGACAATATTAGACATGTCACTCACTCAAAACTCAATCATAATCTATCTTGAGAGTCCACGCACTTTCACCGAATATGATGATGCTTTATAGGACACACTATTATGCACGCGCACTGAGAACACAAGCAGTGCAAGCATCGATGCCTGCATGGCTGAAGCTACAAATAAGTGCACAAACAGCACCAGCAGACAAAACACAAACAACTCCAGCCTCAGGGTCAACAAGGTTGGATTTCATCGTTGAGTGTTTGTTATTTTCCAGATTTTCTTCTGGATGCAAAATATTGTCAACTATTTTCATTGTCAAAATTACAGGATACATTAAAATAAGTATTTTTCAATATCACACAAACTGAAGTCAAAACGAAGTCCAAGCTCATCGCACACTCATGTGTTGGGTTTCTCATCTACAGAGAGAATATTATGGATGTTATTGTTTGTTTCTAATGCTGAAGCTATTGCTGATTGAACCAAAGGCTCTGAGTAGGACGCCAAACCAAAAACGACAGTTATGAAGATTTTCTACTTTTTCTCAATTGCTCATGTTTTTCACTCACAAAGCTGATAAAACCACAGCTGGGAAGGTCATCAAACATAACCCACTTTAAAGTCTATTACATCACAGGGAGGGAGGAGCCAAAGGGTCTTTGGAACCAAAGTTTCCACTCTGAACCCAAATAAACAAGCAAATGTTGTTTTTACACCGGAGTACATCTCAACATTTATCTGTGTGATAATAAGAGTGGATAATGAGACAGAAACTGGGTTCAGAGACAGAGACAGATGTGACTCCACATACAGGGAGGAGGAAAGGGTGACCAGGAGGTAGCTGGGTGGTCAGCTGTGACCTCTGACCCCTGCAGACACTCACAAGTCTGAACAATCCTGACATGAAAAGGATGATCCTCCGCGCTTCTTTCGTTAGCTTGTTATCTCTCATCTTCATCTGAAGGAGCTGCTTAACATTAGCTGCTTACCCAGCTTATTCTTCAGTGATGTCTAAGTGTGTGTGTGTGTGTGTGTGCAGTAGCTTAACCTTGTTTAGCTTAACATGTTGGCTAACAGCATGTGCTTTGCCTAGCCACATGCTAGCATACCAGGCTAGCTGTGTGCAGACTGAAGCCAGGCTAGCACAGACAGACAGAAACGCAGCATGCATGGTCATGCAAATCAGGTAGAAGACGCCACGGTGCCCCCCCAAACACATGCACACACACACACACACACACACACACTGAACAGATTCACTGCAGCACATTCATCCATTCAGACAAACAGAGGACAAAGGCTGTTGATGCGTGCAGAGGATCAGTGCAGATACTCACCAAGCATCCTGTGAATGCTGAGGAGGAGGAGGAGGAGGAGGAGAGGGAGAGGGGGGTTATGGTTTCATGTTCTCCTTCAGCTGCGAGCAGGAGCAGCAGGAGGAGAGAGGAAGAAAGATGGAGAGCCTGCTGAACCTGATGCTGTTTGGTTGAAAAGCTGATACCTGTCTGTCTGTCTGTCTCTCAGTCCGTCTGTCTCCCAGTCTGTCTGTCTGTTAGCTTGCTGCTATTGATGCTACACGGCTTCAGCATCTACAGCCCTCTCTCTCTCCCTCTCTGTCTCTATGTGACTCGACCGCCCTCTTCGTCAGCAGTGGCCCCTCCCCTGCAGTGAGGCTGCCCTACTTCCTTTCTCCTCTTTCCCTCTCCTCTTCATCATCTTTACTCTCTCCTCTTTTCCCCTTCCATCCCTTTTCTACTCATACCTCCACTTCTCCTCCTCTCCTTCCCTCTCTTCTGTCTTTTCCTCTTTCCTCTCCCCTCCCCTGTCTCCTCTATTGTATCAGTGTTACCAGCCCCCCTCTCCCTTTTTCCTCTTTAATCCCCTCCTCCTCCCCCCTCACCCATTGTCACTGTATAGTTGATATAGCCTGAATCCCCATGATGTCGCCCTAACAACAGTCATTTCCGGGTAGACAGACACCTGGTGGAGCTAAAACATGGTCCATGGAGATGAAACTGAACCTGTTCACTAATGTGGTCTGTTTTCAGTTTACATAACCGAGAAGAAAAAAGCTCTGAGATCACAAATCTTTTTTCTTTTTGAGAGGGTCCTGAGCAAGAGAGGCAGCAGTACAGTTCACAAAGTCTCTGACAGACAAAGAACAACCATATATACAAACATAATATAAACTAAATGTCCACAATACATTGAAATTCACAACAGGATAAACTGGTAAATGATTAGCAAAATCAACCAGTCATATGTAAGCCAAACAGAACACCTACAGTCAGATGTGTATGCCTATGAATCAAAGGAGGAACACATTTTAAAGCATTTTGGCCCATCTCAGCTCTGACATTGAGAACAGACAGTACGAAAAGGTCCTCAGATCAAAGAGTGTAACTTCTTATACTCTCTTGTTTGATACATGTGAGAAAGGATGAAGAAGTCAGACCTAACATAGATTCATAAATCAGAATTTGCTTTTTTTATTTTCTTGTACACACAAAAAAGGGAGATCAACCAACGTGTTTTTAAAGCAATCAGTGCTGAGAGAGAGCTTTAACATCTGCGATAAACCAAAGTGCTCCATGGTACACAGTGTCCACACCGTGCAGGCTCTAAAAAGAGGGGCAACGCATCACTAAAATCAAGCACAGACATAAAAGTGGTGCAGACCAGTCTCTTTTTGGACTTGAAAGCAGGATTTGATTCTGAAATAAAAGCCATGTCTCAACTTTTAATCTTCTCACCAGCTGCTGAATATGAGGCATAAAAGAAAGCGGTTCATCGATTAAAGTATTTAGAAATGTGTTCGTGGGGTACAAACTCAGTCTGTTACTTTTATAAATTAGAGACCAAAGGGAAGTTCAAGGACTTAGATTGTGCATTTTCAAACAGCATGACTTTAAAAACATAACTAAGCGTGTGCATGTTTCCTTTTCAAGACAAGCAGATCTGAATTGAACTTAAAGAAGGATTCAGTGTGATTCTGTCCCATGTAGATGAGTTGGACACAAACTGATAACTGAGTCCCAGGTAAACTTATATTAAACCTAACAGAGAAAAAATGAAAGATGATATGTAAGTGCTCATTGTGTCACATTAGACAGATAAGCAATGCTTGTTGTGTTGAAATAATAAGACTGACAACAATTCAAGTCATCGTTCTCATCGAAATGCTTCTACAAATCCTTTGAACTTAACATCAGCAGGAAGAAGAGATTTGGGCATTGGTTGTTCTGACACTTTTTCTTCACCTGACAGTTCCTATAAATGTTTTACATTTGGAGCTGATATTTTAAACAGAAACAGTACGGTGCACACAACAGTATCATATACTCTGGTCAATATGGTGCGTTGCCACTGTTATGTTACTCTTTAATATGTTAAAATTACGTACAAGAATGATTTTTTTTTTGGTTGAAGTATAAGTTGGTATGATTAGCCGAGACAGACAGTGAAATTTGTTTGTTGTGATGGCTCCCAATAGAGAGTCAGCATGAGTTAAAAATTATATTAGCTACCAATGGATAGCTTTGAACGTGGCACTTCCTCTGCAGAAAATGAATGAATGAATGGGTGTGTGAAAGAGTGAATGTGGCATGAAGTGTTTTGTGCTTTATGTGGCCAAAGATAAGTTGCCTTGATTTACCATTTCTTTCTTTCCCAGCAAAAGGTGACACATTGAAACCTTTCTCTTGCAGCTACAACCTAAAGGACCACTACCCACAAAGACTCCAAAACCAGGGAAACTGGAACTGGGTCTTAGTCTGACTATGAGATGCCACACTGGGGATTTCTGGGTTACTATGATGAAAATGTGTCTGAGGTATTTACCTGGTGTCAGCGCTGTTTAAGATGTCGGACCTCATGCTGGTTGGACGGGGCAACTTAGGATGAGATCGAGTCCGGCGAAGAGACTGTTTCAACCTCCGTGAGAGAAACCCCTGAAGAAGAGAGGGCGGAAAAGCAGTTGATTAATTTTCAATCATTCAAATCATACAGTCAATTTTGCATTAATCAACTTTGCCTTAAATTGTGCAACATTCCTGTTTCAAAGTTTCTGTGGAGCTAAACACTTAAAGATTGGACTTATTGATCATCTGTCCATTATCTTTAACCCTGATCCTATTAAGCTGTCACTAGGTGAGAGACGGGGTTCACCTCGAACTGGTCGCCAGTCAATCACACGGCTGACACACAGAGACAGACAACCATTCAGACACACACCTACAAGCAATTTAGAGATACTAATTAACCTAACAAGCATGTCTTTGGACTGTGGGAAGAGATAGATGGAGTTCAGGAAGATAATCCATGTATACAGAGAGAGAGAACTCCAAAAAAGGAAGCCACAGTGGCTATATCACAAGAGGGAAACTTCCTGCCAAGGGGGGACAGTGCTAACCACCACTGTACTATGCTGTTTCCCAGTTGCTTCTCACTGAATAACTGCTTTATGGTGAAAAAAAACAAAACAAAGTAAATATGCTATTTTTGATAAGTGGGAGTCAGTATTAGACCCTAACATGAATAAGACATCAGAGAGCCAGCCACAGTTGATGCTAATTTGTGTTTGTGCAAACTACCTCACCTCAGACTGCTTCCACAAAAGGCCAACCATGTTAAAGCTGGGAAAATAAGAATGATACCCAGCACCCAGATTTCTAGATCATACGTTTAGTTTACAGGAACAAGTTCTTCAGGGGTGCTCAGATGTTTTGGTGTTTTTCCACCTCTGCATCTGTCTAATTTCGGTTCATTCCCCCTAGTCAACATTAAGGCAGCGCGTCAGAGCAGCACCTCATTACTATAGCATCCTTGCCCACTCAGATCACTGCGTGGATAATGAGGCTAAAAACCAAGAGACTGCAGATCCTCCACAGAACCATGTTTTTTTGCAACTGAATTAAAAATCTTGATTTACAGATAACTGGGACATGCTTTAAACAGCTGAAAACAAAGTCATATGAGAACTTTAAGATAACTGGATGGACGTCAGATTGATTATATCTGGTGCATTAGGAAAACTAAACAATCACTGGCTGTCTTAACACAGCTTCAAGACAGTTTTATGATCTGGATCAGTTTGTTGGCTACACTTAGATGAAAATGTCTGTTGTCAAAGATAAATAAATAATTTTAACAATACCTCTGCTGTCATGCTGTGCCTGCTTTTCATGCAGAATATTACCATGCAAAATGTCCTACTGCTAATCTGTGATTGGTAACTACTACTCAGACAACACAAACAAGCAAAAAGGATTTTCATTAAAAGAAAAAATTATCATCCCTTTCCTACTGATACCAGTTTTTTGCAGGATCTGGGGTTGTCATGATTTTGTGTTTTGTTAGTTAACACATTAACATAGACTTGGGTGTCCTAGTTTAATTGGATTTTGAAGCATCCTGTTTTTTGCTGTTTTTTAAGGCCTGGTACCTTCTGTATGTAAGGTGCGTCCTAAATTTAACAAAAACCTCAACGCCACCTGTGATCAGACTGCAGCTGATTTGCAGAGTGCAGTTTGTTCGTATCTAAACCATCAATGTATGAGTTCAGAATGTTCCTGTGATTGCTTTCATAAGACTACTGGAATCAGATCCAGATTTACCTCCTCATGCTGACGCTTCACTTGCACTCCCTCTCTCTAAACACAAGGGGGCTTGTAGGAAAGAGGTGTTGGACAGGGAGTGATGGAGACACCACATCAGACCTGTAAATCATCTGTATCTCTGTTTGCCACCTGCAGGTGGAGCCGGTCAGCTGATCCACAGCTGACAGCAGCTAGACTCCTGTTACCATGGAGACAGTGGGCTGATCCCAGCTGAGAGGCGATGTGTGTTTGTGTGGGAGTGTAAGTGTGTGTGTGGGGGTGTATGCTCACCGTCACTCTGGCAGTGGGTGTGTCCACCGCTGAGCTGCTGGGCATGCTCTGTCGGCGAACCCCTCTCTCTGGAACATCTGGAACAGACAAAGAGCATCATGGGAGTTTTTGTAGTTGTTCCAGCAGCAGTTACCTTGGTTGGTGCCACAGCTGTTGCCAAGGTAACTGGTGGTGACATAGTTGTCTTGGTGACCAGCAGCTGTTGGCGTGTTTGTTTTAATGACAGATAGGTATAAGAAACATGTCAGGAATTATGTAATATTTTAGTTGTTTATATTTTAAGTATATGTGACATGTCATTATCTGACATCATCAATGTTAAATGGATTGATTGATTGATCAACTCCTGCACTGTAAACCCCCTTCTTTGACTAATATTAGATGTTTTTTTTCCACATATATATATTAATAATATTATTACAATAGCAGCTTGATCGCAGTGTAAATTAGTGTTTTTTTTAAGATTAGAGGTGTAACAAATCATAGTTGGTCTATGATCACCCTGAGTGATCATGGATCGATGAAAGGACACAGACTTCACTGTTTACTTAGCAAAACAGTTAAAAACAAGACAGACAGCTGCATTGTACTGTACTGAGAGGGGTCAATATTGTTACAGGTTACTTTAGACAACCCTCGAGAACATAAATAGTTTCCTTGACACACCATGCAGATACATTTATGGATAAAGGGATGAAATAGTTATACAGACAGCTTTATTATTTGATGATAAAACATACATTGAACCATGGAAGTCCTCTTTTCCTCTGTGCCAGTGGTCAAAGAGAAAGCAAAATGCTGCTCATTCCAACTGTGCAGTCACAGTCAGAGTGAGACAAGAATTACACCAAGGATAAGTCTCAAAAGATGAGCAGGGCAGGAAGACGGTTTATTTAATGCGACGCAGCAATATCAGTATATAAACACTTCACGTGACCCACAGCGTACACAGCAAGCGCGCACACACACACACAAACACACACACACACACACACACACACACACACACACACACACACACACACATAAAGATGAGTGAAAGTTGATGATTCCTGATTTAAGTCGAGTTCATTTGTTCAGTGCAGGTTTAATGACAGTTAAATGTCAAAACAAAATTTCAATAGTCCCTAAAAAATAACTTTGTTCTTTGTTGAGTGAGGCCATACAGGGCCTTTCTTGTGATTTGTTGTGTCCTGAAACGTAAAGTCAGAGTCACAGCTTAGCAAGGAGTAGAAAAATCATAAAATCTCTCCTTTTTTTTTTCCTGGTCCTAAACTGAACTGAACTAAACCATGAGATTTTTAATCCATTGCCCCGGTTATGACAGATTTAAAATTTTCAGAGTAAAGTTATTGATTTTGAAAATGTGGGTTAAAACAAGATTAATCCCAATTAACTGCTGGAAAATCTGTAATTATTGTGACTTTAAATTGTTTGACAGTCAGTAAATAAATTCATTATGTTCTTTTTTTTTTTTATCAATTTCACAAATTGTGCCAAAATAAATATCACTCTTTCACAAAGCAGTGGTGTTTATGCTGTAAAGTGATTTTTTTCATTATATGATTCAAAAATGATCTGATGTGTGGTTGGCAGCAAGCGCTTAGGGCAGCTTAAGCAAAAGGGGCTTTTGGTCAATTTGAAAAAAAAAATGAAAGGAGGGTGGCATCCCCTCTGAAATCGCCCACACACACACACACACACACACACACACACACACACACACACACACACACACACACACACACACCCACACTCACATACGCACACGCACACACTTAAAAAGCAGTCAAAAAGATTTACGAAGCAGGATGAGAATATGAACCATTTATCAAAGTTTCTATGTTTATATTAAACTTTGTTGTACTGAGGTCAAAAAGGAGTTTGAGGAAAAATCACCACTATTTCAGGGGAGCTGAAAATAAACACTAAGATAAATAAAAATAAACATGAACTCACTAAGTATTGAGAATGTTTCTAGACTGAGCTTATTATCTTATTGTGTATTTAAAAACCGATGCAGGATCTGCTTTGTTACTTTGAATTCAGTCGAAAATTATAGAAATCTTAAATTCAGAGACATCCTCACACTTTCCTTTCTTTGCTTAAATTTCTGTGATTAAAACTTTATTTTTGGCCAAACTTTTTCTAACTGTGAACAGTTCCTCTGTGACCATCAACCCTCTGCTGGTTCAGGAGGTGATGCCTGTAACCTGACTTGGGATAAGTAACCTCATGAGCAGAGGAGCAGTCAATCATGTTGCTATGGCAGCTGACCTCAGATATCAGATTATGAGATTATTATTACCATTACATCAAGATTAAGCAGAGCAGCTTATCCTGTTGCAGCAGCAAACACACAAACACAGACATGAAAACAAAAAAAAAATGTCTTCTTCTTACCGTTCAAGTCCTCAAACTCTGCATCAAAGTCCACATCCATCACCTGCCTGTCTGTGTCTACCTGTCTGCAGCTCTACGTCAGTCTGTAGTTGTCTGTTGCTGTCCGTCTGTCTGTCTGTAGCTGTCTGTCTTCCTCTTCTGCAGCTGTTAAACCCCTCACGTCCTCCTTACCTTTGTGGGAGGGGCGAGAAAGTCCCGAGGTCACATGTAGAGTGTATCTGAGCAACCAGATGGTACAAGTCTCCGCCTTCTCTGCAAGAAGCAGAGGATGAACCTTAAGAGATGGAGAGAGAGAAAAGGATGAAAAAACAAAACAAAAGTTAAAGAAGATTAGTAAGCAAAATTAGGCAATAAAAAGTGGTTCAAGAAAAAACAAAGCAGATGTATGAGATGGTGTAGATGAAGTAGAAAACAAAGCAGAAGTTGAAAGAAAGAAGAAAACAGAAAAAGACTACAAAGAGTAGAAGACACCTCAAAAGAAGATTCAGAAGCAAATGAAAAGGAAAAAGTTAAATATAAGGATCACAGGAGAGCAAGCATATAAACAAAACAAACAAAAAAGAAACAGGAAAAAGATGCAGAAAAAGAAAAGGCAGCACAAGAAAAAGCACAAGAGGCAGGGGAAAAAAAACAGAGGAACAAGTTGCATAAGAAGAAAAAGAAACATGGAACAAGCAAAACCAAGAGAAGAAAAAGAAGGTGCAAAAGAACAAGAAGAGAAACAAAAAGAAAAAGAAGAGTAAAGGAAGACGCCAAAGAAAGATAAAGTAAAGAGAAAACCAAAAAGTGATGAAACAGAAGGAGGAAAAGGAGCAGAGCATGGCAGAGGAAAAAGCAGGAAGACAAAGCAGGAGAAAGAAACAACAGAAGGAAGAAGAACAGAAAGAGGAAGCAGAAAAAAAAACAAGAATTGATTAAGAAAAAAGCAACAAAAACAGCAGAACAAGCTGAAAAAGTTGCAGGAGAATAAAATGTGTGTGTGTGTGTGTGTCTGTGTTTGTGTGTGTGTTTTACCTCCAGATTGTTAAGCATCAGCAATTGTGAATCTGTCAGGATGCAGAACATGCTACTCCACACATCAGTCTCCGCCTTCTGCCCACATGACAGCCAATGAATGGAGGCGCTCTTTAACTCTGTGACATCATCACATTATCATTATATTCCAGCAGTGGCACTAATACCACCAGTAGCACCATTTTAGTGTAATAAAATACCCAGTAAGCCCCAAGTTCAAAGAGTAAAGGGTGGAAAGACTTCTGTAAGTCTCCTAATGAAGTTTAAATGAACCGTGTGCAGGAGTCGCACACTGTTAAAGTGTCTCTCCTATCCATTCATGAGAATGTTTATTTTCACAGGAGTGTTAAAAGTCAAGATCAATCAGTTACTCTGAAGACTTGCTATGAAATCTGTGGTTGGCAGTTTGCATGGTTTCCACATAAGCAAGAGACATTTGGAGAGGATATCTAGTGCAACAGAAAGCCCAAGTCACGTTTTCCTCTAGCTCACCCTGGTAAAATTGGAGAAATTTCACAGATTCAGCTTTCCTACGTAAATGGCTCATCAGCTGTTCACTGCTTTAACAAAAAACGGACACTTCTTTAGAACATTCAAAGGCAGATCAGGGGTTTCAACCTGATTCATACACAGTCTCTCCAACTTATCAGTGTCAGAAATGAGAGCAAATTAAATTTCTTCATGGCTGAAAACTGTGCCAGCTGATGAGCTTATATTTTATGGGCTCTAAATCAAATAGACTATGATCTTTCTAAAGTGTGGACTCTGCTGATGTTATTCTTCTGTTGTGCCTGTGATCAAAGAAGGAGAGAATCTGAATAAAATGCTTGTGCCAGTCTTCCCAAAATTTCCCCACTATAAACTTAAAATCTGCTTTTATTCCTCCATGTCTAACTGAGAGTTGTAAATACTGACTCAATTAAAGGATAAAGCTTGTTTAATTTGAGGAGATGTGCCAATAAAAAAGTGACTGTGCTCATCTGCTCCCTGTAATCACACAGAGCTGATCTTCATTATCCGTCTGTTTGTCAAAGCTAGTCACCTCTCGCACACTCTCTTCAGATATATTGATAAATGTTCAGTACAGAGCGACAAACAGCATAACAAACATGGGGATACTTTATCATAAAGCACAGTGGGTGGCCAAATACCAGATTCGAATACTGTGGAGGGTCACAGGTAATACAGAACTGCCAGCCTGGCATGCTAATCCTCAAGCTAACAAGCAGGTCCTTCAATCCGGACAACTGAGGGATTAACAGTCAAAGTGTAGGGATGGAAAACAATTAGAGTGTGTCTGGTTGGACTTCAATAGAGTAAACAACCCAGATATCAGGGTAGTTGACAAATCTACAGTATCATATGTTTTCATTGAAATGAGAAAAAGTTTTATGATGTAAGAAGTTTAATCAAATAACTTGATTTGTGATTCAACAATTGTTTGCAGTTGAGTACAAATACAAGATGTGTGTCTAAAAAGGAAAATGTCAACAGCTATGACAAGTGAAACTAAAGACAATTTAATTTCCCTTTGGGGATGAAATAAAGTTATTCTTATTCTATCCAAATCTAAGAGGAACTATAAAGTCTAACTCATATTTCAGTTATTGTTGAAGATCACTGTGCAAAACCCAAACACTGACATGTAGCAGAAACTCACCGATCACTTTCATCCAGCCCATGTGCTGACACCTGGACAGATGCTTCACCAGCTCATCCATGGCAGCAGGATCCCCTGAAGCAGGGAGACTGGAGGCCTGCGCTCTGTAGCAGCATTTGGGGTTAACAGTAGAACTGCAGCGTTAATCCTGATTTTTAGGGCTACACAGAAGTAAACTACAAACCAGGGAACAACACTATGGTGTCTCATCCTACACACACCTGTTTTTGAGCACCTTATATCACAGATAACACAAACAGGTATAAAAGCTCTGCTCACTGACCTATCCAGCGTCTTGCTCCCAGAGCGGTAAGTAGAACTCACAGACATGGGGATGACTCTTGAACCTGGAGCTTGTCTCTTCAGCTGTGTTGGTTACTCCTCATGCTCCACCACAGCTGAACAAGTCTGTCTGAACACCTGCCTGTGTCTCTGCCTGCCTGCCTCCCTGCAGGGATCCTGAGGACAACAAGGCACATCAAGACACACACCTGAACTGTCTGTTCATGTGCATTTTGTTTCTCACGTGTTGCTAATGCCTTAACTGAATTAACAGATTATCAACTGCTGCACTCTTGCTGTTCCACACACACACATAACTGGAAACACACTGTTTAAAACATTTACACAACACACCTTCACTCACTCATACATGCAAAATAAGACAGAAATCAGATGTCAAAAGTTGAAAGAGTTATTATTTTTTTTATTCCAGAAAGAGCTGCCAGCTGATTGGTCAGCAGAACAGGAAATAAGGCAAACTTACAGTCACATGATGAAAACAACTGTCCAACACGCCAATGGGAGGGGAGCGTGGCTACCATGACAGCAACATACTTCAGGTTTAAAGTGACAGAGTGACAGTTTAACGTCTCAGAGACTGTAAGCACTATAAGCATTCCTCATTTAAACCAAAGCATAAGGTAGCTTCAAGCTAACCGAATAGAAATGAACAAGTGGAACATGACCATCTACTTTTTTTTAAATTTCTTCTGAACATTTGAACAGCACGAAACTCCTGATCATCTGTTTTTTCAGATTAATTATCAGTTTGGTCAGTGAGGTTGATGTTTGCATAGATACTGAGTGTGATAATAGTGCAAGAAAACAGCTACTCACAGAAAACACATGAGAGAGGAAACATGTGGACAACCCAAACTCTGCTCAGTTCCAGTGGGATTTGTAGTTTTTGTCTCAAGTCTCTCAGCAGCATAATTTTGACTGTGATAACTCAGTGAAAAAAACAAAACAGAACATACTTATACAGAATATGAATCCATGTTTGTGAGGATTCATGCTGTTTAGACTGTCAACTCTGTAAAACATGGAGACATCACAGTCCTCCTTCACAATCCAGAGAAAGTAAGACCTGAACTTATTTAATTAAGTGGCTGGAAGTGGCTTTATAGACCACTGTGATATAAAACGTGGTCACATTACTGAGCTTGATTACTTTATACAGTCTGTGGATTTTCAGTGAAATGCATAGACTGTACATAGAGCGGACAGAGTCTGCCTCCTTGCTGGGTGAAGCCACTCCGAGAACAGCACCCTCTGTTGATGCAATATAGGTCATAAATCCCGCCTCCGCCAGCAAAGCTTATAGAGCTGTGGACAAACTTTAGAAATTTATTACACAGAACATAAATTTTTCTCCCCCCTGGTTGTGATGTTGACATGTAGTTATTGTAAGACTGGTTTGGGCTCAAGTCCTCTTTTTTTCTGTACAGCTCTGTTTTTAAAAGTTATTAGGGGGTTCATGTTTTCTTTGATTGACACCTGATACAGCCTATTGGCGTTGAGGGATTGCGTAGCTCACCAGGGGGATACGCTGTTTGAGCCGAGCGTCATCACAGCGACTCTCCCGGTGAATGTGCACAAAGCTACTGCGCAGCGCTGGTTTCAGGAAATGAAGAAGAATCCCGGAAATACAGAGAGCTTTTTGGGTTCAAATCTGTATACAGGCAGGAGGCGGAACCAAGTTGTCCATAGTATATACAGTCTATGGTGAAATGCAACAACTCTGCTGCAGACTCTAGTCTCTTTACACTGTAAAAAAATGGCAAGCAAAACCTGCACTTTTAAATTGCAGGTCATTTCCCTGATCCAGTCATTTTCAGAATGTGTAGATTTAGTTTATGCTTCAAAAAGGTGTGATCTGATCGAGAAGAATGTGATAGTCTTTGCCATCTGGGTAAACACTGTTTCAGGCATTAACCATCAGCTTATATGGGGAAAATTGAGGGCTATAGTCATTTTGGCTGGGGGGACAGGGCAGGACCCAAGGGGTGGCCAGGGCCTTCTTGAAATATGGTTGAAAGCTGGTTTAGCTTTGTTACCATTAAAGCACTAGAACAGATGTCCAAGGTCCCGAGCTGGTCTGATGACCTCTGGATGTTGCGGTGAATCTGATTTACACGAAGTTTACATATCATCTCTTTAATTACCTATGACACTGCAGATCTCTCTCTGAAACCACACTTTGACTTTAATGACTAAAGACAATTCAAAATCCTCATAAAATATTACTTCATAGTTTTCAAGATGTGTGTGGATCTCATGTTTTACAGAGTTGTGTTTCCAAACCATCGACTGTGTATATACTATAGACAACTTGGTTCTGCCTTCTGCCAGTATACGGATTTGAAGCCGAAAAGCTCTCGGTAATTCTGTATTTTCTCTCCGCTTCCTGAAACCAACACTGCGCAGTAGCATTGTACGCACTCCACCACCTGTGCAGTAGCATTGTGTGCATTCTGCGGGAGAGTCACCGAGAGTCGCTGTGATGACGCTCGGCTCAAACAGCTTATCCCCTGGATGAGCAATCCTTGTACGCCCATAGGCTGTATCAGATGTCAATCATAGAAAACATGAACCCCCTAATAACTTTGAAAAACTGAGCTGCACAGAAGAAAGAGGACTTGAGCACAAACCAGTCTTACAGTAACTACATGTCAACATTGCAAGCAAGGGGGAGAAAAATGTCTATTCTGTGTAATAGATTTCTAAAGTTTGTCCACAGCCCCATAAGCTTTGCTGGCGGAGGCGGGATTTATGACCTATACTGCAGCCCATCAACAGATGGTGCCGTTCTCGGAGTAGCTTCACCTATCAAGGGGGCAGACGCTGTCCATTCTATATATAGTCTATGTTCCAAACCCCATACTGGCCCTTAATCCAGGTGTTTATAACCTCTGCTAAAATCCTTGTGATTGTCTGAGGCAGTTCTTAGGTGTGTTTGTTTTTGACAGTTAAGATGTCTAGTATCTTTTGAAACCTGGTGTGTTTGACCAACAACAGATCTCACTGGAACTTTGCAAGTAAACCAACACTGACCCACTGATTTTTTTCAGGTCACATCCACTCTGTGAGGTCCCAGCAGGTATTAGGAAACACCTGTAGTCACTCACTGGGAAAAAAAGCCTGTTAGAGATCAGAGCAAAACTTGAGGTCATGACGTGCTTTTTGTTCAGTTTGATTAATTTGTCAAAAACTGCTGGAAAAATAACCCACAGGTACAGCAGTGGGGGAGCAGGTAAGGCAGCAAGCTGTTTGACAGCTAGGGGGCACTACAGGAACTACAGGAGTCTCCGACTGTTTAACATATCAGAGAAGAAGAGGAAGAATAAGAAGAAGAACTGTTTGGTTTGACATAAAAAATGAACAATCTCCAACTAATGTCAGTTCGATAGTATTCAGATCTTCATACTATAATAATATTTATATAACACTACTAAGTGAGAGCATGTGTGACAATGTGTGTGGGTGTATGTGTGTCAGTCTTTGGCTGTCTTTAAACATGGTATTTGCTCTCACTGAACACTGATTCAACAGGTTTATAACTAGCTTGATTCCTGATTCCTCCAAACTAAAAACCATCTGATTATCTTGCTATTATTGTGGGGACGTAAGTGGGACAGGGTATTTCAGTGACATGGTGATATTAGGGAAAAATGAATGTTTTGTTTTTGGATGGGACATTTGCAAGACCAGCAGCAAGACTAATGCCAAAGTTATTAAGGGGACATATACAGTGGAAGGACAAGGCAGGATAATGTGGGAAACATAAAGCAAGACACTATGGCGACATACTACAGTGAAGTTATTGTGGAGACAAATATAAGGAAGGTTTTGTGAGACATGAGATAATTTTGGTCGAGGCCTGAAAAGGATGATATATTTTTAGGGACACTGGTGTATAAGATGCTTTGAGAAAACAGTGTTACTTTTGTTGGGGCTTCTAAATCAAGATATTGCGGACTACACAAAAAAAGGGACAATCAGGGGGCAGGTTTACTATGAGAACATATTTCGGGGACATATTAGATGACATATAAGTAGGTAGAATACTGTCAAAGCATATATATGACAGAGTTCTGTGGGGACATATATTGTAGACATACAAGAATGGCAGATATTGTGTACAGTATGTATAAGATATTTTTGGTGATATGTATGGGGCTTTTTTTGCAAGACATGATATTTGAGGATTAGGGTTGGGGTTAAATACTGTAACATGATGACTGACGATAAAACTAGCATTATCTTTTTTCTTTCCAATCTTGAATGATTAGTTTTGGCATCATGAGATACATATTTGTGTGAAGATAACATTAAAAAGGACTTTTCTGGCTAAATGTTTAAAATAATAATTTTCATTAAAAATGGATACTTGGGAATTGGAGTACTTATTAAGTTGGTTGGTCAAAAGACAAAACAGGTAACAGACCATGATTTGACTGGTTTCTAATTGGAAGAGGAGGAAGAGGAGTCAAAGCGTCTAATGTCAGTTTGTTAACATCCTAATAAGGTGTAGTCCCCTCCCACTCCAGCAGGTACTGGACCGTCCCCTGAGGAGTGACACGTCGAGCCAACACCTGGTACCTTTCCCCATTGGTCAGTCTGCCCGCCACTCCAAAATAGGAGGAGATAGATGAGTGGAGGTGGGAGGAGTCAGAGGGAATCTGGGAGGGATCGGAAAGGAAGTGGGAGGAGTCTGTTGCCAGGTGAGGGTGGTTTGTAACTTCTTTGTCCTCTAGCATCACAGACTGCTCCTCTTCTACAAGCTCCTCCCCTGCCTCACTACGGTTGGCCCAGTGGCTGTAACTGTTGCTTGGCAACTTCCGCTTCCTACTGCCGACTCTCCTCCTGGAGTAACAGAGCATGAGGTCCAAGGTTAGAGGAAAATCCTAACTGCTTACTTTACTGGATTAAGACTTGATAACCTCTGCTGACCTGAAGTGATAAGAGGCACTGGTGGTGGCAGAGCCTGAGGTGGAGGCATCAGTGGAGTCCTGATCAATACTGACGGGTCTACTGGAACTACTGAGGAGGAGCAAAGAAGGTAGTCACAAGATGGTAGGCTGAAAAACTGTTATTGAGGAACTGGTATTCATCTCACCTTTTTAAGCTTTGCAGCTCATCCAGGGTAAAGTCGAAGAAGTTTGCCATGTGATGGTTGGATGTCCAACTGTAGGACAGTTCGTTCTACACACCCACACACACAGGCGCAAACATTCACCAACAGCAACGACAACAATTACAGTGGAAATTTAGATTCAGGAAATCGCTTCACCCAAGAAATTGAGATTGCTAACAGAGATAGTTCTTTGTACTGAAGTGATTTGAACTTTATAGTCAAAAGATATGATTCTCTTTTTGCACACAGCAAAGACTTATGATATACAGAGTGCTGTTTTATTTTTCAAGGGAAAAAACAATTAATATGGTGGAAAAAAACTGCAGAAAAAAATAAACACAAATTAAAAAAAACCACTGACGTATTCCTGAAAACACAAAATCATTTCATAAATTAAAAGAAAACTTAAAAGTAAAAAAAACTTAAAATTTGTTTTTGATGAAATATCAAAGTATTACATGACTCAAATGACAAAAAAGCTTCTCTGGAGATGCAAAAACATTTCAGTGATGGAAAAAATGTTCAATGAATCCTTGACTCATCGAATGAAACACAGAAATAATCAAATTTTGAAGGTTTTGTGTTAAAAAGGAGGAGGTAATTCTTACATTAGGAATAGCATCTTCTAGTAGCCACTTGGACTTTCTCTTCTTCCTCTCAGCTGACGTGCTGCAAAAACCCAGTTTCATTATATTCACACAGACTGATCCACTGGACAAACTAGACTGCCTCCTTATTCTAAGTTGTAGCAACAGATCAGACCGTCAAAGCTAGCAAAGAAATGTTGAAAAATGTCTGTACCTGACCACGCCCTTCTTATGGCCCCGTCCTCCTTCATTCTGGGCGCGCTCAGGGAAAAGCTTAGAGGGGGGGTTGGGAGGAACTCTAGTCCTCAGTCTAAAGATGCATTTCCTTTTCTTGATCTCCTTCCCACACAGGAACCTTACCACACACATTCAAAAAAACATTGAAAATGATCCAAATTGATGAGTGTTTTACTGTGGTTACTACGTGGATTAACAACCACAGGACTTCATTAGATGAAGAGTCGTTTCTGCTATTCGCAAACTAACAGTACGGCTGTAAACTACAACAAAGCCAGCCCCACACCCAAAATCCACACTTGAATATTCACTAGCTTCTTAGCTGCTGGGTCATTGCCAAATAACTTACAGGACTCGAGAAAATGCTGTTTGTCTGTTTGTTTCCATCAACCAAAACATTTAGAGAACAAGATCCACTTTTACAACCTTTTAGTCATCTCAAAAGTTAGCTGTGACAAACTATACCCCGGTGCAACGAATAAATCAGGATTAAGGACACCAGTAAAAAGTGTGCCTGCTGCCATCACCCACTGTCTGTGACCTGATGTGATTGCAAAAGTGCCTCTATTTGTTGTGCATTATGAGAAGCCACTTTAACCTGGCTGAGTGGTGCCTCTTGCAGCCAGTTTTCCTCCTTCATTATGTCATAAACATGCATTTAAAGAAAGCAGAAGTAAAGCAGAAAAATCCATTCAACCTTGTGGAGTGCAGGTTTGGATGAAAAGGCTTCTCAACTGAAGCGACCAGCTGCGGAGGATGGTGAGACTTTGAGCAAAGTAATCATGTGCAGTGCTTCACAAATTGTAACACCACTGCAAGTGTTACTATTGCAATCAGAGTTCTTGGGTATCTTGTATGTGCACTGCAGGCGCAGTAGTTCTTCTGCCTTAGTGTCTCGGTCTGATTGGATTTCCATGAAGTAATAATCATAAATGTTCTTCCTTGAGCTGCGCAACTCTGCTACACTCAGTGATCGACTCATCAGGGCTCCCCTACAAACAAGCGGCTGCTGGAGGAGAGGGGGTGAGTTGTGTTTGGTCTCTTTACTAAAGAAATTAGGCAAAGCTAAAAAGATGTTTGATGGCTAGTGCTATGGCTGAGACCCTAGATGTACAGTTGATGAAGTTAGGTGCTGTTTTGAGCATTATTTGTGGCTATAGAGTGGCTTTTTGGGTGAGGTTTGTGCGTATGGAGATGCAGATCACTGTGTATTGCTATCGTGCAGTTTTTGCTGAAGTTGTTATACCTAGAGAAGCAAGCAGTCTGCAACATTCATCTCTCAAGGCAGGGTCTAACTCTGTGTTACAGTGTGTTTGACCATGGTTTAAACTTACGCTGGAATATCCCTTTAACTAAACAATGATTTTGATTGCCAGAAGGACAAACACTGCATTCTGAAAACAGATGGTACTAAATTTATAAAACAACAGTAACACAGAAACAGCAGACTTAAGTCTATGCTGGATGCAATGGATACCATTACACAGGAGAACAGTGTCAACCATTTTCCCTCTGAGAGAACCCCAAAAACAAAGACTTCACAGTGGGGGAGTAAACACAGATCTGTTCTGCTGACATTTTTGAGATAGGATCTTTGAGGCGGATCTAAAACTGATGATTGCCCCTCAGTTTGGAAGCAATTCTCAGAAGGCAAAATTTAATATCCTAATAATAAGAATAAGAAGAACTTTATTAACCCCTGAAGGGAAATTCAATTGTCTGTTGTGTCACATAATGTCTCTAAAAGTTATCTATTATTTACAGAGGAAAATAATAATGATAATAATAATAATAATAATAATAATAATAGTAATAAAAACCCATTTTTTGTCTCATTATCATGACATCCTCTCCCACAGTAAGCTGTTCTACCTATGGTTCACTTTTACAGCCAAAATGAAGAATGAAAAAGCTGGTTACACTGAGAATTAAATCATTCAACAGATAATAACAGTACTTACTTGCTCTTGTATTTGTTCAGAGCATCGAGCAGGTGTTGCCCTCTTTCTGCTGGAGGTGTATTAGAGAGCTGAAATGAGAGCAAAAAAGCAAGCAGGATGAAATTAGTACCAGAGTTGATCAAACTGGAGAAACTGGTTTGATCAAGTCTGGTCAAAGTTGAGTCTAGTTGGAGCAGGTTTAGTTCTGTACTGCCTATGCAGTGTTTGTAGCAGCCTTGTCCTGTTTAAGATTGGATCAGTCTGGTTAAGGTTGACTTAAATTCTTTAGTTAGGAGTGCTTCAGGTTTAGTTTGGTTATATCAGTCAAGTCCAGGTTTGGTTTCAGTTTTTCCTCTTGTCAAGGTTAAGTCCAGTATGATCTAAAATCCTTAAAGTCTGGTTTTGTTGTAGGTTAAACTTATTTCAGTCTGGTTTTGTTGGCTGTGATACAGGTTTGGTTCATTTCAGTGTGGCTGAGGTGAATGTCAGTCTTTCAGATAGCTCAAGCTGCTTCCAAGTTTACAGTACTGTCTACTGTAGGTGAAGTTTAAATCAAGCTGGTCCAAGTTTAGTTCTAATTTGGTATGCTAAAGGTGGTTCAGTATGGTTGAGATTTATTTTAGCTCAGCCTGATACCTTTCCAAGCTGTAGATGGTCCCAGTTTGCAGACACAAAAGCCAGGATCTCGTCCAGCTCAAAGTACTTCTTCTTGCTGCTGACTGACAGGTTGTAGAGGACCAAGTGAACCAGATCAACCCACCTCAGGGACAGGCGTTTAACATACTCTGATCCTTTATTACACACTGCACACAGGAAGAGGTAAAACCTGAGGAAGAGGTAAGAGATTGTTTCAATACAGGAGTGGAGAAGAAGAGAGGAAACTATAAAACAGAGAAGAGGGGGTGCTGTGGTACCTATCTCCAAACAACATGGACTCTTGCAGACACTGAGCACAGGCTTCGTGGAACCACTGCTGACACCTGAAACACTGCAGCATCTTCAGGTACCACCTACACAGAAAGCGTGTGCAAAATCAGTGTTACAGACTGGTTGGTGAAAATACCACAGTGTGCTTGACTCCTCCTGGTTAATCTTACTCTCCAGGGCCTCCACAGTAACAGTAACACTGCTGCTGATTCGTGCGATGTTGAGAGTCCCAGTCCAGAGAGTCCAGGTCATATTGTAACACCTGCTTCATTGCAGACAGAGCTTTGGCTATAGGCCCCTTTTTTAGGGCACCCCCTTTCTGTGAGGAAAAGAAAAGAAAGAAAGTGAGTCAAACATCATTTTTTTTCTCTGTGTATGTGTAAACAGACAGATGCTTTTTGGACCATCTCTATGAACTAAGTATCAGACATACCCTTTAATTTCATGTATGCTTTACATAACACATGACAAGGTGTAATCACACTTTTTACTGACTAGAAAAAGAAAAATCATCATCACTAAATAAAATAGGTAACCCTTGAGTTCTCATCAAGGCTGCTTCCTTGATCCATTTCCCTCAAGATTTACTCTAGGTTGGGAGAGAAACAGTCCCAGTGTTTACTTCTATGACAACCATCAACCCCAGTCTGATGCCGAACCAGAGCACAACAAAACCTGTTACTTTGTGTAGTTGTGTGTGAGAATGTGAGTGCTTGTACCCTGACAGCCAGAGCGAAGACACAGCGTCTACAGAACCAGGGACTGAGGCTGCTGCTGCTCTCTACTGGAGGAACATGACACTGCTGGTGGAAACCTGATGGAGAGACAGATGGGAAGGGAGTAAGTGGTGTTACTCAGTCAAAACAAAGACAAGCTAAAGCTGTTTGATCTCCAATCAAAATAAGAGATTATATATCAATTATGATCAGAGATTTGTCTTTCAATCTTTACACCCAAAGTGCTCAGAGAATTTTTTATGTCCCCCCAAATATTCAAAGATTAGAGCCTTCAATTTAATCAGTAATCCTCATAAACAAAGAATTACATCATTGCAAAACATATAAAAAATATCATGCATGTGTTTATGGCAGGTAATAAACCGAACTGACTAGAGATGTCACTCACCGATGCCACACTTTCCACATATAAGAATCTGATTATTTTGGTTTGACTGGCCGTCAGAATTTTGCTCCGCCTCCCGACACACAGAGCAGCGAGGCTCCTCCCCTGGCACTCCAGCTGTAATGGGATATGTTGAATTAATGTGACTGATAGATATTGTTAAACAAGACAATACGCAGAAATGTGGTGATGAGACATATCTACCCATCTTCCCCCGGTTCTTAAAGTCTCTCTTTCTTTCAGGTTAATTCCATATATATGGATATTTTTCTCTATGTTTGAAAAATAATGAAAAACTTGTCCACATCAGCATTGTTGAAGTATAGTTCTCGGTCCCCACAACAATCCAGAACTATTCAGACCGTCTGCTCCAACCTGTCTGTCTCTGTCTATCTGTCCGTCAGTCTTGGTCCACCTGTCTCTCTCACCATGTTGGATGTCCTTCCAAAGAACCCAGAACTTGGAGTTATCCTCAAATGTAACAAAGCAGCTCTGCCTCGGGGGGCTCACCTGTCCACCAATCACAAAAACGAGATTTATATCATCAATCAGGTGAATTATGATGCAAGTTTTTGTTTTTGTGTGCATGCATGTGTTCTTTACCCTCTGAATCTTGCCGAGGTAATACAGTCCATCTGACCAATGGCAGAGGACAAACTGCCCGACACTCAGACTGGACTCCGCACACTCGCCATCATCCAGTACCCTCCCTTTCCGACAGGCCCCGCCTCCTGAAGATACCGGTGGCTCCAGATCAGAGAAGGGCTCATACAGGTCCTCATACATCCTGTGGGGAGCCAGACAAGAGGTTTTTAATTGAAGAGGGGCAAATTCTTCACACAGTGTTATCTCATAAAACGTCAAGTTAGAGAAGCTTACACAAGTGCACACTGCATTAGGGCTGAGCAAAAAGTTGAATTTATTCTGACCACTACTACAAAACTGTTACAAAGTTCCTTTAGTATGAGATACATGTTTGGCAGCATAGCCTCAGGCCTAAATGGAGAGCTAAGTGGTCCTAACAGCTTGCCTCAGACATTTTCTGTAAAAGCATATCTTTTGGGTTGTTTGGTGACTAGCATACTAAGTGAAAAGTACATCCACAAGCTGTGTCTAACTTTAAATCAGTGGAAAAGCAGCCAAAATTAGGCATTTTGGGCAGAGACTGAGCATCACTGAGAAAAGAAAGCCAGTACAAATGTAAGATATTCTGTAAGCGTCCAAGACTGAAACAATGGATGGTGAAAATAAGTATGGTAGGTTTTGCTTAACACTGTTACAAGGGTGTTTGGGTTCAAATACTGCATATAATCGGAAAGATGTCAAACCAGTGATGAATTGTTTATTAAGGATGATCTCAGAATCAATTGAAATAAGGTGATTTTTTGCCATTATCAAGCAGCCCCACCTTGCACCGAATGTGGTATACAGGTCATAAAAATGTGAAACATTTAAGTTAATCTGGGAAAGATTCCATGAGAAGGCCCCCAGCTGATGCCATGCACTCAGGTCCCATATGTGCATGTCTATGTTATCTAAAGGCATTAATTACTGGTTATGCTTAACCAATGCAGGAGAACATGAACAATCCTGCTGGCAAACACACAAACTAAAAACTGCCTTCACTTGTTTACTCATAATGTTGTGTCAGCCTCATATTACAAAAACACTTACTGTGGGTAGACATGAGTAAGAATTGAAGTATTTTCAAACCTCCAAAGTATATTTATCTGAAAAAAGCCCTATAATGATGTCTATCTATGAGTCTGTCTGTCTGTACAACACTGCTTCAAACCTGAAACCTTTCACACAGTGGGACAGACTCGCCCTTTTTCTGACACACTCTCAGAAAGGCAGTTTGACGGCTGTGGCTGTGATTCATTCCTGGACTGTCAGGGGCTTTTTGACAAGTCCGAGCATGCGCAGTGTATTGTATCATCAGCATCACCGTTAACTGATTAACCACCAACTAACCACTGTTAACTACCCTCCCACGGCCTCACCCGGTACACAAGTTAACTGAGTATAGAATAAAACGGATAAAACACTCAAGTTCTATCGTGCTCTATTCATAAAAAGACAACTTGTCTCTCCCATTGAAACACAAAATCTCTGTTTAATGCAGTGTAACGGCTCCGATAACTACACTGTTGTAACGGTCTCTCCTCTCTGAGAGCATCATAAGTTGCTAAGGGTGCACTTACGCAGTCTTTATGCGCTTTTATGCCAATATCAAGGAATAAACTGTCTATTCAAGGTTGAAAAGCGTGCCAAAGTCTAGTGGTAATGCAGGAATCAAGTCGCTCACCTTTTCCGATCCAGTGTGTGTCCACCTGTCCTCCGAACCACAGCCACACAGGCAGGCGGGTGTTCTTCTAATAGTTAAGATGTACGCAAACAGCACAGAGACACACGCAGTCTTTGTTTCTGTCCCTTCAGTTTCAGTCCACTCCTGTTCTCCCTCCGTGTTTCTGTTCTGTCAGTCTCTGCCCGGTGTCCCTGTCTCTGGTTTCGTGGCGCTAAACTTCAAACTTCACCCGTCGCCATTTTTTCACTTTTCCCGCGAATCAGAAGAGGAGGCATTCCATAATTTGCATAAGCGCAGACGTCACTGGCGTCTACAGCAGCGTCATGGCGTCATGACTAGGAAGCGCCCATTGGTCTATCAATCCTTGAAAACACGTCTAATTTCAGCAAATATATACCATTTTCTTCTTGTTCTTTTAGTTTTCTCACTGTCTTTTTACGTGTGTTGTTTTCTTTGATCTATGATTGTTGAAAAAAGACCAAAGTTTTTGGAAAAGATAGTTAACTTAAGGTAGAAAGTAAAAAAGACTACAGTTATTGAAAAAAATAAAATAATACCACATGTTATGGCAGCAATGCTAGTCCATAGATCTAGGTTTTGGCTTTGCAAGAAGATAGCAGTTTCTGTAGCCCCAAATATTCTGAATTGTCACATCTGAATATCTCCTAAAACAGTTTTAAACAAGCCTAAATCTCAGTTGATCTGAGCTTCAATCTGACGTGCAACATCAGAGTGAGAACAGAAGGAGAAAAAAAAATGGAAGTTGAAACACTCTTTATTGAAGCATCAGTCCTACTTTCACATTATCTATTGCATCATCAGTAAGATGATCCAAATGCACAACCATCAGCAAACAGAAGTGAAATAATAGATCCGACTCTAAAAAAAAAAAAAATTAGATTAAAGAATTCTTCAATAATTCCACATTCTGCATCATGACAGATGAAGAAAGTATAGGAACAAACTTTAAATGCACATTTTTGAGGGGGCATGTCATGATAGGCAAGACAGAGAGGCTGTATCCTGGCAGAAGTAATATACAGTATATCAGAGAGGGTCACATAAAGTGAATTAATTCATGCCAGCAGGGCTGTAAGCACGTTTCTTTGGAGACCAGTGAGCTTTGAAGTTGGAGACAAGTGAAGACAGCCCTTGAGAGGACTCAGGATTGACTGCATCACTGATTGCAAAGAAGAAGCAGAGACACAGTCAAATTTATTTGCTGATCAAGTCTGTTGGGTTTTTTTTTGTTTTTTTTTGTTAATTTTTGTGCCATTAACTTATTCAGTTTGCAGCAAGGACTGCCACATGTGTACACCTGCACGTCTGATAGAATGCCATCTTGTTCAGCAAGTTTCTGCAAGGTCGGCAAGATGAGGCATGAATCATGAGTTTTGTTCTGGAAAGCAACTGCAAGCAAGAACTCAAACTTTTCAACTATTTTTTGGATCTGTGTGAGTTCATATCATTTTCACGATTTTGTCACAGGAAAATAGATAATTCTGACAATAGAAAGAAGAATTTTCTGTTATAAATGGAGCTGTTCTGATTGAAAGGAGAGAGTTGATTCAGATAGATCTGTGGCAACACAGAACCAGCTTAGGCTTGAACCTTTAGGACTTGAGACTTCGTTTGGTCTTAAAATTCGGTGCCTCCAACACTGCTTACTGAATTGATAAAGTTGTTTGAATTGCATTCATTCTTTGATCTGTGTGGCTTTAAGCTAAACAGTTATCGGTTGGTGAATGCCATGATGCTTTTGGTAGATATTGTTTTTCAGTAGGTAGACACTGATTGGTTTTTTAACCAAGAATACAGTGAAATAACAATGAATTCCTTTTCAAATAGGTGTTGCACAGTATAACTGTGTGTATGTTCTAAAAGTTTTAAAAAAGCATTTTTCATTTTGTATTGATCTGTAGGTACAAAGAAACAATTACATAAAACACACAAACAGTTATTTCCTGAAGTCGCAGCAGGGAAATGTACAAGGGAACAAAGATCATAGGTCAACAGTCGAAGGGAAGGAGAAAAATTGAGGATTAAGTTTGGGTCAGGGGTTAAGGATTCAGAGTAAAGGCAAGGGGTCAGGATTAGATCATGGTTTATGGGAAGTGGTAAGAGTTAGGTTTAAGAGTCAGGTTGAGAACAGGTTGGAGTGTAGGCGTACAGCTCAGGGGTCAAGTTTAGGACCAGATTGTGAAGAGTCTGATTTGGTGTTAGGTCGTATCTTCATCTCAGTGAACTTAAGTGAGTACTGCCAGCCGGTCCAGCTGGACCACTCCACACCATCAGCATATGAGGCGTGGCCTCCACTCAGGTACTGCCCATTCAGGTTGGAGGTATGGCAGTTACGGTACCACCATGCCCCCTGGTAGTATGCAGCACAGTTGTTCTCTGACTGGTCCTGGTCTCTGTCTTTGGTGGTGAATTGCATACCCGAGTGCTTAAGGAGGGAGTCACCTACAGAACAAAAGAATTTAAATTAGTACCCTGTATTGCTATGTAGTACCATGAAAGCAAAGTAGTTATTCCAGTATTGTCACCTGCGGTCCCAGAGTACTGGTCCACAATAAGCGGGTAGCCATCTTCTTCAGGGTTCACAGAATCACGACCAACAGAGAAATCAGCGTAATGCGCAAATGCTGTGGCATTATCAAAGTCGGCCATGTCAATCCGTAACTCATAACCACCTGACCTGGTGAGGGAGTAGATCCTCTGAAGACCTGAGGGGCAGGTGGACAAAGTTTAAGACAGCTGTCATTGAGTGGTTCTCTCAAGTTCAATACTGGAGCAAAGGGTTCATGTTCTCAAGAGCACATAGCACTCCCAGTATTCGTCTCATTGTCAGCCAGTGTTTCAACCTTTAGCTCCACCTCTCTCATGAAGGACCCACTTTTTTATTTACTAAATCAAACATATAACGTCTTTAAGATCATTGTGGTGCCAAGTTTAACCTTGATAGAAACTGGACTTGATTGAAACTGAACACAATCTTCAGTCGAGAGTGAAATATCTTCAAGAACTTCAAATCAGTCCGGCTGCTTTTTGTATTAAACTTACAACCTTTGGTGATTTGTGTCATAGACCAGGCCTCCAAGTTTAAACCAAAAGCAACTCAGGGCTGGAGGAGCCTTTCATCAGGTCATGGCAATCAAGTCTTGGTCCGAAGGGCAACTGGGCTTGATTGAAGTTTTAAAAAGTAATTAAAGTCTAGTCACCTTTTGGACCAAGTAGATACTGTGACTTGAACCTTTACAGAAATTGACTATCCCTCAACTGAACCCAACTACGTCCCTTAATTTCAAGCTCTAGCTCGAGTTGGTTTTTGACCCTACTAACAAAGAAAAACATTGATCTTTACAAGGTTGATGGTTACAAGCGACAAATTCGCCTTTTTCTAACTTGAATGGTCTTTTCTTTTGCCAAAAAAGAGGAGGAATGCTGAGAAAGTAACTATGGGTCCTGTTTATAGAGTAACCAGATCCACAATTGAAAAAAAAACTCTGCGAATGTGGATGTTGTTACATTCACAGATTGAAATACACATTTGCAAATACTTTTGATACAGTTATGACCCCATACCTGTTGCCATTTCACACTGAACTTCACTTGTTTGACAGCCCTATTTTGTTCTTTCAAACGCTGTTTTACAAGCAACTTTATCAACCCTATCAATGATAACGGCAAGCTAGGAGGCGTGACTGCTGGTTCAGAAAGAGCTGAACTTAAAGATAAACCCTTTGATTTACTAGTAAGCCTAAGTCCAAAGCCTCTGCTGTGGTTCTGTGATCTGTTACTCTTTATATGCTCATAGTACCTTGCTATTCTTGCCGGTCTTGGCCATCTTGTGTGACAGATGTTAGCATTACTGCTTATCTTACAGGATTGGCTCCATCTAAACCTCAACTTGGACAACAGCGAGATTATGGACTTTGTTGGAAAAAGCTCATGGCAGTGCAATTGTTTGGTCACTCTGGTTGGTGAGCAACCTGGGACATATCTCGGAACAATTGTTTGTCTGTCGCAGAAGCTCTTATAAAGTCCTGGTGCCAACATTAGATGTATCCACTCAGGTGCATAGTGCCAGGGACTGCACTTCTATACTCTGAGACATATTCACACCAAATGCCAGAGCACCAGGCCATTTGTAGTCTGGTCTTGAAGTGATGGACTGATTTTACTGGTGGGGTCAGAACAGCAAAATCCCTGCTTTCACCATTTGTACACTTAAGCACTACTAATCTCCTTGTACCAGATACTTTCAATATCAATAGATAGGTCAAGTATTTAGTGTGTCATGTTTTCTTCATCACTGCAACAATCAGTAGCAGAGCTCACACTTTTAACATCTACATGCCTGTGCTAGTTACACATTGCTCTGGTTTAAGTGGTCAATTGCCAGTTTAAGTGCATACAGACCTAGCCAGTGCTCTCCTGTAGTTTTCCCAAAACCATCTCTGTAAGCATCCCAGCCTCTGAAAAAATTCACTGAGCCATCCTCCCTTCTCTGGATCACCTGCAGACAGACACACACACAACAGAAAAACACAAATAATTAAAGATCAAAGAGCTTGAACAACCAGCCAGCACAACTAGACAGCTGCTTGTTTAAATGTTTGCTAGCAAAGCTAATTAGCAGTGCATGATTGTAATCTGCTCTAGTCTCTCTGTGGCTGATCTGATGACTACCGGAGGATGCTGCTGCAGTGGTATATGTGTATGTTTGAACATGTGTGATTGTGTGTATGCGCCACATACTGTCCAGCCTCCTCCATCGGTGGTCATGTCGCAGTAAACCATGAAGCCATCAGGGTCGTGAGTCGGAAACACAGAATAAACTCCATCCTGAGTGTTACCGGCTGCCAAGACATCACTGCAGTCTTTGGGTCTGAGAGCTGGAAGAGGGAAAACCAAACGGATGAGGGGAAAAGAATATTAAAGACAGACCACCAAAAGACAGAAGAGTTAAACCATTTTAAAATCAATTTCATCTCATCAAAAGTTTCCAAATGTGTGTTATGGTAGCAGCATTTCGACTCAGGTGTGTTTACATTCTACAGCCACATTATACAGATACAGACACTGCCTACACAGCAGTCAGTCTCTCTATGTGTGCAGTTGAAGGGCTGCATTAAGTTGAATCATTGTAAGTGATGATTTATCCTGGATGACCAGCGAGTGGTAACAGCATGACATGTTTTCTGTGACATACTTTTTTTTTTTCCCCTGCATGTTACTATGCATGCTGCCAGCATGTGCAACTGTTTGTGTTAGAGTTACTTGTGTTACTTGGTGATTAAGGTGAATGCGTGTTACTTTTGTCTGTGCTACTGTGTCTGTAATAGAGTGCGTTTGTGCGTGTCACTGAGTGTGTTACCTCTGTATTTGTTGTCCGTCTGCAGGTCGCTGCTGAGTCTCCTTAGACTTTCTGTTTCCCTCTGCAGACTGAGTAAGGAATCACTGAAACCTGCAGCCAGCTTTAATACACCTGAGTGGCTGTCAGACAACACCTGTACAGGTGAGAGAGAGTGAAAGTGGAAGTTCATAATTTAAAAACAATGTTATTTTGTGTTATAACCAAAAAGTGACACAAACTGAAAGTTCCTCACATGAGCTTTTATAAATATTTGTTCCAGATAGAAAATAATTTACTTATTCTATACAGTTGCTTTATACTTCAGTTTACCACAGTAGTTTTTTTTTTAACTAATATAGTAATTATGAAGAAATCTGCTGATGCATTTTATTCTTAATTTCATAAAGTGGTGTGCTTGCCTGGATTATGTATTGTGCAGGTAACCTTGATGGCATGTAGTTAATATCGTTTATCAAATATAACTTGTCTCACCTGTATAATGCGGCTCTGCTCGCCCTGCAGTCCATCCAGTCTTTGGTCCAAAACACCTTGACCTCTTTTCAGTGAATCAGTTTCAAGCCTCAGGTTGTGGGCGTGGCCTGACAGTACCTTCAGCTCCTCTGAAAGCTTTTGGACCAATCCTGTGTTTGGCCAGTCTTCTGTGTTTTGAGTGGATAGTGCTCGCAGCAGAGAGCTCTGCAGCGCCTCCCAGCGCAGGAAGTTAGCACTGTAGTCTGGACAGTTTGGGTCAAGGAAGATGCTGATTGGCTCACCGTCCGTGACTCGGGAGACGGTCACCAGGGCACCAGAGTCTTTGGAATTGGTTGAGATAACTGGTGAGGAAGAGGCGGTTCCACCCCTGTTACTATGACAACAGGGAGAGATGGGCAGTTAGAGAGACAGGTAGGTAAGACAGACAGGAGACAGGAGAACAAAGTGACAGTTGGATGATGATTCAGGCTGGTTGTTCAGACTAAGAGACAGGTGTGCTTACCTGCTGACGAAGGGCAGAGGATACTTGTTCACATAAAGGATGGTGACTGTTGCTGTGACAAGAGCTGCTACGACCAACAACACGCCAATCGACCATGACAGGAGGTTGCAGCATCTCTGAACACACAAAAGCAGCAGATTGTTTAAGAGCCGTGTTCAAAAACTGCTAAATTGTAAATTTGCATAAATAAGGGGATGGCTGACTGGACAGACGTGTAGCTGATACTAGTAGTCTCAAGGCCTGCCTCTACTCTGCCTCATGCCCTTGAAGAAAATTGTATTTACCAAGTGACCGTCATTGGTTGTTGTGGGTCTGTCAGAACCTCACAACTACCAGTACCACCACAGGCTGAGATCAACTACTAAACAGGAAGCTAGCACTGTGGCCCAAACAGATGGTGCTACACAGGTCAACAGAAATTGCACATTGCTGACAGCAATGGAAATCTTCATGCAGGAACACAGTCTAAACCTTTTCTCTGAAGAAGCCCCCTGAAAAACAGACTGTTTTATATGCCATAGTGACCCATAATCCAGATTTTATGGTAAATTATACCATGTATGCCTCACTGACTGGTTAAGAGGGGGTCATACAAGGCCTCAGATGAAGGCCATGACCCAGTTTAAAGCAGAATTTAATGTTGAAATCCTACTGGTGCACACTGGGTTATACTAATACATATATTGACTTATTGTACCCAGTGTTTAAGCATGTTACTGTTTCTCATTAGATCCAGTTTAATCTGCGGTAAAGCAGCATATTGACTCAATTTATGCTCTGATCTTAATCTGTACAATTGTCACTGATGGCAACTGCCAGATTAATGTAGTAGAATAATGAAACAGCAGAAAAATGATGTTTTAATGTTCAGTACCACCTGGTTAAGAAAGACTTTTTCCTCTCTTTATTCTTTTACTGCTGGTGATTATTCAGAATGATTAACAGAGAATAGGTTTTTATTTATCTTTTACATGCACCAGTGAGAGGGTCACCGCAGCCCATGTGAGGCCTGACTATGGGTTAGGGTTGTGGGTGGGGATTTTTGTGGGGTAACATGCACCCTGCAGGGAAAATTACATCTCTGTGTGTTTAATCTGTAGATCCTCACTGATGTCAGTGAAGGCGACAGCTGCTGCAGATTAGAGACACTTTGATCTGACAGTTTAACTCCAGATTAACACGAATTAACTATCTGTGGGTCTGTTAGTCTGTAGGTCCATCAGTGTCTCTGGCTGTGACATCAGGGTCACATCTAAGCACACATTCAAACAGAAGCAGTGCGAAGTTTGACACTGATGCCAATGAAATGTTGAAGAAGGACTGAGGGGATGAAAGGAGCTTGTGTGGGAGCTGAAACAATGGGAACCTTGTGGAGAGCATTGTTGTAATACAACATAAGTGCAGTTTTCATGTTTTTAATTTGTGTAAGGTTAAAGTCTCCTCATCCCAGATTTAATAGTGGGGGGTGATGGTAAGTCGAGGTGGGCTTCCTCATCCCCATGTCATTTAGCTGATCACACAGCAGGGTATCACGCAGCTTTAGAGGGCAGGTGGCTGCACGACTCCACACCTCTATCTGTGCATCACCATTTTAAACCAAATGATGCCTTTTAGTGTGTGTTTTTCAATCATCTCATCGTGACTAAACTCACCAATTTCACATTGATGGGGGAGTAAATTACTGACAGAAAGGAGGTACCAGCGCTTTCTGATGCATTTTGGGCTCTACCTCATTCCACCTAGACAAAGCCTAAAGATGGGAAGCAACGGAACTCCACCAAAATCTCTCTCTCTCAACTTTTTGCTTCAATATCTTCGCAAATTCAACCAACTATGGGCAACATACAGTTGGTTACCAGAAAAAGCTTACACAACAAAGGCACCATTTAAAAGTGGAACCCAAAAAGGCCACCTTCTTGCTTCTGCTGCAGATAGCATACTCCAAGACCATCTAGTGACTATTAAATGTAAAAAGTAAAGTGAAAAAGGAGGCGACCAAGTGCTCAAGGCTCAAATGCCAGGTGCTTTTGAAGACTAGAGTTACTGTTAATAGAAGTAAGCCACAGAGGCACACACTTTAAAGCCAAGGATAAAGCAAAAAGCCCTTTACACACACAGGCTTTTTACTTTACCCTCGGCTCTGGAGAGTGACCCTGAACACAGAATTGTGGCTACTCATATCAACTAAAACGTGCTGCACATGGAGGGAAAGTCATTCATGCCTGGCTTTGGAAATTAAATCAGATAAAACTGAGTTTGAAAGCCTTTCCTCCTCTTAGACTGTTTGTAGTGTTGGAAACAAACCTTCCAGAAACAGGAAACAGATGGATCCCTTTCTTGTTGGCTCCTTTAGATATGCCCCTTAATGGAAAGCTACATTTTAACATTGACTTTGAGCTCTTTGCTGGTTTAGATTATATCTGGTAACCTGAGAGCAATTTGTTGATTTTAATTTTTTTTAAATCAATTGGTGAACTCAGCAAACTGTCTTTGCAAAGTTTCCCTTTTCAGGGCTTATTTTCCTTATACACAAATGAGCTGTGAAGAAGATTACTATTCAAAAATCTAAGTACATACTAAAATATGTCGAAGGCCATGAACTAATATACTGTGTTGACTTATAAAATCTTGCTGACCCACATAGGCTTCCCAACTTGGCTTAAAAAATGTGTCATTAAACTACTCCACATTCATTCATTCATCACCATCTCACATCATATCTTATCTTATTTTATCTTTAGTGTACTGATTGTGATGGCCTTTTTTTTTTTTTGGTATGTAAATTGTAAGTCCTTCTTTATTCAGCCTTCCCAGGAACTACAAGTGCAAAGAAGCCAACAACAGAAGTCTGACATACAATGAGTAATTAGTATTTCGTTCAAATCTACGAAGAGAAGAATGACCACATGTATGATCCTCTTGGTGATTGTTGGCTAAGGAGAAATGAAAGGATGAAATTAGGTCGATGGTGATGCTGATGTGAGGTGATGGTTGGAGAATTTGGGGTTATGATGGACTATGATGGTCAGAGGAAGGATGAGCTATCATATGTCATGAGCCTTTGGAGCTTCTAATATGACCAGTCAAAGCCGTAACAGACTTTTAGTAAAGACTGTATTTTCCAAAAGTGGCCATTGTGCGAGTGAGAGAGTGGGTTAGAGTTGAGAGAAAGCCCCCGATATTGTTTGTTTTGGGACATATTTGCCATATAGGATAGAACGACTAAAGATAAATGGGAAGTGTGGGAGTGGAGACTCATAGCCAGGGGTTGAACTAGCGATGAGGCAAATAGCCTCCACACATGTAATTAGTGCTTAAACTGTTAAGCACAACTGGTGCACAGCTAGTATGCTCTCTCTTTCATTTCTAAGAAGCCTACTGAAGAAGGAAGCGTGGTTGCTCGTAGTTAGTGGGGTTGATGGATGGAGGTCAGGAGGTTGATGGTTGGGGAGTGTAGCTGTGTGATGGTGGAGAATGGTGGAATAAAGCTGGGAGATGGTGGACTGATGTTTGGAGGTGTTGAGTTGAATGGGGTGACAAGGTTTGAGGGTGATTTAGAGGTGAAACCTGACAAGATAGGAGGTTGATTACAGAATGCAGTTTCATGATAGTGTAGTGAGGGGTGAAGGAATAGTGGGGGTTGGTGTTAGTAGGATGATGATGATTGGGGAATGGTTGAGGTATAGTATAATAACAGGAGGCAAAGGCTCTGGTCGGGTCATGAAATAATGAATTTTATGAATAGGAGAAGAGCTCAGACTGGGTCTAACTTGTTAGAAAACAAGCTAATATGGCGTGTACCTTTTGTGTACTTGGCCGTTTGCTGTCCAGCTCTGAGCTGCTGTTGTTCATGATGGTCCATCTGTCGTTCATCATCATCCTAAAACAAAAACACACTCAGGTCAATTCTTCCAGTCATCTACATCTAATTATTGAATTTCTTATTCAGCATAAAAAGTACGTCAAGAACCAGACAAATGCAGCGTCCCAACTTGGGAACTGCATCTTTTAAGGGACCTACAGCATTTCCAGACTGATCGATGACAAAGGCAGTTCCCTTTCAAATGCTACTTCAAATGCACAGGACAGCTGCATCCTACTTTCTAGGGGCCACAATGGATGCATTTTATTTATACCTCAAAACCCAATGTATTATAAAATTCATAGAGCACCAACACAAGCCAAATGGTCGACACTCAAGCAGCTGGGGAACATTTCATAGAGCTGGCAAAGAAAATGTTTCAAAATGACCAGCGTAGTCAAATTATTTTTAACATAACAGGTTAAGTTTTAGATCACATGACACTAGTTTTGTTGGCTAGTCTGGTGCTGCTCTGGAGGTAATGGTGCAAACAGCTGATGACGTAATCAGGAAATCCTCTGTAGACCAGACTATCTCATACCAGCTCAGCCCAAACAGTTCACACGGACTATAGTGGCTGGTTCCTTTCAGGTCAGGTCCTTCGAGGATGCAACCCCTGACTTAGGACACAGCTTAAGACTGTCCAGAGAGTCTTCCACTTCCTCAAGAGCCACCAACATATTTTTTTAAGGATTGCTTTTTGGTACTGTCCTTTAGAGTTTTCAAACCTTATTGTTGACATTTGAAATGTTTGTGAACTGGAAATTCTTATATTTTGAAAGGTTGTAGGGGTCTTGAATAAATGACCTCTATTCCTCATTAGGAAAACCTCTGGGAGACCAAAAACCTCCTTAATCACAGCAATCTCAATGGTACTCCAATTTTAAGATACCAAGTGCCCTTTAAAATCTTAGATCTTCATAGGATTTGTTCTTAAAATGCCAATAACCTTCTTTAACACCTCTCAAAACTTCTTCAAAAACATAAAAACCTTTCAGAGACCCCTAAGAGTACTCTTAAGTCCCACAATACTGTCTCAAACAACTCCAGAACCTACTAACCTGTTTTAACAACAAGCAACTTCTTAAAGACTTGTAGTTATTTACAACCATCTGGGTGACCTGGAACCTTTTCAATGACCCCTTGAATCTCAACACAGACTTGAAAAATTTCCAAAAGGAACTCAAAAACCATTTTGGCCTCTGGTAGCTTCAAATAGTACCTCAAGTAGTTGTTAAGGACTTTTTAAAGTCTTGTTGGTGAAGGCTGGACAGTTAAAACCAGTGGCCAAAACTTGTTGATTAAGTGTTATTTTCAAAGGCTTGTTGGTGAGTCCTAGTCATTTAAGACTTGCTTGTTATATATTGGTTGGGATTGTTATTAAAGTCGTGATGGCATGATCCTGTTTCTAGACTTAATCATAAAGACCTGATGGGGAGGACTTTGCAAAAGTCTAGTTGGTGGAGCCTTTCTGACCAAGACTTGATGTCTAACACATGTTTGTTAAGATTTGATGATCAAGTCTTGATCCACCAACCTGAAGTTCAAGTCTTCTTGAATGGATCTTTTTTGAACGATGGACACATAGTAAGGACTTGTTTCTAAAGACCTGTAGTAAAAGACTTGTTGGAAAGTCTTGCACAGGATCTGGTCATGACATGTTACTTACAAAGGTTTGTTAGTATAAACTTTGTGTTAAAAACAGGACTTTTTTGTAGACTCGTCACTGTAGACCTGATTTTAAGGACTTTTTGTTGACCTGATGTTGTTACAGACTTATTGACCTGAGGCCTGTACTGTGAACCAGGATTGTTTTTGAAAGACCTGATCTTCACCAACCAGTTGTTGAGGACTTGTTGATACCTGGTTCGAAAGATGTTTTAAAGATTACTCAGTGGAAACAAACAAACAAAAAAACAAACAAAAAAAAAAACTGTTGATAAACTGGAACAGACCTGACATTCAGGATTTCTTAGAAGACTTTCTGACAAAATACTATTAGAAGTATCCTTGTTAAATACTCATTGCTATACCCTGGTTTTCAAGCCAATTACCATGGCTGTGGTAAACACTTAATTCTGATTAGTCAAACCTTGTATCAAAGCTTATCGATTCTAAATAGCAAGAGCGATGTCAGGAACAACCTAATCTCTCAAATCACATCATATCAACCCATGAATGGAGCCTAACAGGTTCTTTCAGATTAGGATTTTTCTTCTTCCTGTTGACAATGTGGCAAAAAATCAATTCCAGCATCAATGTACAATAACTTTAGTTAGTTTGGCTACACTTGCATACACTTACTCCCATTTCTTATCTGGTCTTGTTTTGATGGAGCCCTATCAGTAAAACATGATCTCAAAGTTGACATATCTTTCTGTAACTAAAACTCAGCCCTCACAACACACATGGTTTTAACACAATAATGGCTGATCAACAGCAGAAGTATGACAACAAGAGGAGGAAGGAAACACACAGACACTTCCAAGGGATGTTAGATCTGATTCTGCCTGGTCTTGTCTGCTGGATATCCTCTTTTCCTGATTAAAACTTGGCTATAAGCAGCAGTGGCGTATGACACAGCAGGATTTACAGTCATTGAGGTCACATCAGAGTTCACCTGAGGTTTTTAGCACAGCTTTTCTATATCATAAACAGGCATCACTATGAATTTCAGTCTATTTCTTAGCTGTCAGAAATCTCTTCACAGAAGCTTTAATACAAGGGATATTTACCGTTCTTGCTGGCACTGTACTTCTATGTACTCCTACATGCAAGTCGACTGACTTTAACACTGTGCCACAGATGCCCATTAAGTCTACCACCTGCCTGAAAAATGTTTAAGTCTCCTTTTTCATTCCCTTTCCAAATCATAGAAAGACTGCCAGAAAGCATACAGTACAACTCCTTTCTGTTCATGCAAATATTCAGACAGATCTACGTGTGCCCTGATGATGGCTCGGTGACACCATAAGCCTTAACTTACACAATTTCAGTGTGATTTTTCTGCCAGCTGTCCTGCTCACATTTGGCAGCCGCAGCTGTGTTGCTTTTAGCTTGGATTTGTAAAATATGTCGCTTTGAGGCGAGCAGACCTCTCTTTATTTGTGATGCTGTAACTCAGCTCCTTCAATGTTTAAATTTCCTCATGGCTGGACAAGAAACCCTGAATGCACCTTCAGAGCTGAAATCAAGCCGAGGACCAGCCTGGAGCGTGAGAGACCTGTTGTTAAGGCTTGCTAATGACTTGTTAATTCTTTGTGTTGACTCGTGAGGTAAAGCTGAACAGCTGGTCTGGAGGTGTTTAGCGTCTGTTTCTGTCAGAATCACTTTAGTGTGACTGATTGTCCCTCAGTGTCTTTATATGCCTCACTGTCACACAAACAGACTCAAAACATGACAACCAGATCTGATTTTTATCTTATTGTGAAACAACTAAAAAGATAGTGGATTTTTTGCAAGTTTCAGCTCTTACCCTTTAACCCGGTTATCAACCTCTGACCTCAGTAACAGGTTTAGAGCTCACACATAGGACCAAACACAGATCCTGAGACACCCTGGACATTTGAGTTTTTAGCCTCCTCTGAACATTCATGGAGCCTCAACAACAAATAAAATGTCATGACACTGACATAATCATATAAAAACTGAAAAAATGTGAACAACATCCTGGGAATGGAGTTTTTCTTTGTGTTTTTTTCTTCAGTTTGTCATCAATAGACATAAATATTAGCTGAAATTACAATTGATACAACTCTGATGGGTGCCAGTGCTCTCTCCAAAGACCGTTTATATTTGTAAGAGGAAGCATACCATTTGTTAGATGTCTGAGCACGTGTGATACTGAAAGGAAAGCTTCAAGAATAGAGGAAGGTGGTATTTAGGAATAAAACCCTAACATCAGATTGAGAATGAGGAAATATTGTTACAGAAGTTAAACTCAAACGTCAAATTTGGAAATATGTTCTATATTGCAAATATCCTGTTTAGTTTACACATACCATACATGAAACTTTACCCCACTATACCACTTTAAAATCAACATATATTTACTGCACAAGTCTAAAGTTTTTGTTTTTGTGTCTGGAGTTGCAGTGTTTTGAACTTCTTACTTTGCTTGAAGTCCTTTGTATCACCAAATTCCTGGTTCTGCAAAAATCTATGGTTTACACTCAAATCTTAACTGAAGCTGCTCACATATTAAACAAAGCATTAACCAACATTTAGCTTGCATATATTTTGTATTAATAATCAATATACTTACTTTGCTGTTTTCAGGCTTCTCAATATGAAAAAAAAATCCAAATTCAAGTGTTTGTACGTCTACAGCTGCATTATGTGATCAGATGGTCATCAAAACAGAGACAGATTCACAGAGAGACTGAGACCATCTGCTGGGTCGCCGGGCGAGAGAAAGAGAGAGAGAGGGAGAGAGAGAGAGAGAGAGAGAGAGAGAGAGAGACGTGATGCTGTGATAATCTGATCAGTTTACTGCAGATTTACTGCAGTCTGTCACACTTAGCAAACAAGATTTCTGACAACACACTAAGCACTAGGAACAAACTAATAGAACACTGACAATAAGTTCACAACAAACCAACAGCATTGAAACACATTAAGATAAGATCCGGGATGTAACGGATTGGGCCCCGTCACTTTACTACCACTAATGCTCTACAATCCCAAACTGCAAGAGACTTTGGCCAGTGTTTCAGTGTTCATAAAAGCAGAATTTGATGGCTTCCTTGTCATTTACAGATTATATTTAATGGAAAAAGTGCAAAGACAACTATATCAAATGTTGAAAATTCAAGTTTGATGTCAGTAAAATGTTGAGAATTGGGGCATGTTCATGATTGTGTTGCAACACTGATTCTTTTAGCAGCACTTTTCCTGACGGTTGTCTTTGAGATGTTGTTCTTTTCTTGCAAGCAGACCACTTGTAACACCTGGACTCTGCTACTACAGAGCCATGCTGTTGCAATATTGTCTAGACAGCATCATAAACCTGTTCATATTGTTCAGCATTTATTCGACCTTTGCAGATGTGTAAGCTACTCATGCTATGGGCACACATGCATCCCTATACTGTCAGAGATACTAACGTTTGAGCCGTTCACTGACAACAAGCCAGTTGTTCCCTCTAGTCTTTGGAATTGAGCGGTATCCATGGTTTCCAAAAGAGTGCCAAATTTTGATTCATCTTACCACAAGGAAGTTTGGTATGGTCCTCAGTCCACTAACCTGAGTGACAAACTGTTTGTGGACAGCTGCTCTAGGAAGTGATTTCCACGACAGAGTCTGTTTTGGCATACCTGGAACCTTACCCTGAAATTGGTGAACCATTCGCCCAAGCAGTCTTTCACTAAATGGGGTGAAGCCTTCAAAATCTGTTTTTTTTTCCCAACATTTCACATCCTAATTTTTTCAGATTTAGGGTTGTCGGATGATGTCATGTTAATAATCTGGGAAAATACTTCTGGATTTCCTGCTCCGACTGGGTTAAACCTCTGACTCTGCCGCCAAATGAGAGAAAATGTGCCTCAAATCCTGTTGCACAACGTTTCGTGACAGTGTAGCATTGAGCTTGGAAACCAGCGAAATACAGTTTTTCATGTTTAAACCCGCCCCAGATCTGATTGAAGGAAATCTGGTTTTCTTCACAACATGTAAGACAAGACGTGAACTCGGCTTTAGTCCAGCCTTGGACTTCAAGTTGGGAAATTCTTTGTTAATTTTGCTTTGTGTGAGCATTAAAACAACAAAATGAGAAACAATATCTGAAGCTGCTGTGTGATTGGGACTGCTTAAGATGACTGAAATATTCAGGTGACACAGCTGTAAGAAGATAACAGACCAGGAGCCAGTGTAAGCTCAGTGTTTTAAATTTACTGTACATGGACTGATCTAAAACTAAAGGGGAGTAATTGATCTGATTTGATCAATCCGGTTGTTTTCAACAATATGCACATCGAACTGCAGTAAGAGTTTGATCTAGTCTCTGTCTCTATCTTTTTGAACACTCTTTTTTTGTATAAAGTTATACTTAATCTTGTGATACTGGACATGCGTGTAAAGTCAGAAATACATTCATAGTTTCATACTTAACAGGTCATTAATACAGCAGCAGAACATAACTTTTCAAAATCTCATATCTCTTTTTGCCCTCAGTGAGGCTGACAGCATTAAAGTGCATGATTTCTCTCAGTGTGAGCCATCCTCTCACACTGGCTGTCAGGGGACTGTCTACAAAGTGCCAAACCTGGAAAAAAAAGAAAAGAAAAAGTAAAATATAGAAATATTCACTTTAACCAGCATAGGCTATGTCAAAAAAATAATCACTGCATATGTTAATGATCTCCTGTTGGTTTTTCTTCAGCAACTATCTTTGAAAACATAATTTGAATTAATTTTTACATATTTACATCCTCTCCTGTGGAACAAACTCCCTGAACACTTTAGGTGTGCACAAACTGTCAGCTCATTTGAATCAGGGCTGAACACATTACTACTTTGGTATCTACTGTTCTGTCAATTTCAACCATTTTAATGATTTTTAAATTACATTTAATATTTTATTGATTTTAAGTTTACAAATGCATTATCTGTTCCATGTTTCTAAGGGGAACTAGAAAAGCACTCGGAGAGCGCAGACCTCTGCCAAGCAGCTCATGTCCCCCCTTATATTGTGATTCACACCAAAACTTTTAGTGTTACGTGTCTTTTATAAACTTTTATTTGTGTTTAAACTGGTGTGTTCACTGTTCATAATGTTAATAACACAATTGTGTGTTCTGGATCACAGTATCCAGAATTTTGTCTGGATCAGGATCAACCTTTGACACCTCATAAAACTCATTGAGATCCTTTTGTGTAATTTTTTACTAAAGACTCTGGCCATTTTTATAGAGTTTAATGCAAAAATTCCAAAATTTGCCCTATCTCACAATGATAAAGAATCCTTCAAAAAATTCCTGGATCCAGAAGGCGATCCGGATCACCACCAAAATGTAATGGGATCCTCCTGGGGCTGAAACGCACCTCTGGTGAAAATTTCAGGTCAATCCGTTGGTAACTTTCTCCGTAAAGTTGCTAACAGACAAACAGACAAACAAACAAACCAACGCTACCAAAAACATAACCTCCTTGGCGGAGGTAATAAGACCAAACTGGGACCTAACTAATGAAATGGGAAGAACAGATAAAAGGCAGGGACCCACTGCGCACTGAGGTCTTGGGGACCTATAGAGTCTTAGAGACTCGGGCTCCAGCTCTAAAGGCTTGCAACTTATTTCGTTTTTCTGGAAAACAACAGTTTCCCAAATAAATATTTAGGGCAAACATGGATAAGACAAAAAAAAAATCTGTTTGTCTTATTGATTTTGAATTTTTTTAATCTCTTTCTTTATTTCCAATATATGTACCTTGCATCTGTGAAGCATTTTGACTTGCCTTGTGTATGACTGGTGCTATACTGATAAACTTACTTTGCCATGCCATATCTTAATTTTCAATCCCACTCACTCCTCAAATCCCTGAATTAAAAGTCTCAATACTTCAAGTTGTCGCTAGGTCTGTCTTCAACCAAATTATATGTAATACATTTTCTACTTCACCTAATTCACAGACTGGTAGATTTACTCCTACTGAAGTAAAATCTCATCAAAGAAACTGTTCTTGTACTTGAGGAGAATGTCTCAGTACTCTTTCATCCCTGCTCTCTCAAACTCCACCTCCTGCTTAAACTGGAGTGCTTTTGTACAACACAACCTTTTCCACCTTCCCAATAGAGACTAACGTTTCTGCTGGAGTAAGTGGTCACTCTCCTCTCATCCTGCCAGCCCACATTACCCCCTTATCCCACTTCATCAAACTCTCCCCCCTCCTCCTCTCTCTGTCTGCAGGAACAGACGGCTAATTTTTTAGAAAGCGGGTTCAGAGGAGCTTCGGTCCCTGTGACAAAACTAGACTCAACTGTTTGAGTACAGTGTTAGTGACTCCTGTGTTGTTGTTTGTTGAAACTGAAAACCAAATCTAAAAATAAATCTGAAATCTATATATATTGTGTTATTCTTTCTTTAATTTCATTTACTCGCTCACATTTACAGTCGTGTTGGGATGTTGACTCAGCGAGAATCTCCTGAACCTTAAATCCTTACTTTTTTGACTGCAGTTTGGTTAGTTGCTGTGGAAACTGCCCCCTCCTCCCACCCCTCTGTCTGTTAATGACAAACACATGTGGACTGAAGGCAACATCAACAACACGGGAAACTCAACAGGGTTTTTCAAAGTAAAGCACAGGGATTGGTTACAGCTGTGGGAAGTTCATCAGGTTGACTTTACACTAAAACAAAGTCTGAAAAAAATCTGGGAGTAAAGAAACTATCTGCAACACCTCTGTGAGTTTACACGGCTAAGGAATAACATATCTCTGCAGACCCAGAGGCTGCAGATCCAGGACTGCATTTCTGGGACTGTGCAGGGTACCCTTGTGTGTACTGACTTCACTGATGATTTTATAACTGAGATTATTTCCGACTCGGTAATCTCCCATTAAAATGATAATAATATCAATAGTGCTTACCATGATAAACTTGATCATAATGTAAATGAGAAAGAGCATCACATACATGGCAATAAAGTCAGGTTGTGAAATCAGAAGCAGGAAAAATAGGATTCAGAAATAACAAATAATAAAAAAAAATTAATAGTTAATTATTAATAGTGTTAACAGAAATTTCAGAGTCGAGAAAAATACAAGTTAGATGAGAAAAGTTAACCAATGATATATGATCTAAGACAGGGCTTTGAGGTGCTGTGTAGAAATGAGAATGAATGGTTAAACCTGGAGGTCAGAGTTCAACTTTACATGTTTCTTCTACTTTGAAAGCTAAATGAATCATTGAAGCTGCTTTATTTTAACTTTCAATTTCAGTTTAATTCATCACAGACAATTATTAATCAAAGCTAAAACAACTCATGTGATTTGGAGCAAGTTCTGAAAATAAGAACCTTCTGATGAGTTTTAACTTTGAGGAAAAAGTTGCTTTTATTTTGTTAACACATAGCTTTTATGCTGAAAGAGCAAACAGGAAGCAGCTCTGCTTTTTGTTTTGACTTAACAAGGTAACAAAGTGCTCCAGGTTTGAATTTTTTCCTCCAGAGGGAAAGTTTGAAGGAACACAAACTGAGTTTGAGCAGAAAGACAGGACAGGAGCTGTTAGTCAGTGTTAGTCAGTTGCACGGTTTCATTAGATAGTTAATCAGTTAGTGAGGTGGGATTTAAATGGATGTGTCTCCTTATTGCAGGAAAAGGTGAGACTGAACTTTCATTATTCAAACTTTCAAGACTAGAGTGAACTTTATTTTCACTTTACCTTAGAGTGAAGAAAATTTAAACTGCTTCTCTTCTGTGGTGGAAAACATATGTTAAAAAGTAAAAAGTACAAAAAGTTATGATAAAAAATGAGGCCAATAAAACTTTTGAAAGTGCTATTAAAAGTGACAGATTTGCATAAAGAGAATATTTGAAATGTATTGGATGAGTTTCTGCACAAGGATGACAAACTGATTTCAAATTAAGAGAAAAAAACAAACAATGAAGAGTTTAATCTATTTTTAAAAAGTTTTAAGATTGGGTCAAACTTCCTCTGATGACAAAAGAAGTTTAGTATTGAAGTTACAAACTGAAACAGATTTGTTAAATGAAATGCCTGACCAAGAAATGATGATTTCCTGCTTTCTAACACTATGAATCTGCTTTAAAGCCACAAATGATTTAGAGAATGTCTAAAAAGATACAAACTGCTGAGAGGTCTTTCATCAGGAACGATCAGATTTGGTAGGAAAGATTAAATTTTAGACATAGTATTGATTTTCTGATCAAAATAAAGAGTCAAAGACATCATGGAGACACATACTGAGTTCTCTTTTGTTCTTGCTTAGTGGTGTAAGGGTTTTATGACCCTCAGAGCACCTACCTGTTTGTTTTTTGAGGTCAGATCAGGAGGTTGCACTTATGTTTCCTGCTCTAGTGGGTTTAATAAGAGTTTAGAGGTCTGAAGAAATGAATATATTTAGAGTTTCATAGTCAGTAAGACTAAATTTATCAAGTTAAATCTATAAAGAAAAAGATTTCATCACCAGGAGGTCAAACTTTGATCAGAATTTTTAAATTGCTCCTGATAAATGAACCATCTGAACTTCTGCACCCTGTGTTTTTACTGCTGAACTTCTGTCTCTCATGTTTCCTAATGTGCTGTTTGTCTTCTTTCCCCTCCTTTGAAATGATTAAAATCAGATTCAGATTATTTATTTCAACACAGATTTAGGATATAAACATGGTTCTCCTTTTTGGGGGGTTCAAATCAAAGTATAGTTGATGTTTTTTTAAATAAAATACTGATGAAACTAACAGAAACAGGAATGTGAGGAGTGAGGGTCCACCCAAAGATACAAGCTGAAGTGTCTGTGCGCAGGGTAAATGTGTGCGTGAACTCGTGTGTGTGAGTGTGTTAATCTGTTAATCCTCCTCGTTAGCTTCAATCAGTGTGATGAGCTGCAGCTTCACTTCCTGTTTCGGCTCATTTCTCCGTCACGTTTCATCCACAGTCTAAACTCTGACGCTGATTTCATCTAAGAAATTCAGTCTGTGAAGCACATAACTCATTATTTTCCTCATACTTACAGAAACTGTTTGAAGTAAACAACTTGAACAACTTCTATTATTATTATTATTATTATTATTATTATTATTTTTTATACTTGGTGTCCATCCAGAAGGTTTTTAATACTTAAACGACATCGAGGGGACACTTTTGACATACATGATGAGAGAAACATCTTTTATAATGATCACACACAGTCAAAATGTGGTGCCCACTAGAGGTCATATCAGATGCAAACACCTGCTGCTTTCTGATTCTCCAATAGGCCCTCTGGTGGAGCCAGCCTCCAGCTGCACCAGGAGGCCCAGTGTCAACCTCCAGCCTGTAAGAGGAGGTGCAGAGATGAAGAGGAGGAGATGACGAGAAGGAGGAGGAAGAGGAGGACAGGAGGAGGCAGTGAGGAGAATATCAACCCAGCAGAGCGTCTGCAGAGGAGCATGAGGACACAGAACCTGAAGAAAGAGCACAGGAGGTTACTCTTCATCTTTAACCTCATCATCGTCATCATTAGGATTATAATCACTGATTAAGATTTGATAATACATGCTGTGTTTTTGAAGGTCTTCACAGCAAGGAACCAGAACCCGGACCAAAATCAGGACTGGATCTGGATTAAGGTCTGGAGTTTTGATCCAGTCCTGCAGGCCTGAAGTCAAAGAAGCCCACATTAAGAAGACTCGGATAAAGACCTCAGTCCAGATTGCAGAGCTCAGAGGGTCTAAACTGGATACGGGTTTCATAAAGAAGGACCAGCCTCATCTGGGATCCACTGAGACTCAGCTGGACCAGAGGAGACTGAGCCAGGTCAGACTGTCTGAGGTCAGTAGAAAAGAGGTTCAGCATAGGACTGCAGGTCAGGATTCAGAGGTTTCCTCCAGGACCAAGACCACTTACAAGAATGTTGAGGGAGTCCTGGATCCAGAGTATTTCAAAGGAGAGGTGGGACAACAAAAGATCCAGACCAAGTTGGAAAGTGAGATTGGGACCAGGATCAAGAAGAGGAGGAAGATCCACCCATCTGTGTTCAGAGGGAGAGGTAAGATCAAGAAATCAAGAAATACAGTATAAACGAAAGAAAGATCAATAAGTTAAACTGAGTCAGTCATGTGTGTCTTTATAGGTCAGTTACGGCTGTCCATCACTCCAGAGGCGGGGCAGCTCATCATTCATAGTGAGTGATTTGTCAACCAATCAAAAGAGAACTTTTATATATCAAAAGGGGCTCAAGTATGAGCAGGACTGTCCACTTTAAATTATATATGATATTAAACACACACAGTGATGAACACAGTGATGAACACAGTTATATACGATTATATACAGGAAACAAGAAAGAATCAAAAAGCAGGTAATGCAAGTCTAGAGTTATTCCTCTTATCAAAATACATTTAAAAAAATTTGACATGAGAAAAAGAGTTTGACTGTTATTCATATTAAAACCAGAGCTGTTTTAGGTTAACCATTAACCATTTTACACAACCCAAAGTGAAGAAAATTAACTTTATATATTTCAAAATAAGCTTCTTCCAGATAAAAATCCTAGCAGTGACACATGTGGACTTGTTAGAGGAGAAATTAAGGCATCCTGTCATACCTCAGTCATTGTTCTGTTTTAAGATAACTTTAAGCTAGAGCTTTAATTAGCAAACATGGTATTTTTGGGCAACATGTCACAGTCATTTTGGGGTTAGTTGTCACATGTTTAAAAGGGATTAAAATTAACACAGAGAGTCTGCTTATCAACAGTTGTCATACAGAAAGTTTTGATTTATCTTTACAGAGAAAGGAGTGGTTTAAAGGAGAGAAGAAACAAGAAGACATGGTCAGGAAATTCAAAAGAAAAACAGAACATGTCAGTGCAGTACATGACGTGATGCTGAGGGCAGTCAGGCAGGTGACCACAGCTAATAAATCAATTTGAAGTATAATAAGGGACTGTAATGTCAACTACCATACCTTGGCTCTGTACTGCAAAACACAGAGTCAGACAGACCTCCAAACTCCAGAGCAAGTTGCATAATATTTTATGTTAACATATGTTCAAGTACTTTTTCTAGCTCAATGATAAACATTTTCTCTGTCTGACTTTGATGTTCACTTTCATGTAAAAGAATGAGAACAACAATAATTTTGTCCTTGTTTTATTGGCTGCAAAATCCACTGTGACATCTTACCCCATGTAGTGAGACAACTTACCCGATGGTGGGTTCACACTCTCCGTTTGACTGTTTATAACTCTGCACTGACACAAGATATGAAAATGACATGAATATGAAAAATATACCTGAGGTCTTTCATCTGGTTCACATTTTGTTTATATGTGATGTATTGATTCCAAGTGATATATAAGAGTGTCAAAAGTGTGACAACAAGCCCCGGTCTCCCATATTTTTTAACTTCCAAGACAAATTCTTAAGGATCATCATACAGCCAGCAGGGGGCAGCAGAGACAGAGACACAAAGTCAAAATCACTTCAGGCATTAATGCTGTTAGTTAAATCACAACAATAAGTTTGGGAAAAATACACTATTTAGGGGGAATATCTTACTCCGCTAGTCCCCACCACCACTGGTTTAAAGTATTCTTTACTTTTTCTAGAGTAGGTTCACAGACTGAAAGTTCAACTTTTACTTGAGTTAAACATCATCAAATTAAATTTACTTTTACTTGAGTAGAATATTCCTTATACTCCTTCCAGCCCTGCCAGTGTCTAGTTAAAAAAAACATGGTGGGTGTTGCTGACCTTATCCAAGCAGAGAGTGTGGAGACAGCCAGACTTTGGAGCATCCTTTGCACAAGGCTTCAAACTGTCTGTACACTCTTAGCAGCAGTGTGTCATTTGTTTGGTTCAAAAGAAGTGTCCACTTTTGCTTGACTTGTTTGGCACAAACATGAGGGGTCAATTCAGGGAATCAATTCAGTGGTGTCCTTTTCTATGTCCTTGTAGTTCATGGGGCCAGGGGGCTGATGGGAAAATCTCAGAGGCCATGTGACTCTTATGTTAAGGTAAGAAACACCTTCAAATGTAAAATAATAACAAGAAAACTGATAAAACCTACTAGGCATAAGCCATCTTAAAGGTGGATCTTACTGGGTGTATTTTTAAAAAGTAAAACAAGCTGATGGAAGTCTTAAATGTGCAAATGAAGTTCAGTTCAGGTTGTAGTTGTTTGAAATGCAGACACAGCAGCAGCAGGATATTGTTTGTGTCTAACCTTATCACTTCCTGTAAATTTAGTTTTGCATGCAGAAATTTGAGGAGTGATGACATCATATCTGCCTGCAGGTGGATGCTGGGACGGTGGTGAGGCTGTTTTTTAGAGCAGTTGTAGTGCAGGAAAGCAGAGACAATAAAAGAAGCATCCAAATCAAGAGGATATGTTTGTGTAGTGGTTGTAAAGTCAGTGCAGCTGGAGATTGCTGCCAGTGAATGATTGTGATGGAAGTGCTTTTGTCTCATTTAAGTGTTCAAATTTATAGCGATTGTAACTTATATTTGTTTTATAATAACTTCAAGTTTTTGTGTACACGAAGCTGGCGGTGACCTCCGACCTTGACTGCAGCATCAGGATGAAAACTCCAACGGTCTTTAACAACAAGAACCCAGATTATAAGCATCGCTTTCAACTGTGAGACACACATATACACACACCATGCTTAAATGAAATGCTTATGGATTGACTTAAAAATCTTAACAAATGAGAAATATTTAAAAACATTTGCAAAAACTGAACATAAAGGAAAAATTCAGCTCTGAAATGATAAAGAAAGGGATAAACATTGGAAATCAGTACAGTGACCTTTCAGCTATTAGACTAGTTTGAAAATACTAAAAACAAGTTTATTTCTCTTCAGCAAAAAATCTAATAAACTTATTTTTTATTAGTATGTAGTCTTGTGTTCAAGTTTCAAATTCCTAATGCCACCACAATCATTTTGAGAAACTGCATTTTACCAGACAATTAATTTAGGATATAGCATTTGCAGCTTCTGAGATATAATCCTGGTAAATGTAACAAAGAAATCAGATGTTGTCTCTTTAAGACTGGAATTAACCTCAGCCCCAAACATTTCTTTGCCTAATTACACTTTATTATTTATGCCTTTGTGCCTATTAAGGTCAAACACCATCTTCGGGATGCAACAGAGTTGTTCAACAGCTCATATGACTCATACCTCAAATATCAACTTGTGCTGTTTCTCCTCAATATATGAGCATTAGCTGTGATTTTAAGAGTGAATTGCATCAGATAAAATGGTAACATCTAAAAGTGCAAAAGTATCCTTAATATTTGCATATGCACAAAATAATGTACATATCTTTTTAAAGGAAATGTTTTGTACTTATATGAGTAATAATGTATATTTTATGATTCCAAAGTTTGATTTATAAGGCCAAACACATTGTCTCTCTAAAGGTTTCTGTAACATCTGAGTTCACCAAATCCCTGAAGATCGTCCTGAAACTGACACTACTCTCTTTGCTACAGTGTCAACAGGCCAAGGGGAACTGTTCTAGACCCATTTCTTTAAATTGATTTTTTTATCTGTATGACCTGGATGTCCTGAGTGTCACTGAAGCAATTGATTCAACAAAGAGTATTGATAAATTAATACCTGTTTGGGTTAAACTCTTGATTCTGATTGGTTAAGAACTCATTCTCAGTGTTTGTGTGTCTTAGGTGCATCAGTGATGACCTCCTCCAGAGCAGGCTGTTGGTTTCAGTGTTCAGCAGGTAAGTGAGGATGTGAGAGCTCAAGCCCCTCCCCCTTCTGCTCCCAAACATACTCAACTGGATGCAGTGGTACTTTTGAATATCCAACTTCGCTAAACCAAACAATGACCTCATTATTTTATCATGGAGAAGAAATTGGGGTTTCTGGTACTTCTGCAGTTTTTAGCCCTTTCATCACATCAGCATCATTTCTTAAGATATGAGGTTTCCCTATTGCCCTGATAGAGATAAACCAGGGTCAAGGTGCAGTGAGATTTCCAAATTACACTCTGTGTTGGCTTTCCTGTCCCCTCAGGTGCAGTCAGCTGATTGGCTGTATGAGTTTTGGGATTGGTTCCCTGGCATCCTCTTCCAAGGTCAGTACACATTAGACAGTATAAAACATGGATGTAGTCTAAGGAGGTCTTATGAAGTTCTGTGATGATGGTCACTGTATTGGAAATGCTGAATTAACCTAACCTAGTGCACAGCTGAGATTGTCCTCATGCTTTTGTTTCTTTCTCAGTAAATAGGGTTGATATTATGCAAAGAAAACCCAGCTTTTAAATAATGAGTAAAAGTTAGTGTCAAAATTGGACCACCTGTGCACTTTAGTACTTCCTAATTATAGTGAAGTGGAGGCATTTAGGACTTAAGACACAAAGTGAGAACAAGAAATTTTAGATTCTGTCCAGAGGATCAATAATGTTGATGTAGATCATCTGTCTTCAACATCCCTCTGAAACATGAACACAGCTGCTCATTAATAATTCATTCAAATAAAAACACCAAAAGGAAACCAAATATAGTTAGTATGTTACAGAGACAGCAGTAGGATAAGACTCCATGACTCCAAACCTCAAGTAGCCAAACTTTACTGTAAAGAGTTAGTCAGCACTGAACGGTAAAGAAAAACACAGCCTCACAACCTCACTCTGCTTGATGGTTTCACAGAATTGCAAGACTGTTTTTGTATCAACATCCAGATAGTCATAGTGACTGGATTGTGTTTTTAACAGTCTCCATTCTTGATTAGCCGCCAATTTATTATGACATTTTAAAACAGCTTGTTTCTACTAATGTAATGCAGTCAGACATTTGTGTTTTTAGACAACTTTAAACAAAGCTTTGCCAGTCAATCTAACCAGATTTTATATTTTGACTTACAGTTAAATTAGGAGAAAGAAAAAATTAAACCTCAAAAGAAGACTTGTGTTTGTGTTGTCAGTCCATCACTGGGTGGTTCTACCTGCTGGGGGAAGAGTTTGGGCGAAGCAAACACCTAAGAGTGGCATCACAGCAGAACAAACCAATGAGGAACAAGGAGAATGAGGATGTACAAACACACTGTGGTGAGCTAAGAGTTAAAAATGATGTTACACTTTGATTGGTTGATATCATAAATTTTGTTTTGTGACATTTTCACTCTGGATTATAGACATTTTCTGAGTGGTGATTAACTGTCTTCAAAGACACTTGTTTCTGGAAGTGATTTTGAGCCCATGCAGTGATTTACACTACAGAGTCACGTTTGCTTTAGATGCAAATCTGCCTGAGGGACTGAGGATCCATTCATTTTTCATTTTTGCTTGTGTCCCTTTTGTAAAGAGATTTCTCCAGTTTTCAGATTTTTTGTTCATTGTTCATGATGAAATCCCTAAAAGTTTTTTTTACAATTTTGCAAAAAAAAAACTGAAGAACATCACTCTAAAATTGGAGAACATTTTGCTCACACAGTATCTCACGAAAGGGATAACCTTTTCCCATCTGTATGTATGAGAGGATCAGCCATTCTTGGATGCCCTACTTTTACCCAGATTGCAAATTAACCTAATACTTTGAAAGAATATACCATATTTTTAATAATGTAATCAAATCTGTAGGTTTCAACATTTGATGTGTTGTCTTTGCGGTTTTCAATTAATTTATGGGTTTAATAAACAATCAAAATCTATTTTTATCAACATTTTAAACAGTATCCAGACTTTTTGAAAGTGGAGCTGTACAATTGTTGCCGATACACATCTAAGAGAAAGCTGATGGTAATGAAACTAGAATATTCAGCTTCCTTTTTTTGGTCAATTGCTTCAGCAACTCATAGAAGTTCTAATGCTAATGTGATATTCAAAGGGAAAAGCAGCTAGCAGCAGTGCTAAGAGCTAAAATGACATAGTGGGAGACAGTTAATGATATCATTGCTTTTTGCTGATATAATATACTCTACCACAGCCAGTAGCAGTGCCTACACTAACATAGTGCTACTCTATAAATAAACAGCCATTTGCAGTGCTAGCAGATATGTGGTTAATATTTCTGCAAGAAAAAACACTGTCTGTCAGGATAAACCTGCGGTTGTTCATAAATAATCCAAACCATTAACACAGTCTCTGCTCATCTAATTGACTTTATTTCTCTGAAGACTGGCAAACTGCAGATTTTATAATTCCAAAGTCTGCCTATGTCAGACCTGTTAGTTATTGATCAGTGGGTCAAACTAAGCTCAAGTATTGATCAGTGAATTCGTGTGAACATGATCTAACCGTACCATCCGTCTGGGACATGTTCAGCGAACACACATGGACTAACATGTAAGCTTTATGAACACTGACAGAATCCCCCAGGACTCTCTCTCTCTCACACACACACACACACACACACACACTAACTCTCATGTACACACAGACACACACAGCGTCCCATATGTGAAAGTATATGTTTTTTTCTATTTTTAGTGTGATGGGGAAGAGCCGGTTGAGTAGTAGATATAGATTTAACCTGACTCCTGCTCTCTTACTCTCTTACTCTCTCCCCGGGGGTCCACACAGTTACCATGGTGATGAGAAGCTGCCCAGTAACCATGTGACCCTCACAATACCTCTGTCCCTATATCTCTCGACCACCCCCCTGCTCTCTCTCTTAACTCCATCTATCTCCATTTACCCCTCCCAACAGAGTTCCCTCTTTCTCTGTCTCGCTCTCTCCCTCTCTCTCTCTCTCTCTCTCTCACTGGCATCACACTGAGATCTGACACTCGTTCGCCCTGGACGATCACAGAAAGACGGGACAAAAGACGGACAGAAGATAAAGAAGCAGACTTTTCTTTTTCAGTGTTTGTTTGTTGGTTGTCTGTGCAGCTGGAGTTCTTGTATTATCAGAAGTACTATCAGCAGTATCCTCAGTAGGCAGAGCGCTAAGCAGCTGTACATGTACTTGTGATTTCCCTTCCATTAGCTGGGAAGCTTGGGACCAAGGAGACAGACAGTCCTCAGAGGACGCTTCTCCTATAAATGGAGCTGATTTTAACTTAGTCCAGCAGATATAACCTGCTGTGTGGACTATCATGCTCAGAAAAAACATGTAAAGATGTGGGGTTTGAGCTCAGGTTGCTGCTCCAGGTAGCTGAACCTGTTTTTTTTTCTTCTTTTTTATAGATCTGTCGACATCCATCAATTTATTTGTATCTTTTTTTTTTTTTTAAATCAGTGGACTTCCTTAGGGAACTCATACTTAAAATACAAAACCAGCTGTCTCAGTTGTGTGGTCTGGTCTAGTGTAGCTCAGTCAGGGGACAGTCAGGATGTTTTGGAAGAACACTGCCTGGTCCTGGGATGATTCTGCAGGTAACGATGATGATGGTGGCTATTTACTTGCAGCAGACCTCAGGAAGACCCCAGACTCTGCTCCAGATGCCGACCTGAACCGCATCATTACAACCAAAACCACCACCAGCCTTTCAAACCCCACCATCACCACCACCACCACTACCACCGGACTCAAAGACCTGACGAACTACAGCCTCGACCCCACAAATGCCAACTACAGCTCTGGTCCAGCCAACACCAACTACAGCAGCTATCCTACCTCATTGTACGGCAACACAAACCAACGCCAGACCACCAGAGACAGCAACAGCATCCAACGGCTGATGGTAAGTCCAACTCTGCTCCAACGTGATAGTAACTCAATTTGTAAATCTACGCCCGCAGCACCAATACCTGTGTCTGTGAATGGATTAGACAAAACTTGGCATCAATTTAGTACTTGTCAAACTTGAAATGTGTTTGATATGGTAGACTTATAAACTTTAACTTACTTTTAAGGGAAAAACTTATTGTGGGCCAATTTAATCTTGAGTTTTTGGTTCCAGTCTTATCTATTTGGATTTGAAACTTGTTTACCATGACTGTGGACTTGTTAGATTATGACCTCCAACATTGGTGTTTGCTCTTGGCTGAAGTGTCTTGACTTGTAGATTGACTTAGGATCAGACTATCTTGACTTTGGAACTGCTGGTCTTGACTGAGGACCCTCTGATCTTGCCCCAGTGCATAGCTATGGAACCACCTGCAGATTTTAGCTAGTTACATTTTGGACAATTAACCTGAAGGACCAGTGATTAGTCTATCTTTCCTTTCGATGAGACTTGAGGCTTGACTTAAAACTTGTCCTCTAGTCTTAGGTTTTGTTATACCTGGCACCAGATGGACCTTTAGTACATAAGGTAAAACTGTACTTAAAAAACATATAAACACATAACCTGACTGGAATCACACCAAATCGAACTTCTCATAGTCAGACTAACCTACCTAGATGATGATTTTTGTCTTTCATGCATTCAGCTCAATCAGACTAGAACTGGCCTAAGCTTGAAATTACCCATGACTTACCTACATCTTGGCAAACAGACTTGATTTTACTTCTGGACTTAAAGGAGAATATTCAGAAGACTCCCCCTGTTAGGGATAAAAGAGAAGGAAAACGGGAATACGATGGCGCTATCCTGTTTACGTTACATTCAAGGACAAGATGAAATGATCAGAATCACTCTCTGACTCTTTTACTCTTTTTCTTTAAAGACTCATCAAACATTCACACACGATGAATTATAGAGTGAAGCTGCTTTTGCTCTTCACACAGTACATATACACAACACACACAGTCCTCGCTGCTATGCTTGTGAGGACTCATACTACCGAAACCTTGTTATGACCCCTAAATCTAACCCTGTACTGAGCCTAAACCTCACTCTGAACCCCCATCTCCAACCTTTGTTTTTGCCTTCATCCCTCTATCCATATCCATATGTGATTTTGTACAGCAAATGTCCCAGTTTCTGTGGCATGTTTGTGGTCCAAGTAGTACTAAGCAATGACCTGACAAAGGACCCATTAGTTATAAAAAACATAATAAAATGAGTGTCTTTTGGGGTTCATATTGTTGAAATAAGCTGGAGTCAAGCCTCTGTGTAACCTCCGATTTGCAGTGACTCAGTGACTCATCAGGACATTACATTGGACTGTAAAAAATGCAGTGTACAGAAAAAATATCTTGAATTGAAGTTGTTTATCACAAACCACTGGGATGGCTACAGATGGTTGGACATTGCTTCTAGAGGAAACCCTCATCAGTTGATAGCCAGTGGGTTCTGAGACTGATCTGAACCCCATTTTAACCCTTATGTCTGACTTGAACCCTGATGCCGTTGATTCTGACACTGAACTAAACCATGTTCTCATTTTGAACCCTAACGGTGTAATCTTGATCTGTGCCTCAGTCACACTGTATTTCCCTGATCGTAGCAGGGTCAATCGGTCAACCTTGACATTTATTTGAAAAACAATTAACAAAACCTTTAACGTGGATCTCTTTGTTGGTCTGAACCCTGGAATTAAACAATTATCAAAATCTTTAACATCTGCTAAATTCAGACAGCAACAATGAGGGCATACTTGGTTCTGCCACAGTCGATTTGTTTACTTAAGAAATAAAACCAGGGCAAGGACATCCATAGCCTTTGTAGATTTGAAATAATCCGAGGATCTCCCTTTCCTTTGCATCAGGGGAGCAGAGACTGTCGTGTTGTCAACAGGTTTTAATATTAATGTGAACCTCCACCACACTCTCATCCCTGGACTTTTTACCCTGACCTGAGTCTGAGCCCCAAACTTTTGCCTTTAATGCATTATAGTGTTCATTTCATAAATTATGGGTCCATTTAGAGTTAAGAAGATGCTTTCAATGCTTTTATCACATTTTTCCTGGACGACTGCAACACCCTTCATAGAGGGGTCAGTTGGTCATCCCTCACACGTCTGCAGGAAGAGCAAAATCCTGCCTGGTTTTTGACTGGTGCACATCACGAGATCTCATTTCATTGGCTTTACCACCAGAAGTGAAAATATTAAAGCCTTGTGGCTGCTTTGAATGAGTTTTTTAAATAACAGGAGATGTGCTGTCCACATGAAACCTGTAGCAGTCATTAAATTAACCCTTCAGGGTTCCTCTAAGCCAGGTTTTTTCCTGCTGGTGGGAAGGACTCGTCCCCCTTATTCTGAATGACAGTGTTCACACGGGGGAGGGGGAGTGTGTACTCGAGTGTGTATGTGTGTTCAGGAAGTGTGTATCTTATCGCAGGGATACATCCAGTGTTTTTGTGAGTCTGAGTGAGTGTGTGTGCTTCCTGCTATTCTTCTGCTGCAGGTTCCCACACACATGTACACTCTGCTCTCTAACATCCAGTACTACGCTCAAACTCCCACCGATTAGTTCACCTGGATCATGAGAACCAGGGTTGGATCTTGTTCTGGTTGTCATAGATGGACCTTGTTTTCTCCGGTACTGAAAGTGGATAAGGCTGAAACTCAGCATATGAAGTAGTCACACCTCTTTGGATGCAAAACAAGTTTAGAGTTTGGCATTTGTTTGTATGGACTTGAAGTAGACTTGGATCTGGCTTTATAAATCTGGATACTGACTTGACCTGACCCCTGGATCTGGATTGGACGTGGACTGTTCGTGGTCCTGGTTGGTTTCGGCCCTGTTGGCAGGGCAGATGGAGTATCTGACCTGCAGGATTTGAGCTAACAATCAGAATTGCTGTCATGCACACAATCCATCGTCTGTGTCAAGAGTGCATCGGACAAAACCTCCCTCAGGTCTGGATCTCTTTGTTGGTCTGAAACCTGGAATAGATTTTCTAATGGTTATGATTGTTCTTAACCAGCTTCTGGTGAAAACTGTGCCCAGTATGCATTTAGTTGCTGGAGAGTGTTTACTGTGAATTCCCTCAATGTGTTTATGTGTCCAGAGGGACCTTTACACTGAAGCTGTCTGACACTTAAGCAAAGCTAGCTTGGATATGAAGTAGTGGATAAGATTTGGTGCAGTATGGCTCTCTTAGTCTATAAAATGGCTTCAGCTTTGCATTCAATTGATCAGACTTTCACAGTATTGCATTTTTTGTACTTCATACAAAAATTACTTTACATAGAATCCATGAAAACAATGTAATCAATACAGGAACTGATGAGCAGAGGAAACACTATCATGAGTCTTTAAATAAGAAAAAGCACAGGAAGGATTACAGTGATAAGACTTAAGACTCCAAAATAAAAGTAAAAATAATCTGGGAAATTTAAAATAAGATAACAAAATACTAAAAGTGTATCTTATCCTATTACCTGTCATAATATGAACAGTCATACAATAAAATAAAAGAAAATAAAGTACTGAAAGACTAGAGATGATATTTAAAAATGAACAAGAATAGTTTGATAACAAAACTCAAAGATAATCAAGACATTATCAAGTAGGATTAGGCAATATATGACTCACCAAAGACACAAACCCTTTTTGTCACTGGTTTGTCCACTCTGTGCTACCGTAGAAACATGGCCGTGCAAGATATCAGCGTCCCAGGGGTCCACTCCTGTGTGGACATGAAAGACTCATTCTGAGTCACAAAAACAAAAGAAACTCTATATTCAGGTGATTAATTACTGATATAAACATACTCAAAAATTCTATCATTTCTATCAAGTCTGTTCTGCTCAACCTTTAAAGGCCAGGTTAAAACGATTCTCTAAAACTCAGATATTAAAGCAAATATGATTAAGAGGTCTAAGCAGGACCACCTAGAGTATTGTACACCAATACAGGGACCCTAAATTTGATTCCAAAACACACGAGAAGGCAAAGCTAAGAAGTATTTGCTATGGACTATGTGATATGTGGATGTGGTCTCGCAGTCACGTCACCCATTGTTTTCTTTAAGTACAGCTTTGAAGCCTTTTAATGGCAGCAGCAAATGTCGGAAATGCTGACTCATCCTAACTTTTGGTTTACCCAGCAAGAGGCAAAGAGGAAGAGTCACTGCCAACAGCTGTGCACCCGCTTATCAGCCAAGTCAGCTTCATGCCAAAATATATAACCTTATAAATTACCTTAATTTTATGAATGTGTAAGTTATGTACAGTGTGTATAAAAAGGAAATGGGCTGTTAAGACCAAGACTAGTTTTGTACCAGTGTGTAAACATGTTTATTTTTGCCGTAAAGGGAGGCTTTGACATGGTTTGTAAAGGGAACCCTGCATATTAAGACATACTGGCCTTATTGAATAATCATGAGAGTCAAGGTAACACTAAATTTTAACATTTTTAGAAAACTATTTTAAAATTACATTTTGGCTGCCATTGATGTGCAAAGTACTCTGGGTAGCAAGGTCAAATCTTCAAAATCAGTTCATGTGCCCTTGACTGTAGTCCTTGTTACCCACTTCACCAACCCTGTCCCCCGTAAATAAAAGGCTTAAAGGACAACACAACATAGGATAATATGTCTGAAGAAAATCCAGTTCAACCATTTTACATCGAGGAAAAGAGTTCATTTCACAACATTAGCAGCCTTTGAGTGACTATTTTCTTTTAAATATCTCAAAGTGTTTAAGTTTAGTGAGTATTTATATACACGTGTAAGACTCGCCATCAGTGAAAATCTGGTTAAAAAAACAAAACAAAACAAAACAAAACAAAAACATTCTTGACAGCCAATTAGCTAAAACCAGAACAGTGCTATAAATATTTAGCTCTTTTCACAGATTGGCAGTTTTTTAAATTTAGTCTGGTGTGAAAGATTTGTGAGCTAAAGGAGAAACATCAAATCTCAAATCATGAGGGAACAAAACAGCAGGAAACAAGCGTCTGCTCTGGCTGGTGGCACAGTCTGATGTCAAGCTAACTGTTTGTCTTTTCCCGGAAAATTTCTGTGTGTGTGTGTGTGTGTGTGTGTGTGTGTGTGTGTGTGTGTGTGTGTGTGTGTGTGTGTTTTTCTAGTCCAGCAGGTCAGATAAATATTGGATGCGTTCATGTTTATTACAGCTGCACTTCATATGTGTTGGCGTGTGTTTATGACAGGTTGTTAAATTATTCACGCACAGATTAAAACTGAATGATTTCACTGAAAAACTGCATCTGACAGCAGAGAAAGAGAGAGAAAGTGTTGGTGTGTACGAATGTGTGTGTCTAAGTCACAGCGTGTGTATTTGAACAGGCCGAGTTCCTCCATGTTGTCCATCGCTACACAAACTCTAAGCTGTTTAAACAGAATCTGACTCCTGCAGTTTAACTCCTCAGTATCATGTTGATCTAAAAAAAACTGTCACCTGACTGAATCAACCTGAATGTGGGCCAGGAAGCTGAACCAGAAACAGTCAACAAAGTGGCATCTGGGAATCGAACTGGGAACAGGAAACTTGAAGGGACATAAAAGTGAAGCAGGGTCATTAATCTTGACTGGAAGCAGGAAAATGAATGAAGAGTGACTAAATGAAACGAGACTGGGAAAATGAGCTGGGAAAACAAATGAACAGAGACGAGGAAGTTTAACAGGGACCAGCCGAATAAACCATAACCTGGGAACTTTACAGAAACCCAAGAACAAAGTAAATGGAGTCAGGCCTGGGATAGTAAGGTAGAAACAAGATACTAAAGCAAGGCTTAAAAAACAAGCTAAGGTGAATGACCTGAGCACACAACTGAACTGGAACCTTTAACAACAAAAGTTCAAGGAAACTTGGTATAAATGTCCTCTTGAACATGCTAAAATCAGCGCATTCATCAGTCACATTCATCATTTGATGTTCATCAAAGCTCAGTTTGCCACCCCTGAGCGAGAACATGAGCATGTTTCATCCTGGAGACAGTGAGAGGCCGCTCATTTGAGTCAATACAGTGCGTTAAAGCAGCTGAAGTCGGATGTATGGTAACCCAAGCTCAGAGTAGAGGTATCTGGAATAACTCCACCAACTTCCAAGGAGCATGGAGAAGGAATCAAGATGTAAGAAATCAGAAGTTAAAAAAAAGAATTCTTAATGTGAACTAGTTCGCTTTGATCTGTGTGAACCAGACTTTAAGCTGGTTCAACCTACTTTGATGATCATCCTGGTGGTCGGTGGTTTAAAAGCACCCCGGTCCAACTGTGATCTGTTGCACCAGGTTTAGAAAATTAACAGGAGGCATGACTCTGACAGAATTCAAGGATGAAGAACCAGAATCAGGGACCTAATAAGGACCAGGAAACCGAACCAAGAACAAATTGTGATCCAGGACACTGATCAGTGAATCAACCATGATCCAAACACTGAAATGGCAACTGAACCAGAACCAGGACTTTGACAAGAAAAAGGAACAATGGATGGAAAAACATCCAGGACTGAAAAATCACTTCAAACAGGAAACTCAACTCGGATAAGGATCCTTAAAGTCCCACTCTGAACGTTTTTTTTAATACTTCAACTGTTTTAGTGGTCTTCAAATTGTGATAATGATTTTTTTTTAGCCAAAATCACATTACCTGTGTCAGTTTCAAGGATTTTTCTTCTGCAGAGCACCAGTAGCTCATTAGCAGTCCTCCTCTGAGTCATGGGCAGAGACAGCACTGCTCTGCACACTCATCTTCATGCTAGCTTGTAGCCTACCATTGCCGGTGTAGTAGACAAAGCAGGTAACATTGGAGCTATTCAGCTCTTGGACACTTATGTCTTTGGGGACATGATGAAAGCTAATATTGTGATGAACTTTCTTACGAGCTTTGTAATCCCCTACCACATACGCTTGTTCTGGCCTGCAGAGTGGGGCTCCGGGGGTGGAACTTGGATTTGTGACAAAGGAAATCTCATTGTGTCGTAGCCTGCTGTTTGGGTCTGTCACAGTGATTTAAATGCAGAAATATGTCATTTGAAATGAAATTTTGCACTTATTTTTCTCATGATATGCCCTGTAGCATCAGAAAAATGCCATATGAACAAGAACAAAGAAAAACATGATTTTCATTTGAGTGGGTCTTTAATGTGATACTGAACAATGAGAGACCAAACTGGGACTTAGAAGCTGAGGTGTGAATAAAGCTCAGGAAACAGAATTGAGCCCAGAAAAATGACAGAATAACTGAACCAGGATGAAACGTCAAAGCGGGGATGAGCTACTTAACTAGGACTCGGAAACTGAATCACGGCGTGGCAAAAGCATGACAGCAAAACTGGACCAGGAAAAAGAGACAGGGTTGAGAGACTGAGCTAAGACCATGGAACTGAATAGAGACAACAGATCTGAACCAGGTTCTTGTTGTCCTCAGTGTCGAGATGACTGGTGATGTCACCCTGAAGCACCAGAGGTGTTTACCGGTCCATCACTGTGTTGACTCATGAGCTGTACTGATTCTCCGTGAAACACAAACACTGTGAGTCTCATACCTCTTCAAACAGCCCCTCCACCTCTTTCCCTTACCTCAGGAGTTTTAATATCATCCTGTCAGTCTGAACTCAGGGACATTTAACTTCCTTTGTGCAGAGAAAACTCTCAGGGTGAGTCGACCTTTCCTCCGGCCTGCCGCTGTTTACACAGTCATGGAAACAGCTCAGAGACCAGGACCCAGACGGACCTTCACTTTGGACCTGACAGAAACATCCTTACTCTGTCAACATGACTGAAGACCAGCAGAGTCTTTACACAGTGCCCCCCTCAGGCTGTAGGCTGCACTACAATAATGGGACAGAACAGCACCCACATTTGTGGATGTTTGAAGCACGACTTTCAGGAGTGAAAATATCGTCCCATTATCTTCATATTTATCACAGTGGTGAAGTTTGGCCCTCTCAGGGTTTTTTATGTTTAGATCAACTTTGATGGTTTTCAGATGCCCTTTATAAATGAATTTATATTGCAATAACTGTGTGAGCTGATACTGCATGTAGACTCTTATCCTGAGCTGACATATTGCTCTGTTTCTCCAGGTGAACATTGTTCGAGGCAAAGATGGTTTTGGATTCACAATCTGCTCTGACTGTCCAGTCAGAGTCCAGGCTGTCGACACAGGTGAGGAACACACTCACCTGAGAAACGCTAGCTCTTGTTGCATAGACCTGGAACAAGCACACATTCATGAAACACATTTGAGACCAGACCTAGAAAAGTACACGTTAAACACAAAGCAAACTAATCTGACTGGAGGAAGTACCTGAAACTCATTCTTAACATGTACACCTGAATCTCATAAACAAAACACATGATTTGAGGAACATACATGCCTGAGAAACAACATTTTCCTACCCTGTCCAATGTTGTTCTGAGTTTCTGATATGAACATAACCCATATAGACCGCACAGCTCAGTCCCATTTGTTGTTTGTCTGTAGGAGGTCCGGCTCATCAGTCTGGTCTTCGACAGGGAGACTCAGTCCTGCAGCTGAACGGACTCCCTGTAGAAACCTGGAAATGTGCTGATGTGGCCCATGCCATCAGGTATCCTGACTAACTATCTGTTAAGATTTTTGCTAAATTTCGAGACCTGAGTCCACAATGATGGATGAATATGAATACAGTCCCTTAAGTCTTTGGTTGGAGTTAAGTGAATGGTCTGTTATTCTATAGACTGTATATTCTTATTCTTTATACAGTCTTGTATAAAGAAATAACATACTGTTGCTATGGAGTATTGACTACCAGAACTGAGACCATAATACCTTAGTAAATCCGGTCATTTTGGTGACGGTCTGGTTTCAGTTTCTGAAGTCTGTCTGTCCTTCAACTGTTGTTTGATTGTTCAGGAGTTGCCCGTCTCAGATCTCACTGGTGGTGTGGAGAGGTTTACCTGAGCTTAGGTCCAGCTGTGAAGCGCTGCTCCACCAACCATCACACACCAAGGTGAGTCTTATACGGGTTTCTATTAGGTAAATTTAGGTATTGATGTGGTTTTCAAAGAATAAAGGTAAGACCACTTCCTTGATGGCATGTGACACGGTTTAACCAATGAACAGTGAGGGTAAAAGCCTTGACACCAAACTAATGCTACCATATCTTCCCCTCTGTCTTCTAGACATCTGGCAGGAAGCTACTTTCTCACCCGGCCCACAGTAAACATGGCCGCAGACGGGGTCAAGGGTCAGGGGTCAGATCCAGTTTTGGGGCTTTGGGTTCTTTATGGAGGGACAAGAAGGAGAATCGAGATGAGGAGGAGGAAGAGGAGGTGGAACAGGAGGTGACGGAGTACTCGCCTCACACCACCACGCTCAAAGGCACCCGAGTGACATCATCAAACGGCGACAATTATATCATTCTATCACCTGTGAATCAAGGAGGACAGGTGAGTCACGGGAACAAAGTACTCTGGATCAGAGCCTTCCCTTTTACCCGTACACCCTGAACCAGAACCAGAATTCAGTCAAAACTGATGTATTTTTATATTTTTAACATTAATAATTCACAAAAAATGAAACCTTTGACCATCAAAATTTTATTCAGGAGATACTGTATGAGATTGAGGACCAGAACTCTGCTCTTTGTTTCAGCTGCTGCAGCCAGTTTATCACGACAGGAATGGAACGATCAGTAAGTTATCTACACTGAACACAGACTGTCTGCTCTTAGCATCATCAATGTAACGTAAATAACAGACTGATGTTCACTTCTTTTATTGATCACCAGGCCGTCTGTACCAGACTCACCCCAGCAGAGCTCACGGGCAGAGCCTCCTCCACGACCCTCGATCCGGGACATCAAGACGACCATATGCCGGCTGCAACTCCACCCTACCCCCGCCCCCCACCTCCTCCACCTCCTCTGTATCAGCGCCGCCCACCAGCTACGGAAACTACCAGAACTGCACCATCGTTCAGTCACATCTGCCCTGCTCCACCTATGGAACCTACGTCACCCTGGCACCCAAAACCCTCATCTTCCCCATTTTTGTCCAGGTCAGAACCTCAAACCTGAACACCTGACTCAGAATACACAGCTAGGGCCTAAAACCCCAGACCTCTGATATTTGTTGCCTTTATTTTAGATGATAGGACAGTGGGTAGAGCAGGGAACAGGGAAAAAGACATGCAGGAAAGGAGCCACAAGCTGGTATCAAACCTGGCTTCTTCACATGAACCATAACCTCCTTATATGGGGGCACTTAGACTACTCGGCCAGTGGTGCTCCATAATAAGCTAAAACATGAAATATAGTTTGCCAGCAGGTACAACCAACAACAAGTTTTTTGGAGCCAAGGCTAATGATGTAAGTGGGGAGCAAAACCTGGCCTGTGTTGATTCAATACATCTTATAGAAGAGTTACTGGAGCCAAAACTGTTGAAAAGTTTTACTGGCTTTGATAGAAAGGCGTTAGACCACTCTGTTTATCATGGTTAAAATGAACCATTGAATAAATCCTCTTTTGTTTGATTGTTTGTTGACATTGTGTCTTTGTTGTCTTCAGCCTCTGGATCTGTGCAGTCCTGACAGAACCCTTCTAATGGCAGAGGAGATGGTCCTCCATCAGAGCGACCTGCTGCCTACTAAGGTAGCTGCATTGAAAATATACTGTTAGTACACTTTAAAGATACTGGTTTTAGAAGCACTTTCAACAGAAACTAGAAAAACAAACATATACTGTGACCTGAAACTACACTTTACCATCAATCAGCCAAGATAAAGTTGTTGCTGGACTCTTAAAATGTCACTCCTACAAAGTCAACATAACCTTCAAAGACAACACCACCCAAGAGCAGAAACACTGATTTTACTGGTAAGGTAATCTGTAAAGAGTCTGTGGTTGTCTCTGTCTGCTGTTTATTGATTGTTTCTGTGTCAGATTATTGTACACATTTTTCCCTCAAGAGAGGAAAAAGATCCTGATTCTGAAGGTCTCAACGACCTCCGAGAACTGAACCAGGATCAGTTTCACTCTAATGGATTTTACTGCTGACACACACAAAAAGATACACTCACTTGCCTGTTTCTGGGAAAGTCATGTGTTTAAGGTTCATGTTTTTCAGGAAAAAAACAACGATGTTATCTTCTGTTAATCCTTTTTCTACTCTAACCTCAATTTGCTCTATTACATTCTTCCATACTGCTGTATAAAACTTTAATGGGGGGGTCATGTTTTTTTCTCCATACTCTTTATTTTTATTTCTGATACCCCTCTCCGAGCTTTACATGATTTTCAGGTTTTAAAAAAGCCTCAAATTTGTCAAAGTGGTGTATGAATATTTTATTACTTTAGCCTCCATCTGAAACACGTCTTTTAGCTGCCGTTTCTTTTATGCCCCCGCTCCACAAGCCCTCTTTCTTATGATTAGCCACCTCTCCAGAGGCTTTCTGGAAGCCGGTCGAGGGCAGAGGTCGATGTTTTGGCCCCGCTCCCTCTATTGTGGTCAGTCAGATTGGCAGCGGAGCAGTGTTGCCCCATAGACATCCTATAAATAAATATGATCCCATCCCAAAGTGAAATTCTAGCAAAGGTCCCAAAACTTGTCAAACTTGTCTTTTTGTCCTCACTGTACAACCTTTCAAAGTGTAAAACATTGGCCATTGTTTTTACAGATCCACAATGTGTTACACAACAGTAATTAACAAGTTCACATCTTCAGTGATGTTTACATGTGTGTGCTTCAGGTGACAGTGTTAATCTACAGTGACTTGCTGCTGTTCACAAGAGAGGATGAAGTTGGACGCTGTAATGTCCTACAGAGTCCAGTCTACCTGAACACACTGCAGCTCCGAGAGGGTATGTACACACACCACACCAACGATCACACTGGTCATCCTGACTGTACTGTAAAAGAAAAAAAAAAACTAAATCAGGAGCCCTCCGTCACACTTCAAACTTACTTCAAGTTCATTTTCAAGGGCTCCAAAACTGGAAAAGCCTGAGGCATAAATCATAGTATCAGTTTATATCTTTGTTTGTGTGTTTGTGTTCAGTGCCATCGGAGCCCCTCCAGATCTACTTCCTGCAGAGCTCTCAGGGCTGCTGGCGTTGTCTGTTTAGCCTGGAGGCATTCAGTATTGAGCAGAAGGTCAGAGTCAGCCTCTGTCTCCATGACAACATCCAACTACAGCTGATCGCAACTGATACTGGACACACCCATCAGGTACTGCAGAGACACCTGTAGACTTTTCACACTGTCGACTGGGACAGTCAAAAGCTTCTAACACACTGCAACTCCATAACAGTGATGGATTGAGGACTGCCATCAGTACACCATTACTTGTTGCAGAAGCTTGAGAGACACGGCTTGTTAGCACAGTGGGAGCTCCTCATACATACACACACACGCTTACATATGCCTGTACACACAGTGCTGAACTGATGCTACACATCGCCACCTTCTTTCCCCGATTCGGCCTCAATTACATCCTCAGAGGAGGACATAAATTATGCTGAAATCATTCTGATATTCACCAGACTTGGACAAAGCATGACTTCTCCTGCTGCCACAGGGGGGCGCTTTGTTATCAAATACTGTATTACCATATTAATGTGTTCAGGGCTGGACCCTCAATACTTCCTGGTTAACTTGGGTTTGATTGGAACATGCATGGCTGAGATAAAACTATTTCCTGTTTTATGGCAAAACACATATTTTTTAGGGCTTTCCAATACACATCCCTCGACAAAATCTTAACCTGTTGATAAGTTTTGATCTCCAACGTGGTCTCCCCAAACGAGTTTGTTCACATAGAAACTCTGTAAATCAAGTCTCATTTTTTTCCTTCTCTACCTATCTGTCTTGGCCCTCATCTCTCTCCCCCATATTCACCTCCATATCTCTCCTATCTCCTTCTCTTTCTCTTCTTTATCATCGGTCCTCCTCTTCAGCTCTCAGATCTTCCCTCAGACTTCGGCCTCCTCTCCCTCGGCCAGTCTGATCTCCTCTATCGTCCGACATCTCCTTACTCCTCCTCAGATCCTCCCCTTCTCAACCCATCCTCCCCCTTCTCCGCTTCCTTTTGCGACCCCCTAAGACCTTCCTCCCCCTCTCCTTACCCAACCAGCCCTGCCTTCACCTCCTCCACTCCTCCCCCTGCTCCTTTCTCTTCTCTCTCTCCTTACACCACCCTCACATCCTCACATCCTCCCAGGACCTACACCACCCCGACTCAGCCCCTCCCACCACCTCCTAAGGCCTCCTCCAAGCTAAGGAGCCCAGTATGGAAGGAAAGAGGACGAGCAGAAGAGTTGGAGAGGAGGAAGAAGAAAAGGGAGGAGGAGGAGGAAGAGGAGCGGCAGCAGGGTGAGGGGGAGAGTGCCTCTGAAACGTCAGAGAATGTTGGAGGTGTTGGGGGTAGAGGATCCTTACTGAGCCCAGTTCACTTCAACATGAAGGAAGATGAAGAAGTGGAGAGTGATGAGGAGGAGGAGGAGCAGGGAGGAGGAGGTGCTGAGGAGTTTATCCCCTCTCACAGACCTGCAGGTTAGTCTGATCTGCAGGAACATGTGAAAGCTGAAAGCATTTTAACTATAGAAGGTAAAAGATAGTCTGTTTTTCCCTCAGCTCTGCGTCGCTCTCTCTCCGAGGGTTCTTTAATGCAAGAACCTCGGTCGCCTCGCTTCCTGTCTGACAGCACCATCCATCGACTTACCCGCCCTGGGACCTTTGACCTCGACCTTGCCACAGGCCCCGCCCCTAGGCGTCCCTCCATCCACACTCTGAGGAAACAGCTGACTAAAGAGGGGGGGTCTCTGCACCACATGATGCTGCTTCTTAATGGCCCCAAGGTACTGACAAATACGGACTGGTAAAGAGCAGGTCAAAACGGACTCGAAGAGCGCAGAGCAGTGCAGACCAGACCAGACCAGACCAGACCAGCAGAGGGCAATATAGACCAGATAAGACCAGAACTGTAGGGGACAGTTAAGACTACCACACTAGACTAACAGAAAGCAGGACAGGAGGAACATCTAGTGTTGTTCAAAGCAGTTTAGAGTGAACCAACAGAGGCAAGATTAGACCCTACCTGACAAGTCAGTACAATACAGTTGCATACCATACTATTTGAGTTGATTTGATATGATACAAAACAATACAACTCAAGTCAATACAATATAATACAATACAGTGGGCTGATACAGTTCGAGAAAGCACAATGAAATACTATAGAATACAGGTCAATACAATACAAGTATCCACCTCAGGATATGAGTTCATATGAAACGATATGGGTTGATATGATACAATAGAATATGCTCCTAGTAAATTTAATGTGATGCAGTACGATACTCATTGACATGATATATTACAATAGGAGTAGTTACAAAACATTGAGGGTTGCTATGATAAAATACAAGATGATGAACATATGATATGATATCAGTTAATTCAAAACAAAACAATTGGATACAATAGGAGTACATATCTGATACAATTGGATGTGATAGGATGCCGTATGATAACATATTGTATCAACTCTTATTGTAGCATTTTGGCTCACATCTTATATCATATCATACTCTATTTATCATACTGTAATGAATGGCATCGACTTGCATTCATATATCTTACGTTGATAGACTTGTGTTGATTAAACTGAGTCGGCTTTTATCATATTGTATGGTATGATACATGCTGATATGAGTTGATTTGATGTGAGCTGATACGATACGGTATGATACCTTCAGACACCATGTCAGGCTTACAGGACATTATAAACCAGAAATAGCAGAAACCAGAAGAGGATGGCAGTGAGAAGTGGAAAACAAGTGATCTAAGGTCAGAGAGCACCAAAGATCAGACCAAAATAAAGAAATGTTGAACAGTAGAGATCAACTTGAATTTGTAGAGAAGTAATGATGAGAAAAGCGGTTAACACCTGATGGGACAAGGAGACCTTGACCAACAAGGAGCAGGACTGAGGGACAAACACAAGTAGAGATGTAAGACTGTAGATTACAGACCAGACAAACACTTCCTGATTGAGCTTTACATAATAGTGGAGTCATCGAGACCTGAGAAAAGCCTCATGATCATCTCGTTCTTTCAGGATGCAGAGCTCAGAAACCTTCAGCTGCGGAGGAAGACAAAGAATCTGTATGTACACACAAACATGCTCACTATCAAAACCATCTGTGTTTGTTAAATCATGCATGTTGGGTTGGTCGCATATCTGTTAACTGAAAAGCAGAAAGACTCAAGAATTAATTACAGGATTAACTCTTAATTATTTACCAAAAAGAGAGACAACCTCGGTCTTCTCCACAACTAAGACAACTTCACAGCACTTTGTTCATCACCAGTTTAATCCTGGTAACTAAACATTTTTGTGATAGACTGCTACAAGTGACCACATACTCTGACCGATCATTGTTGTCTTCTTAGAGCTGCTGATGTCCGCAACCGGCTGCCATTTTTACGACGACGGAAAAACAGTAGCTGTGTTCAGGGTAACAGTTTGGAGAAAGCCCTGAGGAACACAAGGTAGGGGCTCTCTTCCAGATGTTAGCCTGTAACTGCTGTAGCTCTAACCTGTGTCTCCTGGTTCAAGCCAGTTTTACCAACTCCTTATTGTTGTCTACTTGTTTTGTTTTCACTGGTTGGCATTGAAAAGACTCGTATTATACCCACTGTACCCAAAGAGTAGCTTTTCATGATTTGATGATCCCGAGTGTTCAAAATGGGTTTGTTATGTTTTACAGACCATCTACAAAGGAGGTTTTTCGATGGGCGGAGAGTCTAGAAGCTCTGCTGTCCAATCAGTGTAAGATACACCAATGATTATTGTGTTCAACCAATGATCAGTGACGGAAAAGTCAACACAATGTCAGTCCCTGCTCATTGGCTTAACAGTCTCTTTCCTCTCTTCTCATTGTTCAGATGGTCTGGCAGTCTTTCGCCATTTTTTGAGGTCAGAGTTTAGCGAGGAAAACCTAGACTTCTGGTTGGCTGTGGAGAAATTTAAAAGGACACGCCCACCCACAAAGATGGCGGTCAGAGCTGCTAAGATCTATGATGAGTTCATATCTACAAAAGCAGCAAGACAGGTACTGATTGCTTCTCTTTGTATGTATCTTCTCTCTCATTTGTCCCTTGGGTGGACTTTTAACATTTTCTTATTATCTTGCTTTTGTTTTTAGGTCAACGTGGATTCATCAGTCAGAGAATCGACCAATCAGAGCTTGCGCCTTGGAGTAGACCTTGATTGCTTCCAGCTGGCCCAGGATCAGATTTTTGGTCTAATGGAGACCGACAGCTACCCACGATTTCTTAGGTCGCACCTCTACGCCCAGCTGGCTAATCAAGGTGTACACACAACAACAGAACCAGCCAATCAGAGTGGAGCTGGGCCTGTAACTGTCAGCCAATCATGAACGAGGAGGAGTTACAGGCAGGATTTGGCTGATGAAAGACTGAAATGAAAACAATTTATCCAGTTGCATTATGGGAAATGTAGAATCAGGTCATATTAGTTGTTCAGACTTTGACTTTTGGGTTTCTCTCTTTTTTACGTTCACAACAAAAGCTATTTTTTCTTATAAGACACATTAAATCACACAATTGTTAAACGATTGGATCTAACTGGGTGGAACTTACTTGTCTTATTGTGAAACATAAACCACCACTCAGACATCAACTGTTTCCAACACAGAAACCCAAAAGCTGATGTCTGTCTTGAGAGGGATTGGTGGAAATACTTCAATCAACCACTTTAGTCTCAGAAGTTTAAATGTGTTCACATATTTTAACCAAAATATCCCAACAAGAGTCAAGACTGGTTCCAACATTCATCTTCCCTCAAAAATGAACTGATCTTGCTCATGATCTTGGGCTGTCATCAGGTCAACAGTTACTCTGGTTCATGACCAAATACCTGCTGGTGCATTAACCACTGCTGGACTTTGGGATTACAGCAACTAGCTAATGTTAGCATGCTAACACACTCAACTAAGTTGGTGACCTGACTAAATATTAAAAACAGCATTAGCGTTATTATTGTGAGTGCATTAGCATGTGGATGTCTGAAGTGCAGCCTGGCAGAGTTGTCTGGTTATTAATGAATAGATTAGAGAAATATAAAGCAGTTTAACTGCTTGTTTTAAGTCACATTTTAAATGTATGCATTAAAAAGAGAATAACAAACAGAAGACACAAAGATCTCTGATAATAAGGATTTGTTTTTGGTTTTCTTGTTTTTTTCTTTTTTTAGAGAACTAAAAAAGTGAACAATTTAACTGGAGTTACTGACATAACTGTGTTTTATTAGCAGAGTAGATCTTAAATGCTGTCTCTGTTATAATGAGTTATTAAAAAGTGAAAGGAAGATGTTCTGCTCACCTGTTACATAGAAAACATGAAGTGATGTGATCTCCAGGAAAAGAAAGTTTTACATTAAATGATGATGTCGGACTCTGTGCCCTGTCTTCTTTTCCTGTTGCCCCCACTGTCAACTCTTGATTATTTGAGTCTGTTCTACACTTGATCTGCACATTTACTCGCTGTCCAGGAGTATGTCCAGAGGGTTGACTGGCTCACGGCCCCTTTGAATTTTGATTGACTGCCCTTGGTGTCACTATTTGGGCTGTTTTGCAACAGGCTGGTAGTAGATTTTATGAATTCAAATTGCATCTTTGTTGCATATGAACACTCTCGGTAAGCTCATCGCAAAAGCCTGATTTTATTTCAGTTTAAATGTGTTTTGTGCAACCAAGCAAAGCCGTCTCGCTCAGCATTCGGGTATTTTACTGTTTGGGTAGAGGCATGTGCCATCATTTATTCCTAGATTAACTGGGCCCAATTAAGTGGTAAAAAATGCTTTGGCTTGGGTTTTATTTTGGAAACAGGGGAATCATGTTGCAAACCCAACCATTGAAAAAAATACAAAGAGGAGGAAAACAAAAAAAACATACTTTGTTTTTAGTTTTTTTTACTACACTTGTAATCCTACTTTTAAACACTGTTACCACACAGTGCATTATTTTCTTCTGTCTGGCAGAGCCAATAGTTTTCTTTGTGTTTAAATAAAGCACATTTTCTTTTGGGGGACTTATTTGGGACTCCATAATAACATGAACATTATTTCAAAAGTCTAACCCTAATCGGTTCATCAGAAATTGCAGGAACTCTGCACACTCTGTTAAAAATCTGTTTCTTGTGTTTGTGCAGAATTGTTGATGACTAAAAATCGTGATTTTAGGCAGTTATCCTCTGTTTTTGTCCTTCAAAAATAATGGTAAGAGGATTTACATGTATCCACAGTGTCATGTTCTTGTTCTAGAGTAAAAAAAAATAAGCAGACACGTAACACCTGTGTGACACTGACAGTTGTCGAAAAAGTAGCTGGAAAGGAGCTTTGGATAGAGAAGAACCTCCTAATTAAACAAGAGTAAAAATAGTTAAAAATTACCCGCAGAGGTTACATGTAGTAGAAAAGTTGTGTTGATGGTTGAAAAAAAGAAAAAGGAGATGAAAAGGACTGAAGATGTTTAATAATTTCTCAGATTGGAAACTTTTAGAGTTATAGGATACTTGTTATATAATTCCATATTTCACAGACAGAACCTCAGTCCATCAGAAGAAGATCCACCATCACTACTTTCTACCCAGCCAGGATGTGTTTAACAAACTCAGTGTAGTTGATGTGTCCGTTGGCGTCCTCCTGTCCCACCATGAGCCGGTCCACCTCATTCTCTGTCATCTTCTCCCCCAGCGTGGAGAGGACATGACGGAGCTCGGCACCCATCACCGTGCCATTGCCCTCCTTGTCGAACACCCTCAGACCCTCAACGAAGTCCTCGAAGGTGCCCTGCTCTTTAGATCGAGCCACATGCTGTAGCATTGGCAAGAAGCTGTCGAAGTCCAGCAGGTTGACATGCATCTCCTCGGCTTTGGGCCTCCCCAGCAGCTTCAGAACCTCATCATTGGTGGGGTTGTGTCCCAGTGCTCTCATGACGTCTCCACACTGAGCGAAGGTGATCTTCATCTCCCCTGTGGGTGTCTCGTCAAACAGAGTGAAGGCGTCTCTGAACTCCTCGATCTGATCCGGGCTGAACTCCACCACAATGCTTTTCAGGTCCACCTCAGGAGGTTTGGGTTCAGGCTCTGCAGGTTTGGCAGGAGCAGGAGCCTCCTCCTTCTTCGCCTCTGGCTTCTTCACCTCTGTCTTCTTGGGTTCTACTTTCTTTGGAGCCATGGTGCAAAGAGGACGGAGGGAGATGGAGGTGTTGGTGTTTTATAACAGCAAGAGGAGGGACGAGAGAGGCAGAGGGGAATGAAAAAGACAAAGGAGGGGAAGAGCACCGGACCAAAGATGGAAGAAAACTGGAATAGAAACACTCAGAGAACAGATAAGAGACTCCCAGAAGGAGGGGAACTAGACTGGACCAGAGTCAGTACAACTCCAGATGAGGCAGACCTGCAGGAACCACAGGAACCCAAAGGGGCAACTTTCATGCCTTGAAAGATCACTTAAAGGAACATGTTCTCCATTTAAGAATAAACCCCAAAACATTTAGTTGTGAAAGTTTAAAGCTCCTGTGTGAGTTTCTGTCTGTGTTGGTTTGGTGCCCTCTTCATGAAGAAAGAGTTTTAAACAATTGTTATCCCAAAATTTTTCATTTATATGTTAATTTATATGTTAATTTATATATAACAAAGAAATCTCAAAACTAGTGTATCCAGACTTTACACATGTTATTTGTGTGACCCAAGTATCAGACACATACAACTTTTTCTCAGTAAGGGCTCAAACCATAGATTCACATACCTCAGATTTCACTTTTGACAGTGTGGGTCAGTTCACAAAGAACCTGGCTGCATGTTTAATATGACAAAAGTGTGTGATAATCAACTTCAAACCTGACAACATGTTCAGACAACAATTTGAAAAAACTGTTTACTCAAAGTGTAAGACAATATATCACAGAGAGGATTACCAATCAGACAGACTTAACCTTAAAAAAAGAAGAATATTTTAAACTGAATGATGAGCTCAGATTTAAAAATGTCAAAGAATAACTAGAAGTTGTCCTTTATGGGAAACAGAATGCTGTCTGATTTCCTGGAAAGAACATCATGATTTCTGAGTTCATAAGATGGTGGACCGGTCTGTCAGTCAGGGTGTCTGTCTTCAGTCTATTTCGGTCTCTGTGTGTCTCCTGCTGTGCTGTCAGATAAGCTTTCATTAACATTCCTCACTGTGATAAGGACAGTGATTCTCCATGATGCTGTGTGTCCTTCACTCTTTAAATAACAGCACTGATAGAGAACAGAGCTGCATCAGGAGGATGAACTCTCACCACACCGTAACAATGAATTAAACTGTTATGAGTTTCATGACAGTGTGTGTGCGCTGTATGGATTCTCAGATTGATTTGTAAAACCATTTATTTGCTCTACTTGAACCATTTCAAGTTCACCTGGGTTACAAGTTATAAGCATGGTAACAGCCCAACCAGGCAGACCATGGGTGTTTAGACCTACCAGCCCTAAAAAAAACCCCGTCACTTCAGATTGTTTTGTCTTCTGTAGTGTGTCAAAACTTGAACTCTCTATCCTTCTTCACCTCCCTCAGGGTGGGACTGTTTTTACCTGTTCATTTTCCCACCTGCTTTTTCCTTTTCTTTTCCTGCTCTTGCTTCGAGGTAAAGCACCCCTCATTTGTGGCTATCATCCTAGATGCAGTCGTTGCTGGTTTGAGTCCCAGCCTCAACCATTTACCGCGTGTCTTCTACTGCTCACATTTCCTCTTTCTTCAGCTGTCCTATCTAATAAAGGTATAAATGTCTAAAATTGTGACTTAAAAAAAGAGACACTTGGCTGTTGTCCAAAACGTAATATTTAAGATGAATGTTAAAGACTTTGACATCAGATTGCTCAAATAGCACACAGCCAAATGACTTCATAATACTTGTGCATGTAGTGTGACAAGCACTTAGTTTAACTATGTAACACTAGTCACTACAAGTAGAACTTGTATTTTGTTGACTACTAGTAGAATATTTTGTTGACTTAAAGGAGACCATCTTGTGATCCTTGGTTGGGCATGACTGTGTATTCTGTCCTGTCAGAAGTCATTGTAAAATCTGACACAGTGACCATCTTAATAGACAAAGATCTTGTTGTCTAAACTCGGCACAAGAAAAGATCAACTTTCAACTGGTAACTTTCTCTAATATCAATAAATTCAGGAAACCAAGATGAAACAAGTTCAATCCATGTTATATTTTATTCATGCACTTGTTATCACATACAGCCTTTTCACATCACATTTTTTACCTATAAGATGACCAGTCTTGATACTTGTAACATCATGACTCTGTAATATTTGCCTTTTTTTTTATTGTTTTAAAACCCACAATCAGTCTGCCTCCTGACCTTGGCAAAAAGGGGTGACAAAAACACACACTGTGACATCAAATATCAAACATCACAGGGTTATCACTCTGAACAGCAACATACATGATCGTTATCCCGTAAGGACACTGTTTGCAGACACCCAAGGGTTCGCACTGTTCACTTCTGATTGGTTTACAAAGTTTTAAGGTAAAGCACATGTTATTTTCAGTTCATGTTTGAGGGGACAGCAGGGCCTGTCTTGTTGCATTCTGGGAGATCAGCAGAATCTGAAAGTAGAGAAAATGATCTGTCAATTTTACAGTCAATTATTCAGTTTGCACTTTTCTTCACATTATTCGTTTCCATTTCTTTTAAGTCTGTTTGGCAGAAAATTTAACCATTTAAGTAATCTGCACTGACCGATACTTGATGACTCCTTTTGAGGCAGTTTTTCTCTGATGACTGAACTCAGATCAGCAAATACCTGGTCCTCATCTCGGTCTGCATCCACCTGCATACACAAAAATGATATACTATGGAGGGAAATTCTCTCTCTGCAAGCTGGTGAAGCTTTGTTTGCAGGTAGGTTGCATCAGTGTCAGTGCATGTATGTCAAAAGTTTTAGTTAGAAATGTGAAATTTGTACCTGTTTCAGCAATTTTAGCTGTTTGTAGTATCTCCTGACAGAAACAATGTCCTTCTGAAATGTGTCCAAGCGTTTCCGAAAGGCGTGGCTACTGTCTCCTAAGAGACCAAGCTCAGAGGCACGCCGCTGCAGACGACCACGGAGTGTCTCATTGGAGCAAAGCAGGAGCATCACTAGGTCAGGAGAGCCAATCTGAGCAAAGAGAAGGTGGGGAAAACAGAGTCAACATTTATTAGTGATAATTTTTTTTTTTTTTTAATGTGCTATGTTGAACGCCATGTTAAATGTTACAATACCTGTTCCTGGAAACTGAGAGCCTGGTGAACATCCCGAGGGAACCCATCAACGATGAACCCCTTGACTTCCTGTTGACTGATCAGATTTCGCCTGAGCTCTGAGATTGTCTCCTCCTAGAAACATACAATGTTTATACAGAGTCACAGTCTGAGTAAAGGTGACCGCCGACAAGCCAGAGTAAATATTTTTTACCCTTACCTGGAGATCCAGCTCCCCATGACTCATCATCTGTGAAATAACCTCCCACTTCTTGCTTGGGGAAGCTTGGCTTAGTAGCTGCTTCCTGATGAGTTCAGCCAATGAGATGACTCTGAGATTGAAATCCTGAGCCAGTCGAGCTGCTTGACTTCCCTTTCCACTTCCTGGTCCACCTGATGGAACATATAATGTTTGGATATTTGACTTGTTGTGGGTCTGACTTGTTAACCATTCAGTGATATAGCTTAGGTTCAATTACCAGTGATAAAGATAATGACGGGACGGGGCCTCTTTGGAGGTTTGATGCTGACTTCCTGTTGGAGTCCAGAACTTTCTGTCATGTCAGAGTCTGAGTCTATGGAGAGCTGAGACCGTACTGGAGAAGGAGGAAGACCTGCAGGGGCACAATGGAGAGTCTAATCAATTAATTCAAGGTCTACGTAACCCTAAAGCTGTCACATAGACCTTCTCAAGGGCATAACTCTTGAAGATTAAACTCTAAAAGTAAAAAAGAAACATTTTGGAGTCAAGAATTACAAAACTACTTGAAAAACAAGCCCCAAAGACAGAGTCTTCAGAAGAGACTTTTTGTTAATGAGCTTTAATTAAGCTGCGACTGAACAACATTTCAGTAACAAATAAGTCCTTGGTCATTGAAATCCCAAAGCAGAGAAAGACTACTTGGGGATCAGTCTCTGAATCCCATTGCTTACCTCGTATATTGAATGATTCTGGTTCTTCCTTACTCTCAGCAAAGACCGGTGGTGAGGTCACTTCTGGTGTAGACTGAGCTTGGAGGAGGATTTGTGGATGTTCTTCGGATGCTATTTGTGAAGGTTTTAATAGAGTTTTATTATTAATGGGGGGAAGTTGGGGTGTCAGTGGTGGTAAGACTGCTATTTTGGGCTTGATGGGGGGAGTTATGGGCAGAGAGTATGGAGGTGGGGCTGCAGTGGTAGTTATTGGGGGAATTATCCAAGGTGTGAGTGTAGGAGTTATTGGCTGAGGTATTGGTGTTCGCGGCAAAGGGGATGAAATTTGGCATTTTACGGTTGCTGGTTTGAATATAAGTGCTGATGTTTGGACTAAAGGGGCTATTTTGGGAGGGGTTATAGGTGGTATAGATGCTGGTTTGGAGATTGTTGATAGTGTTGGGATTATCTGGGGATTTTTTTGTGGTATCAGTGGTGTTGCAGAGGGAAAAGGAGTTGTTCTAGGGGGCAAAAACATTGTCCTCGGAGGTGCAGATACAGTATCTAGTGGTACAGATGTCGTTATTAGGGGCAGAGATGCTGTCGTGGCGGCTTCACTTGTTGTCATAGTTGGTACACATGTTGTTCTAGGTGGTCCATGACTCAGCTGCTGCCCCTCCAGGTGGATAAAGGAGTTCCAAGTGATAGCCCCAGGACCTCCAAGCTGTGTGGTTATAATTAGGCAACTGTGCAGGAAGCTGATTGGGTCCTCAGGATGGTGATACAGAAGCCCTGTTAACAAACTCTGAGACATAGAGTCGAATGAATTCATTCAATCAAATCCTGTCCTTGCAACTAGATTGCAAATCAGTGTCCATCTGGTTAATAAGTTAAATGTGTTGACTGTTTTTTGTCATTGGCTTGCTGCAAAACAAATCTACCTGCAAGTAAAAACAAAGTAACCTGAGCTTGAACCCCGATAATGGACAAATTAGCTGCTTTCACAGTAGAACCAATGAACAGAAAAATAAAACCAACAATAATTCACATGTAAATGGAGAAGCACAAACCACATGTTGTACATTTCCTGTATTATGCGTACTTATTACCTTTTACTTTGAACTTTTTCTGCATGTCTCTGTCTGACTGACTCTATAATCTGGATAAAATATAGGTTTTCAGACGGTTTTATTAAACAGGTTGAACAGCTCATAATTTGATGATAAATCTCTTTTGCTCTCTCTCTCTCCCTTTAGTGGAGTATGGTAAGTCTCTGGGTCTCTCCTCTCACCCACTTCTGTGATCTTGAATGCTGCTACCTTGGAAACCAACTGCCCATCATGTCCGTATGCTAAAACAACACTCACAATTTACTGTTTAGCTCCAATCAGTGTAAAGTACATCCAGAGCGAGTGCCTCTATTTTGCTAAAGCCCCTGCACCTGTGGTCTTTTAAATCTCATGCTTGTTTTTTTGTACGGGCAGCTTTTGAAGTTTTAAATCTTAAATCATCATAGAAAAATCAAAAAATCCAAGGTTATAGTTTCTTCAATATCAAAGCCACCCTCATAATTGTCCTTATATTTATCGCTACATTAACAGCTACCTCGAGCGTTCCTGAACTTCAAGTCAAAGCAGTCACCCATCTGTTTCTAGTCTACTGTGAAAATAGGATCTTCCTTCACCTCCTAACAACAAAATGACAACCACTTGCGGGAAAATTTGTCTCACAAGTGTCCTAAATATATTTTTCAAAGAAGTGATTTTCTGAAAATATCAAAAGTTTTATTTCTGATATATTTGATATTACTTTGGATAACTAACTAACTAATAAATTTTGCTTTTAGCAAATATGCAGAAATGATGCAGAGAGAGTTTTGGTCAACAGCAGAAACTCTTAAAAAAGAACAAACAAGAAGCATTTTACTTAATCAAAAAATGTCTCACCTCCAGCAGCTGTGATATGTGATGGCGTGACAGGTAGTCCTTCACTTCTCTGCCGTTCAACATTTTTTCAGTTGTTTATGATCCCTTTAACTCTATCTATCTATCTATCTATCTATCTATCTATCTATCTATCTATCTATCTATCTATCTATCTATCTATCTATCTATCTATCTATCTATCTATCTATCTATCTATCTATCTATCTATCTATCTATTCTATCTATGCGTCTGCCCTTGACACACCTTTTTCTTACGACAGTATGTGAATGATTGACAGCGGCATCAGGTGGCGTGAGCTGTTGCCTTGGTAACATCTGTGTTTATTTAAATTGTTCTTGTGCTAACAGGGCTAATGAGCTGCCCAGACTAAGAGACAGGGCACAGACATGAATACAGACTAAATTACAGTTTTTCTCAGTCACGTTGGTGCATTTCTCTAATCAGAATTAAAAGTCTCATAACAGTTACTCTAACCTCGACGATATTTTGTCATTTGTGCACCTCATGGTGGCAGTTTTTAATACCCTTTAACAAATTGCAAATGCTTTTGGACATGCATCAGTTGCTTTCACACAATCATCTGCTGTTTTATAACATTATTATCAGCTTATGTCATGTCAGTCAAAATGAACTATACTTATGTTTGCTGAATAGCCATTCCCAATAAAACTAGTAGTCCTCATTTCAGTGCTTGGCTCATTACTTACAAAAATGTTGAATTAGTTGTCAAATTTTTTAGAGCAAATTTTTGAATTTTTAAATTTTCCTGAAAGTGTTTCCTAAAATAAACAGTTTGCCTCAACATTCACTGATGAGGAGGGCTGTGTGTAAAGCATTAGTTTCAACTAAAGATGGGCTACTTCTCTACAGTCACTTGGAGCTGAATCCCATGAACCCTCACTTGGCTGGCAATAGCATACAGTATATAAACCAAGTAGAACATAGTGTGTACCATTTCACAATACTGTGACATAGAATTGGAAGGTCAGCGTGATGGAAGAGGGGTGAGGGTGTAGGGAGGAAGGGGACAAAACAGGGAAGAGGAAGAAGAGGACAAGTACATAAGCTGATTCCTAATGAAATTAGGGCTACAATTGCGGACCATGTCGTCAGTCATGGCCTCATAATGGCTTTAAATATTGGGAGAAATTTTGGGAGAAATTCAATTATTCAAACATTTATTCTCACAGGTGTGTCTATTGGACAGTAATTCAGCACGAAACAATCTGCACTGCTCTACTGTCATTGTGTTATACATGAAGCTCACAGTGGGACAAGAACTTGTCACTTTACATTTTACATTTAGACTTACAGCTTCCAGCATCCATTTTGAGTAAGTGATGTTAGTGAGGTTACCAACTAGGTTTAGCAGTTTGTTTCAATTGTTTTGACAAATAGACTAACTGTTGTGCTTGTATTAATAGTGATGGGAGAAATGCACTAATGCAACTTATAAAAATTGTAAAGAGTGATCTGAAGATTATACAAGAGACTTGTGTAAAGATAACATTACAGACTGAGGATTGGACAAACTACAGCTAAAACAATAAAAGTATGGACCCGAGTGCAGCCAAAAACAACATACTGAACTTAATCAAAAACCTGTTTGCTGCTTTAAATCTTTTTTAAAAAATATAAATATGAATGTCTGACTAGGTGATGATGAGCCCTAGTTTGAACAGGCTTGCTGCAATGATGCAGAAGGTGGATGTACAGTGTACAGCTCAATATGGTAAAGATGAGATTTAGTCCAAACCAACTTGCAACTTTGGCTCTACTTAATATGTCTTCTCTATAACAATATCTAAGGATCCATCCCTCAATTTTCTCTCTCTTCCTTTATGAAATCGAGTAGGGTGAGATAGAGTGTACAGCTTTACCTAGCTCTAGCTCAGACAGTCTCCTTGCCTGGCTCTGTCTGAGACATAACTAAAGAGTGAACAACAAACTGAGGCAAAGATTGAGCCACAGACCAAACCACAGAGGGTTTTTCTCCTAAAATTGTTTTGAGTGTAAATCTGCAAATGTATAAATAAATGCACGTAGTTACAGTTCAAATAATGACTCCTTTTTTTCTGTTGTATAAATACTTTCATCTGTGCAAACTTTGTGTGACTTGTTAAAACTCCCCAGAACTCACACTACACAACTGCATGTTTTACTGAGGTTGTTTGTGTGTTTAAAGTGTGTGTGTGTGTGTGTGTGTGTGTGTGTGTGTGTGTGTGTGTGTGTGTGTGTGTGTGTGTGTGTGTGTGTGTGTGTGAGGCACACAGCGGCAGAGCAGCATTCTCTAGGTTCGACTGAATGGGTCTCAACAATACAGGAATGTGTGTGTGCATGTCTGTGTCTCTGTGTGTTGTCTGTGTGTCTTTTGGAGGCAGGATTTGGAAGCCTCTCTTTGGTTGTTATGGCAACCATGATGTAAGCCCAGAGGGGGAGTTTGCCCTCTCTCTCTCTTTCATTGTGTCAGTGTGTGTGTGTGTTTGTGTATGTATGCCTGTTATAGTGGATGTGTGTATGGAGCAGCCGATGGCCAGATTTCAAACTGTGGGACGGAGAAACCAGAGGAAGGAAAAGCAGAAGAAAATCAACAAGAAACAAGAAGTGGAGGGGAACTTTTGGATGTTGAGGTGAATTAACTCAGACACACACTTGATTCAGTTTAATTATCAGTTTATTTAAAGCGTTTATAAAAGAAATGGTTTACATGTTTTTTTTCATGAGTGAGTAATTGAGTAACTGTCAGTCACTCAATGAAACTTTTTAAAGACACACATGCTTTTGTGTAGAGCTGCTAGATTTTGTTCTTGAATTTGGACTCTCTGGGCTTCTGTTGGTGTGGCCACGCTCTGTGTGCAGTTCCCTGTGGCAAACTCTAGATGATGCTGAAAGTTCGTATTTTCCTGAACAAACCTTTAAAAGACGTGAACGCAGTGACACTGTTCATTAACGCAGTCATGTCTGTGTGTGTGTGTCAGTGAGTGTGTGGCTGTCTTTTGTGTTGTAAATGTGATTAGACTCTCTGTGGTTTTGTGTTGTTGTTGACCTACTTCTGCTGAGGCTGAATGAAAGCAGGCCAGAGCTGGTCTACTTTAAGGTGGACTGTTGGAAACTAGACTGCCCTGGAAAGCATTTTCTTTTTTTTAGAGTAGTTTTTAATTTGACTTTATTTACATCTCCAGGACACTGTAAAGACCACTGCCAGGACACGGTTTTATCTGGTCAAAAGGGAGGACAAGTAGTCGATATATCCCCTACATTTTGGATACAAACACTATTTGATGTTATTTCCTTTAGTTTGGCTCAGCAGGTGTTTAAGCAACTTATGCTACACTTGTTCAACAATAATTTTCAATTTTGCTTCCTATTGATAGACTATATTAACTCATTTAAGGTCGATATGATTTCTTCTGTATAAAATAGGGGTTTTAATCCCAAATAGTACATTCTCAGTTCAACATGTACTAGCTGTGCTCAGCTAAACAATTACAGTAGAACTGAAACACTGCAAAGGAGGATAATATGATAAAAACAGCTACAGAAACTTTAACGTGAGATTGTTTTGGTCAATAACAGTTGGGATTTAGGCTGTTTTCCATCCTTACATGTTAGGTATATTTGATTTTTTTACATCCTACCCAATTCAGGAATCAAGATATAAAAAAAGAACCACATGATTGGTGGCTAAATCCAAATGTCCACCCGGCACTGTGGGTGGGTGCCTCTGGGTCTGCAAATGCAGAGGGTTGTCTACATCAAGGGTTTATCCGGTAAGATACTTACTTCAAGCTGAATTTTTAAAGACTTCTAAAGCATCAGTTTTACTCAGCTTGTAGCACAATATTAATTTTAAAGGCACTATAAGAAATTTTAACTATTTGGGAAACAGGCTGAAACTGATATAGCAACTATAAAGCAAACAAACCTGTAAGCAAGGAGGCTGATTATTTCAATGTAGGAATCATTAATGCTTTAAACTGCTGTGAAGGTGGTTGTCAGACCAGATGATTTACAGGAAACTAAAAAGTTGTCAACTTTGACATTTTACATGGCAATTAGTTAAAGTAATATATTTTACCCCCAATTTTTTTTACAGGTACAAGAAGGAAGAAGGCTTTAACCATAGGGTGTTTTCATAAATGATTTATGTACTTATTTTCTCTATTTATGTTCCATTTTTGTGAATATAATGTAAATATGTTGGAGACTGACTGTTCATGGGTTCACATTATATTTATTAGTATTTTCTTTATTCTATTTTTGCTTTGGCTATTGTTAATGTTGTTTTAAATATTCTCATTGGTTTTGTTTGTTTGTTTGTTTTCAGTTTACTTTCTTGTGTAGCACGCACATATTTGACTATATATATACACTACAGGCCAAACGTTTGGAAGCAAGATCAGATTTGTACAAAAAAGATATATATATATATATATATATATATATATATATATAATTTGCAACACAATAAACATGACTATTGTGTAAAGAGTAACTTATCAGAAGACATTTTGACTATAATAATTAGGTATTTGAGTTATTGTTGCTTAGACTTTGCTTTCTTTAACGTAACCTCCTATATATATATATATATCTATATATGTATATATATATATACATATATATATATATATATATATATATATATATATATATATATATTTTTTTTTTTTTTTTTTTACCCAGAAAAAAAAAATTACCAGTATGACTTTCTTTGTGCACACATTGCTGTTTGACTGGGAGTGTTATATACATGTGGAAATGGGGCTGGGACACGATCATATGCAAAGGATCAGTATATTATCAGTTTACACCTGCAGACAGAGTGAAGTTTTCTTAATATTGTACTCTGGAACCTGTTTTTCATAAGTTTGCAATTTAAGCCACAAAAAGATGCTCAGAAGGACAGAAAAAAGCAACATTAGTTTACTGTTTACTGTAAGTCACTGTTTTTTATTGTATGCATTTCAGTGTAAACCTGCACTTGAATTCCCTTCTCAATTTCCAATTCCTCCCTCTTTCCTTTCAGGTTAAGCTCCTCCCACTGATGAAAACACAGCTCTTTGCCCCACTCACACCTCCACAGCTCCATCATGGCTGATAAAAAACTCTCAGGTGTACCTCCTCCCTCCATGCCTTCACCTTCTCATCAGAACGGGGGAATCCGTGGGACATCATCCAAAAGTTCCCCACATCCCCACCATAATGGCAGCCTGGAGGCTAAACCAGAATACCACAGTCCCAGCAATAGGGGGGCTCAGTCTACACCCAGTAGCAGGAGTCCAACCTCCAGCTCACCCCTCAGGACCCTTGTAGGTTTTATGACTTCTTCACCTAGTTCTAGTCCTAAAGGCAGCACCACAAGACCACGGGGTCAGAGTCTTGGCTCTGCTCTGAGCTCCAAGGCCAGATCTTCATCTTCCAAGAGCAAGGTAACTATAACCTGCTGTCACGGGCATTGAATATTGCATTATAGATGTTGCCAGGATGCATTAGTCATTTTAGTCTTTTTAATGAACTATCAAAAACTCCTCACAGGATCTGTAACTGACTGTAAAATGAAACATGCTTTATAACCCAGTGTTGATCTCTATGTTGTTGCTGTAGCGTAGGAGCAGCCAACAGGAAGAGCCTGAAGCTTTGTTGGACCTGATCTTGGAGTGCCAGGGTCAGAGGCTGGATGACCAGAGAGCCAGTGTTAGTTTACTGCCAGACCCAGGAGCAGCAGCCCTTTGTGGGGCCTGTAGCCCAGACCAGCCTTCACCACCCAGTCTGGACTTCTACTACATGCTCATACATTACCAGGTACCAACATGTCATAGTGTATACTTGTGGGTCACTGTATTGATGTTTGTCATGATGGTATTGCAAAAAAACAAATTGTTCTTGTTTCGATCTACAAGTAGCTACAACTGATATTTCTTAGTACTGTAAGAATTCTGCATTTCAAAACATCAGTTTTATTTTTTATTTTGACAAAACTATTGGAAAAGAAGAGGGTGCTAGAAAGGCTGGAAACATCCATGAACATTAGGGGCTTATTGATGCTACCCTTTACATAATGAAATAGATCTGTATGTTTTAAACAGTGTAATCACCTTAGCCTTCAAACTTCGATGCATCCTTCACCTTGGAATGGACATTAAGCAATACATTCACCAGGTGTCAAAAGTTTCTCCTCAAAAACATGCAAACTTAACAAAAATTGTCAAAACATTTTATTTCTGTTTCAGTTATCTCAAAAATTATCATTTTTGTGTTCGCTTACTTAACTTGAATGCAGGAGCACAGCATTCTGATTGCAAATAGTACCTACAATAAAGTAGGGAGTGAGTGTCAGTTGCGAAGGACTAGGCCCTAAAAATGGTCTCCTAGAGCCATTTGGCAGTAGAAAAAGTGCATTCTTGCAGTGCTAAATTATCTGAGCCATTAAAAAGACTTCCCATCACTTGTAGCATTTACAAATGAAGAGGAAGAAGGATCCAAGAGTTAAGGTTGCAGACAACTTGAGCAAGATTGTACAGTCTTCGTAGACCTAATCCATGAGTCTTTATAAAATAAAAAGGGTGTTGGGATACAATCTTTTGCTAAACTTGGATCGTAGGAACCCTTTCTGTTGCAGCAGGAAGGAAAGTAGAATGTCAGGGTTTCTAACAGGCTTTTAACGTTAACTTTCACTTTCATTAGTTTATTTTCCATGAAACTCCCGTTACTTGTCAAATTTGTAAAGCATTGACTCAATGTCGGTTTCTCCACTGTGGAAAGCATCCCCTACTCATCCAAATACTAAACAATAGTGTCTGTAACGTGTTTATCTCTGTCATTTCATCATTGTAATTGCCCATTAGAGTGAAGACTTCACAGACTTCAGGCTGTTGGCTGATACCGTTATGAAAAGCTGCTGCCCCCTCTGCTGGAGATGGTGGAGGGCAGCAGCGTCAACTTGATAGTTCAATGGCAACTTCCTCTTAAATTTCACAACCCTAGAGACATTCATGACATATCCATTCAGAAAGGCAAAAACTGAGCAGTAATCTCTGAGTCCATTAGATACTCCAGACTTTTTTTTTTTTGAAGCAGGGGTTTTGTTTCATGTCTGGTTTAAACTACTGGCTTCCATACCCAACATGGCTGCATGATTGTCAGTGGTTCTGTAGCAGTATCTGCAAGCTTGCAAAAAAGCTTCCAGATACTGACTGCAGAGTACAGACTAAGGGTTTCATTCATATCTGTCTGCATAACCTTCATAAACAATGAATATGCTTCGAGGAGTTTTCAGGGACTTGTTTGTCTCTGGATCTGCATGTCTCACCATCTCTCACTCTATAGTCTGACAGGATGGAGGACCAGAGATGCTCTCTTCCTGATCTAGAGGATGTGCTTGCTTCAGTCCCAGAAGGCCAGGATGATTTCTTCAGTTTAATCCAGAGAGTTCAGTCCAGGAGAATGGACGAACAGAGAGCCTCAATGTCTGTGGCCCACACTGAAGAGGACAAACACATCGACAAGGCTGGGTCCTTTCCCCACCATAATCACCACCCTCAGTGATGAACTTTAGAGTATTAAAGAGGCCCAAATGGACAGATTTTGACTGAGTACCAGGTCCTGCACAATGTCCCAGTTTATAACTGTAAATTGGTGTTAAGATCTTGTTTTTATGACAAACATTTGACTGTTTTGAGCTGTTGTTGTATCCCATACATCTGCAGGATTCAGACCCAAACCAGCATCTGCTGATGTGGAAACCTTGATCACACTTAAGCTCAAAAACAGACTTATAAAAGTAGAAACACCTTGAAGGCCTGATCTCATACCTGATCTGGTGGATTTCACAGTGTGATTTCCTGCTTGTTTTATTGTTTCTGACTCCTTTAGTGAAGGGTTCCCTCTGTATCTCTTTGGACTGGTAGTAGTCTAGTATGCCTGTGGATAGTAATGGATTTTAAATATTTTAATTATCATGCTTACTAATGTTTTATGTATGAGTAAGATATACTCACTGTATTTGCCACAATTTAAGCTCCTGTGAGGAGTTTTTGGGGGGTTATGAAACAGGTGCATCTATATGACCTACAAAGTAAACCAAACCATTAGTATTAAGACTGATCATCTCTGTTCAGCATTTTTCAAGGTACTGTCGGGGGTTTTCAAAAAGTCTCTCTCTTTTACTGATTCTTCTTTACCTTCTACAGGGTAAAACTAGACAAACAGCCACTAAATTGTATATTTCACGAGAGTCTTCATGTCTCTTTTCAAGAAATATGTTTTTTTATTGAGCTAATTTTATCTTGGTATAAAGCACTGTACTCACTGCTGATACTGGCTCAAAATTAACAAAGAGATGCATGTCTTTTGTAGTACATAGAGAAACTCTACAACCAGATAGGTAAGAGTAATAAATCAGTTTGATTGTTGTTCTGTGACAGTAAATAACTTTACATATCAACAAATCAATACATTACCTCATCACTTTGCATCCAGCAAAAAGTTCTTTCCAAAAAAAATAAAAAAACAAAACAAAAGCAAAACACACTGACCTGAAACGAGACAAAAAAGTGGGGATTTCCTGTATTCAAGGTTCAGTAACTAAAAGACCTTTTTCACAGTACGCAGAAGTTAGCATTCTGCTCACTTCCGGTGTTAGCGTGTGGTGGAGCCACTTAGCATCGCCCATAGACGGCCATTCATTTTTCACGATATTAACAAGTTGGCGACTCTTTTATTTTAAAGGTCATGTAAAATTGTATGCTTTGTGCTGTTTTACTAACTCCTGTTCTTCATAATACTGTCCAGATTTTGTACTTTACTTTTCGGGAATTAGGTTTAATAGGTCATTACTGAAGAGCAATGGTTACCATCTTCAGAAAATTTCCAGACCTTTTAAACATGTTGTGGGAAGGAACGGCAAGTGATTCACGCACCAGGATGGCCCAGCCAGGCTACCTGTATACGGATTTGAAGCCAAATAGCTCTCGGTATGTCTGGGATTTTTCTTCATTTCCTGAAACCAGCGCTGCGCAGTAGCAATGCGCGCATTCGTCCGCGCAGTCGCAGAGAGTCGCTGTGATGACGCTCGGCTCAAACAGCGTATCCCCCGGGAGAGCTACGCAATCCCTGAACGCCCATAGGCTGTATCAGGTGTCAATCATAGAAAACATGAAACCCCTAATAACTTTTAAAAACGGAGCTTCACAGAAAAAAAGAGGACTTGAGCACAAACCAGTCTTACAATAACTACATGTCAACATCACAAGCAGGGGGGAGAAAAAATAATGTTCTGTGTAATAAATTTCTAAAGTTGGTCCACAGCTCCATAAGCTTTGCAGGCGGAGGTGGGATTTATGACCTATACTGCAGCCCATCAACAGAGGGTGCTGCTCTCGGAGTGACTTCACCCAGCAAGGAGGCAGAATCTGTCCATTCTGTCCAGTCTATGGTTTATATCTATAGAGGTAACCACCCCATAGATATAATAAGAAAGGCGTTTATAAAAGCGTTTCCACAAATCACCCTTTTTTCCTTCTTCGCGCTTTGTGGTGTACTGCGCCTGCGCAGTCGTGAGCCCGGAAGTAAATAAGCAGGATAGATTCTGCTACCTCGAGGGTGTCGGTAAGTAGACACAAATGATGGAAGACACAAGTAGTGGAGTTTAAAACCGTTTGAACCCATCCAATCTCTGAATTCTCTCAAGTTTTTGTTCGAAACCAAGTCTGGACTCAGATCTTCGGCTGGTTTCTGGTTCGGTCATGCTGTATAGTTGCTATCTTTTTAGACTTGAGGTCAGAATCCGGTCTAAATGCTTAACCCAGGTACCAACGTCGATTCACGCGAGAGGACGGATAGTCTTTAAATATTAACAAACATTGTTTGGTCGACTTTACAGATAAAGTCCGGAACCAGATCCTTTCTTTGTATTCGACGTGACCACAATATATAACGTATTTTACAGGGTGTTTGGGTCATACACGTGGGTGTGAGTGTCACAGAGTGTGTGCACATGCGAGACTCTGAGCGCAGCAAAACCGACTAGCTCACGATGAAGAGCTAGTATGCAGCGTTTATAGATAAGATATAATAAGAAGAACTTTATGACTCTCCGAAGGGAATATTCAATTGTCTGTTGTCTTACATAATATGTCTCTAAAAGCCCCCTGGTCTTTGCTGCTTCCCCTGCTAGATTATTTTTTGCCTATCAGACTTGTCTTGTTGGTTTAAAGGCTCATTTCTGTGCACTTTACTCATACACAAAGTATTTTTGCTATCCATCTTTGTTCTTGTCTGTTGACTATTTTCAATGCAGATTAAAATGGTTTTTAAACAGTTTTGTTTTGTTTAATTTTAGTTTTTGTTCTTTCTTACAGCAACAACAACAAACAAGTTCAGTCCTACACCTTCTCCTTCTGCCATGAAAGCCCATGAGGAATCTCCCTCTCCACAGAAGAGAAAAAGATCACACAGTCAACAGGACAACCCCAAATCTGTTGACATGGAAACACCTTTGAAAAAAAAGAAGAAACATAGGCAAGAGAACGAGGATGCCATCCTTCTTTCTTCTCCTGCCACTGATGGAGATATGAGTATTAAGAAGAAGAAGAAGAAAAAGAAGAAGGAACCGCAGCAGGAGGAAGACCGCCAGGATGGAGAATCTGACCCAGTCATGTCCACTGAAACCATCATTAAGAAGAAGAAGAAGAAGAAGAGAAAACAGGAGGAGGAAGAGATGCATGTGGTTGAAGAAGACCAAGTGACGGAAAAGAGGAAGAAGAAGAACAAAAAAAAGAAAAAACAAAGTGAAGAGGAGAGTGATTTCAATGAAGTGATCATTGCAACAAAATCAACAGTTACAAAGATCAACCAACATGATAAGGACATCACAGAAACAAAATCCCTGTCTGAAAAAGGAACTCAAATGGATAGGCAGTTTAAGATGGAGGAAGATGAGAGTGAAGTTGAAATCATGTTAAAAGAAGGACAGACTGCTGAAAAGGAAAAAACAAAACGAAGAAAAACAGATTCAGGTGGTCGGTGAGTATGTACTATTTTTCATCCAGTAATTTCATGATGTTGTAGTTCCTCAGAGATAGTAGATCGTAGAGTCCTGTAGTTAGTCCTACTTCTAGTGCCTCATCAAGAAGTTTAAGAATAGATGTCCAGTAATCATTTCAGTGAGAGCAAGACCAAAATATATGTGTCATGTTTGTCAGTCAAAGCCAACGGTGATCTATATTGAAGAGTTTGGATTTGAGCGCTCTGAACTGTACCAAATTAAGGTTGGATCATGATGAGGTGTTACTTGTGTGTTCCATCTCCTCTTTGCAGCTAGTTAAGACAACTTCCCCTGAACCTGCTATTTGGCTCTTATCATCCTGTTAGGATAATGCTGAAGGACACGTCCACCCAGATTTCCCTCACTCAGATCTACAGTAACGCATTTACAGTGGCTTCTTGTCTTGACAGGTCTTACAGTTCCCTGTTGGCTGAGCTAGAGGAGTATATTCCCAACGTTGGGAAAAGATTGGAACCATGCATCAAAGAAATGATAAGATATGACCTGCCACGCTACCGGAAATTCAAAGAGGAAGGTATGAAAACGGCAGACTCTATGTTGTACTAAAAATTGTCGTGACGAGATCTTCAGAAATATATGACTGGTATCATTTATTTGAAGGCTCCAAAGCTTGGGTATAAAACTCCTCCGAATACTAAAGCAGATCAATGACAGGGAGAGGAAGGGTCAACAAGTTACTCTAATTTGAAACACTTAACATACCAATACTGAAAATACACTGTGTAATTTTCCTGCAGGTGTGTCTGTGCGATGGGGGAGGTTCTCTAATGAGGAAAACCAGCAACTCAGAAAGAACCTTGAAGACTTCCTGGCTTTAATAGGCATCAACATGGTTCCCAAAGTGCTTTTTCCACATAGGTACAAAAATGAAGAGATGGAAATCAGGAAGCTGAAAGCACAGCATTGCTTCATGGAAAAGTTGGGTTAGGAAACTTTCACTGTAATTATTATCATGGATGACCAAGAGCCAGGAGTATTAATTCTACTGTCTGCTTCTTAATGACCCTGTCTTTCTGTCTCTGAAGCTGTGGGGATCCCGCGGCCAAGTCGGCAGATTATTCAGAGAGCGAAGAGGATGTGTGACGAAGAGAACCATATGGGACAGTAAGTAGCCAAAGACAGCTTCAGTCTGATTCTGTTCTCAGAGAAGGATCCTCTGAATCATTACTGTGTAACTGCAAGGGTCTCTGTATCCTAATGGTGCTGATGCAGACCTGCTGGATCTCTACAGTATTCAATCAACACTCTATCTTTGCCTCTCAGCATAAGAAGTCTCTACAACTATGCAGTACAACCACTGAATCATCTGTTTTCAAAAACTTCTTATATATTTTCATGGTCTGGCTGGTATTCCCTTTGGTAAAAGTTACTGTGAGACTCTTTTACACAATGTCTTACATGTGGCATTGACTTATAGCTTGTAGACCTGCTCAGGTTTCATTATGATGACATTTGAAATTTAACAGGATAGAATAATGACTATAAAAAAATGATAGATCGAAAAGAAAATTTGTCAAGGTCAGACATGTCAGAGGGCTTTTTAACCGGTAACAGTTGCACCAAATAGACATAAAAACTTCTAAATAACCTCTGCTGTCTTTCCGTTTGCCAGAGAGGACTGGCTTAATTTAAACATCCTTATTATGTAAATCAGTGCATCCCAAACATTTACATTGTCTGTCCTCTTTCAGATTCTCAGAGGAGGAGCTGAAGACCCTGATTAAGTTACAGAAACGTCATGGAAACAACTGGAGAGCGATCTCTGAGAAGATGGGCCGAAGTTCGTTCGCTCTAGAGAAGCGCTTTGCCTGCCTTGGTAAGTTCAGCACTCACAACATGTTAACCTCAGACCCTTTGGTGTCTGCGAGGTCCTGTTAATAAAATTTGCTGTGCTGTGAATGAGAATCTGAACACACGGTTGACATATTAAGAATGAGACGCACTGATTATCATGTTAACACTTAATGTCGCTGGAGAACAGCTGACGAATGTGTTTGTATCCTGCATGTGCCTGTCCAGCTGAAAAACACGGTTCATGGAGTCAGAAAGAGGAGTCCAGGCTAAAGAAGGCTCTGAAGCCTCACCTGGAGGCTCTGATGCGGCAGAATCCTACAGGTTCTGGACTGAGCAGAAAACAGCTGTGTAACAACTTACCCTGGGTGGAGATCAGCCACATGGTCAAGACCAGAAACTGGATCCAGTGTCGACTCAAGTGGTCAGTATATGTGCCATGATACAGGTTATTCATAGGTGTGTGGGCTCACATACTTCATGCCACCCCAGCAGTGTCAGCGTCCAGCTTGGTGGACCCCACCCCACCTCTCAGCTTACGTTATTTTAGCTCAGAAACAGATGGATCCAGACGATTATGATCTTCTCTGACAGAGTTAGTGAAGCTGCATTAGTGAATAATACTCAAGATAAGATGAACTTGCTTGGTAGTACAGACCCCAGAAGTCTTTGTGTTCATAAATCCAGATCTCCATGTAATTTAGTGTTATCGTAACGGGTTCCTTTGTCATCTGGCTACTGGAGTGTTTAGTAGTTTCAGTATTTTGGGTATTCAGGCATCCAGTGGGTCAAAGTCCAGGTATTTAGATGTTTAGATCAACATGACATCCAGGGTTCAGATAAATGTTGTAACATTTTCTTTTTATTTCAGGTTTTGCCTGCTGAAGACAAAACTAGGGTCAGGAGCTGGCATCTTCAGCAGGAAAGTAGAAGGACGACAGGCTAAAATCCAACTTATTAACACGTAAGGTCACATACACACCCGCACACACAGCCTGGGTAAAAATATGTATGTAAACTTCCAAATGAGGCAATGATACGTTTGTAAAAAGGGAGCTGCTGATACTAGATGATTACTGCTTTAGCACTTTCTAAAGGTCCTTACACACAGGCGAATTTGCGGAGTGAAGCGAAAAAGCAAGACAAAAATGCGAAAATATTTGCCGGTCCGAAAAATCGCTTTTTTTTTAATTTTGCAAAGCGAAGTTCTACCCCCCAAAATTCCGCCAGTATTTAAGAATGTCCCTCGGGCAATTTAACGACCTCCTCCAGCAGCTGACCCCACGGCTGGAGAAGCAGACAACTAACCACAGAGAGCCAATTGGTCCAGAGGAGCGGCTAGCCACATGTCTGAGGTAAGATTAAAATAATAGGCAATATTCTATATGAATGAGACAAAGTCTCGTTTTCTTGAGAGCTCCGGGCCCCCAGCCTCGTTATAATGTAAATAAGCACATAATAGCTCATCTATAGCTCACTCCTCTCCGAGAGGAGCTGGATTGGTTTGGCTTAACGTGCTTGATAAATGAATATCATCAACAACATGACTTTTGATTGGCCAGAGGTCTATTAGTTCCAGATATTCGCCTGCGAATCTCCGAAAAATTCGACACAAGAGCGAAAAAAAAAAACGCTTTTCGCCCCACGGAAAAAATTGCCGCCGGTGTGGGAGCTTGCATTGACTTTATGCTGTTTTAAAAAAAGGCAAATAATTCGCCTGGCGAATTCGCGCCTGGTGTGTAAGGACCTGTACACAACTGCTTTAACACTTTTACAAAAACCAATGATGATAGTTTGTATGCATTATAGGTTGTTTAATATGGGTGTGGACGATATAGCGGACATCGACTGGGATGAGGTCGCCAACACTGTGGGGTGAGTTCGGATGCAATCTGGCAGACCTGAGACGAGCATGATTAAACAAGATATTTAAGAGTGTCAACATCTATCAAGACATTAAAGAAATAATTTACTTGTATTCTTGCTCAGTATTTTTCCTTTGGGCGAGGTTCAGTCCCTGTTACATGCATGGACCTCTGCAGAGTCAAGCATGGATAGAAAGGGAGTTTTTCATTTGTTTTAGGTGTGTGAGTTTAGTTGAACTCTTGGCGGATGAGGACCATGAATATCAGTGTATAATTAGTTCATTCCATATCCATTTTAGAATCCAAAATCAGAAAACGGATAACGACTTATTTCATTTCTCGTTTTCAAATCAAAAATCGGAAAACAAATAACGGCCTATTTTTCGCTGTTTTGATTTTGTTTTGAAATTGAAAATAGAATATGAGAGAATGGAATTATCATGGGATTTTTGTTCTATTCGTTTTTGGTTTGTATCATTTTCAATGTGTTGTGACCCGGGAGTTGTTGACTGTCGTTATCCGTTTTCCGATTTGGGATTCTAAAAGGGATATGGAATAAACGAATGATGCACTGATACATGAAGGATCTTGGAGGTGAAATGAGATAGTAATGCTGCAGAACACCAGAAGTGCCGCTCAAAAATTAAGAATGTCCAGAAATACTTCCTTTCCTTCCCATCATTTAATTGAAAAAGTAAAACTGTCACATATTGTAGAATTATCTTACAAGTGAACTATTTGAAGACCTCTTGCTGCAAGACACCTTTATTACCTCCGCCAAGGAGGTTATGTTTTTGGTAGCGTTGGTTTGTTTGTTTGTCTGTTAGCAACTTTACGAAGAAAGTTAAAGACGGATTGACCTGAAATTTTCACCTGAGGTGCGTCTTAGCCCCAGGAGGATCCCATTAAATTTTGGTGGTGATCCGGATCACCTTCTGGATCCAGGAATTTTTTTAAGGATTCTTTATCATTGTGAGATTGGGCAAATTTTGGAATTTTTGCATTTAACTCTATAAAAATGTCCAGAGTCTTTAGTAAAAAATTACACAAAAGGATCTCAATGAGTTTTATGAGGTGTCAAAGGTTGATCCTGATCCAGACAAAATTCTGGATACTGTGATCCAGAACACACAAAAATAAGGGTGTTGTTGGAATTTTCAATGCTGAAAGATAACCAATGGGCGGCACAGTGGTGTAGATGGGCGGCACAGTGGTGTAGATGGGTGGCACTGTCGCCTCACAGCAAGAAGGTCCTGGGTTCGAACCCGGGTCAGGGCATTTCTTTTTTTAGGAACATTATGAACAGTGAACATACCAGTTTAAACACAAATAAAAGTTCATAAAAGACACGTAACAGTAGAAGTTTTGGTGTGAATCACAATATAAGGGGGGACATGAGCTGCTTGGCGGAGGTCTGCGCTCTCTGAGTGCTTTTCTAGTTTTATGTGCAATGATAGTATCAGTTATATTTTTACCTCACTTCTGCTCTGTGTTGTTTTGTGTTTCAGTAAGGTGACTCCTATTTGTGTCCAGAAGACTTACCGTCGTCTAAAAGTTTCCAAAGTTCCCAACTGGAACAGTCTATCCTTTGGAGGTCAGTACTGGAGTACTTGATGGCGTCCCTTATGTCATTGGGCTGAAAATTAAATCTTTTTATCTCTAAAATAAACTATACTTAAATATTCGTATGGAGCCTATATCTTTAGAAAATTTGCAGAGCTGAAACGTGACTCAAACTCAAGTAAATACATTTGTAAAAATGTGACACATTTAAAGGGGTTTACAGAAAAAGTCAGAAATATCCTGCCTTTTGATCTTATGTTTAACACCTGCCTGTTTATCTAAATTTGACACCTGATCCAGTTGTGATATTAACTTAATACTTGTATTGATTTTAATATGAGATATTCTGTGTTCATACATCAACTTAACGCCTGGAAACTTGCCCAGACCTTTTCTTTCCACTGAAGTATAGATGCAGCAGGTAAAAGTCAAGACAATTCACAGAGAGAGTGCAGAAGTACATGATGATGTGAATCTTATGTGGAGAGTGATTAACCAGTGTGATCTCTGCACACGTAATGAAGCTGCTTTAAACTTTCTGTCTGACCTCACAATGACATGTTGCTTTGATTTAAAGACAAAGTATCAAACTCTGCCTTTCCCACAATTTTGAATATCTTTTAAATAGTACAACAGGGCTTCAGAAGTGCACTTTTTTAGGGCATGCCCAAAAACTTCATGTCTAGCCGTCTTAGACGCCCCCTTCCTCCATAGCAGAGAAATTGTTTCACATGAACACCAACTTTGCAAATTTTGGGGAGCAGGTTGTCTTGAAATTATCTGGAAATTTTCAGAAGTACATGTGAGGCAATGGCTTTAGGGAACATTTTATTGTACCAGCAGGAAAATTAGACCTTACAGCACTCTGATACAGCTGGATATCTCAGCAGTACGTTCATAAATCAGCAGCATGTGTCCCGCTTGATCAGATTTTATGCATGAAAATTGTAGAGAACAAGTGCAGCTACACACGTGCATGTTACAGCGCAGGTACTTAGGGCTTAATGGAAAGGGGGGACTGTAATGTTGTAATATGTCCCTGTGCTGTTATTCCTTATACTTGATCAACTTAAAGACCCAAACTAAATCTATCAAACGAGCCTCATCCTCGCGTTAACCTCACTCTCTTCCTGTTTGCTCAGAGATCATTGACTTCCTGCATTCGGTTGTCGTCCCCACTCTGAAGAAGGAACTTGATGAGACATTAGTAAGAGAAGAGGAGGAGGAGGAGGAGGAGGAGGAGCAGGAGCAGGAGCAGGAAGAGGAGGGGGTGGAGGAGGAGGAGGAGGAGGAGCAGCAGCATCAGGAGATTTACCAGCTGTCAGACATCTTCAACTCAGAGGACGAGTTTGAGGTGGACAACACAGTGAACTCAAGAGGGCGAAAAAAGTACAGATAAGTGGAGACATGGACTGAGGAGAAATTAAGAGATGGCCCCGTCCCCGTTTTGATTGGCCGACAGACTTTATTTTCAGACGTGGAACCAAACTGGAATAAGCTTTGATTTTGGACAGCTCGAGCAACAGATTATGCAAAAAAACTTGCCAATGATACCACATTTTTATGGTAATCTGCCTTATTGTCTTTCATCAGGCAAACAGTAAAACCTTTAGGATCAGTGATTTTATCCATCTAAACACTGCCAAGTGCTTATTAGTTTATTAAATTTTAGTCTTCAGCTTTACTTTGACTTTAAACTGATGAAAACAGGATCAGATTTTGACTTTCAGTTCAGTGTGAAGAAAAACATCAATTTATCAGAAAAATTTTGGTATAAATTGTGAAGAATATTATCAAATTGTTGTTCATTCACCTCAATGTACAAAATGTGTTTGGTTTTTTTATATCTACACAAAGATGTATTGATAGATGTTTCTGATGGTGAAACTGAACAAATGAGTTAAGAATTTTTTAAATAAAACAGTACTTTCATCTACAGTCATGAGTAGAAACAAGTACCCTTAGTCTCTTCATGACAACTTTCATATAGGTCTTGGTTTCCTTGATGTTTGATTTGGACCATCAAAAGGATTCAAACATAGGGAGCCCTTAATCTGTGTCAAACCTTGAGCGTTATAGAGGACAAACTTTTGAAATATGCAGGAATGAGCAAGCTGCTCTGGTTCTTTGATTTCTGTGCCAAAGTTTATAAGTAAAGCAGCGTTTTGTGCAGATATGGGGTATAGATAATTTGATTAAAGCTCCTATAAGTAGTTTTTTGTGTTCATGAAATGGGCTGAAATTCGAACTGATGCATTTTCATGATATTCAGAAGTAAACAGGACCATCAGGGACAAGATTATATTGTCATTTTTAATGCCTTAAACTGATGTGATTCAGTTAATCTGAAAAAGTCGAACATATTTCATATCTGACTGTTGACACTAGAGCGAAAACAGCAGTCTCCATCTCAGGCTGATTTTGAGAATGGAAAACTGATAACAGTAGGCATAGATGTAAGAGCAGCCTAAGGAGCTGCTGGATCCCAAATTTCTTTTGTAGAGAAAAGTACAACAACATCCTGCTCTGCAGTCCGTGCCCTGGCAGCAGAGCTGGTGGGAGCATCTCAAGGTTTCTGACTGCAACCTGTAACTTTAAACCTTTGAGAAAGTGATCATATTAGGGGCTGTTGGGATTCTCATTTGCATAACCCCCTGCTCACAATATATTAGTCTTTGTATAATACTTAAACACATTTACATATTATACTGTTGACTGACTTTTAATAACTTGTTGGTTTATTCTGCACTGAAATGGTTTTAGGTTTCCACAATGGCACCTGCTATCACACAGGCTTCTCATACAATCACAGCACAGGATTGTGGGAAATGTAGTCCATCCTGCAGTACCATTTGACAGTATTCTATTAACATAACTTTTAAGTTAAATAGCATTAACACACTATGATTTCAAATTTAGTCATGACTAGTGGGATGACACAGTTCATTCTGCTGTGCATTGTGGGTAATGTAGTTCATCTGCTAGCAATCGCCTGTAAAGTGCTGGTCCTCTTCATAATGTTTGGGACAAACAGAAGTCCTGATGCTCTCTCGATAGTTTCAATAGGAACCAGAAAGCGCTCCAGCGGAATTGCCTCATCCACAGGTTCATTTGGAAAAACGTAAGACCGAAGCTCCACGCCCCTGCCGTTAGCCTGCTCCAGGATCAGTATCTGTGGAGGAACAGAGCGAAGTGAATCCTCAGAAAATAGTGTTGCGAAAACAGCAGTAGCAGCTACAGAGAGATGGGTTTACCTTGAAGAAGTGTGTTGGCACAGCGACATGGTTATTTCCTATAACCTGATATCGAACATAAAGCTTCCCATCAGCCTCTGGCCTGAAACACACACACATGTTGTGGCATCATACTGTACCCACCCTCACAATATTTCAAGATCAAAGAAGAAGCTCAGGTGTTACCTGGGCAGGTACAGTGGTCCCGTGCAGACATAGACATTGAGGTAATTTTTTGTCAGAGAGCGGCATGTTTTCTCCAAATGGTTCCAGGCCTTCTGGTTCAGGTGAGGATTCTTAAAATGCACAACACAAATCATACAGAAAGCTTTACTCTGGTTCTAATGAGCGCTTTTTCAGTAAGAGATCTAAATAATACATGACACCTCTAGATGAAGCAGATAGCATTATATGATGAGCAGTTTTTGGTGCTGTTAGTAACTAAAATCCACTTAGATAAATTCCCTCCCACTGTGTCTACCTGTGGTGCTATGTTGCTCAGGTAGAAGGTATCTTCCATGGCTTTCTGATTCCATTTGTGATTGGCGGCAGCAGCCAGGTGACCTCTGTCAAAGCCACTCCCCTTGTAGTCAGCATTTGTGGCCCTGTGAAACACGTGGACACTGCAGGGAGAAAGAAGAGCAAGAAAACGTGACTACTTAATGAAACATCAACAGATAGAGGACATGACCAGTCCTCAACACTCAGTGATGCTTACTCTCCAAAGATTCACCTTTCATCCTCCTTGAACTCGCAGTGCTTTCTGTCCGAGGGGCCACTCACGGTAGCAGGGTTGAGTCTCTCTATAACCCACGAAGCAGTGCGTGTGCGGGGATCATATGAGGTCACGTAGGACTCTCTGGTCTTGATGTTTGCCAAGGAGGGGAAGCCATACTTCATGACTACTCCTGGCCCACCTGGACTCACCTGGACAACAGCACCCATATTCAGTCTCTTACAAAATAATACATAACATATTGTTTTTGTTTAAAGAAATTGTGGTCCTCTAATTTTCAAGGCTCTGAAGTTTTGAACTAAGCTTGGAGTGAGTTTTTTTTTTTTTTGTGGGGGGGTAAGGGTGAAGAGTGATTGAAAATAATGTGTTAGTTTAATAATCTAATAAATGTTAAGACTTAAAGATTAAAGTCATTACTTACGATAATTAAGTCATTATTTATCAGCATAAATTAGTAAAGTTACCTGTTGTGGAGGAGAGTTGTTAAAATAAGGGCTGTGGAGCATTTAGATGAATTGTACTTCAGTATAGGTTTCACAAACATGGAGATACTTAATCCTTTGGCACATGAGCATTACATTGTCATGAGTATCAGCACTTTAAAAAGAATATATGAGAAATGCTGCTTTTCCACAGAAAAAAACAGGTGGACTTTGAGGGAAATGTCTGTACAGAGGCTAAATCCGTCAATGCAGCTGTTAATAGCAATAGCATAGAGCTACAGTTTTATCATAAGAGTCTATATGCCATGAGGTGTTGAGGCCTCTGTAAGTGTGGGTTACTGACTTACTGTAATCATGTGGTCTTTTTCGTGCTTATGAAACCTGCTTCATTTTGGCGAGTGTTTGTCTTAAACATCTACCCGGATACAGCAATGCTACTTTTTGATTGGCTGTTTGGTAGATAAACTTTATTTGATTGGCTTCGGGGAACTCGCTTGATTCCTACCTGTTTAGTTGTTAAAGAGGTGCAACTTGGTGGACGTGCGTGAGAAATACGATGTGTGGCGTGTGGGAATGCGTGTCTCACACGCCACATGCGTGAGACTTGAGAGCCCTGAGTTTTATTGCACAGTGAAACACACCTCAGGGATACTCTGGTGCCAGTTTAAAGGATTTGGAGAGGCTTTAAGCTCTGTGTGGTCTACCTGACCTCTCGTGTCGCTGTTTGTCCATGAGCAAGTGAATGCGATGTTTATCTCGTGCACTAACACCTTCATGCATGTGTATGCACGCACATAGAGAAATATTGTAACAGCTCCATAACACTGTTCATTTCTTTCGGGTCTGTTTTCAAAACTTTTAAGAAATGACTTCATAAAAAATTTCGGGATATCATTGAATAGTTGTTTGAGTGGAGACACGCACACGCACTCACCGTTAACTCGGACGCCTGCACACTCGGTACCGGGAGGACCGGGATTCTGCTCAGCAAACTCTTTTCTTCCACCTCCTCCACTCCACCTCTGCCACCAAGCAGGCCGCTCACCGAAGCTCCGAGTCCTGCTCCGACCAACAAGGTCGCACCGGTCCGCCACCACCGCTTCATGCTGCTGCAGGGTCAACTGTTCACGACGCACGCCAATGACGTAACGGGACGCGACGAAAGTTGAGGTGTTTTAAAACAGTTTCCTTTAAGTTTTCTGTTTATTTCCAAGGGACTTTATGTGTCAATATGTAGTTTCTGACTGGAAAAGCCTTACTCTAGACTTGAACTGGAAAAGAATCAGGAGCCTTCCTTCTAAATGTCTGATTATAAACAAGATTAAAGAAGTTCCCTTTAAAATGATCCATAGAATTTATCCCTGCAAATTATTTTTCCATAGGTACAGAAAAGACATTGATGTGGACTGATCATTCTGCAAACAATGTGAAGAGGATCTTAATCATCTGTTCTGCTCCTGTCCTTTTTAATCTGTTTTCTGGCAAGATGTTTATTTCCCAAAATATCTTGTCTGGTGTGCCTCTTACATATGTTAATGTGCTGTTTCGATTCCACTCCTATCCTGTTAACAACAAAGATCATTACGATATCATCAACTTGCTTGTTCTACTTGCTAAATACCATATACACAAATCCAAATTCACGGATCACAATCCATCCATCCATTTTCTACCGCTTATTCCCGTCATTTTTAATTTTTGAGAAGGAACTCAAACAATACTTCACAACTATCCAATATTCGTCAAAGAGTTATGCATGCATTGTTTTCTATCAGAATACTGTGACCCCTGGCATTATATTGTTCTTTGTTTTGTGTTTTGATGTAATTCCTGACGTGTCAATAAAGACTGGGGGGGGGGGGGGGGGTTCAAAACAGTTTCCTTTAAGTACAGTAAACCGAAACAGAGTTTGATAATTTACATTCATAACGAAAAAAATTAAAAACTCGTACATTTAATATGTAGATGATTTAAACTGGGTTACATATTTAAATATGCATTTTTTTTTCCATCATTGCATGACTCAAGGCGGGGAGAAAATGTGCACTTGGCTTTTTTTTGTTTGTTTGATTTTGGGGTTGAGAAGAAGTTGTAGAAAAACAAAAATTGATACAGAAAAAAGATCTGTGTACGCTAACCTCTCCCTGAAAGAGCTCGATCTGAGAGCCTTTCCAACTTTTCATCATTTGTGCTTTTGCTAGATCATGTAACTTGTCTGATTTGCTCAACAGGGGGGTAGGCCTATTTAGCTCATTTTGTGGCTGAGTATTGTTCTTCTGATAGCTTTGTTGTAGCTTACATACTTTAGAGCTCATTTTCAGCTACTGTTTCTTGAAGCCCACTCTTCAGAACTCTGAAAGTCTCCTCCACTGTTGTCATGCTACAAAGTCTCTTCTCCACTTAAAATGACAAGTAATGAAGCATAAACTGTCAATGTCAATTGTTCAAAATCTCATCAGTCTTAAAAATACCATACTGCAATATTTTGACCACTATCCCTGGGCTTTATAATTCTTCTTCAGGAAACAGTAGATATCATTAATACTTTGTCTGTATTTCAGCTCCTACACTCCATACTGTGAACACCCCTGTGGACCTGTCAGACAAGTATCACCACTGATGTCTGGAGTTTAGATGGACTGTGAAAGAAACCTTTGAGGGCACTTTTTTTTTGCATGGGAAGCAGTCGTCAAGGTATTTTGAAATTAATGAAAAATTTAATTCACAGACTTTGATCCATAATGGATGCCTCAGTAGCACACACGATGGCACAATAGCAGACTTTCTTATCAGCCTCCAGTTTCCCTGTAAGACTAGCTAGATCACAGGAAAACACAAAAAGGTTCAATCCACAAAAAAAGTCGAACAGCTCTGTTTTACATCCTCTTTAATATTTATCAATGGGCATGGTTCACATGTAAATGGGTGTTGTCAGCATAAAATGGAGTACATCAGACTCAGGGTCAGCAAGTAGAAGTGTGAGGTCATAGCGGAGGAGGAGGAGTCAGCACTATCGAGGCAACCACCTTTCTTAAAACATACGTTCTTCTCACAGAGTGTACCTGGACACAGGACATGATTAGTTAGACTATTTATAACAATCTTCAGACACACGTTGTCATAAAACATTTATTGACCAATTTACTGCTTATGTCATAAAAAATAAGAATACACATTTTGGCAAGTGAAACTCCATTCATCCAGATGTTTGGTGGTTAATCCCCATGTGGTTAAACCTTGCACTCCGCCAAACTTCCATTGCCAAACTGCACATGCACCCTAAAGTACATCATCTTTGTTCACTACCAGTAGCCAGATTTATAATCTGATCTGCAATATCATAAGACACTCATGACCTGAGCTATGACATCATCAATGTGTGAGTTTACCTGTGAATTTGTCTGGACAAAGGCACTGCTGGAAGTCGACACAGGTTCCTCCGTTCTGACAAATCAAACGCTCGTCATCACACACGTTCTCTAAGGAAGGAAAGTGATTGGTCAGGCAGGGGTAGTCTAATTTGATACCACATCTAAGCAAGGACTAAATTTTCATCACACAAGACAAAGATAGTATTACCACAAAAGGCAAAAGAAGCACGTCGTATAGGAGAGTATTTTGAAATAATGAAAACAAATTGCTGAAGGTGACATTGAACAGGCTCAGTTTGTCAGAATTAAGTGTTTTAGCCAACATGCCATGGTTAATATTAAAGTAAGAATGCCCAATATACACCACTTGTTATTATGCCAATATTTTTAATTATTGTGATATCAAAATTTATCTGATAAAAACAGCCAAGTTAAGTTTTCAGATACTGACAACCCAACTCATCCCAACACATTATGTGTCAGTGTGCAATTTGCCATCACAAATAATTAATGACAATGTCCCAAAATTTACACTTGATGACCCACCTTTTTTATGATGATTATTTACAGATTCTGAGTGTCAAATGTTCAACTTAGTGGTCTTGAGAACTGGCAAGCGGCTGCAGAGTACATGCTTACCAGTGCAGCCAGTTCCATCTCCTCTCCAGGTAAATCCAGACTGACAGGAGTCACAGCGGCGGCTTGTGGCTCCTGGTTTGCACTGACAAAGACCAGAGTCAGCGCAATGAGCTGAAATACTGCCATCTGGATCACAGTCACACTCTGAGGACAAACAGAACACCATCACCATCTTCATCTTTCCCATAATCATCACAACCATAATCGTTCATTCTTAAAAGTGCTGGCATAGTACTGACCGACACAGACTTGCTCATCGTCTATCGTCACAGAGGTGTTTCTGTAGTAACCAAGGCGGCAGAACTGACAGTTCTGTCCTCGTGTGTTGTGTTTGCAGCTCACACAAGTGACCACGTTGATGAAGTCAATGTAGCTGCAGCGGTTTGAGTGACCATTACACTCACAGTCTGATGGAAACAGACACAGACAAAGTCAAACCTGAGCTGATGCCCCCCTCCTCCAAAAGTAATAAGTCAAGTTATTTGGAGCTCCTCCAGTCACAGGCTGGAGAATAGCTCTAAATAGGTAAAGCTCACCCATCCCATGGAAACAGATGGAACATGGGTCAAATTTTTAAAGGAAAACAATAATTAAAAAAAAACATTGAAATGTTCAAGTATGACCTCTGTTCTAATTTTCTTTCACATTTATCTTAGATGTCCAGTTTTCTTGTTTTTCCAAAAACAAGTGTTGAGCCATGATTGACCTCTGTTGACCCCTTGCCCTTCCACATACATGCATGAAAGGACAGGGGGTCTCAATGCCACAGTCAATACAAGGACAGCAGCAGCAAAGACCCCTGAGGTACAGAACAGAGCAGCTATCATTGACAATACATTTGACACTAGGGAATCAGAGACAGGATGAAAAGTAAGGGTTGGGTTGGAGGTTGGTTGCCGAACAGTTTGTTAGGGTAGAAGCAAGAGTGGGCAGGCTAAAGCAGTTTAAATAGAGAGCCTGTTTTGACGTTTGCCAGTTGGATGTGTACAAGGTAATCTGCTGAGCTGTCAGCTAATATGGGCTGATCTTGACTTTGTGGGCTTGCCTGAACTAACACGATACTCTATTTTGGTACAGTGAGTGTAGGCAAAGAGGCATCATCCATCTCTGTTTACAACCATTGTGAGTTATATACACATTTAATGGACAAAGCAACATCAAGACATAATGGAAATCGAACAGGTGAGATGAAGCGATGAAGATGGCAGCACAGATAGAAACAGATATATTATGGGGTTGAACAGTGCAATCAAGCTTGTCCATTTGCTTTTATGAGTCAAAGCATTAAATTACATTTTAACCCCAACAGTGATCAGCAAGAGAGGGTAACATTGGAGAGAGGCATCGGGAAGGGGAGCACCATCTACTGTCACAGACTAAACAGGGGCAATATAAAAATGTCTGAGTACACCTTCAGTTCCTCTGGGAGTAATGACTTCTACAGGGAAGGGATACATTTTGCATGGGTAAGGGTATTGTGTATAGGCAGGTCCAGTAAAGGTGAAGGAATCGTGTGGTCAGGGGCAGTCTTACCCTCAAAGGTGACGAAGGCAATTTTTGACAGTTGACTAAACTTTGGTCCTCCAGGAATCAGAATCTTCTGGGCTTTAGACACAAAACAAGACATGTAACCATTGCAAGAGTCAAGTCTAAACATTACTCTAGTTTCCAATCATAGGTCAGCGCTTAGCAACTCAGGACAAGTAGAGGACATAAGGTCATAGTGCCTCTGATGTATCTTCAATTCTCTATTCTGACTTTAGGGCAACTACTACAACCACTGTTTCTAACACCAACCAGTAGGTGGCAGTACAGTATTACAAAATTCATAGATATATACCTTTCTTCTTCTCGTAGTCTTTCTCCTCTTTCTCCTTCCTCTTTTTCCCTTTTTCTTCCTTTTTTGTTTCCTCTTTGACCTCAGTTACTGTGAGATTTGATAAAGAAAAAAAGTGCTTGAATTTATGCAACAACGGGAACCACAGTTTATTTGAAGAAGGTTTGAAATTTAGTCACTAGTGAACCTGCTTTTCAGTCTAGCCTTCAGTGACGTGACAGCTCTGATAAAACTTTATAATATACAGGTTTCTATAGCTGTCTGAAGGATTAAGCTACATGATCAAGACATGTATGGGCTTAATTAGCTCTGGTCTATTTTTTGTACATCCAGCCTGTGCTCATGTTAACAACACCCCATGTAGAGCATTAAGTCCAACAAATTCATCAAAGGATGCAAAGGGAAAAACAGGGATAAGGCACTACAAAGAACTGTAATGGTTCCTCACTATGTACCTTTGACCTCTTTTTGCTCTCCTGTCTTCTCTTCTTTAGAGTCTTTATTCTGATCTGAACCTCCTGTTGGTCCACTGGCAGCTGTATCCTCTTCAGATGGCTTCTTTTCCGTTAAAGCTGTTAAAGGATATTTTCCAGGATCATTCGCTACTTTGGAGGAATCAGTTTTCAAGTCTGTATCAGGTTTTGCACGATCAAGTGCTCCTGTTGTCTCTTGTGTGGAATCTTTCTTTTCTACTGGCTCTAATCCTCCTGTTAGTCCACTGGCTCCATCAGAATCTACTCCTTCTGCTGACGTAGAACCTGGACTTGCATTGTCTGGTGCAGGAGAGTCTGGTTCACCCTTTCCTGTCTGTTCTGTATCTTGCCCTGTTGAGAGGGAATCACCTCTGGAATCTGCTGAGTTTGGTTTAGGATCATCAATAGTTCCCCTGGAATCCTCTGAAGTGGTCCCAGGATCACTGACAGGCACTGCTCCGGAATCTGGTTTGAGTTCAGTTGTATTTGGGTCTCCGGGAGAGGGGAAGGAGAAGTCCACAGGGGCCAATTCACCAGGATTAAATTGATCCACAGCAGTGAAGCTTTTGTCAGGTGCTCCATTACCTCCCCCTACTTCAGAAGAAGGCATCAAGGGGTCCACAGGAGCATCAGGGGGAGATGCCTTAGGAGGGAGTCCGTCAGGAGAAGGTGCATCTATCAGAGTGTCTGGAGTCCTAGAGGAGGGCACTTCTGGAGAAACATCTGAGGGAGGTTTATCTGGAGGAGGTACATCCGGAGAAGGTACATCAGGAGAAGGTAAATCTGGAGGAGGTAAACCAGGAGATGGTTCACCTGAAGAAGGTACTTCAGGAAGAGGTACAGTTGGAAGAAGTTCACCTGAAGGAGGTACTTCAGGAGGAGGTACATCCGGAAGAGGTACATCTGAAGGAGGTACATCAGGAAGGGGTACATCTGGAGGAGGTACATCAGGAAGGGGTACATCTGGAGGAGGTACATCAGGAAGGGGTACATCTGGAGGAGGTAGATCAGGAGAAGGTACATCTGGAGGAGGTAGATCAGGAGATGGTACATCTGGAGGAGGTGTGTCAGGAGATGGTACATCTAGAGGAGGTACATTTGGAGGGGGTACATCAGGAGGGGGTATGTCAGGAGGAGGTACATTCGGAGTTGGTACTTGGGGAGACACATCAAGAGGTACATTAAAGGGAAATGAATCAGGAGATGGAATATCTGGTGAAGGTACATCAGAAGGTGGACTATCAGGAAGAGGTATATCTGGTAAAGGTGCATCAGGGGAGGTTACATCAGGAGGAGGTACATCTACAGGGGGTACATCAAGGGGAGGTCCATAAGGGGTTGCTTGATCTGGAGGAGGAACATCTGTAGGTAGCATTTCCTGTGGTACATTAAGGGAAGGAGCATCAGTCAGGGATACATCAGGAGAAGGTAAATCCAGAGGAGATATACTTGAGGATGGTAAATCTGGAAGAGGTACATCAGGAAGGGCTTTATTTGGGGAAGGTACTGTTGATTCCAGTGGTATGTCAGGAAGAGGTGCATCTGTAGGGGGCACATCAGGATAAGGAAGATCAGAACGAGGTGTAAGGGGAGTTGGTACTTGGGGTAAAACATCAGGAAGAGACACATCTGTAGGACTTGCATCTAAAGAAGGACCAGAAGGGGGTACATCAGGAGCTGGTACTTCAGGGGATATGTCAGGGAAGGTTACACCAAGGGGAGTTAAATCAGGGGAAGGTACGTCTGGGGAAGGTACATCCAGAGAAGGTATATCAGGAATTCCATCAGGAGATGGAACATTCATTGAAAAATCTGGAGGAACATCTGAAGAAGTTCTGTCAGCTCCTGCAGTGGGTGAAGGATCTGCAGCCTGATTGGTTGTGGCTGACCCAGTGGATGGAGTATCTCCAGATGGAGCCAAGTCACTGGCTGGGGTTATGGATGCAGTTGTTGGTGCCCCAGTTGATGATGTAGTACCTTCCACAGATTGGGTAGTACTGGTGATCAGGTTGGAAGTACCAGTTCCAGAGAGGGTGGAGTCTGTGCTGACTGGTGAGGAGATGGTATCATATGGTGCAGTCACTGGGTCAGAAATAGACACCTTTGAGTCAGTACTACGGCCTGTGATAGTGGGGCTGTAGGTGCTGGTGTAACTTGAAGGACTGGAGACGCTAATAGCGTTACTGGGAGTGATTGTGTCAGTTACTGTGGCAGCTGTTTTGTACAGCAAGTCTCCAGTGTCCAGAGATGGACTGCTTGGTAAAGTTGGGTCCACAGTGGGTATTGTTGTACTGCTTAAGTCTAGGAATGCATCTGAACTTGTAGTACTAACAGCATCACTGATAGTAGTAAAAGATGTAGTACCACTGTCAGTTATGGTAGCAGTAGGATCTACACCTGCTTTGGGAAAGTCCCCTGCATCAGTGGTGCTTACAAAGTAAGCTGTAGAACTAAAATATGTCATAGTGGTGCTGATAGTCGGAACATTGTTAGTGTACAATACAGTAGTAGTATCACCAGTAGTACTTGTTTCTGTGGCAGCTGTTATGTCCAAAGTAGAGGTGAAGTCAGTGATGGAAGAGGTACTTGCAACAGTAGAAACAGTGCTGAGTAAAGCAATACTGTCAGTAGGTATGGAACGGTCAGAAACAGACAAAGTGGTCATTGTCGTACTGATGGTAGAGGTGGTATCAGCAGCCACAGTAGAAGTCATAGTTGCAATAAAAGTAGATTCAGTAGGGGAGGTGTAGTCAGTTATTGTGGCAGCAGTAGTAACACTACTGCCAGTTGGGGCAGCATAATCAGTCATAGTCGAAGATATAGTTGCAATAGAAGCAGTGTCAGTAGGGGAAGGGTAGTCAGTTATTGTAGCAGTAGTCATGGTACTACTACTGGTTGGAGCAGCATAATCCATCATAGTCATAGATACAGTTGAAACAGAAGTAGCATCAGTAAAGGGAGTAAAACCAGTGGTTGTAGCAGATGTAGTCACAGTACTGTCAGTAGGGGTGGTATCATCAGTCATAATATTGTTTGTTGAAATATTGGCAGTTGTAGTATATTCATCTACTGTATTGGTAGAAGTTGAAATGTCACTACGGGTGGTGTCATCAGTTGTTGTAGTAGCAGGAGCAGTCGTGCTGGAGGAAGTGATAGTATCTTCAGTTATGGTAGTAGTATAGGTTAAAATACTGTCAGAAGGGGCACTGTCAGTCACAGTAGTATCTGTATAAGCAGTTAGAGTACCAATATTCAAGCCAGTATAGGTAGATGGCTCAGTAGGGGTAGTTGTAGTAAAACTATCTATGGTAGTAGTCGTAAAATCAGTGGTAGAAGTAGTAGTAGCAGTAGCAGTAGTGTTAGTCACTCCATCTGATGAGGCAGAGGGTCTATCAGATGGTGCTGTGTTAGAGTCATCGGCCTCTGTCAGAGAAGAAGAGTTACGTCCCTTTAGTGAATCTCAGCTCTCTGTCCTCTACCATAGACTATATAAAGAATGGACAACTTGACTCCACCTCCCCTCTTTGTAATAACTAAGCCAAAAAGCTCACAGTATTTCAGGGAATTTTCTCAATTTCCTGAAACCAGAATTTGTGCATTCGCATTTGGTGGAGAATGTTGTGATGACACTCTGCTCAAACAGTGTACCCCCCAGATGATCTACGCAATCTTCATATGCCCATTAATTGTACCCAAGTGTCAATCATAGAAAATATGATGTAATTTCCCATTTTTATAACCTCTAATACTTTAAAAGTGGAGCTGCTTAGAAAAAAAGAGGACTTGAGCACATAGCAGTCAAGCAATATCTACATGTCAACGTCACAACCAGGGGCAAATTTTTTTTTACAAGACTTGTATTAATGTTTAAAGTTTGTCCACAGCGCCATTCATTGTGCTGGAGAAAGTGGGGTATATGATCTATACTGCAACCAGACACCAGGGGGTGCTGTTCTTGCAGAGGCTTCACCCAGCGAGGAGGCTGATGATGTCCATTCTATATACAATCTATGTTCTCTACTGACTGACCAAACTCTCTGCAGAACAGCCATCTACTGTAACTCTGACGGTTACACAAACTTGACTGAGACGACTCACAGAAACATGCATTTCCATATTAAAATACAGGCAGTAGACTCAAAATAAATAAGTGTTTGAAGGTGACTGGACATGTGGCATCTTTTTAAAAATTGCCCAGAAAATGTAAGCTCATGAGTAAAAGAGGGCTTTGGTTATCCAATGAAACCAAAATTGTTGTACCTTGGCACCCCATATCTATTCTCAGAGGTGGGACTTGCAGGTTATAAGATACTTACATTTTTTGTAGGTAAAATATTTGTAGCTAATGGTGTCAAACTGTTGTAAATATGTTATTTTTTTCATGTCTGGGCCACCCCTGCATAAGCCAGTGCCCAGGTTTGGCCACCCCAGCTAAAAAAGTCTGGACACACCCCTGCTTCTATACCTTAAAAACATCTTAATTCTTCCTCCTAGAAGTGGTACATCAAAGAGGAAGAAAATAATCTAGTTGCAAGTAATTCTTTACCTGACATTCTTTTATTTGAGCAGTACCTGTTCGCTCAGTCATCCGTTCTTTTATGAACCGTGATACATTTTGGTGGGGATACAACCTTGTTCATGTCACATCAAACAAAAACATTACACCACCAGTTACACCAAAGAACCCTATTTATTTGGAATCTACTTCTGCCTTCTTTTGTGAAAAAACAAAGATAACCTGCCGAGCCAATCCGGAAGACAAAAGCCTGAGTTGTGGACACACTGAAAACTGTTCTGCAGAGATTTTTTATGGATTTAAGTGTTTCTGTAACAGTCACCAACTCGACATACCACTAAAACTAACATTGTCTGTTTCAGCACAAAGACATTTCAGGGTAAATTTAGGTGGACTTTCATATTATTGAGATTTAATATGAACCATCCTAAGGACTAGCTGAGTGGACTTGGTCACTGTTACACATTTGAGGTACAGTCTAGCTATAAGGTATCTCTATTTCTCTCATGTTTAATTTAATTTATGTTTGGTCACTGTTGCACCCTGTAGGATCCCTGTGCGTTAAGATATAAACATGTTCAGAGAACTTTTTGAATAGTTTGATGACATCTGAAGCAGAGAAACTGTGAGAGGGTGTGCTTGTATTAGGATGCTGTGTATGCAAATAAACTTTTTATCTTCCTGCTTTTCTGTGCTGTCGTGCTAAAAGATACCTAAGAAATAACAAAATATTCAAAATATTCAAAATATTCCCAATGGTTAACAATAGAGTGCTTTATGTGTCTATGTATGTGGCTGTGAGTGAGTGTGTTTGTGTGTGACAGTGTGTGCGACTGACAGGTTAAAGAACGCTAATACAGATTAAACACACCATCTGTCAGCGTTAACAACAGATTAACGTTCAGACTCTCCTCCCAGAATGCACCCTGAAATTTAATTTGTCCACCCGTGTGATCCAACATGTGACCAATCAGAATTAATGGGATTATGTTGTAAATTCACCAAGAGTGTTTATGTTTGGGAAAACTTACCGGGAACACACGTAAACTCGTGTGATACATTTATAATGTTTAAATCTTTCCTGATTTATCAAATACTGCTTTAGTGCTTAACATGACTGTAAGTTAACATGACTGCAAAGTTGTTTCCCATGATGCAACACTGACCGTTCTACTATGACTATTCTGTCAGGATGTGGAGACAGGAGTTGGAAGGAAATGACAGGAACAGGTGAACAGACGGACAGGTGAACAGGAGAGCTGACAGACAGGTGAGGAGACAGACATGAACAGACAAACTGACAGGCAGGCGAGGGGATGTACAGCTTAACATATAAAGAATACTTACTGGATGCTGATTCTGCTGCTTCACCTGAACAAAGAGAAAAAAACATGATCTTGAGTGGGGGTGACCTCTGGCTTTAAAACAGTATGAAACTAGTTCTAAATAAAGAAAAGACGTCATTTATCGACATTTAAAAAAAATTCTTGTCAAACAGCTTTACAAAAGTGTCACAGAGGCAGTTTAAGCAGCAGCTTGTTAAGGTGCATGCATGCCGTGCCACTTTATTTAGGTTCATCCCAGTGTCTGTAGTGAGTGAGCTTGCATGCGTGGGTTGGCAATGTGCTCAGGACCAGCATTGGCGGTGGATTTAGTAAAGTACAGATGTTGGCAGCATTGTTGGGACGAAAACTGCACGACTATTTCTGGTAAGTAGTTGTGTAAGTAGTTAATTTTCACATTTAATTACAGCAATGCTGCAACAGAAATTTTACAGACTTGTTACCTGTAACTTTACTGTAAATAGCAAACATGTACCATAGATAATATCTGACTGTTGAGTCTGCTGTCATAAAACAAGGAGCTAAATCGGAAGGAAAAATGGGAAACATCGATAGGAGTACTGCAGCAAAAAGAAGTAACACTGACATTACTTTTCCAAGCTACATTTACTTTTTTATCAGTAAACCTTTATATTTAAATTTTCCCAACAAGTCAGTGATTTGAATACTTTTATGATTAACTGTAGCTAATTATTAGTTTTTACTGACAATCCCAATACTGGTTTGCATTATAGACAAGTAAATGCACATGTTGGAAGTGTGTTTAGTTACAAACTGATGTGAGCAGGTTGTTGAGGTACCTAGGGTTGCTTGTAGTGCATTAAAAAACACACAGGTGCTGGCCGTGAGTGAATGTACCCAGATGTCAAGAGTGTTTTCAGTTGTCTGGTTCAAAGGTATGTACAGATGGTTGTCCAAAACAGATGTCAGTAGTATAGCAGTATTGTGTTCAGGTGCATGTTCAGATGTCAGTAGTATATTAGGTACATACAGATGTTGGCAGTGCCTGAGGGCAGAGGCAGATAAGAGGCTGGTTTCCAGCTTCGGGGGTTGAACCCCTGGCTGCAGCGCTGGCAATCCTGTCCACTTGTGTTGTGGTCGCATTCGCACATCAGCGTTGCATCACGTAATACACACTGAGATGCATGCAGGTTACACTTACACCTGTTGAAGAAACACAAATGCAAGAACAAAAAAAGAAAAAGACAACTTGCCACAACTCCTAGCTTGTCAAACTTGGCAGCTCTGTCAGGGGCCAAAGGTAGAGCATGCAGATCCTTTGCCAAGGTCTGCATGCTCTACACAAAATTCCTCTGTGCTATCTCTGAACATGTGTGGATGTTACCTGGCAGGTACATCGATGTTGGATATAGCGTAGAAGTACTTCAGCAGGTTATCTCGCTGGACATAGGTCCCTCCCAGTGCTGGGCGGAGGAGTCGCAGTCTGAGGTTAGTGAAGGTGAAGAAGTCTCTCAGACCCTTCATGGTCTCCATACGGGTGTATAAGGCATCCATGTTTATCAGCTTGGGGCCTGCGAACACCCCGAACCTAGCACGAACCTCGAATACCACCATCTTCTCCTCCTAAGGGGGAAACACAGGAACTTTTTATTAATCACATTTGAAGATTAGTATCATCTGGAAGATCTGTCTATCAGTTTCAAGTCCAGGAACCAACCTTTGCTCCCACCCAGCGAGAGTACTGCTCGGTGCAGATAACCCTGGTTAGGTTGCTTGGAGCTAACTCAGAGACTCGTTTGGGAGACATACCAAATGTCTCCAGACAGTCATCAGCATAGTACTGATAGGGCTGCCATGTTACACCTGAAAAACATCATATCAAACACCAGCAGTTATCCACATGTTGGTATCATTTGGTGTAAGACTTATGCACCCTCTGTAACTGCACCTTTGTCCAGAGATTTCTCCAGCACCATGCTGGTCGGTCGGCCATATTCAAAGGTAATCGTGATGTCATCAACAACCTCCAAGCTCTTGTTCCAGGACAGTGTGATGTTAGCCAACAGGGGCTCAGGAAACCGGGACCATGTGACTGTCTGCCAGTAGGTGATGAGCCCTCCTCTCTCCCTGTCTCCCATCAGCTGAGGAGGGTGAGACAGGTCAGGGCTGGAGGCATCACACTCGTCGCTGCACAGGTAAGGGTTTTCCTGGAAACAGTCGAACAGAAACAGTTCAATCAGGGTCACTGCTGAGAGACATTGGATTGTTGAAACGGTGAGCTTCAGTCCTTTCAATGTATATGCGCTATAGTATCAAAAGATTGAAACCTGTTACAAAATTATTGACAAGCAAAAATTCTTAAAAGGAGCAGACGAGGATGCCCCTTTTGGTCAGTTGTCTTACAAACACGTTCTCTGGTGGCAAAGTGAAGCATTTAAATATTTCTATATAGAGTGAACACTCACAGCAACAAAACAATTAGAGCCACAGTCTCTTAAAATTGGCTCTATCATGTATAGTGTTGACCTGGGCCAGTTTCTTGACAAAGCAGGCTGGCATCCCCTGTGGGCAGTAGTCTAATAGTCTAATAGTCTAACCACACTTGGAAAACAAGTCTCATTAATGGGCTCTGATGGGATCTCCATTAGCTTTTGAATGAATGAAAACCTCCAGTCTTGGGAAATGAAACCAATGCCAAGTGCTAAAAACTGCAGTTCCTTGAGTGTCCTCTTGAGGGGGGCTGCAGAGGCAGCTGAAATCACATACACTCCTATAAACAAAAACAAGATTTCATCTCCATGGCTCAGTTGTCTATCCAAACACACTTTACAAGGAGGATTTTTTGATATTCGAGATGAAGGCTGACAAGGGGGCACATTGTGGCGAGTACACTACAAACCCACCTCAGTTTTACCTCTTTGCCTCTTAGTAGGTGAACCAAAAGTTAGGTTGAGTCAGTATTTCCAACATGGCACCCAACCACTGTCAATAGGTCCTAGAACTCTGCCTGTTTCATATGCTTATGGAACCAAACTCAAGTGGACACTTAAGGAACTGCAGGCTTTTGCATTTCTTGGTTTATTTTTGAGTACTAGTTTGCAGCTAGCAATGAAATGACAGACCTTTAACAGTATCATATCCCAGCAAAGGTTTTTAGACATTGTACTCCTAACATTCCTCCTTTAAGTTTTTTTAAATCTTCTTTATCAATTGTAAAACAGCCTTTATCCTGTTTTGAATATATAAAAAAGTCTGTCATTTAAATGCATTCATCTACATTGATAAATCATAAAAATATTGAGTTGGCATCAGAAATTGCAGCATTAAAGTGGACCCATCCCCTGAGGTCAGAGATGCTCCAGATATGATATTTTACAACACTGTGGTCTGACAGTGTCCAGTATGGATTTTATCATTTATTTGCCATATTTAAGGTTATGTAGAAAAGAACATTTGTGGACTGTGACATATATTGAGCAGTATTTCATGATAAAACAACTGAAATATCATATTTAGAAACAGCAACACCAACCACGTTTTTCAACTTCATCCAGCAGTAAAGTTCACAGTGTGTGCACGTGTGTGTGTGTGTGTGTGTGTGTGTGTGTGTGTGTGTGTGTGTGTGTGTGTGTGTGTGTGTGTGTGTGTGTGTGTGTGTGTGTGTGTGTGTGTGTGCGATAGAGAGAGGGGATTAACGCTGATGGTAATCTGATCAGTATGTGTGTTAAAGACTTTAGCCGCAGCTGCCAACTGTCACACTGAAGATTCAGAGGACTTAAACCACCACTAACTAACCCTGAGTGACTCTTACTAATGGGATAAACCAGTATCTGTATGCTGAAGTCGGCATGTTGGTTAAAGAATCAGACGCTCTAAAGCTTTTTCAGAGGGGCATCAAATGGACTTCAGGATTCCTGATAGCGGCTCAGAGATGTGAGCCAAGACAACAAGTGGACTTTAGTGATCACAATGAAATTAGAGGTCTGTGCTGAAACCCCTGAAGCCATTTGGAGAGGAAACTTGGTGGCCACAAAATTTAATCTGCACATTGTAAATATTAATATGAATAAAAATAAAGTGAAACCACTGTCAGTCGTTCCAAAAGATGTGTCTGGGGAACCATATGCACATTCAACACTTTATTTCTACCCTCTCTTCTGCCCTTTTTATTGCAATAATTAAAATTCAAAAATGTTGAGCCAAAAAGAGCATTGAAAGTTAAGTTCGGGCGATTTCAAGCTGTCACTGACTCATTATCATGTTTTGTATAATCCCTATCTTGTGGGGCTCCTAAGTGATCAATAATTCACATTTCATTTTTGCTTCAATATCAATAATTCAGACATCACTTCCCAAAGGCACAATTAGACTGACAGCAGGACTATATGTGTGTTAAACCTGTGGGTCAGGACTCCCCAGGAGGTCACAAGATAACTATAAGGGGTCACAAAGTGACTGACAGATAATTACAGTATTGTCTTTAATATGAGTTAAAATTTGCTTTGTATCGTGTTGGTAACAATGGAGGTCAAACTGAACAGCTTTAGTCCTTACTGAGATGAGCTTGTGTAAACAGTGTTGCATTATGGGGTCATTTTGAGCCAGGTTGTTTTACATGTTGAAGCCCGTTGGAAGTTAAAGGTGCAGTGTGTAGTGTTTAGCAGCAATATAATGTTCATAAGTATGTTTAAACAAGAGTTTAAACATCTGTATATAAAAATCATTTAGGATTTTACTTTTCTTACACTAGGGCAGTTAGGGTTGTGTTTGCAAGAGGCTAACAATGTACGTCAAATGCTGAAAACACTGTCACTTGTACAGCTCAAAAAGCTGTTGGCTTTGCTTGTGCAATAGCGTAGTTTCCTCCCCTCTTTCAGGGTAGCCACCACCTGGCTCCGCCACTGGCAGAGTGATTGTTCAGCCTCAGGTCAACATATCTCTCTGTTTTAATATAACTCCACTTAGCATCTAGAACAGTTATCAAGATGCTTATATAATGCTGGTTTTCATCTCCATAAGACATCCAACAGCTTTTTAATCTAACCATAAGTGCATCCACACAACTTATGGTTATTTCTTTAATGCAACAGACCAATCCCAATCATGGACTTAAGTCTACCATCAGCACAGCAGAATAATTTACAAATGGATCAAAAATAATAATTAATTGTTAGATAAAAAGGTAAAAGAAGTAAAAATTTCAAATGAAGCATGAAGTCAAAACTGTCCTGCCTCAGTAAATACAGTTACACACTGTGTTTGTGTATAAGTTAATTTAAATCATATGTCTCTCCTTTAAAACTCCTCTGAGGGTTGTTTGATGCATATGGATGACACTGAAATTCATACTGATGCCTTGTTATGACAAACAATAGCAAACAAGACCATCAGTGACTAGACCGACAACTTTTTATTGTAATCCTTGACATCTAAAACTGTTGAGAGGGGGTAGATGAAGAAACAGCTGCTTTTATGATTGAAACCTGAAAAATTCACATAAAATTCCACATTTTATTATTAAAGTTATGAGGATGAGATATTTGAGACCACAAGTAGATTGGCTGTGTATTCAAGTATGTTCATCTTTTATTAATTTGCTGATCAGATGTAATGTGATCCACACTGTCCATTTTTAAAACTCGTCTTAAAACCCTTTTTTTTTCATTGGCTTTTAACCCTGCATGAAACTCGGCTCCTGTTTTAGTGTTTTATGGTTTGTTTTTAGTTATTTGTGTCTATGTTTTTTAATTAGTTTCTAAAAACATTGAAACTATATTTTACTTTTTAATTTTGCTTTTATTTTATCCATTGTTTTGACTGTTTTTTGATTGTCTTGATGTCTAGTTGTTTTGTCTATTTATGTACAGCACTTTGTTCAGTTGTGGTTGTTTTAAAGTGCTTAACAAATAAAGTTGAGTTGAGTGATGTTGTGTTTGACAGATTGAAACCTATTCCTTTAAAACTCTGAATTTTGAAGATATGAACTCTATACAAAAATTATGATTGGTGAGTAAGTTTACTCTCCCCATAAGGGCAACATTTTTACACCTAATTCAGTCTCCTCTATTACATTAGGTAAGCAAAAGAAGGATGAATATTCTCTGTATGAAAGACTGCTTTAAAAACAGCTGTCAGGGGGGAAAAAAAAGGATTTCTTTTAAAGTTCAGGCCTTTGACCATCGCAGGATTTAATCATTTATATTATTGAAAAGAAGAAATGTCAGATGAGCAAACTACTCCTGATATTTACAACCTGAGACCTGTGATCAGAGTTTGTTTTAGTATATAATAAATATAAAAATGATAGAAAGAAAGAAAAGTTTCAATGTGTGTGTGTGTGTGTGTGTGTGTGTGTGTGTGTGTGTGTGTGTGTGTTTCCAGGTGTGTGTTCTCACCAGTGTACAGAATCTCTCTGGTGGGTTTCCACAGGTGATGCCAGGGGGGTCGACTTTAATCTGCATCACCTCCTTCATGTTGGCAGGTGGCGGCTGACAGGCGTAAAACTCCCATCCTGGTCCTGCCTCTGAGACACGAAGAGATCTACACACATCAAACTGACCGCCAGTCTGACATCGTGCCAACGCTGGCAGCAAGAGCAAGATCCAGATAAGGCGGGTTAGGGAGTGAAACATGGTGGTCTGACACTCAGACAGACTGGATGTCTCTCGGGAGGTCACATTGCAAAGTCACCTCCCTCATGTTCAATCCAAAGGGTCAGTTCTCCTCAACAGTCTTCAGACAGATGGTTTTCATGGTTACCAGGTGACATCTAACACCTGAAGTCTTCTGCCAGTCCTGAAGATAGATCACACACGTCCAGTCTGAAATAGTATGACAGAAACATCAGCAAGGCACAACGCTTACAACCCTGAGACCTGGTCAAATCAGGTCTGAAAATACATGGGAATAGTTAAACCTGAGAACCTTGAGACTTGGGATTATGTAATAATAATAATAATGCATCAGGTTTTATAGTGCTTTTTGCTGTGACCTCAAAGCTCTTTACATTTGGATACATCATTCATTCGCTCACACAGTCACACTTTGGTGGTGATAAACTACCTTAGTAGTCGCAGCTGCCCTGGGGCAGACTGACGGAAACGTGTCTGCCAATTTTAAACCTACAGCCCCTCCGACCACCACCACACAACATGCACAATCATACACCAGTGGAGGACACACACTGGGAGCAAGGTGGGCTAAGTGTCTCGCCCAAGGACACAACGGACAGACTAGGGATGGAGGGGAAGACCTGTTGGCAGATGGACCTGAGGACAGTTTCACTCTAAAACAGGTAGACTTGAGGACAGTTAGATTTTATCCAAGATGGTTTACAAAGACTGAGGGAATTCTAATCCAGGACTCAGGTGAACTTGAGGGCAGTAAGATTTCATCAAAACTGGTTTAGATTGACCTGAGGGACATTTGCTCTTAGGACTGTTATTTTGTGATTTTGAGACACTTGGACCTTTAACCTCCAAGAAATTCTTGCGTCAATTCTACTCTTAGACTATCAGAGCCAAATACAGACAGCCCTGGAGACAGTTCTCTAAAAATACAGGCAGACCAGAGGAAAACAGGAGCTCATCCGACCTGGTTTTTATGGATTTAGTGTAGTTTTACCCCGGGATTGTAATACCAAGATAGACCTGATGGCAGTCAAACCTGAGAATAGTTAGATGTTTTGACCTGGATTAGAGAAACCTGAGGGTAATCCTAGGACTGTCAGACCTGGAGACAAACATGCCTGAGAGCAGGAAGACCTCAACCAACTTGGTGGAGATGAACTTGAGAGCAACTGGACCATAAAACTGCCAGACTTTCAGACAGGTATACCTGAGGGGAGTTATCCACCAGAATCAAACTCATAACCACCCATTCAACCTGTCCGAAAATTTGACCCCAGAAGCAAAAAGATGAGGCCAATTTTAACCTCAACAGAAGTCAACTTGGAGATGGTTCAAGTGCATCCAATAGTGTTTGGAGAGACCTGAATATGATATCCGATATATGATATATACGCCCCTTTATTCTCATTTTAAAGAACTCCAGATAGACTCCTAGACAGTAAAACCTCGTCCAGCCTCATCCAGATAAACCTTACCGAGGCTATACCTAGGTTTTGTGATCAGTTTGATAAAAGGTGAGTTCTTCCCTGTATGGGTGCATTGTAAATCGGAGCTGTAGCTCAGCGTGAACTACAGGAACATCAAAATATAACACAAAGCTCGAGAGCAGCCTCAGAGTTAAACCAGGGTCAGACGGATGTCTCTGATCCATAAATACAAACTATCATATCAAAGTGTGTAAAGTTGTGTGTGAACAGGCCCATGTTACCTCCAGAGAAATAATGTTGATATGAAAACGACTCCTGTTACTGTTCCCTTACCTTTGTCCCATCTGTGTGTCTACCTATACATCCTCTTGTCTCCGTGCATGTCTGTCTGGCTGTCCCTCCGCCCTGTCTATGTGGTTGTGTATGAACATCAACACAGATGATTAAACTGAGACTCAGAGACTCGGCCTGTTTCTCTTCTTTATTAAAACAAAGTTTGTGTGCCAGGAACAGGAACTCTGTGCCCTCTTTATTAGGGGAAGTCTGTGCAGCATTGTTGTGCTAAAATATCTGTTTTTACAAGGTGCATTAGATTCATGCTGAAGAAATTTCTCTGTTACTTGTAATTCTGAACATCTGTCCATCTTCACAACTGTCCCTGTCCATACCTGTCAGAATTTACACCAGTCTGATCTCCCAACCTGTCTCTAAAACTGCAAAGCTGCATGCATGTAATCATGTTTCTCACCACATACAATATATCTAAATCCCCTCTTCTACACCTGCTTGTCTCTCGTATTCTCCATCTCTGCACCTGTCTGTCTCTAATTCTTTCTTTTTTCACCTGTCTGTTTCTAAAATTGTTCTTTTCCATACCTGTCTCCCTAAGAAATGTCCCAATAAAATCTGTTGGCGCCCTATTGTCCTTTACACAATCGTCTGAGTCTAAATTGTCCTTTTCCACATCTGTATGTCTCCAGGATTGTCCTTTCTTACACCCGTCTGTCTTCGGAGCTGTTCTTTTTCACATCTATTTGTCCTGAGTTGCCTCTACATGTGTCTTTTCCCATGTATCCATCTCTTGAAAAGTCCTGTTTCATTCCAGCTTTACACCTAGCTGGCTCTAGATTGATCAATTTCCAAATCTTGTCCGTCTCTTTTTTGTGATCATTCACACCTTCTTCTGTCTTTTCTGTCCTTTTTCAAGAAATTTCCTGTCCAGCATCTGTCTGTTTTTAAAACTGTCTTTTTTTTTTGAGTCTTCTGTTTCCCCTGCCATCAATGTAGAATTCTCCTTTTCCACATATGTCTGCCTTTATAATCATCTTTTTCAACCCAGTCTGTCTCTTGAACTACCCTTTAACACAACTTGCTGTCTTTTGAATTCACCCTCATTACCAAGCCTCTCTCTAAAATTGTCATTTTCCATTACGGTCTGTCCCATGACTTTTCCTTTTCATCAGTTCTCCATCTCTTCAAATATACTTTCAAACACCTTTCTCTACACTTGATCTTTTCCATCCATGCCTTTCTCAAGAATTGTCCCCTTTCCCTTAACTTTCTACACTTGTCCTGGACTCATATGTGTGTTTCTCACCTGTCTTTTTCCTACACCTGTGTCACTCTGCATATTTCCTTTGCATGCATGTCTAGACTCTCTCTATTCAGACAGGTAAAACAACAATAAAACATAAACATATATACTTTTGTGTCAACTTTACTTCGACATCAAGAATCAACTTTTCTTACATCATTTTTTTTAACTTTCTGCCTGCAGAACTGAGTAGCAGAAACAACTTAAGGAAACACACTGTTCGGTTTATTTTATACTAAGGGAGAGATTGTCTGTACAACCATCTGTCTCTATAAAACCAGGGTAAACAATAAAAATCTGTTTGCTTTAACTTTACTTAGAAATGAAACTTTATACCACAGAGGAACTGATTCACAGCCACATGTCTGCTTTTAACTGTCTGTCTACATGGTTGTCTTTCCCTACACAACTTACCCTTTAAATAGAACCTCAGAACATGAACGACTGTTATCTACATCCACCTGACCGAACCTGTCTTTCTCCACACCTGTCTCTGAGAACGGTGGACTTAACCTTTAAATCACAGTTCAGAATACACAGAGGACTCTGACCAGTCAAACATTTCTTTCCTTGAGTCCGTCTGTATGCACACCCGTCTCCCCTTTTCTCACCCTACCTGTCTGCATCTCAGTCGATGAATGTGCGAGTGTGTCACTCACCTGTTCATTCAGATGTCAGTCTGTCCATCTGAAGTCTGTGTCTCAATAATGTGATCAAACACACACCAAAACGCTGAAAATCTGCATCATGCAAATTTGATCAACTTTTCTTCTTCTTCTCTTTCCTCCACATACTCTTCCTCAGTCTTTTTCAGTACTTTTCCACTTCTTTTGTCCTCCTCTGTTTCTCTTTTCTGTGCTCTTCTTTATCTTTTATAATCTCCTTCTGCCTCCTGCTCTTTCACTCCCCCCCCTCCTCCTCTCTCAACCTGAAGATAAACCTCTCAGGGCTCAGCGGACTGTCCCTCTCTCTCTCTCTCTCTCTCTCTCTCTCTCTCTTTCTACCTCTCTCTCTAACCCTACCTCTTTCTCGCTCCTCTCTCACTCTACCTCTCTCTCTTATCTAAAACTCCACTGCACCTCTACCTCTCTCTGCCTCCATTTTTCCACAGTTTTATATTGAGAGTAATTGGACAAAACAGGCAATGTAGAAAATGAGTTAATTTCACTTCTGCAGCCTGTTTTGATAGGAATTGAATTAAACAGTGATTAAACAAAAACCTTCAAAATCATTAAACAAAGAGAATTTGAAGCTTTCAATTTGTTTTACTGCATTTGATATGTGAGGTTTGTTAAAAGTTAATATTTTGTAGCTTTAAAGGAAAAAGTTTAGTCAGTACAAGCAAAGTTGGGAATTGGATTAAAATATTAATGCATGTTTTAAATGCATGTCTATCTCCAACATGTCTGTCCTCTGGCTGGGCAAGTTCAGCTCAAGACAATGAAAATCATTTTTTTCCAGAATGGCAGATTGTTCTGAAAGGCCTAGAACCTATTTTGGACCCACATAATCTAAAGAAATTCTCGAAACCTACAGGCTGGGTTTGCAAAGCATCCACCAGTTCCTCTGTTTCTTTTGACACAATCAGTTTATTAAAAAATAAAAAAAATATATTGCAATAGTCTGGCTGAAACTAGTCTTTTTAACAAGCATGAGGTACAATGAGAAGCATGGAGGAGGAAGATCAGGGAGGTCATGGTGGTGTGATGGACATCAGAGGTATGGAAGTGGTGGGCTTTAAGGATAGGCAGTCATGAAGCAGCTGGAGGACGGGGGTGATGCAAATACCAATTTAAAAAAAATATGACCTAGAAAAAGGAAGTAGACAATGAACAAGACGAGACCCAGGAAAGATCCCTAGGGAGCACTTGTGGCTTCTCAGAAGGGCTCTGATCTATTGGGAGTTTTTGAAAGTTATATGTCTGGGTAGTTTTGCTTTTTTAGATGGGACAGCTGAAGAGAAACAATTAATGTAGGAAGCAGGGAGTGGGAAAGATGCAGCAAAGGGTCATAGCCAAAAAATGAACCAGTGACCCCTACAAGGAGGACTATAATCTGTAAAAGTGGGGTATTAAACAAATTTTACATTTTAAGACCTGACAGAATATTGTATGACAGATATGTTTGTTCCTATGTTCTATTATATTTTAAAGTCAAATATAAACACTCACATCTGCAGTATAATTAATGTTGGTAGATTTGTGTAGTTAAACACCATCCGTAAAAACTCAGGCTGGGACCATAGACTGTATGAAAAATGGATGTTGTCTGTCTCCTTGCTGGGTGAAGCCACTCCGAGAACAGCACCCTCTGTTGATGGGCTGCAGTATAGATCATAAATCCCGCCTCCGCCAGCAAAGCTTGTGGAGCTGTGGACAAACTTTAGAAATGTATTACACAAAATATAATTTTTTCTCCCCCCTGCTTGCAATGTTGAGACTGGTTTGTGCTCAAGTCCTCTTTTTTCTGTACGGCTCCATTTTTAAAAGTTATTAGGGGGTTCATGTTTTCTATGATTGACACCTGATACAGCCTATTGGCATTCAGGGATTGCGTAGCTCTCCCGAAGGATACGCTGTTTGAGTCGAGCGTCATCACAGTGAATCTCTGCGACTGCTCGCCCGAATGTGCGCATCGCTACTGCGCAGCACTGGTTTCAGGAAATGAAGAAAAATCCCAGAAATACCGAGAGCTTTTTGGCTTCAAATCTGTAAACAGGCGGGAGGCAGAACCAATTTGTCCATAGTATATACAGTCTATGGCTGGGAAGATGTGTTTTTCTCACGATTCGATTACTCTACATTCTTCTTCTTTCTGGATGCCAATTCCATTTAAATTGCAATTCTTCGATATTGTTGATTTTCTCGATATTCAGTCTGCATTTTTAACACCAGTGAAACAGTTGAATGGTGATTGTCTACTGACTAAAACAGGAACCATATTTCCCCCCAAAATACACATCACATGTAAGTCAGTTTTTAAGATTTATTCATGGATTTGAAAAAAATTGAATTTTGAACATAAAGATCGATTTAAAAATTGTAAAACAAAGAATCGCGATACTTATGTGAGTCGATTTTTTTCTTCCACACCTAAACACCCAGCGGATGACGTCATCTCTTAGCGCCAGCAGCTGCTTCAGAGAAAGGGAAGATGGCGGACGGGGTAAACGTTGGAGTGAATCTGGACGCTTTTTCTCACGCCATCAGCGGCATTCAGGCGCTGCGCTCCAGCGTGAGCAGAGTGTTCGAGTTCCTAAAGGATGGCATGAAGAACCGGGAGACTCTTGAAGGCCGAGAAAAGCAGTTTATAGCCGAGTTCCATGACAACCTCCAGGCTGTAAACAGAGACCTGAAGTGAGTGCTCCTCCACAGACACACTAAAAAGAATCAGACCTCTAAACCCAGTCTGCTTCTTCTAGACTGTGTGAATAGACATGCATCTGACCTTATCTGTGCCCCCTGTCTGTCTGTCTTTCTGTATGTCAGTGAGCTGGAGCGGCTTAGTGGTCTGGTCGGTCGCCCTTCAGAGTCGCTCCCTCTCCATAACAGCGGCCTCCTCAGCCTGGATCCAGTGCAGGACAAAACCCCTTTATACTCACAGCTGCTGCAAGCCTACAAGTGGTCCAACAAGGTAAACAGAAGCTTATATTCTGTCAGGCGAACATACTAACATACAAACAGAAATTAGGGACTTTATTGCGTTAAAACAGAGTCCTCCTCTCCAATCCAGTTCAGAGGTTTGAAGAAGCCCCTCTGTGCTCAAACACTCATCTTCCCTCTTTGGTCTGAAGTGATCTTACGCTGATGAACCAGCTGAGCCTCTTTCATCAGCACACCATCAACAGATGACTTTATTTCGTTTCATCAAAGTAGATGAAATGAAAAATGTACACCGCTTGAATCTTACATATGGTGGTTACTATGACAACAACCCCCCCCCCCCATCAGGACCCACTTACTTACCTCTCACTTAACACACATGGCTGATCCACAACACACACATGACCTCACACAGGCAGAAGAAGAAGAAGATGGTTGAAATGATAATAGACATGATAGGTCTGAGTATGATGTGTTTTTTTGTGTGTTTCTGTGTGTAGTTGCAGTACCATGCAGGTTTGGCCTCCAGTTTGTTGAATCAACAGTCACTTAAACGATCGGCCAATCAGATGGGGGCCTCAGCCAAGAGACGACCCAAAGTCCAACCCAGTACTTTGGTACTTCCCCCTCAGTGAGTACATCAATATTGAATGTTACTGGGAGACTGCAGAAAAATGTACCTAGAAGAGCATCTTACAGATCATTAGATGAATTTGCAACAGCTTAGTAACATAACTGAGGCTGAGTCTCTCAGAGTTAAAGCTGGGAAGAGGGTCGACACTTTGTGAGAGACTGTGTGAGCAGGCAGTTCAACTATTTGATTGTAATTCTCAAAAAATGCAATTTTATCATTTACAATGCAAATTGTCATGAAAAGATTTAGAAGACCTGAAAATGGCATAAAATGAAAAACACAAAAATATCCTGTGAAACAGTCAGTCAGTCACCTGTCTAGACTCCAGCCCAATAAAGAAGGACTGAAGCAAAGTGGAAGCCTCTTCCAGAAACCACCTGATTTGCCCAGCTTGGCACCTACTTATAAAATAAAAAATACAACAAAGGGAACAATTTAGAAGAATTCAGTTTTGATGTTTGATGTGTTCTGTTGATGCTTAACTTTATTAACTATCATCATACCTTATACTGCAGTAAATAAACCATATATATGACTAAGGTACAGCTGTAGTACTTACTGATACATGACATGTAATATTTTGTCTGTGACAGGTATGTGGATGATGTCATCTCTCGGATCGGTAGGATGTTTCCAGATATGACCATCGAGCTCTTTAGACCCAATGGGACATCTGCTGTCTTGCTGGTAATGAAACACACACTCATAACACTGCACAGGTGTGTACAGACCAGATTACAGGTGTAGTTAAATCAGGTAGAAGTTCAGACCAAACAGCAAGTTCCTGGCAACAGGCAGTTTAACAGGATGTATACAGACCAGTTCACAGGTTTACTCAGAAAAAGTAACATATTTGTACACCAGATACCAGGTGTATTCAGAGCAGCTACTCAATGTGTCTGTCTCACCTGTCCCCCACTCAGGTGACCCTCGGGAAGGTGTTGAAAGCAATCGTGGTGATGCGCTCACTGTTTATCGACAGAACCGTGGTCCGAGGGTACAACGAGAATGTTTATAATGAGGATGGAAAGGTGAGAGGTCAAACATACCAGACAGATAACTTTTGATACCTGTCTGTTTGTCTCCATGGTAACCTGTTGGTCCATCTTCCTCCTTAGCTGGACATCTGGACGAAGTCTCAGTACCAGGTGTTTCAAAAGGTAAGACCCAGTGATGTTACCTGGACTCTTAGATGCTCTTAAATAGCTGGATCTTCAGTGATCTTATTGCTTGTTATGTTGCTAGGTAACGGACCATGCCACTACAGCTTTACTACACTACCAGCTGCCACAGATGCCAGATGTTGTGGTACGATCTTTTATGGTGAGGCTCCGATAGACATGTTTGTGTTATCTGTCCTTAATCTGTCTGTCTCTCCGCAAACCTGGTTATAGGTCCAAACTAAATACTAACCAGTGTATCTTACTGTCTGTCTCTCTGCAGACCTGGTTATAGGTCCAGACTAAACGCTAACCTGTGTATCTTACTGTCTGTCTCTCTGCAGACCTGGTTGCGGAGCTACATTAAACTCTTCCAGTCGTCCTGTCAGCGTTGTGGTCATTTTTTGCAAGATGGACTTCCTCCAACATGGAGGGATTTTAGGACCCTGGAGGCGTTTCATGACACTTGCCGTATGTAAAAAAACAAACAAACAAACTTTGTTTCTTAGTTTATATATGTTCAGTTTTTGTTATTCTGTTTGTATTTTTGTACAGAAGTTAAATAAATTGGATTTAATTTTCTTACAGTTTTTTTGGTTTTTATTCATGATGTAAGGAAAATGACAAAAATTGCTCTTTAAGATACTTATTAACACAGTGAAGCATTAAAGATATATATTTTATCTAAAATGTAAGCCAAAGGTGATAAAAATTTTGTTTTTATAATTAAAAAAAGTTACGTAAGGGGGGAATCGAAAAAATATTATCAAATAAGTGTTTTGTTCTCCAAATGGCAGCTGAACTTTAAGTAAAACATAATAACAGAGCCCAGTATTTCATGACTTAAATATTAAATTATCTCTTGGTCAGTTAATGAAGAAGATACCGTCAGCGGTCATAATGAAGTCAGTTACCTGCAGCTCAGAGACCCTCCAATAATAACCATTAACCTTCATCAATTATTGATCTGCAGCTGCCCTCAGAGAGATCACACACATTCTTCTATACAGTCAGACTATTAAACATCCTTCAGTTAAAATAAACAACCACAAATTAACTGAATATTATAACAGATCTTGAACAGCTAGTACACCAGCAAAATTTTAACGTTATTTTCTTGATAAACATCCTAAAAAATTATTTTACCTGCACAGCATCAAGTCAGTCACCTCACAAATCAACACATAAAACCGCGAATATTTCAAAGCAACTCTTGGAAGTAAGATAATTTCCCTTCATGACACAAGTGTGACAAAGCAGAGTGTGTATGAACTGTCAGCTGGGTGGTATTTAATAAAAAGGACAATAAAGGACTGACATTTCGTCTGCTTATCATTTGGGGTAGAAGTTCATCACACCTTTAAACTCTCAGATATATGATGCGACTCTTCAGACATTTTCTGCTGATATTTAATGTCAGTTTCTCTCAGGAGTCATCAGACCAGGAAAGATCCCAGACCCGATTCTCACATAAGCAGTTTCTCTAAATCTTATTAAATTAAATAATTCCTCCTGTCTTCTTTAACATTTGTAGTACTTATTTTATTATATTTTTAATAGACCCTCAGGTACTTTGACTATGAGAAATTTAGACCTTCAGGTTTTTACTCTTAAGCCTTCACTTTGATCATCAAAATTTTTGACTTTTCAACTCTAAGAATCCAAATTTTTAAATTCTAGATTATCAGACTTCATTTTAATAAAAACCTTGAATGCTCTGATTTCTCATCCTTCAAATGTTTGACGCTGGATTCTTAAATCCCTGGTTTTAAACCCCCTTACCCTAAAATATCAGACCCTCAGCTAAACCTCTCAGATTTTCAGACCATAAGATATGATACCTTGAAACGTTTATTTTCAACCCCAAGTCTTCAAATTCTTGGTTCCTTAAACTCTCAGATTACAAAGGATTAATAGCCCTTAAATTTTTAGGACAATCCGAACTCTGAGACCAGAAGAGTCTCAACTGAAGTATAAAATCCCGATTCGTCACCACCACACCTGCTTTAGACTTGTGAACTTCTTTGAAGTTCGTGTGAGGAGTTTTTTGAGGTTTACAAAAAAGACTGAAAGTCATTTTGATATCTTTTTGTAACATATATATTAAAAAAAGGACCATCAGCAAGCTGATGATTTTTATGCTGTAATTTTTAATGCCTCAACCCGATGTGAGGGGGTAGGTGTCCGCCCCATGGCATCTCCTTTGGACAAATTGGTAAGTAGTATTTCCTGCAAGATCTAATCTTTGAAGATCCTGCTACCTTTTGTAACACCAAAGCTAAGGTCAGACTACATGTTTTAATCAAAGAATGATACTATGGAACTATGACAAAAGGAAACGTTTTTCGAGCTATGGCAACAACATCCCTGCCTCTGTGCTGGGCAGTGGCGATTGCTGTAAGACTGCAAGGCAAGCTCAACTTCCCTTAAAATGTCACCCCCCCAAAAAAAGAAAAAGTGGTGAAATACGTACTGCTGTGTGTACATTTCATTAACTAAACACGCGCTAGAAAGCCTTCATCTTTTGTTCAGAATCAGCTTCTTATCACAGTGTGATAAGAAGCTGATTCTGCACAACTTCGTTCTCATTCATCCTCGCAGCGCCTCAGCGCTTTAAACAGCCGGACGCTCGGCTTCTGCTGACTTCAATGTGGAAGCTCAAAGTGAGTTGTTCCAGCAGCGAAACTAGACGCTCATTGGATAAATGCTGGGCTTTGTCCCGCCCATCGGACGCTCAGCTTCTCTGGAGTTCTATGGCGAGAGGGCGGTCCCGACTTTCTCCCGGACTCCGAGCTTCTGCATCCATGATTGGATGAGCTGTCTGAGGCGAAATCCTTTTTGATTGACAGCTAAACAAGCGAATCAGCGATCTTGAAGAGTACAACATCTACCAGAGCATTTTCCAAGTTATTCATTCCGTTGTTCTTAACTGCTCCAGAGACTTTACCGATCCTCAGCGACTTTTGTCTTTGTTAAAAACGACTGCCGTTGTGTTTGGCAACTCTGTTCTGTTACATACAAATAAACAAACACAATTATATGATGTCGGCCAGAAAAATGAGCTTCCCCTCCTTGAGCAGCCGCCACTGATGCTGGGTCATCGAGGGACTACAACATCCGACTGAGAAAAGGGGTGAGAAACAGCAGATGCTCCTCAGCAACCCTGTGAGTAAGTGCTGTGAGCATTTCAGAGTGTTGTCCAACCCAGCTCCTCCTCTATTCAATGTCGTCACACCAGGTATGATGATTCGTCAGGTACCATAGTGTAATCTTCAACAGACTACACTTTGGTACCTGGCTAGTGTATCATACACTACCTGATTGTAGTGCATGATGGACTGCTTAATACGGACATTATTATGGACATTAACTAGTGCCATATTTGCAGATGGCACCAGTTTATTTTCTTCTGAATAAAATTTGCAGTAGCCTTCAGAGGAGGTTATGACAGACATGACTACAGTGAGTACTCTCTATTTTATAAATAAATGTGATTTATTTACTTTTATCTATAAGCATATTCAAAATGAGTCAATAAGTCATCTGTGACATGACCAGGATGCTGTAAGAAAGCTTGGCTCCGGCCCAGGTGTCCTCAGGTGACTACTCACTCACCATAATTGGATGACGTCATCTCTTACAGGAAACACATCAATGAAGACTGTGAGACACTTGAACAGCTGCTGCCCATCATCCACAGAAGCCCTGTGAACATGGTCACAGTGATGGAGAAAACAGTGGCTCTCTTGGAGACTGTCCAGAGAGGAGTCCCAGCCAAAGACCTGGATACACAGGTACAACCACGAAATAGACCAAATCTGACAATCAAGCAGGCTACAACACCATGAAATAGACCCAGTCTGACAAGCAAAAACACCACTTTATCATGAAAAAAACCCAGCCCATTGAGGCAACCCTCTGAAATAGCCCAGACCATCTTACAGGTAGAACACCAAGAAAGAGACCTTACTTAGGAACAAAGTCATTAAACAGGTATAGCCCAACACAGATGTTAAAGATCTGCAAGTGTCTGAAATCAAACCTCATCCTACTGGGTACCATGGCAACATACTTGGGTGCCATGGCAACAAACTTGTCCAGAGAATCTTTTGTTTATGACAACACTGTAATAGTTAAAGTTCTTAAAGTCGATTATGATTTTAATCTGAATCCAGAAAACTCACACAGTCTGTGATCTTCAGTATTGACCACTGATAATTCATTTACTGGGTGTTTTTAATTCAGTATTTGATGTTCAACAAAACAAATGAATTTTGTCTTGACAAACATGTTATTCTCATGAAACGCAGACGTGATGACGTCACGTCAGACGGTGATGTGGACGGTGTGTGCTGCCTGCTGGAGTGGTGACGCAATCACCGCATCAGTGGTGTTATGAATATTAATAATCATAGAAAAAATTCACTCCTAAATGTTTTACTGTGAAGACGTAAAGGCTGAATGAAAATCCATCCCTGTGTGATTTTTTTATTCATGATTTACTAAAGTTCATGATCATTTTTGCTACCGGACACAACCGGAACCTTTATTGTTAAAATGTGAGTATGACAGCAGGGCGGGGCGGCCACTGAGCATGCCCAGTACACGCACACACATAGTCATTCACACACAAACACACACAATCTCAGCATCTCTTCACCGATGACAAAGGGTCCTCCTGGGAGGCGCGCCGCGCGTGACCGCGTCCTCTGCTCTTGTGCTGCTGCAGACCCAGACAGACAGACAGACAGACAGACATAGGGTGAGACTGACTGCTTGACAGACAGATACCGGAGACGATAGACAGGCTGCTGTTGTGTCGGTGAGGATGCGCGCGGCGGGCAGCAGCAGCAGCAGCTCGCGGTGATTGTCGGATCGGTACTAAGAGGCGGAGCAGCTGCAGCGGAGCGCGAGGAGCAAACCGGACACCATGAGCTGCAACTGGGGCACGGAGCTGTGGGTACGTACACCTGTTCACACCTGCTGCACCCGGACATGTCCCCGTATCACACCCTGAAAACCGCCTCATACCTTCAGCTACAACCGCTCAACCGGTAACATGTCGGTGAGGAGCCGGTTACCGGGCGGCCTGTTCGTGTATCTGAGTGTATGTGTTTGTGCGGGTGTGTATATGTGTAAGGCCCTCGTGCTTCAGGCTGGTCTGCCATAGCAACACGGTGAATGACGACAACGGCTCGCGCTCTGCGTCCTCCATGATGCTGCAGCGCGCGACCAGAGAGACAGAGACCCCCAACCTTCCCCGTGACCCTCACCTCACTCACTTTTACACCCAAATTACCATTAATCATTATCATGGGTGTAATTATACTGTAACTGTACAGGAGAGCTGGTGTGTGTACGCAGAATGTAACTGTGTGTGTGCTGTGTTTGTCCAGCATTTCCACAGTATATCTGTGTACTATTAATAGGAATAATATACATGTGTACAGGATGGGCTATATGTAGGGGAAGGACTCAGTTTAGAGGGTTGTTTTTCACTCAAATGTAATATTTTAATAAAGTGACCTTAAGTCACCGTCCAGTGTAACATCTACAGCTCATAACTGTGAGCCGTGGTCATCACACTATTAAAACAGCTAAAATATACAATGTCTAATTGCTGCTGAACAAAGTCGTTATTGAGCAACTTTTATTTCTCCATATACTGATTGGTATGTGATCAGAAAATGTGGAAAACAGAGCAACTTTCTCACACTTGGATTCTCAAAGTACCATTTATCGCCTTATTGGCAGCACATTCATCACATACTACATGAAAAAATAGATTAATACCAATTTCAGTGACTCTCAGGAACATAAATATGTGTCAGAATTTGGATAAAACCTGGCAGAACAGACAGACTGATTCAAACAACCTGGTGCTTAAAAGCACTAAAGCATAAAAAAATACATAAACATGACTTGTAATAGATATTTGAGGACACACACAGAGCTTGCTGACAGAAACAAAAGCACGATACTATGTGGAATTCTGCCCAACGCAGACATAAACAACTTTAAATTCTTAAAGCACTACTCATTGGTGCAAATTTTACTTAATCACGGAGCAGTTTCCCTTAATTATGAATCTTTTATTCTGTTAATTAAAGCCCCTAAGAGTAGTTTTATGATTTACATGAAATAAACTGGAATTCATGTTGATGCCTTTTATGTAATAAAAAAGCAAACAAGACCATCAGCAACAAGACTGATGATATTTATACCATAATATTTAATACCTGAAACTAGTGTGTGTGGGGATAGGTGTCAGCTGGGCAGAGGAAGAAACAGCCTTGTTTTGTGATCTCTAAATTAAAATAATACAAAAAATTATATATTTGACTGTCAAAGTTCAGCAGGAACAGTTTTTTTTTTTTTTTTTTGCCGGAAAAACACTAGTGAAGTATGTAGAAGACAAGATAAGCAAAGACTGCTTTGTCCACAGGGGGTATCAAAACTGACACAAACAGAAGGTTCCTCACAGGAACTTTAAATTAAACAAATTTCTGTTCAGCATTTATGAGACCGGGAGAAAAAACGGACTCACTCAGATCAAAACCCTCCTTCTTCAGGATGTCCGGGCTAATGCAGACAGCAACAGTTTACAAACTCTCTAACAAAAGAGCCACTTTGAACGTGATTAGAAAGTGTTAATGTCATGTTAGTAAGTCAGTTGTGTTTATTTGTCAAGTTTATGAAGTATGTGTTGCTCCATCTTTGTCTTGCCTTCTGCAATTCATCTTTTTGTGTCGTGTTGATTTCCAGGTTTTCCACAGACATTGAGATATTATGGTTGTAGATGGTGTGTATCATGTATGTTTATGTATTCAGGGTCCTTTGCTGTTTTTTTTTTAATGTCTTATGTTGCAGCTTTGAGCTGAAGTTGTTGAAATTATCTTTCTATTGCCCGGTGCTTCCCCCTGACAAATTAAAAAACAGACTTTTCTGACTCAATCTTCACACTGACGGCAGATTTCAGACTCTGAACTCCTGCAGCATATTTGGCAGAGATTACATCCTGCAGTGTTGTGCATCCTGATGCGACAAGCTTTGCACACCTGGATTCTGTGCAGATCCACTCAGTCTCTGTCAGGCTGCTCTGAGCAGGCAGCAGACAGCACTTTTAGCTCTCTTTGGAGGTTTTTAATGTGCTTCAAGTCTGGGTTCATGGTGGGCAATGAGAGAAAACCCACAGAGTTCTGGCCTCTGCTCAGGGTTGTTGTCCCTAATTTCAGTTTTAGGCCCCAGACTCTTGGCTGCTGAAAACACTCCCAAGTTCTGATGTTGGCTCTGAAACCTTTAACTCTTTGGATGCTTTGAGCTCCAGACAGGGATAGTTCACGTGACTCTGGTAAAATCAGACGGAGCCAAAGAGGGAGGAGCAGGAGGGTTAGGCAGGCCGAAGCAGTTTGAATTGAATGTCCATGTTGATTAGGTAACCAACTGATCTGTCAGCTGATGTGAGCTGGCATTTGGATTGAGCTTAAATTTGTGGTCTGCCTAAACTAACACTACGCCCAATTTTAATACTGGCGTTAAGATTGTAAACAGTATGAGGTCTTCACTGTAGCAGCAATACTCTACCGGGTACTAACTATCTCTGCAGTCCCACAGGATTAATACTGTGCAACATCAAAATTACCATGTTAGATTATTTAAACTGTGAAATACCATGGAAACTACGATATAGCAGCCAAAAGTGTGCATCAGTGGTACTACAGCAGTAATTCTGCAGTATAGCAGCAGTCCATCATGACAGTACAAATACTGTATCACCCTTTCAATACCGTAATACTAAGGCCATACTGTAATACATTATTACTGCTCTTTAACTGCAATATTAGCATCAACCCTACACTACACTACACAACTAAAGAAGTAATACTTCATCTTACAATTATAATACAGCAACAATCCTATTCTACTGTAGAGTAAAGCTATGGCAATATCACTAACATTTAGTTGCTGTAACAGTATACAATATTAATGGTGATATTAATATTTATAGCAACCAGCCAAATACCTCACAGCACCACTAAACTGTACCACAGTTGTCGGACTGTTGTAAGCTTTCATTCAGGTTACAAGATGTTGTCAGTGTGTGGGATTTTAATTACTGTATCAGAGTTGTTTTTGTGTCTCTTTTTGTGTTTCAGGATCAGTTTGATAACTTGGAGAAACACACCAGCTGGGGGATCGACTTCCTGGAGAGATACACCAAGTTTGTTAAAGAGAGAGCTGACATCGAGCTGAGCTATGCCAAACAGATCAGGTACCACTGTCGCCTGTATGTCACTCTAGAGCCTACATGGGGTCGCATGGGATTCAAATAGCTTGCATTTCCCACAGTGACCAAACACCACATGTAACTGCTATGAGACTCAGTTCAATCACTCAAATGTAAACAACCTTTTAATCTAGAAATCTTGAGAGCTGTTGGATTTTTGTATGTGTATGTTAAACCACATTCAGTGCTCTTGTGTGCATGAAGTCAAAGCATCGTTTACTCCTAAATGTTGTATCAGAGATTTTACTTTACCAACAGACTTTGAGAACACTGCACGTCTGATTACAGAATAACTCAAGACAATTATGTTACAGTCCTACCTGCATTTCTGTACCTTTCTATCTGCAGGAGTCTGTCGAAGAAGTATCACCCCAAGAGAAGCAGAGAGGACGAGGGCCGGTCAGTAAAGACTTTTGTGATCACTTTTATATCATGTAATATTGGTGCCCATCAGTATTTTTCAGCAGAAGGCTATCAGCTCATCTGTATTTGTTGAATGGCAGTGGCCAACCAGAGCAGATGATCTGTAGCGGATGAACAGGCTTCAACAGAAGAAATGTGCTGCAAGTGCAAAAATGATGCAACTCTGAAAGACCAAAAGACCAAAGCAGACTAAAAAAATTGTGCTGCAAAAAACTGAAATATCTCAGTTTGCTGCAAACAAGCTGCAAATACACAATTTTGCAAAGTCCAAACTAGGTGAAACTATAAATATCTGCAAGAGTCAATAACATCAACAACATAACAGTCATAGCTGAGGCTTAAAAGCAGAAGTGTTCCAGGCATGGAGTTTTGTATGTTTGTGTATTTGCAGCTATTAGCACGTTCTGTCTGCTTAGGTCACTTAGATCTGTTTTTAAAGTTGCATCATTTCTGCACGTGCAGCATGATTTTCCTGATGAAGACATTTGGTCAGCTGCAGATCTTCTGTCAGGACACTAGGACTATTTAAAAGTACTATCTGAGATGGTGACAGACATTTTAAGTGCATTCATATTGATCTTTGCCATCTTTTTGATCAATGATCGAAGGTCCTTTTGGTTTCTGATTGGCGGTTCAAACTTCACCTGAGGTATTTTTGCAGGTACACTTGGTGTTTGGCATTTGCAGCAACTCTCCGCCAGCTGAACGAACTTTCGATTCAGAGAGAAGAACTTGCTGAAAACTTGAACTCGCAGATCGTGTGTGAGCTGTCCCGATACACACAGGAGCTGAAGACCGAGAGGAAGACTGTGAGTACACAAACCCACCAACAAAAACCCAGACGGAGACATAAACACAGCACAAGAGAAAAAAAACACCAAAACATCTATAGAGTACTTCACTGTAAAACTTTTATGTGTGAAGCACTGAAATTCATTTATCTTTGCTTAAAAACAAATTATGAACAGAAGCTGTGTATGTGTTTTAGCATTTTCAAGATGGCCGTCGTGCTCAGCAGCACATCGAGAGCTCCTGGAAACAGCTGGAGTCTGTAAGTAACATCTGGCTCACCAACATAACTGACCATAGAGCCAAAATCTAGTTTAATCAACATCAAGTTTTTTCTTCACCTGGATCAACTGTTCTCACTTCACCTTTCACTTACTTTTATGATAGTTGTATTGATTTGTTTATTTGTTATTGTCCAGAGTAAACGTCGGTTCGAGCGCGACTGTAAGGAAGCAGAGAGAGCTCAACAGATCTCCGACAGAATCGACCTTGACAACAAAACAGATGGAGAAAAGGTTGGGAGGAATTATTGTTTCCTTTTTTATATAAAAAATGTTTTCCAGAGTTAAACTGAAAATCAGATCCTGTAAAAAGTTTGATTTATCATAAACAGTTGAAGTCATATTTTAACTTTCTTGACCTCTTGTCTGTGTCTGTGTGTTTGTCTCACAGCGCTGCTCACTGAAGGTAAGAGCCTTCAAAACATTTATGTACACTTACATCTGTTTTTCTATATCCCAGTGTGAAAGTGTGCCAATGTTCACAATATTGTTGAAGTGTAATAAACATGAAAAAGTGAGGACCCTGAGACTAGCATCAAAAACCTAAAAAATAGTCATGAAACCAAAGTTTTGTGGTCACTCTTTTTTCTCTAAATGTGCACCCGTATGTCCTGCAAAGTGTATGTAAAAGTTATGAACTTTCTCATCATCTATTTTCAGACAAATCTATGTATTAACATGTGAAGATATCATCCCCTGAAGTTTCACTTTAAGTTTGAAGTATTTTAAAAATCTCTGTGGTGTGGGGATGTTGGTAGATATACTTTTTGTCAAACTCCGGGTGTATTTTCTTTTTTTGTGTTTTTTTTTCTGATCCCAGGCTCGTCAAACGGCTCAACAGAAAAAAGAAGCCTCTGAAGAAGCCAGGAAAGACTATGTGGCCTGTTTAAACCAGTTTAATCAAGACCAGCACCAGCACTACCACACACTGGTACCAGTTATATACCAGGTAAATGAGCACTCACACACACTTGCACCTGTTTTATATTAAGTAGAAACCTCAGATGTCAAAAAAGTAAAAAAAACAACAATATGGATTTATCAAGAAATATGCATTTCCTCAAAAGTCCACTAGAATGCTGCATCCAAAAGAAAAACTATGATTTTTTTGTGATGTTTTCTGTGTTTGCAGCGTATCCAAGACATGGAGGAGCGGCGCATCGAGAGAATCTGTGAAGCGATGCGTTCATCAGCAGAGGCGGAGAGGAAAGTTCTTCCTGTTGTGAGTCGTTGTCTGGACGCCATGATGGATGCTGCTGAGGGCATCCAGCCCAGGATGGTGAGTCTGCTGAATCCTGGAAACTTCTGGACCATTTTTATTCTGCATTTTGGAGTAAATTATAGGCTCCCATCCTGTTTTTAGCAGTTTCACCTATGAGAGGTGTTCGATTTTATATGATACGCTGACGCATGTCTAAACAATTCACCTTGAATTTGTTATTTTGTGAAATATGTCTCATCTGTGGTAATCTCTGTTCTTCAGTGACAGAACTGTATTTGTTCTGGTTTGTTATGGTCTGAAAAAAAGTGTGCAGCAACCCTTCAGTAAATCTGAGATGTTTGTTTGAATTTTTCAGAGGTGGGGAAAGATTGCTGTCCTCTTAATGACAAATTTAAGACAGAAAAAGGGTCAAAGGTCATCTCTGATCCCGTGTGTGTGTGTGTGTGTGTGTGTGTGTGTGTGTGTGTGTGTGTGTGTGTGTGTGTGTATCTTTGTGTTTGTAGGACACCCGGCAGGTGGTGGAGGTGTATAAATCAGGGTTCGACCCTCCAGGTGATGTGGAGTTTGAGGACTACAGCGCCTCCATGAGGAGGAGCATCTCTGAATCCAGTTACCTCGACAACCGAGCTGAGGGGCGGAGACACAGCAGGAAGCTTTGGCCCTTTATACGCAAAAACAAGGTGCACAAACACACACCTGAGTAATTACACACACTCCACCAGTAAACCCAACGGCTCAAGGTGTCATCAGCCGTACTGACTAGGGCTGAAACGATTACTCGAGTAACTCGAGTAACTCGATTAATAAAATTCCTCGAGGCAAATTATATGCCTCGAGGAATCGTTTAAATCCGGAACCATGTGCAGCGCACGGTGTTTGACACGGACGGTTATTTCTGTTGCGCAGAAGCGTGCTCTTTCCGCTCCTTCCGCTGCCGCGCGTTTGGTTCAATCATGGAGGGAAACGAGGACAGACAGAAGCTGTGTCCGAAATGGCATACTGCCTGCTATCTACTTACCTACTCAAGCAGTAGCTACTGCCTACTGACTACTCAAAGATGATTTGAGTATGCCGCGGCTGCCCGAGCGTTTACACACATACATACTAAATACCCCAGAATGCATTTCGTGCCGGCCGGACGCAGCGCCGGGAAAATTTAAATAGTCCTACCACAAGCTACATAGAACGACTGCATACCGGACAAATTATATAAATTCATTCAATAATAATATTTTTTCTAGCGAGAAAGTAAGTGTTTACATCACGATTATGAGCCCAGTTGTTTGAAATAGTGGCTGTTTGTAAATTTGTCTCGGCGTTTTCGGAGACCGAAGCGTCCACTTGGTCGGTGTTTGCGTCTATTTACCGTAAACACCGGGCAGCAGCAGCTCCCCCTTCACGTTTCCAAATTATTGCGAAGTGTTTTCATAATCAACATCTACACGACACAAACCGGGCGGCAGTGGATGAAAAAAATCACACAAACATCCGTGTATCCATGGTGATAATGCTATACACCACCTGCTAGGCGTGTGATGAGCAGCAGAGGGCTGCAAAATGACCAACACACAACAACATGTAAATAAAAATGTAACACTTTTATATATTGAATAAATGTACATTTGCTTGTCAAATTATGTTAGTATCCAAGAATTATATTATTTCAGCCTATTAATTAAACAAGTAAAATTAGATCCAAAGCCTGGAAATAGTTGTGACTGGTTTAGTGAAAACTGCAAAGATCATTACCATAGCAATTAAAAGACCATCTGCAGACCTTGCCTTCAGTAGTTTCATGTGAACTACATGGTAAAATGTAAAACTTTTGGTTCCTGATTTATGCAGTAAAAATATTCATTTGAAAGACCTGGCCTATTTCAGTTTTGTGTGTTACTGATGGTTTTTAATGAGGCAAACGTGATTCAATGCAAAGTATTACAGTGAGAGCAAAACATTTCTTATCCGATTACTCGATTAATCGACAGATTAATCGATAGAGTACTCGATTACTAAAATAATCGATAGCTGCAGCCCTAGTACTGACACACCTCTCTCTCTCCAGCTTTTGACCCTCCTCTCCTCCCCTCGGCAGCCTCCCCCTCCTCCCCCCACCTCCCCCTCACCTGGTGCTGTGAATGACAGTCCCCAGTCCCCGCCCCCTGCCTCTAGAGAACCAATCACACAGCGGCTGAATGACCTCATGACATCTGGATCGAGAACCAGGAAGCAGTGTTTGCGTAGCCTTAAACGAGGGGTAAATACACACACACACACACACACACACACAAATGTATTGCTAAATTAATGTGAGGCACAAACTCTGATTTGATGTTTTCTTTTTGCCTTCATATGCTTCTTTGTGATTGGACAGCTGTCTCTCAAACTGGTCAGTATCTCGACTATCCATAATGTACATATGAACATGTGATGTCTGCTGCTTTTTTTTAGTGTGATACGTTCAATGACACATTAAAACAAAAGAGAATAAAATAGGATAGGATAGAATGAGGTAGAATAAATAAAACAATTGGAAAGAATTTAACAGAGTGGAATCGAACAGAGTAAAGTAGAATAGAACAGAAAAGAACAAAGTAGAATAGAACAGAATAAAACAGTGAAGGTGAAGAACAGAATACAATACAGCAAGATAGAAAAGAACAGAGTACAGTACAGAAGAATAAAACAATGGAATCAAACAGAATAGATTATAGTACAATAGTATTGTAGAATATAATTTAATAGAGTAAAACTGAATGCAAAGAAATTTAATTAGGTGAAATAAAATGCACTAAATCATAACAGAAAAGAATGGAGAAATGGATGTATGTGTTGTAGGGTTCGGGTCCTGCAGATTGCAGTCACCTCCCTCCAGAGCAAAGAAGAAAGAAACTTCAAACTCGAATCAACAACATCAACCAAGAGATCCAAAGAGAGCGAGAGCAGAGGTAATACACACAAGTATACACACGCACACACACACATTTTATAACACTCAAACAGCTGGGCAACAAGACTAAAAGAAATGAGAGGGTTTAGGCATCAATCACCAATGTTATCTACCTTAAATATTAAACCGCCATCCTTTGTTCTGTCTCATAATGTTTTTCAATCTTTACAACTCTGCTGCCTCCTGCTGGTGTGAAGGAAAAAATCTGATACTGAATACTGTATTTAGTTGCAGAGGGAAAAAAAACAATATCTTCATATCAAAGCGTCTACCATGAGCAGAATTTGATTCAGAACAATGTCTGATGTTTTCATAATATTCAAATTTTCATCACTACATTGGTTTTTATATCCATTGTTAATATTGAATGTTGCTTTAAACATACTAGTCAGTGATATTTATTGTTTTGTTTTGAGAGTGAAGTCATCTGCAGTCAAATCTGCATTATGTATTAAATGTTATGTAAAATTCTGTTGATGCAGGATGTGAATTAATATCCTCTGTGATTCATTTGTGTGTGTTTGTGTTTTTAGAGACGCTCTGTTAAAGATGAGGGAGGTGTATGAGCGGAGTCCTCAGATGGGCGACGCTGGCAGTTTGGAGCCTCGACTGGAGGAGGTGAAACAAAGTCTGCAGAAACTGGAGGAGGAGCTGAGGAAGAACCAGGTTTATACTTTCAAAATCACATAGTTCACAGAGAGAAACACACACTGGACTTTTTACATTGAACACCATATGTATATTATCTATCATCTGGGCTTTTTGCATTTTGATCAAGAGAAATTTAAGCCTGGGCCACACACTTTTGGACTCACTCTTATTCTGTACATAATGTGTGTTTTGTGTCTGTTTGCTTAGGCGTGGCTGGCGGAGGCTGACAGCAGACTGTCTGATCACAGCGGTAGAAGACAGAGTGGAGGTTGTGGGGTAAATTCCCAGGCGACGACACCAGGCAGCAGCAGCCTGAAACAGCTGGACAACCGCAGTCCAGCCAGCAGAGAGAGGTACTGAAAACTGATAAACAGTTACCTGCACATGTTTAATTTCTACGATTCTAAATTGAGGTAGCTCCACTCGTCTTCTGGGCAGATCAGACAGAGGACAAGTCTCTTCCTACAAACTGCCCACTACAGGATAATCTGGCTAGATAATCTTGAGAACCATCCAAATATCAGACCTTTGCTGACTTTTGTCAGAAGGGGGGAACCAGGCCATGAATTTGATTAACTTTCAGTGTGTGCCCTGCTGTAACTTTTTTAGAGAGCCCTACATTAAGCATGGATCCATTTGTCACTGAGCAGAGCAATGTGGCATAATAGTGACAGGGTTTGAACTAACGAGCAGAGGCCAGTGTTGCTAACTCCTTTGTAAGAAAAGTTGCTAGTGGCTGTCCTAGAAGTTGCTAGATGTTGCCATCGCCTAATTTGCACAACTTTTCAGTCCAAGGAGCGAGGAGTCTTTCTCAGGGTGTCTGTATGTGTGTGTTTTTTTGATGCACACCCACTAACCATTGAGAAGAGTAACATCGATACCCGCTTTCATGTCAGAGTCTCGAAACTCCAGAAAAAGTCACTAAATTTGTCGCCAGGCTCTTTTTTGAAAATAAGTCACTGGGAGGTCTGAATAGTTGCGAAGTCTAGCGACAAAGCTGCGAAATCTAGCAGCAAAGTCGCTAGGTTGGCAACACTGGCAAAGGCTTGTTCATACAGGGGCGGCTCAGCTAATTCAGGCACTAATAAAGTCACTGGACATGAAAATAAAAACTAATAAACTAATGAAAGTTTCTAAACTTACCAGCCACCTTACTCGTCTGAGCTCACTCTGTTTTTCTCCCTCTGTCTCCCCCTTAGTCCTGATGGCAGCTACACTGAAGACAACAGCGCAGAGCTTCACTTTAAGTCTCGTAGTTCAGAGTTTGATGATGACTTTGATGATGAAGAGCCGTTGCCGAGTATCGGCACCTGCAAGTCCCTGTACCCGTTCCAAGGTACTTTATTTAATTTGATCTTAACCTCACTCTGTCTGCTGTCAGTGTACCACCTGATCCACTGGGATTCCACCTGGTTCTCTCTGGTCTGAACACGCTGTGATTGATCCTCTCCAGGTCAGAATGAAGGTACCCTGTCCATGGTGGAGGGAGAACTACTTTCTGTAGTGGAAGAGGACAAAGGTGACGGTTGGACCAGAGTACGGAGGAACCTGGAGGAGGAGGGATACGTCCCCACCTCCTACATCAAAGTCTTCCTAGACAGCAGTGCCAAAGGTGCCATGACCTACATATAACCTAGATTTAAACCACCTATGACCTTTATATGACTAAAGTGATCTACCTACGACCTAAACATGACCTTCATAGACGTCTACATAATCCTCAGACACAGATTCTACATAAAAAGGCCAAATCTGGAGGCAGGGCTTTCAGATTATTGTAAAGGAAGTGTTCTGGTTTCCACTGTAGTACATTTGTAGTCCAATTAGTACTGACCAATCAGGTATCAGTGGGCTTTTGCATATGCAGGAAAGACAATCTGTGTGGAGAGCAAAAGCAGGTAGTATGCAATCAGCAGTGAAACATCCTGGCTCCTGTTGATGGTAATCTGATAACTATTTTTATCTCTTTTGCATGCAAGCACAGTCATTATTTTGGCAATAATTCAGAAAAAGGAAAAACAAATTAGGGGTTCACACAGCAAAGCCTGGATACGACTTTGTATTTACATTGAAACTAAGACTTGATGAACAGCTGCCATACTGGAGGATTAAATGAACCCAGAAATTACAGCATTTATTTTGTAGACATATCTGAGTTTCCTCAAAGTTTTGATCTGAACTCATGAACGCTTCTCAAGTTCCTAGAGTTTATTCCAAAGTTCACCATTACTCCCATGATAGCTTGTGGGATCCAAGACTGGCCTACACAAGACTGATGCCGAGGTCAGACTACATGTTTTTAAAATGATTATTGCCCAATCTGCTGTTTTTACTGTAATGAATGGGTCAGAGACTATCCAATCTGTTCCATTTTTTAGGTGGATGTTAACAACAGCTGCTGGTGAAGTGCCCCTGAAAGCCAGTTGTGCAGACCTACAACCAATTGGGTTTACAGCATGTGATGTAATGCAGAGCAATAAAGATGTGGAAAGACAGGGGAATGCAGAGAAAGAAGAAACACCCAGCAGTTTCAGACCCACCTGCCAGAGTCTACCAGAGGGATCTGGCTGCTGAGTCTCTGATGGGTCTGGAAATGTCAGGCTAGCAAGTTCGAGCTGTGAGACAGAGATTTTGATGGTGATGATTGGTTGTTTCCCTTGTGCAGTGTCTGCCAATCAAGTCACAGCAGGTCTTCAGGTGTCCCGGTCTTAAATTGACCATCATAACAGACTGGCGTAGTCTGACCTCGGCATAAAGACCCTTGACTTTGACATGACACACTCTGGACCTATTCTCATATCCAGCTGCATTTGACCTCAACATATGACCTTGAAGTGACCTCTGACCTCTGTGTGACATTAAGTGACCTCTTGTTGAGCGTGTACAGATGTGGTTCTTTGAAGAAACAGAACATTTTTTTGTAAACTAAAGTAGCCCCCCCAACCCCCACCCCACACCCTCCTCCTACCTGATAACCTCCATAAACCTTTACCTTTTACCTGTAAATGTCAGCACTTTGGTTGCTATGGTTACAGCAGCAGCCTGTCTGTGTCTACCTGTGCTCTGCCTGTCTCTGTGCTGAACTAGAACTCTACCTGTTATTTTTTTGCTACTGTTGTCTTTTTAGGGGGTTTTACACCTGTGTGACATACCTGTCTCATCTGAGGTGTTTTCTTAAGAGTAACTGGAGATTTTATGCGACAGACTGAACAGATGTTTCCAGTACTGCAGATCAAATCTCTAAAATTTGTTGGACAGAGATGGTCAAAATGTTTGACAGACCAGAGAAATGTAAAAGTTAACAGAGAGAACAGAATTTTGATGGATTTCAGAGAGCAACGACATGAGAAATGATCAAGTCATGAGATTTGTTTGGATACTTAAGGTAACTGAGAGGAGTAGTCATGCTTATAAGGGATACTGTGTATAAAGATTAAGACCTCAAGGTGGGAGTTCAATGTTGTAGAGTGGTTAGAGATGGTAGGGTAGTTAAAAAGAGATTTGAAAATGTGAAAGAGATGGTAAATTTGAGATTTTGAAGTGTTGGCGGATATTTAAAGTTGGAGATGTGAGAAGTCTGAGATGATAGAAAATGTTGTGGACATTAAATGTGAGGTTCATAAGAAACGATAAACTTAGAAATTTGAGGTATGGGAGAAATTGTTTAGATAGTGTGAGGCTCAAGATAGAAGAGATATGTTAGACATGCAACAATACTTCAGAGATTGTAGAAATGCTGCAGATACGTGAGAGATGTTTGGTTTGTTCAAACTCTGAGAGAATTAAAGGAGCTGAAAGAAACTTTAGATTTGATTTGTGACATTTAAGAAATGTGAGAAATGTTTAAAGAGATACTTGAGATGAAGAGAGAGAACTGTAAGAAATTTGACATGCATGAAAGCTGAAGAGACGTAGGCAGTAATGACAGAGTCCCAGTCCCTCTGTAAGCCTGAATCTTGTTTCATGTATGTCAAATGTGAGAGATCTGGTAACTTTGTCAGCTTCATGATGAATATGAGGTGATTTGTTTTCTTTTCTGAAGAATTCTTACTCAAGTTTGTTGTGTCATAAGTGATACAATCAGTGTTCGGACAAATCAAAAATATCACACAAAATGAACACATACCAAACTGTGAAGATGATGGAAATGAAAGAACCAGAAAAGTCTAATTGAATCAGCAGCAGATCGACTCATCCACCATGACACCAACATTTAAAAACTCTAGATAATGGAAATGTTTTCACTCAAAGGACAAATGACTAAAATACACAAACACAATTATGTATGGTAATAATTTATGCATTAAAAACAGGGTCCTGGGTAACTCTACTTGACAGATCGTGAGGAAGATTGAATCATGTAAATTCTCACTTCTCCAACATAAACATTCAGAGATGAGGGGTCCCTATCATCACCTCGTCATTTGTCTTTTCTATCTGCAAATATGAAATAATAAAAGAAGCACAAAAACATGGCTGTAGAGTTTAGCAGCTCTGAGTAGTTTGCTCGTGTTGCATCTGATTGTAGGATGAGCTGTCGGTACCCTTTTTTTGCACTCTTGAAATGACAGAGCTCAAACCTGTCCCCATTTAGGTGACGTGTTTACATGGGAGGGGACACTTCTTATTATAATCCTGCTGTGAACAAAAGTTAAGCTTAAGCACTTTTAACAGAATAAATGTTTTTGAGGTCAGCCAGGGATAAAACTGAGTCATAGTCACTGGAAAGTATGAGTGTGACAGTCCTTTTGAATAATTCAGCTCAGTTACCACCAACTTTCAGCAGACAGTAAAAATGTTACCCTGTGCGTGACCACTAGCGCAGGTGTTTGTGAATTAAACATTCGTAATGAGGTTTATCTCCATAAAAGAGGTCCATGTCGCATCAAATAAATGCAGAATCCCAGGATACAGGGATGCTATCTGCTCTGAAGTGCAGTTTAGCGTGCATCCAAACCTTTGCATGTCCTTTCTGATTTAGATGCTGTTTGTCTCCTTCGCACTGGTTTAAGGGGCTCAAAAGCCATGCAGTCCTTATGTGAATCAGGCCATGGGTTTATTTCAAGTGAGAGGGCTTGAAGAGCTTTAGGAGTTTATCACATTTCATTAAGTACAAATGATACCCAATGAGGTAAATCATGCAACAGCTCATTTCACATCAGATGCTTCGACTCATTTCTCACATTTTGAATTCTCCAGCTCTATCCACTATCATTATCAATCATCACTGCTAACAGTTATTTTCTTTTCTAATTTATCTGCTGATTAATTTCTCAATTAATCATTGAGTTATTTGTTCATTTTCATTAGAAATATCCACAAAAGTTTCTTAAATGGTCAATTCTGTTAGAGAGCAGTTTTGTTCAGCAGCACATTTGTATCAGTTTTTAAATGACTTCACAGAAATACAGTTATTAGTGATATAACTCAGCAGCAGCTGTTTGATCTTACTGAGTGTAGTTTCTGAGAGGTTTCCAGTGTTTTGCTGCAGGCGGCGGCAGTCTGACCTCCTGTCTCACTCTACCAGCTCTAACATATCTACCTGTCTGTCCCTCTGTCTATCTCCCTGTCCGTCTCTCCGTCTGTCTCCCTCTCTTTCTGTCTGTCTGTCTGTGTCTATCTTGTAGGCTTTGTGCAGAGTAGTCGGCTAGTCTAGCACAGTAATCCACCAGTGAGGACGTCTCTCCACAGGAAGTGATGTAAAGGAAAAAGCTCTGAGGAGGTCCGCTGACAGCTTTTCATTGGACAGTTTAACTGCTGTCAATACGTGATGGAGGAAAACTTCTGCTGGTGACTGAGAAATCAATCAGAGATCAATCAGCCTTTATTTAAGTCTTGGAGATGAGTGCATCAGCTGGGTAGTAAAAAAAAGTTGGTCCAGACTCAGCGAAGAGCAACCAATACCCCTATTTTAAGCCAGAACACACACCAAGTGACTCTTAGAGCTGAAGTGGTTTTAAACTGTGGGAGTCCACACAAGTAAGGACAGGCCAACATTAAATTCCTCTGAAAACCACCTGTAGACTATTCTATGAGGCTGCTTAAAACAAAACACTTAGCATTTGTGGTAAAACTTTCCACAGTGGAGGTTCCACAGACACATAATGTAATGTTGTGTTCACTCCTTTTTCAAATAAAATCATTTGCATAAGTCAGTTACATGTTGATTAGATGTGAGTTCCTGTCCTGTGACACAAATGCGGTGAACAGTGCAAATTTAGCAGATTATCTGCACCAACAATGCAAATTTATGGCACAACATCAAACCGGCCAAGGATCATTCATCTGCAGAATGAAGGATGGACTGATATTTATGGTATTCAGCTCCCTGAGCTCTAGGACACGACTTGTTTTTAAAATGAAGAGTAAAAAAGAGCTCATCTGGAGGAAAGTGAGTGAGGAGGTCAGATTATCTGGTAAATTGTTTAAACACAACAGATCCTCACAATGTGGTCAGCCTCAGCTATGTTTGATGCAGGAATTTCTCCTGCAATCACTGATGAGTTAAGGCTCTCCTGCAGACACGATGTATCGACAAATGAAGTGAGTCATATTCACACAACATTGAAGAGTTCAACTACGCACGATTTAAACGACAAAATCATTTTATTTGTTCGGTGTGAACACATCATAATATAAACTCTTGTCATCAAACACAACCTCAGGAAACAAACAACTATGGAGGACGATTGTGACTGTCGGCTTTTCAGCGTGCACTCTGTTTTGGGTTGACAAACAAAAATCTAACCATAACTCCACCACACACTTGAGGATCATTCTAGATAAATGATCAGTTACCACAAGCCTCCAATCAGGCCACGCCCCACATCAATTGGAAAGGCCCGATTGGAGCCTCAAATCAAGCTTAAACTTGTGTAGCATGTGACCAACCAAACTAGCAATGTCGCTGTGTCCATTATTGTGAATTCTTGCATAATTTATGACATGCCTATTTGTTCATTAACTTCTCACACTCACCTCATGGCCCAGCATGGTGTTGTTAGATGAGAATTTAAAACAAACCAAGTAGTGTTTTGAAAAGCTCCATTTGCATAAAAACAGGTGCGTGGACAGAACCACATTTTACTTACTTTTATTGAAGGTACTTTTATTCAAGCAGGATCGTCAAAACAAAGTCTCGACAGTTTAGTCAAAATAGAACTGATCTATCAGCTCTGCCTCTCAGTAAACTAGCAGTGGGTTGACCTGATCACAGACAGCCTGTCATCATTAACCGTTGTGTGAACCACCACCAACGTTCTGCCATTACGACTTTCTTTAGAGTTCAGTGACTTTTTTGTTTGTAATACTTTTGATGCTGGTCTGACTTTTTACTGTTACCTGAGCTTCATCCTAAGTGTAAAGGTTACAACACAACACAAAGAAGCCTGATGCTGAACTTTAAGTTTGTTTTAGCTTTCAGCTCCAGGTTGGACTCAGTGTAACAGTTCCACAGACACCCAGGTGGTGCACTCAGCTCCCTAATGCATAGCAGACATCAAAATAAAGATCAGATATTAGACAGGTCCTACACACGCTAATTCATACCATCTGTATTTACTCCAGACCTAGATGTTAACTTAGATCATTATTCATTACAAATTCAGAAGGTGTTCATCTTTGTTAATGAAGAAATCCGGCTCTAGGCTTTTGAAATACAGTTTTGAAACAATAGATGAAGAAAATCTACTTAATATTAATGTTTAAACTTTTTTATAAAGTTAATATCATTTTTGAACATAATAATGAAAAAAAAGAAAAGAAAATCAGTCCTTCAAACAGTTGTTCTGATGTGAAAACATTCAAATGGTTTTCTGATTTGTTGATGAACTGACCTGAGATCAGTTTTACTTGATGCACTTCATTTACAATTAATAGTAGTAATAAAAAAGAAGTTATTAAATCATCAGACTGTCCTATTGAAAAAAAAGTGAAATGGTGGAGAAGACGATCCGTCCTGTTGACCACTGTAGTCCAAAAAAAGAGCTTTCTATCCACCTTACGTCTTACTGCAGTGATGTCCAACTGTACCACGTGCGTCAGTTCAGTGTGACATCACTGTGGGTGTGGCCGGAAGAACAAAACAAACTGATGAGGGTGCTCTGTAGTAACTGTTGAGTTTAAATCCTTTAAACTGTTCAAAGTTTAAACTTTACAGAACAGACAAAACTGTCTTAAGTTGGTCATGAAGGGTTGACTGCGTGTAAATAAACTGTAGCTGCACAGGTGTAGCCCGCCTCCTGTATACCTGTTGACTTAAACCCCGCCCCCAGCTGCCCCAAACTGTACTAGCCTCTCCCCCTTCCCTGCTCCTGCCCCCTGCTTGTTGATCGATGATCATGCTCTTGATTGATTGTGTGAAATGTGAAACCTTTTTTTATTTTATAGTGAAACATGATTAGTTATTGATTTTTTTATTGAGACGTGAGACTGCTGATCACGCTCTTTTCAATTTCCTGTATGTTAAAACTTTCAAAATAAACTACACTCTGAATCAAACCGAGTCTATCTTTGTATTGTACTGATGAAATGTATTCAACTGCACCTATCAGATTTATGATGCACTTTAACGGCAGACAGTCAAGATACAATGGGTAGGAGCCAAGCGGACACAGTTATATTAAGGGTTAAAATAACAAAAAAGTTAAATGTAGAGAAATATGCTGAGTCTGTTGACCACTAAGGGAGTACCAGAGAAACTGCTGACCATCACTGACAATATTTTTTACTCTCCCTCATAACCTGCTGAAAAGCCTGAAGAGCAGCTTCAGCCATAGACCAATCAAACCCCACTTCTATTGAAAAAGCTTTATACTTTAGGTCTTCATTAACCCCTCAACAGGCGTATAACATGCCATAGTTTATAGAGATGTATATTAATGAAATAGTTTTGTGTGTGTGTGTGTGTGTGTGTGTGTGTGTGTGTGTGTGTGTGTGTGTGTGTGTGTGTGTGTGTGTGTAGCCTATTATTTATTTTAAATTAAATGTATTCTACTGATTCTCATCCCATAACATGACAGTCTCGGACCTCTCGCATGTGGACTGGAGGAGCAGACAATGGGCAGTATATGTACATGACGTGATACGTCTCCATGGTAACCACTGTGTTGTTGAGTGCGGTGTTCTGTAGTGGGGGGTTATTTTGCCAACTAGGTTAGTCATGGAGGATCACAGAGTTCAGACCAGCGACTTTTACCGAACGGACCCGAACCTGCCCCACAGGTTCAACAATCCGGACTGTTTCCAAGGCTACGGGTAAGTTTAGACTTCGACTTCAGTCTTTAAGAGATATCCCACAAGTTGTGTTTTAGTCATACGGATAGGTTAAGTTGTCCCGGTTTACTGAGTGTGCCAATACCAGTGTTCAAATATAGTTATAGAGGAATAGAAAGAGGTAGAGCGATGGTCCAATAACTGGTGCATTATTATTGTTATTGTAAATACCCCCTTTCCACCTCCACGCAGCGAAATGTGTTTTTTGAAACTTATTAGACGTTTGATTTGACCTTGTACAATATAGTCTGTAGCTACGTATCATCGGTTAACTTCGTTAAAGAGTAGAATACCACTTGTTCTTTTCCGCCTCAGCCAGGTATTCTAAGCACTTTCAGTTATTATAACTTAGGGTGTTTGTCAGTCTGATACCTCATTATCACACAACTTCTCTCATTTCACAACTTTATGGAGGATGAAACAGATCAAAGTAAACACACAAAATATTAACCACGGAGAAAAACACACTAGGACACCAAATTAAAACAAAGATGGCAGCCACTCTCTACAACATCGGCTAGCAACCAAAAAAACATATCTAAGTTAATGCAGAAATGTGAAGGATTACCACCATTTTGGTAGCAATACACAGTGGTCTGAGGGGCCATAAACAAACCTCAACCAAAACGCCACTCTGTAGCCACAAATAGGGTCCTAGCCATAGCTCTAGCCACCAAACATCTTTTTAACTTTGCCTAATTACCTTAGCAAAGAGACTAAACACAACTCACCCACTCTCTTCCAGCAGCCGCTTGTTTGTAGCGAGACCTCAGGCCAATCCATTACGGACTGCTGCGGGGTGATGCAGCACAAGGAAAAACATTTATGATAATTTATTTATCATTTCCTTTAAGTAATTATCATCATATTAATTATTTTGCACTGCAGACACTGTAGTTCTTCTGCCTTAGCATCTTGGTCTGATTGCATTTCCATAAAGAAATTATCATAAATGTTCTTCCTTGAGCTGCGTCATCCCGCAGCAGTCCGTAATGGACTGGCTCAAGGTCTCACTACAAACAAGCGGCTGCTGGAAGAGAGTAGGTGAGTTGTGTTTAGTCTCTTTGCTAAGGTAATTAGGCAAAGTTAAAAAGATGTTTGGTGGCTAGTGCTGTGGCTGTGACCCTATAAGTACTGTTGATGAAGTTAGGTGCTGTTCTGAGCATTATTTGTGGTTATAGAGTGGCGTTTTGTTCGAGGTTTGTTCGTAGCTCCCCAGACGGATGTGTATTGCTATTGTGCGGTTGTTACTTAAGTTGGTATAACTAGAGAGGCAGGCGGTTGGCAACATTCATCTCTAGAGGGAGTGTCTAACTTGGTGTTACGGTGTGTTTGAGCCTAAATTAATTTTACGCCAGAATATTCCTTTAAAACGCCCATGACAACTGTGTCTTACTGTCTAGCGTAATTGTGTACTGGTGCGCTTTCACTCTGATGTTTGTGTTTCAGCGAGAAAAAGAGTAATCCTCTTTATCGGACATCCAACCAAACGTATGGCAGCAAGAAACCAACTGTGCATGAGATGCCGGTGAGACACAGATAGGTGATGTAGACAGACAGGATAGCTGGAGCTCAGAACCAAACTGGCAATAAAATACATATTTAAAGGACCAGTCTGTAATTCTTATGTGTCGGTGTGTTTCAGACTCAATTCAAAGGGACTTCACGTCAGTTTTCTGAGGCGATGCTGCGGGCTGGAATGTACCACAATAACAGTCTTAACATAGCCCTGGACAAGAGCGCGGCAACGGTTTCCACAGCAATCCAGAAGAACAGAAACAACCGCCATTACTTCTTCTACCATTTAAACCAAAGCAACGGCCATGATGGAAACAAGTGATGACAAAGCTGTTAACAAACACATGAAAATAAATCATAGTGATGTTCACAGACGGACAGATTTATTTTACCAAACTTGATGTCATCTGATTTTAGGCGACATTGAAACCTTACAGAGTAGAATTACTTCACTCTTTGAGCACAATAAAGAGTCATTAATGAAACCATAATGTTCAGGTGTCTGCTGTTATGAATGGATCAGGTAATCCAGTCTTAGTTTGCTTGGTGCCATGTGCTAGTCGAGATCTTCAAAAAGAAAAGACGTTTGGATTTGTCCACAGGGGGGTGCCAAAACCAAAGCGAGCTTTCCTCCTAAAGGTTCACTTGTCACTTTCTGAAAGCTGCTTTAATAATAATTTCAACCGTTGAGAAGAACTAGAAAGGTCTGATAATTAAAGAAATTTTGTTTCAATTTAGTTCAGTTTAATTTTTCATTTTTGAATTCCTGTCAAAATGAAAAAAAAAAAAAAAACTGTTCCTGAGAGTTTCTTTTTCTCCCGCTAATATGTCATTTCCTTTCCAACACGCTGTGAGAGTGTGAGTTTGTGTGTCAGATGGTCCTCAGCAGGTTTTACACACACTCACACAACACCTCCCCTCTCTCTCTCTCACTCTCTCTCTCCCTCTCTCTGTCTCTCCCTCTCTCTTTAGTGCGCACACGCCAGCAGATGGTGATGTTGTTTCCATGACGACTGAATGAGGGAAATGATGATTAATTTAGAGACATTTTTCTCCTCCATCTGCGTCCTCTTTTTCTTTTCGTGGCTCAGTCAGACAGAAACACTTTCACCCTCCTGACCTCAGAGAGACGCTCCACTGGACAGGAAGCTGTTCAGACACCTGTCTGTGTTCACCTGGACCGAGTTTTCACAGGGTTCAATCTGGGTAGGAATTACTTGGATGCAGGTTTGACTGTTTTGCAGCCAAAAGGAAAATCTTTTGTTGTGTTATAAAATAAGAATTTTTAAAAAAGGAAAAAGGAGGAAAAGTTGCTGTTGATGAAATATTTAATGTTTCATAGTAACAGCTGTTTGATCTGATACGTTTTTTGGACTAAATGCTTATTTTTTTTTAAAACTCCAAGTTTGATTTTCCAGAACCTTTGCTCATGTGATTTTTCTCCTTGTTTAAGATTCGATTCAGTCTAATACCTCAGCCTGATTGAGGTTCCTGTCGTAAATATGACATTGTGGAGGTTTTATGCATCAGCAGATGAAGTTCGGGCACAGCTGGCACTCTGTATCTTACTATTACCGTCCTCCTCATCATCAGAGTCAGAAAAAGTGACTCAGCATTAATCAGTAGCCAAGCTGGGTTGAAACCAGCATCAGAAGAGCGGCCACAGGCTCCAGGAGATCAGGATCTCTGGCACGGAGGAGGCAGCAGAAGGTTGTGGACAGCAGGGTTCAGGGAGAGCTGAGAGTGGGCAGAGAGGGCTGAGGTCATGTGGGCTTCTGTTATTCATGTCTCATAGCTGCAGTGGAGGAGATGAGAGAGAGGAGCTCAGAGAAGATAGAGATTTAAACTGAAATTTAGTGGGGCTTTGAGGGTCACGATAGATACCCAGGGATATAAAAGGCATGCTAGTACATGAGTTTGGTTGGCTTGAGAAGCATATAGGAGGGAAATCTGAAGAAGAGAACAGATGTTTATTTCCATTTGCATAAGCACAGGAAAGTGCAGGCTTGCAAATAAAATATAAAAGACTAACAAACAAACATTTTCAGTGGTCTTCAGAGAGGTGTAGATATGAATTTACAGCAGATCAGAAAATATAGTGCACACTTTGATTAATTTACAAAGACCATGTGTAAAATAATACAAAATAGCTGTGCTTTTGCAAATTTCAAAGAAATCTGTCACATAATTATTTCACATAAAGACATTGAATGTCAATATGCAAAATTATTGCATTTGAAAACTTTGCCCAAATACTTCAAATAAAGATTTTTCACAGTAGCACATTGGATATACAATTGCAAGGCAATAAAATCCCATTGAAAGCATCTGCATTTGTCAGCAACCATGAAAAGTCAGTTGTTGCACATAGAAAATATGCACAGGTCTCTTTTAGAATAACAACTCATTTTTGTCATGCCTATGAAAATTGTGTCCTAATACTGCATAAAAACTGCTTTACATGATAGTCTAACTCATCTATCACTGATGCACAAGAAAGGTCTAAAGGAAATACTGTTGCACAAGACTATTTTGTCATATTTTCTTGCATATTGAATGTTATGCACAATTACTGCACAGTAAGATAGTGTATATATATTTGCACATCAAGATTTGTTAATTCTTAGTACCCAATATTTTGCACATGTATTATTGCACATTAACATTTAACATGGACTTCTATATTTGGTAATTTTGGCTCATTGTTGATGCACATCAAATTTTTTACATGACGTACAGCCAGTGAAATATTACACATTTTAATTTTTGTTGCCGTTTTGCACATTAATCATTGCACATTTAGGTCTTGCATGTAGTATTGTGCATGAATTGGTATTGTCTCCGGTGAAAATCTTGCACATCTTTTTTTGCACATTAGAATTTTGCACAAGATTAACTGCAAACAGATTATATTAAATCACATTACACATTTACACTTTTGCATAACATTCTTGCACTTATGCTTCATGAAATTTTGCATGATGTTATTGCACACAAAAATGTTGAACATCCATGTGATCATAATTTTCATACACTGTAATTTTAGCAAAAAGCAGAACAAATCGCGAGCTTACTAAGACCTAACTCTGAGAGCACACAGAGAAGTGCCACGTTGGGTAGATTTTCTCTTTTAAACCACATTTATTAAAATTGTGAAAAAGCCTCCAAAGAATTCAAAGGCAACAACAACTATGCCAAGCGCTTTGTTCATGCGGTGTTTTTTTCTCTGCCTGGAAAGCCTTGGCAGAGATGGCTGATACACAGACAACCCTCATGGGACTACTATTGCAGAAACAAAGAATACATTTATTAATCAGAGCACCTACATTGAATAAAGCTTCAGTAGAATGTTATACATCTTTTACATTTGTAGATGTTCATGATAAATTATGTCAGAGGAAGGTGACTAGGGTCTGAAAAATAGCAACTGTCTCCCTGACTCCCAGCACTGCCTGTGGCTCTGATGTCTACTAAGTAAAACCATGTTCTCTGATAAGTGTGTCACACTCATCAACTCACACCTCCTCCATGTCTGGCAGTCCATATGTCAGATTTCAGATCAGCACATGAAACAAGCCTCCAGCACCTTCCCTTCCAGCCAATCAAATGCCAGCTAGCATTACTATATTTGTCTTCTTGGATAGGTACCCTCTGTGGGATGGGGGTAGGGGGGGCACATTGAACCATCATGACTGAACAAGTTTGCTGAAATACTAGTCCGGACATGACTCTTCTGCTCATGCAAAACTATATGCCGAGCCTGAACATAAAATTTGGGGCTTTACAAGATAAACTTTTTTGTACAAAAGTTGTTTTTTAGTCTTTTGTACCAAAGTTCTGTCCTTCAAATGTTCTTCTTTTTTTATTGTATTTTATTAAACCTTTATTTTGAGATGGTAAAAGCAGAGAGGTTAAACTTGTCAGCTTGAGTCCGCTGTTTTCACAGTAGACAGGCTAAAAATCTACCAGCTTGAAAAACTGATGGATGGTTTGATTCATGTTGTGCTTTTGAATTCACTAGGAACGTAATCCAACTACATTGAGTTCTGTACCTTAATTAGCACCTGGACTTAACAAGCAAAAAGTAGTTGCACATAAAGCGGTTGCAAAGCTGTGCTTTAAAGGGTGCATTTGACATCCTTTAAATGAAGACTGCTGGGTGTTTTTTTTAAGAGCTAATAAGGAAGAATTCAACCTCATATAAACATGTACAAGAAGCAAGTAATACATACATACATATCAATTCATTCATACGCTCCTGAAGACAGATCCATGTCTGTATAAATTCTGTGATCACAGTTAAACATCCCAATTGTTTGATCACACACACACACACACACACACACACACACACACACACACACACACACACTATGGAGTGAGGGATCTTGTTTCCACTCGACTGTTTTCTAGCATTGGCTGAGAGAAGATGAACGAGGGGGAGGAGGGAAAGATGAAGGATGTGTTATAGAGGAGGGAGGCAGCAGGAAGAGCAAGGATGGAAGAGGAGGTAGAGGAAAGAGTGGGGGAGGGAGGAGGAAGAGCGGGTACGGGAGATGAGACACAGAGAGGAAGGAGGGGAGGGGTGAGAACAAGAGGAGGGAGGGAGGTGGAAGAGCAGGGATGGAGGGACCAGAGCGAGGTGGGAGGAAGAAGGAAGAGCAGGGAAGGAGAGGCTGAAGATAGAAGCAGAGGGGCTGATAGCAAATAATAAGAGATACAAGCAAAGAGATAACCAGGTTAACTGATAACCAGGTTAACGGACAGGTGAAGGAGATTCTACCTGCAGGCAGTGGATGTGTTTTTGACACAGATGGAGTCAGACGAGAACCTGGTCAACGTTTTCCTGCTGCTGCTCTTCAGTGCAGTCTTCACTGTGGTAAATATATAATGTTTCTATTTTTGTTCTGCTCTGCTCTATTATGCTCTAATCTGTCCTATCTGTGGCCAATATTCAATGTTTCTATTTATACGCTCCTGTCTTCTCCTATACTTAAGCCTGTACTACTAACACTCATAATGATCCCACTCTCTGTCTTTATCTGGTCTACTGTGTTTTACAAACAGACCTGACCTGAAACCTCGTCTGCTGATCATGGTTGTCATATCTGACTGAAAATGGTTCAGGATTTTGGGGGAAATTCTGAATTTACTGGTTGAGAAGCCAAACTGGAGTAAAACCCAAATTATCTGAGTTATTAATGAGATTAAAAAAATAGATCAGTGTTAAAACAGTCTGATCTATTTTACATTTCATGTTTTTATCTGATACATACCGTCAGTTCAGTCCTAACGCACACCCACACGTCACTCATGCTGCCTGTGTGCCTTGCTCAGAGGCACAGGGGGAAACTGAAGCTTACGCATCATGAATACACAACTGGTATTTGCTCAAATTGACTTTTTGGAATTGGATTTAATGTATAATAACGTGTCTGTTATCAGTTGCCAACAAATGTGCAAATAATCTGGATTACCAAGGAGATCACTGCAGATTAAGATCAGGAACACAAAGGGATGCTAACATTAGGACTGCATTGTTTCTAACAGCTATAATATATAAAATAAAATGTAATGATTTAAAGCTCCCCTGAGATTATTATTATGAGAAAGAAACTTTCCAAATGATGCCAAAATTGCATTTTTGTAAATTTTCTATTGCAAAACTCACAGTGAGGGATATTTTTTAAAAGCAATATGCTTTTGTCATAAAAAAGAACAACAGCTCAAAATCAGTCGTGGGATTAGGAGGTTGAGGCCTCTGATTTTATGCAGCAGCTGATTTTTATTCAAACAAAACAGTTTCTCCTAATTTTAGCTGTGCTTTAGCTGTTCTTGAAAATACTTCAACCTAGGGAAAAATATATTGTTACTTCTTCAGGGGCGATATCAACTTTGTTCAGAACTTTTGCAGATGTTTTTTTGGTGAAGAAATTCACCACACTTGGTTTTTCAAAGTTCAATGTCCAGATGTGGGGCCGCTGCTGATGCTACCACACTACATCTATCAATGGTCCTCTATGCTGGTTACCACATGTCTGTCGATGGAGGATAGATGAGGAAGAAGGAGCAGACTGCTAGTGAGTCAGAGAGATGATAAAAACACTTTTACAAACTCAATTTCCAGAATTAATCTAAAGAAAGGATAGGATTGATTAGTACTCTAATGAAATTTAATTTGACTGTTTCACTTCCATAAAATATGATCTACCAGAGGTAGTAGACCTCAAAATGACAGCATACTTTTACCATTCAGGAAATAAAGCAACTTTAAATAAAGACAGAAAAATATCTAAATAAAAGCATTATACTTGTTTATAGCAGGGACTTATATAAGTTTTGGCTACAGGGCTGGTGATGTGGATAAATAGCAGACTTAATATTATTAGAAATGTGTGATGGCATATAAGGTTATTGCAAATGTTAGTAGAAGTAATGTGCTTGGCTTCATTTTCAGAGACTAATCATTTCTGTTACAAGTTGAGGTTTTAAGTGTCAGTGTTTGGATGTAAATGATAAATGGACTGAATATTTATAGCGCCTTTCTAGTCATCAGACCACTCTGAGCACTTAGCTCAACATGCCATTCAGCTCGTTCACACACATTAACACACACACCATCACACACTCATTCACACACACAAACACACGGATGGCTCAGCCTTCTGGGATAGTTTGTTTAGTGTCTTATCCAAGTACATCCAAGTGGATCCAAGGATTGAGCCACAAACCCTGGAATCAGTGGATTTTATCCTCGTATATGAGACTTTTCCAACGCTATTTCTAGTTCTCATACTTACGCCGATGCCTCTATGATGGTCGAATGTGGTTTCGAACATTTCTAAGCTTCTTTCTGAAAACGTATAAAAATCAACAGACTATTCGTGGCTCACTGGTTGACAAATCCTTCAATCTTTGTGTTATGCTTACAGTTTTCTTTCAGTGATGCTTTCTTATTTTTATTGAGCCTTGTTAAAGCCTGAAATGTAACAATGACTCAAAATGTAATAAAAAAAAATGTACTAAAACTCGAAATGTAATAACTGGTTGACAATAAAACAAGATGATGAGCCCGAAACATAATAACTTCTTGCCCAAAATGTAACTTATTACATTTTGGGTCAATTATTACATTTTTAATTACATTTCAGGCTCGCACTTTCATTTACATTTTTGATTAATTATAACATTTCAGGCTTTATTCCATCTATTTTTATAACATTTCAGGTCATTGTTACATATCAGGCTCTAACAAGCCTTCTTCAGTTTCTTTTTCTTCCAGTCTTCCAATCTCAAAACTAGAAGTATTGCCCCAGGGAATCTTTGGTTTGCGTCATTTTGGAGCCCCCTGTGGACTGCGAGTCTTTGCTTATCTTTTTACTTCATGCTTGAGTATTGATTTATTACAACAAATCTCATTCTGCTGTAAATTTTATGTGGGAAATATAGAGGCCTAGCTAGACCTACCCCCCTCGCACCGGTTTCAGATAACAAATATGGGGTTATAAAAAAATGTCTGTCTGATCACTGATGCTCTTGTTGGTTTAAGTTTATCACTAAAAGGCATCAACATTCATTTTAATCTATTTAATGAATGTTAAAAAACTACTCATAGGAGCTTTAAGCTAGATACAAATTTGTCAGTGTCCAATCACTGACACTGAATTATATTTTTCTAAACTCTGTTCATAACTGAAACACAATGTAGTTTGTTATGTTTAGTGTATTTTGTAATTTTCATAGATTTTTTGTGCCCTTAATAATGACAGAAACACATGTCAGGGCCATTCCACAAAAAGAAAGGGGGTTTTAAATAATGTGTCTGATATAGATCGTGTTTTGTGGTTAATTTCCTTTATAATGAGCAGGAAGCCTGAAAACTGAGGACAAAGCGAGGACAGTGAATTTTAATATTTAACAGTTTCTCTGGTTTTCACACATTTTAATCACATTTGTCATTTTCACACATTTTTGTTACATTTGTTATTTTAACAATCCTCCTCCTCAGCAGCTCCTCCTCGACAAACCTCAAATGCTTTTTATTTTGTATCTGTATGATACTGAATATGTTCAGATTGTGTAATGTATGTGAGTGTGAGTGTGTTAGAGGACTTTATGACATTGTGTACACATCATAGACATACAGTCTATGGTACACATTATGTGACACTGAGTTCAGCCTGTAGAGGGCAGCAAACATACACCATATGCCATCATAAAAGTTTTAATTATTTCAGGGTTCTTACAGGGTTTTTCCAGTCTGTTTGCCCTTCAGCAGGACTGTCAGGTTTGCACCTGAAACCAGATAGCCTCTATAACCCTTTCTCTCTTTGACTAATAGGTTGATACTTAATAATGGACTAAACTTTGCACTTTGTCATATTTCCTTCTTTGCTGTCAAACAGGTGGGTCCCGCTGTCCCTGAGGAGGGCTGGCAGGTATACAGTTCAGCCCAGGATGCTGAGGGTCGATGTGTTTGTACGGTGGTCGCACCTCAGCAGACTGTCTGCTCCAGAGATGCCCGAACCAAGCAACTCAGACAGCTGCTGGAGAGGGTAAAAAACAATTACATTAGCTTTGATTGACTTTGAGCTCATAGTTTGCACACCTGCACCTCCAGGTGACTTGAGTTGTGTCTCATTCTGCAGTTAGTACTTGAGTTTCTCCCCGCTCCCCTTTGGCCCATTGAGTCCTGTTCTCCCTCTGTAAACTCATGAAGGTGTCCTCATGTGTCAAAAGTGTAGACATGTCAGACTTACTCATTATCTAATGTGGTCTTGCCACTTTAAAAACCTATAGACCCAAACAGTTGATCAATGTGCTGCAGGCAGGAGATCACACATGTTGTGTCCGTGTAAAGTGCAGAAATAACACTTTAACTGAGGACAGTGTATGGTAGAGCTGAACACTGTCTGTAGTGGTCGATACTTTACCCTCCAATTTGGTTCCCTGACTAATACACTTACTTCTTACAAGAACCTCCTACAACCCCAGGGAACTATTCCTTTGATAGAAACCCACCTCTGGGCATGCTAGAGCTGGTTTGGTGCTGCCTATGTTCCTGGCTGTGTCATCAGGACCAAAGACAAAAAGACTCAATCCAAAATAAGAAATCTACTAAGAGTTTCATTGTGGTTATCCTGATTTTGTGATATTTGATCAAAGGTGCAGTATATCTGGCTTTTACATTGTTGTATTTGTAGTAACAGTGCCGTAGCATCATGAACTAAATGATGGACTTCTTTGTATCCTCCATTAGCAGAATATAAACAGTAACTTACCGTATTACTGATTTTAGTTGAGTTCGTATAATGCACCAATTTATTAACAACTGTAATAACAGCAGTGGAAATTTATGCAGCATGGCGCGTTTGTGTGTTTCAGGTTCAGAACATGAGTCAGTCCATCGAGGTTCTGGACCAGAGGACTCAGAGAGATCTGCAGTTTGTGGAGAAAATGGAAGTTCAGCTGAAGGGTCTGGAAAACAAGTTTAAACAGGTGGAGGACGGACATGAGAGCAACATCGCCAGACAGTACAGGGTAACACCCACATCATGATATCACACTTACAATCACTGCCAGACAGTCTTTATATACACTTACCTGCATGTGCGTGGCATTTCATGGATAAGACACTTGACTTACTGATGCAGTCAAAGAGCCTTGTCAGTGCTTTCAAGTTGGGTTGCAACCATGAACATAAAAATCTTCTTATGATGTGTTTTGGTTGCATTATGTGCATATAAATAAGCCCACTGTTTATTGTTTATTTGCCCTGCTTTACAATGATTGCATTTATTTTATTCATCTTACTTAGGTGATTATTATGAGGTCCTGATTGCTGGTGACCTACACACCATACTGTGCCTGATCACCTCCTGTGTCGCACAACAATATACACTGAAAGAGTGTTGGTTCTATAAGCAACAGACAACAAGAATTGATTCAAGGAGCTCAGACTGAAGCAGACAGATGTCAGATCAGGACAGTGTCTAATCTCTGCTGTCTCTCTGTCAGTCCATCAAGGAAAAGATGGAGGAGTTACGTCCCCTCATCCCAGTCCTGGAGGCCTACAAGGCGGATGCTCTGCTAGTCCGACAGTTTAAAGAGGAGGCAGCCAACGTGACAGAGATGCTGGGAAATCTACAGGAACAGCTTGGAGGTCTGGACTACCAGGAGCTCCACAGCCGAGTGATGAGCCTGGAGGACAGACTCAGGGCGTGTATGCAGAGGCTGGGTGAGGAAAAAGCTACGATACAACCAAGAATCCTACATAAATGCATCTTCAGAAACATGCACATTGTCATGCATCAACACAAAAGAGGATGAATGATGCAAATTCAACAGAACACATGCAGAAATAGATGCAACAGAAACTTAGTGCATATCAAGTGAGGAAAAATATTTTAAAAGGATGTGCGGCCAACAGGAAAGACAAGAATGTAGGTTAATCATCACCAAAACTTTCTTCATACTTAGCCTGACACTGGACAGATTCAGCCAATAGTACTACTACCTGCATGGCCAACTAAGCTAACGAATCAAATCCATTAATGTAAATGGGATCCCAAAGCCTGTGGAGGGCAGATCACGCCTCCCCACCCCTCCCCATCGATGTGCATACATGAAAAGCTAAGGCAGGGAGAGCATCAGCAAAGACCCTCAGGGTACAGAATAGAGCAGGTCTGAATACACATGACACTGCTTTAACCAAACACAGCAGAAAAAGGAGGAGATGGGGTGGCAAACTGATTTTTGGAGGAAGCAGCAAATCATGATTTAGTTTTGCCAAACCATGAGACTTGGATTGATGATTCTACTCAGTGCCCCCTTCAGGCCTGGAGCACAAACACTGAGACACTTTTTCTACTCCATTTGTTTCTCTGTTTTTGTTTTTCACTTTGCTAAATCTGTGTATTTCTGTTCTTTCTCTCTGTTTTGATGACCACCATCACAGGCTTGATTCATCAACAGCAAGTTTCAGTTGTGTTTTACTCCACCATCTACCCTCATGTTCTCATGTTTTTGTTTCAGCTTGTGGGAAGTTGACAGGAATCTCTGAGCCAGTCACCATCAAGACGTCTGGATCCAGATTTGGATCATGGATGACTGACCCAGTTGCTGCACCTGGAGACAACAGAGTAAGTTTATGCAGTTGCAAAAGCAATTAATACAACAACTACTTCTACTGCAGCTACTTCTATTATTACTGAGTGTTTCTATTAGTGCTGATGATACTAAAACTAATGATATAAGGGATTGTACAAATAAAAGAACGTTTACTGACACAACAAACTGAAGTACTGGAGTTTATTTCAAATGTTTAAGTTAATTTATATTAATTACAGCCACACAGGTTTGAAGAAAAAGACAGTTATGAGTCAACCCCTCTGCCAACCTGGTCATATTTTTAACAGAGCTGTTAATGCTGAGATCCTGTAATAGTATCAAATAACCAGGTAAAACTAAACCTGACTGTAAAACCAGGATAAAAATGGACTGAAATGACAGAGACTGTGTTTCAGAAAAAAAAAATCTATGTGATTTTGATTTGATCACTTGACCCGTGTTTTATCCGATCACAATTACTCCTCACAGGAGCTTTACTGGAACAATAGCTGTGATTACATGAACCAATAATAGTAAGAAATTTGTGCCTAATTGGAATAAAAATGCTCTTTGTGAGGTAAACTCCCAAACAGACTTGGAAAGATTGGTCTAGTCCTGCCCATTCAAAAAGGACTTTTATTCTGGAGAAGAGAAGTGACAACATGGTGTTTATTATTTGGTTCAGTATCCATTTAAACACTTAAATTAAGTGTTTCTTTGTGGTTGGGGTAACATTTTTCCTTTATGTGCATCTTAAACTCTTTGGTTATTTCACTAATTCTTTGACATTTTTTGTGCTCTAATTGATGTTTAACTCTTCATATTTAATTTTATCTGATGCTTTAACCTTTCTGGCAGTTTTTCTTTTATTATTTTAACTGCATATTGCTATTTAATTGTTATTGCTTATGTTGCACATCAGTCTTAAACTATATATTTTCATTTTTGCTTTGTATGAAAATCAAGATGATTTTAATGAGAATGGAGAAATTTGCACATGTTTGCATCACCTCTGACACTTTCTTGACTGATTTTCACATTGTTTTTGGTTTATCTCCTCACAGGTGTGGTACATGGATGGTTATCATAACAATCGCTTTGTGAGGGAGTATCAGTCCATGTATGACTTCATGACGACAGACAACTTCACCTCTCACCGTCTGCCTCACCCCTGGTCAGGCACTGGCCAGGTGGTCTACAACGGATCCATTTACTTCAACAAGTTTCAGAGCCACACCATCATAAAGTTCGACTTCAGCACGTCGCTCATCAGCCGCTCCCGACAGCTGGACTTCGCCGGCTACAACAACATGTATCACTACTCCTGGGGGGGCCACTCTGACATAGACCTCATGGTTGATGAGGGAGGGCTCTGGGCTGTCTACGCCACCAATCAGAATGCTGGGAACATAGTCCTCAGCCAGTTAAACCCAAACACCCTTCAGATCATACGCAGCTGGACCACCAACCACCCAAAACGCAGCGCTGGTGAGGCCTTCATGATCTGCGGGACCCTCTACGTTACCAATGGATACTCCGGTGGGACCAAAGTGTACTACGCCTACTCCACCAACTCCTCTACCTATGAGTACATCGACATCCCTCTGACCAACAAATACAGCCACCTGTCCATGCTCGACTACAACCCTCGAGACAGGGCGCTTTACGCCTGGAATAATGGCCACCAAGTCCTTTATAATGTTACACTTTATCACATTATACAGTAACCATATAATACACACAGCTCTTATAATGTTAGCTACATTTAAAGCAAATTTATTATAATATTGTGTGAAACACGAAAGAGTAACATACACAGTAATGACAAGTCTCTGCACTGTTATATCCAAAACATGATACAGCCAAAAAAAAAAAAAAAACAGAAATAAATCTGTAAAACTGGATACAGTAATTTAAGGAATTAATTTAGGGATCATCATGTTAACATTTAAAGCAAAATAGGATACCACAAAAAATAAGTCCTTCAAATAAATCTTAATGTCCAATTTGACCCGAGTCAAGGAGAGGAGAGGAGTGAATATAAGGTTTCTTTAGCATAAAGAGAAGTTTATTTAGCCTAGCTTAGCACCTTTTATTGAACTGCAATTGACTTGGCTTATTCATAGAGAAGGGTTAACGGCTTAAACAAATGGTCAGTTGTTTGTTGGTCAACAGATGGTTCCAATACTAGCTCCCATATGCAGTTTATAAATATGTTAAGCTTGGCTAACATTCTCCTGTTTCTTCTGTCCATGCTAAGCTAGGCAAACAAATCCCAACTCTACATGTACTGGAATTTTTTTGTTCATAAAAATATTTGATATTCACTTGGATCAAGTCAACGCTTAGGTACGATAAAATCACTGCTTTTTCAAGGTTATTACCAAAGTGTTTGACACAATCACACTTGCAACGTGAACAACACTATAAAAAAAAATCACAGCAACGAAGCTCTACCTATCACAATAAGAGACACTGAAATGTTTTGATTATTTGAAGATGCACACAAAAGAATGCGACACACTTTGTACAAAGAGATTTTTATTTGAGTGACATTTTTTGACTCTAAAATCAGATGTACTGTTCTTACTCTGAAGTAATAATATCAATAAGTTTCTTATGACTGTTGTGCATTATACAAAAAGAATACAAGGGTCTCTCTTTTCCAATATTTCTTAGAGTTTTGAATAAGTTGGCAAAGGTTTAGCAGGGCTATCCTAACACTTTTTTCTCCATTCGGTTGTGCCAGAGATGTAGTCCCTTGGCAGCCTCTATCACATCCTCCCACAAGGTTGAAAGTCCTGTCAGATCACGAAGCTAAGGCCACAGCAGCAACATTAATTTATGTAGTTACACTAGAGCTTTGATTGTGTGTTGGTGTGTTTGATGAGGATTTAGTTTGGTGTCCTAGTAAACCAGTAGTTTACCACTAATCACATATAAAAGCAGCTTTTCTTGGCTTTACCAAACTGCCAACTCTTACGGTTTATTGGTATGTTTAAACTGAAGAAGGAGTTCTTCACGCCAAGCAGCCTCTGAAATTCTGCTTCTTAAGCTCAGGAGCCTCCATCCATAAAACAGGTTGCTTTCTGTTTCCTGACAGGTCAGTCTTGGTCCACTGATGAGTTAGCTTCTGTTAGTATGTCTACAGCAGGTCAATGTCTGTCGACCAGCTGAGTGATGTTTTGTCTCATGACAGTTGTCAGTCGAGCGGCATGTCAATGAGTCTAGTGATGGATTGTTTTGGTCATAGTTTTACATGGGCCATTGTTATTTTGTGCCCACTGGGATATCAGTGTCTAATACTCGACGGTTTATGTTTGTTATCATGAGGTTGGTTTTCTTTCAGTCTACTGGTATTCAGAACCAGTGCACTAGCAAGCCCATTTTGGTCCACCAACAGGTCAGAGTCTGTCACTGTGCTCACTGGCAGGTCAATATGGGGCCTCTGCCATGTAGTTTGTTTGTCGGCCATCAGATTAGTGTGTTCAGCAGCAAGTTAGTGTGTCCTCTGGTAGGTAGGTCCATCACCAGTTTGCTGGGCCCATCCATTAATCTGGTGTACAAGTTTTTGTGTCCACTGGCTGACTGAAGTATTCATTGGTAAGTCTTTTGTCAGTTAGGTTGGTGTATCCACTGCCTACTGGGAAAATGGTATTTGTTGGCAGGCAGTTTTATGTCCATTCACTGTTAGGTTGATGTGCCTTTCTGCAGTTAATTTTTTCCAATCCCAGGCTAGCATCTGTCTCAAGCATGCTGATGTGTTTCCTAGTGTGTCCTCTGTCCTTGTCAGGTTGTTGTGTTCACTTGAAAACCTGATTTGTCCACAGACAGGTCAGTTTGTAAACCAAGTTTATGAAGGCCTGTGAATGTCCTCTAGCATGTATGTGTCTGTCTATCATTTGGTTAAAGTGTCCACCTGCACCTGTTGTCTGTCCACTTTTCCATCAACTGGCATTTCCTTCCTCCATTTGTGTGTCCACTTGAAACTTGGAATCCCCACATGGAACTCGTGGAACTGTGTCTATTGGCAGATTAATGCGTCCATTATGAGGTTCAAATGTCCACTTGCAGTCACTTTCAATTCACTTTCAGGCCAGTGACTTTCACAAGCTTGTTGATGTGTTAACTAGCATGTCCTGTGCCTTGTCAGGATGATGTGTCCACAAGCAATGTTAATTTGTCCATTGGAGATCCATGTGTCTCAAGCGAGTTTTTGTATGTTCATTGGTAGAACTGGGTTTGACAAAATTAATGTACCGTAGATACCTGTCCACTTCCACAATAACATCTGTCCTTTGGCAGGCTGGTGTTCATACTTGCATACTTGCTGATGCCAACTTTCAAGTTGGTCTGCCTACCAACAAGTTTAGTTGTGTCCTCTGTCCATACAGTATTTGTACCGGCAAGTAAATGTCAGTCCACAGACAGGTTAGTGTGGGTAAGTTGGGGTGTATTCACTGGTTTCTGTTTGTCTAGTTTCCATTGTCAACTTTCAACAGACCATCAATAATTTTCTGTGCTCTGACATGACATCTGTAGTTCACACAAAGGTCACTGTCCACCAGTGTGTCAACTGGCAGACCAGTGTCTGCCTATCAGCATGTGGGTGTTGTCTCGGGCAGGTCTCACGTCAGATGCCAGATCACTGAGTTAATGTGTGCATGGAAAGGTCTGCATGTGTCTACTGAGTGGATGTTATTTGTTCACATAAGTTTGACATTTCCACCATTTATTCATCCGTCTGCAGGTCAAAGTCTGCCCACAAGCTTGTTTTGTATCAATTGACAGATCTTTTGTCCATTGTCTAGTTGGTGTAGTCTCTGGTATGTTATCAGACCACAGTTTTACAGCTTCAGCTGTGCCAGAAAAGGATGTGTCCAGTGTTAAGTCTTGTTCAAGTAATGAAATGCATGTAAACATGAATGAATGTCAAAAATGGCAATCAGACTCTGCAGGTCCATATTGAAGAGATGTTTGGCTCAACGACAGTAAGACAGATTTCATGGACCTTGTAATGTCCCGGTATTGTCATTTTCAGCAAGTCTTAGATAATTTACCTGTTTGTGTTTTTTGTTCGGCTGTAAGTGATGACAGGAAGTACATTATATTTATTACAGGTGTGCATTAAGGGTATAGTATTTCATATAAACAACTGAGATTTCTTTTGTTGGTTCTTTGTGTTTTGTATTTTAACAGATTCTTAAGATTTGATGTCAGATTTTGCCTCTAATTTTTAAGTGGAGTGCTGTTGCAAACTGGTGGAAAAAGCTTTGATAATTCAGATTAAAATGAAGGAAAATAACAGACTGCATGATCAATTTTTGTAAAGGAGTTTTTTGTTTGGTAACCACTGGCCTTAAAAGCTGATGTGCTTTGGATTGCATCACCTGACCCCATGATGTTGAAGGGTTTTTGTTTGTTCTTTTTTTCTACAAAAGTCAAATAAAGAGGCTCCACTTGATAAATAAACTTTTCCGCCTGCTGTTTGTGTTTGTGTTTAAGATGAGTCATATTCTGGCGTAAAACACTGTGAAGAAACATCATCAGTCAACATAAAGAAACATTTCCCTTTCACTGCCCAATCACTGGGAACCATATTTGATCTTTGTCGAGCAGTAATAACAGTCCGTGGAGAATTGGTGACCACTACTTTAAAATATAAGGTAATTTCAGGTCCTCAAAGACATTGCTGTTATTTTTTATGATCTGGACTTTGCCCGTTTGTTGGACGATCAAGAAAACAACCTTGATGGGGCTGTTGTTGTCATCTTTCTTGAACCACAGGTACATGGGCTCAGCTCTGCCCCGCTTTCTGAGGTCCACCTTCACTCTCTTGTGGCCTGACTTCTCAAAGCTTCATACTCAAGATCTTTGATGGAGATCTGCGGCTCTTCTACGGTTTCTCTCAAGTCAGCGGTGTGATGGTACCACATGAAGACATACACTCCTCCTGCTGTGTTTTCATCCATATGGGTGCAGCTGAGAATAAGGTGAGGTCTTCTGCAGAGGTATCACTGCCTTTAACTTCACAGATGTGTATCTGTGTCTCTCTTCATACACAGGTAGCTTCTTTCCCCCATGGTCTTCCTGGACAAATCACAGGCCACCCCCTCCCACCCCCTGCTCAACTATCATGTGAACCCAACAATAGAAAGTTCTGACAGAAAGGAACCTGCAAAGTACCATAAGTTGATAGGATTTCCTTCACCCTCAGGGTTGAGGTTTTGACAATCTTGTAGTACTTTACAGAGACCAGGCCGTGCTGCATATCTGGCATGTACATCAGTTGAATCCTGGTGATCCCTTTGCTGCCTTTTTTGTACCAGATAAAGACGATATTTTCCCTAATTCCATGGGCCACATCAACGTTGATTTCCACAAATTTTTATCTATTGAAACAGATCCTAATCAGCCTGATTGAAGGACACTCCAAGCCTGTCATTCAATCATTCAATTGAATGTAATCATTCAATATTTTAAAAAACCTTCAGATTTTGCTATTTTATGGCTGAATTGTCAGTCAGGTTTGTGACGTGATGTCTAATACACATGTATCATATAAAATTTGCGCCCTATGCTAAAAAAATACTGAGTTTGATCCAATATTATCTCAGCATTAAGATTGTCTTCAACCTCCAATTAAGTGTCACTTCAATCTGATTAAGTTTCCAGTGTCTTTTTATACATTTTGGATATCTTTCTCACAACAGAAACGCTTCATTTAAAAGAGCTGTTCACTGAGGTTTATCTGCCTGTGGTAAACAAGGATTTAATTCAAAGAAATTACAAAACTCAGGGGAAAAAAACCCTACTGTTACATAATCCTAATCTTTGAAGGGGTATCCATACAAACATTGCCCTCCATTTCCCAAAGAAATCCTGTTTACTCCAGGGGTGTTTGTGAATCATTTTCAACCCATGCATACAACATTACAGAAACACTTGAAACACATAACTGCTAGACGTGCAGGTAGAGATAATGTGTTACTTTGTCCCCAAAGTTAAATTTAGACCCCAGTTCCTGTGGTTGACCACACGCAGTTCCTCAAAAGGTCCCTAGTTCCTGGGGAAAGAGCCTGCTTCATCTCCTAGCGCCATCATCCTCTTAAACCTAAATGGTTTTGTATGTTTACACTCTTATCTCTAGCATGTGCAGAGCACAATGTGCTATCATTGGTTAATATCACTGACAAGTGGGAACAGGCTGTAATTGTGCTTAAATCCTGTCTGTCCTTGGCACAGGTCTTGGGCTTTGTTGGGTCTACTGATTTTCAAAAGAAAAAGAAACCCCAGATAGAGTATTTTCAAGAAAAGCAGCTTGTATGGGTTAATATGAACTGTAAAATAGAGGAATGTGTCTGAGTTGCATGGCATTGCTCCAAGACTATACAAGTGCAGCACAGAATATTTGAATGTCCTGAAAAAGACAATTTTTCCATCGTAATTTAACTAAAAATGGTAAACTTCCATATATTCCAGATCCATCACACACCAAGTGAAATATTTTAATACATTTTTGGTTTAAATTTTGATGATTATGCCTTATGGCTCACATGATCCATTATCTCAAAATATTAAAATATTACAAATCAAGAAAAGGGTTTTAAATTCTGAAATATCATCTTCTGGAAAATTATGTTCATTTATGCACTCAATACTTAGTCATAGTTATTATAATTCAACTGGAAAATTCTTGAAACATTTCACTTTGTGATGAATCTAGAAAAATGAAAGTTTCAATTTTCTAATTGTGGGGAAAAAAACAAACTTTTTCAGGACATCCTAGTTTTGAGCAGCACTTGTACATTTCTGGTAAAACTTTCTGGTAAACTTACAGTTGCTGGCCTGCAGGTGCCTGTGTATAAGATAACTGAACAGAGGTCAACTAAGTGACTGATGTGCATGCTTACCATTCAACCCATGCATTAGTGCAGAATAGCCTTTAAACATCAGTCCACTGTCATGGTGCAAAATACACTGAAGCAAAATCTGTGTTATATTTGGATGAAAATAATCAGTTTTAATAGAAGACACCAGGTTAGCTGCTGAATAAAAATGAATCACACCGTAGGATTTAAAATCACAACAAGCTGTTTTATTGACTGTTGCTCACTTTTAAACCAATGACAAAGTCAATGGAACTTCAATAAACAGTCTGTAATGTGTTTGAGTTTTCAGTCTGATGTTAAAAAAGAACAACAAATCAGCAGCTAGAAGTCTTTCAGCTCAAGTTCATATACAGTCTGCACCTTCAAAATAAAAGGCCTCTGAAGGTAAAGGATGAGGCTTTCTTTTGAAACTTTTACCACATCTCGTCTTCTTTCTCCATCCTCCTTCCTGTGACTCTGCCAGTTTCTAAAATCCATGGGGAGGAGAAATAAGGCTTGCTGAAACAGATGTAGGGATGTAAGGATCCCTTTCCAGGATGATTTGGCACATGTGATGATTAAAACAGGTTTAACATACAAAACAGAAATTTATAAACCTAATGTAAAGCTTCAAATGCACCAGCAGGCAACTCATGGATAAGCAGTTCTCCAATTTATCAATTGATGTGAATTTGAGCTGAGGGAGCTCCTCTTTTCAAATCTTAAGACATGGTGGGACAAGTCTGCAACAGAACATGTCTGTAATAACCTTACAGGTTATTACAGACACCTGTAAGGTTAAAATGCAAATTAAGGTTCTCTCTGCAGCGTGCTTGGACATGAGTGCTTTGTCCTCCATAAAAGATCATCTTCTAGCTGATGGTCCTGTTTGCTATTACAGTCCATAAAGATCCATTTGTATGAACTTCAGTGTATTAAATAACCAAAAAAACTAATCACGGGGTTTTTAAAATGGGAAAATTGAATATGGACGCTTGTTTAAGACCTACAGAGGCAAACAAGGCCACTAACAAAGAGTCTTGAAGTTTTTTTTAACGCTTTTCATGGCAGCCCAACCTGAAAGTGTTGTCTCTATTTTCATTCTTGGTCATTTAAATAAAATATACTCCATAAAACTTCCCAGTATGTTTGCCATGACAGACAAGATTGGAAGAAGCTCTACACCCACTGATTATTATCTGCCCATAATGAAAGCAGACTTACAGGCCAACATGTGAGCGATGGCAATGCTGGCACTTCTTACCTATATGTACAAAAATATAACCAACTGGCTTTTATAACAGATGGACAGATGATGCAGCTGCACCAAACGTCATATTTAATTACATGGGACTGAAATGGGCCAGGAAGCATTGATGTCTCTGTTTCCCTGTGTCTCCTCCTCACCTCCTTTGCTCGTACCTCAGATGAGAGGGGTTTGGATGCCATGAGAGGAGACGAGGAAAGACATTAAGGATGTTCAAACTGGGAAAAGAGAAGCAATGGACTGACTGGGACCTGCTGACCTCATAGTTCATCTTATGGGGACCAACTACTGCTTCATGGCTCTCAAAACCACTGCCCTCAGGACTCTGGCTGGATGTGAGAGATCTTGTCGATGGACTGAAGCAGCTGTGAGACCAAATGGAGCGTCTCTGCTTCCCCCAGGAGCTGACTGCAGACAGACAGACAAAGATAGGTGGGAAAGTTTGGAGGCTTATTATCAGTTTCCCTGCAGCTGCAATAATAATGATAATTCACTCTATTTCTCTGGACCTTCATTACATGATCGCTAAAATTATGCGATGACAGGAGGTTCAAACATGTACTGACCGGATGGAGGAGTGGGCATGCGTCGCCGTCTTGTTCAGGTACTCAGAGGCCACCTGAGCATTGTGTCTCATGGTCATGACAACCTCCGACTCTGCTGCCTTCAGGCTGTCATTCTCCGACCGCAAAGATTCAACCTCCAACTGAAATGTCATGTACACACATTCACACGTCGTGATAGCGTGTATGGGTTGGGTAACTATTATAACAGTAAAATTATGTAAGGTTTTTATGAACCCCACCTGCAGCTGATGCAGCTCGGCCTTCAGTTTGGAAACACTGCTCTCTGCTTTTACTGCTCGCTTCTGTAACAGACACACGCACACCATCAGTTTAAAGATTTTAAGATCAGTGCTCTGCAACCGGTGCAGTTACCTGACTGTGTGGACATTTACACACATGATTCCTGTGGATAAGTGACTCTTGGAGGAAGTTAATCTACATCTACAGTGGGAACAAGACTGTGACACGGCCTCACGATTTAATCCACCCTCATATATCTATATTACTAACTAACTTATCAGACATTAATCCACAAACTCGTCTACTTCCATGTGATCCCAGGATGTGGAGAAATCCACCTCCACTGTGAGGTCATGTGTTGGCACTTAACTGTGTGATGCTCTGAGGTTTTCTTGATGTTGTGACCACATGTATGTCTGTAGAAAAGCTCCCAGTATGATTCTGAATGTAGAACTCAGCATGTTCAGAGCTGCTCAGTGGAACATACCGTCATCAGGTGGAGGTTCTGCTCCACAGAGTGAACCATGCTCTCCAGATCCTGAGCCTCCCTCTCCTCCTGACGTCTCCTCTGGAGCAGCTCCTCTGAGAGCTCCAACACCCTGACATAAAGGAGAGTCAAACAATAGGCATTATGGGTAAACAGCCTTATGAATGAGATACATGCTGTTGTGTGATTGGCTAGTTCTCACCTGCGGTCATTGACCTCTGATTTCTTCTGAAGCTCTCTGATCGTTCTCCTCAAGGCCAAGTTCTCCTCCTTCATCTGAGTCACACACAGGGGAGTTTGGATCATCTCAGAGGACTATGGCTCACACTTACAAGCTACAAACTTACCCTAACTATACAGCATAATTTTAGTTTTTATTTCAGTCTTTGTCCAATTAGCAGTTTTCCCTCCTGACTTTAAATCCCATGATGTGAGACGGGATTAGATTAAAATACAACAGTGTGAGAGAATATGCTGCCATCTGCTAGTCTTACACAGCTGTGGTTAAAAGTGTCACGAGTGTCACACGTGCATGTTTTTTTTTATTCTCACCTGTCGCCGCCACGCTCTGATGGTGCAAAGCCACTTTTTTCTTTGCCTCCACCTTTAGATCAGACCACTTCTTCTTGATTTCGGCACAGTTTTGTTTTCGTCTACGTCATCGTCAACGAAAACAAAACTTCACGTGTTTGCGCGCGCGCGTGCGTGTGTGTCTGTGTGTTGGAGGAGCACAGCAGGCTGATGAGAGCTGTCAGAGCGGACAGAAGCTGCTCCTATATGTTTAGCGTTTAACTGACTGAGTTTTGCAACTCTGTTCATCATTTTCGTCTCGTCCCATCAACGTAAACGCACTTTCGTCTCGTCACATTTTAGTCATCTCCGACTTATGTTTAGCTCGTCAACGTTACGTCTTCGTCGTGGAAGAAAAGGGAAATATTTCCGTCAACAAAAACAACCAGTGTTGTTCTCGTTGATGAAAATATTTCTTTTTGACGCTGGTGTTGACGAAAATATTTGACGAAATATGACGAAAACAACACTGTTTCGGCAACGCTGCGCTCAGTGCCAGCCGCAATTGCCACCACGGCAACGGCGTTTTTATTGGTGATGCCACTCGAATGGCCGCCGAATAAGGTCTCCCGTCTCGCCGCCACCTCATTTACAAGAACCTCCACCTCGATCTCTGAAAAGTTTCTTTTTCTACGACTTGCTGATGCCATGGTTAAGCGTGAAATGCCGTGGATCCACCAGGCTTATCTACATGCAAATCACATTCATGAGGTAATTTGCATGACCATACATGGTGAATTTTGGGTGTGGAAAGGGCGGGGAAGAATCAAATCCCTGCTGAGCAACTTTCCAGCTTGTCTGTGATTTATAAAGGGAAAGTGCGTGCAGGTGTGCGTAGGCAGGGTTTTATAAATCAGATTTTTTTTTTTGCCTACGCACTTTTCAGCTTTTCAACTTACATACACTTTTAGTATGGATCCTACGCCAGGTTTTATAAATGAGGCCCCTGGTCATTTTTACTCACTCAAAATCTGCCATATTTTGGTTCTCTCTCCTGCAGCTGTTATTGTGCCAAAGACCCTGAGTGTTCACCAGGGAAGACTCATATGCCCCAGGAATGGGTGGAAAAGAAACCAAGTTTACAGTTTCTATTTTTTTAAGGAATTTTTTTTATTCACGAATGCCTGATTTCAGTTATTTTGTTGCATTTTTATACAGTCCCCTCATGGCACTTTTTTTCCTCCCTTTGGACATTGCACAGTTAAAAAAAAAAGGAAACTACTTTAATTCGTCATGTCACCCATTCTTGAGAGTCGGGACAAAACATGTCCTACATAAAAAAGTCTAATTTATTCAAAACAATTAAGAAATTCTAAATGTTTGACATACTCAAAAAGTTAAATCTAATGGATTTGTGTATACCAATCCTATTTTTTAGCACAGATATTTACTTTTTTGGGGGATATTTGTTTAAATGAAACGTCTGTGGTTAGAAGGTCCATGTTATTGCTTGTGTCCTCAGCAAGAGGTCACAATATTGACCAGCCCCAAAAAACTTTAAAAAACTCTATAATTGTGAAAACATATACATCAAATAAAAATTCAGGGCTATAAATATATAAACAATGAATGGCCTGAACATCAAATAACTTTTTGCCTAAAAATCTGCCTATCAAAGTTGTGTCCTCAGTTTCTGTCAACTCCATCAGATTATTCTATAAACCTCATTAAATCATGCAATATCATGGTCAGCTATATCCCTGGGGACCCCTTTTCATTTCCTGCTTCTGGTGAATGCAACACCACCACACATGGTCTGGTAGGTTTTACAGTTTTTGATATTTTAGAGAAACAATGTCAATATTTTTATGGTCACAGCTGGACCATGTCAACACCGTCTCTCCATTATTATACTTTTTTTTAAACCATAGTGAGTTCAATTAAAGTATTTTAGTGAGATTATCAGGACAGCTAGCAACTGCCAAAAAAGTAGCTAGCTGCACTGTACAATAAATGTTTTGGAGGGAAAATACACGCCCTTACGTCAACTCCGTCAGGCGTCAACTCCGTCAGATTTTGTGTCTGACGAAGTTGACATGTAAGCTGATGGAGTTGACAAATCCAGCTATAACCTCTTAATGTGCTGACATTATGCTATTTTTGAACATGGTTAAGGATAACAATGTTATTCCAGGGTCTTATCTGCACATAAAAGTACATATATAGCATATATTACGTTATTTTACCATATACTTCTGTTTTGTAGAGTAGACCATGGGCAGGCTGTCTGCTTAATTATAACTGTCAAACTTTCCCACACACACACACACACACACACACACACACACACACACACACACACACACACACACACACACACACACACACACACACACACACACACACACACACACACACACACCTAATCTCATTGATTGATTGATTAATGTCCAATCCTAAAGGTGCAGTATGTAATTTTCACTACCTAAAATCTACACACTGGCTTCTTATAGAGTGCGCAAGAAGTTCTATGTTGCTCTTTTAAACCCCAGTGTAGGTGGGATACCAGATAGAAGAAAAAGGTTATTATTTTTACATTGTTAACTTGGACCCTCAGACCTTGGGCTCTATTTTTGTGTCCACCGGCGACATGGCGGAGGGTGGTGAACCCCGCGCAGTGGCATTTTCGTCTGGCGGAGCTCAGCGTACAGCCAGTTTGGTATTTTCGTGGACTGAGGTGCACCGAGGTCCGCCAGGCTGGGCGTGGATGTGTGGCAGGGTGAGGTGTCCACAGAATCAGCTGGTGCAGCGACATTTTCGTACTTGTTGCCGGCGTGTAAAGTGCGCTGAAAGCTTGCAGATTCAAACCTGGTCAGCTTTCAGCACAGGTGGATCCGGATGGGCTAGTGGTATTTTGGGAGACCGGCGGCATATCGGCCTCACCAGCAGGTTTCCACAGTGTCAGGAACATTTCCGTGCAATAAATAATCAATAACAACTAATAATCTGTGTCAGCACATACATTTAGATCTATATAGATATATTCTGATCTATATCTGATCTGATGAGCGCATTTGGCACGCGTTTGGACACTCAACCTGACCAAATTAACACAGCTGCTGAATCCGCATGAAATTGAATCAAATATCTAGTAAATAAACACGCATTATGAAGTTAACAAGATATTTAATTTGTCTGCCCCCATTTCTAGCTTCCTCTTCCTCTTATTTCTCGCGCAGCTCAACCTGGACATGTCTCCGTGTCCTCTACCCGTCCTGCTGCAGCTGCTGCTGCGGCAGCTGAACAGATGATTTGTTCCAGTGATCGGATGAGTTTTTTACTTTAAGCCTACATACAAATATTATAATAATCAGTTTTGTGAGCCAAATTTATTTTATATGCCAACATCTATGAAAGAAAGAGCCAGGCCACGGAGCGCGATTTACACACAGATTGGTTCCGATTTTAATGCCATTATTAGAATTTATGTTGTGACCTTTGCGCACAACCCACCTTTGTCACGTGAGGTTTAAATATATGCAATTTAATGTGATTGTCTTTATTTGTGGAAAAGGGTGTTTGTCTTACCAGTGGGTCCAACATTACACACACCAAATCCATCTGTGCTTATATGAGACAGTGTGAAGGACGCCCAATGCAGCGCTTACAGTGACACTTGTTAAGGAGCTGCCTTCTGTCTCCATCGTGTGGCATTGCTGTCTTCAGACATCTCTTGATCTCTTTGACTACTTCATGAAAATGGTAATTCGCCTCACTAGTGGCGGATTCAAAGGCGAGAAGAGCTGATGTTATTGGTCAATACAGGTCTCGGCTGTGTTTAACCCACTCTACGCCCTCTCTCCTCCCTCCCTATGACCTACGCCGCTGGAAGGAGCTGAGTTAGGGGAGGGGGGATACTTATGCCGGGCTGCACAACTCACCAAAATACGAAAATGTGCTTGGAAACGCCTTGTCGGCGCAGTGGTTAATTGCATTAACGTTATGTTCAGTATGAAAACAAGGAGTTATTAGTTCTTAATCTATTTTCACCTATTGACCTATTGTCAATCGGTTTAAAAACACATTTGTTCAATAACATATGCAATGTCATTAACTCCGTCAGTTTCTCGTCAACTCCGTCAGGTGTTCGTCAACACCGTCAGATATATGTTTTTCTTCAATTTTGGAGAAAAAAAAATTTGTTTCTTCAGTTTATATTGTTTAAGCAATAAAGGAGCATTGGCGCTACATCCTCTTGTGTCTTATTTACTTACAGAAATTGTTTTTATAATATAAAAATTAAAAACAAAGTTTGAAAATACAACTATTTAGAAATCTTGGTTTTCAAAATAGTGTGAAATCACACATTAGGTTTATATATTATATTTCATGGCATATCAGAGTAACTAAACACTATTACAACATACATCAGAACTTTAGATTCTTGTTGGACTAGAATTATTAAAATTATATTCTTTTTTTGTGTGTCTGATGGAGTTGACACAAATTCACTGTCTAAGGGAAACATGTTAATTTATAGAAAAAATGTTTTTATTTGGAGCCTGTTCCTTTACGGGGTTAAATAGCTAAGACCTTTCTCTACAGTAATAAATAACTCTAATCAATATAGTGTGCATTCTCAAAAAAAGTTTTTTAGGAAGTGTTTTGTCCCGACTCTCAAGAATCCCTGATGTATTGTCCTATTTTGATATGTTTCGATGACAATTACTTTTTCTTGGGTATATTATTTCAGGTAAAAATCACCCAACGATAGTGACGGTGTTTCTAATTTTAGTGATAGTGTTCTAGGGTTAAATGTGTGAGTTACCTGCTGTATCTGACTGATTCTCACGCTCTTCTTCCTGCAGGAGGAGACTGGTTCAGCGATGGAGGTCTCATCGTCTCCTTCATAGTTCTCTCCCCCTCCTTTCTGCTGGATTTCTGGCTTCGAGGAGAACCTGGTTTTATTCAGAGGTGAGTGTGGTGTTAAGGGAAGCTGTGGTTAAACTCAGAACTCACAATCTTTGTCCAGCTTCTAAAAACCAAACCTACCGATTACAACAATCCTGATAAGTCCTGTGAATTTTAAATATCAGATTAAATTGAAAAAATGACTCTTGACAGCCTGACATCACTCACCTAGTCTCCTCTTCATCGTCTTCTTCCTCCTCTGTGCACAGGGAGGAGGTGCTGTCTATTCCAGACTGGAAGCTCCGCCCCCACTCCTCCTCCTCTTCCTGGTTGGAAAAAGAAAAAGACGTTTGACTGTGACGGATGTGGATTTATTTAGGCTGCAATGGTTGGTCATCGAGAGAAAAATCAGTGCTAAAATAAGTTAAAGTAGAAAATGACAGTGGTAAATGCAAAGCCATCAAGTCCTACAATTTCTTAAGTCCAGGAGCATCTCCTCAGGCCAGGGAAGAGGCCGGTGTTCCTGGATCGTGTTTTACATAGTTTCCTCTTTGCATAGTACAGTCTAAACCTGCAATCGTAGAGGCAGTAATAAACTGTGTTCAGAGACGATGATTTTTGGAGAAGGTTTCAAAACCATGCAGTGAGTTCCACTACAGTCAGGACTGTTTCAGGGCCTGTACTGTGCACGATGAAACCCTCAAATTCTTGAAGTCTGTCACAGAGTGATAAAAATTGCCCCATTTGAGTTTTTAAGAGTAGTGAATTTTAAAGCCTGATAGTCACCAAGTAAAATAGCAAATCTATGATCTGATTAGTTGATTAAGTGTTTCAATAATCAATAACAAGCTGACTTTAAAATAAAAAAAACATGGATTGTAGAATGGGGATGCAACTGAGTGTCTCAGTGAGCGAGCTTTAAATAAACAGGGTTTTTTACACGATGTTGTCAGCAATGATGTCATTTCACCTGTGGTGCCAAAGAGGGCTCCGAGAAGAAACAGCTCCTAACCTCAGGGTCAAAGGTCACGTTCCCAACGTCAAACAGCCTCTGATAACCGCTCGACTGAAAATAAAGACAGACAGGCAAAGAGAGATGGTTAATGTTGTGCACGTCTTCTTCTGTTGTCTCGTTCTGTGCAGGTATAACACCTTGCTCAGTGTCTGCTCATTGTCCAGGTTCTGGTGTTGGTTTTGGTCCTCCTCGTGGTCCTGGTTTTTCCAGCGCAGAAACTCTTTAAAGGAGAATGGGTTCAGCTCCTCTGCGTCCAACTCCTCATCTGCTGGGGGATACAGATGAGTTAGTACCAGTGTTCAATCACAGGCTGTGTCGAATTTCCCCTCGAGCATGAATAAAGTTCTTCTTATTCATACATCCTCCCAGATTACACACAGGACGAACTATACAGCTTAATTGGACCTCAGACATACAGGATTTAAAAAAACATCACCTCATATCAACATCTGATAATATTTTAATGTAAATGTAAGATGATCACTCGGAAAAAGCTCCCATCCTTTAAATAGAAGATGCTGAAATTCACTATCTGGACACAGGTGTACAGCAGCAGCCTGTAAAGCTGGTCGAATGGTCGGACTGACACTCCCTGCTCTCTCACCCTGCTCCTGCTCTACCCACTAACCTGTCTTCTCTAAATAAAGGCAAAATGCTTGAAAATCAATCATTAAAGTCAATCAATACATAAACAAAACAAAGAAAAAAAAGAAAGAAGGTAATTAAGTAAATGAATAAGTAAATACATACAATTTGCATCATTAACATCATTAACATTTTGTAGAATTTGCAGTCAAGGTCACCATGAACACCACAACATCTGCTGCAAACTCCTGTGGATGTCTTATCTGTCCGTGGTAGCATGAAGCTGGACTCTCTGGTTTTGGTGACAGAGAAGACGGCTATAGACAAACTACTGGACATTATGGACAATGCCAGTCACTCTCTGTACACCTTCATCATCAACCAGAGGAGCCTGTTCAGTGTTACCAAGTGCAGGACCAACAAACTGAAAAACTCCTTTGTCCCTCATGCCATCAAACTGAACAAGGAGGAGTAACAGGAGGGCAGAGGGTGGGAGGGAGCAGCAGTAGTAGTGGTAGTAATTGTAATGTCCATATCAAAAATAGCAAAAGTCCATACCTTTATATCTTACTTTTTATATGTAAATACTTCATTTATCTAAAGTTTCTGATATCTTTTTTCTTTAATCTATTACTTTTTTTTCTTACTTATTAGACCATTTTGCTTTTTTTCTGTACATCAATATTGATGCTACTGGAATTTTAATTTTCTTGAGGGAAATCTATCTATCGATCTATCTATCTATCTATCTATCTATCTATCTATCTATCTATCTATCTAGATACAAAATTTTATTTTACAAAATTTTACAAAATGATTTTTTTTTTTTTACAAAAAAATACAAAATTCATATCTGGTTGAATAAAATATCTTTTTTTGTTTAACTTTTGTGAAATATTTTTTTTTAATGAAATATTTCTGTATTCAGTTAAAGGGGTGGTACTATGCTTTTCAACATTTACAACAAAAAACTGCAAAGTCTGCATAATCTAAGAAAATAGATGTAAACTGCTCAAAACAGGACGCTGCAAGAAAATGCAAAACTGATTCAAATGCTTGTGTTAGAGGCTCTCCTTACTAGGTCATCTGTGCTTCTGGCAAAGCAACAGCAGCTTAAACCTGTGTTAGACAAAGGCTGAAATAATGATATTTAAATATACTAGAGTGAAAAACCAAAGATTTTTTTTAAATCTGAAATAGTGGCATCAGAGAGGAAGATTCAAAATACCCCCTCTTTTAAAGTTTTGGATTTTTTTGTAATATTTTTGCATGTCATTAAGTACTTTTAGTATTTCATGTAATGTTTTTTCTCATTCTTTGTTATTTTTTGTATTTTTCTGAGATGTTACTGTTCCATAAATTTGTTGTTTTGTAAACTGTTTTTGCATTTCATTAAATGTTTTTGTTCAATGTGAAATCGTTTCATTATATTTTTTTATCACCTGATGAAATATCAATTATTTTTAATCATCAAGTGAAGGTTTATACAGTTGACCTTCAGATCCACAGTGACCCTTATACATTGTGTCACTCCATCACTGCATGTTTAGTAGGGTGACTATATTCTGAATCCCCAAAATGAGGACACTAAATTTTGAGGGTTTTTTGGGTCGGGTCAAGTGTCTTTTAACTCAGTTGAACGCATATTCTGAATTCCCAAAAAGACACTTGACCAGGCCTCTTAGAGATACTGAAAACTACTCACACAAAGTTGCGTTTATAAACAAGACAATTATTTATCTAAAGCATTTCTCCTCAACAAAATTATCAGTCATATACAAATATTTCTCCCTTTTCTTTCGCTCTATGCGTGCATCATGTCAGTGGCTTTGTGTAGAACTGAGCAGAGGGGCAGAGCTGCAGAGAGCACTGATGTGCTGCACTGTTTTACAATGAATGAATACACGTTCAGAGTGTGTTTCCAAATGAACCATTGAACCTGTATAGTAAATACAATGGTCTGTGATGTGAAGATAAAGCACACGCTACACGAACTCAAAACTATGGAAGCCCGTATCTGCCAGTGAAAAAACAATGGGCTTCCATACAAAACCCCAGACATTTTAAGGATTTTATAAACACACACACACACACACACACACACACACACACCCTATGTCCCCAAAAGAGGACATAGTTAGTTAGTTTGTTTATTGTCCAGTGGAAATTTGTCTTTAGTCCCATCGTGTACAAAAAAACAGATCAACAGCAACAAGGACAGCAGCAACAGACACATAACAAATACACACAAAACATCTTGGCAGCAAAAAGAGGGAGGACAACAGTGGCATTTACTGTACAAAACAGGCAGATCTAACGAGACATATGCCTACTATCATTCAGTGCCCTGATGGTGTTAGGAATGAATGATTTTTTCAAGAGGTTATGATTTGCCTTAGGTACTTGATAATGTCTGCCTGAACAAAGTATAACAAACTCACTGTACAGAGGGCGAGAAGGATAATTTTCTATCTTAACAGCTTTTTTCCTAATCATTTCCTTGTAGGTACAGCTTAAGTGCTTCTGTGTCTTTCCTATGATTTTAGAGGCTAGATTCACTATTTTCTTCAGCATACATCTGCCTTTTGTGTTTAGGTTACCATACCACACTGCCATGTTAAAGGTTAAGATTTCCTCTATGAGGCCCTTATAGACTGTCTCCATGATGTTCTTACTCACTCCAAAGGAGTTGAGCTTACGTAATAGATGGAGGCGTTGATTACAAGATTTAAAAATGTGGTCAGTGTTATGGCTGAAATTAAGGTTGCTGTCAATAAAGGTACCTAAATATTTAAAATTGTCCACTGCCTCTACAGAGTAGACATGTCCGGGTAAAAGAGGACGTATGGCCCCCCTATGTTTAGGAATGCCTGTTGGGTCACCCCAGTCAAAAAGTTTGGACGCGCCCCTGCAAATCCTCGCTGGTGGGCACATAAATGGTCCCTGCTGTTTGATGCTGATCAGTTTTTGTAATGTGGGCTAGTTTGATAGAAAGAGGGTCATTAAGCGGCTCAAACGTAAAGCAAATGTGATCTCCATAGCTTCATAACAACAGTTCAGACTTCATGATATCAAAGCAGAACATGAAAGCTGCGTTAGTGAAGACCTGCACTGACCGTCTGTGATGATCAGAGTCTTGGCTGAACTCCTCTGTTTGGACATGACGTCAGACAGGTGGATGGATGGCCCGGCTGTCCTCGGTCATCGGTTAGTTATTGATCATCATCGATCATCGTGTCCTCCTCGGGGTCCCGCTGTGTTTCTGCTGCAGGACGATAAACACATCCGGAAACGTACCCGTCTCCCTGGATCTCACGTGACCGAGCTTCTTACTTCTCATTGGCTAGGCCAGTCATGTGACACAGGCGGAAAAATTCGGCAAACGTTTCCTTTGCGATCCCGGTGAAAATTGACCACACGTGTACCGTTTTTCTGCAAAGGTCCGGTTTGTTTACCTGCTGAGGCCAGGGGAATTCACTGGAGAGTCTGCTCCGGTGAGTGTCAATATTAACCTGGAAAAATAGAGTATGATCCGAGTCGCAAAAAAAAACTCTTATTGAATATCATTTTAGCATACATCGCTCCCATTAGCAATTGATAAAGCAGAACAGACCCAAACTCGTTCATTGTCAGTTTATCCCGTTTTCAGCTTGAAATGAAAACATCTTTACCAAAGTAACACCTAACTTCATTTATAAAATATTAAATTTAATGTTTTCTCGTCGTGCCTGTAGACTGCCGTTTATTAAAGGTGACCGGAGGCAGTTGGTGATTTAATTGAGTCTCTCTTGAAAAGCTGCTCTTAATTTCCCATTCGTTTAATGCCGAATTAATGATTCGCATTCAAAATAGTTAATGGGCGTTTCCTCTTTTTCTCTGCCTAGTGGTTTTTTTTGCCAGCACATGGCTAAAGTTTTCTATTGGAGAGTTTTCAAACGACCTTTAGCGACAATCTCGTAATTATGCCCCTGGTGGTGAAGCAGTAAAACATGAGGCTGGATCAGGGGTGTCAAACTCAAACACAGCAAGGGCCATAGTCTGGATTTAGGTCTAACCTGAGGGCCAAACAGGGTCAACATTTCACCAAAACTGTCAACCTCATTAAATCATTTGGAAATTCAAAAAAGATAAAAAGATAAGTTTAAAGGCAATCTGAGATAGAACATTTTAAATTTTTTATTCTATTTTTATTCATTAGTTCAAAATATCAGAGCATGATATTAAAAATAGAAAAATAATGCTTTTAAAGAACCAGTACATGAGCAGAAAGTTGAAATCGGGTTTAAAAGGTCAAAGTATGACTTAAAATTTAAAATTTGAATCTTAAGTATAAAAATGACACAAGTCTCAATACTGAGTTGGACAAAATCAAAGCATGAAATAAAAAATCCAATCATGTTTGACTTGTAATCTTGAGATGCAAAATTAAAAACATGAAATAAAACATCAAATATTTTTTCCCCACATTCTTGACTATTTATCAAATCTTCCTTACTCTTTAATTTCCCAGATTTTTGTGGTTTATTAAGGACATTTTAAATAATAGTGCTCAAGTTTACATTATTATACTGGAGGAAATCTGCAGACTTCATATTGGTGGGCTGATAATAATACAAATATGATATGATCTTGTGGGCCAGATATAGTTGTTCCACGGGCCAGATTTGGTCCCCGGGCCTTGAGTTTGACACCTGTGGACTAGATAATAAAGCTACATGTCCTCACCTTTTGTATCTATCCTGCAGAGTTTGAGGATGTCACAAAAGATGTCTCTTGAGGGGGAGCAGCCCCAATCTTCCTCAGTGCCCCAATCCCAGGATGCCACACAATCAACTCTATCCCCATCCCAAGTTAAAACCCAGTCTCAGACTGGTTCTAGCTCTTCGAGTGGCCCTACCTCAGCCAGCCAATCATCGAGTGGATCGGGAACACTTAGCAGTGTGGACACCATCCCTGTTACTCTTGCATCCGTCCCTGAGGAGCCAGAAGTACAACCCTGGGGCCGCCTGCTGCCAATGGCCCGAGGCTTCTGGAGCCATGGTGAGTCTAATGTTTATACCCTTATGCTGAAACAACATAGACACAAGCACTAGATCTAAGAGTACAGTTATTTGTACTGCCATTGAAAATTTTCATTGTGTTCTTTTTAATGTTCATTTGAAATATGATGCCTGCAACACTTTTCAGAAAAGTTGGTGTTGGGTCTAAAACCTGCAACATTTGACTGAAAACATATAAAGAAGAGAAAGACAATGGTTTCTTACTCGAAGAGAATGGACAGAGATAGTTTCAGTTGCAATCTCAAAACCATTCTGAAAGGTATTTCCGCCCAGTCTCTTTATTTAGGGTTGTCCCTGGTTACACAATGTTACTAAAGGATGGGGGAAAAATATGTGCAGCGACGTAAGCACTCTCATAAAACATAACTATGAACAACAGAAAATATGTGAGGGCCAAGGCAACATTGTTGACATTAAATGAGCTCCTTCTGATAGGAGCGGATCCTCCTTATTACTTCCCACGATTCACAGTGGAGGATACATCACACACACACACACACCTGCTAATAGGAGAAACAAGGTCACAGAGAAGTTAAGAAACATTCATGTGCTGTGTAATAAAGCTATTGGAGAGAGACGTTAGAAAACACTCTTATATGATGTGTAACAAGAGGTCAAAACAGTTCATACTTGTAGTAAACTCTTACATAAGAATGTGAGTAAAAAATGATAACTTCTATATAGTACATTTATGCACATTATTCTAACAGTTGGGTAAAGGAAAACAAAACACAAAAAAAGTTTTGTCATTCGAAAAACCATCTGGAGGAACAATTCAGGTTCATTTGCAATAAGTTAATAATGTGACTTAGTATCTACAGGGAGTTTTAGAGAGGCTAAGTCTCTCAGATGTTAAGATAGGAAAGGGGTTTACCATTCTGTGAGACACTGTGTGAGAAAATCTTTAAAAATGTTTAGTCTTCTCAAAATAAAATTGCAGAGAATTATGAAACCTTATAATCTACAGTGGTTTGTTTATTTGCAGACTGTGTGCAGGATCAGTACCTTTTTGGACGTGACCCAAAGTGCAACTATGTTCTGGGGGATCCAAATGACATAACGTCCAAAAAGTACAGAATCTACAGCAAAAAGCACTTCAAGATCTACAGAGTGAGATCAGTCTATGTTGACTAAACTTTAATTTCCTGATGTGTCACCTGATTATTTATAGTTATTGGTTTTGATATGTGTCTATGCATTTTAGGAGGGCGATGAGGTGTTTGTGGCAGACTTCAGTAACAACGGAACTTTTGTTGATGGTATCCTGGTCGGCAAAGACAAGAAGCTTCCTCTCGTCAACAACGCTGTGCTCGCTCTGTCTGAGCAAAGCAACAAAGGTGAGAGTGAGACAAAAAAAATGGAGTTACACACCTCAACCTTAACAGCCAGGTCTAACTTTACTGTCTGTCTGCAGTCTTTGTCTTCATTGATCTGATGTCTGACAGTCAGTCAGCTCTCCCGCAGGAGTTGCAAAGAAAATACGTACTGACTCGGCAGGTTGGCACGTGAGTCTGAGTGTTTGTACTCCTTTGCTGTCACTTCCTGTGCCCCTGCAACATTGTTTCTGACCTCGGAATGTGTTTACGTTTCAGAGGGGTGTGTGGTGAAGTAAAACTAGCCTTCGAGAGATCCACCTGCAAAAAATTTGCAGTGAAAATAATAAACAAGAAGAATTTTCAGTCTGAAGGGGTGAGTCATCTGATCTTCTCTCTGATTGGCTGACAGCTGTCCACTTTCCATCCCCTCTACCTTTCCTCACTTCCTTCTTTGATCCCTGTGGTGGACATAGCAGCAGTTAGAAGGTACAAATGTGGCGACTTGAACTCTAGTTGAGTTGATCTGAGCTGCAGTTAAGAAAGAAAATAACCTGTCTTTTCTGGCACCAGTGCTGCACTTCAGTGTTGGTCAGTGTTGTTATCTGTTTTCATCCAATGACAGACAGCAACGCGAAATGCGGAGACAGAGATTGAAATTCTGCAGCGAGTGAACCATGTGAGTGTGGCACCAAAGAATAAGAAATATGTAAAAAAAAAAAAAAAAAACATTGTCAGAAATTTCAAAGCTCCTCACTCCTTAACCGCTATCCCTCTTTTTCCTGCTATCTTGTACTTCAGCCTTGCCTCACAAAGACAGAAGACTTCTATCAGACAGAGGACAGCTACTACATTGTCTTGGAGCTGTAAGTAAACCCATTTCACTCAGTACTTTTATGTGTTGATAATTAATTTTATTTATTTCCTTTAGTCTGACTGAAACTGGCCTTTTAAAAAACATGTTAACACATCAGTCTGACTGAAAATGCAATAAATGGAACTTCTTGTAGTCTGACTATCACACCTAGATAATGCAGTTGGGGACTGGATGGAGAAGCATTAAATCGGTGCTACATGTAACTGGATGGTATGACAGTATGAGAAGGAAAGAACGGGAATAAAAAGAAGCTCTACCAAATATTGCAGCTGGTTGCAGGACATGAACCTCATTAACCTTGCCCACTTGGTGGTCAGGTTTTTTCAGCTTTTGCCCCAGTGCTAAAATGCTCTACTACTCATATATAAACAAGCACAAAAGATAGATGGATGCACAGTGTGGTTTGGGTGTATTTGATCTAGAGAATGAGATGTACCATCATCCCAAGTTAGGCTATGTTGAATACAGTGTACTCCGAGTGACTGGTTTCAGTGTTTTCTTACCTTTACACTCATCAGTCAGAACTGAGAAATTACTCGCTTCAGCAATTAATGATCCACTTCTCTGTCTGTCTGTCTGTCTGTCTGTCTGTCAGCATGGAAGGAGGAGAACTTTTCCACAAAGTGAAGTCCCAGGGGCAGCTGAAGGAGTCAATCGCCAAACTTTACTTTTACCAGATGCTGAGAGCCGTCCAGGTAAGACAGAGATACGACTGTACACCAGCACACAGTTGATCTGCTGGGCCCGGTTTTTCAAAGGGTTTAATACGGATAAAATTGATCCGGATTTGGTAATCCTATATGCTATCCATGATCACGTAATCCATCTTACTTTTGTGCCAGTTTTTCAAAGCAACATCAGATATAAATTTTTCAGGATCTACCAAATCTGGATAACCAGAGTTCGAATGGGATAGGATCATCCAATCTGTTATCCAAAATCTGAGTGGATTACTTCTGGAAAACCGAGCCCTGGATGTAAGCTTTTGTGTTTGTGTTTGTACAGTACCTCCACACCAATGGAATAATCCACCGAGACCTGAAGCCAGAGAACATCCTGCTGTCCTCACACAATGATATCTGTCTCATAAAGGTTTAAACATACTTTCATTATCGTCATCATTGTCTTTTTTAAACTGTTGTTCTGGATCTCAACCAGTGCATGTCTCCCAGGTTACGGACTTCAACCAGTCTAGGATCTTGGAGGAGGCCATGTTAATGAGAACTTTGTGTGGGACACCATCTTACCTTGCTCCTGAGGTTTTCACGAGAGCTTCCACCACAGGTTATGGTCTCGCTGTGGACGCATGGAGCCTCGGGGTCCTGCTCTTTGTCTGGTAGGCTCTCGGGTCTTACAGCTGTCTAATGTGCCTAATGTTTGTACCAGTGATCACCTGTATCCTCCTGTCTGTCTTTGTACCGGCCTGAATCTCTCTCATCCCCATCCCCATCACCACCATTTTTCATCTCTACCTGCTTGTCTGTCTCTCTTTCTGTGTGCCTGTCTTAGTCTGGGAGGTTATCCTCCATTCCATGAGAGCTTCAGCCCAAAAACAATAACAGAGCAGATCATTGGTGGAGAGTTCACCATGGTCCCGTCCAAGTGGAAACAGATCTCCGACCAAGGTACTGCTGCAGGGCTACTGCACACTACAATAGCAACCGTTAAATTCAGGGCTGTGATCAACCAAAGAAAAACATGGTTGACTGAAAATGCACGCGTGTGTGTGTGTGTGTGTGTGTGTGTGTGTGTGTGTGTGTGCGCGCGCGCGCTCACAGCAAAGGATGTGGTGAAGAAGCTGCTGGTTGTTGATCCCACCAAGAGGATGACGATCGAGGAGGCTCTGCAGCACCCTTGGTTACAGGTGAGTACACCTTGCACACACACCTCTTTGCTACACTTCTTCACTCTGATCCTGGATAGAAAAGTAAATCGCCAAATCCAGATTTTCACTACCAGGATGAAACATATGAAGGAGGAAAACTAAAGGTTTTAGTCTTGGTAAAACATTACACCGGGATTACTGCAGTGTCTTTTTGATGTCCTCCTCAGCCTCCTGAGATCTCCCCTTATCCAACAGATAAAGCTCCACACTTTGAGGGTCAGGTTAAAGACTGAGTCAGAGCCTTAGAGGAGTGCATGTCTGTACAAAGTCTTAGTGATCTCATCAGGTTGGTTGTACTGTCTGTCCAGCTTCTGATATTACACTGATGTTACATAGTGGAAGCGAGGGAAGCTCTGATGAAAGACAAGGGTAAAGGTAGGCTCAGACTGACTGTTTGTGTTTAGGATGGCGAGATGCTGGAGATGGCTCACAGACTCATGTACCCCACTGATGAGCCCTCTGCAGGTGATGCACCTGTTGATGAAGCCGATAAAATTGCTGCTGCCGCTGCTGCTGTTGCTGCTCCCGCGGTAATTACAATCCCTATTTTTCTTACCACCTACCTGTACTTTTTCCTGAAGCCCCAGAGTTTTAGAACCCTGATTCTTCCCCCTCTACAGGAGGCAGGGCCAGCATCGGGAGGTCAGAGGCGCAAACGAGGCAGAGATGAAGGAGATGAGGAGGAGAGTGAACACCCAGCTAAACGAAGCCAAGCTCCACCTCCTGCACCGCTGTAAAGGACCAATAACATCCAGCCATTCAAGCTTGCTGTTGCAAAGTTGGGTTTTGCTGTCAGCCAGTTAAAAAAAAAAGTGAATCAGAACCATCTTGTAATGTAAAGAGTGCACTGTCTTTTCATTCTTCTGTTAAAAACCATACTTTTATTTCCTTGTGAGGTTAAATATTTTATATAAAAAGGTTAAAGGTTTAATATTAACCATGTTTGATCCAATCCATTTTTCTGGCAGCATCTGCGGTGTCCACTACTGAAAGCTTGTAAATAAGGTTTCTATTAAAGTTTTCTATTTTTCACTCTTTGCCTTGGGTTTTTATTTTTAAAAGGCCTTTTTTCATATTAAAAAAAGTGTAAATCAAACCAGCCACAGGGAGAGTGGATTGTACTGATTTGCTGATGAAAGTTTTCAAAATACATTTTAACAAAATCAACTAGAAAAGCACTCGGAGACACAGACCTCCGCCAAGCAGCTCATGTCCCCCCTTATATTGTGATTCACAGCAAAACTTTTACTGTTACGTGTCTTTTATTAACGTTTATTTGTGTTTAAACTGGTATGTTCACTGTTCATAATGTTCCTAAAACAAGAAATGCCCTGACCCGGATTCAAACCCAGGACCTTCTTGCTGTGAGGCGACAGTGCTAACCACTACACCATTGTGCCGCCCATCTACACCACTGTGCCGCCCATTGGTTATCTTTCAGCATTGAAAATTCCAACGACACCCTTATTTTTGTGTGTTCTGGATCACAGTATCCAGAATTTTGTCTGCATCAGGATCAACCTTTGACACCTCATAAAACTCATTGAGATCCTTTTGTGTAACTTTTTACTAAAGACTCTGGACATTTTTATAGAGTTAAATGCAAAAATTCCAAAATTTCCCTATCTCACAATGATAAAGAATCCTTCAAAAAATTCCTGGATCCAGAAGGCGATCCGGATCACCACCAAAATGTAATGGGATCCTCCTGGGGCTGAGACGCACCTCTGGTGAAAATTTCAGGTCAATCCGTCTGTAACTTTCTCCGTAAAGTTGCTAACAGACAAACAAACAAACAAACCGACGCTACCGAAAACATAACCTCCTTGGCGGAGGTAACAAATGATAAAACAGTTGAACCTGAAAAAGGAGTGAGCAGCGGGGGTTTACTTATTGACTGCAGATAGCTGTCTCATGCAGATGAAAATGGTCAGCAGAAATACCAGTCACCTCCATAAATATAGGGAGTGTTTGAGAAACAGCAGATCAAACACGAGTCAAAGTTATGTGAAATTAAAACCCTACAGGCTTTATTGCAAAAATGATTTAAAGGCATAATGAGAGGCAGATTTGGGAGCTGCGGATATTTTATTAACATTTAAACATGTTACAACATCGAGAGAAAAATGAGACCAGTTTAGTCCTCAATAAGACCAAAAAAGACCAAATCAATCAGATCTGAATCTTAAACATCCTTCGGTTTTTTAGAAGATACTGTGTTCCCGTAAATACTGATCCAGAACTCTGACAAAGTCTTTAACCAGGTCTGCTTACTGTTTTTAGTTTAGACTAAACCTGGAGAAGCAGTTTTAGTTTTAGTGATACAGGCTCTCTCTCACAGCTTCAAACTCTCATTAAAATGTGGATCATGAATAGAGAACCATTCACTGAACTGTGATTATTTATCCTATTTGAGCCTTTATAGTGTGTTACGGCTTTTTTTCCTCATTTCCTTTCAGTCGGTTTCTTCTTAGTTAAGGTGCTGACATTACTCTACTTTAACTCCTTTAAATTCAAAAGCAAAATCACATGAAACTGCTCCATAAATTTCATTATCTCTTGAAAACACAAACATTATTCAGCTTCATTGATGCACATTTTAACGACTGAATCACAAAAGCTTCGACACTCAAATGAGTCAATCACTTTTCGAAAAACACCTCAGTCAGAGAGTTTAAGCATTTCTGCACATGTCATGGTCACTTAGAAACTGAGTCCTTTAGGCCTTAAGATTGGCCTTTAGATTTTAGGCCTCAAGATTACTAACTAAATCAAACCCAGGTGGAGGGGGAAAACACACCTGAACATCACACCTCTCTTTTAGTGTTTCAGACCTCATCACATTGTCTATTATGCTGAGAACATCAGCTCCTCCTTGATTTAGGCCCTGTGTTTTTCTATGGCATCACTCCTGTGAGCCGTTCCTCTGTGATGAAGTCACAACTTGGCTTTGCGGCGGTCTCTAACGGAGTACAGGACAGCATGTGCTTGGTCAAAGGACTCCCCCAAAGCAGACTGAATTCTGCTCCTCCAGTGCTGCAGCTGTGGACGCTGCTCCAGGATGTCCCTGCCCCCTCCAATGGGCTGTAGGGAGACATAATAAGCTCAATTTTATGATAGAAAATATGATAATCATGGGTCAAAGTCTGATATTATAACAGCACTAATCCAATTCTTTTAAGGTAAAAAACTATGATTGCCAGCTCTGTTAACATATGAGGCTTCTTACACTCCGGGGCCTCTCACCTGCATGAGCTCACAGATAGCGAGCAGGTCAGCCAGAGTGATGTCATCTCCGCAGAGGAACGGCTGCCGGCGCAAAAACATGGACTCCAGTTTGTCCAGAGTGTCATTTAGCTGAGACAGGGCACGATTCAGACGTGCCTCATCTACCTGAGAGCCGGTCTGAGTTGGGATGAGCACCTTAGACAGACAGGTGGAGACTAGTGTTAGTTGTAGATCTGCACAGTTAGATTTTAGCATTTTTTAAGAAGTGGAAACACACACATATATGAAATATATCTATGTATGAGTGTGTCTGCACCTCCAATATAAAGACTTTGGCAGCATGTGGTCGTGTGTTGGTGTGATGCCAGGCTGTGTATTCATCAACTTTGGCTCGTCTTTCTGGATGCCGTGGATACCAGTGTTCAGGGATATCATAATTATTGGCCAGGTACTTTAGGATGGCATCACTTTAGTACGGGAAAACACACAAAAAAACAGACCTGTCAGTGGTAGGACAGAACCAACCCAAGGTAATTGTCTATCAGGTTTGAAAATCAGTTTCTAAATCGATTTGAGTTTCACTATTTTGAAAAGAAACGACAAAAACTGTCGTTTGATGTGAGTGTATCCTGGTCTTTAAAAACTTTTAGTTTTTAAGTTTAATGCAAGTACCTCTCAGTGAGGACAAAGCCGTTGTCATCCATGACAGGAACTTTTTGCATGGGGTTCAACTTGGTGAAGTCTGGAGTCCTCTGTTCTCCTGAACACGGAAATGTGGGGAAAAAAACTTCAACCAAAGTCCTTTCAGAAATCGACGTGGCCAGTATGTACCGCGCCAGAGCGGGCAAACGACAACGTATTACACATTTCTGTAAACAAGAAATTTGTCACGACTTGCTACACAAGTGTTTATGCCGAATTTATCTGAAGACAACTTTAGTCCAGACTTAATATATTTTCCTTCATAAATCGCCATACACTTGTAAATTAATGATAAGAACCTCAAAATTGAGATATGATCAATGGGGTTCTGTACCAACAGCAACCATGAACTTGAACGGGGTCAAAGTTCTTTGGGCCAGAGGTCATTTACGGTGAAACTGCAGAAAGTCAAAAACATTGTGAACTTGTGACTGACGACTACCCGACCACAACACTGACATTCACTGATCTGTTACTTAACCGATAATGGGTAAGTTAGTTGTGTTGACAGCAGCTCACCTCTCCTCAGAGCCACGGTACGGACTGTGTGCGGGATTTTATTGCAGTTGAGCAAAATGTGCACCGCCCGGCAGGGCTGCGACAACAAGTCCAAATACACCTCGACGACCCGGCGCATTGCCATGGAGACGGATCGGCTACTTGCAGGTAGAAAGGTGAAAGAAACGACAGGACAGGAGACACAGCTGCTTTTCTTCCTCCGTGTGCCTGCTATGCTGTCTGCTGCTGCTGCTGCTGACTTGTTTTGCTCAGCTGCGCCCCTAGAGGCTGATTAGTCACAAAATGAGCAGTCTTGAAGAAGAAAATGAAAATGCATTTTGGAATATTGCTTTTGATTTTTATTTTTGAGTCAAATAGTGCAGCCATGACTTTGAAATGAAAAAGCATTTCTGTTAATGCTTTTGAATTTGAGATATGAGTCACAATCGCTTCCATATCTGTTAAGCGAACCCTTTGGTCACACCTAGATTTTTAACTGTCATCAATACCTTTAATGTGCTTCTTAATACCTTGCAAAAATAAATCCATATTTCCTTCATTTTCATTTTCAATCAGCAGCATATTATTTTTGGTAGATGTCAGCTACACACTGGGAAATATATTTTTCATGCTCACGTACTTGGTTATTAATGTTAAGTTTACAAATAGATGATGTCTCAGAGTTCCTTTTTTCCAGATTAAAAAAATATTTGGTGCACTTTTCGCCTTGTTCTAGCCACCCTTTTCGAAACCTGACAAAGGCTCCTCTGGCCTTTTCCTCATACATTCTGTCCAGTTCAAGTTGTAAAGCTGACAATTCATTTAGTTCTTCTCCGGACAGGTTTACTTTCTCTGATAGTCTTATTATATTTGTAATTATCTGATGTTCTCTCTCTCTGCTTGCTTTGGCACTTTTTTCCCAAATGTAATAGCTATTTTTCTGATATCCTATTTCATTAGTTATCACTAATTCCCCCATCTGTTTAGTGAATTTGCTTGCCTCCAGTATTTTTCAGTAATTTTTTGGACTTCATTTTTAAATTGCTTACTTTGTAATAGTGTTCTATTCAATTTCCAATAATCTCCATTAGAGGTGTATCTACAAAACCCAATTCCATTGAAGGTGGGAAATTGTGATGAACGTAAATAAAAACAGAATACAATGATTTGCAAATCCTTTTCAACCTCTATTCAATTGAATACTATTTATTTTTTTGCTAATTATAATTAACTCAGAATTTCATGGCTGCAACATGCCCCAAAGTAGTTTGGACAGGGTCATGCTTACCACTGTGTTACATCACCTTTCCACTCAATAAACGTTTGGGAACTGAGGAGACTAATTGTTGAACTTTGAAGGTGGAATTCTTTCCCATTCTTGCTTGATGTACAGCTTCAGTTGTTCATCAATCCGGGGTCACCGTTGTCGTATCTTACGCTTCATAATGCGACACACATTTTCAATGGGAGACTGCAGGCAGGCCAGTCGAGTACCCGCACTCTTTTACTATGAAGCCACGCTGTTGTAACACGTGTAGAATGTGGCTTGGCAGCCTCCTGCTGAAATAAACAGGGGCATCCATGGAAAAGACGTTACTTGGATGGCAGCATATGTTGCTCCAAAACTTTCAGCATGAATGTTGCCTTCACAGATGTGTAAGTTACCCATGCCTTGGGTACTAATGTACCCCCATAACATCACAGATGCTGGCTTTTGAACTTTGCATCAATAAGAGTCTGGATGGTTCTTTTCCTCTGTGGCCCGGAGGACACGACGTCCACTATTTACAAAAACAATTTGAAATGTGGACTCGTCAGACCACAGAACACTATTCCACTTGGCATCAGTCCATCTTAGATGAGCTCGGGCCCAGAGAACCCGACGGCGTTTCTGGATGTTGTTGATAAATGGCTTTCGCTTTGCATAGTAGAGTTTTAACTTGCACTTACAGATGTAGTGATGAACTGTATTTACTGACAGTGGTTTTCTGAATTGTTCCTGAGCCCGTGTGGTGATATCCTTTACACATTCATGTCGGTTTTTGATACAGTGCTGCCTGAGGGCTCAAAGGTCACAGGCATTCAATGTTGGTTTCCGGCTGCGCTTACGTGCAGTGATTTCTCCACATTCTCTTTTGATGATATTATGGACCGTAGATGTTGAAATCCCAAAATTCCTTGCAATTGTACTTTGAGAAACGTTGTTCTTAACCCTCACATACTGTTCGGGTCAAATTTGACCCGTTTTGACTTTTGACAGCAGTAAAAAATACCCTAAACGACATTTTTTAAGCCTGAAACTTGATGACTTTTCCTGAAGTTGCCCAAAATACATTAAATTAATTTAAAAATATTCATGTGTATTTTTGTTTGTGTGCTACAAATTTTTCCACTCTGAAGCTGTTACTGGCCAAATTTGACCCGTATCTTTTTAGATGGATTTTAGATCTAGCAGTGTGGGACAAGTGACAAGCAGTAACAACAGTGTTCAATGTAAGGTTTGTTGTTCAAAAAGATATATTCAAAACATTATGAAACCATCATTACCTTGACAGAAACACACACACACAAACACACAGACATACAGTCACACAGACACACCTAGACAGAGGTCAAAATGACCTAACTAGTCAAGAGAACTTTCTGTGACAGAAAGCTGCTCTTTGAACTCTTTGAAGGGGCAATTTTGACCCGGAACATACTGTGAGGGTACAGGATTTGAACAGTATGTGAGGGTTAAACTGTTTAACGATTTGCTCACGCAGTCGTTCACAAAGTGGTGAACCTCGCCCCATCCTTGCTTGTGAATGACTGAGAATTTTGGGGGAAGCTGCTTTTATACCCAATCATGGCACCCACCTGTTCCCAATGAGCCTGCTCACCTGTGGGATGTTTGATGAGCATTCCTCAAAGTTCTCAGTATTTTTTTGCCACCTTTCCCAACTTCTTTGGCACGTGGTGCAGCCATGAAATTCTAAAGTTAATTATTATTAGCAAAAAAAAAAAAAAAAACTTTATGAGTTTGAACACTGAATATCTTGTCTTTGTAGTGTATTCAGTTGAATATAGGTTGAAAAGGGTTTGCAAATCAAACATTATGAGTTTTCAGAAGCTCTCTAATTGGCAAGTGACAAAATAAGACAAGGAAATTACGAGGAACATTTCCATCCTTGGCGCGGATTCAGGGCAGTTTAAATGTAGGAAGTCTGTGGGACATGGAACAGAAGGCCTTATGCAGTCAAAACGCTTTAAAGTCATCATTGACTATTGTCCATAATCTTTTCTCAGTCACTGAGGTAAACAGACCTTCATCTATCAAAAGGTACCATTAGAAACTTCTCAAACTTTTCTGTCAGATTCAGGGACCAAAACCTTATTTACCTTATTTCATCGTCTGTCATCCTAGATAGAGAAACACCTGATTGCACAATAACCACAATTTTGTTGCATGGCAGCAGTAGAAGAGGGTTCTTAAGTGCAGGGTTCAAAGGGTAACAAATGTAACACTTTAAGACAGAGGCTCAAAATGCGGGCTCAGGTTGTAAGGCCTGAAAAAGAGTATAGTAACTAATAAAGTTACGGGAAATAACAAGAACACACAAAACAAACGTTTTATGAACTTCTCATATCCACAGCTTCTGTCAGAGCTGAGCTGGTACAAAACATCCATCCTGGTCTTTGCGACCTGGACAAGGAATTAACCTGGATGAAAGGTATTTGTTAGGTCTTGCCTTAGCCTCAGTATTTTCAGAAAGTTTCTTAGAATCCGACTCAATTTCTTCCTCAGTGGCCCCTATAAGGCTCTGTACTCTCCACCGTTCTCTCACTTTGCATTACTTCAGCTGATGTATTAAGCTGGTAGCGATTGTCTCTCTCATTGTTTATGTGAATGTGTGTGTCTTTGCAGAGTCTTTTGACATCAAAACAACAAGATCAAATGAGCAGTCTGACAGGATTCAAGGTATCAAATACTTTTAATTTTCAAATTTTATGTAAACAACAACAAAACTGTGGATAAAAATCGAGAACTAGAGGTTAAATATACAGGGTACCAACCAGACACATTACAGCAAGTTAAACTGCTGACATCATCATGTTGTTACCCCACAGCTTCTTTGCATATGATTGCAAGCTGTCCTTTTTTACTTTTCCCTTTACTTTCTACATAGATTTACTTTTGATCATGATGTGAATGAACTGTAGAGAAGCAGTTCTAATATGCACCAGACAAAAGCCCTTTCCAGACATGCACACAGATCACTTTCCTTCTCGTCCTTTCTCAATACTGTGGATATGTTTGATTTTATTATAAATCGAATGTAATTAAAACCATGTGACTCTTGATTCATCTGCCAACTTCTTTTAAAATGACCTTTACTCCAAGCAACAATAACAATCACACGGCAGTGAATAGACCCAGATTAAAACAAATTAAATTGTTTTAATCCACTGCTCTGAATTGACCTACACCAGCTGAGGGTGAGAGGAAAGAAAATTAAATCAAAATCATTGTATTCTGTTTGTATGTACGTTTATCACAATTTCCCAACTTCATTGGAATTGGGTTTTGTAGTTGCTGCCATATTAACTTTAATTGTGACAGCCTGATGATCTGTCAAGACTGTAGGTTCTATTAGTGGCGAAATGAATTTTTATAATTGAATTTCCCCTCTGAGATTAATAAATTTCTTCTTATCCTTATTCCACCTTATCTTCTATGTCCGATGATATTAACCAGAAATCTATGCGAGATTGTTGAGCTCTGTCCTTATTACTCCAAGTGTACATTTTTTGGTTTGGGTTTCTGTGTCTCCAGATGTCAATAAGAACCATCCTACTACAAATATAACCTAATTCACTCATTGCTTTGTTGTTAGGAGGCCATCTGTCCAGGCTTTCGACCAATACTGTATTTAAGTCTCCTCCCCATAATACTTTGACTGTGGGGAACGATAGTAACAGCTGGTAAATTTTGTTTTCTATTGTTGCAAATATAACTGCATTATTTTGTTTACTTTTGGATGCATATACATTTATGATAATAAACTGATGGTAGTTACCATCTACAAGAAGGATTATCTATCTACCATTAACGTCTGAAAAGTGATTGATAATATTGCCTTTAAACTTTCCCTGCAAAACAGCGACCCCTGCTGATCTGTTGCCACCAAAGGAAAACCACACGTCTGGCCCACTGACTCCTCCAAATTGACACATCTGCTTCTGAAGCGTGAGTTTCTTGAATAAAGTACAAATCTGCACCTTTCTTCTGGCAATATAAAAATAAGCATTTTCTCTTCAACTGACTTCTAAGATCCCTGGCATTAACAGAAAGAACACAAATTGACATTAAGAAATAACTAAGACCGAAAAATTAAGACACTCAATATCCTCTCTTAGGGTTTGAGGAAAACTGCTACAGTTGAAACCAGAAGTTGGCATACATTATATAAAAAGGCACATAACCTTTTTTTTTCCTCACTGTCTAACATTATATCAGATTAAACTTTTCCTGTTGTTGGTCAATTAGGATTACAAAAAATATTTTTATATGCTAAATGCCAAAATAATGAGAGAGAGAATTTTTTAGACAATTTTTTATCATTTTCTCGAGAGTCAAAAGTTGACATACATTTCATTAGTATTTGATAGCTGCCTTTTAATTGTGTAACTTGGGTCAAATGCTTTGGATATGCTTCCACAAGCTTCTCACAATAGTTTGCAGGAATTTTGGCCCATTTCTTTTGACAGAACTGGTGTAACTGAGCCAAGTTTGTAGGCCGCCTTGCTTGCACATGCCTGTTCAGTTCTGCCGATAAATTTTCAATAGGATTGAGATCAGGGCTTTGTGATGGTCACTCCAAAACATTGACTCTGTTATCCTTACGCCACTTTGTAACCAGTTTGGCAGTATGCTTAGGATCACTATCCATTTGGAAAACCCATTTGCGCCCAAGTTTCAACTTCCTGGCTGATGTCTTGAGATGTTGCTTCAGTATTTCCACATAATGTTCTTTCCTCATGATGCCATCTATTTTGTTAAGTATACCAGTCCTTCCTGCTGCAAAACAACCCCACAACATGATGCTGCCATCCCCATATTTCACAGTTGGGATGGTGTTCTCAGGCTTGCAAGCTTCCCCTTTTTCCTCCAAATGTAACAATGGTCATTATGGCCAAAAAGTTCCATTTCAGTTTCATCAGACCACAGGACATGTCTTCAAAAATTAAGGTCTTTGTCCCTGTGTGCATTTGCAAACTGTAATCTGGCTTTTTATGTTTCTTTTGGACTCATGGCTTCTTCCTGGAAGAGTAGCCTTTCAGCCCATGTCAGTACAGGACTTGTTTCACTGTTGATAATGACACACTCTTACCAGCTTCAGCCAGCATCTTCACAAGTGCTTTTGCTGTTGTTCTTGGATTGAGAAAGATTGGAAAAGATATCTGACAAAAAGTAAAAGACCAGTACTTCACACAATTGCACAAATAATTTATTTGCAAGTTACAAGTTTTACTTCTGAGATGACTTTTTTTGCTTCAGTGAGTTTTATTCTCTCTTAAATTCTTATTTTTCTTTGATGTTGAAGAAGTTTTGTTTAATTATTTTTGACACAAATCTGATTCCATAGATCTGCACATATTCAAATTTTGTCCACAACTTAACTTTGCTCCATACTGGTGCACAAATATGTTTTGCACCAAACATGCTGCAACAATAGGGGCAAAATGTGAGTGTGTCAGAGTTTGAATCTGTGACTTGCAAAATAGGATCTGTAATTAAGAATTTGTGAATGCGTAAATGTTGTGTTGTACTTGTGGAAATAAAAAAAATAATCAACAAGTACACACAAAAAAATCTACAAGTACACAACTCATAGAGTGCGGATTTCACAAACACAATCACTGTACACATCTACAAATTACATGTTATAGATGCACAAACTTTTTGCACCAAAAATACCTTCATAGTTTTGAATAGGTTTTGTTCAGAGCCCTTTCGCTGCAGTACCGCACTTTCACCACAGCTGCAAGGGCGTCGCCATTTCCCCATTTTCGTGTATACATATTATATTGGAATATTTTATTAAAATTTCATATTTTACTGGAAAAGAAGGAACGCTTCACGAATTTGCGTGTCATCCTTGCGCAGGGGCCATGCTAATCTTCTCTGTATCGTTCCAATTTTAGTATATGTGTTAGAGAACTAACACGAAATTGATCAGAAGTTCACATTTATTATATACCAAGTGATACAGAGGCTTCCTTTCACCATGGTTCAGCTTTCACATGTGTTGCAGGTATTCAAACCTTTCCAAATACATTCTGTGACTTAAGGTAACACTAGGCTGAGGTCTGGATCTTCCTGTATGGGTTTTGCACCCTAAATCCTCAAAATTTGTGTTCTTATCTAGTTTTTTTCCAAAGGGAATTTGAATTCTTCTGAACCGCACGGGGGAATTCTGGGTAATCCAGGCATGTTCTGGCTACGCCACAGCATGTGATTGGAAGCTTATTGTTATAACTGCATTTTTGCACTTTTTGTCTTGTCTGTGATGCTGCTGTGACAAAAAAATTTCCCCCATGGGGGATCAATAAAGGACTATTCTATTCTATTCTATTCTATTCTATTCTTCACATCAAGAACCAGGGGCATTCCTTTGAACCTCAACCAGAGGCTGGATCTAACTCAAAACCTGTTAAAAACCCGGATCCGGGGGCAGGGCTGAATGTATAGTACACAGATTCTGATACTGACAAGTGTTACCTTCACAGTGAACAATATGTAGCTACTGTTGATGAAGTTAGGTGCTGTTCTGAGCATTATTTGTGGCTATAGAGTGGTGTTTTGTTTGAGGTTTGTTTATGGCTCCTCAGACCGCTGGGTATTGAAATCCTGCGGTCGTTACTAAAGTTGGTATAACTAGAGAAGCAAGCGGTCGGCAACGTTCATCTCTCGAGGGGGTGTCTAACTCGGTGTTACGGTGTGTTTGACCCTAAATTAATTTGCCCTTGAACTTTACTTGACATAGGCCTAATAAACGGCAAACATGTGTGGTGTGTTTCAACTGAACCGAGTTATCTAACGTGTTGGAAAAAAATACTATAAAGACCAATTGATAAGTTGCTTTTGTATACCACTTAAGCCCTCTTTTACACTTTTATCAAAGGATGGCTCAAGTCTACAAGCTTACAACTCACGTGTTGAAACGTGATGTGTTTTGAGCATGCAGATCTGCTGTTTTCACAGTTTTTGACCATTTTTATTTTACCTCTAATGATATCCCCCCAGTCATGGCAGCAGAATTAAAGTGTGTCAACATGCACCTTTTTATTTCTTTTTTTTTTCTTTTTTTTACTACCCACGGGCCTTGAGAGAGCAATTAGTCACAAAGAGTGTGTCTATGTAGGTCTGTGTTTCCCAGCTGTTGAAGAAGCCCCAGCCCAAGGAGGACCAGCCTCTGCAGCTGAAAATGCACCTGGAGATCCTGCAACCCCATCCTGAGTGGCAATGCAGAGGTAAAACTAAAGTAAAGGACTTGCAGCTGCTCAAAAAACAAACAGCCTAATACTTGAGCAAAACAAAGTGAATTTTGCAGGTGCATGCAAATGATGCTGACCAGTCTTGGTGCTAGACGTCACCATCTACACATGGACACACCAATCAGGGGCTGCCTTTCCCTGTTTTCCGGGGAGCAGTGGAAACACAGTCACTGATTGGCCTTGTTATTTCTGATCGGGAATACACGCTCCCAAAGGACCGAAGTTCAGACTGTTGTGGGAAGGAACGGCAAGTGATTCACGCAACAGGATGGCCCAGCGAGGAGGCAGTCTCTGTCCATTCTATGTACAGTCTATGTCTTTGACACTTAGTGGCAGTTTGGAGGAACAGCAGCTACAAATGTAAGTCAACAATAACAGTGGAAAAGGGTTTATCTTCCTTCCTCCATCCAAGAGTTTCAATACAAAATGATAACTAGTGTATTTCTCGATCCTTTGATGGCGTTTTCTTTTAAATAACGGTGTGTTTTGCTCTTCGTGTCCAGGAGTGGAATGCTAGAGCAGCATTAAAGCGGCCGACCCCCCTCTGAAGAGTGGTCTGAGAGCGACACCCAGTGGCAGGTTTTTGAAACTACAACTAGGTATGTGACCATTGAAAGGGTTTCTCCTCCTTCTCACCAGTAGTAAAACACAAAATTATAGATCAGAATCAGAATCAGAATGCCTTTTATTGTCATTATACACAGTACAATAGTGGTACATTACAGTCAGCAGACGTACGGTTCAGTTTAAATATTCAAAGGCAGCAAACAGACCAGATGAACATGCCCATATCTAAGCCGGATCAGCATGAGTCTCACAGGTATTTCACATGACACAGTAGCACAGAGCTGATTGTTTAAAGGCATATAAATGAGTTTCAGATCTAGGCCCTTTTTTAAACATCTGCTCGAAAGTGGCATACTCAAAATGAACTGAGCATATCTCAGTAATTACCAGATGATCTGTATGATATGGTATCACTGTGAAGGTAACACTTGTCAGTATCAGAATCTGTGTACTATACATTCAGCCCTGCCCCCGGATCCGGGTTTTTAACAGGTTTTGAGTTAGATCCAGCCTCTGGTTGAGGTTCAAAGGAATGCCCCTGGTTCTTGATGTGAAGAATAGAATAGAATAGAATAGAATAGTCCTTTATTGATCCCCCATGGGGGAAATTTTTTTGTCACAGCAGCATCACAGACAAGACAAAAAGTGCAAAAATGCAGTTATAACAATAAGGGTCCTAATATTAAGAACTTAAATAAATGTAATAATTAAGAAAAAAATTAGAAAAGGGAGAAGAAAAAATAAAGCTTTCTACAATATACACAATTTAAATGCCATAAAAAAGGTGGTGGTGTAAAATCTGTTTTGTTACTGTTCATTGTAAAGTCTTATTGCAGAGGGGAGGAATGATCTGCGGTAGCGCTCCGTCCTGCAGGGTGGGAGTCTCAGTCTGCTGCTGAAGGAGCTGCCTAAAGCCCCCACAGTCTGGTGCAGTGGGTGAGAGGGATTGTCCATGATGGATACAATGTGTGCATGTGTACATGTGTGCTACTGTCTTGTGTCTAAAGCAGGAACTGAGTGACAAGGAGGTGTTGTCTACAGCGAGAGTCTCCCTGCCTCAGCTCTTCCGGTTTGAAGGAATGACGTAGGCCAAACCAGTACACACCGGTTCTCTCTCTTCAGTTTCTCTCTCACACAGGGTCTCTCCACCGAGGTGCTTTGAATTCTAACCAACCCCCACTGACCCCTGAGGGGTCAGAGTCCATTGCATAGGACACCCGAGGTAGGGGGTTGAGTCAGCCTTTTGTTCTCGCTCCTGCAGCTTCCAATCACATGCTGTGGCGTAGCCAGAACATGCCTGGATTACCCAGAATTCCCCCGTGCGGTTCAGAAGAATTCAAATTCCCTTTGGAAAAAAACTAGATAAGAACACAAATTTTGAGGATTTAGGGTGCAAAACCCATACAGGAAGATCCAGACCTCAGCCTAGTGTTACCTTAAGTCACAGAATGTATTTGGAAAGGTTTGAATACCTGCAACACATGTGAAAGCTGAACCATGGTGAAAGGAAGCCTCTGTATCACTTGGTATATAATAAATGTGAACTTCTGATCAATTTCGTGTTAGTTCTCTAACACATATACTAAAATTGGAACGATACAGAGAAGATTAGCATGGCCCCTGCGCAAGGATGACACGCAAATTCGTGAAGCGTTCCTTCTTTTCCAGTAAAATATGAAATTTTAATAAAATATTCCAATATAATATGTATACACGAAAATGGGGAAATGGCGACGCCCTTGCAGCTGTGGTGAAAGTGCGGTACTGCAGCGAAAGGGCTCTGAACAAAACCTATTCAAAACTATGAAGGTATTTTTGGTGCAAAAAGTTTGTGCATCTATAACATGTAATTTGTAGATGTGTACAGTGATTGTGTTTGTGAAATCCGCACTCTATGAGTTGTGTACTTGTAGATTTTTTTGTGTGTACTTGTTGATTATTTTTTTTATTTCCACAAGTACAACACAACATTTACGCATTCACAAATTCTTAATTACAGATCCTATTTTGCAAGTCACAGATTCAAACTCTGACACACTCACATTTTGCCCCTATTGTTGCAGCATATTTGGTGCAAAACATATTTGTGCACCAGTATGGAGCAAAGTTAAGTTGTGGACAAAATTTGAATATGTGCAGATCTATGGAATCAGATTTGTGTCAAAAATAATTAAACAAAACTTCTTCAACATCAAAGAAAAATAAGAATTTAAGAGAGAATAAAACTCACTGAAGCAAAAAAAGTCATCTCAGAAGTAAAACTTGTAACTTGCAAATAAATTATTTGTGCAATTGTGTGAAGTACTGGTCTTTTACTTTTTGTCAGATATCTTTTCCAATCTTTCTCAATCCAAGAACAACAGCAAAAGCACTTGTGAAGATGCTGGCTGAAGCTGGTAAGAGTGTGTCATTATCAACAGTGAAACAAGTCCTGTACTGACATGGGCTGAAAGGCTACTCTTCCAGGAAGAAGCCATGAGTCCAAAAGAAACATAAAAAGCCAGATTACAGTTTGCAAATGCACACAGGGACAAAGACCTTAATTTTTGAAGACATGTCCAGTGGTCTGATGAAACTGAAATGGAACTTTATGGCCATAATGCCCATTGTTACATTTGGAGGAAAAAAGGGGAAGCTTGCAAGCCTGAAAACACCATCCCAACTGTGAAATATGGGGGTGGCAGCATCATGTTGTGGGGTTGTTTTGCAGAAGCAGGGACTGGTATACTTCACAAAATAGATGGTATCATGAGGAAAGAACATTATGTGGAAATACTGAAGCAACATCTCAAGACATCAGCCAGGAAGTTGAAACTTGGGCGCAAATGGGTTTTCCAAATGGATAGTGATCCTAAGCATACTGCCAAACTGGTTACAAAGTGGCGTAAGGATAACAAAGTCAATGTTTTGGAGTGACCATCACAAAGCCCTGATCTCAATCCTATTGAAAATTTATCGGCAGAACTGAACAGGCATGTGCAAGCAAGGCGGCCTACAAACTTGGCTCAGTTACACCAGTTCTGTCAGAAGAAATGGGCCAAAATTCCTGCAAACTATTGTGAGAAGCTTGTGGAAGCATATCCAAAGCATTTGACCCAAGTCACACAATTAAAAGGCAGCTATCAAATACTAATGAAATGTATGTCAACTTTTGACTCTCGAGAAAATGATAAAAAATTGTCTAAAAAATTCTCTCTCTCATTATTTTGGCATTTAGCATATGAAAATAATTTTTGTAATCCTAATTGACCAACAACAGGAAAAGTTTAATCTGATATAATGTTAGACAGTGAGGAAAAAAAAGGTTATGTGCCTTTTTATATAATGTATGCCAACTTCTGGTTTCAACTGTAGCAGTTTTCCTCAAACCCTAAGAGAGGATATTGAGTGTCTTAATTTTTCGGTCTTAGTTATTTCTTAATGTCAATTTGTGTTCTTTCTGTTAATGCCAGGGATCTTAGAAGTCAGTTGAAGAGAAAATGCTTATTTTTATATTGCCAGAAGAAAGGTGCAGATTTGTACTTTATTCAAGAAACTCACGCTTCAGAAGCAGATGTGTCAATTTGGAGGAGTCAGTGGGCCAGACGTGTGGTTTTCCTTTGGTGGCAACAGATCAGCAGGGGTCGCTGTTTTGCAGGGAAAGTTTAAAGGTAATATTATCAATCACTTTTCAGACGTTAATGGTAGATAGATAATCCTTCTTGTAGATGGTAACTACCATCAGTTTATTATCATAAATGTATATGCATCCAAAAGTAAACAAAATAATGCAGTTATATTTGCAACAATAGAAAACAAAATTTACCAGCTGTTACTATCGTTCCCCACAGTCAAAGTATTATGGGGAGGAGACTTAAATACAGTATTGGTCGAAAGCCCGGACAGATGGCCTCCTAACAACAAAGCAATGAGTGAATTAGGTTATATTTGTAGTAGGATGGTTCTTATTGACATCTGGAGACACAGAAACCCAAACCAAAAAATGTACACTTGGAGTAATAAGGACAGAGCTCAACAATCTCGCATAGATTTCTGGTTAATATCATCGGACATAGAAGATAAGGTGGAATAAGGATAAGAAGAAATTTATTAATCTCAGAGGGGAAATTCAATTATAAAAATTCAATTCGCCACTAATAGAACCTACAGTCTTGACAGATCATCAGGCTGTCACAATTAAAGTTAATATGGCAGCAACTACAAAACCCAATTCCAATGAAGTTGGGAAATTGTGATAAACGTACATACAAACAGAATACAATGATTTTGATTTGATTTTCTTTCCTCTCACCCTCAGCTGGTGTAGGTCAATTCAGAGCAGTGGATTAAAACAATTGAATTTGTTTTAATCTGGGTCTATTCACTGCCGTGTGATTGTTATTGTTGCTTGGAGTAAAGGTCATTTTAAAAGAAGTTGGCAGATGAATCAAGAGTCACATGATTTTAATTACATTCGATTTATAATAAAATCAAACATATCCACAGTATTGAGAAAAGACGAGAAGGAAAGTGATCTGTGTGCATGTCTGGAAAGGGCTTTTGTCTGGTGCATATTAGAACTGCTTCTCTACAGTTCATTCACATCATGATCAAAAGTAAATCTATGTAGAAAGTAAAGGGAAAAGTAAAAAAGGACAGCTTGCAATCATATGCAAAGAAGCTGTGGGGTAACAACATGATGATGTCAGCTGTTTAACTTGCTGTAATGTGTCTGGTTGGTACCCTGTATATTTGACCTCTAGTTCTCGATTTTTATCCACAGTTTTGTTGTTGTTTACATAAAATTTGAAAATTAAAAGTATTTGATACCTTGAATCCTGTCAGACTGCTCATTTGATCTTGTTGCTTTGCTGTCAAAAGACTCTGCAAAGACACACACATTCACATAAACAACGAGAGGGACAATCGCTACCAGCTTAATACATCAGCTGAAGTAATGCAAAGTGAGAGAACGGTGGAGAGTACAGAGCCTTATAGGGGCCACTGAGGAAGAAATTGAGTCGGATTCTAAGAAACTTTCTGAAAATACTGAGGCTAAGGCAAGACCTAACAAATACCTTTCATCCAGGTTAATTCCTTGTCCAGGTCGCAAAGACCAGGATGGATGTTTTGTACCAGCTCAGCTCTGACAGAAGCTGTGGATATGAGAAGTTCATAAAACGTTTGTTTTGTGTGTTCTTGTTATTTCCTGTAACTTTATTAGTTACTATACTCTTTTTCAGGCCTTACAACCTGAGCCCGCATTTTGAGCCTCTGTCTTAAAGTGTTACATTTGTTACCCTTTGAACCCTGCACTTAAGAACCCTCTTCTACTGCTGCCATGCAACAAAATTGTGGTTATTGTGCAATCAGGTGTTTCTCTATCTAGGATGACAGACGATGAAATAAGGTAAATAAGGTTTTGGTCCCTGAATCTGACAGAAAAGTTTGAGAAGTTTCTAATGGTACCTTTTGATAGATGAAGGTCTGTTTACCTCAGTGACTGAGAAAAGATTATGGACAATAGTCAATGATGACTTTAAAGCGTTTTGACTGCATAAGGCCTTCTGTTCCATGTCCCACAGACTTCCTACATTTAAACTGCCCTGAATCCGCGCCAAGGATGGAAATGTTCCTCGTAATTTCCTTGTCTTATTTTGTCACTTGCCAATTAGAGAGCTTCTGAAAACTCATAATGTTTGATTTGCAAACCCTTTTCAACCTATATTCAACTGAATACACTACAAAGACAAGATATTCAGTGTTCAAACTCATAAAGTTTTTTTTTTTTTTTGCTAATAATAATTAACTTTAGAATTTCATGGCTGCACCACGTGCCAAAGAAGTTGGGAAAGGTGGCAAAAAAATACTGAGAACTTTGAGGAATGCTCATCAAACATCCCACAGGTGAGCAGGCTCATTGGGAACAGGTGGGTGCCATGATTGGGTATAAAAGCAGCTTCCCCCAAAATTCTCAGTCATTCACAAGCAAGGATGGGGCGAGGTTCACCACTTTGTGAACGACTGCGTGAGCAAATCGTTAAACAGTTTAACCCTCACATACTGTTCAAATCCTGTACCCTCACAGTATGTTCCGGGTCAAAATTGCCCCTTCAAAGAGTTCAAAGAGCAGCTTTCTGTCACAGAAAGTTCTCTTGACTAGTTAGGTCATTTTGACCTCTGTCTAGGTGTGTCTGTGTGACTGTATGTCTGTGTGTTTGTGTGTGTGTGTTTCTGTCAAGGTAATGATGGTTTCATAATGTTTTGAATATATCTTTTTGAACAACAAACCTTACATTGAACACTGTTGTTACTGCTTGTCACTTGTCCCACACTGCTAGATCTAAAATCCATCTAAAAAGATACGGGTCAAATTTGGCCAGTAACAGCTTCAGAGTGGAAAAATTTGTAGCACACAAACAAAAATACACATGAATATTTTTAAATTAATTTAATGTATTTTGGGCAACTTCAGGAAAAGTCATCAAGTTTCAGGCTTAAAAAATGTCGTTTAGGGTATTTTTTACTGCTGTCAAAAGTCAAAACGGGTCAAATTTGACCCGAACAGTATGTGAGGGTTAAGAACAACGTTTCTCAAAGTACAATTGCAAGGAATTTCGGGATTTCAACATCTACGGTCCATAATATCATCAAAAGAGAATGTGGAGAAATCACTGCACGTAAGCGCAGCCGGAAACCAACATTGAATGCCCGTGACCTTTGAGCCCTCAGGCAGCACTGTATCAAAAACCGACATGAATGTGTAAAGGATATCACCACATGGGCTCAGGAACAATTCAGAAAACCACGATCAGTAAATACAGTTCATCACTACATCTGTAAGTGCAAGTTAAAACTCTACTATGCAAAGCGAAAGCCATTTATCAACAACATCCAGAAACGCCGTCGGGTTCTCTGGGCCCGAGCTCATCTAAGATGGACTGATGCCAAGTGGAATAGTGTTCTGTGATCTGACGAGTCCACATTTCAAATTGTTTTTGTAAATAGTGGACGTCGTGTCCTCCGGGCCACAGAGGAAAAGAACCATCCGGACTCTTATCGATGCAAAGTTCAAAAGCCAGCATCTGTGATGTTATGGGGGTACATTAGTGCCCAAGGCATGGGTAACTTACACATCTGTGAAGGCAACAGTCATGCTGAAAGTTTTGGAGCAACATATGCTGCCATCCAAGTAACGTCTTTTCCATGGATGCCCCTGTTTATTTCAGCAAGATGATGCCAAGCCACATTCTGCACGTGTTACAACAGCGTGGCTTCATAGTAAAAGAGTGCGGGTACTCGACTGGCCTGCCTGCAGTCTCCCATTGAAAATGTGTGTCGCATTATGAAGCGTAAGATACGACAACGGAGACCCTGGATTGATGAACAACTGAAGCTGTACATCAAGCAAGAATGGGAAAGAATTCCACCTTCAAAGTTCAACAATTAGTCTCCTCAGTTCCCAAACGTTTATTGAGTGGAAAGGTGATGTAACACAGTGGTAAGCATGACCCTGTCCAAACTACTTTGGGGCATGTTGCAGCCATGAAATTCTGAGTTAATTATAATTAGCAAAAAAATAAATAGTATTCAATTGAATAGAGGTTGAAAAGGATTTGCAAATCATTGTATTCTGTTTTTATTTACGTTCATCACAATTTCCCACCTTCAATGGAATTGGGTTTTGTAGATACACCTCTAATGGAGATTATTGGAAATTGAATAGAACACTATTACAAAGTAAGCAATTTAAAAATGAAGTCCAAAAAATTACTGAAAAATACTGGAGGCAAGCAAATTCACTAAACAGATGGGGGAATTAGTGATAACTAATGAAATAGGATATCAGAAAAATAGCTATTACATTTGGGAAAAAAGTGCCAAAGCAAGCAGAGAGAGAGAACATCAGATAATTACAAATGTAATAAGACTATCAGAGAAAGTAAACCTGTCCGGAGAAGAACTAAATGAATTGTCAGCTTTACAACTTGAACTGGACAGAATGTATGAGGAAAAGGCCAGAGGAGCCTTTGTCAGGTTTCGAAAAGGGTGGCTAGAACAAGGCGAAAAGTGCACCAAATATTTTTTCAATCTGGAAAAAAGGAACTCTGAGACATCATCTATTTGTAAACTTAACATTAATAACCAAGTACATGAGCATGAAAAATATATTTCCCAGTATGCTGACTTCTACCAAAAATAATATGCTGCTGATTGAAAATGAAAATGAAGGAAATATGGATTTATTTTTGCAAGGTATTAAGAAGCACATTAAAGGTATTGATGACAGTTTAAAATCTAGGTGTGACCAAAGGGTTCGCTTAACAGATATGGAAGCGATTGTGACTCATATCTCAAATTCAAAAGCATTAACAGAAATGCTTTTCATTTCGAAGTCATGGCTGCACTATTTGACTCAAAAATAAAAATCAAAAGCAATATTCCAAAATGCATTTTCATTTCCTTCTTCAAGACTGCTCATTTTGTGACTAATCAGCCTCTAGGGGCGCAGCTGAGCAAAACAAGTCAGCAGCAGCAGCAGACAGCATAGCAGGCACACGGAGGAAGAAAAGCAGCTGTGTCTCCTGCCCTGTAGTTTCTTTCACCTTTCTACCTGCAAGTAGCCGATCCGTCTCCATGGCAATGCGCCGGGTCGTCGAGGTGTATTTGGACCTGTTGTCGCAGCTGTTGTCGCTGGTGTAGGTCAATTCAGAGCAGTGGATTAAAACAATTTAATTTGTTTTAATCTGGCTCTACTCACTGCTGTGTGATTGTTATTGTTGCTTGGAGTAAAGGTCATTTTAAAAGAAGTTGGCAGATGAATCAAGAGTCACATGATTTTAATTACATTCGATTTATAATAAAATCAAACATATCCACAGTATTGAGAAAAGACGAGAAGGAAAGTGATCTGTGTGCATGTCTGGAAAGGGCTTTTGTCTTATGTATAGAACAACAAAACTGTGGATAAAAATCGAGAACTAGAGGTTAAATATACAGGGTACCACCCAGACACATTACAGCAAGCTTCTTTGCATATGATTGCAAGCTGTCCTTTTTTTACTTTTCCCTTTACTTTCTACATAGATTTACTTTTGATTTTGATGTGAATGAACTGTAGAGAAGCAGTTCTAATATGCACCAGACAAAAGCCCTTTCCAGACATGCACACAGATCACTTTCCTTCTCATCCTTTCTCAATACTGTGGATATGTTTGATTTTTTTATAAATCGAATGTAATTAAAATCATGTGACTCTTGATTCATCTGCCAACTTCTTTTAAAATGACCTTTACTCCAAGCAACAATAACAATCACACAGCAGTGAATTGACCTACACCAGCTGAGGGTGAGAGGAAAGAAAATTAAAAGAATAAGGAATTGAGTGAATTAAACATGGCAAATAAGCATTTGGAGTCTTGGATGAGGGTTCACACTCTACACTGTGACTACCAATCATGATTTAAGGTGATTAATCAAACAATCCTTGATATAAGGTAATAAAAAGTGACACAATGTCGTAGAATATGTCAACATACATATTCTACCATTCTGTGGAAGAACACTCACAGGAGGTAATGATTCAGCTAAGAAGTAAGCAAAGTGATGTTACATCATGCAGCTCTTAGTTACAGTCATGGTGGATATGGTTAATTTTTCTCTATTTCTCCATGTGTAACCAGGTTACTGTAATAACTGATGTTCAAGTGAAAGCTGTGGATAATATTGAGATGCTGCCCACTACAGTGATGGCTTCTACTCAAAATTGCAGCAAACACAAATTGCTCACCACATGTAGCTTTACTCATAATGAAAATAGTCAAATCTAAATATACAATTACAATGATCACAAACCACCTTCAAACTATTAACGAAAAAATGAGATGATCAACGTTGTTTACACTAAAAAAGAGCCCTCAATCCTTTCCCTCCTTCACTCCTCCTCCTCCTCCCTGGCCCCCCTGGTCTTTCCCTCTCCTCTTGCCTGGCTCCTCTGTTTTCCCCCCTCAGAGCACAAAAGAAAGCCTTTTTTCTCCCCACCGCATGCTGGCTGTGGCCAAAATCCTTTTGAAAGGGTTAACCACACTTCTGGCAGACCCGCAGTGTATACGGTTTTCTCGTTGTTTTCCCCTCAGGCTGCCCAGCCCTTTTACTGGGCCTCCACTGGTTGGTTCTGGGGACAGGGTTCTCTTTTGGCTTACGTTTCCTGAGCAATTCCTTCAATGTCTTTGAATCGCATCCCTTCTCAGAGGGGCAGAAGAACTTGCCCCTGAAGTAACCATGCTTGGCCTGATAGTGTCTGGCACGACTACAGATATCACAGACACCTGCAGGCTGAGATGAGGGGCTTGTGTTCCTGGCCTTTTGGAGCACCTCCCTGCCTTTCTCTGCTCTTATTTTCTTTCGATATAAGGTCAAACCAGTTGGGCTGGGACTAGATGAGGAAAAGGAGGATACAGAAGTGCACTGCATGGTCGGCAGTGGAACTTTAAGTTGTGGATGATGATGTAGGGGGGACTGAGGAGCCAGTTGTGGACCTGGAGGTAGTGGCAGCTGATGTGGATGCAGATGTAGGGGGGGACTGAGGGGCCAATCGCAGACCTGGAAATAGTGGTGGTGACACTATTCATGAAAAACAAGTCTTGAAGTGATGAATAGGCGCTTTAATGATAACAGAGCAGTAAGTACACACATGATGAGATTTCTTAACCTTCATCAGTCTTTTCAGCAGTTCTGCTGCTGCTGCTGCTGTCGTCCTCTGGCTGGTACTGAGACGTCTGAATCACTTGGGACAGAGATCTCTGCCGAGTTTGCAAGAGAAATTTTTAAAAAATCCTTTCATCATTCAAGCACATTTTGTGAACTGATTAGAATAATCCCCTCCGAAAATGAAAGCAACCTACCTTCGGACTACCCTTAGCCAATCAACCTTCGACCATCCCTCCTTCCACCTATTGGACGGCCCTCCATCGGAGTTTATAACGTAACAGCCAGGCTTTGAAGATTGTCTACCTTCCTGCCTCAAAGAGGTGTCGCGCACCACTGGGGCCTCGTCAGCCAAGTACCGTGGAAGGGAGCGCTTGATGCCGCCAGGACATAAGCTGTAGGCAAGGTGCGAAGTCTCAACAACACTGTGACAGATAGAAGCTTTCAAGTCTGGTTTGATCTTCCTTTGGAGTTTTGACCTGACCTCTTTCATGTTTCTTCAATAAAACAAAAAAAAAAAAAAAAAAAAAAGAACTTGATCAAAACAAAACCAAGCCCATTATATTTTCTGTCCCCCACTAACAATACTGGAGTTTTTTTTTTTTTTTAAACAAAAAAGCGGTGTGCATATGTAGCTCATAGTTTATCTTATATGGATGCATTCTGAGCCTGTTTTGGATGGATTTCGGTGAATACACTGAGAATAGTTGTGTATGAGGTTTATTTTTACTGTTCATGTGAACACATGCAAAAAGTTACTGAGTTATCGAGAAAAATAATATTGTTTATTCTTGTTTCTTAACTGAATGCATATGTGAGTGTCAGATTAGAGCTCCACAATATAAGAAGAGATTTCAGTCTACCCTCCTTCCTGTGTCCTGACCGACAGCACATCTAGTCTGAACAAATCAGCTAACGCACCCCTAATCTCCATTAGAGTTGAAGTGAGTCAGTGTGCGGGTTCCTCCAGGCTCATCCTCCAATTTTTGTATATACGTGAGAGAGTGACAGAATGGTTATCTGGTATATGGACATTACATACTAAGACCCCCTGCAGTCATGGTGCAGGTTTCCCAAATGTTACAGACAGTCAAAAAACTCAAAATGCATTAGGTGACTGGCAGAAAACACAAAGATGTGGTCTGGGGGGGGGCATTCAAATATGTTTTAATTATGAAAACAAAGTCATTCAAATATCTTTTAATAAACAAATGTATTGAGATAGCTACAGGGGGCATGCTTCATCTTCTCTTGAATCCAATTCAAGTATTTGTGTTAAAAAACGTACTTGTTCTGACGATTATCTGCTGTGAGAACAAATCCATACACAAAGCCCCTGCAGTCATGGTGCAGGTTTCCGGCATGTTACAGACAGTCAAAAGACTCATTAGAGGTCTGGATATTCCTCTACAGCACAAACTGCTATTTTTCACGTTTTGGTTGCAATTTTTGTACATCTGCGGACCAACTACGCAACAGCAGGATTATCCGCTTTATGGACAAATCCAAATAAGACCCCCCCCCGCAGTCATGGTGCAAGTTTACCGCATGTTACAGACAGTCAAAAAACTCAAATTGCTTTAGGTGACTTACAGAAAACACAACATGACGTCCTGATGCTCCTATACACTATAAACCGCCTTTTCCATGTTTTAGTTTTGTATTAAATTAAAAAAAACATTCAAATATACAATTTATACAGCAACGAACACATCTACAAAAGACATATGACAAAGCATATGGTCCTTGTACAAAGTGCTGTGCTTTTAATCTGCTATATGGACGTATCCATACGAAGATCCCCTGCAGTTATGGTGCAGACTTCGTTTGGTGAAACTTTATTTGAAGGGTACTTAGAGCTACTATAGCCAGCCACGGGGGGGGGGGGGGGTCCCTTTGGTTGACCTGTCATGTTCGCTTGCATAAAAGCGAAGAGCATGTCTTAAGTCCTGTACCCCTCACAAAAGTGACCTTACAAAAGATCAAACATTTAGATTTAACATTTTGGCGTAACATTTAATATTTAGATTTAACTATTTAAAATATCTCTAAGTTGACAAATATTGTTGTAAATGTGCAAAAAAAGTGACCGTCAAAAGTTCATAACAGATTTTTAAACGTTGTTTGAAGCTAAATGTGGCAAAATGTTGCCGTTTTTTTCAGCGTGAGCTGCTTTACAAACGGCACCCCATAATCAGCAAGTTTGCAAAACAAACAGAGAGATGACAGAGAACAGGCGGTTACCAAAAGCATTTCCTCTACCCACCCAGAGAGAAAACAATGAAATGACAAACAAGTCTTGAAGCGATAAAAAGGCGCTTTAATGATAACAGAGCAGTAAGTACACACATAATGAAATTTCTAAACTTTCATCAAACTTTTCATCAGTTCTGCTGCTGCTGCCGTTGTCCTCTGGCTGGTACTGAGACATCCGAATCACTAAGTGGAGATCTCTGCCAAGTCTGCAAGAGAAAATTTAAAAATTCCTTTTATCATTCAAGCACATTTTGTGAACTGATTAGAATAATCCCCTCCAAAAATGAAAGCAACCTTCCTTCGGACCACCTTTAGCCAATCACCTTTCGACCATCCCTCCTTCCACCCATTATATTTTCTGTCCCCCACTAACAATACTGGAGGAAATTTTTACAAAAAATCCTTTAGAAGAAAGTATCATCTCTGAAATTTATGAATTACTACAACATTTCTCTCCTGATTCTTCTGAGTCTAAGTTTAATGCATGGAAATCAGATCTATGGGAGGACCTGGCCCTGTCTGGGCATAAAGCATGTAAAGCAACCCAGACAGGGACAGGTATACACGCCTAAGACTCCTACGATATAATTGGTTAATATGGGTGTATATTACTTTAGTAAAACTAAATAAATATAATCTGAATACCCCAGATACCTGTACGCTGCCATTGCTCCTCTCTGAGTCTCCTCTGCCAGGCTGTGGAGAGAGGAACAGCGGGGCCAGGCAGCAGCAGAAGCAGCAGCTGTGGTGGCGGCAGCAGAGGAGGCAGCTGGGCCAGCAGCTGCAGAAGCGACAATGGCATGCAGATCAGGAGCCAGAGGCCCACGGCTAGTCACAGTCTGACCAGATGTGTCCTCTGGGAGCTGGAAGGTGAGAGGCTGGTCAGGCTGTACGGGCAGCTTGACGGAGGAGTAAGCTGAGGTTGTCAGCAAACCTCAAGTCCTGGAGCTCCTCCTCCTGGAACCCATCCTCTTCCTCCCAAGCCTCTTCCACCTCCTCAGTCCCATCTGGAGCGTTGTCCTGCGGGTCCTGGCCGAGATCCTGCTGCAGCACGACGCCCGTCTGGGAGTACAGGTACTCCACACCGATGAGCTCACCTGAAAAAAAGACAGATGTGGTGATTTCATTCGGCTCGCTTGGCCTGTGACGGCCTGCACTTGCGATGAGCCCTACCTGTGTACTCCCCGGGACTGGTGTAGTTTTCAACCAGCGTCATTCCCACGAACTCTTGGGTCAGCTGGTTGAAGCTGTGCTGCAGCTGGGCGCTGTAGCACCTCAGCTCCGTCCTCTGAACGTCCTCCACTGCAGCCCTGGCGCAGTTTTCATTCCACCTCACCAGCCCCTCCAGCAGGTACACCTGAAAGTGCAATGCACTCGCAGATGTTCCTGTCACAGGATAAAAGAGAGCAGAAGACAATGAGGAGGAGAGAGAGGGAGAGCTGTCGCGAGTCACAAACAGACACATTTAGCTAAACACTTTGAACACACATTTCAGACTCTGACCTGGAATGAAGCGGCACAGGTGGAGGTGAAACGACTCCAGGGAAGTGGAGCCTCTGGCACAACGAAAGACGGGGAGCTTGACCCCTCCCCTGGTCACCTCCCCGGTCTTTCTGTAGAGGTCCACTCCTGGCGGGTCCTGAATGCAGTGGAGGTGACGTCGCTGGGTGCTCCAGATCTCCTCCATCTTCTCACAGTCAAAGAGTGGGACGCCCATGGTGTCCGCCGCCCCCCAGAAGGAGTCCAGCACCTCTTCCACCAGCCGCTCGGTCTCCTTCAGTCCTCTGGTGTGGCGGCGGCAGTGTTGAGCCAGCTCCCTCGACGACAGCTGAACATAGGCATCCCTGTCCTTCCCCTCCTCGGACTGCTTGGCCTCTCTGAGTCTATCCACATCGCCACGGTCCCACTCAAACATGGCGAAGGACAGACGTGCCATAAAGAGGCCAAACAGCTGGTGGCTGTCAGTGGTCACACCCCTGGAAAAGCGGCGCATGATGTGCCACACGTCCAGGCGCACCACCAGCTGTTCCCACTCGCTGAACATTGAACACAAACGAAATGACGGGTCAGAAAAAAACACACCGTCTTCCTGCTCTGCCGGCGGCTTTACAAACACCGCGCAGTACCTTGCACTGTCCAACGGCGGAGCAGCAGTCCTGGTCCACGTACAAGACCTTGGGATGGGCCTTTCCGGCATCTCTGTAGCGCCGCACAAGTCCAGCCGCCATAGGCAACAGGCCGTCCCCTTTGTCAGTGGTGAGGACGGATATGAGCACCTGCCCGTGCTCGTTGCCTACATTGGTGACCCAGCCAGCTGTACCGGCAGCTTCTCCTGCAAGCTTCTTTATCATCTGCAGTAGACAGAAAGAAGATGACACAAACAGCCACATCCGCTTGCCAGGAAGGCACAGAATTGCTATTTTTTTCAGTCATAAAAATCACTGAATGAATAAATGAATGCATGAATAAAAATTGTCACTCACCTTCTTGGTGGAGCCCATTTTTAAAATGTCCCCAAAGATGGACGTGATCCTGGCTTTTGTCTCGTCTAGGCGTGGCAGGGCATCCCTGACATAGACGGACAGCAGCCAGGACACGCCGGGCACCGGGTGCATCGTTGGTAGGGAGAACTGCTGCTGCTCTCCCGGCACCCGAAGCTTGCGGATCACGGAAAGATAGTTCATGCACCGCACCATCCAGTCCCTCGTGTGCTCTTCCATGAGGATAGAACGGAGGCGAGACGCACTATTGCCCAAGGTGCGCTCCTTCAAGTGGGCGATGACGGCCTTGTCACAGGACAGCCTGTGGTGGTCAGGGGTTGAAAAGAGTCAAGTTAAATACACTACAACAACAGCAACAAAAAACAACAAAAGAACAAGTGAAGCATGCTGATGTTTGAGACGGTGTCACATCTCTGCTTACTTGTATGTGAGAACGGCTGGAAACCTTTCCCTGTGTGCCAGATCCAGCTGCTCCAGGATGTCCTGTGCCCACGCAGCATACTTCCTGTGACATGAGCAGCATTCCAGGTACTCCGTGCCCATGAAGTACCAGCTGCTCATGTCCAGGACCCTCCGCACAGTCCTGTACAGGCCAGCGCCGGTCAGTTTGAGTTTACAGACGGGACACACAAGCCTGTATGCCCACATCTTGTAGGGCAACCACAAGAAGAACCGGCTCTGGAAGAATTCATGGAATGAGGCGGGTGGCTGGGTGTAGAGGGGCCGGTCTCCAGGAGGGTACCACCAGAGGCGAAGGTCGGTGGTGAGGACGGGCCGGCCCCTGGCGCCTATGGTGAACAGAGCCCGGCCCAGCCACTCGTGCTGCTCCTCTGGCAAGGTCTGTCTCCAGCCCTTGGGGAGCAGCTGCGAAAGTCACATAGCTTAGTTAAGGCCAAGGTTCACATCACAATGCTCCTCGTGAAAAACTACACTTGTTTTTTTAAAAGACGCAAGCCACACCCTTCTACCTGTGCGCCTGTGGTCGCTGCCGGCGGTGTGGGCTCATCGCCTGCGTGGGGAGGGGACGCCACTGCTGCTGTGGCTGCGGCGGGTGTGGCAGACTGGGGGACTGCAGCCCGCAGTAAGGCCTGTGATGCAGGGGGTGCTGGTAGGGTGTCCCTGGTGCCTGAAAAACACACACACACACACACACACACACACACACACACACACAGTTTTGTTAATCTGCTATACATTAACAGCCACCGCACAAACAGATATTTATAATCAGACACACTCACTCTGGGATTCGACCTCAGCCGCAGCGGCGAGGAGGGCGGTGTCAGAGGGCCCTGCCAGGTCCCTGCATGTCGCGCCTGTGTGGACAGAGAACTCAAATGAATATGCGAATTCCCCTTTTGCACCTACGACTTGTGAGCCCTGCTTGGACAAGGGTACACTCACTCGACAATGTCTGCTGAGCCGTTGCCGTACCTGCTCCGACCTCCCGGTCGCGGCCTATGGGGCGCCGTTTGTGAAGCGGCTCATGCTGAAAATAACGGCAACATTTTGCCACATTTAGCTACAAACAACGTTTAAAAAACTGGTATGAACTTTTGATGGTTAATTTTTTTTGCACATTTACAACAATATTTGTCAACTTAGAGATATTTTAAATAGTTAAATCTAAATATTAAATGTTACGCCTAAATGTTAAATGTTAAATCTAAATATTGAATCTAAATCTAAATGCTAAATCTAAATCTAAATGTTTTGGGTGAAACTAAATTTTTAGCTAATATGCAAATTCAAATGCCGGTAACCGGAAATACCAAAATAAAAGCTCGAGGATGTCAGTGTGTTTATAGCGTCAAATAATGAATAAAACCCATCTCATCCGAGAGGAGGCCAGATGCAGCGCAAGATGGCGGACCCAAAGACCAAAAACCGCAACAAAAAACCGCCATAAGTTTCCGCATTACCTCCGATTGGCGGAAAAACAATTACTTCCGGTGGAAAGGCTTTCTCGTTGGCGGACTTCCGGCGCCGAAATACTTCAGGTAGTCGGATTTAGTCGCCGGATCCTTTTTTTTTTCCTCCGTTCATTCCATAAGAATCGAATTAAATTTATTATTGAGCTAAAAATCAAAATAAAACGTTTATGTATTAATTATGACTACTGTTTTGTTCTGATTTAATTCTGAAGTTTACAGTAATATGTATATATAGCCTGATGTCCTCATATTCTGATAATTTGTCAGAATAGGTAAATGTATGTAGAAGTTATCATCTTACTCAAATTCTTTTGTAAGAGTTTGCTACAAGTATGAACTGTTTTAACCTCTCGTTACACATCATATAACAGTGTTTTCTAACTTTTCTCTCCAATAGCTTTATTACACAGCACATCAATGTTTCTTAACTTCTCTGTGACCTTGTTTCTCCACTCCTATTAGGACCTTGTTTAATGTCAACAATGTTGCCCTGACCCTCACATATTTTCTGTTGTTCATAATTATGTTTTATGAGAGTGCTTATGTTGCTGCACAAATTTACTCCCCCCATCCTTTAGTAACATTGTGTAACCAGGGACATAATTTATGAAATGGTGTGCTTCCTGGTGAACCTCTTCAGGATTGCTTGACTGTGCAAAATCCAAGTATACAATAGTTGTAGAGACACAAGTCACATGATCTCTTTAAGGTTCAGAAGAGCCATATAGCAAAAACAATTGAATAGCGATATCATTACAGACTGTGTAAAGAAATGGGAAATTGTCATACAACTGCTTTGAAGATTTCTTTAATTTTTTTCAAACAAAATTGTGAACAGTAAAAAAAAAATATACAAAATTCAGCACGTCGGTGTGGTGGGGGGCTCAAAACACATTGCCACAGGCCATCATCAGCTCCGCTCTGAACCGGCTGATGCCATGCTCCTTCAGTGCTTTGATCAAAAGCTGAAAAACAGGCAAATAATGTGAACAATTGAAGTTATGCAGTATGGGTTAATTGTTGTTCTTGAGCTTTCCAAATGAATAAGAACAACCTCTTAACAATATCATCAATTTTCAAAGCAAGCTATATAGTTTGATCTACTCACCTCTGGGAGCATGACGTCAAAAACGAAATCAAGCAGATGAATATTGCCTGTCTTTATTTTTTTAGCAATGTTTGTTGCCTCCTCAATGAATCGCAGGAGCTCGTACATCTATTGAAGAAAAACACACAAAGTAAACACCTTTCAAATGTAACACCCCTGAGAGTAAAAATACTCATGATGGATGGCATTTTTACTTACGCGCTGCTCACTCCAACTTAATGTCTTTATCTTGAGGTGCTGCTTGAGTCGGAGTGAGGTGGCGGGATTCCTCCAAAGGAACATTCGGTTTGAGCGGAGCTTTCCGGACAGGAGATCATCATGTAATGTCTGAAACCAAAGAGCAAGAGACAAAAATGTAATCATCTGAAAAAGAAACGGTGGCTTTAACAACTGATAGTGCATTCAAAAGCAACCTTGATCTGTGTCTTAGAAAAGACAGCATGAATTCCTCCACTGTCGACAGCATCCTTGACCCTGCAGAGAAATAAGAAAAAGAGCAAGCCCTCATTTTTTCATCCTTTGAGCCTCGTATTTTTGACTGATACTATGTTTCCTTGATAAATTATGTTATACCGAGGATGCTCAATTGAGTCCTCGCACCCGCAGTCAAACGGCTCCATTTCCATCCCAGCACAATCCAGATGCAGCCAACCCCTGCACGTCTTGCACTGGACCCATTTGATCAATTTTACCTCAGGGTAAAGCAATCTGATCAAATGAGAGACAAACATAATATTAAACAAACACGCTGTCCAATTGATTATACCTCTGCAGCACATTTGAATGTATAAATAATTTTACCACATGATTCGTGCATTTAAACTATATGTAAAAGTGGTCACTTCATGGAAAATCACTGAATAGGCCCCGATAATTGCATTTATTAAATTGAGTCTGCAACACACCTCTCTCCTGTGTTGTTCGATGTCTGGTAGACACAGAATTGCATCGACTCTGCCATGCACATTCTTCGGACATCCGATGCCGTCTGCGTCATGGTTTCCTTGACAAGGCAATTTGAAAAGTAACATCAATTACCAAATACATCGAGACAATGTTGATCCATACAACTGTGTGCATTTTGAAGGACTCCCACTGAGATAATACTGTTTTTAGAAGGCAATTTTCTAACCTCTATGTCCTGCTGCTCGGCCTTCCTCTTTAGTCTGAAGACCGGAGTATGCTTTCCAGCAATGAGCTGTTTACATTCTTTGGTCCAGTGGGCGAAGATTTTCCCACAACTGTAATGACAATATATCTTTAAGTACAATATATTGATTGTCTTCCAGTTAATTAGGGCATCTAGTTTATTTAAACTGTCTACCTGTTCAAAGAATGGTTCTCCAGGAGCAACAGGCACCACCATCGCCGCAAAACAGGCATGTCATGCTGAAATTGTTGTTTGTATTTCATTTTAGTGCACAATACAAAATACAACCTTGAGGATGACACTGCGTGTTGAAAAGTACTTACAACTGAGTAGTCAAACTGTGAGTCCAGAACGATGTACATGGCAGACTTAAAAAAAAAAAAATTATGAGACAACATGTGAGATAACATTAAAAAAGTCCATGTTGGAAAGTTATTCTAGATACAATATTTGTGCATTACAGCTCGTTATGACCTACCATCAACATGAAGATTCCACAGTCTGAGCCAAAGTCCTGGCTGGGGAAGCCCTGATTAAAATAATATAAAATAATATTTTCCTTACCGTTGTTTCGCTGTACAAATGCGCATTGTAAGGTGTGTGCTCCTGTAACGACGTCGATTGAGTTCTTCTTCTTCTGTAAATTTTGCCGTCAGAAAGTGTAGGTACATACCGCCACCTACTGTTCTGGCATCGCAAAGCAGAAGTTCAAAGTTCATGTTTTGGGTCCGCCAATCGGAGGTAATGCGGAAACTTATGGCGGTTTTTTGTTGCGGTTTTTGGTCTTTGGGTCCGCCATCTTGCGCTGCATCTGGGTACTCTTGTCTCATCCGGGGAAATGGACTCTTGGACATGAATTATCGTGATAATAATTACCTAAAATAATAAACACGTTTGGAGAAACTTTATTTGAAGGGTACTTTGAGCTTTTAGTGTCACTTTTATGAGGGGTACAGGACTTATGGCATGTAGCTACTATAGCCAGCCACGAGGGGGATCCCCTTGGTTGACCAGTCATGTTCGCTTGCATAAAAGCAGAGAGCATGTCATAAGTCCCGTACCCCTCACAAAAGTGACACTTAAAGCTTAAAGTACCCTTCAAATAAAGTTTCTCCAAACGTGTTTATTATTTTAGGTAGTTATTATCCCGATAATCTATGTCCAAGAGTCCATTTCCCCGGATGAGATGGGTTTTATTCATTATTTGACGCTATAAACACACATTGACATCCTCGAGCTTTTATTTTGGTATTTCCGGTTACCGGCATTTGAATCTGCATATTAGCTAAATATTTAGTTTCACCCAAAACATTTAGATTTAACATTAAGATTTAGCATTTAGATATAACAATTAGATTTAGATTTAAGATTTAGATTTTACATTTAACATTTAATATTTAGATTTAACTGTTTAAAATATCTCTAAGTTGACATATATTGTTGTAAATGTGCAAAAAAGTGACTGTCAAAAGTTCACACCAGTTTTTTAAACGTTGTTTGAAGCTAAATGTGGCAAAATGTTGCCGTTTTTTTTCAGCGTGAGCCGCTTTACAAACGGTGCGCCATAGCAGACGGCGCCCCATAGCGGCCTAGCACGTAGAGCTGCAGCAGCAACCTACCTTCTATTTCTTCCTCTCTGCGCTGCTCCTCAATGTGCTTTTGCTTACGGAGGCATTTTCTTTTGTCCATCTTTCTCTAAAAAGAAAAGTCAAACAGGCCGTACGGTAAAGTTCACTGTAGTACAGCTGCCGTGGAGTGAGACAGGGCCGTGAAGTGAGACGGACAGAGGACAGACTGCAAAACTTACCTGAGAAAAGCTCTTCTTCAGCCGAGAAGGTGTCAGTCCCAGGCGCTCGCTGCAGCTGTCCTGTGTGTGACAGTGAAACACTCAAAGTTGAAGTCTCTCACCTCTATACAAACCCGGGGACCACCTTTAACCAATCACCTTTCGGCCATCCCTCCTTCCACCTATCGGACGGCCCACCATCGGAGTTCGGGGAGGGGTGCAGTGGGGGGGGTACAGTGGTACAGTGGCTGGCGCTCCCACCTGTCAGTCGACCTCATGAATCAATTTGACATCCAATCCCGTTGCTTATCGCTACCAAGATTTAACCAATCGGATGCCGCCCTGCTACCAAGATTTGACTAATCAGATGCCACCCTGCTACCAAGATTTGCGCGAACCAATTACCTTCCACTGCGCTCCGGACGGACCGACATCTTCCGCCGCAGTTTTGTTATGTTTATTTTCTTGTCTTAATATTAGAATTTCGACTTAAACTCCATTTATAGCTCATTAACTTGGGCGCTCGCGGGCTTCAATAAAAGTTTTGCATGAAATTCGGACGACTGTCAGTAACAGTTAGCTAGCCAAGTCACTGTACGTACATGAAATAAAATTTAGATTTATGTGTGGCGGCCGTTATCACTTAGATGTGTTAGCCTATGCCCTCATGCACAGTTAAACAACTGGCAAACCATTTGGTAATTAAGCTGGCGTTACCTAATCGTCAGTCCGAGATGGAAATAACTCCACAGTTTGCTATCTATTGTTTGGGAAAGTGTTAGTGTACAGGTTGTGGCATTGGTAAAGCAGTTCAGGGAAGCTAAATTAGTGCACAAACACAGTAGTGTTGAACTGGTCATAAGAAAGTAAACTGTGAACAGCTATATCATGCATTGTGGGCTAGTACTGTATCACAGACAGGCAAATGCGATCAAATCGTGCATAACCTAATTTACATGAGGAGTAATAGATGCGTTGAGCTTGATTTATTTTACTATAGGAAGACGTGAGTTCCGAATGAAAGGAAACAACACAAGAATGCATAGGCTTTGTGATCATATCCAGAAATAAACAAGTTAGCAATGCAATAAAAATACTATTTTGCTGTATCTCTATCCTGTAGTAAAATAAATTAGAACCCCCCAAAAAAACTAAATATGAAGAAGACAGACATAACTTGAATATTTGTGAGGCAGATCTATACAATCATATATTCATACATACTTTTGCTTACATACATACCTCTAAACAAGAGTAAGAATTATCCTTTTACAATATACAGTGTGTACAATATAAGAGGTCAGAGAAAGTAAAATTTGTTTCTTTTTCTACCATAGAGAATGGAACCTAAATTTCGAAGAAGAGGGGATGGTCGTCCCTCCCTCTTTGATTCAGAGGACGCAAGGAGAGTTAAAGCTGAGAATAGGCCATGGGCTCCAGCTCGCTCAGCACAGGAAGTTAGGGAGTCTGCAAAGATGGCTGTTGTGCAGCTTGGTGGAGACCCAGCAAATGAGCTGCATCTACTGGGCCAGCATCAGATGCAGTTTGGTAAGTTTTGAGGCCAAACATTTCAGTGGGGCGCTGAAAATGCCCTTGGGTACGCTGGATATGTGGTTGCCTCAATGTCAGAGGAGTCTGGACGCTCTGATTCAGAGAGCAACCTGATGAACAAGCAGAGCATTCCAGAGGTATATTTCCCACTATCCTGCAGGCCAATATGCCATCCAGGTTAAGTTGGAGGAAAAAGCCTCCAAAAGCTCGACTAAACCTGCCACTGCCACCACCACACAACCCTCTACCTCATCACAACCCTCCACCTCCACTTCCCCACGTGTGTCTTCAGCGTCTGTATCCTCCCTGCAGTCATTGTTGGTAGGGAAGGGCAGGTCTCAGCAGACTATCAGTAAGTCTGTGAAGAAGCTGTTCACACCCCAAAAGTTTCAGCCATGTAAGTATGCACTTGAAAATAGACTTTGTATAACACTGAGTTGTGGGTGTTTTTTTTTTTTTTTTTTTTTTCATTTTTTCATGTCCTCAGTTTTAATGTTACTCCTTTTTAGCTGTTCCTGCTTAGTCCCCTGCTGAATCCACCTGAGATGGAGTCAGACATAGCTGGTATGTTGCTGTTGTTCCAAAAATTCACACTCTCTGTCTCTCTTTCTCCATGTCACATACTCAGCTCTTTAGGCTTTATTGGCATAAATGTCTTGTGAACTAATTTCGGACATGACCAAAAAATATGCATGAGATTAGTATACATACATACATATAACATGCTAATACTTTGAGGTATCAGTGTGAATATTTGATAAGAAAAACCAGTGAAATGAAGTAGCGCATTTCCATGTGTATTCTCTCCAAAAGTAAGACTGTGGTTTTATACATACCTTCTTTCATTCCTTCTTTCTCTCATATCTGTTAAGTAGAGAGCAGAATTTGCCTGCCTGCCGGTTGGATCCCTGCCCTGCCAGAGGTTGACTAGCGCTGGATTGCGAAGGTGTGTCCCCCCAAGTCGTTAACCTGATAACCACCTGGGTCATGTGGTCCCAGATGTGAATGTTTGTGGAGCTTCCTGGGGAGAGACCCTTCCAGGTTAATGACTTGGGGGGACACACCCAGAGATGGGTTTCCACGACCCATTCTTTCCACTTCTCCCAGTCGTTTTCTGTCCCCTTCTCCAGTAATTGCTAGTGTGCTCCTCACAACTCTACACAGTCCAGTTGCCTGTTTTTAAGTCTTCAAGAAAACCATGACCTGGATGAATGAGAATCTACATGGACATCAGTTTCATTATTACACCACTAGTACTAAAACGTCAGAAGTACCGAATCTCAGTTGTTGACCCTTTGTCAGACGCAGTAGTGTTTGTAGTTTTCTTTGTTAACACAGAAGCTCCAACACATATTTGTGTAAATGTTAATGTGTATTGTGTGAGGTAAGAAAAGGCCTTAGTCTGAAACACAGTATTAGAACATCTTTCTGTTTTTGTCCATCATACAGTATATATATATATATATATATATATATATATATATATATATATACATTAACTGCATGAATATTGTATTTATCTGTGGAAACAAAACATCAATATTTTGTCTCTCTCCTTGCTTTAATTTGTTCTAATCCAGGTCCCCACAAAGACAAACCTACCTCAGCAGATGAGGAGTCACCATCCGCCATCCACCAGTCATGATGTAAGTTTACATTTTTGATTTTTTAAATTTCCTCTACATCTGTGATAACTTCAAGTTGACATTTTTGAGATATTGAATTACATCTTTGATTTTTGTGGGTTTATTTTTCTTAACATAGGACTCTGTCGGACCGGATAATATTGAAGGCTTCACAGCAGTCCAGGGCTGGGCGGATCATTTATTCCAGTTGAAGGACCATAGTCTGTCTCTATCAAGAGAGGAGGCTGCCCACATCATTTCTCTCTGGGAGCGTTTGTCAGATTATGACAAAGGTCCTACTGTGTATGCTCCACGCCACCAGGTCCCCCTCCCGAAAGGGAGATTCAGGGCGACAAAAAAAATTGTTGTGCCTGGTGTGGAGAGTACAAAACGGTACGTAGTTTTTGTCAAGCAAGAATAACAATGATACATGCTATTGCATGATTAATGTACTAACACCATAGACTGTATATAAGATGGACAGCCTGGTTCCGCCTTCCGTCTGTATACGGATTTGAAGCCAAAAAGCTCTTGGTAAGTTCGGGTTTTTCTCCATTTCCTTTCATTCCTTTCATTCGTAACGCTAATAGCTTCCCTGCTCGTCGCGACCAAGAATAAGTAAGTTCCACTTCTCCTAATATAATGTGAAATGTGTCAGCGGTCATGTCACATGTCGGTTCACACAGCTTACTGCAGAACAACTCATTTTTCCAATGCAACAAAAGAGAAAAACGATGGAAAAATTTAATCCTCTTCTCTGCTAGCAAACCCGATTGGTCTTGACGATGAAGAAAAAAGAGCGACGCACAAGCGGCAAGTGCAAAGTGTAGAGAATGACGCAATTTCCTGTTTTTATAACTCCTAATAACTTTTTAAAATAGAGCTGCAGAGAGAAAAAAAGACCTGAACACAAACCAGTCTAATAATAACTACATGTCAACATCGCAGTCGGGGGTGAAAAAAGTGTATTTTCTGTGTAATTAATTTCTAAAGGCCGTCCGCCACTCCATTCACTTCGCTGGCAGAAGTGGGGTTTATGACTTGTACTGCAGCCAGGCTCTAGGGGGCGCTGTTCTCGGAGTGGCTTCACCTGGCGAGGAGACAGATGGCGTCCATCTTATATGCAGTCTATGACTAACACTAACAATGCTCAATATCTTCGCAGATGCTTTGCAGCTGGGAGGAGCGCAGCGCAGTGGCCTGACTGCAATCGTGTCTGTGAGTCACTGTTCGTCGAGCTTTGCGAGGAGTACAGGGGACCCAGACGCATTGATGGAGTCAGGCATGAGCGCTGGAGCCTCGTCACCAGGGCATACCTCCACATCCGGCAAGTGATTCTCAACAATGCTGCAGTGATGGAGGGAACAACTATTCAGCTCCCGGTGGTGAATAGTGCAACAATTGCAAGCTGGTGAGTTGGTAAACACTTAACCTTGTGGCATAATAACCTAATATTTATGCTAGTTTTTGAGTAGACATGTTGTACTCTTTCATTGCCCTATGGTACACAAATATAATACTAGGATTATTTTTAGGTACTGCAAACGTGAAAGGCGACAGGACATGCAGGTTCTGGAGCAAAGAATTTCTGCTCCAAATCCTGCCACAGTGAGCCCAGAGAGCCTGCCTCCTGCAGTGGAGAGGAAAGGCAATGCCTCTCCCACCAGTGGGAAAGATGCGCATGTGTTTGTTCTGCCTCCTAATACTGCAGGAACAGCCCAGCTGAAGCAGAGACTCAAAACCCCAGTGGCTCCATGTCTTAGGCCGTCTTTACTTGCAGCTCAGGAGCCACCACTCCAGGCTGCAGCACAAACTCTGCAGCCTGCACCCCATCCTCCTGTGCCTGCAGCCTGACCTCTCCTGCCTGCTCCCAGACCTTCTCTGCCTGCAGCCCGACCTCTTTGCCTGCACACAGACCTCTCCTGCCTGCACCCAGACCTCCTCTGCCTGCAGCCCGACCTCTCCTGCCTGCACCCCGACCTCTAGTGCCTGCTCCAGACCTCCTCTGCCTGCAGCCCGACCTCTCCTGCCTGCACCCAGACCTCCTCTCCCTGCAGCCCGACCTTTCTTGCCTGCTCCCAGACCTCTTCTGCCTGCAGCCCACCCTTCTTTGCCAACTCCACAACCAATGGTTTCTGTTAGACCTGCAGGAGCCTTGCCCTACACCACCCAGCTCTACCATAAAAGGAAACATCAGGAGGAAGAGAAAACTGGCAAAACGAAAAGGTCTTACACACGAAAGACCAGCACCATCACCTGCAAACAGTGCCAGAAGGAGCGGGACCCTGCCACCCACCAGCAGTATTTCGGTAATTGGTACTGTCAGGCCACAGCCACCATGACTCTGGCTGAGTGGAGGGCTACACTTGAAGCTCGGGGGTACGGCAAAAAGAGCGATAAAAAACAGTAATATGATATAATGTTATGTAATGTAGACTTAAAACGTTCCTATTTGATAAAGCTCTTAGTTATTCTGCTATAGATCGAGACTTATGTCCCATATAAGTCACTAACCAGATTTCTGTCTCTCTGAGTCTCTAAGCTTCCACTGGACTAACGCTGCAGACTTAATTTCTGAGCAGAAAGCGCACACGGTATGTGTTTGTATTTTATTTTGCCCTTATAATATTTATGTTTGTGTTATATTTTTGTACTAAAGAAGATGCCCGCGTTTGTAATACTTCTTTACGGTTTTTCACGGTGTTTGCTGGTTAAAAGAAGAAAATAAATGCTGGTCAAACATCAGTTAGAGCGTGGCTTCTCTGTCTCTGAAGAAAAACTTTGGGAGCAGTTATACCCCCCCAGACCACATCTTTGTGTTTTCTGCAAGTCACCTAATGCATTTTGAGTTTTTTGACTGTCTGTAACATTTGGGAAACCTGCACCATGACTGCAGGAGGTCTTTGTATGGAATGTCCATATACCAGATAATCATTCTGTCGCTCTCTCACATATATACGAAAATTGGAAGACGAGCCCGGAGGAACCCGCACACTGACTCACTTCAACTCTAATGGAGATTAGGGGTGCGTTAGCTGATTTGTTTAGGGTTGATTACAGCAGACTAGATGTGCTGTCGGTCAGGACACAGGAAGGAGGGTAGACTGAAATCTCTTCTTATATTGTGGAGCTTTATTCTGACACTCACATATGCATTCAGTTCAGAAACGAGAATAAACAATATTATTTTTCTCGATAACTCAGTAACTTTTTGGATGTGTTCACATGAACAGTAAAAATAAACCTCATACACAACTATTCTCAGTGTATTCACCGAAATCCATCCAAAACAGGCTCAGAATGCATCCATATAAGATAAACTATGAGCTACATATGCACACCGCTCTCTGCTGACTATTCGAGGGAGAAAAAACACAAGCACTTACGAACGGCGCACATGCCGGCTCACATATCGGCTCTCAAAGAGCAATTAAGGATAGAAAAAAAAAACAGCAACAACATTCATAAACGTGTAACCGCTACATATTAGCAACTGATTGCAGAAATCACATTGCGATCACCAAGCAAGGTAAAGATTACAGACACAGCAGCGAGAAATACACATTACCACCAAGTTGTTTTTAACGGATTAAGGAGGCAATAAAACACTGCGATATAAACAGTCCTCCCATAAGCACACTGTTTGGTGTCACACCTGTTTTCCGTGCAGTAAACTTAGACTCAGAAGAATCAGGAGAGAGATCTTTTAGTTAATTATAAATTTCAGAAATGATATCTTTTCCAAAAGTTTTTTTGTTGTTGTTGTTGTTAAAAGGGAAAAAAAAAACTCCAGTATTGTTAGTGGGGGACGGAAAATATAATGGGCTTGGTTTTGTTTTGATCAAGTTCTTTTTTGTTGTTTTATTGAAGAAACATGAAAGAGGTCAGGTCAAAACTCCAAAGGAAGATCAAACCAGACTTTGAAAGCTTCTATCTGTCACAGTGTTGATGACACTTCACACCTTGACTACTGCTTTTATCCTGATGACACTTGAGTGCTCCCTTCCAGGGTACTTGGCTGACGAGGCCCCTGTGGTGCGCGACACCTCTTTGAGGCAGGAAGGTGGACAATCTTCTAAGCCTGGCCGTTACTTGACCCCCAAACTCCGATGGTGGGCCGTCCGATAGGTGGAAGGAGGGATGGCCGAAAGGTGATTGGTTAAAGGTGGTCCCCGGGTTTGTATAGAAGTGAGAGACTTCATCTTTGAGTGTTTCAGTGTCACACACAGGACAGCAGCAGCGAGCGCCCGGCACTGACACCTTCTCGGCTGAAGAAGAGCTTTTCTCAGGTAAGTTTTGCAGTCTGTCCTCTGTCCGTCTCACTCCACGGCCGCTGTACTACAGTGAACTTTACCGAACGGCCTGTTTGACATTCTTTTTAGAGAAAGATGGACAAAAGAAGATGCCTCCGTAAGCGAAAACACATTGAGGAGCCGTGCAGAGAGGAAGAAATAGAAGGTAAGTTGCTGCTGCAGTTCTACGTGCTGGGCCGCGACCGGGAGGTCGGAGTAGGTACGGCAGCGGGCCAGCAGGCTCCGTCGAGTGAGTGTACCCTTGTCCAAGCAGGGCTCACGAGTCTTAGGTGCAAAAGGTGAATTCGCATATTCATTTGACTTCTCTGTCCACACAGGTGCCGCATGCGGGGACCTGGCAGGGCCCTCTGACACCGCCCTCCTCGCCGCTGCGGCTGAGGTCGAATCCCAGAGTGAGTGTGTCTGATTATAAATATCTGTTTGTGCGGTGGCTGTTAATGTATAGCAGATTAACAAAAGTGTGTGTGTGTGTTTCAGGCTCCAGGGACGCCCCATCACAGGCCTTACTGCGGGCTGCAGTCCCCGAGTCTGCCACACCCGCTGCCGCCACAGCAGCAGTGGCGTCCCCTCCCCACGCAGGCGATGAGCCCACACCGCCGGCAGCGACCACAGGCGCACAGGTAGAAGGGTGTGGAAGGCGTTTGTAAAAAAACAAGTGTAGTTTTTCACGTGAAGCATTGTGATGTGAACCTTGGCCTTAACTAAGCTATGTGACTTTCGCAGCTGCTCCCCGAGGGCTGGAGACAGACCTTGCCAGAGGAGCAGCACGAGTGGCTGGGCCAGGCTTTATTTACCAGAGGCGCCAGGGGCCAGCCCGTCCTCACCACCGACCTTCGCCTCTGGTGGTACCCTCCCGGAGACCGGCCCCTCTACACCCAGCCACCCGCCTCATCCCATGAATTCTTCCAGAGCCGGTTCTTCTTGTGGTTGCCCTACAAGATGTGGGCATACAGGCTTGTGTGTCCCGTCTGTAGGCGCCAGCTGACCGGCGCTGGCCTGTACAGGACTGTGCGGAGGGTCCTGGACATGAGCAGCTGGTACTTCATGGGCACGGAGTACCTGGAATGCTGCTCGTGTCACAGAAAGTATGTTGCGTGGGCACAGGATATCCTGGAGCAGCTGGATCTGGCACACAGGGAGAGGTTTCCAGCTGTTCTCACGTACAAGTAAGCAGAGATGTGACACCGTCTCAAACATCAGCATGCTACACTTGTTCTGTTGTTGTAGTTGTTGTTGTTGTTATAGTGTATGTAATTCGACTCTTTTCACCCCCCAACCCCCCCCCCCACCACCACCACCACCACCACAGGCTGTCCTGTGACAAGGCCGTCATCGCCCACTTGAAGGAGCGCACATTGGGCAACAGTGCGTCTCGCCTCCATTCTATCCTCATGGAACTGCACACTAGTGACTGGATAGTGCGGTCCATGACCTACCTTTCCGTGCTGCGCAAGCTTGGGGTGCCGGGTGCAGGACAGGGGCAGCAGGTCTCCCTACCAACGATGCACCCGGTGCCCGGCGTGTCCTGGCTGCTGTCTGTCTACGTCAGGGATGCCCTGCTGCGCCTAGATGAGACAAAAGCCAGGATCACGTCCATCTTTGGGGACATTTTAAAAATGGGCTCCACCAAGAAGGTGAGTGACAATTTTTATTCATTCAGTGATTTTTATGACTGAAAAAAATAGCAACTCTGTGCCTTCGTAGCAAGCCACACACACACACACACACACACACACACACACACACACACACACACACACACACACACACACACACACACACACAGATGTGGCTGTTTGTGTCATCTTCTTTCTGTCTACTGCAGATGATAAAGAAGCTTGCAGGAGAAGCTGCCGGTACAGCTGCCTGGGTCACCAATGTAGGCAACGAGCACGGGCAGGTGCTCATATCCGTCCTCACCGCTGACAAAGGGGACGGCCTGTTGCCTATGGCGGCTGGACTTGTGCGGCGCTACAGAGATGCCGGAAAGGCCCATCCTAAGGTCTTATACGTGGACCAGGACTGCTGCTCCGCCGTTGGACAGTGCAAGGTACCGTGAAGTGTTTGTAAAGCTGCCGGCAGAGCAGGAAGACGGTGTGTTTTTTTCTGACCCGTCATTTCATGTGTCCTCAGACCTCAGCAATGTTCAGCGAGTGGGAGCAGCTGGTGGTGCACCTGGACGTGTGGCACATCATGTGCCGCTTTTCCAGGGGTGTGACCACTGACAGCCACCAGCTGTTTGGCCTCTTTATGGCGCGTCTGTCCTTCGCCATTTTTGAGTGGGACCGTAGCGACGTGGATAGACTCGGAGAGGCCAAGCGGTCCGAGGAGGGGAGAGACAGGGACACCTCTGTCCATCTGTCGTCGAGAGAGCTGGCTCGACACTGCCGCCGCCGCACCAGACGGCCGGAGGAGACCGAGCGGCTGGTGGAGGAGTTGCTGGACTCCTTCCGGGGGGCGACGGACACCATGAGCGTCCCACTCTTTGACTGTGAGAAGATGGATGAGATCTGGAGCACCCAGCGTCGTCACCTCCGCTGCATTCAGGACCCGCCAAGAGTGGACCTCTATACCAAGACCGGGGAGGTGACCAGGGGAGGGGTCAAGCTCCCCGTTTTTCGTTGCGCCAGAGGCTCCACCTCCCTGGAGTCGTTTCACCTCCACCTGTGCCGCTTCATCCCAGGTCAGAGTCTGATTTGTGTTTAAAGTGTTTAGCTCACAGTGTCTTTGTGTGTGTGTGTGTGTGTGTGTGTGTGTGTGTGTGTGTGTGTGTGTGTCTGTGTGTGTTTGAGAGACTCACAACAGCTCTCCCTGTCACTCCTCCTCACTGTCTTCTGCTCTCTTTTATCCTGTGACAGGAACATCTGCGAATGCGTTGCACTTTCAGGTGTACCTCCTGGAGGGACTGGCGAGGTGGAATGAAAACCGAGCCAGGGCCGCAGTGGAGAATGCTCAGAGGACGAAGCTGAGGTGCTACAGCGCTCAGCTGCAGCACGGCTTCAACCAGCTGACCCAAGAGTTCCTGGGAGTGAAGCTGGTTGAAAACTACACCCTTCCCAGGGAGTACACAGGTAGGGCTCAACGCAAGTGCAGGCTGTCACGGGCCAAGCGGGCCGAATGGAGTCCCTGCATCTGTCTTTTTACAGGTGAGCTCATCGGAATGGAGTACCTGTACTCCCAGACGGGTGTCGTGCTGCAGCAGGATCTCGGCCGGGACCCCGATGCTCCGGATGGGACCGTGGAGGTGGAAGAGGCTTGGGAGGAGGAAGAGGAGGGGTTCCAGGAGGAGGAGCTCCAGGACTTGAGGTTTGCCAACAACCTCAGCACACTCCTCCAGGTGCAACATCTGTGCCCTCAGCCTGCTGCCGCCGCTGCCACCACCACCTCCTCCTCGTGGACCGAGTTGGAACCAGGCCAAACTGCTGAAGAAGGAAGAGGAGGAGGGAGATGTAAGCACACCATGTACTGTGAAGTTGTTTTTTTAATTCCTTTCTGCGGCAGTTTGTTTTGCAAACAGTTGCCCCGCCCATAGGCCTGTTGCAGAACGTCCTGGGTCCAGGCGGCCACGGAGGGTACCAACACGCCGCCCGCCTGGCCCATGCCCTCGTGGAGCTGCGTCACGTGGCATTGTGTTCTTGTCCGATGATGTTTGCTATCAATGCTTTTGGAAACCGCCTGTTCTCTATCATCTATCTATTTGTTTTGCAGACTCAGTGATCACTGACAGCCAGCATGAGGGACAAAGTCACTCAACTCCAGACGGTGGGTTTTCTTTGGTTTTTATTGACAGGAGAGCCGCAGGCGCTTTAAAACACAGCTGGGTTTATTGACCGATCCACTCATCCACCCCTAACAGAAACACACACCAACACACAGTCGGATGACGAGGTGGGCCGCAGCTGAACTCGTCGCTCCCTGAATGCTACTGCTGGTGATGCTGCTGCTGCTGGTGATGCTGCTGCTGCTGGTGATGCTGCTGCTGCTGATGATGCTGATGATGCTGCAGAGACAGAGGCTGTAAGTGATCGCGATCTGCAAAGAAAATGAATGCAAATAGCGTCATGATTTATTGTGCACATACATACACCGTCACATACAGACTAACCTCCTTCCAAAACTCCCAACACTCTTGGACACTGCCAGAGGCAAGTTTACAAGTGCCCTTTTGTACCCCACATCTGTTACAGGTATCTGGGGTATTCAAATTAAAATTTATTTAGTTTTACTAAAGTAATATACACCCATATCAACCGATTATATTGTAGGAGTCTTAGGCGTGTATTACCTGTCCCTGTCTGGGTTGCTTTACAGGCTTTATGCCCAGACAGGGACAAGTCCTCCCGTGGATCTGATTTTCATGCATTAAACTTAGACTCAGAAAAATCAGGAGAGAAATCTTTTATTAAATCATAAATTTTATAGATGATACTTTCTCCTAAGTAATTTTTTGTAAAAATTTCCTCCAGTATTGTTAGTGGGGGATGGAACATATAATGGGCTTGAGTTTGTTTTGATCAAGTTCTTTTTTGTTTGTTTTATTGAAGAAACATGAAAGAGGTCAGGTCAAAAATCCAAAGGAAGATCAAACCAGACTTGAAAGCTTCTATCTGTCACAGTGTTGATGACGCTTCACACCTTGACTACAGCTTTTATCCTGATGACACTTGAGTGCTCCCTTCCAGGGTACTTGGCTGACGAGGCCCCTGTGGTGCGCAACACCTCTGTGAGGCAGAAAGGTGGACAATCTTCAAAGCGAAATGTTATGAATATAACTTCTGTTCCCTGAAGGAGAGGAACGAGGTACAACACATATAGTATGGGATATCACGCCCCTGCGTGACCTGACTGAAGACACCTTTATTCACGCCTTTAAGGCAGATGATCTGTGGTGACGTCTGGGAGGCTCCGCCTGCACATATATACGTGTAACACCACAGTCATCCTTCAGTTCGATAGCCGCTCTTCACCGAGCTCTGCCGCGCAGCGGGCAACCCAGTGTTGTACCTCGTTCCTCTCCTTCAGGGAACAGAAGTTATATTCATAACATTTCGTTCCCTTTCAGTCGATTCACTCGGTACAACACATATAGTATGGGACATATATACACGCCCCGCAGAGCAGCCACCGAACCGAAGTCAAACCTCCAAAACTTTTAGTGCATTGTAGACCCAGCAGAAAGGACAGCGTGAGCCACCGAAGGTGCTGTCACATCCAAACGGTAAAACCGAACAAAAGTGTGCGGTGATGACCAACTGGCTGCAGTGCAGATATCACTCACAGAAACCCCTTTAAACAAGGCCCAAGAGGCCGCCATTCCCCTGGTTGAATGTGCCCTCACACCTTGGGGCAACGGGAGACCCCTGCTGCCGTATGCTAAGGAGATAGCCTCCACAATCCAGTGGGAAAGCCGCTGCTTAGACAGCGCCTTGCCCTTGGCTGGATTAGCAAAACAGACAAACAACTGGTCACATAAACGCACACTCTGAGTGCGGTCTATGTAAGTGCGTAGTGCACGCACAGGGCACAAGGAATGCAACCTCCTCTGCTCCTCAGATGCAAATGGAGGGGGGCAGAAGCTCAGCAGTTCAAAACTCATAGAGCTATAGGCTGTGGGGATAATCTTAGGTAAATACGCCGCGTTTGGACGCAATGTAGCCTTAGATCCATCCGGAGTGAACTGGGTACAAGAGGGATGCACAGACAAAGCATGAAGGTCGCCCACTCGCTTTGCAGACGTCAAAGCAAGTAGCAGTGCAGTCTTGTATGAAAGAAATTTCATGTCTGCTGACTCAATAGGCTCAAATGGGGGTCCACCAAGAGCCTCAAGCACCAACCCTAAATCCCATGAGGGAACACTGGGTTTAAGAACAGGTCTTAGCCTGCGGACTCCCTTTAGGAAGCGCATAGCAAGAGGGTGAGCGCCTGGCGTCACACCATCAAAGCCAACATGGCATGTAGATATAGCCGCCAAATAGACCTTAATTGTTGAGAAAGAGAGACCCTTATCCAGCAGGTCCTGAAGGAATGTTAAAACATCCACAATAGAACTCTGAAATGGGAGTACATTTCGGTCCTGACACCACTGCTCAAACGCCCGCCATTTATAGGCATATAGGCCCCTAGTAGATGATGCCCTTGCACTCTGGATTGTTGCCACCACATTTGGGGGCAGACCCTGAGCCATTAAGTTGGACCTTTCAACAGGTAAGCATGTAGTTTCCACAGTTCTGGGCGCGGGTGAATCACCTCTCCTCCCGCCTGGGAGAGGAGGTCCCTGCAAAAAGGGAGCTGCCAGGGCCTCGCTACCAGCAGACTGATTATCTCTGCGTACCACGACTTCGCCGGCCAGCGAGGAGCCACCAGGATCAGGGAGAGCCCCTGCTGGCGCACCCTCTCCAGAATGGGCAGAATCATTTCCACTGGGGGAAAAGCATATAGCAGCGTGTTGGGCCATGGGTGAGCTAGCGCATCCATCCCCAGGGGAGCATTGCAGTCTGTTATGGAAAAGAACAGGGGGCAATGAGTATTTGCTCTGGAGGCAAAAAGATCTACTTCTGCCTTGCCGAAGTGGTCCCATATCTGAGCCACCACTAGTGGGTGCAATCTCCACTCTCTCACAAGAGGACCCCCCTGGAGAGAAGGTCTGGTCCAAGGTTTAAGTGACCCGGAATATGTGTGGCTCTGAGGGACAGAAAATGAACACTGCACCATAGCAACAGATAGTGAGACAGTTTTAACAGGGGAAGAGAGCGTGTCCCTCCCTGCTTGTTTATGTAAGAAACCACGGTTGTGTTGTCCGTCCTGATCAGAACATGATGGCCTGTCAGAACGGGACGAAAGTGCTTCAGAGCTAAAAGGGTAGCTAGTAGCTCCAGGTAATTGATGTGGAGTTTGCATTGTGCTGGCGTCCACACACCTCTCACTGCTGCGCCCTCGCACAGAGCCCCCCAACCCCTCAGGGATGCGTCTGTGGACACCACCTTGCGAAAAGACACCCTCCCTATCGGAGATCCCTGTTGTAGAAAACCGGGTTCTCTCCACGGGAGAAGAGCCGACATGCAAGACTGAGTTATCGTCAGCCTCCTCTGGAGGTGACGCTGCGCGCACAGCCGGTGAGACTGAGTCCAGCGTTGAAACGCTCTCATTTTTAACAGTCCGAGCGGCACTACAGCGATCATAGATGCCATCATGCCTGTCAGCTGTAAAATCGTCCGGAAACACAGTTTGCGTCCCAACTGAAATTGTGCAAGGCAGCGGTGAAACGCAGCCACCCTGCGTTCTGACAGACGTGCTCGGCTTGAAACGGAGCATATTTCCAGCCCGAGAAATGATACCTGTTGACTCGGAGTCAGTGAACTTTTCTGTAAATTTACTGAAAAGCCCAGTGTTTGGATGTGCGATAGGGTCAATGACAGCTGAGCCGCTGCTCGCTCTCTGGAGCTCGCGATTAGCACCCAATCGTCCAGATAGGCTAAGATGCGAACACCTTTCTCCCGTAGCGGAGCTAATGCCGCCTCGACACATTTGGTGAATGTTCGGGGGCGAGTGATAAGCCGAACGGCAGCACCAGGTATTCGTAGGCTATGCCCTCGAATGCAAACCTTAGAAACTGCCTGTGGTCCGGATGAATTGCTACGTGAAAGTAAGCATCTGTCAGATCGATAGTTGTAAACCAATCTCCCGGTCTGATCGCGCCCAGTAGCTGTCTGAGTGTTAGCATCTTGAACCTGTAGGTTCGTAGGTATTTGTTTAACACTCGCAAGTCTAGGATAGGACGGAGCCCTCCTCCTTTTTCGGAACAACGAAATAGCGGCTGTACCAACCTTTGTTCGTTTCCGAAGCGGGAACAACTCGTATCGCTCTCTTGTTCAACAAGTTGTTTATTTCTTCCCTCAGCACTGCTGCTGCTTCCTCTGCTACAACTGTGTGTATTACAGAGTGAAAGCGAGGCGGTCGGACCCTGAACTGTAAGCGGTAGCCGATGGCAACAGTTCTCTCTACCCACGGTGAGACTGCGCATGCGCGCCACCGAGAGAGACGAACAGTCAGTCGACTGACCTCCAGTACTGTGGGGGAGGGGTTGTCGCCCCCTAGCGTGCCGGCTGGGAACGGCAACACTTTCTCGCCCAGACTTGATTGATTCATGATGTTTTGAAAACAAAACGAAACCTTTATTTGATTCAAAGAACGTACATTTGTGACATTCACACAGTGAACAACAGGCGCCATTATTGGGGCATGTGTATGTGAGGGGGGGTTGTGCTTGGGAGACTGTGTTAAGGGAGTGCAGCGCCTCTCGGGATCGGACCCCTGAACGAACTTTAAACGCGGCCTCTTTGGCGGCAGAAAATGAAGGGCGGCAGTGTCTCCGTGCTGCTGGCCCTCTCGAGTCGATCCCGAAGCTAGGATGACTGCTGCTTCTTCTTCCTGGGCGCCGAGTCCCTCCGGAAGCTCGGTGGCGGACCCTTGTTCCAAGCCGAAGGGCGTGGGTTCTGACCGGGTACATGTCGCTTCACCGGCTGGGGCCCCAAGCTGGCGGGCGCTGCAGTCCTCTTAGGGGGAGGCGCTGGTGCCGGTTTGTGCGGATAACCCTGTTGTTTGGGCCTCGCATCACGCCTGGGGATGATGCTTCTCAAAGCTTCGGTTTGTTTTTTCCTCAGCTCAAACTTAGCCTGAATGTCGTCGAGGGACTGCCCAAACAAACCGCTGGCCGACACAGGCTCGTCCAGATAAACCGCTCTGTCCCTCTCCGGAACGTCGGAGAGAGTCAGCCACAGGTGCCTCTGCGCCACCACCGTGGAAGCCATGCCTCTACCGAGAGACAGCGCTGCACAGCGGGACACACGGAGGATGTAATCTGTGGCGACCCTAGCTTCATTGAGGAGAGGAGTAAGCGGACTGTCAGGAGGCATACGCGAGCCGAGTTCTGCCAGACACATAGCTTGATATGTCTGAAGCATAGTGACGGAGCTCAGTGCACGAGCCGTATTTGCCTGTGTCCTGTAAATTTTATCCAGCTGTGACGCTGAAAATCTACAGTGCTTGGATGGGAGCGTGATGGGGCCACTGACACCGTGATTCTGGGCCGGGGCCAGATAAGCTGCCAGGGATGCCTCCATAGGCGGAGGGTTCACCAATCCAGCTTTTTCAGCTCCATTTAGATCCAGAAACTGTCCACAACCGGGCACTGTGGCGCGGGTGGACAGCGGCTTGTTCCATGTCGAGGTTAGTTCCGCGACAAAATCCGGGAACATGGGCAAACTGTTCTTAACAGTCGTCGGTTCGGGTGGGAGAAAAAACCCTGTGAACCGCAACGGTTTTTGAGCTGGTGGAGGAGAGGGCCATTCTACCTCCAGTTTCTCAGCTGCACGGCGGTACAGTGAGAGGAAGGATGTGTCGTCCAGATCGACCGGCGCAGCAGCGGCGGCATACTGACCTGAAGACAACGGCTCCAGCTCATCTTCCGAAAAACCCTGCACGTCCAGGCCGATGTCCAGCACGTCATCGTCCTCCTGGTAACAAGCTAGCCCGGATAGCGGCTGGCCAGCGCCCTCGGAGGGGCCCGGCTCAAACCCAGCTGACCCGTCAGCACACTCCACATGGTCTGCCCAGCTTCCAACTGAGCCTTCGACAAGAAAGTCCTCACCACCGGACTCGGACGAAGCCGGGTCTCTGGACTCGGAAAGGAGGGGGTCGTGCAGCGCAACAGCGGTTTTTCCAAGAATTTTCTCCACAAACTTGACCCGCCTTCCCAGGGTTGAGCTCCGAAGCCGGTGACAGGACTCACACGACTCGGGCTCAGTCAACGCCCTCCTGGCGTGGACAATCCCCAGGCAAACGGGACAAGCCTCGTGAAGATCCTTCTCGTGAAGGGAGAAGCCGCACCCCTGAGGACAGGGGCGAACAGAAGACTTCACCTTCACCTTCATGGGCTTAGAGCTCATAACGAGACTCAAAAGCTGAACGAAATTAGCGCTCCGCGGGTAGCCGTAGGCTAACACCAACAGGGGCAGTTGAGCTAAAGTCGATCAAGCAGTAGCCAGAGACAAGACCAGGCTAATTTAGCAGCAGCTAGTTAGCCCGACTCGGTGTAGGTGTTCTCAGCGAGGTGAAGAGCGTAAGAACTGAAGGATGACTGTGGTGTTACACGTATATATGTGCAGGCGGAGCCTCCCAGACGTCACCACAGATCATCTGCCTTAAAGGCGTGAATAAAGGTGTCTTCAGTCAGGTCACGCAGGGGCGTGATATCCCATACTATATGTGTTGTACCTCGTTCCTCTCCTTCAGGGAACCTGGCCGTTACTCGACCTCCCCAATTCCGATGGAGGGCCGTCCAATAGGTGGAAGGAGGGATGGTCAAAAGGTGATTGGTGGTCCGAAGGTAGGTTGCTTTCATTTTCGGAGGGGATTATTCTAATCAGTTCACAAAATGTGCTTGAATGATAAAAGGATTTTTTTTTAAATTTTCTCTTGCAGACTCTGCAGAGATCTTTGTCCCAAGCGATTGGGACGTCTCATTACCAGCCAGAGGATGACAGCAACAGCAGCAGCAGCAGAACTGCTGAAAAGACTGATGAAGGTTAAGAAATCTCATCATGTGTGTACTTAATGCTCTGTTATCATTAAAGCACCTATTCATCACTTCAAGACTTGTTTGTCATTTCATTGTCTTTCTCTGGGGGGGGGGTAGAAATGCTTTTGGAAACTTCCTGTTTTCTGTCATCTCTCAATTTGTTTTGCAAACCTGGTGATCACTGACAGCCAGCATGGGGGTCAAAGTCACTGAACTCCAGACAGTGGGGTTTGTTTGGTTTTTGTTGACAGGACAGCCGCAAGTGCTTTAAAACACAACTGGGTTTATTGAAACATACTCAAAACAAACAGCTGGATGACAAGGTGGGCCGCAGCTGGACTCAGAGGCTACTGAAGATGATGGTTGATGATCATCATTTTCTATAAAGTATTCCCTCCCTCCTCGTTGACATCCGTTGCTTTGAATAAGCACACATGGCTACTTTGCATAAGGGGCGGGCATAACCCTCGGGCTTCTGCGGCACTCTTTGGAGGTAAACCAGGTGAGGTGGGCTGTGTCGTTCCAATTTTTCCAGTGGGGAATTCTGTGAAAATACAAAGGGGCCGCAGGGAAGGAACCTTTTGTTTTTTAAAGGTAATAGGTCTGGAAATTTTCTGATGATGGTAACAATTGCTCTTCAGTAAAAAACATAATTCCCGAAAAGTAAAGTAAAAAATCCGGACAGTATTACGAAGAACAGGAGTTAGTAATACAGCAAAAAGCATACAATTTTACATTACCTTTCAAAAAAACGAGTCGCGAGCTTGTTGATTTGTAAAAACAATATATTCTAGTAATGTTTACAGTAAAATGGGAAAAAGGCGATATCCCGGACCTGTGGCTGGAGCAGAGTGCTACAGCGTGAGCAGCAGGCTCTAAGTGCGGCACTGGCACTGACAAGTAAGTCAGTTTTATGATAAGCAGAGTTTTGTAGAGTTTTGGGGTTAATTGGGGAGTCATCGGATTTATTTTTGCCATGTAGATCTGTACAAATCCTATGAGCTTTACAAACATAATACCAACTATACCAATGAAACTATATTTTGTTTTTGCAAAATGAAGACATCCAAAGTTTTTTTTTCTCCTGTCATTTTATGTCCATTTACTTCATACTTATGAGGGGAAATGATTGGCACACATGCTTTATGGTTGATCTTTTTCGGATGGTGTTTGCTGTTAATTTTTTCTCTATCTGAATATAATTTTTTTAAGTGATATAATTTTTGATTCCAAAACAAAATCACACAATATTTTCCCCAGCCATCTTGGCTCTCACCTTCGACATAACCCACTAAACAAAGCATTTCCCAAAAGTAAAACAGAGGTAAAGTAGCAAACCAGCATAAGTAACTCATCTTACCTAACTCAAAAAAGGTTAAGATTAAGAAAAAAAAAAATAATGATAATAATAATAATAATAATGAACTTTTATAAACTTGGAGACACAAGCAACAAACCCATGAGTCGTGTTTGCAGAATCTACCAATCAGACTCTTTGTTCAGACTGAGGGTTTTAGCGAGCGGTTGGTGTTGAGCCTGTCTCTCATCATGCCGCTGTCTCAGCTGCTCGTTTGCTGTCTCGCTGCTTTGTCTCTCATTTGTCTGCAAGGTAAGACAGGTACATTATTATTACTGCACGCTTTCATCCCTCAGGTTAACTTATTTTAATACCTGCTATTGTTTAAAATGTTGGACACCTTTACAGTTCAGTCTCTCCATCAACAACCTGTACATCAATGCCTGTTTTATACTTTGTCTTTGGTGTTATATAAAAATGATACTTTTCGGCTGATTATCAATGATGTATCACAGTATTGATCACATGTGAGTTAATGCAGAGAAGGTGCTCTGCTGTGCAACTGTTACTCTGACATTTCATGGTGTTTATTTTTACTTTGTGACCTGCAGCTGTTCTCTGTCTAAATGTTAATTTGATGCAGTGTTAGCATGAGAAGATAAAACAGCTCCTGGCACCGACCTTTGACCTTTATAGACCTGTGCAACAACAAAGCCCTCAGCCAGCTTTACCCAAATATTATGCACATTAGAATATATATCTACTCATATATTATTTTGATCCTAATGGCAGAACAAAGCAGACAAGACAATACAGATTGTGTGTGTGTGTGTGTGTGTGTGTGTGTGTGTGTGTGTGTGTATCAGGGTGCTGTCTCCAGTGTTTTGGTTGTAATGTTGGTGGAGGTCGGGGGCATGGCTACGTGGAGCTGGGCTGCAGCCAACCAGAAGTCATCAACTGCAGTCAGACAGAGAGAGGATTCAAATTGAGATTCTGCATCACAACATACAGCAGTCAGTACCTGTCTGTCTGTCTGTCTGTCTGTCTGTCATGGTGCGATTCTCCCGCTGCCCTCATTTCTAAACCCACTGAGCAATAGATGGCCATTAGACATCTAGATTTTTTTTTAGACCTGATTTCAACCGTCTAGATTCTGTATATTTTCAGACGGGATTTAGACGTTGCACTTTAACCCATTATTCGATAACTATTTATTTCACAAGGCAACTGTGAGTTGCATAACTGATCTCCAAGTACTTAACCGAAATAATTATGATAGGTGTTGAGCCTTATACAGTTAGGCTTCTGTTAGCTGGCTAGTCTAAACCTGGTCTAAATTTAGACATCTAAAATAACTTTCATTTTTAGACCTGTGGTAGCCTGATGTTAGACCAGTCGTCTAGGCTACATTTAGATGTCGATAAGACCTCCTTTGGACCAAAAAATGCTGAGTAGGAAGGTTGGGAGATTTATATTATCATTATGATGTCTGTCAACCTTTTACACACTGTCCATACCATTTTCAGATTTGGATTATAATTTCTGAGACAAAAAATATTCTTTCTGTCTGCAGAGCCTCTGGACCTGGTTTTGTCTCGGGGCTGTGCTACGTCTCGTCACTGTCAGCAGACGGAGCTTCCTGGCGTTGCTGTGGCTTGCTGTGATTGGTCACTGTGCAATGGTGGTTGGCAGCAACAGGGATCAGTCAGTGCTTTCCTCATCAGCTTTATCACCAGCTTCTTGTTACTTGAAGCACATTGAGCAGATATTTAATGACAACTGAAATGTTTAACATTATGCGCAGAAGTTATCAGTCGATGGCACTATGAGGAATGTTTCTCCAGTAGAGACATAGACTAAAATTGAGATTTATGCCTCTTGAAGACCTTCAAGAGCAAACAGGACTACCAACAAAAAGACAGAAGCTGCTGTCAGGGGGTAGGTGTCAGACCAGATGAGTGACTAAAGGCTGAAAAAGTAGACTTTTTGTACAAAACCCAATTCCATTGAAACTGGGAAATTGTGATAAACGTACATACAAACAGAATACAATGATTTGCAAATCCTTTTCAACCTATATTCAATTGAATACACTACTAAGACAAGATATTTAATGTTCAAACTCATAAACTTTTTTTTTTTGCAAATAATAATTAACTTTAGAATTTCATGGCTGCACCACGTGACAAAGAAGTTGGGAAAGGTGGCAAAAAAATACTGAGAACTTTGAGGAATGCTCATCAAACACCTATTTGGAACATCCCACAGGTGAGCAGGCTCATTGGGAACAGGTGGGTGCCATGATTGGGTATAAAAGCAGCTTCCCCCAAAATTCTCAGTCATTCACAAGCAAGGATGGGGCGAGGTTCACCACTTTGTGAACGACTGCGTGAGCAAATAGTCAAACAGTTTAAGAACAACGTTTCTCAAAGTACAATTGCAAGGAATTTCGGGATTTCAACATCTACGGTCCATATCATCAAAAGGTTCAGAGAATCTGGAGAAATCACAGCACGTAAGCGCAGCCGGAAACAAACATTGAATGCCTGTGACCTTTGAGCCCTCAGGCAGCACTGTATCAAAAACCGACATGAATGTGTAAAGGATATCACCACACGGGCTCAGGAACAATTCAGAAAACCACTGTCAGTAAATACAGTTCATCACTACATCTGTAGGTGCAAGTTAAAACTCTACTATGCAAAGCGAAAGCCATTTATCAACAACATCCAGAAACTCCGCCGACTTCTCTGGGCCCAAGCTCATCTAAGATTGACTGATGCAAAGTGGAAAAGTGTTCTGTGGTCTGACGAGTCCACATTTCAAATTGTTTTTGTAAATAGTGGACGTCGTGTCCTCCGGGCCAAAGAGGAAAAGAACCATCCAGACTGTTATTGACACAAAGTTCAAAAGCCAGCGTCTGTGATGGTATGGGGGTGCATTAGTGCCCAAGGCATGGGTAACTTACACATCTGTGAAGGCAGCATTCATGCTGAAAGGTACATACAGGTTTTGGAGCAATATATGCTGCCATCCAAGCAACGTCTTTTTCATGGACGCCCTTCCGGCTTATTTCAGCAAGACGATGCCAAGCCACATTCTGCACATGTTACAACAGCGTGGCTTCGTAGTAAAAGAGTGCAGGTACTCGACTGGCCTGCCTGCAGTCCAGACCTGTCTCCCATTGAAAATATGTGGTGCATTATGAAGCGTAAAATATGACAACGGAGCCCCCTGGACTGTTGAACAACTGAAGCTGTACATCAAGCAAGAATGGGAAAGAATTCCACCTTCAGAGTTCAACAATTAGTCTCCTCAGTTCCCAAACGTTTATTGAGTGTTGTCAAAAGGGAGGTGATGTAACACAGTGGTAAACATGACCCTGTCTTAACTTCTTTGTCACGTGTTGCAGTCATGAAATTTTGAGTAATTATTTGCAAAGAAAAATAAAGTTTATGAGTTTGAACATTAAATATCTTGTCTTTGTTGTGTATTAAATTGAATATAGGTTGAAAAGAGTTTCCCACAATTTCCCAACTTCAATGAAATTGGGTTTTGTACTTCAACAGCAGATATTGACAGTAAGTGATGCGTTTCACTGAAAAGACAATTGGATCGTCTGCAGACGTTTCACTGTGCATGCAGGGAGGCCTGCCAGTTAGGAATTGCAGTAGTCAATGTGTGATATTAAGAGAGCCTGAACCAGGAGCTGTGTTGTTGGGTTTAATCCTCCTGATGTCATAGAAGACTAAACAGCATGAAGTGGGGTTCTCACTCTGAACTTGGCCTTGAACTGGCTTGGTATTTGAACACCAGGACTGATTCATTTGGACCCTGCAGTTTTCAGTGAAACAAAAAAGTGGAGCGACATGACACGGCAGATTGGAAGCAAGTGAGCGAGCTGTCCTCCTTGATTGTTGGAGCTCATGGGGGAGGGGAGTTTTTAGACCTTTGGGGGATTAAGTGTCCCCCCTTCAAATGCGGGGTCTGTCTGACAGTGCGTTTCTTTCGTTCTCATTTTTGTGGAGAAAAACACACAGAGTCCAAATACAGCCACAAAAAATAACTTTAATGCAATAGTGATTTAGATGCCAGTAGCCATAAGGCTGTTTGGATGAACAGACTGTGAAAGAATATTGCATAGGTTGTAAATCTGGGACAGTCCTGCATGAAAGCCGAGTGAAAACAGTAGCCTGTGACTCCAACAATATCCAGCGTCCCCAAGCGACAACATGAGTTTTGTTCTTCTCTGTTCTGAAAGCTGTCTGCATTTCCTGTGGGCTTGTTTTTTCTTCTTTAAAAATTCCATCTCCCAATGTTTGCTTCAAGATATGACAGGACAGCTTTAAAAAATTATTTTTTTAACACATGCTGATGCAAAGCATGGAGGTGGTGAGACAGCTGGTCACTGCGGTTATGATGAAAAGTCCACTGCAGTGCAGAAAGTGTGCGGAGACACACGCAGAAGTCCTCCTTCAGACTTAAACTTACATGGCGACCTACCAGTCCATCAGCACATTTTAATAATGGTTTGTAAAAACAACATTTGAATCATTGAATTTTTTCACATTTGTAGATCAGCTTTGAGGTTTGCTAAAAATGTTATAAATAAGAACAAGTTACTAGTTTGGCTTCAATATAAATAATGTAATAATACATTGTTTAAACAGACACTTCTCTCTAAAAACATTTAAATATTTCCAAATATTGCATTTACGAAACCATGTCCTGTGGTGCTTATTCATAAGCAAAGTTTTACACTGATTGGTTAAAGCCATTTTTTCCAAATGCCGAACAAGACTGGGGTGAGCAGAGGTTTGCCATAACAACAGGTTTAGAAAAACAATCTCAGCCTCCCTGAGCAGAAAGTCACATCAATACCACATTTTAAATATTGAATAAAAACACTCAAAAAGCTTGGCAAAACACACCGCCCTCTGTTTTGTTTCTAACTCTGGGTACAACCAGGAGTTGTAAGTACTCAATGCAAAGGCTAATATTGTGTATCAAACAACCCCAATGCTAACCACACACCTCAGAACACTCAAATCAAATATATTTCTTTACGGGTTAACAGAAGACCTTGCTATTGCACAGAAATAGAGGGTATTTGTCGATGGGTACATCTAATGACAAGGCAGGTTATATATAGAGTGACATTTTGATTTGGTTTGACAGCATAAATGTTCATTGCTCTCCAAAGTAAAAAAAAAAAAAAAAAAGGAAAGAAAAGAAAAAGTAAACAAAAACACAAACACCGGCTTGTCTTAAACTATTATTTCTTTGTATGAATGAAGACGTTCAAACACCCTCCGCATGAGTGAGCTTGGATCTTCATCATCCAAATGAAAGGTTATGAAGGCGAACCCTCTTTTGATTAGGCTCGGCTTCACTTAATGTCTCACTACAGCCTCGAGAGACAGAAACACAAACCCTTCTTTGAACTTCCTCAGTGCTGCAGTGAGTGATATTCACAGAGGTGAACAAGTGCTAAGTGAGAGCAACATGAATATATGACATTCAAAAACACATTGACAATAAACACACAGGCCTACTATATAGTTTCCTTGTAAAAACATGACTAAGACACAAACAGTTTAGTGTACAGCTTTTGTCTAAGAAGGCAAGAAAGTCAAATAAATATTCTTGAAGAGGCTTAAGGACAAATGTTCTCTTGAAACGGCTGGCTTACAGTGACCTCACAGGTATGAACTGACACAGAGTGGACGTGTCTGAAGCTGATTTTAAACTCGCCTGACACTCACCTGTGACCATCAGCCTGCCGGTTACACACAGGTATGAGGACAGAAACAAGACAAAAAGGAGTAAGGAAAAAAGCAACATGAAAGTGACTGAGGACGTCCACACATTTACCGCTGATAAAGTGACACAAGTTAAAGAGACAGACACAGAACTGTAATTGATATTTAAATATTGCAAAACATACAAAACAGTTTCCTTTGAAGTGTAAACATTAAATTGATGTTTGATGTCTTTTTGCACATGGAGAAATTATAGAAAATAAATCATGTCTGTCATAACTATAAATTGTTCTCATTAAAATGTAAAAACAACATACTAAACCTTGTTTTTTATTATTACTGTCATAATAATAATGCTTATGTTAACATTTGTATAAGTGTTTTTACTGTTCTGTTATAAATAGTTATATGTAGAACATCTTATTTCATACTCAGACCCCTGTCGGCTCTGTCTTTACAAGGCAAAAACAATACTTGTGTCTCTGCCACGCCCAGTTACATACACATTCATAAATCCCATTAAGGTCTCACACACTTGCACACTTGCACACACACACGCACGCACAAGCTGCCACAGTCACACAAGGGAAGTCACCAGGTGGCTCTATGTGCGATTGAGGGTCTGGAAGATTCTGGATATTTGGAGCATGACAGGGCCGGTTTCTGGGTCGTTCATCCACTGGGTGCTGTTCAAAGGATTTTCCAGCATGTCTTCAAATGCTGCAGCCGAAGAGACAAGGCACAAGGGTTAAAAAAGACCATTATTTCACAGCTGCACACATACTCAACTGCTACTCCGAGTGAAGCCAAGGCTGCTGTTGGGCTGTCCTAAGTGAGCGGCTCCATCTAGTGACTGGCTGCAGTATAGGTTTTAAATCCCACTTGCCCCAAAGTAAAAAATGTTTAAAAAAAATCAGTAGATATTTGAATAAAAAACTGTGCAGTCAACTTATTTCCAGTCACTATCCCTGAATGTCTGTGGCCTGATTCGCATTATGTAACCAGGACTTTCAGGCCCCCAGTAAAAACGCAGACTCCAGTGACCATTGAGTCCCTTAAAGATAGGTTCCTGGAAATAAAAGTCCCAGTTGCTTTTGTTCAAAACGCACCCTGAAAAACCAAGATCCCCATTTTCAAGCAGACCAGGGTTCAGTTGAGCTTTCACACCACTCCAAATGAGCCAGAGTACCCAGGAAAATGGAGCAGGGTTTGTTCAAAGGGAACCAAAGAGTTCTGGTGTGAATGCGACCTAACACAGGAGTCTCTCTATAACCACAAGTGTCCACTTGATATCAACACAGGAATCAGTTCTGCTGTTGATTTTAACAGTATGTCACTTTATCATTTAACAGAAGGGGTGTGACATCTGTCAGATTGCTTCTGCTCATGTCTTTTCTCCACCAGGCAGTAACAAAGCGGTAATGTGGCTTCACTCTTCACAATAGAAGGAGATGGAGCTGCAAATTAGTATAATCGTCTTATTAAAGACATGGTCAAATACTTATTTGTCTTATATTCTTTGGCTTTGTTCAAATATGCACGCTGGAGCAAGAAAGCAGTGTTGCTTTTCTGGGACAAATTAAAAGTGCTTCTGGATTGAAACAACACTTTTTTCTAGATAAAAGTGTAAACTGCATTCACTAAATAACTTATTTTTTTATGTTTGTTTCCACATTCTACCTACACAAACAATTTCCTAAAAGCTGCAGAATAACACTAGGATTTCTCAGATTTTAACCTGGAATCTTTGTTGCATTAGATGAGACTGTACCTAGCAGAGTCTTGGGATTGGTTAAACCCAGCTGGACCACTGGATTCTCCAGGATGGCCTGGAACAGCGGGCTGTTGGTGTCGATGCCTTTGTCCATATCCTCTGGAGAAGGTTTCCTGTCTCCCAACAGCCATTCACACTGCAGGACAAGGACACACAGCATAAAGCCAAAATAACTTTCATGATTAAAATCTTATTTCTGTAAATCTTATTTTTCATCTTAATGGAGGTCAGCATGCAGGGTTAGGAATTTCTTTTTAAGGCTTTGGCCCCCACAGTCTCTTTGGAAAGCTACTCTTAAATTACAACAGGTTAAATCCCTTTTATTTTTACAGGTCAGAACGAGAAATTGACCTATGAGGGCTTTATTTTCACTTCTGTAATTGATGTTAATTTGTTTTCATTTGCTTTCGTTTTTTGTTTTGTTCTTTCTCCTTGTTTTTTTGTGTTTTTATTTGTTTTTTTTTGTTTTTGTTTCTTTATCATTATTTTGATATTTTAAACTATTATTTTTTTGGAATTGGTTCACTTTGTGTGTTTTATGCTACTCTATATTATTTTGTATAATGTTATAAATATATAAATAATTATATATATATATATGTATATATATATATATATTGTCTGCTTTACTCTGTAAATTGTGTTATTGCTTTATAGGAGAGGTTTAAAATAAGCCCAAAATGGGTTTCTACCTCACCCGCACATGTTTTGTTGTATTTTGCTTGTATTGTTGTTGTTTTTGTTGTTTTTAAGTAGTGCAAATAAACAAATAAAAATAAAATAAATGTCTTGGCCATTTGTCAAATCCGCCATTGTTAGCAAAGACTGCTCCGGTAGACGTGTGCACTTACTGCAGCATCCTGTTGGTTGTTATTCACCCTCAGAGCATCAATCACCTCCTTTTCATCAAACCCCATCTCCATCAATGCAATAACAGCCTGCAGAATCAAAGAAGGAAGACAGTGTGTGCTCAGTTTAAAACGTCCCTGTTCAATTATCACAACAAACACTGTCACAGTCTGTGGAGCTCGGCAGGTGTCTTAAAGGAGGAAAAAAATGTAATTTGTGCACAGCAGATGAAACAGTTGGAGCCACTCAACCTGCAGTATGCTGTGCTGGAAGAGGATGTTTTAATCAGTTTTCTATTTTTAGAAATACAGGGGAGCCTTCTTCCTCTGGAAGCTGAGGTACAATGAGAGAGAGGAGAAATTCTGTCACTGAAGCCATTACACTTTATACCCACTAGTGCATGTTTCAGTACTCTCTGTGTCTAAAAGGCTCTCTCTGGTCCTCTGTTTCTTTCATCTATATTGTAAAACTGACTCAGACGAAGTAGAAAAGGGCATTTTACAGTTACAACTGTGCAGGCAGCTCAAGATTATTCAAGACTTCTTCTGGGCAGAAATAATTATTTGCTGCATCTGTGCTTTCTCTTAAATGTGAAGAATAAACAGCGTCAAAATAAAAACAACCAAACAAGTACAAAGGAAAGATAGGAGAGGTAATATCTTAACATGCTAAATCAATTAAAGTTAACATTTTCAGATTTCTACACTTTCACAGGCCAATAAAACTGAGTCCTAAGGAATTCACTGGACAATGTGGCTCACTCTTGAGTCTGGTCTGAACTCCCGTTTCCTACGGATCCTCTTAAAGATTTCTGTGAGCTCGTCCTGCCGGCTGCTTTCCTCTGTGCTAGACTGGCTGGAGAGACTGCGGAGGAGGCGAGGGGTGGAGGATGAGCCTGACGCTGCTGCTGAGGCAGAGGCTGAGGCAGAGGCTGAAGCTGAGGATGAAGCTGAGGGGGCTGTAGTGGCGGCTGCAGCAGCTCCTGCTGCTCCAGAGGAGTCCGGGCCTGGTAGTGGTGAGTCTACAGAGGGGTCATCTACATGCTCAATAAGCCACTCCATAGCCTGTGTCACTGACATGCTGCAAAGAGATAAGAAGGAGGCTTCTGTTAAGGGCCAACTGTAACGTCCAGCAGGAAGATTAATTTCTTGGAGGTTTTCAAGTATCAGTTTGTTTTAGAAGAATAATTGCTTTAGACAAATCCTAGATAAACAGACTTATTTCCAGTGAGTTGTTTTCACAGCAACACAAACTTACTGGTTTAATCTGAGAGCTTTGATGGCTCTGCTCTCAGGGAAACCCATCTCTGTGAGCTGCTGAAGTGCTGTTTCATCTACCCGATCCTCTTCATCTTCATCTAACATTGCTGCAAAAAATGAGACACAAAGAGATCAGTGAACTGAAAATAGGATTTGAGGATATGTGTTAAGTGTCCCAATCAATGATCATGATGTTCTTTAATGCCAGCAGCAGCAGCACAGTTCAATATACTGGTTGTCATATTGAATGTTGTCAGAGTTTTAAAATAAAACAGGCTTTCTGATTTCGCCTGACAGGGAAAAAGGACTCAGTCCACTTCAGCCAAGGAAGTCTTTGTCTCATACAAGTCAAACCCAATACTGTTATCTTCCTGTCTGACACTGGGAGCACTGATGTAGAGTTTGAAGGGATTGTAGGATTCACCGTTTGCCTTTTTGAAGAGTTCTACAGCATCAGGGTTCAAGGCGAGAAGCTTCTGGGCGACTTCAATGAGGGAAACCAGGATTTTTCTGAGCTCCGTCTGAAACTGGGAAAACAGACACCCAATCCAAGTCAACAGTATCGCTGATATTGTAAAGCATGTATGTTAGATTTTAGCTCTTCATGTGTTCTGTGATTCTGCAATAAACTTACATCTCTGATGTTATGCTGGGTAACAGTGCGGTCAGTGTGGCGTGTAGACAGGCTGGCGGTGGCTTTTAGAATCGCATCTTTATCCGGAGCCTTGTTTTCTTGTTTCTTCTATAACAATGTAAAGAGATGATTAAAAGCAGGCTGATGAGAGAGTTTTGAAACAATGGTCAGGAAACATCTTGATTGGTAAAGCTTTTGGATGATCTTACTTTTTCGTCTGAACTAACTTCTGCCATTGCTGGAGGGGTCGGTGGTGGTCTTTTCTTTATAAGCAGCAAAACCTCTGCAACACAAAGGAAACATATTCAGTTTATGTAGACGGTGGAGGCTCCTAAATATCATTGTAAAGCTTTCATTGTTTCAAATACCTTTATCTTTGAGGTTTTCATCTGCAACAGTTTTGGTGTCAGTGAGGACTCTCTCTGTAGCAGCATGTATGAGTTTATGGTGTGTGAGGGTTTTAGGGTCTTCTAGGCTTCCATGCATGTACTGTCAACAAAAACAAAGCATCTCAGAACAAACCATAAACTGTGGGGATTAGAGCTGCACAATACAGTACAAATTTATTGATATAGCAATAAGAGGATCTTAGGATAAGAGGATTTCAATAGCTGATGCTAATACTGTTCATTAGAGAGCAGGAGAGCTGATGGCTGATAAATGATGTTGATAACACATTGATGTTTTTATGCATTTAACAAAACACTACAATTATATCATAACAAATGAAAAACAAGTTGTGCGCAACTCTGTTAGTCCATGCACACTACAGTAAGGTTTGTTTTTCATCAATTTATAAGTTCAGGATATACTGTAGACTCAGAATATGACAGATATTTATGTCAGAAGCAATATCAAACAGCATTATTCTATAACATCAAAATTTCAGTAAACACTTACCGCTTTAAGTTAAATATGGCGTGAATTAGGATGGAAAAATAGGAGCCCAGGAAATGTAGGCAATCATTTATAGCAGAGTGCATGGTAATTGTAACAGGCCTGGAACTGAAAACTAACCTTTCTACTACCTTTCCAAAACGCTCTCTCAGTCAATTATGTTTGTTTCAGTTTGATGACAGATTTGACTACAAGCCAAATTTGAGTGAACAAACACACATATTAAAAAAAAGGAAATCATTCACATTGATTGCACAGCCTGCTCAGACACCATCATCTATCAAGTGACTGCAGGCAATGATTATGGTCAGTTCAGATTCCCTGTCCATGAATATTTTTAAGTTTTACAGGGTTGTTATATCTGACTTCTTATAAGTATTATTTTGTTGTTATTGGTATTATGGTTTTGTATTGATTTTGCAAGTGTTTTGTTGTTATGACTTTTTTTTCTTTTTCATTATTATGACTATTAATATTTTTAATTGATGTAATTGTTCATTTTATTGTTTTTAATGGACCCCAGGGACAGTAGCTGCCACCTAGTGTAACAGCTAATGGGGATCTTAATAAAATCAAAATCAAAATCAAATCACTGATGAGGTTCTTTGCATCAACTGCAGATGTTGTTTGCTTATTTTTTTAAACTGCCCTCATGTGCACAGATATCAGCCTAAATAATATCAATAATCAGTCTGATGAACTTAAACAAATTTTCTATGTGTGCATATACAATCATAAACCAACAGTACTTTCTTTCATAGTTTGTGACACTAAGGCTGTCTCCGAAATGAATCCCTAACCCCTAACCTCCATATGGGATTTCACTATATAGCTGACTATGTGGTGGACTCAATCACTGGAGGTTTCAGACACTACATGGCATGACGCAATGCATGACAGGATGCCCACCACCGGCGAGTAACCATCAGATGGTCGCTACATTTTGCAATGCTTTATGGGAAATTTTGAGTCGCCTATATAGGGCACTGGAATTGATCACTAAGGTTTTGGACACCCCTCAAAATGGCGCTAACCCCCATGTAGTTACCTATATAGGGGTTAGGGATCCATTTCGGACACAGCCGATATCTTTTTTTCTTCTAAACTTAGTTTATCAGCAAATCTGTCACTCTGTTTTGGCACGATGTGGGGGTGGGGGGATGTGCCACCCTGTTTTTCAATATTGTGACATCAATGAGAACTGTAGTAATTAAAAAACACACCACTTATATGGCTTCCTGTATTTAAAAGAAAACAAGCTGTGATGTTTGTGTTTTCCTATACTGTGCAGCCTGACAGAGATTTAGCTCAAAGTTATTTTCATCATTATGTCATCTGCCAACTACTTTAATAAGCTTTAAAAGATGATTAAATTTATCACCTTTAAACAATGCTCTCTATCCGACAAAAGGTGCAAGATCAGAAGAATCACAGTAATATTGAGACGGTTGTTTATGCTAAAAATGCGGTTATGCTGTAATAATTTGAAGTGATAGGAGATTTATTAGCATTGCTGGATATCTTTTGAAAAAGTTAAAATTCATACTTTATGTTTAGGATATGAACTTTTTTTAAGTCAAGCACAGAAACAGAAACCCGAATTATGACTGGCTTTCTTTTAAATACATTTTTGCTCAACCCATCTTATCAATTAAAAAGTGAGAATAAAGCAAAAAGCTATACCATAAAACATGATGAAGTGCTCCATGATGATTAAATCTGGACTTTCACATTATGCTGCTTGTGTTTGATGGATCATAAAATATCCGATTGTTTGTATATTTCTCATGTTGTCAGTAAAAACAGCTTCAAGTAGACTTAATACCACAGATGCCATAGAAGGAGAAAGAGATGAGCTGTGTAATTATAGGGTGTCAGTAACTTAAAGCAGCATGCCTATATGTATAGTCTCTGCTTACAGGAAAGGGGGAGAGCTGTGCTGTTAGCTGGTTTCAGAGGGGCAGCCACCCTGCTCAATTATAAATAGCAGAGTCTACCCAGTTACTAAAAATACAAACCCAGTGACACTGACAGTTTAAAGAGAGGGCACGGAGACTGCAAACACCCCCGGCTCAGGAGTGACAGGACAAAAAAAGGCAACCAGGGAGACACAAACAACCCAAACACCTACATGTTTCAAGCACTTCTCCTTCAGTTTGTCAACAGTGGTGTCTTCCGTCACCTCTTCCAGCCACTCCGTGCCGTCCATGGTGCAGATGTGTATTTTCAACACTTTCCCGGCGAAAATCTTCTCCTCCTGGACGAACATAGCTGCAAGTGTAAAGAGTACCAGTCCACTGACGTTAGCTAGCAGCAGTTGCTATGAGCTCTAAGGCGAGCTAGCGTGCTAACGTTAGCACCCAGCTAGCCGTGGGTCTATAAATCCGCCGACAGGAGGGCAAGAGCAGAGGCCGTTCAGCTGAGGGCCATTTTCGGTTTCCCCTGCCGGTTGTCACTGAGTTCTGTGGCCACCGAGCTGTTTGTAATTCCCAACGAACACACAGCCAGCCAGCCAGCGACTACCCTATTTTTACTGTAACGTATGAACTTCGAACTTCGACGATACCCCACGGTGCATCATGGGAGCCGTAGTTCAATTAAATAATAGGGCTAAGTTTTCGTTTTAACTGACAATTTCTACCGTGTGAAAACGGAGTAACTTGTTTATTATTTAATTTTATACATAAAAACAATGTTTATTGACTTAGAAATCCTAAAGCCACACAGGCTATAACAAGAGACACTTAAGTTTTATTGATGAATGTTTACAGTTAATCTTAAAGCTACTGTGAGGCGTTAGCTAGTTACGAAACGCCTTGACCTGATAGCAATGCCTCTTTGTGACTGACAAAATCAAGTAACACTTTTCCTCATCATATTTTTTTTGATGTCTCAAGCTCCTGCTAGGGGGGTAGGTGTCAGGTAAGTGGTTGAGTGTTTTGTGGACAAATTGGCTGTCATTGGCCAACGTTTTTTCACTGGAAAGACAATCAGTTGATTTATTTGTCTGGAGGAAAACAGTAATTAAAAATATTGATTATTCACATTTACAAGAAAAAATCAGCAAATGTGACAAAAGGCTCTTCTTTAACTACACAGGGTGCCAAAATTGCCTTAAACATAGAGTGCCTCACATTTACTTTGATATGATAGCATCATATATTGACCTTCCAGGGCCCTGCACCTCAGGGGCCCCATGAACTCTGGGCTCCCTGAATGTAAAACAGTTTGTGCTTGAAAGTTTCTTAGGGAATACATACCATTTATACACAAAAAGAAACGTTTCCTAGAAATCTGACAGCTTAAAGCTCCCATGTTGAACTTTTATGCTGCGTTTAAGTTACCTCGGAAGTTACATGTCTGAGCTGAAAATGACGTCACACCCGAGTTCCCAGCATTTCTGTTACCGAGTTGGAAAAAAGCAAAATCAGAAGCGGAAACAAGATGGCTCCATCTACTAAAGTTATTTTAGCGCTGGTCTTGTCCAAATATAAGGCAAGCACTAGCCATCATGTGTCAGGGCTCCGATTTTGCTTTTTTCCAACTTGGTAACTGAAACGCTGGGAACTCTGGTGTGCCGTCATTCAGCTCCAACATCTGACTTCTGAGGTAACTGGAACGCTGCATTAGTTTATATCAATCTTTGCTCAATTTGTCCTCTAGACGCTAAAATTGTGTTTTTTGACAAGAAATTTCATCCTGCTGATTTTGACAGTCGAATGTATAATTTACTGTAAATGTTACATTAGGAAAATGTAAAAACAGGGTTGTTTCTTCAGCTGCTTAGCTGACACCTACCCCCCTTGCACTAGTTTCAGGTATTAAACATTACAATGAAAAATCACCGTTTTTGTTGGTGATAGTCTTATTAGCTTTTGTGTGTAAAAGGCATTAACATGAACTTTACTCTGTTTTATTAACAAAACAAAACAAAAGGCTGTACTGTTGTTTGTAGACCACACCATACCAAACCTAGCACAACAGTACTTTTGGCCAAGTAGCTCATTTATTTGCTTGCTGTTCTCCAAGCAGGTTCACTCATGACAATAATTCATGCAGCTGCTTTGTTGCAACGCGTTGTCCAAACATAAAAATGTTGCCGAGCCAGCGCACAGGACCTTTTGAGTCAATTTTAAGTTAATAATTTCAACCACTAGAGGGAGACACACTATGTGACATTTACACTCAACTTCACTGATTGGACAAGTTAATTCATTTCTGATATTAACAGGCCACTTTGATTTCTAATATATCATGTAATCAGTTGTCTGGATGTATAAAAGTTTTGTTGTTTTACACAAATGACTGTGCCTAACCGATACTTGTTAATCCACTCCATTCCAGTTTATAGTGTCTAGTCTGGGATGTGGAGTTATTGCATGGATATTTACATGATAAAAAAGACATTTCTTATAAGTTTAAGACACATACGTGTCATTTATTATAACAAGAAACATTTTTACAGATTGAAAATGAAAAGGGAAAGTACATTTCTTGCAAATTATAACTTTATAAGAGGAAGGAAGCATATTGCAGGTATTACAATTTCACTACAACCTAATAACTTTTTAAAACAATGACATTTTGCAAACTCTACCAGGGCGAGTCTCACAAAACATTCAAGCAGACAACTGAGAAATTAGCCAACCCTTTTCTTTGTCCAATGTTCAATGAAAACATTTTATAATATGCACAAATGATCGCCTCTGACTATTTTATGTGACACAGAACAGTAAATAAATAGGAATTTATAAAATGCATTTTCCCTTTTTATGAGAAAACATCTTTATCAATATATTGTTTTTATTCGAATATAGTTCAAATTTATATATGCATTAGGGACAGTGAAATACAAAATATATATTCTGTTCTGTCTGACATGTAGAGGCTGTTGACTGGTGTGAGATCTATCAAAATTGCATGCTTAAGACATCAGATTTCTTAAACAAAATCCTGCTTACAAGGGAAATGCATAACATATTTACAAAAGGGAAAACACAGCCATAGGCTCAAACTAATAGGAGGGAGAGGGGAAATGCAGTTTTCCTTTTCCCTCTAAATAACAAACACTTTGGCCGACTGGCCGGTTTCTCCAACAACACAGGACTAACAGATCAATCAAGCCTGCACTAACTGCCAATCTCCAAGATGGGCATATACTGTACATCATCTGCACCACATTTCTTAAGTATGAAGGTGATCAGATCTAGAGGTACAACAGAAAGTTGACCCACTGATTCAAGAAATGTACACGACTCTGGTGAGTGTAATTAAGATTCACAAGGTATTTAAGAAGGGGACAGTGTGGCTCCTGCATGTGCATGAAATAGCTTTTCAGTTCAGTCATCATTCAGGACTGTGTATAAACAGACTGGAAAATTCTCCATAATTACAACATACTGGAATAACACTGAGAAAGTTGCTCAATACAATGCCCCATAATCACAAGTTTTTATAAACAAGATTATACAAAAAACAAAAATGAAGTATAAACAAAGATGGAGAAATCATAGGAAAAAAGGAAAACACTAAAAAGTCCTTAGGGAAATAAATACCCAGTGTGTATGCTGAGGCTTCACTGCAGAAAAGAAACACTAAATGAAAAAAGAAAAGGAGTCTCTAAGGACTGTCTCTGTCCTGCGTATGACCCAGCACCATGGATCCCCGAAATTTCTGTAAGCAGGCAATGCATATAAATAAGGCATTAATAAATAAAAAGAATGGATGAAACACAGGTGTAGCTGTTAGTATAAAAGCATATAAAAAAGTTGGGTTTACAGCTTTGCTCTTTTTCTATTTTTTTTTTTACAGAGTGCCTTTTTTTTAATAAAAAAAATATACAGCAGCTCATCTGGGCATGAAGACACAAGTGTTTATTTGAACTGTTCAGGTATGTGTCCGATCTGAGATTGCATGCTCGTGGGTGGACTTGAGATACCCTCTGACCAGTCAGACATGTTGGAATGAGGTGATGAACTTGACCACTGATCCGGGGAGCCTGGGGAGGGGGTCAGAAAGGGATGGTCAGGCACCTGAACCTGGTGGTTGGGGGTGTTGTCCATGGGGCCGGAGTAGCTGTGCTGGGAGGGCGGGGTGAGGAACTGAGTGCTGGGCATTGATTGGTTGATAGAAGAGGGCATGATTTGGGTCTCCTGTGGCAGGATGGTGTGGATGGGCATGCTGGAGCTGCCACCCCCGCCCTGCTGGAGCTCTGGAGAACTGAGCTCTCCACTGATGAAGTTCTGGCTGCTGGTGGTGTTGGAGTTCTGGTGCTGAAGCTGGATGTTCTGCTGTTGCTGCTGCTGTTGGAGCTGCTGCAGGTTCTGGATTTGCTGCATCTGCTGGGCTTGCTGCTGCTGCTGCATGATGTGATTTTGTGGAGGCATTCTGCTGCTCTGGATCCCCTGGTAGTTCATCATCTGAGACAGGCTGGTGGAGGGGTGGCCGTTATGGAGGGCGGTCATCATGGCGTGCTGACCCCCCTGGTGCAAACCCCCCTGACCTCCAGGAGCTCCTCTTATGGGGTTGAACTGTCCAGGCTGGCTCATGTTGCCATGTATCCTGGACAGCCAATCACACTGGCCGTTCATGGCGCCCTGGCTGCCGGAACCAGACACAGGGAGATGTGTGAGACGAGGAGGCAGGGGGTCAAACTGCATCCGAGCCAGCTCCTGCTTGTTTGGCATCACCATGTGGTTGACAGAGAGGTGGGGGTCCGACATCCCCTGCAGGTGGTTAAGGGCAACAGAAGGCGACTGCTGGAAAGGTGATGTCATCATGGGTGGGGAGGCCACATCAGAAACATATCCATGTGGAGACTCCAACGAGTCCACTGGTGACAGAACTGCTGAGCTGTCCAGGAGGTTCCCAGACTTCCCATCCTGTGAATTCTTCTTCTTCACCTTCATGTCTTTGCCCTCCTTGCAGCCGATCCCCTTGGCGCTGGGCTTGCGGGCCTTTTTGCCCTGGCCTTGGCCTTGAGGCTGCGGCTGCTTCATGCCGCTCAGGTAGCCATTAGGCGAGCAGAGAGGAGGGGACAGGGTGGTGCTGAGAGATCCCCCATGCATATGAGGACTCCGAACCAGGTTGTACTCGTCCATTAGCCGCACTATGTCGTGATGCATTCTCTCCTGTGCAATGTCTCTGGGGAGCCGGTCCATGTGGTCTGTTATCTCTCTGTTTGCAAAGTGGTCCAGTAAGACCTTTGCAGTCTCATAGCTTCCTTCCCTGGCAGCCAGGAACAGAGGGGTTTCCTCCTGGAGTAGACAAAGAGGAGACAGGAGAGTTAAGGAAGTTGTTTTGGAGAGATGTGAAAGGGAGAAGAGAAGAAAGCTTTTTTTTTTTTTACCTTGTTGTTTTGCATGTCCTTGTTGGCACTGTTCTTAAGGAGAACAATAGCAGCCTCCACATTATTCACAGCTGCAGCCCAGTGCAGAGCTGATTTACCTGAAGAGACAAAAGCAGGTCAATCAGATCCTAAGATTTCCCTAGAAAAGGGCTATGACATTGTCCTTTTCTGCATTTGTCTACGTTGTGCTTAAAAATCAAGAGTTACCAAAATCATCAATGGCATTGACATCAGCGTGGCAGTTAATGAGCTCCTCCACCATGCCCTCCACTGCCAGTCTGGCAGCCAGAATCAGGGGTGTAGTGCCATCATGCATGCGGGCATCCAAATCTGTGGCACGGTTTCTTATCAGAATCTGGAAAGACATACATTAGCTTTACTTTAACTGTATCCTGAATCTGAATACAGTTACCTGATCTTTACTACACAGGTTCACTTTTACTGATTAGTGATGTGTATCAAACCTTTTTACCTCTGTTCTGCATTTATACATACAAAGATCGTCTTTGTGGTTCTAGTGACAAATGTTGACATACTTTGGCTTTTGGAAGTGATTTTAAACCCATGTAGTGATTTCCATGACAGTATTCAGCTTTTTAGATTCTTTTAATGATATCATGTGCCATGGATGGTGAAATCCCTAATAGTTTTGCATTATTACGCTCTGGAGGACCCTGTCATGTTACTAACCTGTTAAGATTAATGTTATTACCTCCGCCAAGGAGGTTATGTTTTCTGTAGCACTGGTTTGTTGGTTTGTTTGTTTGTTTGTCTGTGACCAACTTGACGGAGAAAGTTACAAACGGATTGACCTGAAATTTTCACCAGAGGTGCGTCTCAGCCCCAGGAGGATCCCATTACATTTTGGTGGTGATCCGGATCGCCTTTTGGATCCAGGAATTTTTTGAAGGATTCTTTATCATTGTGAGATCGGGCAAATTTTGGAATTTTTGCATTTAACTCTATAAAAATGTCCAGAGTCTTTAGTAAAAAATGACACAAAAGGATCTAAATGAGTTTATGAGGTGTCAAAGGTTGATCCTGATCCAGACAAAATTCTGGATACTGTGATCCAGAACACACAAAAATAAGGGTGTCGTTGGAATTTTCAATGCTGAAAGATAATCAATGGGCGGCACAGTGGTGTAGATAGGCGGCACAGTGGTGTAGTGGTTATCACTGCCGCCTAAGAGCAAGAAGGTCCTGGGTTCGAATCCGGGTCAGGGCATTACTTGTTTTAGGAACATTATGAACAGTGAACATACCAGTTTAAACACAAATAAAAGTTAATAAAAGACACGTAACAGTAAAAGTTTTGCTGTGAATCACAATATAAGGGGGGACATGAGCTGCTTGGCGGAGGTCTGCACTCAATTCTTTCAGTATTTTATTGTCCCTGTTTGTACCTTTTAAAAATTTGTGATGCTTGGATCAAATTAGCGTAAATTTCATACAAACCAACAATTTTTTCAATTTGATATGTTGTCTTTTCACTATTTAAAAAGAACACAGGCACAGCATTGCAACTTTTTGGGGGGTTATATTTCTGAGCTTGCGTATTGCACAAACCGATAAATCTACAGCTAAATCTGGAAGAGAAATGTAAAAGTCTAACTCGATATTCCAATAAAACATTACTTTAAAAATCATGACTGTGGTTGATCATTTTTATTTAAATTATTTTGCGGTGGATCTTCAACCAAAACACTATGGTGGGAGTTAAAAATACATTGTGCATAACTGAGCTCACCTGGAAGACCCCCTGGGCATCAGCAGCCACTGCAGCATGTAAAGGTGTCCGTCCCATGTTGTCCTGGATGTTAGCATCAGCGCTCGCCTCCAGCAGGCGTTTGGCGGCATCAGAGCGAGCATAACGGGCAGCCAGGTGCAGAGCAGTTTCACCCGTGCGATCAGTCTGGTTGTGAAGGTTGGCGCCCTGGTAGATGAAGTCGTTAATCACATTAGCAGAGGCATCCTCCTCTTCTTCGCTGTTGCCCGTCTCCAAACCTCCCCCACTGCAGGATGCGATCATGAGCGGTGTGAATCCGTCTGGACGAAGAGAAGTGAGAAAGAGGAGGATATAAGAAGAGGAATCACACTACATGGTCAGCGCAGGAGCTGATGCAGAGAAACAGGCCCCTACACTTCAAAGCAGCAGGCCGATCAAAACAAAGCAACAAACAAATCGAATGTGAACTTGATAGTTTTCCCCTTGGTTGATTCACTGAAGATCTCTCCCTTCGATAACAGATTCTGATCCAGGCCTCCGCACAGGAGAAGCTTCAGAAGGAAAGCGAAGCTAGGGGGGATAGAGGCCCGGGCTCGCTAAAGCTAGGCTGCTGCAAAAACGAAGCATTAATATCTGACTGTGAGACGCAGCTCACTCAGCCGACTTGAACGGGTTTTTCTCCTCTTCAAAAGGATACCAAGCCCCAGATCTGGCAGATTTGGTCGATTCAAGTGCATCGATCCACAACGGGGGGAAAAAGTGTGCTCTCAAGTTGTTAACTCTGTTGCTTTGATTTTTCACTGCTTTTCCTCAGGGAATTTGGCACTTACAACAAAATTGGGTTTTTGCATCTGATGCCTTCATCGGTTTTTATAATGTGGAATAGAAAAAAAGAAACAGAGGCCCATTACTGGTCAAATGATTAATCTGATCAGGAATCAGTGTTTCCCCCCAGGCGCAGGGCTTCCAGCCGGCTGCTTTGAAGAAGATCCTTTACCCTGAGGACATGAGGCTTTAGCAACTCCTACATCCGTGATTACACTCACTTACACACACACACACACACACACACTAGAAATGTGAAACTCAAAGAGGGCAGAAATGAATCCAAATTAACACAGTCATGCCCATTCATTTAATCAGAAAATATCAGCATCAGCACACACACACACACACACACACACACACACACAGCAAGAAAGGCCTCACTCACACAATTTATATTGTACTTGTCCTTTTTTAAGCATGAACCCCGGCTCACAAACTGCTTAAGACGTATGATTGTGTCCTTATTAGTTCAGAGCTGTACTTGGGAAAAGGTGGTTTTATTGTCTAATGGTTTAATTTGGGCTGTTTAAGAGGCTTAAAAAAAATAAATTATTATACATTTCACAAAACAGTCCAGGTCCAATGAGTCAGAAATAACAGAGCTAATTTTGTGAAACAGAAATACAAGTTCTTCACCTTTTTATCATCCTAAATAGTTCAAAAATGGAAAACTGATTTAATTTATATTTTTCAGTGAGAGAAAGGCTGACAGAAATCCGTAAAATGAAAAATTCTGAAAATATCAGGTTAATATTTGACAATAAATTTACAAACAAGAGAAAACAAAAATACATAGTAATGATTCTACCGGCAAGCTGGTCAAAGCTCACCGCAGATTTGGGAGAAATTGAGAGCTCAGTAACCCACCTGGTCCCCGGACGTTGACATCCATGCAGTCGTTCTCAATCTCGCCCTGAGGGGGTGTAGGAGCAATGGATGGGATGCGCAGGTCGGCGGCATCCAGGTGCTGCTGTGTCCACTGCCGGTGGTCCGTCTGGCCGTCCACCTCCAGGATAGCCTGCTCGTCAAACTGCTGGGATCATGTTTGGGAGACTTGAGTTTAAATCACATCAATTTTAAAATAATCAAAAGGCATTTAAATGTCAAATAAAATCATACTCAGATTTGAAGTTTTAAAATTGTGGACATTGGTGTCATAAGCTGAAAAAAAATCTGAAAAAGCTAAATTAGTGTCTAATATTTCTGTTTTCTTACCCTGAAGCGTTTAGCGTCTGAAGGTTCATCCTCTTCCCAATCGTTCTGAGCATCATCCATGAGTGAAATATCGGAGGTATTTTTCAGTGGCCTGTGATGATGCAGAAAACCCGGTAAAAATCTTTGCACACTGCTGCTTCCATCTCATCTGAGCCACTCACCATTAATGGTGCAGCGATGCCGAAAAACAAAAGCATTGATTCAATACACACCCCACCCCTCTGCCCCAGCAAGTCAATTAATGCACACCTTAACCCGCTATATCATTATCATTAATGATCCAGGCTAACCCCCCTTTCCCTAAATTTGACTCATCACCAGTTACACCCATTTGGTCCCACAGAACTAGCCCCTCACCTGACCAGCACACAATCAGGTACTCCATGTCACACGGAGCGCCACTGGAGAATAAACGCAAACTTACTTTAATCCCACCGAATCCTCCCCGACTGGCTCGCGTCTCTTCTTCTTGCTGGTCTCTGTGGTTTTGAAGCCTTCGGGGAGCCAGAGGCGCCCATGCTCGTGGCGGCGCTTTCGGGCAGCCACCATCCCGACTCCGAGGAAGGCCAGTATCCCTACGCCGCCCAGGACCAGGTAGATTAAGTAGAGGTCTTGTGTAGGCTGGGGGTCCACGCCGCCTGGTAGGAAAATGGACAGCATGGTCAAGACGGGCGCCGAGGAACAGGTGTGGACTGACAAGAGGACAGACCGGGACACCCAGGATCAGCCTGAGTGCTCGAGTGGAGCTAGTCTGGCTCTTCTTCGCCCCGGCGTTCCCACTCAAAATACTCCGCAACCAGCAGCGAGCGCCAGGAACTGACTGAGGGTCCTCAGCGTTTGTAAAGCTAGCTTCTACTATCTATTCTGTAATAATCAGAATTGCTAACCACTTTTCATCAAAAAAGGGAAAAAAGGGATGGGGCTTGATAAAAAAGGAAAAAAAGAAAAAAGGGGTAAAAAAAAAGAACACCACCACCTCCTCTCTCCCTTTTCAACCCAGGGTACCAAGAGACAACTTTACCATTTCTTCTTTAAGAGAAAAAAAGGAGGGGGATTAATGAACTTCAAATTACTGCACGCGCTTTAAGCTGTAAAGACGAAGGATTTATTAGGATTTTCAAGATAACAAAGACTCCCAACTTCTAGCACACTCCCGATCAATTTTACCCCTTCTCTTTTTTTTCCACTAACGATTTTGAAATGATAAACTCCCCCAACCTAAACCCTCAGAGATGCATTAAGTCCTGGTATTACATTCAGCGAGGTGAAGGTTGCAGCAGCCCCTCACACTGTGGGATGAAGTGTGAGTGTGTGCATGTGTGTGTGTTTCATCTGTGGACGTATATGTGTACATGAGTGTGAGAGGCAATGAGACAGACACAGACACTGAGACTTGTATTGTGTGAGCAGGGGGTAGGATGAGTTGATTTGCAGCAATTAACCATTTTGGAGCCTGAAGCCAGTGGATTTACACACTGAAGGAAGGATTGATTGTTTAGGCCATGAGATTCACAATTGCATTTGTTCACCGCTGAATAACAAATACACAATCAAAGAGTGCCAGGGTTAGGACCTGAGCAGAGGGCGCGGCGAGTGCTTTGAATGTGCGGAGGAGCACGTGTCGTATCCGCTTGAGTATAAGAACATATGTGTGGACACTATAGAGAGGCCTTCGAGGATCATACCAGCAGTTCAACGTGTTTTAGTCTACTTATTTGAAACCATGCAGATCCCACAAACACAACAAAACAGGGCTGTAGCACAATTTTCAAAGTTAATTCTACCACATTTGAGCAGCACATTTAGCTCTGTATTCCAAATCAAAAGGCTCTTCTATATATATTTATATAGATATTTATAAAAAATTTCCCCCATGGGGGATCAATAAAGGAATATTCTATTCTATATATTTCTAGTCACTCTGTCCGCTATTCCAAATTTTTTTAAACCAGCATTTTTCTCTTCCTTCTTTCTTCTGCTCAAAGATACTCTATACGCCCAAGATTCTCTCAGGAATAAGCAACTCCACAAAAAAGAATAATCATAAAGCAACTAGATTTAATAACGTATTCAGTCATGCCTCGGTCTAGAATTTAGCACCATCTAAAATCTATGACCTAGTCGAGTCAGACTTCTTAAGACCATTTTAAATTCAAATTGTTTTTGAGATTAGTCCCTAAACTTTCAAATAAACTTTTTTCCTCTAATGGCTGAAAAACTGTTTCCAACACACTCCGAAAGTTGAAGTCCTTTATGGTCCTGCAGAGGGAGAAATCTGGACACTGTGTTTCAAACTATAACTGCTGCAACTGATTTCTGTCATATTTATGTCTAATGCTTGTATAATGTCCCTCATCTCAACAAAATAGAAGAAATAAATATGTTGTAGATATTTCTTAAGTAAAAGCAGCACCAAGCAGTCTAAGTGTGATATTTTCTCTGCTTCATGAAGAACTAAATGAGATGTACTCACTGAAAACAGCTTCAATGGTGTAGGGAACATCCAGTTTTCCACTGGAGGCCAAAGCTCCGAGGAAAGCTGCAGCATCGTTGGTGCTCTGGAAACACTCAGTGGACTGCTGGAAGCACTGACGATTGTCCACCTCCAAGTGAACCACTGATCTGTAGAGAGAGGCCAGACATGTTATTGTCTTTTGTACAGTAATTAGACTCATGTAGACTTTTGTAGACACGTTTGCATCCTTGCTCACCCTTTGATCTGCAGGTGATCCAGCTCCCTCTTCATCCTCTTGGTCCTGCTGGACACACCATACAGGCTCCTCTTCATCACATTCAGCACCTTTACAGGAACCTCTGACCACGTATCCACTGAACGCTTCACGACATACTTCTTCAGCTCATGTTCGTTACCGTAGTATGGGTAAACCATCGTCTCGCCTTTAGTGTCCCTCCTGAAGATGACGTTGGTGCGGAGGACGCGGCTGAGCTCTCGCAGGAAGCCAAAGGAGTTGTTAAGGAGGTGCTCAGGGGTGATGTGCACCACCACGACCAGCTGACCCAGGGCGAGCTTTTCTGGCATGCTATTGGCACAGTCCAAGCCGTCCCAACCGCATTCAGCGTTGTTGCAGCCCTGGTCACAGTGGCGATCGGCATAGTGGTCCTTGCAGTACTGATCGTACAGAGGACTGAAGAAAAGAAGGTTGAGTTAGAGCTAAAGGATTTAAATGTTTAAATTTGAAAGCTGTCCCGTGGTTATGTCTAAAAATAACACTCTTATTGGAAATCATGGAAACCATGTCCCCTGCTCTAAAAAGGAGACAGTTTTTTTTAGGAATTTTTCAGGACTTAGAAATAAAATCTAAAAGGAAAAAATATCTGCTCCACTTACTTGCACTCTCTTTCCAGATTCTGGCAGTCAAATCCATCATAAAGACACCCAACATTGTCACACTGTGAATCGCACTTCCCGTTGTTGAAGTATCTCCAGCACTGGAGCGAGGCCGAGCAGTTCTTCCACGGATCGTTAAAGTTGAGCGAGCAGTCGCCGTTGTCCCAGCCGCACGCATGGTTATTACAGAGCACGTCGCAGACCTTGTTGTGCTTTGCTTCTTCGCACAGCGGGATGTCACAGGAGACCTCCAACTCCGTTGTGGGCGGCGGTGTGATGCTGGTGCCAAATCCTCCCTGGAAATTGTAATCGAGGATGTGGCAGCGGAGGCCGTTGAAGTTTGTGGGGCAGACGCAGCGGTAGAACGGAGCCTCAGAGGTGTATTCGCATGTGCCGCCGTTGTAGCAGGGGTTGGAGTTACAGGGGCTGTCGGTGGGAAACTGGCATTCGGGTCCAGTGAAGGACGCAGTGCACAGACATGTGGGACGCTTGTGGCCAGAGATGCAGGTGCCTCCGTTGCGACAGTGTAGGCTGCCGCAGGCCTGGGCATCATACTCACACGTGGAGCCAGTGAAGCCCTGAAAGAAAGAAAACCATACATTTTAAACTTGCTGTTCTTCTGGTTAATTTCATTTATATTAGAAATGGATCTGTATTTATTTTCAACCACAAAAAATGAGGATTTTAGGCAATGGGTTAAATTAATTGCTACTTCTTGCTTATGGGTATGTTTACTTGTATTTATCACAAATGGAAAATACTGTATGTTTACATCTTTTTATTGTGAGGACTTCCCGTCTTCACTGTGGAGTCAAATATCTGGTCTCCACAATTTTTACATTTTCTTCTAGGATAATTTTGATTGAGGGTCACATTTATTTAGTGTTTGGAAGTCAGGTTTTCCATCATGTTAGAGTGAAATCAAGCTATCAAAATATCCCGTGATGTGTTGGTACTCACAGGAGGACATTTACAGATGAAGCCATGTGGGGTGTTACTGGCAACAGCACAGGTCCCTCCGTTACGACACGGTTTTCCCTTACAGCCATCAAACACTGTGTCACAGCGCTGACCTGCAGATGAGTAAGACGTGAAATATACAAATGATTTTATCTCATTTTTGCAAAATAAACTCACATATAACTACAGGTTTGACTTTTTACATTCAGAGATGAACATTGTTTCTTTCATCCATTCATCATCTATTTTCACGTTTCACAAAGTGCGCTAAGATCTGTGAGAGCTGAATGTTACAACTGAGGAAAGCACAAATCTTTTACTTAAGGACAAAACATTAAAAAGAAATTTAAAGAAGAACTTCCTAAGGCAGGAGTAATGAAAAACAGTTTCAGTCCTAAAACAGTTAAAATGAGTTAATCTGTCACAAAGTTAATCTGCACTCAAGTCAAACTCAGAGGAGACACAGACACCAAAACAAACTTTATCAAACTTCTTAAGGCGTTCCTTCCTGACCGTCTGTTTACCTGTGTATCCGGTGCGACACTCGCAGCGGTAGTTGTTGGTGAGCTGGATGCAGCTGTGGGTGCCACGTGGGTCACAGGGGTTGGACAGACACTCGTTGACGTCTCCCTCACAGCGCTCCCCCACGTATCCGGCCGGGCAGATGCAGTGGTAGCCTCCAACTCGATCCACACACTTCCCTTTGTTGAAACACTTTGGCTCACTGGTGACTGGATCGGTGAAGGGGGTGCAGTCGTCAATGTTGATTTCACAGTGAACACCTTCAAGACACGAGGACAAGAAGTTTAAGTGGATAAAGAGACGTTTTTGCTCCTTAGTGTTTAAGCATCACAAGGTAAACTTTGTAATATGAGTTGAAATTATACTATTTTAATGAATAATATGTTTTCTGTTTTTGTATCAATGGTGTTTAGAGGCCTTTCATGCCTTTTTTTAAGGAGACAGGACAATGGATAGAGCAGAAAATTATAGCCTCTGCATGGGGCTCCTGATTAAATGACTGATCTGCTTTAAATGTATGTTTTTTAACTTGACAAGGTAATCCCACACTTCCCAGAAAAACTCTCACTGACCACGTATATTGACCTTTAAATGTGAAGCAAAGGGATCTAATTATGAATGTGTGACCTGAAGCCGCAAATAAGACAGGAATAGCTTCATAATTCCCCAAAATGTTGTCTTTCTTGTGGCTACCTAATACATTACAATCTGGTAAGGTCACTGGGAAAGATTACTATTTGCAATTACATAACTGTTTTTGTCTCGGCATAACTGCAGAATTGGGGCTCATCTTTTAGTTTCTCCTCTCTCAAAACTGCGTAAACCGGTGTTTTGCTTCTGCACAAGTTTTAATTTATTAAAAAAAAATGTAAATTGTGTTAAACTTGATAAAAATAACATTTACAAAATCAAATCCCCAGGCCACTTGGATTAAAAATGTTTTTTTTACCTTTGACTATTTGGATTTAGAAACAGTAAGATGAGCACAAAACCAAAGTTGTGTTTGGTGATTGGATGAGCAGGTTATTATGCAGCTGTAACAATTCTACAAGAGCTAAAAAACTAAAATTTACAGAGATAGAAAACGTTGGTGTTTCCAGAAAAAGCAGTAAACTCTGGCTGACACAGAAGTGTAAAAAAAACTGCAGTTCTTTGAGTGTCCACTAAATGCTGACTGAAAAACCAAAGAAACCCTTAAAGTCCCGATTCAAAATGCAAATTCTTGCAGCACATAAGTAGAGATTTGACAATGTCTCTTAAGGAGTGACCCTTTTGTATATTTGCATGATTAAGGACACAGCTGAGATTTTGGACGGATGGATGGATGGCAGCTTCACACCTGCCTCAGATCCACCTTTTTGTCTAAGTTGATCTAAAGTCAACACAAAACAGGCGTATTTGTTCATTTTTGAGTGAGTAAAATAAGTTTCCAGCAGTATTAGCATTCAAGGACATTTAAGGATAATATTTCGCTAACTTCTGACATTTAATAACTTTCCTCATCTCTTGATTAAAACACCTCCATCAACATGTTTGCTTTCAGGATACCGCTAACTCTTCTGGCACTCTGGGCTGACCTACACACACACTCCCTTCATGTGTGAGAGAAAAATCAATGGTGTATTTGACAGGTAGAGGGAGGGATGGAGACCGGACTGGAGGAGGAGTTTTCAGACATGCCCTGGCTGCTGTTAAGCCCTAATTAATGAAGCGTGGAGACAAGGAGGAGAGGACGGAGAGGCAGAGCAGTGTGGAGGAGTGTGCGTGGGGTCTGCTGACCTTGGGTTCCCCGGGGACAGGAGCATTTGTAGGTATTGATCAGGTCAATGCAGGTGCCCCCGTTCTGGCACGGCTGAGAGAGGCATTCATTGATCTCGTCAGAGCAGTTGGTCCCCACGTATCCTGGCATGCACTGAGAGGAGTAAGAAGATGCAGAAGAAGAGGGAGAGGAAGAAAAGAAAAGAAGAGGATAGAGAGAGAGAGGGGAACGTTTAATCAATGACATGAAACAAAGATGGTTTCTGTTTACCTGGCTGTTTTCTGGTCTCCGTCCTGCCAAGGCCAGCAGATCTCTTATTCCAGGGGAGATTAACTCAAACAAGCTGTTTGTTTTCTATTTATAAACAGGCCTGTCTGCTGTTGTAACATCTAACAGGCTGCCTTCTGTGTGTCGAGGCATCGTTACTAATTAATATATCAAAAATAGAGAGTAGAGATGTTTTTTACATGCATGTAAAGAAGTTTGATACATCAGGAGATGTAAACAGGGCTTTAAAATGCCAATTAAGGTCGGGTTTAAGACATTTTTTGCAGCTAAAACCAAATTTTAAAATCCTCATAACTATGCTGATTTCTGTTTAACAGTGTTTTATATTATAATACATACATCCTGAATCATGACATCTGTTTAAAAGCTGGATTTTTCGTAGTCTCGTGTTGTTGAGTTATATGTGTTTCAAAAGCTTTTCTAAGGGCAGGCTTTAGAAATCAGCTAAGATTATAAATTCTTTGGCTGTTTGGAGACAGCTGGATGAAATTTCCATCGTAAGTATGACTTACACATACAGTATGCAGGTCAGATCTGCAGATATGAAAGGTCTCACTTTGTCCAGAAGAGGCTTTAACAAATGTGACTTCTTATTGGTCTTTCATTTGCCTCAATTTGATACAGTGAACTGTTTAGACACGATGCGTTCTGATGTGTATAACTTAAAAAGACTACGACAAACGATTTCTGAACCTGTATTTTTATTTTCTTAAAATTTCCAACCATGAATTGCTCAGTTTTGTTACCTTGCAGGAGTATCCACCTAAGAAGTCAGTACAGGTGGCTCCATTCTGGCAGGGGTTAGGGGTGCATTCATCCACCTGCGCCTCACAGTAACTTCCTGTATAGCCGATCTGGCAGTGGCAGTAGTGAATATTTCCAGCATCCAGACACTGACCAGAGTTGCGGCACAAATGGGCGACATCGACTCCTGCACAAAGGGAAACGGGAGGAGGGGATTCAGTAGTTTTTAAAGCAAAGTGAAATGCACACACACAAACTAACACAAAAGAGGTTTTTAAACCCGGATACCCTCATCATACCTCTCTGTTTAGCTGCCACCTCACAGGAAACACTGGGAACATCACAATAAAGTCCTGTCCAGCCTGTCTCACACTGGCAGCTGTAGGTGGTTTCTTTCTGCCAGCACTTCCCTCCATTCTTACAGGGTGACGAGTCGCACCAGCGGACCAAGTTCTGAAAAACAGAGGAACCAACAGCTGAAGGCACATCTGTAAAAGAAAGAGTAACTACCTTATAAGCTCACTCAACCTAAACTTCTACTTCTCTGTGCTCCTACCTGACAGTTGAGTCCGGTGTATCCATGCGGGCAGGTGCACTTATAGGTGCCGTAGCTGTCCTGGCAGGTGCCGCCGTTCTGGCAGGGTTTGGAGTCGCATTCGTTGATGTCATGTTGGCAGTAGCTCCCGGTGAAGCCCGGCGGGCACAAACATGTGAAGGCGTTGATGCCGTCCACACAGGTGCCTCCGTTGAAACATGAACTGCAGAAGGAAACGAAGGTAACTCTTCTGCAGCTCTTTATTGAGAGCATAAGGAGCTAATAAATCAAAATCATCCACATCTGATTTTGACACAAGAAGTTCATAAAGATGTTTTTTTTCATACTTCATTTTCAAGCTCACTTAAACTGATGAGGGACACCAGAATTATGATAGAGCAACCACAAGCATGTGCTCATTTTGAGTTTGGGTAGCTTCACCAGCTGTTCATGGGCCTGCTGTGATACCTAGAAATGTACACCTACTCCACCACAGGGGGCAGTGGTGGGCAGGAAATTGTGCTCCTCTCTAACAAGTGTATTCAAACAAGCCTCTCTCATCATCCTGTGTAAGTACAAACTTTCTTCTCCTTTAGTTTAAATAATGTGTTTAGTTTGTCCTTTATGCCTTGAGCTCTTTACTCTACCTGATTTTAAAGTCAGACTGTGTGATCAGTTAGTTCTGTACCTCTCGGTGCAGTCAGGTGTGTTATTTTCACAGTGGATCCCACTGAAGCCGGCTGGGCAGGTGCAGGTGTAGCTGTTGACACAGTCGGTGCAGTTGGCACCGTTCTTACACGGGTTGCTCTCGCACTCGTTGATGTCCTCCTCACACTTTGTGCCCCGAAAGCCGGCCAGGCAGGTGCACAGGAAGCCGTTCACCTCATCCTGACAGCGGCCCCCGTTACTGCAGGGGTCTGTAAAAGTAAGGATTATGCGTTTGACTTAGTTTTTGATTTAAGATGCGAAACTCTTAGTTTGTTCACAGCTTATTAACAAAACAAAAGGATTAAAAGCAGATGAAGAGAAACACTTACTGGGTTTGCAGTCATCAATGTTGGTTTCACAGTTACGCCCGGTGTATCCCGGCTTGCAGCCGCAGCGATAACTGCCCAAAGTGTTCTGGCAGGTCGCTCCGTTACGACAAGGATTCTTCACACACTCTTTAATATCCACCTCACATGTTTGGCCTGTAAGAGGAAGGAAGAGGATACTTAAGTATATACTTTCTTCGAATGGTGGCATGACACACTTTGGTAACTGCAATTTATCATTCTGCCAGGTTAGATAAAAAGAAATGACAAAACCAAGCAACCAGGCGAGGAAATTGGATTTTTTCCAGTTTCATTCAATGAGGGAAACTTCAACATATTCTACACTGATCACTCAATTCCTGTTTCCATCTGCTGAGAAGCTTTACAGAGATACAGATTTCCTTTTGTAGCAGGACCTGGCACCCGCCCACAGTGCCAAAACCACCAGAAGCTGGTTTGTTGACCCTAGTATAACTGTGCTTGACTTCCCAGACCTGAACCCCAGTCTCTGAAGTATTGTCAAGAGACAAATGAGAGACACCAAAAGGAGCTGATAGCAGCAACCCGGGCCTTTGAAACTTTTTGAATTAAATATATTATGGACTATTCCAGAATGTTCTAATTTTTTGAGCTGCACCTGTATTTTCTCTGTATATGAAGGGTTAACCAGAACGGAGGTTATGAGGAACAGACGCCCTTCCTTCAACATGCATGTGGAAAATGTTTACATGTGCTGCACCATAATCCAGAATAATGGGTTTATGTCTGTCTGGTCCTGCAAGATTTAATTGCATGTTTACAATGAAACCTGGCTGTTCTTCATCATTACACCTCAGTGTGGGGGCTCACTAAAGATTACGCTCCATCCACATGCCCATAATGTTCCTCTGTGGTGATTTATGTGACAAGACTGATCACACATTATTGCCACCTACTGGACCGGCATACTATTTTTTTTTGTCATTTTACAGTTTTTCTCAGTTGCTTTGGTGCATTTCTCATGTCAGTATGAAAGTTCTCATAACTATTAGTTCAACCTCCACAACATTGAGTCATTTGTGCACATCATTGTAGCAGTTTCTCATTACTCTGAACAAATTGCAAATGCTCTTGGACATGTATTAGTTACTTTCACACAATTCTCTGCTGTTTTATAACATTATCATTTGCTTCTGTCATGTCAGTCAAAATAAACTATACTTATGAATGCTGAATAGTCAGTCCCTGTAAAACTAATAGTCCTCATTTCATTGATTGAGTCATTACATAAAAAAATGTTGAACTAGTTGTCAAAATCTGTCAAGCTGATTTCATACATTCCTTCTTAATTTTTTCTCCTGAAAATGACTCCTAAATTGAACAATTCCACGAACCCTCACTTGGCAAGCAGGACATAGTGTGTACCATTTCTACAATTCTGTGACACAAATATGGAAGGTCAGCGTTGTGGAGGAGGGATGAGAATGTGAGGAGAAAGAGGAAGGGGACAAAACAGGGTCAGAGGAAGAAGAGGTGAAGTACATAAGACAAATCCCTGATGAAATTAGAGCTACACTTGCACCAAAATGCACCAAAGTGACTGAGAAAAACTGTAAACCATTTTTGTACAAGCGTTGGAAGTTTTCCAGGAGAGAAACCTCAGAAGCCTTTCAAATGATTCATAAAACTTCTCAACTAAATGAGCACCTATCTGAAAAATGTTAATTTTACATGCAACATTTAAAATTTCAGGGTTTGAGGTTTTTTACTCTGTTGGAGACTCAGCAGCAGAACTTTGAGTTATTTCCGTATGTTTACCTTGCCATCCTTCAGGACAGACACAGGAGAAACTCTGATAGTCCTCTGACTCCTGACACACTCCTCCATGTTTACAGGGTTTGGAGCCGCAGGGGGCCATCAAGGTCTCACAGTTCTCTCCTATAACACAAAAAGGTAAGGACATCTCCATTAAAGCATGCCAACGTACCAAGTTTCTTTAAAAACCTCTTGTACCGGGTGACATCATGCAGGAGTCATGAACTTGGAGATAACCCAAACTAAATGGACACAGAATCATCTTTCAATCAGTGCTATCAGAAGATTTTCGCCAGGCTCTGTCAGTGTGAGCGACCTGTGGAGACATTTCCCTATCTGTTTCCACAACACAGGGCTCATACAGGAAGCCGGCTCCACTTTCCGGCCATTGTGAAGCCATTTGCTGTTCTGTGAGACAGGAAGCAGGCAAACAGGAAATGTGTCAAGCACCCCGTTCCCACCCCGGCAGAGAAAAAGCTTTTTATTATTCAAAGACTTGTGGATTTTTCCAAAAAGACAACTCTACAAATCCAAGAAAATGTGCCCTTAGCCTTTCCATCATTCTCTGTTTTGACAAATAATAAGTTAGATGACAGGAAAATATTTTCCAGCTGTCTTTTCAGGGATGTTTGGGTATCTCAGAGGAGCAGAGTGAGTCAAAGGTTTTGGTGTCTCTGAGCCCTGAGGAAGTCTTGCAGTTGAACTTAACTCGGGAGTTACTCCATCCGCCGCACGTTTTTCCTCTTTGTCCAGAAACTTTAGAGCACACAGGCCATAGAGACTACACTTGAACAGGAAATGCCAGAACACCAGGCCAAAAATGTGCGTATCGAACATTTCCAGTAATATTTTCATACCGGTGTAAGGCAGGATGCAGTTGCACTTGTAGCCTGCCACGTCATCGATGCACGTCCCCTGGTTTAGGCAGGGGTTGGAGGCACATTCGTTGATGTTTGTTTGACAGTTCGGACCTGTGATTAAAACAATCAACCGATCACAATCACTCTTTGATTTAAGGTCAGCAGTCAAGTGGTTTAGAAAAAAAGAGGCAAAACGCCATCACTCACTCTCCTCTACACGACACGAACACTGACCTGTGAAGCCCATGCGGCAGGTGCAAACGTATCCACTGGTCATGTCCTTGCAGGTGCCTCCATTCATGCAGGGGTTGGATTCACACTCGTTGTTGTTGATGTCGCAGTTTTTGCCGCTCCAGCCAGAATCACACAAGCATCTATAACTAACGGGGAGAAAATAATCAGAAAATCTCAGTTATAAGTCTCTTTAGAAACACCCAGTGTAAGAGGGTTCACTGTTCTTTAACAGCAGCAATGGGACCTTGAGTGGAGTGCTATAACAAAATGTTTTAAGCCTATTCGAAAAAATACAAAAAGGAAGCACATCTCAAATTTCCAAATCAAACGACAAACAATTACCATAAAATCTGGTGTATAGGACACTTTTTTTTTACATTTTTATGAGCTTTATCCTGTGAGTGAAATAGTTTAATGTGTCATATACCATAAATAAGCTAGGGTTTGAAGAAGGGAGTAACCACTTCACTGTGCAAGGCATGCTGCATACATATCCAGGGAGATCAGCCTTGTGGAGCCACTTTTAAAAGCTTTTCTCCCTCATTAGGTCATGATCATGCCTTTGAAGAAAACAGTGCTATGTTACAAAGTTAAAAAAAAAACTTTTTGGGAGCTCTAGTTTGATTGAAAAGACTCCTACATTTAACATAACAGGTGATGAGAGTGGAAAATTAATTGGAGGAAGTGGGGGTCCATCTGTACATTATTACTATCAATGCCACCAAAAGAGCTTCACAACTGCATATGCGAGGGCTGGAGAAGAAATCCTTATAAGTTGAGCCTACAGATTGATTAACTTATTATGAAAATTATGGAAATTATTGTGAAAGAATACACTCACCCGTTGATCCTGTCTTCACAGTGACCGTGGATGCAGGGATTGCTGAGGCATTCGTTGACCTGGGAGAAGCAGGTGGTGTCATGGTAACCTTCTGGACACACACAGGTGAAGCTGTTGATGCCATCGATGCAGGTGCCCCCGTTATGGCAGGGGTTGATGGCACACTCGTCGATGTTGATGTTGCACATGGTCCCTGAAAAAATTAAGACTTTATTTTATGAACGCTCCCTTTTCTCTGTGTTTACTTAAGTTCTTTCAGGTCAGATTTTTGCTGACAGCTTATTCCTCTAACGAGCATTTACTTTCACATTTATCAATTAATGTCCTATGAAATGTTTTAAATCTTCTCTTTCAAATCTTTCCAGAAGAGAAAATCAAGGTCTACGAATCATATGACTTTAGTATATCATCAGGTAGCAGAGTGTCCTCTTGACAGTAACGTATCTTGGGAGTAAGTATGTGGATTTCTCTAACAGCTGTCAACAAGACCACTTTGGACTCTTTTTGAAGTATTATTTTAAACTCTAAGTGATACCTCATGCTGCCGTGGACAAAATCACCTGACAATGAAGTCTACATTTTTGTGCAGTCAATGTATCAATTTCCAGAAACATGAGGGGTTTTAAGTCGCCCTTTGTCGGCCACTTGAAGCGTTGACGCCATTCAGCCTGGTGCCACGCATAACATAAAGGCAGCCCATTTAGCTTTAAAGCAGGGGCCGCCTTCCAAGCTTTTAACAGCTCAACTTTCAGGAATCTTTCAGGGAATCTTTTCTCCTGCCTAAATCCCAGGTGACCGTGTGCGCCCGAGAGTGTGTGTGTGTCCCCTCTTTGTGTCAGAGGCAGCCTGCGCGTCCGAGCAGCAGCAGGTTTGAGGACAGGGTGGAGCTGGAAAGTGACACCGGTCAAGCCTCAGAGGAGTGTGCTCGCTCGCTCACCATCTGTCACCCTCCCCATCCAGACCCACACTCCTTCATGTATATGATCAGTCCTCTAATCCTGCACCTTAAACACCCATTTCTTGTACTGGTCACCTGAGACAGCGGACATGTTTAACTTGTTTTAAATTAGCTTTGAAGCAGAAGAAAGCCTTAGATTCAATTTGGGTAAAGGCAGAAGAGCACGGATATCTATATGAGCACAGTTCTCCCCTTTTTTAAAGCTGGATTCGATCTCTGCAAGATTACCTGCATATAAATCTGAAATCTGAAATCTCAGTTTGATTTTTCTCTCCACAGTTCATAATCAATGTCACAAACTCCAAAGTAAGGAATAAAGTTTCCACTTTTACATCTGCAGCATTGTTTACCTGTGAAGCCAGGCTCACAGGCGCACTCGTAACCATCGATCTTGTCGATGCACGTTCCAGAGTCGCAGGGATTGCTCTTGCAGTCGTCAATGTTGATCTCACAGTTGATTCCTGTCAGAAAACTGATATCAGTATCCTTCATAACCGTAAAAAATGCATCTTTGCGTCTTTAGTTTATGTGAAGCGCTGGTTACCTGTCGTTCCCTTGGGGCAGCTGCAGATGTAAGAGTTCTCGCGGTCCTGGCAGGTTCCTCCATTCCTGCACGGCTGGCTCAAACACTCGTTGATGTTGGTCTCACACAGCCGGCCTGTGTATCCAGGATGGCAGTGGCAGCTGAAGGAGGCCAGGCCGTCGATGCAGGTCCCGTAGTGGCACGGGTCTGAGTGGCACTCGTTGATGTCTGTCTCACAGTGCCTCCCAGAGTAACCTGGTGAAGAAGATGTTTTTGTCAACACTGATGTAATTGTTTCTCTCCTTTGTTGTGGGTGGACCTCACTGCCCACTTCTTTAGTGCCCCCATATCATGTGCTATTTTGTAGGTTTAAATGGAGATAAATCTAAATTGAAAGAAAATATTTTCTTCATTTTTGGTCCTAAAGTGTGTTTTCTTTTCTGCAGCTCAAGGTGTTGTCCGAAAATCAAACAAATAAGAAGAGACAAATACCTTCAGTGCACTCGCAAGTGTACTTGTTGGGTCCGTCTGTGCACTTGGCGCCATTTTTGCACGGTGTGCTGGCACACTCGTCGATGTCTATCTGGCAAAGTATCCCAGTGAAGCCTGGAAAAACAACAAGAGGGTGTTACTGTGTGCATGAGAGCATGAAGGAGTTTGTGTTTGTGTGTGTGTGAGTGTACAGAAATGCGACTGAGTTCTCACCATTTCAAACCGGCCCCTCTTACAATTTTGAGCCTGAACTGTTAGAGCTCTTGACAAATCAGAAATCTGCATGTTAATTAACAACTCTGCAACACTACAAACTCTCTATTTTCCCTTTCACTTCTTTCAGCTATAGTCCAAAAGGGAAAGAGGAGAGTGAGGGGACCATTTCGTTTCAAGCAGGGGGGGAGGGAGGAGGAGAGGGGAAGAGATGAGGGAAGAATGAAAGTTGCGAGGCCTCCTGACCAAGGGGTGAGAGACAAAGGCGGGCCTGTCTGCTCAACGCAACGCCAAACTGAGCCCGTTGCCTCCTTTGTCCCTGAATACTTTTCCATCACAATGTGCATTCCCCCATCTTGCGCTCACCCCCTCTCCACAACCCCCTCTACTCCCTGCGCCCCTTTAAAAAGAACCCGCTTGACCTTTGACCCTTTACCATTCAACCTCCTTGTCATTCAAAATCAGTCAGCAGGCTTTTCTTTTATTCTTGAAATCATTCTCATCGCTGATATTTTCTTTTGGTTCCCCCTCAGTCACATGATGGTACAGTCCGGGGGCTTATAGAGGGGTGTTGTTAGATGAAGAGATAAAGGTTTCCCCTCCGCCCCTCAACCACACCAGAGCAGGAACACACAGGTGGTTTCACATCATAAAAAAAGACTCAGTAGCAGCTAATCCGGCGAGGAAGTATTTGTGTGTCTGGCTGCCGAACTGATTTCTCCCTCTGGACTTTACTGGAGCCATTCAGTGTTTTTTCTGACTTAGCTGCAAATAACATCAGATGAAATATCTCAGCACAAAAAAAATCAAATAAATATTGAGGTAGAACTTTCCAGGAGAGACCAAATATGACTATCTGTAATCATACATCTATACAGTATATCTATATGACTAAATCTATATGCATAAATCTACGTGCAGGTAGATATATTTCAATATCTACATAAATAAATCTACATGTATACATCAAAATATGTATACATCTTCATGTATATATCTATATAGTCATATTAACTCAAAGATAGATAGATAGATAGATAGATAGATAGATAGATAGATAGATAGATAGATAGATAGATAGATAGATAGATAGATAGATAGATAGATAGATAGATAGATAGATAGATAGATAGATAGATAGATAGATAGATAGATAGATAGATCTCGTAACCACCTGCCTTCTTCATCATAAAAATAAACCTGCCATACATTATAGTTCATTTTGGATAAGATGATCATTTATTGTAAGTAAATATGTAATAAATTAAATAAATGAATAATTCAAATATACAAATATACTGCATTTACAGGACTAGATCAGCAAAGTAAGAGGAGCCAACCCAAACTCCTCACGGATCATTTTCATGATCAGAAGTTGTTTGTGGACTCAGAGGGAGAAGAGTATACAAATATTCTACAAGCAGCAGGAACAAACCTTTGTTTTCCAGTTTCTAAAGCTAAAGCTGAGTTCCTTCACAGCTCAGTTACAGTATTAAAACGAAAACACCCCTGACTGAAATCAAAGAGGCCAAAAGCAAAAACTCTGTGAAAGAATTTCTTACACAGATGAACACATATGCATATCCACACAATAGTTGAAGCTGAAATGCAAGCATGCACACACACACACATACACACCATCATGCACCTCAGCAGCCAAAGAGGGATTTATCCCCAGACTGCTGGAATCAGACATTTCAATGGCTCTCAGTGGGGTTTCCATGGCTATTCCATGTACAGAAATAATAAGAGGGGACCCTCGCCTCAGGCCTGGCTCACAACGGGGACAAATTTACATCTCAAGCAGGGCGGTTAAGACCCCTTCCCTTCTTTTACCCCTCCCTTCCTGCTTCAACATAACGGTCTGTGCGTCTCACCCCCCTCTTCTCCCTTCACCCCCCAACCAAAAAAAAAAAAAAAAAAACACTTTCACTGCCACCACTTTGTGCCGCTTCCTCACATAACCCTCTCTCTCTGTCACACACAGACTTCTCTAAGGCGTTAAGCTCCTGTTTCCCTCTTGTACCCCCGCTCCATTAAGGCTAAAGCTTCCTTGTTGGGTGTCTCTCCTTTCTTTGCCTTTTTCTGACTCTCTTTCTTTCTAACTTTTCTTCTTCCTTTCTTTTCTCTCTCAACAGGAGGAATCCTGCCTCTCTCCACCCAGGCCGCCTTTGATCCACCCGTCTCTGAGCTTCGCTATTTTTCCCCCCAAGAAGAAAAAAATCACTTCCACCTCAATGATCCTGACGAAAGAATGCAAAACAAAAAACTGATTTGGGGAGTTTGAAGATCGTTCCCTTGCTTTCTTCTTTTCTCTCTACACAAGTTTCAATAGTTGCTTTACTTCTCTCCTGAACAAAACATCAATACCTCCTGTATAAGTAGTGTAACTCCAGTGGCATTTCTGCAAAACAAGAGTTCAAAAATATCACAGAAAAGTCATTTTAAGGAGCACTTTAGCAAGCTTTCCTGTCTGCTATAATTAGCTCTCCCTTCCTCCCCGAGTGTTAGTTACATCCACAAGTTTCTGCTCACTCATCAGACTTTGTTAAGGAATTTAAACTTGTTTAAAAAGTTCTAACTTCCTCAAGCCTTTCCCTATAGATTTTTTTCTCCCTCTCCATCTCGACTGCTGCGTTCGTTCAGGGCTACCCGGGCCTGTGTAAGCCTGCCTCAGGGCTGGGATTAGTGCCCGTCCAGGAAAAGTGTTTGTGTGTGTTTGTGTTTGACTGAACGAGAGAGACGGCGAAGTGCAGAGAGAGTGATCGACCTCTGTGCCCCCTGGCCCCGCGCCTCCTCCCTCTTGCTCGCTCTCTCCCTCTCCTCCCTCCCTCTCCTCCCGCTCCCTCCTCTGCAGGAGTGCAGCAGCCTCACCTGTGGGGCACTGGCAGTGGAAGTCGTTGATCTTGTCGATACACTTGCCGTTGTTCAGGCAGGGGATGTTGGCGCACTCGTCTATATCGATCTCGCAGAAATCCCCTTCGTAACCTGGCCAATTAGCAAGGGAGGATGGATTGGATTGTTAGACAGAGACACAGTGAGAAACATTTTACCTCTGCTGGAATATGCTGCTTCAAATGACTGAAACTAATACACAGTGGCTTTATTTAAGGCAAGAGGACAGCAATTAGGGGTTATTTTTTTTTACAGATTAATCAGTGGAATAGTACAGGTAACTGTGCAAGTTTTACAGAGAATTCTGACATTGATTCTTTCTTTAAAGTTGCATTTACAAAGACAGAAAGAGCAGCAGAAGAGCTGCTTCCTGAGTGCAGTGGTATCATGAATTATAAACCTGACCTAAGAGAAATGTGGCAACTGGCAAAGAGGCCAAACTGAGGCTGGCCCAGGATGCACATAGCTGCAAATATTGGCTTTATAATGTGGATGAACTGTGGTCTTCCTGGTGCTTAAAGCCAGCCTCAAGTGGACACTTAAGGAAGTGCAGTTTTCTGCATTGTGTACTTGCTACATTTTATAGCAGCTGTGGATGATTACCTGAATTGTTTCAAACTTTTTGCAAATTTCCTTTAAGACCCACTCCGATGAAAATCATGTTTTTCTTGTTGTCTACATGTTCATATGGCATTTTTCTGATACTACAGGACGTATCATGAGAAAAGTAAGTGCGAAATTGCATTTTGAGTATTTCGTCATTAAAATCGCTGTGAAACTCTGGCAGACCCAAACAGCAGGTTCAGATACAGTGAGGTTTTCTAGGTCACAAATCCAAGCTCCGCCCCCGGAGCCCCGCTATGCAGGCTCGACTCAGAAAAGTAGAGAGGACAATTGCGGAATAAGCGTCTGCATCAGCTGATTGCAATGCTTGTAAGAAAGCTAATTATGATATTAACTTTCATCATGTCCCTGAAGACACTAGTATCTGAGAGCTGAATAGCTCCTATGTTACCTGCCACTTCTACTACACTGGCAATTTTAGGCTACAAGCTAGTATGAAGAAGAGTGTGCAAAGCAGCGCTGTCTCCGCCCACGACTCAGAGGTGAGTTGCTGAGGAACTACTACAACTACGCCAGAAGAAAAGCCCTTAAAAAAGACACAAGTAACGTGATCTGGGATAAAAACTGTATAATCACAATTTAAAGACCACTGATAACACTTTAAGGAGTTTAAAAAAAATCGACTTTTGTGATAAATTACATGACTCTGCTAATAATGAGACTAGACGAAGAGAATAGATGCACTTGAAAGGTACATTTTAAGTCTTTATTAGGACATTCAGGTACAATGACACTGAAGTGATTAAAAAATAAAAGTCTCTGCTGCATTTGAGGGTAAAAGTACAAAGTTTGAGTGACCATGCTTGAGGAAAAAGTGAAAGTATGTAACCTATTCCTCTGTTCTCCTTATCATTGTATTAACTTTCCTAACTGTGATGTTCAAGCTGTCTGAAAAAGTCTTACCTGGCATGCAGATACAGTGAAAGTCCCCGATTTGGTCCAGACAGGTGGCCTCATTCAGACACGGGTTGGACAAGCACTCGTTGATGTCCAGCTCGCAGCGCGGCCCCACATAACCTTTCTGGCACTTACACTGGAACGAGCCCTTGGTGTTCAGACACTTGCCTGCATGCTCACAGGGGTTGGAACCTGATTGAAGAGGCAGTCGTTGTGACATTTTTATCCTGTGTACTTAAAGGATCTAACAAGGAAAACTTGACTGCTGAGACAGCATCTGCATTTACTGGCACAGTTATGTGAGCCATCTGAACAGCATTTCAGTTAAAGAGAGAGGTTCTGGGAAATGAAATGTGCTGGCTTGTGCAACTTTTTACCTAGTGAACACTCATCCATATCCTGATCACAGGAAGTTCCAAAGTATCCAGATGGGCAGGTACAGAAGTGATTTCCAGTGACAGGGTTGGTGTCACAGTTGGAGCCTTTCTGACACGGGTTGCTGATGCAGGCGTCGTCCAGCTGGCACAGCAGTCCTACGAACACAGAATAAAAGATGCATTCAGATTTAATGTCAAGGTTAAGGTCTCATGATCTAAATCAAGGATGGATGTAAATACCTGTCCGTCCTTTAGGGCATTCACAGAAGAAGGACGCAACACGATCATGACAGGTGGAGCCGTGGTGGCACGCGGCGCTGGCACAGTCATCGATGTTGTCACTGCAGTCGTCCCCTCCCCAGCCGTTCACGCACACACACTGGTACCTGCCATAGGTGTTGTGGCAAGTGCCGCCATTTTGGCAGGCGTTGGGCATCAGCTGACACTCGTCAACATCCTCTGTGCAAAGCTGACCTGCAGAAGTAGAACGATTTAAGACCGTGTGTCTATATCCCAAAAGGTGAAATGGTTTTCTTTTTAAAAAGAGCCACACAAACCTGTGAATTCAGGTTTACACTGGCAGTTGTAGGTGTTGACTCCATCGACACACGTCCCCCCATTCTGACACTCATGATCCGGACAGTCATCAATATTGTAGTTGCAGTTTTTTCCTGTAAAACCTGAAACAGACAACAAACCCAGGTGTATTCACCGTTATTTTGTGTTATTTTTTTCACTGTACAATCTCTATAAGTGAAGGCCTCGATTTTTAGTCACTCAGTTCTCCTGGTTTGAAAACATTTCGCTCCCATCCAGAACAAAGTGAGTGAAACTTCTGTTCAGTTAATGTGGTCAACTGTCTTCTTCCTCCCGACAGAGAGGCAGCTGTACCCTCTTGAGGTCTGTGGCAACCTCACCATGTAATAACACCAACTCTGCCATTCAGTTACACAAGAGGCAACCGCCGGACTGCACATGTGGCATGTTGGGTAATTGACAGTGAAAATCTAAACCAGTGGAAGTCATTTTTGCCTCTGCTGCTGGGAAGACTCTAAACTTTACAGCTGATAAAAACTATTTAACTGTATAATGTCAGCTACATTTTGGGGTTCATAGAACACCAAAGAGCAACTTTCCAAACATGCTAAGTGTTTAACATGTTTTTATTATTCCTCAACTTTTCATCTCACTCCTGTTATGATCTGAATAAGACAGTATACTGTATATGGAAAGTTGCTGTACAATTTCAGTAGTAAAAACAAAAACAAGGCAGAGTTTGTGCGTGTGGCGGTGATGAGGTTTCAGGCAGGACCAGAGTCCCAGCAAGCCCCGCTCCACTCTGCTATGTGAAAAGGATGTTGTCCTTCGACCATTTCCTTACGATAAGCCCCGATGCCTTCCTGCTCTGCCTTGTTCACACACTGTACTCACCATAGCAGACACACACACACACAGATACGTACACAAACGCACACACAGCTACACACACTGGGCACAACATAAGCAGGAACAGCCCTGCCTTGAATGACATCATTTTTCAGCCAGCAACGAGAAGGCAGTGACTTCTCAAATATAACCTGGGAGACTTTGGGAACATGGTGGAGTTTGATGTTAAATACTTGAAATAAAGTCAAGGCCACTGTGTTTTATTTATACAAAAGTTAGCTCTTCACCTTCATTCAAAGTAAGTCTTGTTTCTTCTTGATGTCAGTGAACAACTGTGTAAAGCTGTGCAAGACCTGAAAATGTCTTTGGAGGTGTTTAAGCCATCAGAGATATTAGAAAACTAAAGCAAACATGCTATATGACATTCTCAAAGGGCTTGTTAACATTTTCTCAGATGTTCTTAAAGTTTTAAAGATGTTTTCTGAACATTTACCAAGCTAATGGTTTATAACTATCAGTTAAAATCCTATGCTGCATCCCGAAAAGGCGTAATATTGGTGTCCCAGTGTGTGTTGCTAAACACAAAGTGACTCGATTGCTGGACTGCGAATGACACAGCAGGGGCTCCACACACACATGGTCAAGCATGCACATACAGCGATGACTCCGACACTACGAAAAGGTGAGCTAATGTTTTGCACTATAGCCAGCCCGGGAACATGATACTGACAATCAGTAATAATCACTTGAGAGGTTTCTTTGTTTTTTTTAAGGTATTGTGACGTTTTCTTGTTTTACTATGAGAGCAAAGTCAGTAACTTTTAAAGCTGGGTTGAAGACTTGACAAGTGGTTCACAATGTTTATTCTAATATATCCTTGGCTCGTAACTGTGGTACATGAAACAAACAGCTTCCTAGCTACCTGTACTTTGGACTGTCCTACTTGCTGTTTCTCCAACAAGCCAAAGTCTAGTTTTGAGAAAAATCTTTGAACTACTTGCTGGTGTATTCTTTAGCTTCTGCTGAGGGGTTTGGCGAATTATTGAGGTTGAATCAAAGCTACTCATTCATACTTTGCAAAGCCTTTTTATCAGTCAGAAGATGAACCCTGCTTGAACAGCTTGAACTTCCTCTGATGTTGCCCTTTAACAATGACATACTGTAAGTGTGAGGTGTCTACCTGGCACGCAGGAGCATTCATAGCTGGTCTCGCCCTTCTGGATGCAGGTGCCTCCGTTTTGACATGGCGAGGGGTTGCAGGGTAGATAACGGCTCTCGCAGTGCTTTCCTGTGTATTCCTGTGGGCAGTGGCATCGATACCCTCCCACTTCATTGATGCACACGCCACCATTCTTGCACGGCGGAGGGTTTGTGTCACATTCGTTGATGTCCTGCTTGCAGGTTTTTCCAGTAAAGAAGGGTGTGCACTTACAGGTGTAGAAGGAGTCAGCAGAAGAGCACTGGGCGCCATTGGCACATGGGTTCGAGGCACAGGGATCTGCTTGTTGACACAGTTTACCTACAGACACAGAGAAATAATAATGCACAGGCTGCAGTAGCCTACGTTTACACAGTCAACGTTTTTCTTCTCTAACAAAAGTATGTCAAGTTTTCCACTTTATTTTTTTGCTTGGGTGGTAATCCCATCTGAGACAAGCTCAAAAGGCCTCCAGACTTTGTAGAAGCTGTCAAACTGAAAGTCAAAGAATATACTGAAGCAAACGCTGCATGAATAACTCTACAAAAATATCTCAATTTGAAAAGTCCTGACTGATTATGTTGTTAATAAAACCCAAAACCAAAATTTAAAGCAGAGTTTCACAGCCTTAAAGGAGGTTTACAACTTCACAAGATCCAGAAAATAGTCCAATAATAAATAATAGTCCAAAAGTAAAAATCTTTTTGTATTACCTGTCCACCCTGGTGGGCAGCGACACTTGTACGATGTGAGACTCTCAAGCTCACAGGTGCCTCCGTTGCGACACGGTGAGCCGATGCAAGCATTGTTGACCGGCGTCAGGCAGCGGCGGTCAGTGAAGCCCAGTCTGCAGGTGCAGTTGAAATCCACCGTGTTCCCTTTGGTCACAGCCCGACACGTGCCATCATTCATGCACGGCGAGGTGGTGCACGGGTCACGAAACTGGCACCTGCTTCCTACGTATCCATCCCGGCACCTGAGGAAACATGGGGAGAGAGGTCAACAACATTTGAAAGGGGAACTGGGTGTTAAATGGCTTAGACAGACTCCAGCTTCAACTCTTTTTTTTTCACATATATTTCTTTCTTATCGTATTTTATATTTCAAGTATTTTACAGATGACGTGACAAAGGGTCCATTTCTCTAAAAATCTGTCACCACTTTTCTGTAGTTCATCATTTTACAGCTGATTGAGACAAACTACCACTACACCATGAAGCCAATTCACTAATACTTACATAAAAACCTTTTTCTCAGTGATTTACAGGTCTACTAATAAATGTCCATTCCTTATTCATCTCCCTCATTAACGATTAGCATCACAAAGACAGGGATTGGTCAAAGAGAATTCACAAACAGTTCAATCTTTTTCAGCTCAGCATGAATTAAAGAGTTCACAAGACGACTTCTCAGACTAGCAAGGGTCATCCTTTGTACAGCACTTTGCACAAATCCAGCTAACAATCCATTTATGTTAAAGATGGTCCCATCCTGATGTGTTTACTACACATGAGAAACTTTTAACAGGACGTTCATCTCTCCACCATCACCCCCCCATGAACAATGTGTTCCAGGCTGTAAAACAGAGCCGTCTAGGGGAGGGGGGACCATGAACTCTTGATGTTTCTCACAGGTTGTGTCTGTCATAAACACCACTCAGACCCCAGTGGACAAGTTCCCAGAGAGAGCAAGAGAGCGAGAGAGCGAGAGAGTGAGAGAGCTGCCGCAGATTCACATATTACAATGAGGGGACTTGGAGGGTGTCCCCTGAGGATACGAATGTCTCAACAAAGAGGCCACACACACACACACACACACACACACACACACTGAGAGCATGCATAAGCTCATACCTCCACAGTCAGTGTGCAGTCCTTCACACACACACACACACACACACACACACACACACACACACACACACACACACACACACACACACACACACACACACACACACACACACACACACACACACAAACACACACAGGAAGAGCATGCAGGAAGACTACGCACAGGACCTCGTACGTTTACATTCAGCTGTAACATTTACGTGCAAATCTACATGTGAAACTCTGCAGCTGTGGGACTAGAGTCAAAAATAATCGGCCTATAACTAAAAAGTACAACCACTCCATGTTTCAGCCTCTCTTCAAATAAGGGACTATTTTTGGTGTGGTGTTCACGAATGTCATTTTCTGTACCTTCCACACTGTTATTTGACTATGTTCCTTCAGTTCTGGGATGTTTTTCTATCATTTCTTAATATTTTATTGGTTTAATAAAACTGAAATAATAACTACTGTAACTAAAGCTTGATCTGTTTATTTTTGACAATTTTTATGGTTCAAACAATCAAACAATGACCTTTTTGTTTATCACTCATTCTTCATAACTCTAAAATGTTAGATGTTGAACAAACCGAATCATGTGTTTAATAACTCTCCACTAGATTAGCAAGATTTCTAGATTAAGTTCTCATTCAGTGAGTATCCGTATAAAATTATTTCAAGCATAGATCATAACAGTCGGAGCTCTTTTTGACACTGAAAACATTCCTCCACGTTAGACCCCCCTACTGCCACATTCCCATATTCATCACCTTCAGAGATTCAATACCGTTGTCAACAACACTGGGTGGCCGATGAGGCCTGGTCATTACAGAAACAAAGCATCCACTCAATAGCCCCTGAGACAAGAACAAAAAAGAAAATTTGCGGTATTTGGAATTCTTCGTCCTAATCCGTCCTTTCCAGGAGTCAGGACACAAGAAAAGGCGCCATCACAGCGGCCTTCAGCAGCTCTCAGAGCTGAAATGTGCTCACTCGGAGCCTTTTGTCAGCACTCATTCATCCTGAAGACAAGGACGCATCTATGCCACAGTGTTTGAGCTGCATGCCAACATTTATGGACACTTCAAAGCAGTGTGCAATCACCTCAATGCTCCTTATTCTTTCCTCCTCGGAGAGGATTTGCTCCAGCATTGGACAAGAGATGGGAAGAGGATGAAACAGAGGACACTGAGGTACAACCTGAGTGAAAAACATGAAAGATAGCAGAGAAAAAATACACCTGCAATATGCCCAAAAGTCAAAGACTTTCTTTTTTCCCAGTGCAGATTCCACAAACAACAGCTGTCTTTGAGTTTTGTTTGTTTGTACTCTGACGCAGAAACAACACACTGCAGAAAACATCCTGCAGACATCAAAGCGGACGTCCCAGCGAATTAAAATCCGCCGTCACTCTCAAATACCTGAACAGAGCCAGCGAGTCTGTGCGCCCTGAGGGGCTGGCAGGACCATGTCCCCAAACATTCCCAGGGGGTCCTGTGTGTGTTTCTGAGTGTGCGCCTGTGTGTGTAAATGGGGACCGAGCCATGGCCCCTCAGTGGGGACAGGCGTGTGTTTAGACAGGGTCTCCCTCTCAGGGGATTAGGTGGCCTTAGGACTGTGGTAAGGAAAAGAAAACATCACATGCTAGGCTGCCTGCTGCACAAACAGCAGCAGTGAGTGGTGGCATGTCACCACGTAGAGAGGGTGTCATTTCGACTGGGATCATTGTAGCATTAAGCTCAGACAGGCAGTGGTGCCAGCGGCTGGATATCAACGCAGAAACATGCAGGAGAATAATCTCAGGTGAAAGTTACGGACAGTTTTGAAATAAAACACTGCTTAGAGGAGAATCTGCAACATGACACTCCTTTCTCTAGATTGTTCATTCAGACATGAAGAAGTGCAGCGACATATAGTACATCCACTCCAGTTAAAGGGTATGATAGGTTTTGACACAATCACTTTCAAGTGATCGCAAACAAAAGTAAAAGTTTGTTTGGCCAGAAGTGGTTTGTTTGTGATTGATCACGAACTGCACCAGCAAATAGACAGAGCCAATTAGCTGGAATCCTCCTCCTAGTTTCTTTCTATGTATCACATCTCTTTCAGGACAGTGGTGTGTAAGTGGGTGTACAGAAGAGGGGGTAGGTTGGAGCTCAGTGGTGAGAAGCCACTAGAAGACCAGTCCAGTTAAAGTCCCAGTGGTGGCGGGTGCTGAGGTCGTGAGGCGCCACACGAACTCGCTGGAAAAAGGCCGCAGGGAGCAGGTGCGCATGTTAATGAGCAGACGGCAGCTGCTGCCCCGGCCATTCACCCTCCCCTCACACACACACACACACACACATACACACACACACACAAATACACACCTCCCCCAATTCTCCCACATCCCTGATCCCACCACTCTGCCTCCTTCTTCTCTGTGGCACCCCATCCTACTACCGACAAGGAACCTCCACAGGAACAGGAGCAGTACTTTAATAAAAAGGCGTTTTACCCCTAATATAAGTCTTTATTGTCATTTTGAGAGATGTAATCTCTGAGGGAGAAAAGAGGGATACAAACAAGGGAACTGCAAGGAGTTATCAATAAAGAAAATCAAAATATAACCCATTAAAAAAGTGCAAGCATGATTTCAAATGTTAATATGTTTCCAGAAAAGAAGGATCTTTTTCTTTAGATAAAACCACGAACAAGAACCTGTTGAACAATTTTTTACAGTGTCGGCATCTGAATGACGCTCTCCCTCCCTCCCTCCCTCCCCCTCTCTTACTTAGCAGAGAGACGAGGAGTGAGAAAAGAGAAGGAGAGCGAGCGAAGGATGAGTGGGCTCATTGTTTTTCCCCCCCATTCAGAGCTGACCGCAGGCTGGGCGTATTCATCTCTACTACACCTCCTCTTTCCTCTCCTTCCCTCCTCTTTCTCCTCCTCTGACTAAAGGGAATCTTCCTCTGAATCTTCTTTCATTACACACCGCTCATCTCTGTTTTTTTGCCTTTCTTCTTCCTCTTCTTTTAAATGCACTTCCTGCGTTTATAGCCATATGTATGGTCGCCGGCACCCACCTACTCATCTCATGCAAACCCTCCTTTGACTTCTCCACTACCACGTTAAGATTTATGAGTCTCAACTAAAGAGAAACTTTCTTCCTGCTTTGCTGCTTTTTTGTGGTCTGCCATGTTTGAAAGAGGGGCTTAAAATCCAAAACACACACACAAGCAAGGGGGCGAACAAAGAAGTCCAAGAGAAAGGAAACTGGAACTGGTTTGGTTGGGTTTTTTGAGGGGGGAAAGACAGAAAGGAGAAAAAGAGCAGGAATTTTGGTGTTTACTCCGAAGAGTCTCCTGTCCTGATTCTTCACCCAGAGCTCACCAGCAGCCTTAACTTCACGCTTCTTTGAAAAAAACTTACACCAGCTTAGAAAGTGGGCATCTGCCCCCGTAATACCTCCCAGCGTCTCACACTGATGCCTGAAAGACAAACAGAAGGAGCCCCTGCACCCTTACCTTGGTGCACGTGGACACACTATCCAAACACGCTCCAGCTGAGGTGCAAGCAGTAAGTCAACTGTCGCACACGCTAGGCAAAGACTGGTAACAGTTTGCTCTTTAACTTGGCAGGAGCATGACAAATACATCCTCCGAACGCACAAAACAGCTTTAGGAGGCAACAACTTAACAGCCTGACTGAAGAGCACAAAGGTGTAAGAAAACAAGAGGTAAGATATTCAACGTTTCTTTTATGGAGCATTGAAAACAAACAGAGCAAAGCAGCTGCTCCAACAAGAGGAATATGCAATCCTGCGAGCGGGACAATCTCAACAGCAGCAGGTAAACTGGGCAGCTGGAAAGGTAAATAAAGAAGGCATGAAAAGAAGGGCACAAATCAGAAGCTGTGCAAATATCAGGTGTTCGGAGGTATCGTATAACTGCAGGACAGCAGTGGAGTTATCTCCTCTGTAAGGTTGATACTGTTATTATCTCCTCTGTCATCCCTGCCCCGTAGCTCTCATTGTTCTCCCCCTCGCTCACTTCTGAGATCGTCTCTCCTTCTATTGCTGCCGCTGTAGCCCGTGGCAACAGTTCTGCGACACTGATGGGATGCATGACAGGGCCGGGCGGCGGCTCGAGCCTGCAGCAGATGTTGTGGTGACATCTGACCCTCGGCCAGGCGTCGCTCTAAAGGGGTTTTCCTCACTGTCGGGCCAATCTGCCATCTGCCTTGATTCTGAGGTCGCACACAGATGGGGACAGAGGCTTTGGACGTCATATATAGGCCGCACATGTGCACTGTATACAAATACAAACCTAGAATGAGTACACAAGTTTTGGCAGCTGCACAGGCGCCAAACCTGGATTGTATTTAAAGGAGCTTAGAGAATTAGGTTGTGCATTTATTCAATTACTGAGCCTTGTAAAGCTCTGTGAGAGACAGGATCAGAGTTGGGCTCCAGTCCTGTAAATGGCATAATAATTAAGATTATTGTAGAGTGACTCTTTGTTTACCCAACCTTCTATTGATTACAGCAAAAAATAAAAAAAGATAACCCCAGAGACGAGGCTGTTGGTTAGGGCCTTAAAAGCACTGAAAAGCTTTGGTTTGGGGTGTGGCTCAGTTTTTTGGATCACATTTTACACAAACAGCTACTGGACTTAAAGCTCCTATGAGGGACTTTTAGTTTGTGTCAACTTTGGCGCCTCCCTTGGACAAGGTAGTCTTTGCTTATCTTGTCCTCTGCATGCCTAAGTTATGTCTATTGATAAAAAAATCTCATCCTGCTGACTTTTGATGGTCAAATGTATTTTTTGTGAAACTGTAAAAACACAAATGATTCTTTAATTGCTCGGCTGACACCAAACCCTTGTACCAGTTTTAGGCATTAAAAATGACAATATCAAAATTGTCAGTCTTGTCCCCGATTGACTTGTTTCCTTTTGGAAATCATGAGAAGGCAACAATTTGAACTTCAGTCTATTTAATAAACATAAAAAAAGAACTGCTCAGAGTAGCTTTGATCAGAGGACAATTAGGATCAAATAATAACAGATTTAACACATTACAGACGGTTGACTCATGACCTTTGACACTTGTGTGCTGGAGCTGTTTAAAAACAGAAATTCCCTTAGTATCAGGTTGAGGTAAGTTGAGTTTATTAAAACTTTTTTCAAAGTTGGGAAATTATTTTATGGTTCGTACAGCACCGCAGTCCCAAAAGTGGTTGCCAAGGTCAGGGACCCTTAAGTCTTAACACTCACCACTGTGTTAAAAATTACACACTTATTCACCACTCTCTCTTCTCTACATAGGAAATTCTTTGACTACAGAAACACAATGAACTATTCAGACACCAGTCGTAGTCTCACCAGGCTCTTATAACAACACCAGTGCTGCTGCACAACCAAAACCTGCAGCTCAACTTCATTTGAGTAATGATTCATTTATTCCTGGGCTTGTTTTCAGAGAAAAATAAAAAGAAACATTAGATCAATATAAAATAATGCAGTTTTGATCAGATAAGGATACCATATATCTGCCTCAAAACCCAGTTATTTGTCTTCTACATGCATAAAAATAAAAGTTGTCAAATCATCAATGACTTTTTTTGCAGAGAAAAACAGTTTGTTAGTCAGGAGGTAGAGCTGGAACAAACTATCACTTGTAATGTAAAGCATGGCAATTTTTGTTTTTATTTTTTTGCTGTGAAAGTGTCAGAATTCAGCTATGAAAGCCAATGAGACCTACAGTAGCCCCATCAGTATTTAATTGGTAATGAAAATGTAACTGCTTCAAAGGAGTCAGTAAAAACTAACAGACTTTTAGCCACAGCTGTTTTAGCAGCCCCTTTTTTCACTTTTTGTGCTGTGGGCGAGTCCCCAGTACTCTGACACAATCTGTAATAAACAGAGTTGTTAGACTGTTAATTTTTCACTTCTCTCTCAGTCTCTCAGGTGAGTCCTTCATGTATGTTTTAACCAGGAGTCAGGAGTATATTTGAACCCCCACCGCCCCGTCTCATTTCCTGGCTGTTTGGTTCTGTGCCTGGGCTAAGTCCCCTTTAGTCTTGTCTGATCTGTTTTAAAAGCGTTGCCCAAGGGGGGGCCTCTCTGCTCTCCTTCCCTCCACACTTCCCTCCCTCCCTCTCTTTCTCTCTCTTTTTCTCTTCTTTTCTTTCTCTCATCTGTTTTCCCAGCAGCACAACATGGCTCACCACAGTGACAACCATGCCACCACTGGTAGAGAAACTAAACACTACAAAATGAGCGCTTAAATTCAGCTTCAATCACACAAATCACGTTTACTGGAATAAAAATAGCTCTCCAGCTGAAACCAAATCTGGCACAGAAAACAGGGCTGTTGTTTGTTGTGGAACTGAAACCAAAGTTACCACCAAAATCCCGCAGGCTGCAGAAATTACAGGGGAAACGCTGCCCCTTCTCTCTCTCCTTACATCCCTCCTTTCCTTCCTCTCTAATCGTACAGGAGGACTGACCAGGCCAGCCCACATCTGGCAACCTTCATTAGAGACCCTGTTTATTTGGGAGTATTAGGGACACGGCCCATGGGAAAGAGCCTGCGCCCCTGGGACCAACAACTAGTGTGTATATGTTTGTGTGTGTGTCCTGAGACTCATAGCCACCCTAATGACTTCTGCTACTGCCTACTTTACGACCCTGGGAACTACTTAAAGGCTTTTACGGGTGTGTGAAGGTGTAGCTGACAGTGCAACCGGACACTGGGGTTGTTACTGTACGCGGTGACTTCAAGGTACGAGCCAGGGGTTGAATGTCCCATCAGTGCTTCCTGAACAAGTGCCCCCCATAAATCAAGACCAGTGTGAGGCTGTTAGCAGGCCTGAATTAGTAGACTTAAAATGTTGTACATCTAGTGCTCAAGTTAGCTGAACGACTGCATGACCAACCCTGCTGCACCACCTAAAGTCAGTACCTGCATGCTCAGTTTAAGGCCTTTTTAGAGGTCCATATGTGCATCATCTTTGTTATTGCGTGTTTCAGCTTGAGTTCATTGGTATCAGTCTTACAATCTGCACATGGATGCTAACCTGCTCAAACCACTCTGTTTCACTACAAAGGCATCACACTTCATTCTCCTAAATATCCAGAGTGAGTGAGTAAGCGTGTATCAGACAGTAAGAGTAACTGAAAACAAGAGCACACCTGGCAGACAAACTCAATCTGAGCTGAATGGGCAAAACCGCATGTAATCATGGGTATTATGAGGCATGCTGCTGTATGGGTGAGTGCACGACTCTCTTGGTTGTTCTGCTATCCCACAGACGGGACAGGTGGTCTGGCTGAAAGAAGGAGAGAAAAAGAGGAAGTGTGGTTTGCAGCATGCCCAGTTTCTTTGTCCCACACACACACACGCAGGCACGTACGCACGCACACACACACACACAGGCTGACTTTCAGACCTGTCAGTGATCAAAGTTTAGGTGATTTATCTTGGCATATGCCAACCAGAGAGGCTCAAATATCACTAATCCTCAACGCTGAGGTTCCCCACCACCGAGTCACTTCATTCAGACAGGACGCTCTGACAATCAGCCCTCTCACCAACCGGACTCTCGCCAAAGGGAACCCGACACCGGCAGCAGCGGCCATATAAAAGCCCCGCGCTGTGTGTTTCTAGTTGTGTGATGATATGATCAGATACGGCACCTTTTCTTCCCTCAGGCCACTCTGAGGCTGTTTCCTGACTCTGAATGGAGATGTGGGGTGTGTGTGTGTGTGTGTGTTTGTGTGTGTGTGTGGGGGGGGTTAAGATAGACTCATCTGACCCCAGCGAACAGAGGTGCCATTAAGGAATCCCCAGAACTAGAGAGACAAGGGCTCACTTTCATTGAAGTGGATGGATACTGTAGAAGTAGCTGCACATACTAACCAAGGATTAAAAGACTCAGCAGGAGAAATAAAGGGGCAGGAAATCAGAAAATCCTGATTAACAGTTGAAGGATGGAATATATTGTCATCCACACTGAAACTGCATCAAATCATTCAGGCTACCAGCTCAGCAAATATAAATACATCATACATTCATGTGGTGAGCAATTTGCTACAAAATGATCACTCGCTGAAAGAGTTATAGGTGACAAGTAGAAGAATCCAACCTGTGACAGTTATGAGTCTGCCCATGAGTAAAGGACCTTCGTACCTTTAAAACTTCCCAGTCTAATCAATAAATTAACTGATTAGATCATTACTGAGCGGAAACCTTCAGTATGAAGCTTGTTGCTAGTTATCAGGCAGCCCGTCTATGACCTCAAATCCAGCCTGAACTCGGTGTTAAATGTAAATTCTTAACATTTCTGACTGTTTTTTGGGTTTTCATCTCAACTTAAGACTAGGTAGTGGGCTGAATTAAATTTTCTGTTTCTTTTCTATTGAGAGGGTGCGATAGTGGAAAGAGTAAGAAACTGGGCGAGAGCATGTGGAATAACTTGTGGCAAAGAGCTGCAGGTTGGTATTGGACACAAGCTGCCCACTTCAAGGAGCTAAGCCTGGTAAGTGAGGCGTGCCATTTAACCACCAGGCCAGAGTGATGCCTCTGCTTGGTCACTTCTGATCTCCACTCTTTGATGCATGTCTGCCTTGTGGCTTTTTAGCTGTCTTTAAAAGAAAGCAGACTAAAAATAATCTCCGAGATTAAAATAAACATATCATATAGTTCACTGAGACCCTGGAGTCTTTGAATCAAACAAATCCTGCGAAACTAAGTTTAACTTTATGACAGCATTAGAGAAATCTCTGTGATTTGTTCACAAGTGCTTCTAGCAAACCCATTATCCACCATTCAAACTGAAGTCCAAAAACTGCATCTACATACGACTCCCAGCATTCAACAGCCTGTCAGAAATCTATCTCATCTTTTCAACACCCTGACTGACAGATTATGAAGGTATGTGATCTCTCTGCAGCGTCCTTCCTTGCCAGCCTGACGTCTCTCATCTCTCCGGGCTGAGAGGGAGAGTCTCTGCTCTGATTCTGGTCATTGTTGTGCCACTGGAATCTGGGAGTTATGTTTCCTGGTCTGGATTGGCTCGGCTCTGTCACTGCTGTCTGCCGCTGCCAAGCTTCAGCAGCAAATGAGAGGCCTCCTCAGCGCTGCTCTTTGGAGATAAACTTCAGTCAGGAGCTCACAGGGCCAGATATGAGGAGGAGATGGTATTTATGGTATGGCATGTCAAGTAGGCATCTCAGTCAGACTAGGTAAAACTGAAGCAGCCAATGCAGCTAACTTGAATCATTTTTCTGAAGCTGAAGCTCAGGGTCATCTTACGAGACTACCCCTGAATGTCTTACCCTCTTTTCTGTTCGAACACTGATTCAGGAAACTGAAATTAAAGTAAAGGAACCACTTTAAATGAACTTCACTCCTGGTTACAGGTGATACTTGGAGTTTCATCTTCTAGACTTGGACCTAAGATAGTAAAAAATAAGGGAAAATTGAAGGGGTGATCTTGAAGGACCTGGTTCTTAAGCGAAGGATGATCAAATGCAAAGTTGCTGCTAAAAATGCTGGACTCTGATGGCAAAGTTGACCAACGATGGGAGTGACTCCTTAAAGCTGATAACTTTTTTTTTTATTCATGTACTGAACTTATAAAAGCTACAAAAGTTAATTATCAGCATCTGCAGCCTCCAAACTTTTCAATGATATATGGTGCTCTAATTTTGCACCCATAATGACAGCTTATGTGCGCCAACAACAACCTTTAACAGCTGTACAGCAGGGTTTCGGCTGTATGGGAGTATTTTGAACTTAACTGGAAACAGACAGCAAATAGATGTACTCTTCTCAAGAGCAAAGATGATGCAAAGAGAAGGGGCAAAGTTAAACTTCTTAAACAGTCTTCCTGAACAGCACCAAGAGTGTCTGAGCAGCAGGAATGAAAAGCATTGCTGCTGGTGAAAACTCAGGTGTTGCACTGAGAAATACAGCAACAACTACTTCAACAGCCTACTGATGCACTTGGATTTGTACCATCTTCGGTGTCGGCCATGTATCCCTACTCACCACCTCTTATGAACAGAACAAATAGACACAGGCGCGGCATACTCAATAAATATACAATATAGCGTAAGTCTTATCACTTTTTATGCACCTGGCCGTCATCTCGCAAAGTATTCTTCTGCTAAACTTTCCTTTTCTTCGCTCTGTTCATAATATGTCTATGTCAATGTATTAAGCTGCTGTTGTAAATGCCATGTTTGATCATGTGAAAAAGTAATAAACTAAAAGGTTATTATCAAAAATATAAAATATTTTTTCAGACTTTCTAATAGTCAAAATCTAACTAAAGACTCTCTCATGATCCGAGGCACTGATGTGGCAAATTCTTGGCGTAAACTGATTGTTTACGCCAATTGTAAGTTGCACAAAAGTTTAGCTTATTGAATTTCTTTGATTTGTTTCGAGTGGTGTAGCAAAAAAATAAACCTCACACACCAGAGGAACCTATATTAAAAGTTTATGTAACTTTCAAATGAAAAATTCCTGCTCTCATAGTGATACTCTAAAGTGCCCTCTCAATGTTCTTGTCTAAAAAGGCCAAAAGCAGAAGACTTCAGAGCCAAAGTGAAGGTTTCAAATGTCTTTTTCCATTCAAATCAAAGCCCATAACCCACAAATGTTCTCCTCATATAAATATATTGATAACTCTTGCAGCATTTGCAGAGTTCAAACACCAAAATTAACGCTTTTGATCAGTACTATTTGCCTTAGAATTGCACCTCAACTATCACAGCAGTCTGATTATCTGCTTAGATTTTGCAATGAAGTAAAATCAAGATGTGATGCCCCAGTTGAGACTTTTCCCAGGAGTAACCAGCCCTCCTGTGGTACAACGATGACAAACACAATGACAGAGCAATGCTTAAAAAACACAGACACACACAAACACAATGCCACAAACCAAACCCTGTGTGCCCGCTCAAACCTTTTGAAAACTGTGAGCTCGTCCATCTCCTTGTTTAATTGGAGAAGTCTGAGGAGGAGGACAGTGCAGGGGCACAATGATGGCTTTGTGGCCCAATGAGGAGGTGGGGAAGGTGATGGGAGGGGGGGGTGAGTGTGTAATTGAGGGGTGAACAACAAAACCAGACCAAATTAAGATGTGGCGGGGGGCCAAGATGGCTTCCCGGGTCGTGCAGTCTTGAAGCTGTGACCCAGTCAGCCTGATCGCTTACCCGGTCACCGAATTGTGTGACGGTAAGATGACACTGGCTGGTGCTGCTCATGCCAGGATGGAAATAGAGCCAAGCGAAAGTGGGCTTTTGTAGTGAAAAACCAGTTCTGGGCAGAGCTGGAGCTTATTGGTTTACATGTGGACAGAAAACATCCCAACACAAGACAAAATGCAGACTTGTTTGTGTTTTTCAGTGGGTTTAAAAACTTCTACCCTCTGCCATCTGTCTACGGGAATGAGAGAGTTGTGAGGAAGAGAGAGAGAGAGAGAGAGAGAGAGAGAGAGAGAGAGAGAGTACTGAGAGCCATTGAGGAGGGGACAAAATCCCAGGAGAGAGGAGGGGTTTTGGAGTAGGGGGTGCTAGAAGGACAGAGTCTGAGGGTCTCTCTGGGAAGCCTCACCCAGATTAGTCACACAGAATTAATCGCAGAGGAGAACAATGGTCGCCGAGCTTCTGGCAACCCCAGCTGTCGCTCCGTGAAAGAAAAGAAAAGCAAGATTTAGGGCTGCGAGAGTTTGGCTGCAGAGGGAAGAGTGTGGTGGCACCACACACACACACACACACACACACACACACACACACACACACACACACACTCGCAATAGTGACCCCTGTCCTCATCAATGTCCACTCATTCCTGTCTCAGCTCCCTGACCATTTGCCTCCCAGAAATAGCAACACTGGTGTGAGTGCTCGCCCCTCACATGTCAACCAAACATCTGAGTCATGTCAAACTCCACATTCACACATTTCAAACTTTTCCACAAGTATTTCTCACAATACAACAGCTAAAGAGTGAACAGATTTATTTAACCAAAATAAAAAGAAGACTTACTTGCACTCTCCGTTTCCCTCCGGAGTGGCCTCACACTTCCCCTGGTTCAAACACGACTCCGTGGGCATGGAGCATCTTAGACCTGAGAGAGGAAAGTTTTAATACACCTGCAGCTTTTATCAAAACTTTCAAGCAAACCTGGAACACATTGGTACTTTTGTCTGCCATCTCCTACAGTAAAACAAGCAAAAATCTCAGTTTTACCTTTAGGGGCATGATCAATCAAGAGCACATATATTTGAGGACTAAGTGTGACTTATGCCACCTGAGAGTGCAGGTTTTTTGTGGCTGAATAGACACTTGACACAAGTTTGGCAGTTGCATGCTCCTGTCTGCAGCTGGCCCATAAAGAATGTGCCATTTGGGGAGTAACACTCCTTTGCTATATCATAAAAAAATATAAGAAACCACGGCTCTGAATAAAATCTGCAGAAGGCATGCGTTTACACACCGGTGAGAGAAAGTTGTGCGCTTGCTGGTCAAGTGCGTAACGTGTCCGCGCAAAGCATATACTGATACAGGCACGAAACAAGAAAGGCGCAAAAATGCACATTTGTGATAATCTAACAGGTTTCATGAATTATTTAACTTCACTTTAAATGTGCAACCAACTTTAAAAACTTGCAGGTTCACTCCAAAAAGTTGGAGAAATTATGATATACCTGAGTTCTAGCTCCTCAGTTCACAAACCAGTGATGCAACAAGTTTATTTTAAACTAATCTCCCAATTTAAAGGAGTAAACTGCTAAATTACTAAAGTTTTTTTCACCCAACAAAGTTCAAAAACTTTTATATGAGTATATCCCAGTCACTCACCTCGTGTTAGTGCTATTAGCGACAACAAGAAAGTTAGTTTCACAAAGAAAATATGCATTCCTTCTGGTTTAAAATGGTTATACAAATCCACGTGGGTTTTTTCATAGATCCGATATAGTGTCTCCCTCCTCGTCAGATAAAAAAAACACTTTCAGTTCATCCCTGAGTATATCCACAACAGAGAAAGTAAAACGCGTCTGTGAACTCCGAGCACGGGATGTTGTCACTTCAGATCCCGGGTTGGAAATGACTTGAGGGGACGCACTCCTCCACCCGCTGCTCCACGTCGAGGGGCGTGATCCTTCCGCGCACACATACACATACACACACACACACATTCACATACACACTTTCTCAGGAGTTTGTCTCAGAACTGACAAAAGCTCTACAACTTGGAGAAAGATAGTGCCAAGTGTGTGTGTTTATTTTCCCGGGCGTTTGTGGTGATAAGCCAGTGAAGAAGTCTGGACCAAAAGTTCAGCAATAAGTCAGTGCCATCACAGACAGTTACTTAAAACTCAGCTTGAGACGTTTTCTTTAGATTACTTTAAATGGTGAACTCATAAAGGACCCTTTAGGGTACCTTTAGTAGTAGAAAACATCCCCTCCAGAAAATAAGACATAACAAAAGGTGACCTCTGGATACCCTCCCAGACACCAAAAAGTGACAAGTGTCCCCCTGATGGATAAAATAAATCACACCTTTAAACTGTAGTAAAAAGCAGCCAGCTGGTTATTTAAGTTAATATAACCATATTAAGCTATATACTGTATATCAGATGGTAGGCTGTAGTTCATGCGAGCTAAACCTTATCTTTTTTTATGACTTAAGTTTTTATTTCAATTTCATTTTTACGATCCAAGAACAACCACTCTAACCATAAACAAACAAAGAGCAGTGGGCACAAATGCCAACAAAAACACAAGTATAAGCCAACAAAACAAGGGGTCCAAGGCAGTGTTGGTGTGACGGAAGTTAAAACTTCAGTTTGTCCAGTTCCACTCTGCCACTGTCGCATGAGGAATTGAAATCTGTAAACTTTGAAACAGTGTCCATAATATAATGTCTGTGTGCTCACTTGTAAAGCGCCATCACCAAGTCATCTTACCTACATCAGGATATCATAAAAGTACGAATGATTCATTGAAACAGAGGGTGACACAGATGAATAGAATAAAAACTAACAATGGAGAAGTAGGAAAGTAACAATAACAGTAATATTGAAAAAAAAACAGGCTAAACCTTGTCTTGACTTTGGCTCAAAATGATTTACTTTATAACATTAAATCAAGTCTTCAAACTTAATGTAATCATTTGAAGTTAGCAGAAACGTTTTGTTGAGACTTAAGCTTGTAAATTTATCAAGAAATGCACCGCTGCAAAGCAGTTAACGTGACAGCTAAACTTACTATCAAGATGGCTTTGGGTACAATTTGAACTAGCGTGACCCCAACGCTTCTGAGAAAAAGGCTGAGCTCTATTTCCAAAAGCCCCTTCAGTAGTTCCAGCAATTCTGGGATGAGGAAACATTGAAGAGGGATGAGATGGAGAGAGAGGAACAAAAAATTAGTTTAGTTATCATTATGAAAGCAGAAAGTGAGTAATAGTTGCTTGAGTTACAGACTGATAATAGATAAGTTTATATTGCTTACCTGTCAAAGGTGTTGCCAAAGAGTAAACGGATTACATTTATGACAATGACACCAAGTTGCACAAAAACTGTAAGAAAGCATGGTGGGCTTAAAATTAGTCTATTTTGAGTTATGCGCTTCCATTTGTCATGCCAACTCCGTGTCAACAGTGGACCATCTGACTCCTTTTGAAACATTAAACTCAAGTAGAGTGACCATCATCCCTAGCAGCTTAAGTTTTGTTTCATATCACAATTGCGTTTGTGTTGCAATGATTCTGAAACTGAAAGAGATTTTTTCTGACTGTTGTTGTTTACCTCTGTAAGTGTTTAGTTCAGAAGTAACACACCACATTGGGGTAGTTGTGCTTGTCTTGTACATTTACTTCTATGTGTTAAAGTTAAATATACCATAGTAGCAACAGTGATATTATTTTATATTTTTTACTGTGTGAGGGATGTTTTCCCTTCTGTAAAAGATTCATGTGCATTCATAGTTGATAAATGACACTTCTCAGAGGCACCCTTGATGGTAAAACAAAAAAAAGTCCCACTGCCAATGCTTTATAAGTGTTAGCTATATTTTTTCAAACACCAACATGAGTCATTTCAGGTCCCGTACATCAGGGTATACCATCCTAAAGAAGCCTGGGAACCAGCCTGTAAGCAGTGCAGATCTTTTTACTGATAAATAAATGCTGACATGGACTCTTTATTTGTTTTTTACTCACAGAGTCAGCAGATTTAGGGGCGGATTCCCATCAGGTGGTTTGTGAACTGAGGCAGAGCACCTTCACACAGGTAACTGCTTACATACACGGGAAATAACACAAACTACCAGCAGGTGTGTTTATATATTTTTGGTTATTGGGAGAGATCAAATTGCAATGCTATAAAACCTTATTTAACTGACAAACAAAACTAAAATATTCAAGCTTTTACAAAAACTTTGCAGGTGACAAAAATGTTCCTCCCTGGAGCTTTGTAGCTTTCTCTTTTAAAATGTGCAAATTGAAGTTTCTGCTGTTCCTATATTTATAGTAATTTAAAACACAAATGACTCTTCAACCCATTCTTTACACACTGAGATCCACACAAGAACAGGAAAGTAGAGCTCAGCTGAAGAAATTTAGCTCACCTCTGATAGAGGAAGTGTTGCATTAAAGTCAAACTGGTCCAAACGGCTCTTGAATCAGAAGAGAAAGTTCCTCAAATTCACATAGAAAGACAGTTTAGTCTCATGAGAGCCATTTTGTAATTTCTTGTGTGACCTTGGGGAGGTTTGTAAAGAAAAAATGAAATATTATTGTCTTAGCAAGGAGACTGTTTTGGAAGGGAAATGGAAGGGCGATAAAGATTTTCCTGAGTAAACTACTTTTCCTGGTGTCTGTAGATTTTTGCTGGGTGGGTACAAGTTTATGATCTGTCATGGATCTCCTTTGGACTGTACTCAGAGCAAGAGAATTCACATCCTGAGCTGCACTGGTGGAGATGTGAAGTGCTGGCTGAACTGTCAGAGAGGACTTTGAGGTCTGCTATTGAGAGATGGAAAACAAAGTGAGGTCTTCTTAATGCACCAGAGCTATTACAGTCCTATCAAGTCCACATAATTCTAACTCTAGTTCCCATAACAAGAGCATGATTCAAGGCCCCATTGCCTGAGACCAAACTTGTGTCTAAGTCGATAAAAAATGATCTGTAGCGTCTCTTTCAGCACATGAGGACTTTCAAAAAGGGTAAATATTCTTCATAAGTGCCTGCGAGTAGGGATTTAAAGAGTTGTCAGACCACTACAGCACTGACTGAACTGCTTCAAAACCACAGCCGGGTAATTTACTCTGAGATTACAGAGCGAAATAACTGCCAAACAAATGACATGTGAACTGTATGCAGGTGGTAACTGTCTCTTTCAACACCATCAGACATTCATTATTTTAAGAAACCACAGAGTGACACATAGAAACTCCACCAAAAACGTTACAGGTAAAACAGCTGCCAGGAAGAAAAAATAGACAAACATCAGGCAGACGTTTAAACCCTCAGGGCAGACGGAGCGTAGGAGTGTTGTGAGAGGCAGTGATGGAGAAAAAAATGTGAATAAGGAGGAGGAGGTCACGGCGGAAAGGTGGTTTCTGGGTGTGTGTAACCTGAATTTGGATCAGTCTGTTCACATGCAGCCTGATAACATGATTGTTGTCAGATTAAGGTAATACTATACGGGTTTTGTCATGTAAATTTTTCACTCATATTATCTCATAATCAGCTTTGGGTGTTTGGCTATTGACCCACCTAGATTTAAGCTCAATTATATTAAACGGATCGTCTGAATTCATTTTTTATCTTCACACAATCACATGACATACTTTTTTAACAGAAGAAGCGCTGATAGTGGTGGGAAATTGCATTAAACCCAAAGTCAGCATGTCATATGATTGAAAGTCACAGAACTAAGACTAAATGGACTTAGTGGCCATGAGTACAACATTTCTGAGGTAAAGGATGCCAACATGTAGGAAACCTTGTTAAAATGCAAAGAAAACAATGATATTAGATTGAGCTTTGATATGAGACTTGGCATCTCAACTTTATAAGACCATACATCAATGAAAATATATTAAAGCTAATATTTTTCATCCATTTTCTTTCAAATTTGGTTACTTCAAACCTTGTTAACACCCAAACGTGAAACCCCATTTTTTTCTTGCTTGTTCAGAGCATCTTTGTCGTGGAAGCTGAGATTTTCTCATGAAATTAAACACAGTAGATAAAAATTAAACCAGACCTAACAAAAATTTGTCCCAAAACTATACTAAAAGTTTGCAAAACCACCATGCTTCCCTGTTGGTATGCAGTGCCTGGGAAACATAACTTTACACTACAGTGTGGCTACCTACATTGAACCTGAAAAAAGGGGGAATTTGGAGCCCCGGACTCAGAAATTGCTGCACTGTCCAGACTGAAATGTCTCCCGAGACCAAAAAGAAAACTCTAGTGTTGATGTATTAGGTTTCTGATTATTTTAAAAGGTGTGTTTTGATCTGTTTATTAACAGTCAAAGGCAGCAAGGACAGGGAAAGAGAGGTGAAATCACATCTAATTTTGTCCGCTATGCCTCCTGCCTCCACATATGTGTTTGCCATATAGAGATCTAATTAGACACGGACCTTGAAGATAAATATATGAAAAGCAACAAAGCTACGCTCTGTTGTCTATGAGGTTGCTGATGATTTTGCTTCATCCTAGTATATACAATGGTAAACATCTTCTTCACCAGTAAACAAACTGTAATATTTTTCAGTCTGCACAGTAAGTTTAAGGCTGTTTGAGTTGAATCAACAAGGTAAACACAGCACTTTTAAGCATACTGGGTCAGAGTTTGACATGAGTTTCAAACCCTGGTATCATTTGAAACTCACTGACGAGTTCACACAGTCAGTCATCTCCCAGGTGAGCTGGCCTGTCGTAATTCTGCTCCTTGGCAAGGTCACAGAACTCCCTCCTTTTAAAAGATTATCAAACATATGCTCACAAAAGATGCATTTCATTTAAAAAAACTCCCTATTGTGCTGTTGTTCATTGTTGGGAAAGAGGGAAATGTGTTTATTGTGTCACTT